CGTAGCTCGGCTAGCTTCGCGCCGACACCTAACGCTAAAGTTAATACCTCTACCTAAGAATCGGTAGCGATAAACATCTCTTGACTAAAATGACCTTTAAATATACGAGTATAGTAATATATTAACGATTAAAGTACGGAGAGATAATTCCGGAACGATAACTTATTCTATAAGAGCTAGAATAGATCCTAGCTAGTAGTACCGGCCTAAAATGTATTTAATACCCGCGCATCGACATATAATAAGTTCAGTACTAACTTATACGCCTTTTATAGTATACGCTCGATAGACTAGACTAACTTATAAAGTCGCGGGTCGTCGTCGTCCGACCTAGGCGTAGTATAGGATATAGTAACGAATTTAGCTTCTAACCCAGCTAAGTACTAGTAGAACGCGCTCTTCCGTAGCTATAGCGAGATCTCGGAGACGTAGTTAGGTTCGCTAAGCTAGCGGTAGCGGGCCTCATCCTCTTTTATAGCGCTCTCTAAGCCGGCGGTAAGTATCTAAGCTACGTTAGGACTAGGTTAACTACGGTTATAACCGGCGCTACCGATACGGTAACGGCCGCTAAAGCTAGTATTAATCCTACCGAGAGCTAGTAGCCCCGGTATACTAGGTATCTCTCGCTATACAATCTAGTAATCGGGGGCCTTAGCGAAGAAATACTATAGTGTCACCTTACGATATATATACTACTCTCTCTACTAGCGCCGCGTATCGACGCTATACGCTTCACTAGCGTATCACTCTAGCTTCTCTTTACTAGCTCGGAGATACCTATACGCCTCGGCGGCGCTATAAGCGAAGCCCTCGCGGAACTACAGCCCGTAGATAAATAAGCTATAATCTAATAGACGAGTTACCTCGGCCGCTACGTTCTATACTACTACCTAGCTAGCGATCTTTTTAGCTAGCTTACCTTTAATACTATACCTCCGCTTAAGATATTCGCTTAGATTTAAGCCTAGCGTATAGTATATCTAGTAGACGGTGTAGAGAATGACCCCGAACTCTAAGAGTAGCCGTAGCCATTAAACTAGCGGTATCGGGGCGGGCTATGACGTACTTCTACCGGTATCTAGTATATTATCATCTACTACCGACCCGCGTCTTAGGTCTAGGGAGTCGAAATTAAGCTCGGACGGCCCCTCGGGCATCCTAAATAAGTTACAACCCTCAAAATAATAGATGATTGATAGTATAGGGTAATATAGCGAAATTCTTCACTCTTATAACTAGACGCGAAAGTGATGGGGGATGACTAAGAGTTTTTGTTAGTGGACGCATCACCCGTAGATTGATGACCCGACCCCTTATGCCAAGACCTATTTTATATGTGGACGGGTCACCCGGCCAGACCAGAATAGAGTTAGGTCTCGTCAATGGATTATCCTTGAGAGAATCCAGATTGAACCAAGAGCGGTATACTGCGAAACCGCTCTTCTGGGCTCTGCCCGGCTTCTTTGTCACATACGCCCTCGCCCGGCTATGGACGCTATCGGCCGCGACCACGACGTCCGCAATAACCCGCTCCCCGTTGAAAACAATGCCTGCGTGGTCCTCGTCCTCGAAATACTCGACGATCCGGGCGTTGAAGGTGAACTGCACTCCAATCTCCTTCGCATATTCGTACATGTAGTTCTGAACCTTGGTTCGGTTGGCGTAGCTGTTAGGGAATCCGTCAAACTCGGATGGCAGAGGCTGTTCCACCAAGAGCCTGCCGCTCTTGTCGCAGATCCTCAGCCGTGTGGGAAGGGAAGAGACTCCTCGGACTTTCTCGAGCATTCCTGGCCATTGGCTGATGACGCGCGACGCGTTCGACCCCAGCATGATGACATCGCCTTGAGGATCTCCCCGTCAGAGGGAGTCAATACGGACAGAAATCTTGACATTGCGTACCTTGTCTTGACAGATCTTTCGACAGCTCGTAAACACTCACATTGCACCCGACTCTTCTGAGCGAGATGGCCGTTGAAAGCCCACCAAAGCCGGCCCCAACGACGATGACGTTGATAATGTCATGCATGGCGTTACCCTTTCACTATCCCTGAGTGTACATACCACGAAGCTCGTCCAGCAGACAACTTGAAGAGATTTACCATATCTGTAGCACTACAGTGCGCCAAGTTTCCAGGCACTGCGTGAGCGACTGAGTCGTTCGGGATCGGGACGAGGACTCCGAACGCGTCAGCGAATTATCAAGGGGATAACGGGTTTGTCGAGTCTAGTCGTGTCTGATTGGATGGTTACAGTCAGTAACATTTCCGAAGCCCCGAAGCGCCGGTATCAGGGGAATGCCTCCAGTCTTTTCGGCGGCTCCCTGGAGTCGTAGCATCCGGTCCCCATGGGGCCATGAATCCGGTTGGGAACGTTCTCCACTTGTTCGCTTCCGGAAACTACAACACATGGTGGATCCGCAGCAGATGGTACGATCCCCAAAAGACTGAATGTGAGCTTTCTGAGGATTCCTTGTCGACATCGCTCGTTTTTTTGGTATTGCGAGAATCGCTCTTGACAGCATGGCGACTATTGACATCCATATCGTAAGCGGGGTCTTGCTGGGCTCAGTCATCGTTGGGGTAATACTATGGAAGGTGTCTCGTTACGGTATGCGGCCTGACGGTTATCCGCCTGGTAAGATTTGTGGCCTTGCAATAAAACGCCTTGACCGCGGACTCAACGACTGCAGGGCCGCCAACGATCCCTATTCTGGGTAATCTGCATCAGCTACCAGACTCCAACTTACATTTTTGCCTACAAAAATGGGCTCAAGAATGTAGGCCCATCTTCTACGGTCTTGGGGTTCTTACGAGGCTGATGAGTACGAAGACGGACCGATATACTCCCTCAAGTTAGGCAGCCAGACACAAATCGTGGTCAGCTCGCAGACAATTATCAGAGACCTTCTCGAGAAGCGGAGCAATATCTATTCGACACGGATGGATATGTTTATTCGAGAGAACAGTGACAACCTCAACATCTTGTTTCGAAAGTGAGCACAGACCCGATGGGGTAGTCCTGGCAGCCTGCGGCAATCTAACTCAAAGAACTGCAGTAACGACGACATCTGGAGACGGCAAAGGAGGATGTATCACCTTCGTCTCAATGCGAAAGGGGCTGACAGCTATATTCCATACCAGGTAAGGGCGCTTCTACCCGGTATCTTGCGTACACATGTAAGGTGGAGATGCCCTGACGCTTTTTAACCACCAGGTGTTTGAGAGCCGCCAGTTGCTCCATGATTTCCTCGTCGCCCCGGAAGATTATGATCGAAATTTCAGGCGATACACCTCTAGCGTCGCTTCTACTTTAGCTTTCGGATGGCGAACTCCAAGCATGGATATTCCAGCAGTTGCTGGGATGTGTGATGTGAGTACACATCCCTCTGTACCCTTAGGACTTGATGCTCAGATATTCAACAAAGTGGAACGACCGGAACGTACGCATCGCCAATTCGTTGCAAATGACCGACTGGTATCCTTCATTGCGACCCATCTTCAATTTGATCCCGACTCGCTTGAGCGCGCTCAAGCAAGACTTGAAGGAGATCAAGAAGCTTGAAGAGGGTCTATTTATCGACCTGTTTCAGAACGCCAAAGCAAGGAACAGAGAGGGCAGAATTCGGCCATGTAGGCGGAATCCTCCAATCTCCAATGCGTAATTCGTCGACTGACCGAGGCTACATTTCAAGGCTTTTCCAATGACATGATAAGCGCCAACGAAAAGGCCGGAGCCGACAGGCTGGGTGACAAAGAGTTAGCTCACAATGCGGTTCAAGCAGCTATGGGAGCCACGTAAGTGCTGCATGCGCAGGTGGAACGTTCAGAGCTGCGAGCTGATAGACTCACAGGGACACTCAGTGGAACACCTTAAAAGGCTTCCTCAAGGTAGAGACACTCGAACCCAGAAAATTAGATCTATGCTGACAGCAGGCTTTCCAAGGCTATGGTTCTCTTTCCGGAAGTGCAAAGGGAAGCGCAGGCGGAAATCGACAATGTTGTCGGGCCAGACAGGATGCCGTCCTGGTCTGATCGTGAGCACCTCCCGTACGTACGCGGTGTCGTGGAAGAAAGCTTGAGATGTGAGTTTCAAGTCTCGACGAACCCCTGAGAATATTGACCGTTTTTACAGGGTTTCCCACGACTCTTCTCGGTGCGGTGCCTCATGGCGTTGCTCAAGATGACATTTATATGGGCTACAAGATCCCCGCCGGTGCTGGCATCATCAACAACGTGGGTTTGATGGGAAAGTATTGTTGATTTATGTAGAAGGTCTGACTTTTTATCTCAGGTCTGGACGATAAACAACGACCCAGAGAGGTACAATAACCCCCGAGAGTTTGATCCCCGTCGCCACGATTTGGCCAAGACCTCGGGGGAATTCTTCGGTATCAACTCCAATACCACTGAACGTCCTCACATGAACTTTGGTGCGGGGAGGAGAGTCTGTCCAGGCTTTCACGTCGCAGAAAGGGGTCTCTTCATCGCCATTGTTCGCATGCTGTGGGCTTTTAGCATGAGTCGGGGAGTGGACGAACAGGGGAATCCCGTCCCCATTGATAGAGATGCCGTAACCGGCGGGCTCGTGGCAGGGCCGGCCCCGTTCAGGTGAGTACTGACGATTCTGAGAGTCGTCGAGGCGCTGACGGTGATCCAAGTTGTAAGATTGCCCCACGAGACGAAGGACGCCGAGCCAAGATCATTCAATCTTGGGACGAGGCACTCACTTCCTTGGACAAGGAGTTCGACTTTACCGACGAGTTTTTCAAGAGAGAGTTTCAGCATGTAAAAGCTTGAGAGTGAGGTTTTGGGGAATGGCGATAGTTCTAGTACTTATGACCGCGACATGGCCTATGTCAGGTGAATGTAGTTGTTGAAAGCGCATGGTTTAAGCTAAGGCCCTTCTTTATCTCTGCCCAGTACTATATTGCTCTTGGGTAGAGAAAGTGTGGATAATGATCCGCGATAAAGACTTGAACCATATTTCCCTACTCGCCCTGCTCAAGAGATTGGGGGGAATGCCATACGGTTCCGAATTCTTCCAATCTCGGTGATTTCCACCTCAACCACGTCGCCATCCTTGAGCCAGGCCGGTGGCTTGTGGAAGGCTGCGACTCCGCTCGGAGTTCCAGTCATCACTACCGTTCCCGGGCGTATGGTCCTGCCTCGGGTCAAGTGTCTGACAATAGACGGAATGTCGAAAATGAGGTCGTCCGTCTGGGTAAGCTGTCGCTGCTCCCCGTTGACGGTGGTCTTTAAAGTAAGCTTGGAAGGATCTGGGACATACGAGGTGGATGCTAGTATCGGTCCGATTACTGTGAATTTATCGAAGGCTTTTGCGTAGCCGTGTTGGCCTCCTGAACGCGTAGGGTCCTGCCAATATCGTGAAGACACATCGTTGCCAACCGTGTATCCCAGTAAATAGTCGAAGACGTTGTCAGATTCGGTCAGATTCGTAGCCTGTTTGCCAAAAACAATCGTCAACTCGCCCTGCACCATGAAATCATATCAGTGAATTTATTCCGCAGCGAACCCGATTGGCACTTGCCTCGTAATCCATGAAGTCTGCCTCCTTGTGTACGGGCACGTCCTCGTATGGTCCCGATACTGCCTCTACGCACAGCTTCAGCGATTTAAGTCGCCACTCTGCAGACATAGCTCACCTGCTCCACCTCCCTTGAAAAAGATCAACGGATAAGGGGGTTACTCGACCTGATGCGGCAATGAGCGCGGGTTTACGCATTACAAGCCGTGTGAACATACCTTGGCTTCTTCAGCGTGCTTGCGATAATTGAGACCAATCCCATAGATAAAAGGTGGTGCTTCGATCGGACTCAACACTTTGGCAATCTTGGCTGTGTCTGTACTGAGACTGAAGCTTTGCTCCCATGGTAGTCCACCCGTGTACACAGGCACAGAGACGCCCACTAGGTCGTCAGCCCAGTTGTGGCTTTCAGGGACTTCCCCGTAGTTGGCTCGCCCTACATGATCCTCGAACCTCACAAGACGTTTGAAGATAGAGTCTGCCATTTCTGCTGGAGGTTGCGTGTTCCTGACTGCAGGCGGCGCCGCTGCTCGATACTTGACGGAGGAGGTTCTCTAATTTCCGTTTGACCATGCGGGAGACGGCTTACACAGTCCAAGGCAGTGGCATACCTCGTATTCCAGTTCAGTGAGCTCCGAGATAGAGTTCCTGTACCTACGGAGCTCGCTTGTCTCAGGCATAGGAATCATCTGTCTTGTCGGAGTTCGGACTGCCGTGTCAGCCGAACCGATTTCCACCGAGACCACCCTCTCCGGACGGAAACTAGGATTTTCTCCCTACCAGGGCCACAAGAAACTTCGTTGTGGGCAGGGTTCGTATACCTGGACTGTTGCATTATTCCCCCGATCCAAGCCAGGTGCTGATTTCGGTCTCGCTGCTCTTCACCAACCACCAACACCAATGGCATCGACAGGACCTTTTGAGACGAAATGGCCAGCTGACATACCAGCTCCAGCAGGCGTCAAGCAGTGGATAGATGACTTCTATCACCTCGCTGACGACCAAGCCGCCGACGCGGGTCACCGGCTGGCGGAACTGTTTACGCCCGACGCGACACAATTCGGTCTGGCTGGGCCTTTGAAGGGAAGGGAAGGTAAAGACACACTTCTCCAAAAACCATGGTCCTGTCACTAAGCTCAGCTGCCAAATATATAGCTATTGCCGCTAATCGCCCGAAGGCGTGGATCACGCAGAAAGAACGCAGGCATGATCCCCTCGAGGTGTACACCTCCAAAGCAGACTACAGTGAGATTGTTGTCCTCGGGCGGATCAAGTCATGGTTCAAAAATGGGGAAGTGGTAGAGGCGGATTTCGTCGCCGGCATTACCTTTACAGGCGATACTTCGCAGAAACCACTCTGTTCGCTGTACCGCGTATGGGGGGTGAGTGGCTTCTTGCAACTGACCTTGTTTCACGTCTCATGCTAATTTGCGTAGGATAGCGCACCGTGGGTGAAAGCGATGAGCAAACAGCGTTGACAAGAGGCATACAAAGCTGGAATTATATATGCAGAGATAGGGTAGTGCTTCAAAAATTGACATGCAAAATATTCGAGAAGCTAAGTTGTCCGCCGATAGCTGCACAGTTTGACAGTGTACTTAGGTGGTTGAGCCAAACCCAATGAGCACACCCTACCGAGTGTTAGTAGAGTTTATGCACCAACTGAGGCAATCAGGAGACATACTGCTCTAATCAGAGTTTCAATTGTCTTCGTTTGACTCGCTATGATATACCCGATGAATCGACAGTGGCGAGGATGATCTTGACAACTGTGAAAGAGACAGTCTGATCCACGATCATGGAGAGAATGATCCACATTATGTCAGAACTCCTGCATTTGTATCCTTGTCAGAGATATAAGATGCATGGGACTTGGGTGGTAAAAGTCACGTATCTAAGGACGGGAAGGGCTGGAGGCTGACGAAGGAAAAGCTATATGAGAAGTCCGTGATAGGAGGTATCCTACTCCAAGCGTATAAAGCCGCCTATTAATCGGGTTACTTTAAACCTTATAGGTGGACTTGTGCTCCATAAACCGAAACACCCAATTCAACGCCCGGCAGAACTTCGGATTAACCTCGATCAGACCGCCCGCAAACTGTTCAGGTGACAGCCTTACTAACCTGATGTAGGGGCGGAGTAGTCAACTGCGCTCGACTGACCAAGTGGAAAGCCTGAGACAGCTTCAAATTTTGTCAACGTAAAGGCAAGTCTTCTCCTCTAACTAATAAGACTTGGATAGCCATCTGAACGCCCTGGAGAATGGCAGATATCAAAAGGTATCCGTCGGTCAAGCGACTCGGTGCTTCTGTACTCTATCAGCCCACCGGACAAGAGCCAGTCGTCAAGCAATTCCCTCCAAATATATCACTGGTTCGTTGAGATTGACTTTGAAGTATCGTCTTCGTCCACGGTCTGCGCGGACATCCTTGCTGCACTTGGCAGACCCAATCATCTACTCCCAATTCTCAACACGAGGTTAAACGTCGAGGCTTCCTATCACGTATCAGACGTGGGAATACCGCGTCTGTCACTATTCCTCCATCAGCAAATACTTTAAACGAAGGTGGTGAAGACGGCGAAGCAGATATTCATGCCACAGGCAGTGCCACATTCTGGCCAGCTGACCTACTGCCGGCTCGAATTCCTGAGGCAAGAATTATCACATAAAAGCACTGAATGAAGTGCAATTATCCGGAGAGAGCTTCTGTCCCATCACGGTCTCCTTCTTCTGCTCCGACCGATGGCATCAGACCAGACAAACGCAGGTTATTTTATGCTCACTCATTCACCAGATCCTCTTTGCTTATCCCGACTTTGTTGCACCTCTCAACAAGAAATTTCAAGTCATAGACAGAAATGTGATCGGTTCCATTTCGATGCTTTGGACGATATTGACCTTGATAACCTCGTACATGCGGCAGCGATCATTGGTATTCCTAATAGATGCCTTGGACGAACTGAGAAAGGAATGCTGGAGAGGAGTGTTGAATGGGCTTCACAAATTATTGAGCCGCAATAAACAAGATGTCAAGCTCTTCATAACGAGTCGAACCGAGCCTGAAATTGAGAGATCCTTGAGTCATCGCATGCAGGAAGCTTCTCACTTGACAGCTCAGAAAACAACAAAACCGATCTTACGAGATTCCTGTCAGAAACGGTTAGGAAATATGCTTCCGAGAACTGGTTTAATCCGGATGCCACCAACACGATCCTCTCTGAGCTTACGAATTGCTCAGAGGGTATGTTTCTCTGGGTGACACTAGCATGGGCGCATTTCATAGATGGCGGTGGACTCTGGACGGATAAGATGGTCCCCCAAAAAATCGCCGAGCTGCAACAGCTTCCTCCCGGACTGGACCTTTTATATCACTGTCTACTATCCGCTATCAATGGGCAGGTCCGTGAGACGCTACTCCAAGTACTAGGCTGGATTGTGAGCGCCCGGAGACCTTTGTTAGTCGCAGAGATTTCTGCGGCCATGACTTTGGAAGATCACCCAAAGACGCGCAAAGAGATTGATGGAATTCTGCCGAAATCGATACCATCATTCTTGAAGCATAATTGCCCTCATCATCAAGGTGCACCGGAAATACCTCTGCCCCGCCACTTTAGATCACTATGATTTACCATGGGAGTATTTTGAAGTAAGCAATTAACCGCTGTCCCCTGTCCCTAGCTAATCTAACAGAGACATCTTTCTGGGGTTTCTCCAAAATTGTTTGTATCAACATTCCACTAACGGTAGTAATTTAGGATGGCACATATATCATTATCAAGAGATACGTCGACGAAACCCTCCAGGATACCCTCTTCGAGCATACTCGTGAGCTAAAGAAGCAAGAGAAACTTGTCCAGGCTTCTTCGCAAAAGCCCTTCTTTAAGGTGTCGAATGATTATCTCTGTCCCATTACTCTAGATCACTATGAGCTACCATGGAATTACGACGAAGTAAGCATTAAACAGCCGTCAACCCCTTTTAATCAACGTCTTCCCACTAAAACGCCTCGGGGATCATTTGTTTTCGCCCTTTCTCAGTACCAGGCTAACTATCTCATAATAGGACAATACCTATTTCCTTATCAAGGAATGTTTGGAGGAAGATGAATTGGGGGAGTTGTTTGACCATACCGATAGGATACGACACATCTATGAGATGAACAAGAGAGTTTGAGAGCAAGTTGCACCGCGCAACCCAGGCAGCCTTCTTCCATTGTTCGAAACCCGCAAGAATAATATTGCGTGTTAATTGCAGGGCCCCCACATAATGACAGGACGCAGGCGTGACGTGACACCTTAATCTTCCATCGAGTGTTCCAGCACCACACTTTCACAGAATGGCGCCTTTCGGTCAGATATCAAAAATCACAAGCAAAGAGGACCACTTTGACCTGGATGCTGCTAGCGAAGCTGTTGAAAATGGTCTGTCCATTGCGCATCTTTTGAAGGGCCATAAACTCTCACCAGGCGAGTCAAAATGGTTAGCCCTTGTTGCGATCGAGACCCAATCTCTCCCGACACTGCAGATATTGCTCGATAATGGCTGGGACATCAATGAACCGGAAGGCTACTTCGAACCACCGCTCTTAGGGTAAGCACGTACCGATCAGTCATATATCTCCTTAAGTTGAAGTATCTAGGCGTGCGGTTCGATCGGATTCTAATGAAGAGGTTGTTCGCTGGTTTCTTGATCATGGTGCAGACCCCAACGCCTATGCGGGAAAATACAAGCTCACACCACTCTCTCGTGCCATTCAATTCGCGCCTGTCAATATCATTCAGCTACTCCCCGATCGCGGAGGATCTGCAGAAAAGGGTGGAGTGATCAGCTTTATCTGCAAAAGGCCAGAAGATTCAAATACTCTATACTTGTTGAGACTACTTCACGAGATGGGAGCTAGCATCAGCAATGCCCTCTTCGACACAGACCCCAACCTTAGCGACGTCACTAAATTCGAAGGGACACCTATGCGGATTTCTTGTACTACGGGAAACACCACGGCAGTCCGATATCTAGTTGAGCATGGTGCCAGCCCGTTTGAGAAACCATTTTTTGCTCAGTGCTTGCTGCTGGATGCAGCCAGGAAATATGGACACTGGGAGATTGCCAAGATATTGTCTAATGTCTCTAAATAATCAATTGAGAGGCTTCAAAATGGAAAGACAACGAGCTAGATTGGGTCCCTAAGGGAAGGTACAGAATATATGTGAAATGTGACCTGATCTCAGAACAAAAGGGGGCTGGCCTTGAACCTAATTTTTTCCATCGGATTTCACTAGAGCCATACTTCAGAGGCTTCCAATTCAGCAGCTGTCGGACGATCTGAAGGTGTCCAAGCGAGCATACTCTCCAGTAACCTAGACAACACTCCGGGACGCTGATGTAGCTTTTGCTTGATATTCTCCCACTCATCCGGTCCCACACCATTCTTCCAGCTGCATCCCTCCTGGAAGAAAAGCCGGTATGCTGTAAGGCCCATCCCCCATAAGTCCACCATGCTGTCGTACTTGGAGCCTATACTCGTTCCAGCTTTGATTGCGAGAACCTCTGGGGCCAAATACGCAATCGTTCCCACGCTGTGATCCGCCGATGTTGCATTGAGAGTTGCGCAACCGTAGTCGATAATGATAGCGTGGGGCGGATCATATGCGAACATCATGAGATTGGTCGGCTTGAGGTCTCGATGCATGATGCCATCTTCATGAAGGTGAGCGAGGCCACGGAGGACCTGCTGCATGGCATTTTGACGGATGCGGTAAGACTTCGCCGACATGGTGAGCTCAATGAAGGATTCCAACGCAAGTGGGGACATGAACAGATACACATCACCAAGTTTTCCATCCCCTATGCATGTCGCTTCCCCACCAGAATACTCTTCAGCGATCAAGTTGCAGAGATTTGGCTACCATAGTCAGTCTAGGCGCCTCTTCGGCGACCAGTAAGGACTTACATACGACCCGACCCGCTTGGAGATCTCTATCTCTAGCCGGATACGCTCAAGGTTTCCACATGTTCTTTGTAAGCGTTTAACGGCCACAGGACTACCAGTCTCGCAATTTATGCCACCGAGGACAACACCATGACCGCCGCTACTTAGAGGCTCTTGTATCACAAATCCATGGAGTTTAAAGTGATAAGGTTGTGGGGTGGGCTCAAGGGAAGGGTGTATTTGCCGGCCATGCCACTCGGACATCAAAGTGTTCACCTGAGTTCGATATATGCCCAGCTGAGTGAATTCCAGACAGAATGTGAGGTTTCCGATCGTGATACTAGTGCGAGGCAAGTAGATAATCCTTTGACCATTTTCAAGCTTCTCGTCGCCATTGATATATATCGGCTCTTTTGCAGGGACAGTAACTGCCAGCAGGCCATCGTTGGTATGAAAAACCCGGCCGTGTCTCCCCAGAATGCGGTCCTGTTTCCGGTCGACAGTGAGTAGAAAGTCAATATGTCCGTCGGGCAGATCTCTTCTACCGCTTCCCCAGACCCAACCCAGTCGAGGTACTTTGGGCAACTTCGTCATGCTGAAGATATAATGACCGGACAAAATGGAAGGGTCGCGCGATCTGACCTCGTCATCAGCTTCACTATCTTCAAAGGAGGTGAGTTCTTTCGCTGTCTCATCGATATGAATGAATTGCCTTGCGTGCTTTTGCCAGTCGGGATCAAGTCGTATACGCTGAGCAATTTTGCTAAATGCGAGTCGCGCAGGACGATTTACGGGTATCAGACGAGCAAAATCGCCCTCAAGTCGTGCAGACGTTCTTGGAGAACACGGTTCCTCGAGAACTACCGTATCTGGCGTGCCAGGTGGTTCTTGTTCTGCCTGGTCAGTTGGCATGATGGGAGCGTCCCAGTGCTGCGTGAATTGATAACGCGCTATTTTTGAGATCGAGAATGCATACTTGTCTCGAGGTAAAGTATGCTGGGACTGTGGCGGGGTCCCCAGAGTGGGCTACCCCACTCGCCCACAATTAGGGAATATTGTTCTTGCGAGCTCCGAGAAGTCGCGGCAACTCACGTGGTGACGCGAGGTAATGGCGTTACACCTGCACTTCAAAAGTTCCAGTTACTCATGTCTAACAAAGTCAACGAGGCACTGAGCCCACCGCTGAGACCGATCCCCAATCCCACCGAAATGCTCGTCATCTATATCGATGACTCTGGTCAATGAAAACCTTTTTTCCCTACCTCCGTGACCAGTCCTCTCGTATGGTAGCCAATATTTCCCGTCGATGCACAAACAACTGTGCAAGCGACTTCGAGCCGTGGCCAGAAATGGTGAACCCCCAAAGTACCAAGAGCGCGATTGGTTCGCCCTCTATGTCGAAGCCTGCTATATGTTTTCCGCCGAAGAGTATACCGGCGGAGATGACTTGACACCAACACCTCCGTCTAGCGACGAACCTTCCACACCTCGAGACGACGTCGAAGCCTCCCGTGGAGTTCCGCTACAGTCCCTTGGTGCGCCAGAGGTCGGAAAGCTTGGATCAGCTGATGACGGTTCAAAAAAGAATATCGACCCCAAAATAAGAAGAACATGCCAGATGCGGCTTCGTTCATCGCCCATGGGTGACGTGGGTTTAGTTGAGCTCGACGACTGGGGTCAAAAACGAAAACAGAAGCCGAGAGGGCCGCGCGGGCTCAGTCGATCCGCACACCCCATCGGTAAAAAGAGCAAGACATGACCAGGTCACTTCGTACGGAAAATATGGCAAGGTTCACCACCCTTGACAGGTATCCACTTCAAGCGGTATCGAACCGGATGGCGTACTGCAACTTGTGTATCACCGTTCAGTCGCCTCGGCGACAACAGTGCCAGACGCCTTATTACCTATGGCCACAATTTCGGGCTGTAAGATGGGGATCATGGATGTCATCTATGACCAAAGACGCTGAAGTGGTGAGAGAGTGTCTACTCAAGCTCGATCGATGCCGTTCATAATAAGAGTGGTACGGTCAGTCGGGGCTGGAGGGCGCAGCTTCATCACTCCTACTACGCACCTGGAAAGACGTCTTTCCTTCGTGGAAATCGCCTCCTTTACCGCCTGTTCACCTCCCGCTCGATCCCCGAATCCGCCCCACGATGTCCTGTATCCAACTTAGTGTTTCTACTATTATCGACCAGATCAACACTATATGAGACCAAAGGAATCAATGGCGTTGCACTACGAGTTTCCTGAAGGGGCAGATATAACGGCTCTTACCCATGGGAAAGGTGTCCGACCCTCTGACGCAGTTCACGAACTCGTTCGGCGGAGAGAAATGTGCAAGATTGCTGTGCGAGGGCATGAGGAGATGAAACGTCACCGCCTTGAGGAAGGAGTGCGTCAGGCTGCGTTTACAGTGACCGCACTGCACTGGAGGTATCTTCAACGGTTCCGTTAGACATCACCACGGGGAGAATGGTTTTGGCAGGGGGTCCCCCAGCATCTTCCCCTGCTTCAAGATATTGCTGCCCTGCAGATACCATGTCTAGCCGATGACCAGCCTGCTCCAGCTGAGTCAAGGAACAGAAGGTCTTGGGTATCACAAGCCCCAATCACTCGAGTCTCCTTCTAGAGTAGCTGCTTGTTTAATCCATTACTATACTCGCAATACCATAAGTGGGCGGAATACTTCGTATACATCGTTATCGAGTCACTGCTGTAGAGGGTCTCTAGAGTTCAGATGGGCTTTCTGTACTGCCATTCTTGGACCGTATCTCTAGTTTTTTTGGCTTCCGCCTTGGTTTCGACTCTTCCTGGATGCTTTGTGTCAGGTTGACTTCTGTCTGGGGTTGTTCGTCGGGTTTAGTGGGCCTCTTCGACCTAATTTCCAGCTTTGGCGGCTTTCTTCGTGGTCTCTCGTCCCTTCTCTCCTTGTCCTCCGGCGTGTCTGTCTCCGATGCTGCTGCGATTGCTTTCTGCTCAACCTCGGAGTTGTTTTGTTGGCTGACCTCCTGTTCTAAGGCCTCGGCCACCTTTTCGGGATCAGCGTCCTCAAACTTCTCCTCTTTCCCACCCAGCTTTACCCACGGTCCATGGATAGCACCGACGCCGGTTCCGATCAACATACCCAATCCCGTTGTTGGAACTGCTGCAATAGCACCCAACACCGTTCCCACTCCGGCACCGAGGCCCAATCCAGTAGCGGCACCAATTCCTCCTCCAAATCCAAAACCCTGCCAGGTGCCACTTTGCAGTCGTCTCGCCATCTTGCTATGCCCGTGGGCTTCCACCTCCTTGTCAAAGGCCTCCTTCAACAACTTCTCCCGTTGCTTTGAGTCGGTAAGTGCCATGGCTCTAGATTTCAAGTCATTGGCCTTGGATTGAGCTTTTTGGGCCTTTTGAAGACTCTCAATCGTTTTGACCATTTCTTCTCTACTTGGCATTTTGTCGCTGCCATTATTGGGCGTATCATTGTCGACACCGTTCTCATTCGTGCCTCCTCCAAGTATAGATTTCATTACATCCATTATCAATTGTGGAGGCTCTGGCCTTGAAAAATTGTAGCCTGAGTTGCTCGGTTCGGGCCGGTGATTAGGACATATCCTGCGAAGCTGTCGTAGGCTGCTCGGGCCCTTTGGAGGAAGAAGTGCTGGTGAGCGACATATAAGAGAAAAACTTGGTAAAAGGGTTGGTTGTTATACGAAACGAGATTCCGACGTCATCGCTTCATCCCTGAAGCCACGGTCGAATCAACACTTAAATGCCAAGCATCTACGTCAGCGGTGCCTTGTTGCGCATGAAGACTTGTGGCGACCAATTTGGAAGACATATTCTTTCCTTCGTGAAGTTCTCTTCACTTTCCAATATATTTACAAGCAGCAAGACTTTGGCAAAGACGGGTTAAGTCTTCATTATTTTCCATGTAGAATGATGAGAAAGGACAATCGGCGGAGATCCCTCCATGAAACCACACTGGCAGCGGCGAAGTCATGCAATCTCACGGCCTCCGTCCCTGCTAATTGTCAATGAAGTATGCATTCGCCTCAGTATTCCGCAAAGTTACACGCCTTTCCGCGCGCTGCAGTAGTTGGGCTGGTGCAATAATGCCACCGGGATTGGGACACTTCGTCACGGAGGAATTAGTCCGTGCTCGGAGAAACCACCATGGGGTGAGTATAGCGGTTATTCGACTTAAACTGCAGCCCCTGTGTCAATCAGTCGAGAGCAGCAACGCAACTGGACCGTACCATTGCAGGGGAGACCCACCTTAGATGAGAGTATCTTTGGACTTTGTATGGATGAACACTTGATGACGAGCACTTCTTCCGCAAAGTGAGCGCACATTGTGATAGCCTCCAGCACGAATAAACAACTACTCATTACTAACAGGACCCTGCCCATTCGTGGGCTTCTTGTTGCCGTCTGTTTCCAAATGCCGTGAAAGTTGTAGGTCATTTTGCAAAGTGTTTTGCACCGGGAGTTGTGACTCGACCATCCGTTTTCGCAACGTGGCTAAGAATCGTGATTCGGTCCCTCCTACGTCAACGAGCACTTTCTCCAGGAGATGCAGCGCCTGCCTTGAGTCCATCAAAAGGCCTCGCGTTCCAGGTGAAGAAGGGGCGCAAAGGAGGACGTCCAACAGGGAGTCGGCGATGCGAAATACCTTGAGCTCCTGCAAGACGTTATGTTCTGAATCCAGAAAGGCTGTGAATGCCACTAACCATGCCATATCCATGAGGCTGGATGGATTTCCACGACACATTTTCAAGAACGGAGAGCATGTCGCGTGCAATCTTCGTTGGGAGCAACGCTGAGAATGCCTGATCTCGGGCGTGACAAGACACCGCAAAATGGGCAATTGTGTACTGCCAAAGCAGTATTCGAATCCAATTCCGGGTAGCCAGTATATCCACCCCTTGCGACTCGTTCAGGCCTTCACTAAGCGGATGACAGCTGAGATCACGCTGCAGGGTCGATATTCTGTCTTTCGCACTAAGATTACATGCAAGACTTGTCGACAAAGGGACAGATTCGAGGATATCGCCATCAAGGAAGGTGAAGAGTTGAATCAAGCCTATGAATGCCGGCATGGGGACGGCGTTATATCCTTCTGTTGGATCAGCGCTCGGAAACTCGTGGATTGGCTTTAATGTGGTTGGAAGGCCATTCTGGACACAATATGTTCTACGTCCTAGGTCAGCCCTGGAGGGCGTTCAAGTACTTTGAACTCACCTTTCGGAGATAAACAAGGTCCAGTATACTCGCAATCTTAATTGACGCTCTCTTGGGTCTATGCCGGCGTAACTGTCAAGCTGATGCAATCCGAGGCCATGGGCGTAGGTGAGGGTCTCTCGCAGGTAGAAACCGGCGGTGCGGAGTTTGTCTGCATTTGCATAATAGATATGGAGGAAAAATGAGGTCAGAAGTGACGACATAGAATATTGTTCTCGATACTCGAAAAAATGTCTCAGTCTCTGGGCTTCTGCCACCAATTCCGAGGAAGAGGAACTGAAGGATGCCACATGCTCGGGAAGCCGGAGTTGAGCAATGACAGCTGCACACAGCGCTGCAGCGAGAGAGAACGACTCATGGTCTTCATGATTGTTCCTTAGAGCGGTGATGAGTTCATCATGCGAGACGATGGGCCACACGGAGTATAGGCGCAGGCGGAAAACCTCTAAAAATCGCTCGTAAACATGCATAGGGATGTTAGACTGCGCTTTGGGTGAAAGACCGTGGTCGACTGCGGCCTCCAGCGCCGATTCTTCAGGCGGAGTAGGAAGTGATTGTTGATCGCTGGTTGCTTTCAGCATTCTTTGGAATTGCTCGATTTTCATGTTGGTGCCCGGTCTTGGACCTTTGGGGCCTCTTTTCCGACGTACCCGGAGAAACGTGCATGGTAGAGATCGATGATTGCATTCAAAACAGGGTGATCCTCCAGAGCATCGCACACGCCGCAGCGCACAACCGTCGCAAGGGTTTCCAGTCCGCATCCCTCCAGATGTCATAGAGGGTCTGAGATCCGGACGTGGGATTCTGAAAGCTCTGTCAGTGCTGACGTCCTAGTTAAGTTTGGAATTCGTCAGTGAATGTTCTGTCGTCAATTCGGGGCTTAATATCACGTTGTATTTGCCAAATCGGTCTTAGTACAGAAGCACTTCACGTGGTTTTGGGGCCGGCAGCAAGCTTCCAGAATCGACAGAATGGAGGGTTAACCTGTAGATGCTGGTTGAAGAAGACTATCTTGAATGACATTGGATTAGTCACTTTGAGCGGAGAAAAGAGAATGATCGGATGGAGTTTCCTCAAACAACTACGTGGGATGCATGTAGGGTGTAACACCACCACCAGCAAAGGTGAGAGCCCTGTCGGGTGTTCCATAGGCTGAGATAAAGGCAACTCGGCAATGAGTGTTCCTACTAATCCCTGGTGTGGTTGTATTGGACCTCGTCAATCATAAAAGGCCTATTCCGTGAGTAGCGTGACAACTCATTCTATAAAACTGTACCAAGTTGTGGGAGAAAATTCAAGCAATGATAGACATGGATAGTCGTCCAGCAGTACAGAGTTTTGCCTAAGAACTCGTCCGTAACCTGTGTTGTTAACATTGGCGCAAGAATGTTCATTCGTTCGCTGCCACGACTTTCATTGTAAAGATCAAGATGGGACGATGGATATTCAGAAAGAATAGGTCTTTGCAAGACGTTCAGTTAGAAATTAAGGCACTGACATTGAGAATGGCCGCAGCTCCAACGCGATTAGGTTTCTTTCAAGATGTTACTACTGAGGTGACTGGCAGTACAAGTTAGGTGTGCAGGGAGGAAATATTCGAGAAGGAACTTTTCCGAGCACTCTGTCCCGAGCACTCGGTACCTCGTAGTCGTTGAGAAATTGGTGGTGGGGAAGTGGCATCATCTTTGGTACGTGATTTGGCCAAGGTTCCGATCCCACAAATTGATTGGGACCACCCACCGAATATGGTACCGACGAAGTAGAGTAACAGCATCCATTGATGAGGGCAGGTTGTCGTCTGAGTAGCAAATATGATGATGGCATATCTTCAGCACTTCCCAATTTACCGACTGTCGAAAGGGGACAAACAAGAGGGCGAGCCATGATTGTTTCGTTTGTTATTCTTAGCTAATTGAAAACCAGGTAGCTGAGGCAAGCCAGGCCAGGCCAGGCACGCCAGGTCAAAGGACAATGTTCGAGGTACTCGGTAGTCGATGCCTGGGGCGCAGGTCAGCCCTGGTAAATTGGAAGGGATCCTTATGGCTTAGGGGCTGAAGGGCTGCATTTGCCGAAAGCCAAATCCACCAAGCAAATGAAGCCGCATCTTGTTTCCCAGAGACGAATACGAGCTTCTTGCCCCTAGAACCTCCCCAGATTCCGAGCTTGAGAATTGTCACCCGTCGAGAGATTCCAACGAGTGTCGTAAAAGAATGACAGAAGGGATTATTGCCGCTTGGTGTTACTCGTTATTTGGGGTTGTTGATACATGAGAGAATTGGGGGAGGGTGATATTGGCTTTTATCAAGCGAATCTGAGAGGATTCGCCCCAAAGGTCATAATTGGATGCTGGTGCGAGTCAGCATTCAGACTTAAGACGAAGTTTCAGAGGAGAAGGGTTGGAGTAATTGTTTTGCCGTAGCCAAAGCATCAACCACGGCCCATGGACCACGATGGTCTCTACATCACCCCGACAATAAGCTTATAGAAAAAAGGTTGAAAGAAGCCTTGACGTGTTATGTACGTGCCCGAGTGTTCCACATGGACATCGACGTGCAACGAGATTGGAGGCACGCGGTACATGTACCGAGTAGTAGATGGTTGCAAATTCCGAAAGGGGGCAGGATCTACCAACCCAAGGTCGCACCTTCCCGACTGCACATGCAGCACTGCGGCTGACGTTTGAGGCACGTGTTCCTCCTTCATGCACCTCCTCATCTCATCTTCCTGCGCCTCTTCGTATAGCTGTAACTGCTTGTAGGCGTTGTTCAGACCACATATCCGACCACCCCCCATCATCCATCCTTTCGGGCCTCCAGGAGCCAGACTCACTTTCAATTTCTCCGTTGTGATCCTCCTGAATCCTGACCTCAGCATCCCATCAAGCTCTGGTGCCTCCCCTGTTTCGCATTCAGGCTTCCATCTCTTCAAAGCTCCAGCGTCTCCACCCCCCGAGAAATGGCGCCCTCAAGCAATTGGTGGGCGCCGAACCTTGTCATCAAGCTCAAAGATTAAACACAGCTTGCAATTTCCACCGGCGCAAACATTGGCGAATTCTCGACGCTCACGCGATCCACTTCCGACGCGCCCTGTCCCCTTTCGGCTCTAAACTACCCCTGACACCAAGCTTTTCTCGACAACCACCGTCCATCGTCTCCTCCAAGCGTGACCCTATTGCCAGCAACGGCGTCGAACGGCTTGCAACGTTCGCGATCCTAACCGTTTGGCGTGATGTGGCTGATACTCGAACCCCGTGTCCAAAGATTGGCATTTCGCTTCAAGGCCCATCGTTGCAAGATGACCAGCCGATCCTCATCGCTTGTGGCCAGCGCCTTGTACCAACAGAAGTCCACCGCCCTATCCACTATACTAAACTGAGACAGTTCTGCCCCAGCTCAACGATGCCTGATGGCATGCGAGGCAATCATCCCGCTGGCGGAAACCCACAACCCACGGCTTCGCGGCAGGCCGATCAGGCTGTCCAATCTTGAAGGGAAGGTCCAAAAAAGAAGCCCCCAACGGTGAAAGCTAAAGTGATATACAACCCCTACTCGCGCCTCTGTTTTGCTTCTCTTCTTTTCCTTCCCGTACGCATCATATTCCTTCAAGTCACTCCTTTGTGCAGGCAACTCTGCCTGCGTCCATTCGTTCTATAATGCGTTCTTTTCCTCTTTTGCTCACCGCTGCTGCGGCTGGTCTCGCGCGTGCTTCCAACTGGGAGTCCGATGTCACCGTCACAGCCACCTCTACTCGAACTCACACCGTCTGCCCGGTAACGCAGGTCCTCACATGCGACGCTTCGGGTCCTACGGATGTTGGCGCAGGAAATGGCTGGCACCCCGGCCAAGGGAACAACGGTGCTGAGGATTACTGGGCCTCACTCTGGAATGAACAGAAGTCCAAATATGGGATCGGAAATGGCGGGAACACGGCCACCGCAACTGGCGCACATCCTGACAATGGCTTCGGACACGGTCATGGCGGCCATGGCGGCCACGGTTCGACGCCATCTACGACAGCCGGCGGCTCAGGCCCAACAGACACCGGCGGCAATGGCGGAAACGGTGGCAACGGTGGCAACGGTGGCAATGGTTCAGGACCAAGCAGCAGCTACAGCTACACCTCGCCCACCACCAGCGGCGGTTCAGGCCCAACCTCATCTTCAACTGCCACGACCTCAGGCTCCGGTACTTGTGCCACTTACACGCCTGTTAAGAATGCCACAGACGATTACTGCAACTCCGCCTCTGATCGCTCCGTTTGGTGCGACAACAAGGATATCAACAGTGATTACTATACTGACTACAAGACTGGTGTCACCCGCAAGTACACCTTGACGATTACCAACACCACTTTGGTCTTCGATGGCACGGGCCCCAAGCTCGCTCTCGCCATCAACGGTCAAGTCCCTGGCCCCGTGATCGAGGCTAACTGGGGTGACATGGTCGAGGTCACTGTGATCAACCAACTGCAAGACAACAGCACATCTATTCACTGGCATGGTATCCGCCAACTCAACACCAACGACCAGGACGGCGTTCCCGGTGTGACTGAGTGCGGTATTGCTGGAAACGGTGGCAGCCGCACGTACAAGTGGCATGCAAACTCGTATGGTACTTCATGGTACCACAGCCACACTTTCGCCCAGTATGGTGATGGTATCCGCGGTCCTATCGTCATCCACGGACCCGCCACTTCCGACTACGACTACGACATGGGGACAGTTATGATTGATGACACGTAAGTGAAACACCTGTGCTCACAGACTACAAGAGTCTGACTTTTTGGCAGTTTCCCTATTACCGCCGCTGCAATGGCATCGCGCATTGCTCACGTCGGACCTGGCGGTTCCTTCAACACCCTGTTCAACGGTATGAACAAGAACCCTGATGGAACTGCTCCTGGGGGAACTCCTTTCTCGTGGGGAGTGAAGCCTTGCAAGAAGCACTTGTTCCGCATCATCAACAGGTTTGTTTGGCCCTGCTCCCGCTTAATAACGTCTGCTAAAGTTGTTACAGCTCCGCACAAAACAGCTACATCGTTGGCTTCGACAACCACACAATGACTGTCATTGCTGCCGATTTCGTGCCCATTGTGCCCTACGAGACCACTACCCTCAACATCGCAACTGGCCAGAGATACGACGTTATTGTTCAGATGGACCAAGCACCCAGCAGCTACTATGTCCGCGCGGTTATTCAGACCGGCTGCCCGTCAGGTGGTGCCAACTCTGGTTTGGGAACAGCTAATGCCATCATCAACTACGAGGGTGCCACCCCTGTCACTCCCGTCATCTCGACATCCATCACCAACGTCACTGCCAACATTTGCCAGGACGAACCTCTTGCTTCCCTGGTGCCGTACCTGGAGAAGCCGGCTGGCACTGTTACTGCCTTCCAGGGCTCAGCGTCCACTATCCCTGCCGGCTCTGTTACCTCAGTCGCCACCAACGATGACGGAACTGTTTTCCAGTGGTACATTAACAACGCCGTCATCAACGTCAACTACAGCCAGCCTACTCTCCAGACCTTGGCTCAGGGTTCATCAAACAACAGCCTGGTTAGCAATCCTGTTGTTCTCAACCAAGCCAACCAGTGGGTCTACTTCGTTATCCAGAACCAGTTCTTCGCTTCTCATCCCATGCACGTCCACGGTCACGATATCTCGGTTCTCGGCACCGGTACTGGCACTTTCACCTCCGACCTGGTCAGCTCTCTCAACTTTGACAACCCGACGCGTCGTGACACTGTCATGTTACAAGGCTCTCCAGGCCCTGGTTTCCCAGCTGGTTACACTGTCATTGGCTTTGAGACCGACAACCCCGGCGCCTGGCTCATGCATTGCCACATTTCGTGGCACGTTGATGGCGGTCTTGCTCTTCAGTTCCTTGAACGACCTGACGACATTCCCGCCAAACAATATGTTAACCAAGCCTTTGAAGACGAATGTTCCGCTTTGAGTGCCTATGAGAACTCGAACCCTCAAGGTGCCAAATTGGCTGGTCAATCTGGCCTGAAGGCTCGTGGATACACTGACGAGTTGGATATCGAGGTCTTCCGCCCTGATGCCAAGATTGACATTCACAAGTACCGCAAGCGATACTCCCACCGCCACCTCCATTAAATGACCAAAATCCAAGTCGAACGCCATTTGCACGCAGCAGCAGCGGTGAAGTAAATAATGGGAGGATTCTGGTAATGCATACTCATGTACCCTAGCATAAGTTTTGTCTATCTTTCGTCATGTGCCAATTCTATTCATTATAGGAACTTGGAGCTTTTTTTTAAATGACGGTGATGAGTGGAGCTCGTTGCCGTCCTTTTTCAAAGTAAGATGTCCAGATCATCTCTCTATGGTGCATAATCTATACCCCAGTACCTCGTACGGCCTCTGAGCACAATGTATACTATGATCACATGACTTTGACACCAGATGTTACACCCTCTTCCCCAACTCCAGCGCCCCCAATAACCTTGGCATTTTTTCCATCCCCATTATTTAGTACCGCTCTCCACCTTGTTGAATGTATAGAATGTGGAGGCCCTCCACCCTTCATGGGGAAACTCCGCGTGTCCCACGAAGTCGTTCTTCGGATTCGAATGCTCTTGATCTTGATGACGGTGCACCAATGGGGGGTTGCATACAGGAGCGGACATGGGGTCGTCCACCTCGACCTTGAAACCACTCCAACTCTCCTGTTTTCAAGATGTTCTGTGCGACGTATATGGACTTCTCAATACCTCGCGGAGCGGCGGACCATCAAAAAGCTTGACGAGTGGGCTTGCAAAAGAGCATTGTGTGGCTTTCATAGGAAAGATGGCGGTCAAAATGCCCAGCACCCGTTTGCTGACCTCAGTGCGCCTCGAGAATGTCTCGCCTCTGAAGGCGGTACTGGCCACCTGTGTCGCATTCCCCTTGATATTCATCATCGGCTTCTACCTATGGGTCACTCCGAGTACACTGAAGGATTCGAGACGGAAACACCTTCCCCCCGGTCCTCGCGGTTTGCCCTTTCTGGGAAATTTCTTTGAAATGTCAAAGGCTGAAACGTTTCGATTTCAGGCGCAGAAGTGGGCCAAAGAGTATGGGGAGATCTTCTACACTAAGATGGGAGGAGCTGATTACATCTATTTGTCATCTCCTACGGCGGTGAAAGAATTGATGGACAAGAAGTCTGGCATATACTCATCCCGACCACCAGCACCGCTTGCTAGCGACGTGGCTTCCGCAGGTCGACGACAATTGTTTATGCCATACGGGCCCAAGTACCGCGTTGTACGGAAGATCGCCCATCAGCTCCTTAATATAACTGTTTCAACCAGCTATCAACCTATTCAAGACCTTGAATCCAAGCAATTGATGTACGATCTGCTCCACGACCCGGAACACTTTTATGACCACAACCGACGCTATTCATCGAGTGTGATCCTAACAGTGGCATATGGACATCGGATGGCCGATTGGGACAACCCATTGGTCAAGAAGATCTACAGTGTGGTCAACAACCTACAACAATTTTCCGCACCGGGTGCTTTCCTCGTGGACACGTGGCCTTCGCTGCGATATTTCCCCCAGTGGATGTTTGGTAACTGGAGGAAGTTTGGCGAGAAATGCTTTGCACATGACTCCGTTGTCTACCTCAATCTTTGGGGAGACTTAAAGAAAGAGGTCGACGAAGGCAAGGCTAACCCATGCTTTGCGAAAGATTTCTACCTCAGCAACCCGGAGAAACTTGGTTTAGATCAGCTTCAAGCAGCATATCAAACCGGTGGCCTGGTCGAAGCTGGCTCTGAAACAACGTCTGCGTTCCTCAACTCTTGGATTTTAGCAATGACCCTGCATCCTCATATAATGAAAAAGGCTCAGGAAGAGGTCGATCGAGTGGTTGGAGGAGACAGGCTGCCCACGTGGGAAGATGAGGCAAATCTACCTTATCTCAGAGCCATGATTAAAGAATTACTTCGTACTCGCCCGCCCAATAAATTCGGTATCCAGCACTATACGACTGAGGATGACTGGTACAACGGCTATTTCATCCCCAAGGAGACAGTGGTTGTCTTGAACTGGTGGTAAGTGTCTCTTGCATCTAGCATCATAACGTCTTTCTGACATGCGCACAGGGCAATAAACTATGATCCAGCTCACTGGGACAAGCCCGACGAGTTTATGCCAGAACGCTTTCTCGGCTACGATCTCCCAGCCGCTTCCTACATCAACATTGGAGACCCCAACCAGCGCGACCATTTCTCGTACGGAGCAGGAAGGCGAGTCTGTCCCGGTGTGCATGTGGCGGAGAAGTCGCTGTTCTTAAACATTGCTCGTGTCCTGTGGGCCTTTAACATCTCCAAGAAAATCGCAAAAGATGGAAGTGTGATTGAGCCAAACACTGCAATGGTTCCAGGCTGGATGACAATCCCCCAACCATTTGAATGTGATATTACGGTGAGGTCGGAGAAGAAAGCGGCATTGATCAATAAGATTTGGGCCGAGACCAAGAAGACCCTGGATGAGAAATAGGTCGCTGGTTCTTGGGATGGCTGGTTTTGAAGGCCGTTAAAGCATGCCATATTTCAAGTCGCCAAGGATGCATCCAGTATTTTATTTATTGCTAGATTGAAATTGAACGGTCCAAAAGTCTCCTCTTGCAGTCGTGCGCAGTATTGCCATTATAGTGGACATTTCTTTGAAGGTCTGAGTCTCACCAGTTGCATCGACAATGTTGCAGAGGGTGCTGTTGAACAGTTGGGATTGAGTACCGAGTACATGCAGCGAGTAGTCATATCTGAGCATCCTCTAACTCTCTAAGATGCGACTGTGATTGGCTCGCCGCGACGTCCGGCAGAGGGAATCGTCGGCAAAGTTGCCAAATCAGAAATGTTACGTCCGAGTACAATGACACAAGCCGCACTTGGTTCGTGGTCGCGTCAATCAGTTGCCTGCTTCAGAATTAAGACCGTTATTGAGCACTGTCTCTGTCCCATAATTCTGTTCTGCCAGGAAAAATCAGAGCTCCAAGTACAGTAGACATTGTTACTCTTTCTCCAGACTCTCCTCAACCCTCCGCCTTTGCCGCCCCTAGCTCTCCATCATGCCTGCAACCACTGCAGAGACGCTTTCCCTCGTGAGCAGGCAGGTCTCGGTCGCTCCTCTCGTCCTCCTATCAGCTGCAGATCACTACGGTCGCTCGGCCAAAGGAACTCGAAAACGAGTCGTGGGTGTTTTGCTGGGTCAAAATGACGGCAAGAATGTGCGAGTGTCCAACAGTTTCGCCGGTTTGTTGACAAGCGCCCTCGAATATGAAACCTCGCTGACAGATAATAGTACCCTTCGAGGAGGACGAAAAAGACCCGTCCGTCTGGTTCCTAGATCATAATTATGTCGAGTCGATGCGGGAAATGTTCAAGAAGGTCAACGCGCGAGAAAAATTGATCGGGTGGTACCATTCTGGCCCGAAGCTGCGAGCATCTGATCTCCAGATCAACGAGCTGTTCAAGAAATACACTCCCAACCCTCTCCTTGTCATCATCGACGTCCAACCGAAGGAAGTCGGCGTACCCACAGACGCCTATTTTGCTATTGAAGAGATCAAGGACGACGGAACAACTACCACCAAGACATTTGTGCATACCCCTTCGATTATTGAAGCAGAGGAGGCAGAAGAGATTGGGGTGGAACATCTTCTCAGAGACATCCGTGATGTCGCAGTCGGCACTCTTTCCTCCCGCATCACCCAACAGCTGCAGTCGCTACAAGGTCTTCATCTACGGTTAAGGGACATAGGCACTTACCTTCAAAAAGTCCTTGATGGCGACCTTCCCATCAACCATGCCATCCTCGGCAATCTGCAAGACATTTTCAACCTTCTCCCGAACTTGACGACGCCTCCGGCTTCCCGACCGAATGGCAAGAACCAAATTGAGAATAGCGAGCTAGCTCGTGCGATGAGCATCAAGACCAACGATCAGCTGATGACTATTTACCTGAGCTCGCTAGTCCGCGCAATCACCGCATTCCACGACCTCATTGACAACAAGAATCAAAATCGACAACAGCAAGAAGAAAAGGAAGCGAAGAAGGATGAGGCAGAAAAGAAGGAAGGTGAGAAGGAGAAGGACGAGAAAAAGCAGGGCGTCAACGGGGCGGTAAACGGAGACAAGAAAGAAAGTGACGAGAGTGGCAATGGAAAAGGAAAAGGCAAGAAGAAGAGCTAGACATCTAGATGTCTGTGACTTTTTGCATTGAGCAGGGCGTTTCGACCAACAAGCTCGGCTCCAGGGCATGTTTTTTCTGCTGAGCATGAGCAATGTATAATATCATGAAGACACTAAACTAGTGTGCAGGGGTCGAGGCGGCTGTGGTAGTCTGAATTATGGCCCTGGAGCTACTGATTTTCCCAGCGATGATCGGCTCCTCTGGAGGCGGCAATCAAAGAAACGCATCAAAGCCTGCTTCCGTGTTCCGCGAGACGTCCTCTCGACTCCGCACTTCCGAAGAGCCTCGCTGTTCGAGATGCGCCGTGCCTTTTCATACTACTTGTTTTGCCAGGGCAAGCAAACGGTGTCTTCCTAACCTTAGTCCCAGATACCTCCATACTCTCCCCATCCGCCTCCCCATGCACTTGCTTCTTCCCGCGAGACAGTTGTCTCCTTCACGCCGTTTGCGAAAAGATTTGGGGCAGCTTTTGCCAGGAACGCTGCTACAATGTGTTTGCAGCTCGGTGTACTGGCGAGCTTGACGGTGACAGAACCACCGAATTTGTACTCATATTCGGCCGTCGCCTTGGATGGGCCAGTCTGGCCAACGTCAATGTCGTCGTCAACTACCCCAGAGTCTCGACCATGTTCCAGATTCAAGCTCTGATACACGCTCACGCTGAACGCCGGACACGTGCAATTCCAGGTCTCGAGGCGGACTTCGTAAAGCGGGACCGTGCTGCTATGGCCACCATGAGGATAGTATCGTGGTCGCGAACTTTGCTTGTCCGCAGCGGTCGAAGATTGGACGTAGAAAACCTCCCAGCCACGATGATCTGGCTGGACCTGGGGATTAACTTCAGGGCATTCGAGTACCGAGCGATCCTCTGCAGAAGAACGTCTCTGTCGGGGAATATCTTCTGGGTCGTCTCCCACCGGCACTGAGGAGTTTACCACGAGTTTCCTAACCAGGCCTCGGTCGAGGATGTCAAGGGCGGGAAGAAGTTCATGAGGGAACAACATGTGCAGGGTCAAAAAGATTGGACGGACCTTCTGCTGATCCGACAGGGACAGGCGCTGGACCCAATTGTGACCAGCCTGATCTGGGCTGTCCTGCTGATTCGGAGACTGTCGTTCGTCCTGTGGAGCGGTGTTTGGGTCCGAGAACTGTGACAAAGCCCTGAAGATTGAGTCTAGAACCGATGGCTGTGGACGATTCCAGCTCATTGCGAGGGCTGGATATCAGAAACGTGTGTCGAGTCCACCCCAGAGTCTTGGTGCCATGCTCATGGGCTTGCAGTGAGCAATATCATTGAAGATCACAACTAATTGTTTAATGATATCGTGACATATTATTGTCAGGACGGGGCTGGTTCTATTCGCGGTTGTGGACTGTAGAAAGAAAGTGGAGATATTGAAATCGCTTTGCAGGGTCTCCCCTCAGATATTACATCTCAGTCTACCCCGTAAATGCCAGGTATCCAGCGACTGTAAAGACAATTTCGGGCTAATCCCCAATTTTACCTCGAGACTAGATGCTCTCGACATCACTTCCGATACACTAGGCACCCAGATATCGTGGTCCTATATTTGACAAAATAAAATCTACCGTACAAGTTGTGAATTCGAGATGCTCAGCCTTGCCATCGAACTCTGCCGCCTTTCATTACGCTCACAACACCCAAAGGAACCTGCGCCGCATCCACTATTTGGATGCTTCCATACTTTTCGACAATTTGGGAGCCATAGACTGCGAGTATCCATTTCCAGTAGGCATTCATAGAATCAAACGCTTTGACAATGCCCGTAGACGACGATTTCTGACCGCGAGTTGCCGAGGGCAGCTTGTCCAGCCACGCAGTGGTCTCATTGGTCCCATGAACCTGAAACTCAGCAGGGACCTCGAGTAGGTGAGAGTAGGTATTATAAAGGTTGATAGATCGCTGCTCGCGGTACTTGAGGTATTCGTCCTTCTGCATGAACTGGTCGCCAAAGGTAGGCAGTCCCGATGGGTAGGAGGTCTTTCGGCCGTGAGTCTTCATCTCCGATTCGAATTCGGCTTTGGCAGTGAGGTATGACTTCTCCTCACGCTCGAGGCATTTCGATAGAATCGTCTGTGGGGACTGACGCATCGTTTCTCGCATACAGTAGAGTGGTACAAGCGGATTGTGTAGCTCAAGGCCACCCTTTTGAATGGGCCAATACCAGACTCCATCAGGAATATCCTTGACACCGAACCTCTCCTGCGCCAGGCTTGAGAGATGGTCAGTCACTGAACCACCTGGGAAGAGTGCCTTCTGGATTTTGGCAAATGTGTCGATCATGTCGTCCACATGCTGGCGGCCAAATGCAAACGATGGCTTCCCCAAGTTGTTGCTGAAGAATCGAGCCAGGTACGCGTTGTAGGCTTGAATGTACGAAAATATCGAAGTGCAATGGGACAACTGCAGCTGAAGTTCTTTGATATGTGCATCGACCATATCCTGGTCTATCACAAATCGGACGCTGTTGGCATCTAGGCGCAGGAAACCCCAACGTACGTCTCCTTTGGGCAAGCGAAGTGTTTGGGGAGCCATACTCTCGCACTCCATCTCTTGATCAGATCCCAAGAATTGCGTGTTTATGGGTCGAGAAACGGAGCGATTATCGAACACGACGCTGCCAGTTTTTTCTTCATTGAACTCGAGGCCCATGACAGAGGCGAATGTGCTCATTGCATCCCATCCACGCAAGCACACTTCCTCAGTGCCCCAGAACCAGAAGTCGTCGTGAAGACGGTAGAGATAAGTTTGGGTGGCTTTATTCACAGCATAGTCCATGGCGAATAGAATGACCTCGCCAAAGACGTCGCTGAGCGCATGCGACATTGGGACACCTCGTTGACGAACATGGTACTGCCCGTTTGGCCCATCCTGTTCGAAGCGCATCGGGGCTTGCAGGAATGTCCGAAAGAAATCTAGCCATGTCGAGCCGACTCCAAAGAATTTTAACACGGCGAAGATGGTGTTGTGTGGGAGGGACGGCCCAAACCATTGAAAATCCGAACGAATTACAGCATGAGAACTCCCTGGACGGACATGTTGTGAGACCAGAGCCTCAGTGATGAGTAAGTGGAGGAGACCCTGCTTGGTTGCGACCGAACCTTTCTTAAGAGTACCCGAGTTCAATCCATCATCACTGATCCCATCACGGACGCCTGGGGTGTTTGAGAATGGGCCCTCGTCGTCGTTGTACACTCGAGCGCCTTCTGACTCCGTGGTTGGTAGCTGTGACATGAAATATTCCTCCCCATACTGATCTTTCCGCTGCACCTCCACACTGTTGTAGCGGGGAGCTGACTTCTCACCCAGGAAATACCATCGCCGATCCCAGTCATTCTTGGGAATACTTCCTCCCGCAGTCCGCCAGGCAGGGGAGAGGAAGAACTCCGTGAGGCAGGATTTGAAATGGACTGCCCACTTGATACCAATGGTGTGAAGTAGAATTGCATCGAGGACATCCTCATCCATGAACACTCGATATTTCCCGTTCAGCTGCCGTCGCTGTTCAATAGGTATTGCACCGTCGATGGTCGTCCACTTCCAGCTTTCCAGAGAAGCAAATCTCATATTCAACACGTCGGCAACTTCCTGGAGCACACCCGGATTGTTTTGAAAGGACTTTAGAATAGCAGCCTTCTCGTCGGATAAGAGATCGGTCCTGAGGAGGCCAGTAATTGTGACTTTGAGACTGTCTACACTGAATAGTTCAGCAGTGGAGCGAAGAGTCCTGCAAAAAGCCTTGGTGGAAGTCTCAATATTCTTGAAGTGCTTGGATATTTCATCGTCTGAATTGAAGAGTTGATGGAGGTAGCGACCAATCGCTGTGTCATCAGTTTCGCGGTCAGTGAAGACGATGGACTCCCACTGCGCTCTCTGTTCGTGCATTTCATTTCGGCCAACACTCTCGAATGATGATTCTTCCATTAAATTTTGTTTCGAGGGGCGCGTTTGTACATCTGTGGAGCTCGAAAGCCATTCGGTTACGAGCTCAGAGAAGAACTGTGCGTGCTCATGTTGTACACTTCTCAAACTGAGGTGCTCTACCAACTCGTCATGGATTCGATGGACGATTTCATTGGCGAAAGCAGGATCTTTGCCAGCTTGTCGGAGGAACAATTGTTGGTTTCGACGGGTTCGTGCAAGGTCAGAAGCAGGTTCCGACTCGGAATCAGAGTCGGATGAGTCGTCATTGACAACAGTGATGCCGGCTTGCCGACAGGAACCGACCAACAGCCTGCGCGTGCGTTCCAGGTCGTCCTTGAATGGTCTTGCTTCACGGATGATGTCCTTCTTGGATGCCTCGAAGTGATCACGCTGTTTCCTGACCTCCTGGATTTTGGTGGAGGTCACGGAGCGGAGAGTTTCTGGAAGCGCTGAGGAGGCCATAATGGTTGTGAAAGATCACCAATCGTGGAGAAGGGAAGAAGCAGATCGATTGGAACGCCTGGCAAGTATTGAATGTACGATAAGACGGTTAGCAAAGACTATCCGAACGAGCTTGTGAGGCCTCTACTCGCAACATGGGAAGCAAGAGGGATTTATACCATTGCCAGCTGACGATCAAACCAGTAAGTGACTCACAGATCACATTTCATTCTTTCTGAGACCAACCTCGTATGTGGGCTCCAAGTTCCTCATGACAATGGCGGGAGTGTGGCCTACAACGAAGTGGAGTGTTGGAAACGAGACTGGCCGTCAAAAAGGGGCGACGAGGAATCCTATCAAAGTCTGTGATTGGACATTGGCACAATTGGTTCTAGTCACGGTAGCCTGCGAGCCTGTGTCTCTGGCGGCGCAGTCACAGCCAAGCTGGTAATCGGCTACCGCGGCGCATTCATGACATAAACCGCAATATGGGACATAATTGTCGCCGGCCCTACCTACGCGGTACAAAGATACACAAGAGGTCCTGCTTTGCGCATCTATTCCATCCGTGCAGACCAGACTATGCTTTCATCGGTCGAGTGCAGAGCAGGATCGTCACGCTAGACGCTCTGCCACCATGCGTCCGCCGAACATTGCCAATCCTGCGCAGTCCATTCCCTCCTCTCTACCATGGACGCACCAGAGTCCCATCCGCCTCCCAACTCCAAAGTGATTATTCAATGTATTGATCCACATAACCTATTTGACCGTCTCGAACCTCGACTATCAGCCAGAAGTCCTCTGCGCAACTTACACTGGAAAGCTCCCAACCGGCCACTCCGATCGATTTCAAATCTTAACATATCATTGACTCGGGAAGACCCTTCCGCCGGGGCGCAATCCAACGTTCGGCGGCACCAGATACCAGGTCTGCGTGAGACCCCCTACGTCAAATTATATCTCCTACGGTGCGATGACAAGGAAACCTACAAGGAGAAGGTCAGGAAAGAGGTCCGCCAGTGGGTTAGGACGCACACGCCTTCAGGCGATGGCAAACTGTCAAGCAAGAGCCAGGAGGATCACGATGCTTTCGAATGGCTGATTGTCCACGTGGTTCTTCCAAACACTCCTGCTGCTCGTCAGCCGAAATCATCAAAGCACCTCTCACTGGAAGCCTCGGAGAGCACCGACAGCGTCAATAGCAAGTCAAAGTGGTCTGGCAAAAGTCCATCCACAGTTTTCGACAAGCTGAGAGCCGATTTCAGCAGTTCCAAGTCGTCAATTTCTCGCGTTTCTCAAGTTCGCCTCCTCGACCCTGGAGACAAATCAACGCCTTTGACCTCTGCGGAGGTGGAAGAACAGTGGCAAGACTTGGTGGACTGCCTGAAAACATGTATCCTGCGCTCATTTGATGCTCGGGTTGCTCAATACGAATTGGACATCCGTGAAAGAGACAGTCAAAGAAGTCTGCCTGGCTGGAACTTCTGCACATTCCTTGTCCTCAAAGAGGGCCTGGCCAAAGGCTTTGAAAACTTGGGATTGCTTGACGATGCCCTTGCCGTTTATGACGAGCTTTCCTTGGGTCTCGACACGCTGGTCAAGGAACAAGCCCAGAGAAACGATCACGATGAGAGCGGAGCATTATTGACCTTTTCCAAAGAATCCAAGGATCTACTGAGAGCAGCTCTGGACTCGGAAACGCAGCGTGTCCCGCCTACAGACGTCAGCCTACCGCTTGACCCGCGTAGCATTCTCGCAGCAGATCAAGATGACTCTCCCTTTGACGTTGAGAGGAAGAATTACCGCAATCTTATCCTATCTAATGATGTATCGGCGTTGGACCTTCGCATCTATCTCTTCACCCGGGAAATGGAGATCCTCACCAGGCAGTCGCGGTTGGGAGCGCGGAAATCCTCCCAAACAGGCACTACGGGAGTCGATTTCAACGTGGTGGCAGATTTAGTGGAACGAGCCATGCAGTTTATCAATCTTGTCGGTCGCACTCTCCGATTTGAGCTTTACAATGCCTGGGGTGGGTACGAAGGATTGAGCGAGAATGAACTGCGTACCCAGAGAACAGTCACAAGCAATATTGTCTCCAACTGGCAATGGCGAGCCACCATACAAATTCTTGCGCAAGTTTTGCCAGCTCTGGGTGGCGATGTCGATTACACCAACCAAGAGTTGTCACTGGACACTACTGAACTCTCTCATGATCCCGACGCAGCTGCTACAGACCAGCTTAATGGGGCTGCTGAGAGCTACCAACACATATCCCTTACTTCTGGTGTGCGGTCGTCTTCTCGCGAACGGTCTCAGGAACGAAGCAAAAGACATTCTTTGATACCGAATGGGACTATTCTTCGACACGGGCCGCTGAATCGAACAGGGTTTGAGCGTCTCGCTCTATGGATATCAAAGCTCATCCTCATGGCGAGACATTTTGTCGAGACCTTGGAGGCTGTGAAACCGTGGGTTCTTAGTATGAAGCATTCTGCCCAGGAATCAAATGGAAATGGAATGCAGCCCATTGCCACCAACGGCGATGTCAGCCAGGGCTCGGTAGGAAAAGACCAAATCCAACCCCTCCACCACACCGAGCTTCTCGCAGGCTTAGAGTCGACAACATTAAGAGCAGCTGCGACATCAAAGCCAAGCTTCCTCAGGCTTTACGCTATGTTTTCCGTCCTTGCCTTTCGGATTGTATTGTCTACGAAGAATCGGTCTACCTCACGGCAAATATTGACAAACCTTGTCGAGATGGAATATTCTCAAGGTAACTGGTCCACTGCTGCACGATACCTTGAAAATATCCTTGGTCCACTTCCACGTGGGTCACATGATCCTTCTGAAGAGTATCTCCTCCAAATCTATGCTGAGTGCCTCAAATGTCTTGAGCGGCCTAAGGATTACGCGCGATGTCTCATTTCTTGTTTGCACCACTCCAGAAAGGCTGGTCGTGCGACTTCCTCGAGATCTTTCTCCGAGGCGAACCAATATTATATGAATCAGCTTTTCCAGGTACTGCCACATATTCCAGCAACAACACTACGTGCGACATTACTGTTTCGCATCTCCGCAGTTTCGCACCACATAACTCCACTTGAAAACAAGGATGGCTTCACTGTCTCAATGAAGATGAGTAGTCTCCCTGGTGTCTCGACACCCCCGATCGATAAGATCAAATTGCGGCTCGTTGCCAAAGACGGTATTGAACCGCGATTCATATTGCTCCTCCTGTCAGAAACAGTGGTCATCGATTCGACAGATAAGGCCATAACCCTGGAAACTCCCGTGACAACGCATGGCTGGTACGTGCCGGATGAAGTTGAGGTCTGCATTGGCAATTTGAGACTTTTGCACCACTTCAAGTCAAGGCTAGACGACGAAGCTTCCGGATTTGATGATTCACTTAGCCCTCGCGCAGAAGTGGTGCCGCTTCTGCTCTACCCCAGCTATCGATCGTTTGGGATCAAAATGTATCCCTTCCCGGTCATTCATTTGGCCCAGATCCGTAGGCTACTACTGCAAATCAGGCCTGGGCGAAACGATATCAAGCAGGTCAAGCTTCGCTTGAGAACAGCAACGGCTGGACTGAGGCTCAATATTCATGACTCCAAATTGGTAGGCGATCAACATGAGTCAAATCAAGTGCAGACGGCTCGAGAAGGTGACGCTTTAGTGATGGTCCTAGACAACTTGGGCTCATTGACGGTCACGGAGGTCGAAATCCCGTACACCATGGAGGCCGCGTCCGAGCCAGCTATAACATTGCGCCTTGAGGCCACTTATGAGACGGAGCAAGGGATATTCACCTTTTACGACACAGCTTTTGTCAAGGTGATCTTACCTGTAACAGTCAATGTTCAGGATGTGTTTCGTAAGGATTGCATGTACTCGAGATTCACCATCATCCCTTCGACAATGGTACCCCTTCGTCTCTTTGGCTGCAATCTAGACAGCAATGACTCCTATGAGATGGTTTCAGGCGGTGGCTTCGCCGAGCCATTCGTGGTGTTCCCGAAGCAACCTGCCAGTTGGACCGTCCGTCTTGTGCCCAAAGACGCAAATGCTGATAATGCCAGCAGGAGGTTGACTCTGGTTGTTGACTTCCAATCCCTAGATGGGGTGATGTTGGCAATTCTTGAGACACATTTCACTAGAGAGCTTGCCAATTCCAAGCACGCTTTCGCCGCCCGGCTTCTAACATCGCACCTACTAGAGCGGGTCCGCACCACATGGACCGAGCAGGATGTGGAAGTTGCAGGACTAACACAAGAATTTGAAGTTTGGAAGATGGAGGATATGGCGTGGCCATTGGTCCTATGTGCTTTTGACCGACAAAGAAGAGTTGAGATTGAAGATTGGCTTCGAGATTGGCATTCTCGAACGCCACCGATCAAATTTTCGTCTTCGAAAGTCCCTCAACGACAGCTCAGACTGTTTGTCGACATTCCTTCGCGACCAGTCCTAGTGTCCGCGTTTCTGGATGCCGCATGGTCAGTGCCACCGCACGCGACTGCCACCATCGGCCAGCCATTGCAGGCCGAAATCGTCATCAAACTCGAAGACCAGGTAGAGGGAGAGTTGGAAGGATTGTTCGAGATCGCGGCCCTTTCAGATTCGTGGTTTATTGGAGGCAGACGCAAAGGGACTGTGCGACTGGGTCCCGAGGCGGTACGCATGGGCTTGATTCTGTTCCCACAGCATCTCGGACACCTGCTCGTTCCTTCGGTCAGCATGAAATGTCGCAGGCGGGTCAGAAACAGTGGCAAGGACGAATGGATAGATCTCGTGAGCGATGTGCAGAATCCTGCTCATGGTCGGAGTATTCTCGTTACCCCAGATTTGCGGAGCACCACAGTGGAGGTGTTTGGAATGATACCAGACGAAGGCGTTGGCAGGCTAGTGGCAAGCGGGAGTCGTGGAGTGGGCTGAGACCCAACTACTCCGTACCGAGTCACAGGACCCCCAATACGCCCTTCACCGCCATGGCGAGACTCCAAGCTGGCATGAAACGATGCCAATATAAATTTTGAGCCGCAGGTTGGACATTCGTCCTCACTACTGTGTGGTGACACTAAGCGCCAGGAACCGCATCGCTTTGAGCCATTCCAGAAACCTTGACTCCAGCTATTCGGACCAGTCGCAGAGTCCAAGTCCAGGGTCCGTGCTCGGTACGAACCGACAGCCACACTGGAAGCAGATTGGTGCGGTGGGGTGATGACATCGGCGGAGGTGAGGCCCAGTCATGGGGGGTTAGCGTCAGGTCTCAGCTCCCCAACAAAATCGTTTTCGTTGGAACTCCGATTTCACCCTTGCGCACCACAGACCACCAGCTCCCATGCTCCCAGCAACGCTGACCATTTCAGTGGACAACCAGTGGTGCCAGGGACTTCGGCTGGAGACAACATCACCTCGTCATGCTTGAACCTTCCCCATTCGACCGAGGCATCAGCTCTGCCACCTACCTCTGACCTCAACTTCTCTCAGCATGTGAAACAACAACCACTCTGCTACAGGGCGAAGATCTGTTGCACATGCCATAGGGGCACAATCGATTGGCAACCATCCCTTTACACGGGCAGCAATGGCCGACACGGAATGCAACATGTGCTCAAGGACCCGACCATCAGCGGTCAGTCAATGTGCCCAACCGACGCACGACATCCTGCCGGGCGTGTCAGCGGCGCCTTCCTTTGATCGACAAGATGGCGAGACTGGAGCTGCCAAGAGTCGGGCAAAGCCAGAGGTTCAGTGGCTCTTTGAAATAATCGGTCAACGAAGGGGGCAAACCCGTGTATCCTCAAGCCTGGGTGGGGTGGGATCAGGGAGAGGCACCACCGCACACAAAGGTCTCTCAACTCAGTCCCTTACTGGGGAAAATGTGTCAACCAGTCAAGTCCCACTTTGGGGATTTTGCTGAAAATCTTGGCCAGGCCGTGTTTGCCGTCCGAACAATCTCCCTGCGGAAGTGCAAAAAACCGAGTAATAGCAGGACGAGGATTCGGTAGACCAGTCTCGAGACTGACAGAAACACTCGTTCGGGGCAACAGCCTATTCCAATCACCTAGTCTTGGGTGGTCTTGGTTTATCAGCTTACGTATAGACGCAGCAGCTGAAGATAGTAGTGGACAAAATAGACCAGTAGATACTCGTCTGCTTTTCACTTTGGAGGATTGGGTTGTACGGAGTTTGAGCGATAAAGCAGAGGCTCGGTCGCCGCTCTCGATAGTAACCACCTACCAGGCTAGGTAGGTAGGTTTGGTAGGTATCCAGCGAGCAGCAAGTGGGTGGGCGATCCTCGGGGCCCAGACAAAGACCCTGGAATCGTCGCTCACCGCCAGGCACAACCGAGCAACTAAATGGTCTGCGTGTCGATGCTAGCTGCTGGTCCCCTGACTTGCCCCTGCCGCGCTAGCCCTCGGGGGGCTTTGTTGAGATTCACGGATCATGGCGAATTTTTCCCCTCTGCCCAAAAAAAACGAATTGCCCGCAGCCCACATTCACTCCACTGCCCTGCGCCTACAGGACTTTTACGATGGGAACACCTCTATTCATTCGCTGCTAGTGCTCCATTCACTCCTTTGGCCTAAAGAATATCTTTGAGCCTTAATATTATTTTTCCCTCAAGCTCAGAAGCTCCCCTCTTAAGCCTGGCCCGTCGCTGCAGCCTTCTTCTACTTCTCACTGCCCTGACCTCCCCCAGCACTTCCCTCAATTAGACTCTTCCTACGTCCGTCCTCCTAACACTCAGGGTCGAAGATTCACCTTGTTGGTCTGTTGAAGAGTCTTTCGCCAGCACAACCATGACTTCCACTGCATTGCCTGCTGAGGCAGTCCTTCGTCGTCTGGCGACAACTGACTCGACCCCCAGCTCCTCTGCCAACATCTCACCTCTCGATAGTCCGAGAACCTCCCCTTCCTCGACCTCCCTGTCCTCGCTTGCCTCGGAAGACGCTGCCACTCAGGCAAAACAGAGCCCCGAAAGGAAGCAGCTGCTCGATACCTATGGCAACCCCTTCGAAGTGCCCGATTTCACAATTGGCGATATACACAAAGCCATCCCCAAGCATTGCTTCCAACGATCTGCGGCCACCGGTCTGTACTATGTTGCTCGGGACGTCACCTCCCTCGCCGTCACCTTTTGCCTCTTCAACCGGTTTTTGACCCCCGAGAATGTCCCGTCCACCCCATTAAGAGCTGGTCTGTGGTTTCTTTATACTGTTGTGCAAGGGCTCTTCGGTACCGGGCTGTGGGTGCTGGCTCATGAGTGCGGGCATCAGTCATTCTCGCCCAGCAAGGTCCTGAACGACACCGTCGGTTACCTCTGCCACACCGCGCTTCTGGTGCCTTATTTTTCTTGGAAAATCTCGCACGGCAAGCATCACAAAGCCACGGGCCACATGGAGCGAGACATGGTCTTTGTCCCCGTCACCAAAGAGCAATACTGCACTCGAAGAGGGTGGCTGCTACATCAGCTCGATGAGCTTACCGAGGAGACTCCAATTGCAACTGCGTACCACCTGATCACCCAACAACTTTTTGGCTGGCCCATGTACTTGCTCACCAACGTCACCGGCCACAACAAGCACCAAGTTCAGCGTGAGGGCCGCGGCATTGGCAAGCACAACGGTTTCGGAGGCGGAGTCAACCATTTCGATCCTGCCAGCCCATTGTATGAGGCCAAAGATGCTAAGCTCATTTTCCTGAGCGATTTCGGTCTTCTCGCGGTTGGAAGCATCCTCTTCTGGGTCGGTAAGACTTATGGTCTCTCCAATCTGTTTGTCTGGTATCTTGCTCCCTACTTGTGGGTCAATCATTGGTTAGGTAAGTTATACAAACCAAACTGGTGTTTCCAAACTTCTCTTGCTTACAGGTAAACAGTGGCGATAACGTTCCTGCAACACACCGACCCTTCTCTTCCTCACTATACTCCTGAGATGTGGACATATACCCGCGGCGCTGCAGCCACAATTGATCGAGAATTCGGGTTCATCGGGCGTCAACTATTCCACGGAATCATCGAAACCCATGTCCTCCATCATTATGTCAGCACCATCCCATTCTACCACGCTGATGAGGCCAGCGAGGCCATCAAGAAGGTCATGGGTCGTCATTATCGAAGTGACACGGAGGGAGGTTCATTGGGCTTTCTGCAAAGCTTGTGGAAATCGATGAGATGGTGTGGGTGGGTTGAACCCATGGAGGGGGCTACCGGGGAGGACGCAGGCGTGCTGTTCTTCCGCAACAGAAATGGGTTGGGACTGTCTCCCACCAAGACACCGAAACCTGCGGCGTGATAAGTCTGAGATGCATCGCAGAACTCTGGCGGGTTCTGCTATTGATACGCTTTCACACGGCCTGCATGAAAATACCGGAGTTTGGGCTGTGTCAAATTGGAGCATTACATGGTAGAGCAAGAAGACTCTTAGAGAAATAGAAATTCTGGGGAGGACGAGATCTGAAGATGCAGGAACTTTGTGGGTGAGGGACGTCAACATCCTGTTCTTCCGAGCATTGCGCGTCAGGTGAGCCCGCTTGTTTCATAAGTCGGCGCCCCGGTCGGATGTTGGGTCCGGAGCTCCTTGGAGATGTTATGCTACAGCCTAAAAGTCCAGACAGCGACTACCCTAGTGACCTAGTGTGAATTGCATTACTAGAGACTTGATCCTCCAATGTCGTGTACGAGTACGGCCGAATGGTGTAGGGTCTGAGGAATAGAGGAGGCGAGATGAAGTAATGTACGAGGTACTCATGTCTGCCTAGGGGCATTTAACCACCATTTGTTGTGTACTCGGGAGGTAGCCCCTTACGGCCTTAAATCGTAGCTTAGCGGTGTGCGGTCTATATTCAATCCGCTGTTAACGTTTCACCTTGCGGAGATGTTGTTGTCACACTTTCGTCCCCCACAAACTGATTGGGGGGTATCTCGCCTGATTCAGTGCATTCGTGCGAAAGCCATGTCGCCGTCCAGGTCAAGTTACCTTTTTGGTCTCCTGTTTATGGAGCCCAGACGTTGCAGGCAGCAGGTGCCTTACCATTGGCACCTCCGCCGCCCAAATTGATATCCCGGTTTGCTCTCTCGCTTTGCGATTCGTCTCGTCCGAAAATGCAAAGCACCTCATGCGATCAGCGCGATGAAGTTTAGCAAGGTTGTATCCATGGCCGTGGCGGCTTAGTGGTACAGGCTGTGACTGTGATATATAGTCGACTTGATTTCACCAGCCTTTGTCTTTACACATTCGATATCAGCTTTCATTCCTACTTCTACAACTCCTGCTTCGTCTCATCGCTAACGCCTTGACAAAGTGCTTGAAATACCCGACAGCCGTCTGTACATTGCTCCCACTATGGCTTTCAAGAGTGCCCTTCCTCCCTTTGCAAAGCGCCCACGTGCGCAGAGTAATTGGCCCGACGCGAGGAGCAGATTTCTTTACGTGAGTCCCCGCAAAACCATTACTGCACGGTTCCGAGCACTGACTCTCTCCAGGCTCTCCGAGAAAACTTCTCGGTGTCGACGTGGATCCTCCTTGGGGCTCTGCTACAGTCACTCATCGTCTTTATCATACCGCGCTTCTATGCCATGCTTCCTTCTCTTATTGTGCTTGGAGTCCGTCTAGCAGATACAATGGCCATTACTCTGGGTCGAAAGAAAAACCACTACCTCGATGAAGCTCTTCCGTACCGCGTTTCTCCGCAAATCCCGGACGAGGATGGCACTTTTCACGAGGAAGCATCGGAAGAAAAGCTTGCTGTTTTCATGCTAGGAGCCAAGGTCAATCACCCGCTTGGAATTTTTGCCCCCAACGTCAAGACTATCGGCGACTATCTGAGCCAAATGATCCGGGATCTCGAGGCTGAGAATCCTGATCTTGGCTACTACGGTGGTTCCAACTGGACGAGCCAGGATAAAAACGGTGCGACAGAGCTCATGAACCTGAGTTACTGGCGGTCGGCCGAAGATATCCACAAATTTGCGTACGGCAAGCTGCATCGCGAATGCTGGGACTGGTGGACTAAGACGATCAAAGAAAACGATCATATCGGCATCAACCACGAAATCTTCGAGGTGGACCGCAAGCACTGGGAGGCCATCTACGTCAATTTCCAGCCGACGATGCTGGGCGCCACGACGTATCTGAGAAAAGGCGACAAGATGGTTGGTGGCACCGTCGAAGACCAATGGATCTCTCCCCTTGTTGACGCCAGCAGGGGCAAGCTGAGGAGCAGTGCCGGTCGACTGGGCCGACAGCCAGGGGAGCTCTATGAAAAGCATGGACTGGCCCCGGGTGCTACTTACGACGAGTAAGTACGTGCACTTTGATGGGGAGGGTAAATGAGGGTTTTGGAATCTGCACAGAGATTGTCTTTTTTTTAATGCCTGGAGTTTGACTTGGTGTACGAGTTATTTACTGGCGTCGTGGTTGGTTTGGCAAGATAAAGGATCCTCAAGTGACATGCAGCTATTTTTTCTTTCCACAAAATCGACTCTTATTGTTGACCAGGAATAAATGAGTATAGTCGTCTATCAACTTTTAATGGTTGGTCGCACGTCTAGACGTCGCAGGCAGTTCTACCCGTTCCAATTAGGGCTGTGAATTGTTGTGTGGTGGAGATGGGACGGTGCAACGTCTCAACTTGTTGGGCACATTGCTGCATATCACTGGCCCTGTTACATTAGGAAGCGAGTAAATATCCAGTCGATGCGACCTGAAAAATCGTATCGCGGATACGAGATTGTGCCGATTTGACAGTGTCAAGAGTGTCAAGCTCAAATTCAAGCTTTTCAAGCTTTTTGTAGAAGCTTCAGAGAGGCGCTTCGTACAACGTCGACACAAGTCACTCTCTCGCTTACACTCTCTTTCGTAGATGCGATCAGCGATACTCTGCAATGCTCTGTCGAATTAAAGCGAGCGCGAGTCGGTGGAACCTCTCACTGCAGTGCGTGATCAAGTCCAACCAGCAATGAGTCTATGTGCCTCGTACATGTCATCCAGGTGTCGCATTTGACCGAGAACGCCACCCGTTTGGACGTTTCGAGTTTGTCCGACGGAAGAACAGTTCTAAAGAGAGAGTACTGCAATCCGATTCAGCATGTGATTTCTCTCCCTCGGAATACAGCTGGCCACCACTGCGCCGGTCAGGTATAGTGGCTTCTACAATAGACCGGCGGCGTCTCCCTGAGCTGACAAACAACTCCTCAATTCCAGGTTTACCCGAGCCATACCTTCTGTAATCCATCATGGAATCGAAACATCGGTCACCTCTGCGGGAACAAGCAGATGTTGCCCTGCTACACTCAACCTTCACACACCAGCAACTCAATCATCCAGTCCATGGCCCAGGTTCTTTCGGATATAGCCGGTAATGCTCTCGGAAAGAACATTTCACAGGTAGGATTGTTTCTCTTTGAGTCAACATCCAATTGACTAGACACAGTGATGCCACAGCCCTCCTTCGCCGTTTGGCACCGGCTCTCCACGCCAGCTGTACACCATTTTGTTGGACAAGTCTCGTGGCGGATCGACACTGCCGCCTACTCGGCTACACGGAATTTGAAACTTTTCCGAACAACACACGAGATCAACCAGGTCAATATCACAGGCGGGGAGCCGATGGCGGGTACTTCCTGCTGCGTGGGGACCCCGCGAAGTCGCCAAAGAACTCGTCCGAGACCCAGTACTGGATGAAATATAAGTGTCCATGATTTATATGCGTCCTTAACCCCCTGGTCAAGGTGGTGGCACAATCTGCACAGGGGACTTCTCTACAGACTTCACCTTACCCCTTTCCTGGGATCATTTCAATTGCAGCGATTTTCGCTCAAGATGGCTAAATCAAAAAATTCACACATCACGCCTTACAATCGCTGGGTCATTATTCTGACGGGATTTGGCTCTATTGTAAGACCGCCGTTGTCCTGAACACACAGTCCTTGCGAGGCCCTCCGAATGGCTGACCACTAGTGATAGACATACGGATACTGTTCATCGGTGATCAGCTCCACCATTGGCCAGCCAGGATGGTATTCCTACTTTGACCTGCCAACGCAAGGTGAGCCGGGTTACGGTGGTAAAACAACCAGCACGATCGCAACCGCAAACGGCCTTTACAGTGCAGGCGGTGCCATCGGCACCCTGCTGGTCATGTGGACTGCCTCTGCCCTCGGCCGTAGGGCCAGTATTCAGCTAGGGGCATTTACGGCCTTGGTCGGTGGCGTCCTGCAAGGCGGCGCAGCAGCTATAGCGTGAGTCTGCCACAGCCCTAACCCTATGTCACAAATATTACCACAATTATCCTGACACGTCCAAGCATGTTTCAGGTCGGCAGAATAGTGGCAGGAATAGGCGTGGGTGTCTTGGTAACCATCGTTCCGATGTTCATCTCAGAGCTGTCTCCCCCAGGGAGCAGAGGGTGGCTCGTCGGACATCACGCAATCTTCCTTGTCTGGGGTTATCTCCTGGCTTCCTGGGTCGGTTATGCCTGTTACTTTGCGACTGCTCATAACGAGGCATTTGCTTGGAGGTTTCCCCTCTGTCTACAATGCCTACCTCCTCTGGTTCTACTCGTGGGGTCACCATGGCTGCCTCATTCGCCCAGGTGGTTGATCTCCCTGGACAGGCACGAAGAGGCTTTCCAAATCATTCGACGGCTGCGTACAACGAAAGATGATCCGAATGAAATCGCCGCCAAAGAAGAGTTCTACCAGATTCGCGAACAGGTGCGTGTCGACAATGCGAAGTTGAAGAGCTCCGGGCAGCCAGTGTGGAAGCTGGTCTGGACCAAGAAAAGCTACAGGAAACGCATGATCGTGGGGTTCTTGACGCAATGGGGTTCTGAATTCTCTGGGCCGCTTGTCATTGTGAGTTCAAGATGACAGAATCAGTGCGGAGTGCGTGGTGCTGTGGCTGACTTGGTTCAGAACAACTACTCGGTGATACTCTACACGAGCCTGGGAATGGAGGGGTCCATGCCTCTCCTCTTGTATGCTCTTTGGAGTTGCACTTCATGTGAGATTCCCCTGTCTGAGATGAGCGAGAAGACGTGCTGAACATGAATAGCATTGATTTACAACCCCTTTGGCGCATGGCTTCATGACAAGGTGAACTCGCGCCGTGGCATGCTGATGTTCGGCACCGCTGGCTGCCTCGTAACGACCGCTTGTCTCGCAGCAATGATCGCCGAGTACGCCGGCACGGACAACCGTGCAGGCAACGCTGCCGGGATCTTCTTCGTCTTTTTCTATCTCACTTTCGAAGGGTAAAGCTCGAACCGCTCTAGAAACCGTCGTTCCAACTGACATTTCCCCACAGCACATTCTGCGATACCACCATGTACATCTACGTCGCGGAGATCTTCCCCACCGAAATCCGACCTATTGGGATGGGCTTCTCTCTCTTCGGCCAATTTGCCTCGACCATCATCCTGCTGCAGACTGCGCCGATCGGGTTTGACCGGGTGGGCTGGAAGTATTATCTCGTGGTGATCATTTGGTGTGCCGTCTTTATCCCCATCATCTACTTCTACTTCCCGGAGACTGCTCGACTGAGCCTGGAAGAGATCGGCCAGAAGTTTGGAGACGAGGTCGCGGTTCACGTCAACGACACTACCGAAGAGAAGAGGCAGAAGCTGGACGAGTTCCTTGCCAATACCGACGTTGTCCACCTAGGTAAGGGTGAGGGAGAGAAGACAGCGGACGTTGTCGAAGTTCGCCAGGAGGGGTCCAAGGCTGCTGAAGTCTAGAAAGACCAAAACAGAGTGACTTGAGGGACAGTTGGGACGCGGACAGACCTGGAGACCTGGGGGCTGGCGAGCTGTTCGTCCCACGGTGAACTTGGGGACGACTATTTCAAGTCTAGGAAATGTCTATCGCCATACCCAGCTGGTGGATTGGGTCTTTGTACAGTGGCCAACTCTTACAGTCGTAAGAGACAGAACAGCCAATACCAAAAGTTGTATTGGGAATGGGCCTTTTGTCATGAACCGCCGGACAGGGTCCATCCTTGATCTATTACTATAGTGCCTAATAATCTGCCATGATTGGCGAGATATTCCGCTCCTTTTTTTTGGCTCAACGAGAAGGGATGCAGGTGCATCCATTGCCGACAGCCTTCTCCGCACCACGGTTTGTTGCGGATATGGTCGGGGGGACCAATACCTGCAAGAACGGCTTCTCTGGAGTCCTGAGGTGGCAGGATCCCAAACCTGAGTGCCGATTTCGGTCGAGCACATTTGTCTCCCTTCCTCGCCATAAATTGGGTTCACAATATGCATACAGGTCACCTGTCAAGCAACTTGGATACTTTGATACTCATCTATGTAAAAGCTATAGAAATCGACAATTTTGTATTCGCCATGACCCAGAAAAACTCCCGCACGGCGTCAGACTTTGAAGCATTTTGAAAGAATGCAAGCGTCGATATTAAGGTACATGTAGTTCCCGCTTACTTGGGCACGTCACCCTCGAGGGTGATGCGTTGCATCAACCGTTTATATCCGTGGTAGTCGTTGACCGGGTTATGCTGCACGCACCGGTTGTCCCAGAAGGCGACGGAGCCGGGCTCCCAGCGAAAGCGACAGGTGAATTCGAGCTTGACCTGGTGCGTGAACAGGTAGTCGAGCAACGGTTTGCTTTCCTCCTCGGTCCAGCCGTCAAAGCGTAGGGTGTGTGCCGTGTTCACGTACAGGATCTTGCGGCCCGTCTCCGGGTGCGTGCGCACCACGGGATGCGAGACTTCAAAGTCCGTCTGTTTCATGCTCCCCGCGTCTTCCTTGATGCGATCTTCGCGTGTTTTACTCACGTCGGCTTTGGCGGAGCTGCTGATGGCGCGGAGAGGGCTGAGCGTCTTCTTCAGGCCCTCGCTGAGCGTTTCGTACGCGAGGTATTGGTTGGCGAAGCAGGTGTCGCCGCCATAAGGGGGTAGTTCGCGGGCGAGTAAGATGGTGCCCATCGGTGGCCGGTCGAGGTAGGTGGTGTCGGCGTGCCACACTCCGCCAAAGTTGGACGTTTCATGCTCGCGCTTGAGCACCTGGATGATTTCCGGGTATTCGGGCAAGCCACTGACAAAGGGATATTGCACGGGCTTCCCAAAGTGTTTGCTGAACGCGAGAAAGTCGGCTTGCGTCAGGTGACCCTGGCCGCGGAAAAATATAACCGAGTGGTCGAGGAGGGCGTTTCGGATTTCCTTGACGATGCCCGGGTCTGCGAGGTCCTTAGCCAGGTCGACGCCCGAGACCTCTGCACCGCAGGCGCCTGCAATCTTCTTGACCGTGATCGGCGATGTGGTGCTTGCAAATCTCGCAACGGTGCTTCGATATGGCTGCCGTGGTCCGTGGCATTTTGGCCTCAGCGTCCCACTGCTTCCCGCGAAGAGAGGTACGCAGCTCTTAGATGCAGACCATGCACCTGCTGAGGGGAGCCAGCGGATAGGTACAGCCATTTTGGTTTGAAAGGGAAGCGGCAGCACTTGGATTCAAGTGAAGGAATTCGGAGTTGGTCTCGAATCCAGCGGCTTTTGGCTGTTTCGCAGTGGAAATGCCTGTTAGAGTTTCAACGCCAGTGATGGTAAGATGCGTTTTAATCTGATAAATCAAAAGGAATTCAAGATGCAAGGAGAGGACTTGTTATTATCACCACTACTACTGCAGTAGGATGTTGACGGACTGTAGTATCGAGGTGGAAGTGGGGGTGGTGCCAGTATATCAAGGTGGGTCCCACTTAGTTAGTTTGGCCGATTTCGGCCACCAAATATTATATTTGCCCCCTTTCGGAGCTCCCCGCCTTACACCCACTTGTGCCTCCATTCGGTATAGTTTACTGCAGGTGGGGCCGGAGGCATTGAATATACTTGACCGGGGCCGGTGCCTTCCAGTCTAAAAGCAGAGGGGATGCTATTACGGCAGTACAGTATATTCTGAGAAAAAGAGTCTCATGATATAAGCACGTGTCAGTAGCCTGCACGACTTGACGCAAAAAACTTCTTCAAGTGAGGCTCACAAGTGGCAAGATGCGGGTCTACAAGTCGCCGCACGGGGACCTCGATATTCCATCCCTGGATATCTTGTCGCTGTTGTTTGGTAAGCTATGTCTCTGGTAGCACTTCTGACGTGTCTGTTCACCTACTGATCTCTATGTTCTAGATTCGGACTTATGTCTGGCTCGTGAAGACACCCAGATCCACGTCGAAGCAGCCAACCCGGCAAACAACATCACAAAGGCAGAGGCTCGTAGACTGGTCCAGCGCGTGGCGTACCTTCTCCGGCACCGCTACAATGTTGGCGCCTCCGGCTTCGGTCGCGATGTCGTCTTCACAACGCTATACGGAAGTCCTTTTGCGCCCGTCTTCTTCTACGGGCTCGTCGCGGCGGGAGGCGTCTACACGGGTGCCAGCACAGAATACCGCGTGGCAGAACTGATACGCCAGATCGAGGACGCAAAGCCTACTCTACTAGTGTGCTCACCGGAGTGCGAAGCGAGGGTGGTACTCGCAGCGCAAAAATGTGGTATTGGAAGAGAAAGGGTCTTGATCCTGGACAGCACAATCCCCAAAGGCTGGAAGTTGATCTCTGCCGCCGATCGGTCTGATCTCCTCGAGTTAAACGGGGACAAAATGCTTGACTGGACACGTATTACCGAACGCCGAACACTCGAACAAGTCACAACTTGTCTCTTATACTCCTCCGGCACTACGGGGTTGCCCAAAGGCGTCCGGATCTCCCATCGGAGCCTCGTGGCAGACAATATATGCACTATGGACGTCGCTCGCCGCTACCGTGCCCACCGTAGACAAGAAGGACGAGAGTTTGTGATGAACACCATCGCACATTTACCTATGAATAACATTGCCGGAATCTCTCTGTACTCGACCTGTCCCTTCTATATGGGCGGCACGACCTGGTGGATGAAGAGCTACGATTTTGACTCCTTTCTGGAATACCATCGACGATACAGGCCGGCATATCAATTCACGGTCCCGCCGGTCTGGCTACGAATTGCAAAGAGCGACAAGGTTACAGACCACTTTGACGGGCTAGAAGTTGCGGTCACAGGAGCGGCACCTATCGGGGAGAGTGTAATACGGGACTTGAGAGAGAAATTGGGCAGGGGACGAGCCTACGTCGCGCAAACCTGGGGCACTACCGAGACTTCCGGGGTCATTGCCGCGACGGATTGGCTCGACCAGAAGACGTGGAGTGTCGGCCAGCTGTGCCCAAACGTCGTTCTTCGCGTCGTCAACGACAACAACGAAGACGTGGCCGAAGGCGAGTCCGGTGAGCTCCTGGTGGGAGGCCCGATCCTCTCTCAAGGTTACCATAACCGGCCTGAGGAAAACCAGCAAACGTTTGTCGACGGGTTCTACCGGACGGGCGACATTGGGATATACAAAGATGGGCACGTCTATATCCACGATCGCAAGAAAGAGTTGATCAAATACAAGGGCAGCCAAGTCACACCTGCAGAGTTGGAGGCGTTGCTCACGTCTCACCCGCTGATTGCAGACGCCGCTGTTATAGGAGTCTGGGACCACCAGCAACAGACCGAAGTGCCCCGGGGGTACGTGGTTCCCCGTCCATCATCCCAAGGCCAGACCATCACTGCTCAAGAAGTGGCAGAGTTTGTCAAGGGCCGAGTGGCCAGCTACAAACAGCTACGAGGGGGTGTTTTCTTTGTCGACGAGATACCCAAGAGTGCCTCGGGGAAGATCCTCCGTAAGGAACTCCGTGCCGAAGCGAACAAGGCGAACACGGCGATCCAGGCGAGATTGTGATCATTTGTCGTATGCTTGGGGGATTGAATTGGTGAAGTAACACGATATATCTTTGGTAGAGACATAGATAGCCCGGCGCATGTATGGAGTCACAATATAGTCACCTCCGACTCTTGTGCCTCAGAAGCAGATCTCTCCGTCCCCTGTCCCCAATGATACCACTTCTCTCCATGTCTGACCATCTCCTCGTACCAAGAACCCACGACATTCTCGGCTCCTCGGCAGACAATCTTCTCCTCATTTTTAAGTACAAAGTGGGAGATCCGGGGAACTACAACTGGAGGGATCAGGTGGCTGGCCATGGATCATCAGCCCTCGGAGTGTACAAAGTATGTTTCGTTCCGTTACATAAAACTCACAGCGTCGCCACCTCCATCACCTCCGTCTCCATGTTGAGCATGCGTCGAAGTCAAGACTCCGGTCGCTGAAATCCTCCTCTTGCTTGACTATTGAGTAGTTTCTGTCTTCTTGGTGGGCGATCCCGTAATCGGTGGACATTGAGACACACGGGCCCCGCTGCTCCTCCGAGCGAATGCAACAGGTGAGCAATCTGGCCACCAAGTGAAATACTCGTCACTTCATGGGCCAAGCAGAGTCTGTGGTGGTGTGTCTTGCTTGAGGCTGATGTTCCGACTTGTACAGGAGAAACCCTTTGGTATCTAGTGTTTGGCGTTGAACCCACCATCGCCGTCCAAGAAATCCTAATACTCTAGCACATCGACTCAGCCCACCTAATCTGAGTCGAACATGGCTTCTCAACCAGATCTTGCCAGCTCCAAAGATGGCGTTACCAAACAGACTAATGGCGTCGCGTATACCAACGGCAACTCTCACTACAACGTGCCGGCAGAGACTCTCAAGGTCTTCCAGGAAGGCATCCTGGGAAACCCCCGCATCGCTCGGTTTTTACCAGAAGAAGCTCTCTCAGGCCAGGTCCCAGTCCACTTCACCGGCTCGTCCGATCCAAGTCTCCCGATCAATTGGCGCGAGGCAGAGTCTGTGGCCGCCCTGAAAGCCCTGGAAGCCACTCTGGTCAATGTGATTTTGAACCGAAAGTACAACCTCGACCCTCAGACGGTCACCATCAATACCGACCATGCTATCCTGTTCATTTTCTCCTGTATACTGTGGTCCATCGACCCCGACGGCGCGAACGTCTCTCTGAACGGCAGCCTGGCGCCAGGAACCAAAGGAGTTGATCAACACTTTCCATCTGGTGACACGCACCGGTTGTTCGCGAGTCTCTATCGAGGGGTGTCCTCTAACCTATATCGGTGTGCAGACGGCAAGTTCTTCCAGCTGCATTCGTCCCTGGATCCCGATGGGCCACTCAAATCGATCGACCTGCCCTTGGACAGGGACGTGGGCTCGTATGAAGAGGCAATCCAAATTTACATGGACGCAGTGGGCAAAATTCCTTCAGACGAACTGCAACACCGCACCAGCGACATATACAAACACGCCGGACAAGTTTGCCTGTCTAGCGAAGAGTTTTGGAACTCGGAGCACGGCAAAGCCAACCAACATGTCGACCTGTTTGAGATCCACGACATTCCCAATGAACGGCAGCCTGCCTGCTGGTGGCCAGCAACCAGCCAAACATCCCCATCTCGTCCGCTTGCTGGCTTGAAGGTTGTCGACTTGACTCGGATCATTGCTGGTCCCACCATCGGTCGAGGGCTCGCAGAGCTGGGGGCCTCGGTGATGCGAGTCAAAGCGCCTCACTTGCCCGACTATGGTGTCCTCCATCCCGATCTCAACTGGGGTAAATGGAACTGCCATATTGACCTCCGAGAGGAGGAAGGGCGTGAGCGATTGCGGGCTCTCATTCTCGATGCCGACGTCGTCCTCAACGGATACCGGCCCAACGTGTTGGCCAAATATGGATTTGGCGAGCAACAGGTCATAGAGTTGTGCAACAGTCGAGAGCGAGGCATCATCTATGCACGGGAAAACTGCTACGGCTGGAATGGGCCATGGCGCAATCGAAGTGGCTGGCAGCAAATCAGTGATGCCGTCACCGGGGTGGCAGTCTCGTTTGGTCGAGCCTTAGGTCTCGAGGAACCGGTGCTCCCTGTATTCCCCAACAGTGACTATTGTACAGGCATTGCTGGCATCTGTGGTGTCTTGATAGCCATCGTCCGCCGAGGCGAGCGGGGTGGCAGCTACCTCGTCGATATAGCCCTCAACTATTATAACCAATGGCTCATCAGATCAGTCGGCACATACCCTGACAAGGTGTTCGAGAAAATGCGCAGGGAGGCGCCGGGCGAGGTCTACCGGCACTATCACACCACAGGATACACGTACCCGAGGATGCTGAACAGCCTTCTCAACGGCCAATGTCGAGAGCGACTGTTCAAGGCCGAGTTTTTCGAGGATAGACCTGCCGACGTCGCCATAGGGAAGGGTAAGGTGATGAGATGTGTCAAGCCAGTCATTTCCTTCGATTCGGGCATAGTGAAGCCTGGCTATCACATTGGAACGAGGCGGAATGGAGTCGATGCCCCCAAGTGGCCAGAAGACTTGACTGTACAGCAGGTGGCTTAAGTCTCTCTCACAGTCCAGGAGAGATCCCACCGTCTCCATCTCAGTCGCTTAGGAAGAGCAAGAATCGTGCCAATATCATCCTAAAAACTTAGGCCCTCCGGTGCTTGTCCACTTGGTTTCAGAAGAATGACAATATCGCGGTTCTGTATCAGGACACTCTGCTCCCTGTTTTAAGCTTCTCACGTTGAGACTGAAATTCGCGCAATATGTTTGCTTCGAGGTGCGTAATTTTGTTTATTTTTGTCAGGGACATTGGGTCCTCACCATGCCTTTCATGGTGACCCTGGTGCTGGAGCTGCAGTTGACCCTCGTCATAAGGATGAGGTCGCTGGATCTTCCGCACTTCATGGGTTTATGTGTTCGCGCTCAAACTGGGCCTCAAGTTCGAAATACTTCAGAGCGCGAACGAACATCCCCGAGGCCCGCCAAGTTATGATGCTGCTGAGTCTTTCGCATCCTTCACGTATGAGCGCCTGAACGCCTTCCTCGGACCGGATATCCTTTGCAGAGCCAACGCTGGCGCACCCGCCGTAGCGAATCCACTGAGTAGTCGCGGCCATCTGTTCCGCATTTGCGTATATTTGACCGATATCAATCGGTGTAGTGTCACGGTAGTCTGGAGGCGTGCGAGGACGATACCTGCCATAAGCAATAAGAACGGCATAAGCTGCAAACATCCGCAACACCTCACAGGGCGAACAGAAGATATAGTGATTGGAGACGCCAATGATTTGGGCTGCATGCCAGATCAATGAGCGTGTCTTCTGTGGATCGCTGACATAGCTGATCGCCAGCCGACGCTCTGCTGCATTGATTGACGCCATGGCATGCGGGTTGTTGGCAGAGAGACTCTTCCGTGCAATGAAGACGACTAGATCCATCATATCGCCAGAATTACTCAGGTTGGAGTAGTGATATATAGAATATATCATGCTGAACCGCGAAGTCAATATACTAAGCGCAGATCGAGGGCTACAACTCACCTGTAATTTATGAGTTCTTCATTGGATCGCGGCCGCGAAAGTGAGTGGCGAATCTTGCCCAAAATCTCCAGCAAGGTTGTTTTTCTTTCTTGTTGCCCGGATGAAGACTGCGGTAAGCCAAGGCACCCGGTCATGAAGACCATGTCCAGCTGTTTCAAATCCCAGAGGAGCCGGTCCAGGACGGTGGTGCAGTATCGCCTCGAGTACGGCGGAAGATCAGGAGGCAACTGCTTACCAGCAACAATACTCCGGAGGCAGAACGCCAATGAGGCCCCTGTCGCGTTTTCGCTCATATCGACTTTCAGCGCTGCCCACGCCTGAGCTGATGGTGCCGTCCAAAGAGAATCCGCACACGGCAGTCGAGTCGGAAGCTCTGAAAGATCGATGCCCCCTCGTTTGCTGGTCAAAGTAGACAAGGTATAGTCAAACCCAAAGACTGTCCATGCAAGCCTTAGTTCTTGTTGTTGGTCCCTCCAAGAGATCCAATCCTGATGAAGACGGGCATTTCGGTCTCTATGGTCAGTGTACTGGTCGCCCTTTTCCTTTTCGCCCTCGACAGAGACGGAGAAATAAGAGCGCAGAATTCCCAGGCCACGAAGACTGCCGATCAAAATACCCCGGGAACGATCGGCGACTTGGTAGAGCTGGCGGTCACCGGATCCGAGATAGTAGATCGAGCTTAGACAGTACGCTATCAGATAATTGATGTCTTGATAGTTTTTGGTGTCAGAAGCCGCCTTCAGAGTAATCAGAAAATCAGCATCACTGTTGCCCATAACAGTACAGTTCCCAGCACAGCACAAGTACATTCAGGAGTGCCGCTCAACTTACAATCAACGGTAGCATCTTGGAACAAAGCTCGCTCAGAACGGCCAACTGCGCCCTGCTAGGCCCGTCCCTGGCTGAGGAAGCGGCACCAATCAAGCTCATGGCAGCGATTAGAATGGTGGGACAAGTTTCAATATCCCATGTGGGGGTGTGTATGACTGGTGAAACGCCATGGAATTCTCTGAAATACGATTCCAGCCATCTTTTGACAACTTGCATAGCGGCGACAGTGCCACGGTCCACCTCAGGGATCGGTAAGTACGTATCTGAGAACAATTCGGTGAGGCTGTTATGGAATGATGTATATTCTTTGTTGCTCGTCTGAATCTGCATTTGGAGAACTTGTCGCATTGGGGGTGCCTGGTAGCGTTTTGGTGCGGCGTCACGTTCGGCATCAAACGGCCATTGTTGGCGAGAGACATCGTGGTCCTCGGGCGCCAAGTCAGTGACAGAGGGAGTCGCAAGACCAGGCTGATATATTTGGGGAGACGCTCTCAGAGTTCGAGTAGGCAGCGGCGCCGTCTCGGCGGATCGATCCAGGCAGGGAGATTGCTGACGGTTCGAAGGACCGTCTTCATTGGCAGCCATCGGTTCGGACATGCCCCAGTCTCCGGTCAGGTCTTCAGAAACATCCAACCAGTCAACCCCGATTTGTGCGAAATCCAGACCATTCGAGACGTCAAATAAGGGTAACGAGCCAAATGGATCAGTGAAAGGATCCTGGAATGGTGGGTACTGTCGGTCGACTACTAATGCACCATGTGCCTGCTCACTCTCCATAGCATCAACAGACTGTGTCGAAGCACAGGGTGCCAGAGAACCACCGTAGTTCACAGGGCCTGCTACTCTATCCATCGCAGAGGCATCCTGTGGCTGGATATTTGAGTTAACCAAGATACTAGACAGATGTTCATGTGGGTTGCTTACAGATTCATTGGGTCTGTGTACCTCCTCCTCTGATAGAGGCTGTTCCTTTGGCTCCTCCGGGTATTTGCAAACTGCGTTCACTTTGGCACAAGTGGCACATGGGTGATCTCTGTCGCACTTCAATTTCTTTTGGACACAGCGGAAGCAAGACTTTTGGCCACCTCTCTTGCTGGCTTGTCTCGCATGATGCACCTTACGGTTATGCCGGAGGAAAACATCCTGTCTTGAGAATCTTTTCCCGCAACTGGGGCAAGGAATGATATTCCGTTGCGTAGGGGGAAGGTGTGAATGAATATGCCGAGTGAGATGACTCTGCCGTGTCAGACATAGTCCACATTCGGAGCATTCAAGAGTCCCATTCCCTCTACGATTCTGGTGGAGGGACCTCCAGTTAGCAGGGGCCGGCACATCTGGGGCGAGCGCGTCCACAGAGATACAACATCCACACTCACCTGGTGAGGAGATTCTGTCTCATGCACAGTTGTGTCTGAGCGCCTTGCATTGGCAGAATCCATTGGAATGTCGTTGATATCTGGACTCGATCTTGATACGGTGGACGTACATCAGAAGGCAAATGGCAACCTTGACGCGGGGATTTTAGCTGCTGCCCTCGGGGTAAAAGACTTGGCGGGCAGACGCTCGTGCCATCTAGTGAGACTCGGAGCTTGGCCCTGGTCACCAGAGCAGCAAAGACGGCTGGTTGGAAGTGCTGCGTGGAGATTAAGCGAGCTAACCACCACCCGCAGTTGAAGGGGGAAAATTCTGGGGCTTCTGCACTTGGCACGTGGTCTTGGATGCTTACCCCGGACTAAATATTTCTCCGTTCACCATGAGCCTCGGTTGGTTTGCAAGACTCTCCCTTCTCTTAACCCATCTCGGTTAAGCTCTTACTGAGTAATAGAACAAAGGTCCCATATCGACCCCTCGAGATGGTGTTCGATTCGGTGCCTCTGACATGGACGAAGCGTCATAGCATGTATAAAGTCGGCGGGTTCGATATCGTCTGCCACCTCGCTTCCATCCCTGTGGCTCCCCTAACCCACGATCTCTTTCAGTTTTCCCTCAGATCTCCCCGCTGACCGCAATCTGCTGTTTCGTCGTTGACTCCCTCGTTACAATGCCTTACAAGTCCCAGTGGTCGGTAGACATACCGGAATGTTCCTTGCCAACTTTCCTCTTCAAGTCGCCTACGGCGCCCCTGGGCTCCCAGCACGCCTTTTCAGAAGCTGCCCGCCCTGATACGCATTACCTGACACGCGATCAATTCCGGCTATGGGCTCAACGGTTTGCGCTAGGTCTGCAGCGGTCAGAGCACTTTAGGAAAGGGGACCGCGTTCTCCTCTTCAGTGGCAATGACCTCTTTGTTCCAGTCGTGTTCATGGGCGTGCTATGCGCAGGCGGAATCTTCACTGGTGCCAACCCGACCTTTGTCGCTAGAGAGCTGGCACATCAACTACGAGACAGTGGCGCGACGTACCTTCTGTGTGCAGAAGGGTCATTGGAGACGGGGATTGAAGCTGCAAGACTGGTTGGTCTCGACGTCGCTGAGAGGGTCTTTGTCTATAATGCCAAAATCTTCGATGGAGAGACCAGAGGGCTCAAAGGTTGCAGGTACTGGGGTGACCTTGTGGCGCCCGCGGAAGACGCTGAGGGGTTTGAATGGGATCATCTAACAGGACCAGGGGAGTGTGACACCACTCTCGCATTGAACTATAGCAGCGGCACAACAGGTGTGCCCAAAGGTGTCGAGATCACCCACAAAAACTACATCTCGAACACGGTACAGGTGCAACAATTGGCCACACTCCACCCTGAATATCAAGTCCGAACCGCCCGTGCTTCATGGCTCTGTTTCCTCCCGCTCTACCATGCATACGGACAGACATTTTACATCGCTGGAGCCTTCAGCCGCGAGATTCCAGTGTATGTGATGCCCAAATTCGACTTCATCCAGCTTCTCGAATATACGCAGAAATTCCGCGTCACAGACTATGCGCTCGTTCCCCCAATCGCGGTCATGTTGGCCAAGCATCCCGCAGTGGACAAATATGACTTGAGTTCAGTGGAGAATATCGGATCTGGAGCCGCACCGCTCGGCCGCGATGTCTCGGAACAGGTCGAGCGACGAATAGGCACAGGCTTGAACTTCAAGCAGGGTTATGGAATGACCGAGTGAGGCATGCACAGACCTTTTGTCGATGCTCAAAATCACTGATTCTTGTTTTAGGTGCACTTGCTCCCTTCTTGGGTGGGACCCGAGGAAGATATCTTTGACTAACTCCGTCGGCCAGCTCAACGCTAACTGCGAGGCCAAGATAATGACTGAAGATGGCACCTCCGAGATCACCGATCGTGGCCCTTCAGCGGTCGGGGAACTATGGTGTCGGGGACCCAACGTCATGAAAGGATACTGGCGTAATCCGGAAGCCACCGCGGCAACGCTGACGCCAGACGGATGGCTCAAGACCGGCGACATCGCATATGTGGATGATGATCTGTGTTTCTTCATCGTCGATCGAAAGAAGGAATTGATCAAAGTCAAAGGGAACCAGGTGGCGCCAGCCGAGCTAGAAGCCCTCTTGCTCGAGCATCCCGGAGTTGCAGACGCGGCAGTGATAGGTATGCCGACCGAAGACGGAGATGAGAAACCTCGTGCTTTCGTTGTCAGACAGGTCGGGCCACAGGGGGAGAACTTGACGGAAGAGGCTGTCAAAAAATTCGTCGAAGGGAAAGTCGTTCGATACAAACGACTCGCGGGTGGAGTGGAGTTTGTGGATGCTATTCCCAAAAACCCATCCGGCAAGATTCTGAGAAGACATTTGAGAGATGCCACACGGGAGAAGCTGAGAAGAGAGGGCGTGAGACTGTGATTCCGCGAGGGCTCGAGCGACATCACGTTAACACTGCAGGCAAGCGGGGGAGCAGAAACACGCTGTCGAGTGTCGATCGATGACTGACCTCGCATGGTCTCCGATTACATCAGATAAAGCACATGGAGAGCCTCAGACCCAGGGCATTGTCCGCTGCAAGGCCATGTAGAGCCGGAGACTCGACATCTTTGGTGAACATTATGGCCTGGCATGGCTCTCAGGACAGCTCGCACAAGCAACAGGACCGATAATCCATCCTCCGGAACGTTGCAAAGCATCTATGTGGACGAAAATCTGAAAGAGGGCTTCATCTGAGAAGCGAACTGAAAAGGACCAAAGGTCTTCATTGCTATTGCGAACTTTTTTTCGCTGGAAATAAGCCAAATGAATCAGTGGAAAACTTGTTGTCTGCCTATGTGGAAGAGGCTTGCTAGGATTATGAAGACTGGTAGTTGGTCGAGATGCTCGATTTGCCTCAGGTCAGCTGCCCATATCTATCTTTCGTGAGGCCCGTGAGTGGTCTGTGGTCTGGGATCACTGAAAATTAATCGTTCGGATCATGGCGTCCAAAATTGGAAAAGACATTACTTCTCGTCCTGATCGTCGTCCGTGCTCAGTGCTGCAAGAGCCATCTTCAGCTCCTGCACAATCTTCGCATCGAGTAGGTCGCCGTTCTTCGCATTCTGCCAGCTGACTTCTTTTTCGTCGAGTGCTATTGTCAGCTTACGCCTTGCCTCTTCCTTCATGGCAAGTATATCGCGCAGGTCTTCGACAATGGCTTTCCTGTGCTCGTCGTAGCCTTTCAATGGTAATATAGTCGTGGGGTCCACCGCAGCAGATGCACCAGCGTCCCGATATGAAGAAAGAATGCGCGAGATAAGAGCTAGAGTTGCAGCTTCATTCGTCACGGTCAGGGTTAACGCGTAGGCTCCACCATGAGCCGATTGCGACGTAAGCATTAGACTGGTGCTTGCACGAATCAATTGGTTGGGAAACCGATTGAGAAAAGCAGAGATTTCAGGCGCAACTGCACCGCCGACCGCGTGAAGGAGATTAAGGCAGAGTGGGAGAAATCCCTTCGCCCATAACTGGTAGAGATAACTGCAGTTGGGTCGTGTGTCGGTATGCGAGGCACCGCCAGGAACGTTCTGAAGTAACTCAGAAGTCTTTGAGGAAAGAAGTCGATTGAGCACGCCCTCAACGGCAAGCTCTTCCGCGACAGATGGCAGTGATGAAATCGAAGCCAACAGCTGTACACTGTACTCAGCATATCGAGGTTGAGCACCACTCTCTGATCGGGTCAGGATATGCGACCACGAGTAGAGCAAGAGGCCAACCGTGATGATACCAGAAGCAGATATTCGATCCGATAACTCCACCAAGAATTGAGGAAGACTAGGCAATCTGAGAATTGTTTGCATTAGTGTCAACAAGAGTGAGATGTCACGCGGTCCAATAAGATCGTCTTCAGTATCGTCGTCAGTCTTGAGCTTCTTTTCCTTCTGGTCCTGAAGAGCAAGAACAGCGGATTTGAACCCTTCTGCCACAATTGTAGTTGTGATTTCGAGGAATGTTACATTTTCGTGATCCAGTGTAACAACACCCGTAGAGCTACCCGGAATCATGGTCGGCCTCCTCTTCTTCTTGACATGGAACTGAATGGCGAGGAGTAGAATGGAGAGGATCGATCGCCAATAGGCGAGGTCATTGTTGATGATCGCGTGTTCATAGGAACCATTTCTGAACCTGACAGCGTCCCAAGCGGGTTCCAATAACCCTGCGAAGTCTGACCCTTTGACGCCGAATGCAACCAGTTGACGTAGGAGGGTTAAGCATAGATCTGCCCGAGTTTGAAACAGCGACTCGAAGAGCACTTCAGACGGATAAACCTGACAATTTGCTTGTAAAGACTTTCGGACAATCTGTGCCATCGCTTTCTGGACCTCGCGATCTCGAGCGAAGAATCTGCAGTGGTCGACACAAAAGCGCTGCAGGCTTGAAAGCAGAATCAGTTCGGAATCCACGACTGAGAGATTGGTATTTGCCCGCCTGAACTCTGCTGCAAAAGACTGGCCGCTGGGCATCCCTCGCCTACCTTGCCAGTATGAGTCCTTGGCCAACAACTCACTGGCATATTGGAGATCGTAGAAGAAGTTCGGCCCGTAGAACCGTTCAGTCAGCCCGGTACGACTGACGTCGGAAACTACCAGTCCATTGTACTTGGCAGCAAAATTTCGACGGAGGTTGGCATGCAGCGATGAATTATAACTGGAAACTTCGACAGCATTTGAGGTAAGCCAATTAAGCAATGGCAAGAAGGTCTTGACAGCGTTGAAGTCTCCCGCAACTTTCGCATGATGGAGATGAGTTGTTGCAATGTCAGCGACAACAGTGGCAACCAAGTTCTGCTGGGCAACATCAATCTCATCGTGGGACTTGGGATCGAAACCAGCGACGAATAAGACAATCGTGGAAAAGAATTTGTCCGAGGACGAGAGATCCTTTGTCACCCAAGGCCAATTTTGCTGCGCCTCCAAAACAAAGTCAAGCATTGCCCTCGAAACTATTCGAGGTAATCTTGAGATATCGTTCAACTCCTTCATGGCAGACTGGATGAATGTTGGGCCAGGAACGCACTTGGTAGGGGACTCCCCTGACTTGACACGCTTGAAGTCGTCCGGAGCAGCGCCTGTGAGGATGACCATGGCCAGCCATTGCTGAGAATCCTTGACCAAGAAAGTGAGGAGTTTCCAGAGTTCAGCGCGTTCATCGGGAATTATAGACTTCTGGTCAAGATGTCGGACAAGATTGACGAAGTCAATGCAGGACGAAGAACCCAGATGGCCCAACAAAGACGAGGCCTGATATTGTTCCACATATCCGATAACGAAGCGCAATAACTTCAGGCAAGGAGTCCGGACGGAAGATGGAGACTGCAGTGTCCGAATCAGGCAAGGTGCTGCATCAAATATACGTCTTTCCAGCATTGACAATGGAAGCTCCTGTACTTGGCCGTATCGAACAAGCAGCGATGCTAACGACAATACAGCGCTGACCTGTCGATCAAAGAGACCTTCGTGAGCTAGTGTAGATCTGTCGACTGTGCTCGCTAAGAAAAAGAGACGTGTGAAGGGGTAGATCGCCGAATCTTCGGGACCCGATAGTCGGAACGAAGCCACAAGATATTTCGCTGCCTCAAGAAAAGGTATCGTCAAATGGTTCGAAGAGCCGATTGACAGACCGTAATCAAAGGCGTAGCGAATAATATCGTAAAATGAATCAGCAATCGAAGTGCTGATACGGACCTGTTGAGCGGATACTCGAAATGACCAGTCTGATATTTCTTGAAAGATTTGGAACATGGTCTCTGTTGCAGCTAAGAGCATCTTGCTCTGGACTCGCCAGGCTGCGGACACTGTTGAGTTGCGACTCGGGAGACCTTCGGTGGACGAAAGACCATGACCAGACTCCCTCAGCGCCAAGTTGACCAGTGATCGGTATAACTCTGTGCAATTTTCCAAGAAATCAAAGTTCCGGAGAGGTACTTCCACTACACTGACAATGTTGAGGATAGGTGAAGGAGCTGAATGATGACCAAGGAGACTTGTTCGATTGAGATAGGACCAAATAAGGTGCGGCTTGATTTTCGTCAGGACACTGACGAACTGAAGACAAGACGCCATGACTCGACAATCGAAAACCGACGTAGCCCGACGCCGAAAAGCTTGCAACTCTTGTTCGAGAATGTCAAAGATGTACAGGACTACATCCATGTCTGAAGCGAGATTGCTGCTGGCTTCGTCCAGAATCGAGGTGCAGTGATGCTCAATTTGGTCAGCAGACTGCCCGTAGAAGGTGCTGCTGAGAACAGTCGATAGAAGAGTCGTCAGAACGCCAATGATCTCCGAGGTCACAGCGTCAGGGTCTTCAAATGGCGTCAAGGCAGTGGCTAGCAGGCCCATGTAACGCAGCTCCAGTAATTGCCCCATGTATGCCAGACCAGAGAACTCGTATTGCCATCTGATTACCTTTGGGGATGTGTCTGGGTCAGAGATGACTTCACCAATGGCACCAGCTGGGATAATCGACGTAGTCTCTGATTCCTGGTGTCCGAAGGTCAGCAGCTTGTTCTGTGAAAGATCAAGTGCATTGACTGATTTGTTGAGAGCCACGAAGCTGCCAATTTCATCCTCGCGGGTCGTTTTGTAGTCAATACCTTTCACCGCGGCTTGAGTAAAGGATACGAGTCTCCGAAGCCGAAATTCGACATACTGCGTCCCATCCTCACTAAAGATGGGAGCCTTAGCCAATACCCGACAGAAACGCAGAAAAGGCAAACACTCGTATGGAAATCTTGCTGCAGAAGTGTCGAAGAAGCCTTCCAATAGAAGATTGTCTTCAATGAACTCCATTGCGGGGTCATAGACTCTCTTCTCGGAGGAGGGGTCGGGAGTAGATGACAGCAAGGCTAGCTGCGATGATACTAACTCGGGTGTGTATCCCAAGAATGACTGTGACACTGCAAGAAGTTCTTGTATCGTTTGGAATTTGTAAACAGCCAGTGTTCTCGCCGTATTGCCGGCTGATGCAGCAAGTACTCCGATGTACTCAACAATGTGGCACTGCTCAATGGCAGCTTCGAGGAGAAATATCGATGGATCGTCGCTCGTGTTGAGCGTAGTGAATCTATCAAGAAGATCTTCGAAAATTGTCGTCTGGAAAGAGGAACCGCTGCCTGAAGAACTTCGACGCCCAGTCGCTGCATCGAACGCCGCGATCCCGTCAATCGTTCTTTGAATATGGTGGCTTTCTCTGTTTTCCTTCATGGCAATACCAAGTTGTTTGATGCGATGAACCACGATTGCCCATGCGAGGATCGCAGGGCCGGCTTGTATGTTCCTCGTAGCGGCTTCATTAGAAAGCAGCTCATGTATTTGAAAAGCGCAGTCGAGATCGAAGAAGTACTCTGTCTGGGAGTCGTGTCGACCAGCATGGCCGGACAAGGCCATTTTGTTCAAGGTAGCGACAGTAGATCCGAGGTTGAGCAGAGACAATGACACCAGGGATGCTCCTGACTGTATTCTTTGGATCGCTACCTGTTGAGCGTCGATTTCGGAGCTGAAAGAGGCGAAAAACGCAACCGAGGACATGAACTTGAGCCAGTGAAGAACGGCCTGCGACGACGGTTTCTCTTCTGAGCTCCGCAACCTCAGTAACAGAATTTCCAGGGCCACACCAATCATTTGTAGACTGGCAGTATCTCCCACAACTTTCAGAATGCACAGATGTGGCTCATCCAATTCCCATGAAGGGATAGACTGCAGACTCTTCACCTGTGCTTGGATAAACTTGACTGCATCCTCAATGTCCCGGGTAAGGCCAGCTGATCCATGTCGTACTAGATTGGCTAATCTCCTGCCGGGTTGCGGCGGCGCTGTTTCGTCTGTGTCCGGCAAGAGACTGACATCCAAAAGATCCTCTGCGAGGCGCAAAAGCAGGACTTCTTGCTCCAGATGCCTCCGGATCAGACGGGCTCGGCGTGTATTTCGAGAGTCAAGGGTTTCTTCGTCTCTTGCTAGGGGTCGCCGCCCCCGCCCTTGACAACTCCTGTCCACAAAATCTGATCCAAGGGCGTCTTTCAGGCTCGCCACTTCAGCCTGGCAAAACCCTTCTTGCAACCTGGATTCGGAACGATACTGCCACTCCAGGATGGTCAATCGCAACGCCTCCTTCTCTTCGAGGTTGACCTGCTTGCTGAGCCACAAAGCATCCTCCCTCAACTCGTCACGGTTGAATTGTCCACCTGAAGGGATTGTCGAAATTTGGGAGTCGAAGGTACTTTTTGACGAGGTGGACGGCGGGGGAAACACGGGGAACGTAGACTCCAGTATCTCTTTAGTGTGGTTACCGGAGAGCAGCTTGGTCACAAAGTCTCTCTTCGATTCGTCATGGGAAAGGACCGCGTCAAAGAGATCGTCCCAGGAACTGCATGTTTTCGTTAGCATGGCATTCGACCAATTTGTTGCGGAGGGGTTTTACAGAAGGAGGAGCTCGCCAGCAAGACATTTCTCTATATTAGGGAAATAGTCCGGGTTCAGCGACCCAGACGCCATGTCATCAGAGAAGATCAGCCTTTCGGAAGCAACATTGACAGGGTGGTTGGTGGTTGAACAGGTGATATGCAGGTATGTGTAAATGGCAATATTGAAACAAAAGCGCGTCGCAAGCAATTTCAATACTCCGACGTACTACGGTCCTATGCCGAATGCTCTGCCGTACTCTACTTAGTCATTTCCGCACTTCTCAGCCTCGTCTGCAATCAAACAACTCGAACCTAGTTGACACTTTCGATCCTCTGAAGTACAATGCTTTGGTTTATCCCGAATTCTATGAAATAGAATGGCCGACAACAACCATTCTTCTTTTTCTTCAGCCACATGTAAAGCCTCCCAGCCGCCTTGAAGCTATCTAAAAGCGAGAACAATCTCTAGCAGGAAAGGGATCGGATCAGACACCCTTGAACACCGTTTTCCGACTTTTTACGGCATCAAGCAAGGCGGAGAAATGCGAATATGACACTGGCTCCTCCAGCTTTGTTCGTATTTTACAACCTCCTCGGTCTTCCAAAATGCAATTCATAATCACCGAAGTCCGGATACAATGGATATGGTTTCAGAAGAGCTCGATGCTCACCTAGAGGTGAGAAATCGTCTCAAGACAAGGAACTTATGCATAGCATGAGCCAGAGCACGCTGCAGTTTCCAAGTCTTGCTATTGTTGTTTGAACGACATATCCCTTTTCCCTTTCACGTCTTGTTCAAGGATGACTAGGTTGTCCAACACTATGATATACCCGACACTCGTGTCAGCGTACATAATACGACAATATCCATGTGGTTTCGTCAGGTTCCTCACATCTTTGTGAGTGACTAGGACAACTTCTATTTGATGATGATCCAAAGAACTTGAGATCTGCCCACTGGAAACCCTTAGAGCGTTCAAACCAGCTGCACTATGTGCGAGGCGACCGGAGCGTCTTGTCATATGGTAAGCAACAGACCTGACCATCCTGGTATCTCAGATAATTAGCTACAATCTTGCATACAACGAATCGGTCAAATATACATATGCGAATGCGAATGACGAGAGTTCAAAGTTCGTGACCGCGTCCTGTCCTGGTCTTGCTCTCTTAACCATCGCCGCTGGTTCCCCTGATAAGTGATCTGTATACTTTTTATACTTTTTCATCTTCCATCGTCGGTATACAGGTTCCTCGACCAGCTAGTGTTGTTGCTGTCGTTGAATCTGTCTCTTCTTAAACGCGTCATCTTTCTTCTATTCACTTTATCATTACTTGTCTTTCATTACCTGCGTCTGATATCCTATTCGGATCTTCACATTGCCTGGTTCTACAACAAAGCATGTTTGTAGTCACTAGCGGAGTGTCACCTTTTTGATATCCACTATCGTCAATTCCTGAACATTTCGGACTGGTGCTCACTAGCTGGACTGGCGATTTTCTTTGGGGTACTGTGAGTTCCTTCTGCAACTGCTCAGGAACTTCGTGTTGCGGCTTGTTATCTCATCCGAACCCATGACGAGGCTGCTACGGCACGATACCAAAGCACAATGATCTAAATTATCGGCTCCAACAATACCAAGGTCCAATAATGGAAGACGAAAAGAAAGTCAGAGACACGATGGAGGGGCGCGAACACAGTTTCACCCTTGGTGAAACTGTCTCGACAAATGGGAACCATGGTACGACGGAGGTGCAGCAGCAAGCACCAAGGCAGAAGATCGGAGACTCGGAGACTAAAGACCTTACCAAGGACGAGCGAATTGAGTTGGCGGGTAAAGATCCTTTGTCAACGCATGATCCGTTGTTCTCTTGGGGCTGATACGGCACAGGGCATGACATCGACGACGCGTGCGGGCAGTTCGAGGAGAAAATGAAGACCCGTGAGTGTGCTCCCCTGACTTTCAAGATCGCGCCTCATTCCCATAACATCATAATATTGAGTCAATTTCGACCATAGGCGATTATCGACCCTTCGTCGACGAATCAGGCTTTGTGTACCGCTTCACATTGGTGAGGAAGGATATACTGAAGAACCGACTTGCAAAACATCGTATGAAGGTGCGCTATGCACCTCATTTCTCTTCCCAGTCCGACACCAATTACCCGATATACCACGGAGCGGGTGAGGGCAAGAGTGGAGAGCCGGGAAAAAGTAGGTTGCCTCCGCAATATCTGAATCGCTTCGGTACTAATTAGGCCAGATATGCGTTTCAGGTGCTCTGAAGACCCGGAATCACGCTCGAGACTTCCTCCCTGCCCGGTGCCGATGTACTTCTTTCCCAAACAATACCCATTTTCTCGGAGCCCTGTAATTGAGAGCTCCCTGCCTCGACACCTCAGACCTTCAAACTCCAAACTCCGTGTGCGCATTCCCGATCCATGGGCTTTGAGCCTGCAACTCTTTGAGTCAGACTCGGTTTCAGGTGGTCGCAGGTCCGCTGGGCGTTTTCCTTCCGTTTCCGGGCTCACAAATGCGGGAAGGCGTCGAGCCACAAAGTCTTACGCATGCTACACGGTCCACACGCGATCGGACATGATGTATGTGCAGACACTGGCTCCATCAGGCAGCACATTTGACTTTGCATGGGACATGTTCTGTAACTTCTTCAACAACAGGGTGGGGGCTGACTGGAATGATGTACAGGCGGAATTGATGGATATCCGGCGCGAACGACTCTTGAGCGAAAACTTGCGCGGAAAAGATGGAGCAGATGACGGCCAGCGCTTGTACCTCCCAATGTCAACAGCACCTCAGTCTGTCAATGAAGGTGACGCAGCTGTCGACTCTGTTGAACCTAGGAGGAGGAAGCCGAGCGTGACGGTGTTGATGCATAGTCATAGGACTATTCCGGATACCAACCTGGAGATTCAGGCGAGGACCCCAGAGAGCGGATGGTGAAGGCATATCTTCTACCAAGGTTTGCTGGAAACCATCGTTTGTTGACCGTGACACCACCTGAGAGAGCTGTTACATGGCAGTGTAAGACTCTGACATCGACCAGGTTCTGGGCACTGTCGGGTTTCAGAATGAGTTTGACCTCACAGATAGTCCTTCTTGCGGCTAGTTCTAGTGTATTGGGTCAAAGCCCATTCAACTTCGCCACCAGACTCCTTCTCTAACGTACCACCTCTTATCTCGAAGCACCTCATGGTCATCCTGGGCCCGACTTCAGCCAATTCGACGTCCCTGTAGCCAGTCTGCACAAAAACGTGATGCCGTACCTCGATACTATCCTCGACATTCTTGAAGGTCACCACCCTGTTGCCAACCTTATGCGGACCATCCCGTGGAGGGAAAATGTGTTTGAGGATCTGGACCACTCTCTTTCCCAGCCGTGTCGTAAACCCCTCAAAGATCAAATGAGGATACGACTCGGATACTGTTCCTCTTGATGCATTGGGGATGTCCGCGCGGAGGACGACATTGTGCAGGGAGAAAGAAGCGGTTGGACCATGCGGCAGATGGGAAATGGTCATCGCGGTAGGAGTGCCTCGATGTTCGTGGAGCAAGATGATGTCAGTGAGGGCGGCGGCCTTTGCGCTGGCAAGAAGATTGGGGAGGATCAAGTTTCCTCGGTTCAAGCGGATGGAGGTGGGCAGAAGCAGGCGGATTTCTTTGGAGAAGGTAGAGAGACGAGTCGAAGGGCTACGGGAGGTGGTGACAAGTGGACGAGGGTCGGAGAGACCAGACAACATCGAATATTCATCGTCCATAGACTCTTGTGCAGCGGCGGTTTCGGGATCCAGAGACTCATCGTACTTGAAATCCTTGCGCAGCGAACGGTCGTTGGCGATCGATGGGTCGAGCGGTTTGCCGGTAGCCAGCGACTTCTTTAGCAGTGCACGTTTCTCTGCAATGCTAGCATCGCGCAGCTGGATAGCGCGACGGTAGATATAGTCACGGCGCTCGCGGGCTTGCCGACGGAGCATTTTGCTGGTCTCAGAGGGGTGAAGAGATAGGAGAGAAAGGAAGACCAGGACCAGAAAATTGTGGTACTCGGACTGTGGAAAGATAATTTTGGTGGAGAAATTTCGCCGCACTTCATCCGCATCGCGACTACCCACCTGCATATTCCTCCATCCCTCGCTTCACCTTTGGCCACCCCCCTTCACTGCAGATACTCTTGCAACCACAAACCCCTGCATGTTCGACAATAGGTCGCTAACGATCTTTCAGAACTGGAGACCGTCGGAGGGGTGTGGACTCGCGACGCTTATGTGAAAAGTGGGTGACCCTGTCGACTGCGCAGATCGGTCACCCTTCGCCTCAACCTTTTTCGCCGGAAACGACGCAAGTTCCTCTTTGATGTGAGACTGTCGGGACACGGATACTGTCAAGACTGGGTGTTTCAGTATGGAGGCGTTCAGCAACATGGGCAACCACTTGGTTTCCAACTCCGCAGCCGCTATCAACGCCATCGATGACATTTCGACCGTCGACCCGGATGAGAGCGTCCTGAGCCTGGCCAAGGGCCCCAGAAGACGTCAACATGATGACGACGAGTCGGAAAGCATAGAAGAAGACGATCTTGAGAGCCTCGCGTCCGCTGCTGTTGATGCGAATGGCAAGAAACATGTCCAAAAGGCCGAGGAAGAGAAGGAACTGCCACCCCACGCCTGCGCGTATGTGACCATCTTGCCTGTCCTTCACGAGACATTTTACTGACTAATCCTAGCTACTGTGGCATCCACAATCCAAGCAGCGTGGTGCGCTGTTTGACATGCTCCAAATGGTTCTGCGCCGCCCGTGGAAATACCTCTTCCTCTCACATCGTCAACCACCTTGTCCGAGCCCGCCACAAAGAAGTCCAACTTCACCCAAGCAGCTCTCTCGGCGACACTGTACTTGAATGTTACAACTGCGGAACCAAGAATGTCTTTTTACTTGGCTTTATCCCGGCAAAATCAGACACCGTCGTTGTCCTGCTCTGTCGACAACCTTGCGCAGCGATGCCATCCTCCAAGGACATGAATTGGGACACTTCGCGGTGGCAACCTTTGATAGAAGATCGTTCATTTCTGTCTTGGCTTGTTGCGCAACCAAGCGACCAAGAACAACTCCGTGCAAGGCACTTGAGTCCTCAAATGATTGCAAAGCTGGAGGAGCTCTGGAAAGAAAATGCCAATGCCACCATCACCGACCTCGAAAAAGCGGCCAATATCGATGACGAGCCCGCCCCGGTCCTCCTACGCTACGACGATGCTTACCAATATCAGAATGTCTTCGGTCCTCTGGTCAAGATCGAGGCTGATTACGATCGCAAGTTGAAAGAAAGCCAGTCGCAGGACAACCTGATTGTCCGATGGGATCTAGGCCTCAACAACAAACACCTGGCCAGTTTTGTTTTGCCAAAACTCGAACTAGGCGACGTCAAGCTGGCTGTGGGAGACGAAATGCGACTCAAATATACTGGAGACTTACGACCAGCCTGGGAAGGCGTGGGCTATGTCATCAAGATTCCCAACAACCAGTCGGACGAAGTTACGATCGAGTTGCGAGCAAAGGGCGACCACAAGTCCGTGCCCACTGAATGTACCCACAACTTCACGGCAGACTACGTCTGGAAGGCCACATCGTTCGATCGTATGCAGCTCGCGATGAAAACATTCGCTATCGACGAAATGAGTGTCTCGGGCTACATTTTCCATCGCCTTCTCGGCCATGAAGTTGCTGCAGCTCCCATGAAAACCCAACTTCCCAAGAAGTTCAGCGTCCCTGGCCTACCAGAGCTCAACGGGAGTCAGATCAATGCCGTCAAATCCGTCCTACAGAAACCTCTCAGCTTAATTCAGGGCCCTCCAGGCACTGGAAAGACCGTGACCTCGGCCACCATTATTTACCATCTGTCAAAGATCAATGGAGGTCAAGTCTTGGTTTGCGCACCCTCTAATGTAGCTGTCGATCAACTCTGCGAACGCATACACCGCACGGGACTGAAGACTGTTCGAGTGACTGCGAAATCCCGAGAAGACGTGGAGTCATCCGTTGGCTTCCTCTCCTTGCATGAACAAGTCCGAATGAACGACAGCAATGTGGAACTGGCGAAGCTGAACCAACTCAAATCCGAACTCGGCGAATTGTCGAGCCAAGACGAGAAAAAGTACAAGTCGTTAACCCGGGCAGCGGAGCGGGAGATCCTTCAAAATGCCGATGTGATATGTTGTACCTGTGTCGGTGCTGGGGATCCAAGACTTGCTAAGTTCAAGTTCCGCACTGTGTTGATTGATGAGTCCACCCAGTCAGCAGAACCGGAATGCATGATCCCTTTGGTTCTTGGCTGCAAGCAGGTTGTCCTTGTTGGTGACCACCAGCAACTGGGGCCGGTCATTATGAACAAGAAAGCTGCAAAAGCCGGCCTCAATCAATCTCTCTTCGAGCGCCTCGTCGTCCTGGGCTGTGCGCCAATCCGTCTGAATGTGCAGTATCGCATGCATCCCTGCCTGTCCGAGTTTCCGTCAAACATGTTCTACGAAGGATCGCTTCAGAATGGCGTTACCATGCAATACCGTCTCCGGAAAGATGTGGATTTCCCCTGGCCTGTTCAAGACGCACCCATGATGTTCTGGTCCAACCTTGGAAACGAAGAAATCTCAGCATCAGGTACCTCGTATCTCAATCGCACGGAGGCGGCCAATGTGGAAAAGATTGTCACTCGTTTCTTCAAAGCCGGGGTCAAGCCGTCGGACATCGGTGTCATCACTCCATACGAGGGTCAACGCAGCTACATTGTTAGCTCCATGCAAGCCACGGGGACCTTTAAAAAGGAGATGTACAAGGAAATTGAGGTCGCTTCCGTCGATGCGTTCCAGGGTCGGGAGAAGGACTTCATCATCTTATCATGTGTCCGGTCAAACGATCACCAGGGCATTGGTTTCTTGAGTGATCCCCGTCGTTTAAACGTGGCCATGACTCGAGCCAAGTACGGGTTTGTGATCCTCGGCAACCCCAAAGTCCTCTCTAAGCACCCACTCTGGCACTATCTCTTACTTCATTTCAAAGAACGGAACTGTCTAGTGGAAGGCCCTTTGAACAACCTCCAGGTGTCTCTGCACCAATTCAGCCGACCTAAACAATCTTACAGGGGCCCACAACGCTATCAGATGGCATACAATCACGCTAGTCATATGGCAAGCGGCATGATGAACGGGCGAACGCCTCCGCGCAACGACTACCGTGAACCAGCAGGTTCGGTCGTTGGCTACATACCGGATGACGTTTCATCCATCCACTCCTCTGCCATGGGTGGAGTTGGTGTACCAGCAGGCTATCCCCCAATGTTCCAAGGCTTCACACCTGACGCATGGCCCTCTCTTCAAAACACTCACGCGCGCCGACAAAATGGAGTCAAGGCAAGAGCGGTCCCGAGTAGCGTGGCGGGAGAATCCACAGTGGCCACCGAATCCGACATCACGGGCAGCATTCTTGGACAAGGAGGGGTCAGTCTGGATCAATTGTCCATTCATGATACCCATAAACAGCCCAGCTACAATCAGGCGGATCGACTCAAGAGATATGTGGAAGGGGGAGTCCCTGCATCTGGTGGCTACATGTCGGGTCACAAACTCGGCAAGTTGATGCACGAAGATGAAGACGCCAGGAGCGTTTCGACTGCGTTTGCCAGTCAAGTTGGTGGCAGCTACGACTGATATTATGGCGATACCACGACAAGATCCCAATAATAGTGAAGAACGAGCTCATTTGAGCATCTCTTACGAAGTGTTGTCGTTATCAGCATAGGCGGCACCTATGAATAGATGCCGGTCACCGACTCGACGAGTGTCTTGTTCGCCTCTCCATGAGGGCACATGCTTCACCGTCTCCTCTCTTCGAGATCCGCTAGCAGCGCCGAGACTGCGGCAACGATGACCACGATGCGGCGCTTGCGAGGCTAGAGGCCACACGATTGCTTGAGACGAGTCCTTGGATTTTGCCAAGATCGGAAGAAGCCTACTCAAGGAGAGAAGATTGAGAGCGGGAGGTGTTTGAGGCAACGGAGCAGGTGTGTTGCAGCATTCGGGATGGAGTCGTCTGCCTGGTGGAACACTGCAGGTCTACCACCATCGTACCGTTCCTCTCTTGAGAACGGCAAGCTCAGGTGGTGGCGGTGATAGCAGCAGCCTCTTAGGTAAAGACAAACGCAAAGCAAGGAGGAGCGGGAAGAGTCCCTGGAGAGTGAGCTGTGGTAAAGTTGATGGTCAACAGAATGAGAATGAGAATGTTCGTGCTTTTTTGTCCTTTTTCTTTTCAGATTTGTTGTGCTGTGGATTAATAGCACTTGGTCACTCATTCAACAACAACCCACGAAAGATAGTCTGTCGCTCTCTAATTGCCAATTTTTATTGATATTCAGTGGAAAAAACAGCGCCCCTTCAGTCGCTTGTACCAGTTTTATATATATAACGTACGAGGGAACGCCTAACTGATCGTTTGATCTACTGATATAGTGCGTAGCGTTCCCTTTACAAGTACTCGGTACATGCTGGACATGCAGGTAGATGTACCGAGATCATCACGAGTGGTGGATCACGTGGAGGTATTACTGAGGCAAGCCAGCCACGGCCACGTGGGATGTGACTATTCTTTCCCGATTTGTCTTAGCCGAATATATTACCTGAGGAGATAGATGCAGCCACTCCAGGCTCGAGGTTGCCTTTCCTCTTCCTCGTCAACAACGTTCCCATCCACGCGCTTGCGATTCGCCCGGAAGGCCCAATTGCATACAGTATTCTCGGAAAGGCCTCGCCTGGGGGCCAGACGAGTACCGTGGCCGACACTACTACTACTTGTGTGATCAGGGTAACACCTTTGGAAACTCGACTCAACACGGGTTGTGGGGGAGACGGATTGTGGATGTGGTACGAGGACGTGATGTATTGATATCTACTGAATGCTACGCTTCCTCCTGCGGCTGATCTTCCCAGAAACAAAGGCACCTGACCTCGATGCTCTGCCTGACTGGGCCATGATCTTCCTTGGCCGAGAAGGCGCAGTGTGGTGTCCGCCTTGCCACCCCATGGGGTTTCGAGTCAAACTGTTTGATCAACAGGGCCTCATTGGGGTTCATTCCCGAAGCATAATACCACTTGTGCGCACCCGTGTTGGCTTTGACCTCCCATGCCTCGGAGCGGGATTTGGCGGCGAAGTTGTAGCCCGTCTTAGCATTCCTGAGTTCCTCCGGCAGATCCGCGTACACGGCGGCCAGTTCGTTCTCCGCCACCGTCCGGGCATCGCAGAGGGCCATATTGTCGCGGGTCACGTGGTTGAGCGGTCGCCAGAGGTTGATGATGGCCCAGCGAACCTTCTTGAGTCTTTCCGCCTCGGAAGCAGGAAGTTCTTCCAATTTGCTGTCGCGGACGAGTTCGGCGCCAAAGTACGACTGATCAACGTGGACTACACCGTTCGGTCAATGACGGGCCCCCTGGACAAAGAAACAAGAAGTTGGCTGCTTACCCGAGCGGTTAGCTGTGGGAGCTGTCACCGGCGCATTGTCCGGCAAGTCTTTTTCGGCCTCGGCGACCTCGTCCCATTGGCGTCGACGGGTGATGTGAACCACAGGCAAGACCTTGGATGCCCCGGTACTGTGGCCGTGGGTCAGCAGAATCCGGTTGGTGAGGAAGCCTCTCTCGGTCATACACTTTCTTCAGATGTGCGACCACGTCTTGATAGTACTGTCCCTTGAACTCGGCATCATCCTGGACATCTGCCACGGACGTGTCGAACGGCCCAACAGCGAAACCCTGCTTATCCAGGGTAAACGATTCCTCGTATCCTCTAATATTATGAACCGTGACCTCCGCATGCTCGTGCGGTCGACGCTTGTCACGGACGGTCCCTGGACACCACACGATCTCTCCACCGCGCTCGGGTTCAAGGTGGTAATTTAAAATGGTGGTGACGGCCTGAGGTGCGAGAACTGTTGCGGTTGCCATGATGATTATTCTTTATCGAGGAACGATCTTGTTTTGCGATTGAAAGTCAAGACTGGGCGCATAGTCCAGCGTGGGACGCTCAGTTATATCCCTGGCACCAAAACCACAGGATCGACATCCCGGGCGAATTGAAGTCCCCCATCTCTCCCGTTAGCCGGGGATGAAAGGCCTGACCATCGCTGAGACCCTGAGTGGCCGGGGATCTCGACCCAGTCAAAATCTATGCCGTATTGGCAGACGTCGCCTAGCCGGGGGTAATGAGATGGGCTAGTGAGGTTGTTCCCAATCGAGCAGCCGCGGATAAGGGAAAAGTCAAGCAATATCTCAGCATTGTGATTGGCAGACTTGATGAAGGTGGAGACTGAGCTTCATCTGCTTTTAGTGCTTCTACACCATTAGCCGTGGATATCAATCGTGTCGCCAAGAGACTTGCGAGCCTGTGCTCGTCGATTGGATGCCTCGCGTGGCCAAGGGGATCCCCGTGGGGATGACATTGGACCCCCGGTTGTATACTTATAGCCACCAGAGGGCAGAAGGTGGCTATATTCTTCACCTCGAGGCCAACTCTGCCCGGCATTATTGTCTGAAAATCCCTCTCATTCGACCTCTTTTGCCTCGGTTCACCTTGACCAGGTCTGTTTTGCGGCATTTTCAGAGCTGTGCAACAGGGCGATATGGCAGCCGTGGGACCCGTGGATGAGATGAGGCGGGAGGAAAAAGGAACGACATATCACCAGCATGAGGAGATTGGAGGATCCCCAGGAACACCCAGCGAGGACGGCATCCCTCGTGACCTGGAGAAGCACCCTTCGCACATGGCAGGCTCCGAACTAGACCAGGTTTCCTCCGAGGATGGCGACAGCTATGTGACGACCAAGACGTGGATGGTCGTCGTGGTACGTTGGCACTCACTCCCCTCAACCGACTTTGCCGCATCCCCGTGCTAACTAAACTTGCACCAGACTCTCTCCTTTGCCTATGGCATATCGTTCTGGCCTGTGCCCTTCTTCAGCACGATTCAGTCCGAGATTGCTGCTTCGTTTGGATCTTCCGCGGGACTTGGTACTTGGTAAGTCCATAGCCCACCCCGGACACTGTCAAGGTCCATATGTGAAACTGACTGACTGGCTGACCGAAACCAGGTTCACATCAAGCTACATTGCCGCCGCCACCATCGCCTTCATGATCTGTGGCGCCAACAGCGATCTATTCGGCCGACGGGCCTTCCTGCTCATGGGCAACGTGCTTGTCCTGGTGGGAGCCATTGTCGGAGCCACTTCGCACCACATGGGCCAATCTATTGCAGCTCATGTGCTGATCGGTTTTGGGGCCGGGAATTGTCAACTCACCACCTTTGCCATTCCGGAGCTGCTCCCCAACAAGTGGCGGCACATCGGAGTCGTCATTGCAGATGGAGTTGCATTTTTCAATGTCATCGCCGGCCCTGTCACAGCCCGAATCGCCATCCGTCACGGCGATGCTGTAAGTCTTTACTCCCCTAATCTTACTCTGAGTCCATCTCAATGCAATGCGTAACTAAAACCGCGCCAGTGGCGTTGGGGCTACTGGGCTATGGTCATCACCATCGCAATCTCCTTGCTCATCCTCGTCTTGTACTACTATCCGCCCGCCCACCCGAGAGGTATCCCCTGGGGTCAAGCTCTTCGAAATCTGGACTATGTAGGTATGGCGAGCTTCACGATCAGCGCCGCAATGGTGCTTTCTGGCATCGTCTACGTACAGCTGGTTCCTTCCGACGACCCCAAGGTGATTGGTTTGCTGGTTGCCGGCTTCGGATGCCTTGTTTTCTTCGCTCTGTGGGAGACGTTTGTGCCTCTCAAGGAACCGCTCACTCCACCCCGGCTGTTCACCGCAAACAAGGGTCGGAGAATGACAGGCCCATTCATCGTCGGCTTTGTCGTCACCATGTTCTATTACGGAACCAACATCATCTGGGGCGAGATGGTCTCGTTGTACTTTACCCACGCAGACACTCCCCCCCATACCGTCTATTGGCTTGCTACCGTGCAAGGATTCGGCATCCTCCTGGGCGGCGTTTTCCTCTCCGTCGCCGGAAACTACTTCAAGCATTGGCAGTGGCAGATGGGTCTCTCGATTGCGTGGATGACTCTGTTTGGCGGTCTCCTAGCCTACGTGACTCCTCAGCGCGAGGGCGTCGGCGTCGCCTTTGCCTTTCTGTCGGCCGCCGGCTTCGGCTACGCCCAATACCTGTCAATCACATATATCCAATTCGGCGCCGACCAAATCGAACTGGGTATTGCCGGCGGCCTCGCAGGGGTGTCGAGAGAATCCGGTGGCGCTGTCGCCGTCACGTCGTTCGAGACCATTCTGGTCCATGTCCAGCAGCGATACGCCCGACAACATGTGGCCCCTGCGGCTCAAGCCGCCGGTGCTTCGCCCCAAGTTGCTCAAGCCGTCGCCGCAGCGCTGCCACTCGGTGCTGCCGCCCTGGAGAAAGTTCAAGGCATCACTCCAGCCATTGTCTCGGCAGCGCAAGCTGCTTTCCTGGAGAGCTACGTACAAGGTTTGAAGTGAGTTTGCCATCCCATCCGATACTTTGCACGATGGGCTTGGACTTCGCTGACAGGTTTGATCGACTAGGACCGTCGCACTGACTTTGACCGGCTTCGGGTGCGTGGCCATCATCGCATGCTTCTTCATCGAAGACATTGGACCAAGAATGAACCAGAAAATTGAGATCTTCCTGGAGAACGATGTCGAAGCTCACAAGAACAAGTATCACTAGCCTGGGCACTTCATCTTGGAAGCGGAACTCGTGCGGTGAATTTTTCTACTTCTCAGCGAGCGCTCGCGCTACACAGGGACAGTTGCTTGCAGCAAATGTTTCGACATGGTATATATGCATCTTGTAGGCGGCTCTGTAGGAGAAAGTTTACATAACTCAGCCTAGCATAACACTTCTTCTGCGGTCGTGCACGCATGGACTTGTTGTCGTTCTTCATCCTCTCCGTCCAGAAGCGGTCCAACACTCTTAGACTCCTGGTAACCAGCAAACCGCCCTTGTATCCAGGCCGTGGACCAAGCTTAAGCCGAGAGATGTCTGCCCATTTCAGCAAGGCTTCAGGCCCTTGATGGGCTGAAGATGTTGGTACGAGGAATGATAGCATCCATGGGGTCGGCAGAATCAGGCCCAGCAATGAGTCTCATTATGATCCGTGAGAAGTCGGAGAGGAGTGTGGCATCCCTACTTGTTGGTGGGATGTAGATCTTCGTCTTAGGCACTTTTTGAATCACTTGGGGGATTCACAGCGTTGAAGAAGCGTATCCGTCAAAGCAATAGACAACCCCATCGCTTGATCGAGTCATGCGACAGGATCCATGCTTATGCTAAGCACCTCGACTCTCTTTGCACCCACATCTGTTCAGCGTACCATGCCAAATTCGGGGCTCGCTCGCCACTCTCTAAACACATACGTGAAACTATTCGTCTCTCTCAAATCATTCCCCCGGACCCATCTCAGCCAACGGGGCCGTCTGGAATGCGAATGCACCATCTCTCCCCTGCGTAGTGTCGAACTCGGCCTGTCCATCGTTGAACATCTTTCCTGCAGCGTCGAGAGTTTCCATGCCATCAAAATCGAGCTCGAAATCATTTCCATGGTCGTTCATGTTCGTGGTTGCCGAAGTCATCAGGCCCATGGTTGACACATTGTGTGCGCTGTCCCCAACGTCGAACATTAGATTTTGAGAATAGTCAGGCATGTGAATGGCGTCTTGGAGGTGGTCGAACTGTAGATTCGAGGAAGGGATTGCAGACACAAAAGAAGGATCCGCCGGGTGATCGGCGTTGTCGTCACTTCCCATCGCACCAGATGCCGGAGCTCCTTCAGTGTGCCGGGCTGTCAGATTCACAACCTGATCACTAGGTGGCGGTGCCATCTGGCGGGGCTCCGAGAGCGAGGCAGCGGGATACATTCGCAAGTCAGTACCGGTCATACTGCAGCTCTCTCTGTCTTCGTCTGTCTGGGGCGCCAGGGGGCCGATTTCCGTTCGCAGTATGGCGGCTTGGAGGAATGCGGTCGAATAATCTGCTGCCGGATACATGTCGCGCAGTCCAGCCATGACCTCCATACACTTGCCAAAGTCTTGTAAGCTGTTGCGGGGCAGGAACTCGTCTGGGGCCAAAACATCAAGCAGATGCGTGACAAGAGCGTGAAGGATGACCGTAATGCTCGGTGATGGAAGATAGCGTACCAGGCCTAAATTGGAAAGCGTGCTGACTATCTCGGTGATGTTATTCGCTGCTAGACGCACAGCGTCGCGAGACAAGTCGACGGCATTGGAGCGCGACATAGTCGGTAGCATTCCAGGCGGAGGTACTAATTGTGGCCGATGCAATGATGATAGCACGGCGTAGTAGAGCATGTGTAAGTAGGCGCGGTGGAGAAAAAGCGGTCCATTCATCGAGTCGACATTATGGGGGCCGGTCGGTGTAGCAAACTGTGCTGCTTCGGGGAGTCTGTTTTTCCATTCCTGCAAGACCCTGGCGCTGGCTTGTATCTGATCGTCGCCAGGCTCTACTGATTCGGGGAATAGCATATTAGCCGTCCATGTACAAGCCTTGGAACTTGTGACCCCATTTTGCACCGAGAGAATATGACCAATGCACAGACATAGCTTGGCCATCTCGATGCATATAATCGCAAGTTGTCGCTGCTGCTCCGTATCTCTCAAGACTTTGCAATCAGCGGGGATGCAGCATGATCCATCGGACAGTGCATCAAGCTCGAAGTCTGCCAGTTGTAACATTGGCACGTCAAAGACAACATCCTTCATGCGAGTCATGCGAGTCGATTTTCGTGTGCCTAGCGAGACTTGGGCGTCACGCATGACAGCGGACCACCAAATCCTCTTACGAAGTTTCTGCTGCCATGGCTCTAATGTTGTAGAATCCTCGGGGTTGCGGTGGAGCCCAATTTTGTGAGCAAGGGAAACAGCATTTTCAATCCAATAATGGGTTTCTTTCCGACCGTGCGGGCTCTCCCGCCAATAGGTCATTAGCAAGAGCGCTTGGATCAATGCTATTGAATCATCCTCGTAGTCAAGGTCGTATAGAAGTCGGGCTTTCTCGTAAAAGGCACGCCTTGCCTCACGTCGGGATCTGTAGCCCGCAGCTTCGAGGAGACGCATGTCGACTGTAGCAACTCCGGTGAACATGACAGCCTGGAACAGCAGCAGACTGACGGTGTGTACTCCATCATTCTGATCGACAATCCGCACCAATTTGTGAAAATCGAGCAATGGCATCAACGGATGCATATACTCGGCGTAGTTGCGCAGGAGCTCATCCCGCAGCTCTAGGGGGGGAATTGTAAGCGCCCCTTTGTTCTGCAAGTATGTGATATCGTCTTGTCCAAATCGAGCCGGTAGTGGCCTGATGAAAGCAGGCAGTGCCGGCCCTGTCACATTTTGGGGCGGAGGAAGACTGTGCATGAGAGGCGCACCCTCGAGCATCGCTGTCATGGGGTGAGTATGCGGCTCGAAGTTGAAGGGAATGTTCGAAGGTGCCATAGGTGTAGCAAGACGGATCGCACTTGGTTCTGGAGAGAACAAGCTGGTATCCGTCAACATTCTACTCGCACCGATCTCAAGTGAGGAATGAGGGAGTTGATCGTGCCAATGTCGCACGGGCGGATAGGGTGCGTCTGATGCCTGTGCAGGAGCAACCAAAGGCAGCAGTGTGCCGCTGTTACTGGTATTGCCTGCTGAGTTTGTGTCCGTGGTCCTCCTTCTGCGCGAAGTCAGCGATTTGACGGCGCCACAGTACCGATGTGGCCTACTTCTTGCGCCTGCTCTCGCCCACAATGCACGCGATCTCATCCAGTCTGCAATGGACGCATGGAATGCCATGCTTGGCCACATTACAACGGATCTTTCGCCCTCGACAGCTTTGACATGCTTGCGGAGCCCGTCGTTTCACACTTTTCGGTTGTGATGGGTGGTTGGGGCGTTGTTCCGGCTCGGATTGCGAGTGTGGTTGGCTTGAGTTTGGAGGCAGGGCAGGCAACGACTCCGCTGGATGGCTAAGTGCAAGCACCATGGCTTCTGTGCGAAGAATTGAACAGTGAATTTGCTGTTGCTTGGCCAGTTCAGGAGGACAGTGAAAGATGCAAGTTGACAAGCGAAACAAAAAGCCTAGGTACTACTAGGTAGGCCTGGTAGGTAAGCGAGCAGTTGGTCTCCGCAAGCCGCGCTTCCAAATTGCTAACAAATACCCCGCATGGAGCCGCACTGTTTGGCGGGGAATTTCCCCTGCAGAATCCTATCATTGTCCGTGTCGGAGCGAATATTGCTGGAAGGACGGGCTGTAGGGTCAGAACAGAACAACATCACACCAGTGGATCGATGTGAGCTTTACCCCAGATTAACAGTCGCTTAGGCACGATGCGAGAAATCTAGTCCCAGGTGTGACGCAACCCTGACCCGCGACTCTAGTGAGTTGTTCCTGGATGGCCTTGAAGAGACGGAGATCTCTCGCATATGTCGCAAAAGCAGAGCGCGAGCCTCGTCAAGATTGTCCTGGTGAATACAGTAATCGTCATATGGGACGGTGAAGATTGCCGCATCGAACACCAAAGAACTCTGAATCATTGCCTTGGCGAATTCGGCTACAGATGACCTTTCATAGAAGCAGAGATTCGTCTCTGCGAGTCAAATCGCATTGGGGGAATGGCGGCAGAGGGCTGTCACCGATTGTCAAGCCGTTTGTCAGAATCGCCTCTCGCACATCTCCTTTGCAGAAGAAGTCTTCGCGTAGCTCCCAGGGCTGGACAGTGAAGAGCATTCTACCACGACGATAAGTAATTGCGCACATATACAACACGTCTGTTGCCAAGTTGAGCTGAGGAGGACTTCTCCCTACAAGGAGGTGCTCGGGTGGTCGGCGAGTCGGTAACGAGCGGAGCCGACATCTGGGAAGGCTTGGTACCACGTGATGGCGAGAGCTTGTCACCGTGTCACCCTCGCAACTCGTCGTCGCTCTCGACCCACTGGCCATCATCGAGGCTCAGGAGGTTGTTCGTTGGTGAAACACCTGTTCCCTCAAACACGGGCAAATTTCAATCTGATACACGACCAACACCTTTAGCTGCTTCTCTCACGCTTAAACACCTCCCAACACTGAACAAAATCCCTCGATTCGACTTAGTCTGTCGTCTCAATAGGTTATCATGTAGCAGCCTCGTTCAGCCGCTTCACTGACCAACTGGATCCCAGGGTTTCGGATCTGTCGTGCTCCGACAGCAACTCCTCGTCAACAATGACAATCCCTCCGTCATAGGTAGGCATGACAAGCGCCTCCTTGGTAAAGGTAAAGTGTGTGAGAGATACGTGGTGCCGAGTAGCTATTTGAATCTTCCTTCCTGCGCCGAAGTCAGCGTTTCGTCTTGTTCATTTCCATTCTTTTGCGCAGTTGATCTGCAGCAGGCTCGTCATCTTCTCGGTCGCACACACTCGAGTAAAAGAAAAAATCAGCCATTCTTTGGGATCACGCTGCCTGTCGGTCACGATCCGCAGTCATGACCACCGAACCCCTGCCTGAACGTCAAGCGCTGCGAGAGGCTTTTGACCACGAGATCTACTCTTCCTCTGGGACTCCGCTACGATTTGGCTCCCTGTTCTACGATTGCGATGTCTTTCCCGCCGAAAAAAGAATCCTCGTCGTCTTCATCAGGCATTTCTTCTGCGGGAACTGCCAGGAGTACGTCCGAAGGCTGTCTTCGACAGAGTCGCCGTTTCATCCATCTCAGAAGTCGCTACATGCCTCCACGTCTGTAGCTTCTACGACGAACTTTTCCAAACCTGCTTCTCGTACCCTCCCTACGGTCATAATCGTCGGGCCTGGCCAACCTAGTCTGATTACCTCCTACAAGAACGTCACACAATGTCCTTATGACATCTACGCCGACCCCTCCTTGCGCCTCTACGAGCTCTTGGGAATGTATCGCACACTATCCCTTGGCCACAAGGCCCCCGGGTACATTGAGCATTCGCTCTTAAGTGGTGCCCTGAAATCTGCTTGGCAAATCGTCCGTCGTGTCGGCAATGGGGATGCCATGAATGGGGGAGACTGGGACATCAACGGTGGCGAGTTTCTCTTTGTCAGGTCTGCGTCAGGTAGACCCTCAATGGGTTTGAAATCTACTTCACCTTCAAGGTCGAGGTCGAGGTCCAGGTCGAAAAGTGCCCAATCCCAAGATTGGGATGTGTCGTGGTGCCATCGCATGCTCAACTCTAGAGACCACACCGAAATTATCAACCTGCAATATCATGCCTGCCTTCCAGAACTGTCATCTCGAGCAAACTCACGCACCTCGTCTCCTGCACCGCTGAAGTCGATCTTAGTCAATAGCGGCAGGGCACATTCCAAGACACCCTCGGGAAGCTACTCGACCGAGCGTTTAGGTTCTTGTCCAGGCCCGGATGTGCCTAAATCTCGTGAAGAGGTCATTGCAAGCCAGCGTCTCAGCCGCCCGCACTCCAGAAGTCACTCAAGACCAAAGTCCCAGCATCAGCGCCGACCGCGAAGCACAAGCACCGGTTCCCTCGTGAACAAAACAGAAAATCAAAGTCACAGGAGAGTATGGTCAGTTCTCAGCAATTCAAGCACATCGCGCTTGGATAGTGTGGCCAGTCCCATCTCCGAACTTGCTGAAGAGGACTTTAAGCCGCGAAAGAGCTTCTCGGTCGCAATTGCAGAGAGGGCGAGTTTTGGTGGGCTCATAAAGCGACCGAGATCGTCTTCGAGTCCACAACCGACAGAGACTTCCCCGGTCGTGGTCGACGCCACCAGAGAAGCTGGGAGGGACACTCCATCTGACCCAACTTGCGGTTCCACTGCCTCTAAACCGAGTGTGACACCAAATGCCAATCACAATCCTGGCAACAACAACAACGAGTCTAAGCACACATTCAACGACCTCATTCTCCCCTCGTCCACCTCATCACCCACCACCACACTCTCACCCTCTTCCGAACGCATTGCGCCGAAATCTCAACGCACTCATGCACGATCGAGAACATTCTCTTTTTCCCGACCGAGTTTTCCCTTGCGAAGAAGGGCGGCAAGCCAGATCGAGATGAGCGAGGATGGCGTCATGTTCGTGGACGGCGTAGAGTTCGTGAACGTCATCAGCATCAAGGCACGGATCGAGGCCAGCAGCGCACGAGATCAGAGAAGAGAAAGGGCAGATAGTGGCCTCGGCATGGAAGTCGAGACACGCCATGACAAAGCAGCTCCGAGAAAAGAAAGCAAGGCAGAGGTCCCAGACAGCAAAAAGAAGTACTCCGTCCTGACTACTCTGCCAGAGCTCTCCGCCGTGACCAGACAAGGTATTGGAGAGCTGAATGTTGCTTAATGGGTTTCCTTGGAAAGTAAGGTCAACGTGGAGGACAGACTTGGCTCGACGAGAGGATGTCACTGGGATTCGAAACAAAGCGCTCTGAGAACACGCTCGCGAAAGCGGATGATGAATAGGAAGAGCTTCGACTTTATATTGAAAGTAAAATCTGCGGCAAACCCGCCATAGTGCTATTGACTGCAACAGGAAAAAAATGCAGATGATAGTCAATCTCTGAATACTCAAGTTGTATGCATCATCCCGATAGTTGAGAAAGACCCCTCAATAAATCTAAAATGCATGTTTGCCAACTGCACCTCTCTATCCATAGTCCCGGAACGGAATTCGTCGTCAGGTCTTGTCATTTAGTCATGATGCGGTTGTTCGGTCTGTGGGTCGTTCTTTTATTGTGCGAATATACGCCGGTTCTTTCAAGCCTCCGTCGAACATCAGAGGGCATTGCTCGTGATTGCTGGAGATGTCGGTACTGGTCTTCGACTCAAGTCCGAGTCGGTATGACTCTCTTGGAAAAAAGTATAACCATTCCCGTTCCAATTTCTGGGGTCTCCATTGACATGACTTATCTGCGTATTGAATTGTGCAGCAGGGTCTGGTAAATCAAGCTCAGGGGTGTGAGAGACAGGAAAGGTGGGTAGTGAGGGGGTCGAGAAGTCGGCAAGCGTTCCAGGGCTGAAAACGCTTGCCTGTATACTTTGGCTGGACGGATCTTGGGTGGCTGCCTCGTCCAGACTCACAAATGGTTCTTGGGAGTTGAAAGGCGGCAGAGTGTCGGGGAATCCACTAAGCAGTGGTGGGCTAGAGATCGAGGACATATCTGCATTCATCGATGGTGTTTGCAGAGCTGATTGAGGTTGGAAGATGGGGAGGTCATGGGCGTTTGGCATGGATGCCACTCTGGCTTGGCCAATAGCATAGTCGGTTCCATAGGAAGCCTCAAAATCTGTCCAGCTGAAGGAATTGTCTCCCAGCTGTCCATCTGAGAAATTCCATGTACCATTGGATTCGTTGGGTAGAAGGTCCCATGGAGTTGGAGTATCGGTTAATGGATCGGCATATACCTCATTTGGTGACATGCCCATCCTACTAGACGGTGAATGTACATTTGAACAATGTGAACTGAGAGGCCGGTTACTCCATGAATGCTGCTGTATAGGGTATGTCAAATAAATGGCATTCGGATTCAGTGTGTCTGAAAAGAACTGCTGCAACTGGTGTTGAGATACAGCGGGTGTTCTTGACAGGAAAAAGGATGGTTGTCCGCCCATACATGACCTTGGGTTGTTCTGAGACATAGCGGGGACCGGAGTTAGACTTTGATTCCCAATATATGCCTGCTCTGCGAGGTTCTTGACTTGTCGCTGGGTGTGATTAATTGATGTTGCGTTGTTGGGATGATCGGGACAGTAAAGACAGGAACAGCCAGACCCGCAAGAACAATTGGACTTCCAGGATGCTCCTTCAACTTTAGTTTGAACTTCCTGGACACGGTCGGGCTCGGGTTTCACAAGGACGGGATGAGGCTGTATCGCTGCAACGTTTTGACGATGTCGACAACCACCTTTGGGCGACTCGGGCTCGGGATGGGCTTTTCCAGAACCACAGCAGGACGGCTTTGCTTCGTCCGACCTGGCCTCTTCACGCTCCTTCATGCGTCGTTTCCGATCCTGATATTCCTCATCGTCGATTTCTTTCCCATTGGCATCTGCCCAGACCTTTTTCAGAGTCATCTTATTGCCGTCGGCATCTTCCCAGACTGGTTTCGGTGTCGATGTTGCATCCCGGCTAATAATGGCAGGGTTATCCACGCGAACTATCAGATACATCTCCTGAGTACAAGCACAGTCTCTTTCACACTTGCAAGCTTTTGTTGTGCACGCGCAGTTCCTCGGACAGTGGCATCCTCTCTTCTGGCCTGCTGAAGGACGACCGGGTTGGTTTGTTTCAGAGATAGGTCTCGTCTTCCCATGGTCACATTTGTGAACCCGATGGCCTCTTTTGCAGGACTCGCAAGCGTATGTCTTGCCATTGATATGTTGTATGGCGGGTGTCTCGTTTTTGTAGGAGGCTTTTAGCTTTTTGACCTTGCCATCCTCGACTCTGGAATTGCCCTTTGCAGGACTGCCGACCTTGGGCGGAGAGGTTGAGGGGTCTTGCATCGTTCAGCGCCGTAATGTAGCGACCCGAGTGTGGCTGGTTGGTGTTACCGCCGTGAAGTGAGGACAAACGTTCAGGGGAAGTGGGCAACAATATAGACTCGCTTTCTAATTGGATCTGTCGGGTACAGTTCGTGGTCTGATCGGCAAGGGCGGCGTCAGTTTGTTGGACCAAAAGGTAACACTGAAAGGACTGGGGCCGACCACATGTCTACTGAGGGGAGCGTGCCGACTGTCATGGACTAAGGGGAGGTTGAGAATTGAATATGGGCTCTTCCACATGGGACAACCCAAAGAACAATGGTAGTGGCGTTATGGCGGAGTTGAGAGCGTGAGACTTCTCCTCAGGGACTGCAAGCTGAACTTCAAATAGAAGCGAGTCACCGACGCGGGATCCGCACAGGCGCTGTCCCAATAGAGAGGGAAAAAGGTATTAGTGGTTGAAGTTCCCGTGCTTGATGCCCCCAAGCTTATGCAGGTCAGCCGGCGCCTACATTCAGCCTACCTATCTTCGAGCCAGTCATCTTTGGCTACGTTTGTACATTTTTTTGTTTTGTCTCCGGTCTTGGTTCCGTTCTCACATACCAACCGACCATGGGGGTGGACATGACCGACAACGACAATAAAAGCAGAAAGGGGCCTCGTCCAACGTCTGAGAAAGATACCCCGTCGTCTTTCTCTTGGTCTCTTCCTCAACCCCTTCGTCGCATCTTCGATCGATTTCCGCTCGTCACATATCCTGCCAATGCTTTGCCGCAGCGCGTTCCTCGACATCGACACGAGAACATCCTCTGCATTTTCCAGCCTGATGAGCCAACCTCTCGAGATGGCCCCTCCTTCAATCCATCTTGTCTGAAATGGCAAGCCTACCTCAAATTCCACGGCATCCCTCTCCATACTCGGCCATCTAATAACCATGCATCCCCTACCGGAGCTCTACCTTTCCTCCTGCCTGCCTCGAGAGATGCCAGTCGACCAGCTTCTCCCGTTCCCGCCAATCGACTAGTTAAATGGGTCGTATCCCAGGGGGGAAAGGAAGAGACTGTACACCTTCGCCAGGACGCATACTCGGCATTGATTGATCATGCTATTAGAAGCGCTTGGCTCTTCTATTTGTATCTCGACGAGGACAACTTCAGGGCTGTCGCATGGCCGCTGTACGTTGCACCGTCCTCATCATCCTCGGCCGTCCGCCTAAGTCTGGCTCATCAGCTACAAGCTGCTGCAAGAGAAGAACTGCGAAAAACAAACACTATCATCGACCCCCAGCAACTTTACTCCCAGGCTGAACAAGCATTTCGGTCATTGTCTATACTGCTGGGCGATGACAAGTTTTTTTTTGGTCAATCCACGCCAGGCCTTTTCGATGCCAGCCTCTTTGCATACACCCAAATTATTCTTGACGAACACCTCTCTTTCAAGACACGGACACTAAACTCGTCCTTAGAGAAGCACCAAAACCTAGTCCGACACAGAAACCGCCTCTTGCGCGGCTTCTTCTCTGATTGAGGGACTGTCATGTAATTTTTTCCTGAGAATACCTCCAAACCATACTGTTATGCCAACCCATTTCCCTGACCTTTGTCCCAGGGTTGCTACCATTGACTCATCCACAGCCTTCTCCTTGATCTGTCCAAGCACTTCAAACCCACTTTTTAAAGCGGCCGCTTCGACTTCAGCCAACGTATGAGAGTAACTGGTTGGACGAATCTTTTCACCCGTTTTCGGATCGATGAAACCAGCCTGGCTGATTTTGCCCATTTCTGAGTGCATGTTTGTCAATACTAAGATACCTCCGGGTCTGAGGATTTTGGCGACTGTGCTGAAGAAGATGTCCGCAGGGATATGTTCGATGACCAGTGTCGACACCACGGCATCCGCGCCGATGGCACACTCTGGCGGCATTGACTCTTGCACCATATCATAAACCTTGAGTTGCAGCTTGCCACTTGCGTGGAATTTCTGCAGTCGTTCTTTTGCCACCTCAAGCATGCCAGGACTGAGGTCAAGCCCGACTACTGACGCAGCACGTTCCACCTCCAGCAAAGCTGCTGTGTTCCTGCCCGTTCCACAGCCCAAGTCCACCATTGTCCACGGTCGAGGACAGGAGTCTCCATCTAGAATTTCGAGCATTCTTGGCATGAGAGTTTTCATCTCGATCGTATCCAACGCTTGCAGAAAGTTACCATCTGTGTCATACACAGCCGACCAAAGATCGTAGGCTTGCGTGGTGGAGAGGTAGCGGGTCGTGGGATCAAGAGACTGTGGTATCACTTGAGACATGGTGATGATAACTCGTCTCCGCACAGATGCCTTCGTGGTGTATCGGGCCTCCTCAATAGCCAGACAGAGAGCAGGAATTGCCAGCAGAAGTGGGCGGGCGAATACGGTCTTCCTGGGGGAAAATATACCAGGATTGAAGCGGCCTACGGTGAAAGTGGAAGAAAAAATTGTGAAGCAAGAGGTTTCTGATCAATTTTGTAAAGTTTCTCCGCAAGGCTGCCATTCCCCTCTCTCGTGAATGAGTCACATTGCTCATCGAAGCATAAGAGGCCTTGACAATGAGAGCAACATTATTGGCAGGATCGTACCAAGATATGCAGCATTCGTATTGAAGTGTATTGATGGTAGGTAGCAAGTCGCGAAGAGCGGCACAAATCAGAGCCCGAACCTTGACATTGAATGGGCAGTCGTCTTATGTTTGGATATCTCCCTACCAGCCAGATAGAAAATTTGTCCTTCATATTGGTCACAAACTGTAGAGCGAGTATGCCGAATCCTGACCACGCTAGCACAGCGCACGAAACGCTTCAATTGAGCAGACTCGATATCATGTTCAATGGGTATCTTGCAAATGGGTTCATGCATCTTCCACTTCGTTACTGGTCACCGCTTTGCTGTCAGATAGCGCCAACGCCAAAGACACCTCCCCCCTCCCTCAGGTCCTCCACCAAATCCTGCACGTTACTCAAATGCTTCCCCAGCAGACTCTGTTTTTCCTCGGTCGTCCTGGTATTGCCAGAGTCTTTCACATTCGCACCTTTCCCACCCACCCCCCCACCATCGGCACCATTGACCGTCTCCCCTCTCCTGCGATCAAAAGCGGCAATCACTTCCTTTCCTCGCCCTCCCAAAATCGCGGTGTTTGTGGCAGATGTTGAGCCCGCAAGCTTCGAGGATGTAGTTTCGGGCATGAGGTAGAAATAAAGGAATTCAACCAGTTTCAATTTTACCTCGCGGGAAGTTCCTCGGGATTTGAACAAGGACGTGATTACCAGCAGGCCGTCAATGGATTCAAATGTACGAGTGTTTTGGGGGTTGTCAAGTAATGAGGTCACAAGGGCCATAATTGTAGAGGATTGGATAGCGGGACAATTTGAAGGGTCGAGAAGGTCGAGAAAGAGCTGGTGACGTTAGGTTCTGGAGGGTTGATAGTGGTGTCAGACCAAGACTCACGTTCATGTATATCTCCTGCGAAAACAGCGCTCTCGAAGGCGGATGGAGCAGGAGGACTCCTTGGATCAAATCCAACGTCTGAATGATTAACAGATCATTCGTCCCATTGCTTTCTTTGCCCAGGAGTCTCTCGAGGCATGCAACCAGCCTCATCGAAATGTTCCATTGGAAGCTCTGTTGTAGTTTGAAGAATTCGCGAAAGGCTGGGTCTGAAGGTAGCTCTGAAAGGTTCTTCGAATGAGGCGAGGAAGGACTCGATGATCCCAGGAGAATCATAGACTGGCGTTTGTTTGCGGCGTGATTGGTTCTGGACAGGCATAGTTGTGCAAGCAAGCCTTCTACCTGGCGGAGTCCTTTACGGATTTTCTGAGGAGAACTCGAGGAAAGGTAGTCGAAGGAGTGTGATAGCAAAGCCTCCATGATGGTGAAAAATCCACTGGGGTAAAGAACCGATTGAATTTACACGTTGCGGGCTATAGCACGTCGTCGAAGATAAAGATGGGAGAGAAATCGTTTGTACCTGTGCTGCGTGCAAGTATCAACAAGACAAGTTGTCAGGGCGACCATGCGGGGGATGCAGCTAGGGGACCTCCAGTTGCGTCCTCGGTCCACCTACCACTGGCGCCACCGGTGTCACTAGCAGCTATTGCACAGCAGCTGGCGCCCCGTACCGCAGCCCAGATCAGGTGGGTTGATAAGCGCCAGGCACCCGAATAAGCCACGCTGAGAATCGGTGCCTAGCGGCTGCATTGTCGTCATGACCTCTCATGTGATGACCCTGTTTAGATAGCCATTGCCAGTGTTTCCCGCCTTGGGAGCACCTTCTCACCAGCATCTGATCAAAACCGCTGATGCCACCCATTTTCCACGCCTTGGGTCTTCCTCTCGTCCACCAGCCCAGACTCGTTTGCCAATCTCTCCAGACTCCTCTGGTCCTTCTTCTGCTTGCTCACCAGGGTTGAAGCTTGCGTACTCCAAAAGCACGATCTGCACAATTCCCCACCTCATCCCGCATTTTCACATGCAGTCCTCTGCAGGATAGAATCAATACGCATGTCGACCATCTCAACAGAAAACCCGACTTCTCCCAACGCGATTCCAATTCGCTACAGCTCCGCCGGTGTCTTCAATGGCCTTCACCAACAGCCTTCGAAATCCGTCCTCAAACCTCTACCAGAGGATTCCTGGATTTCGTCGAAGCACCATTCGTTGCCGCCAGCGATGAATCCCGCCCCCGTTCTGTCTGACCATACGAACAGCCTCAAGCGCAGACATTCAAAGAAACGATCTGCGCCGGAAAACCTGATCACTAAAAGGCCGGGAGAATGGTCACCGCAGAAAGAGAAGATCATACTGGGCCCTTATGACTACCTGTTTGCTCACCCTGGGAAAGATATCCGCGCGGCCTTGATCAAGGCCTTTGATGCCTTCCTACATGTCCCATCGAAGTCTTTGGATATTATCACAAAGGTCGTGGGGATGTTACATACGTCTTCACTTCTCATCGACGATGTACAGGACAACAGCGTGTTGCGGAGAGGCATTCCTGTAGCACATAATATCTTCGGGACGGCCCAAACGATCAACAGTGCCAATTATGTCTACTTTCTCGCCCTCCAAGACCTTTTGCACCTGGAAAACAGAGATGAGGCGATTGAGATATTTACCACCGAACTTCTCAACCTCCATCGCGGCCAGGGGATGGATTTGTACTGGCGTGACACATTGACCTGCCCCACAGAGGACGATTACTTGGAAATGGTACAGAACAAGACTGGAGGCTTGTTTCGTCTGGCTGTAAAGTTGATGCAGGCCGAGTCTCCGGAAAAGGGACGCATAGATTGCGTGCCTCTTGTCAACTTGATGGGACTGGTTTTCCAGATCTGCGACGACTACTTGAACCTTTCCTCCAGCACCTACACCAAGAACAAGGGTCTATGCGAAGACCTCACTGAAGGCAAATTCTCCTTCCCCATCATCCACTCGATAAGAAGCAATCCCTCCAATCTGCAGCTGGTCAATATTCTCAAACAGAAAACTACCGACGAGGAAGTCAAGCGGTACGCGGTTAAGTATATGGAAGGCACAGGCAGCTTTGAGTATACCAAGAAGGTTGTACGCGAATTGAAACTGAAGGCTGTGAATCTGGTCACAGAGCTGGACGGCGGTTCTGGCCGGGGGGATGAAGTAAAGACGATTCTGGACAAGATTGCGGAACCAGCACTTAATGAATAGGGTCAAGGGTCGTAGCGGGTAGGGTGTTTGGCGGGAGGCGATTTGACAAGAAAGATCGGGCGATGATGATGTACTCGTACATTTCATTAGTGTATAATACTTGGTATCTCAGATCACGAGATATTGCAACTCGACGCGTCCTCTTCAGACTGTACAACTGCAGTCGTGCCCAGGTAATGCTGCTGCCACCATTAGGAATACCGAGTGCTCATCAAAGCTGTTTCCGACCACCCATCCCTCAGTGCTTCTCTACCTGCGACCCCGGGGATAGATAGGGAAGCCACTCTCCGCCTCCATCGGTCGCTGGTTCGCTCCACCACCTCCACTCCTCCCCGGCATCCCCATCTCTAACAACATCTTCTCGGCTCGGCATCTGCCATCAAGTCGATATGTGGAGGCCGTCAATCCCATCTATGCTCGACCCCGATGTCCCCGCGTCCCTACACCACAGCGAGCAGTAAGTGCCTGGAAATGGTGGATCAGCAAGGATTATTATACGCACACCCTCTATTATTTGGTCCGCGGGAATTTGTTTGTCTTGGTAATGTGGGAGTCGGTCGGAGCCTATTCAGCGATAGAAGAGTTGGACTGGACGCTTTACATATCAGGTCGAGGCTGGCAGCTGGAAAGAGACATACGACACTGTGACACTGTGACACTGCTCCCAATACCTACTCAGACACACTCCCAGTCCTTCCAAGATGATCCTCACGCGGAACGATGCAGCCTCGCCACTCCTCGCCACCTATATGCTCCCCTTCTCGCTCATCCTTCTAATTGTCCTTCCCATCATAGCCCTTGTTCGCATCCGTTACCGCCGAGGTCTGCGCGAAATCCCGGGCCCCTTCTTAGCCAGCATCCTGCCATTTGATCGCATGCTCAGCGCCTACTCTGGACGGCAATTTCAGCGCCATCTTAAGTACCATGCCAGGTATGGGAAGTTGGTCCGCGTGGGGCCTAACCATGTGAGTCTGGGAGATTCGGAGCAGATCTCGAATGTTTATAGCATTACCAGCAAGTTTGACAAGGCAAGTTTGTTCCCTTCCTCTCCCTGAGCTCGATATGGCGACACGGAGGGAGCGAGAAGGAGAGGCTCCTGATACTGACCGGGGATATCAATAAAAGAGCAACTTCTACACTCTATTCCATGCCAAGTCGCCCGTTGGACCTATTCCCACGGTCTTTTCGATTGTCGACCCTGTCGGGCATAGGAATCTCAAAAGACCTGTGGGTGCTGCGTTCGCCCTGAGCTCTTTGCTCGACTTTGAACCCCTGGCCGATGACTGCACACGGATACTGGAAGGCAAGCTTGATGGCCTGCAAGGCCAGAAGATTGATTTTGGTACGTGGCTGCACTGGTACGCATTCGATGTGATCAGCAGCATCACCTTCTCCAACCGACTAGGGTTCATGGAGAGAGAGGAAGACGTCAATGGCATCATTGCTGCGATTGAAGGTCGGTTGTTCTACAACTCGATCATCGGTCAGGTTCCGAGCATGCACAAGTGGCTGCTGGGGAACAACACCGTCTCACGGCTAGCCGATATGGTACCTGCCATCAAGCGACTGAACTCAGCAGCATACATTGTCCAGTTCGCCGCGAGACAGTTGGAGATGAGGCAGAATGCCAAGGCTGAGCATGGACGGTCTGATATGGTGGACAAATTCAAGATGACAAGGGACGGCGAAGAAGTCATGAGCCAGAAGGAGTTGTTGGGACATGCGAGTTCGAACGTGTGAGTATATTGGCCCTGTTTCTTGGAGCAGACCAATACGCGACCAAGGTCTCTGTTGTTGAAAAGCTGACAAGTGGTTGAAACAGGTTCGCTGGTTCCGATACAACAGCCATCTCCCTCCGGGCACTGTTCTATCACCTCTGTAAGAACCCGCACGCGTACAAGAAATGTGTGGATGAGATCCTCAGTTTCGATGCCCGCGGCGAGCTGTCCGAGTATGTCACGTACTACGAAGCGCAGCGCATGCCATATTTCCAGGCATGTATGAGGGAGGCGTTGCGCATGCATCCCGCCGTGGGACAGTTGCTTGAGCGGGTTGTCCCCTCAGGCGGAGCCACAATCGACGGAGTCTATCTACCAGCAGGGACGATTGTAGGCTTCAACCCTTGGGTCGCGGCGAGGGACAAAGCAGTATATGGGCATGACGCTGCGCTATTCCGGCCGGAGCGGTGGATCGAAGCCGATGAGAAGACAATGAAGTTGATGGACCGGAACTGGCTCGCTGTAAGTACTTCATCCCTTCCTCCTATCCTGTCCCCACACGCCGGTCCACCTCCTCCCCTATGACTAGCCAGCTGGGCTAACCTCATGTCCCACCAAGTTTGGAGCCGGATCACGGACATGCCTGGGCAAGAACATCTCCCTGATGGAGATGTCGAAGCTCGTGCCGCAGCTGCTCCGTCGATACCACGTCCGACTGGCCGATCCAAACGCCGAGTGGGAGCTGTTTGACTACTGGTTCGTCAAGCAGGAAGGCCTGAAATGTATCCTGACAAGGAGAGACGACCGGACGAAGGTAGAACGAGGCTAAAGAGGATTGTGGAGATCTAGCGGTGGGCACGCACGCATTATGATATAACGCGTATTCATGAAGAACCAGTGGGCAGCAAGCACAGCCTCTGCGGAAACGTTCGTGGTTATGTCTTGGATATACCTTCTTGCCTTGACGGCTAGGTTTTAGGAGAACAGAAAGAATGAACATTAAGAATAATAGAGGAAAGGGACAAGCCCGTTGTTTCTCCGGGGAAAGGGCTGGCAAAAGTGTCGCGTTGTTCCAGACACTTCAGCATTGAGACATAACAATCAGGAATCTATACCCCGGTTCGATTCTATCTATATAGCAAGATGTCCGGGTCTGGTATCTACAAAGTCTTGACGGCGTCTATAAACGCTTTCGTTTTGTCAGAACTCCGTCGACCGTCAACTTCGATCCCCGAACTGACATCCACGCCGACAATGTTTTGGCCTATATATTCTTCGCCCAGTTCCTTCAGCACCGTCCGTACATTGTCCGGAGTGAGTCCTCCCGCGAGGATCACCTTGAGACTGTCATCCTTTTTAAATAGCGTTTTCACGTCATCGAGGTTGACCCTCGTGCCTGACCCACCAGAACCAGCATCTAACAAGGGCAAGGCATGATAGCCTCTTCTGTTGATCCCGCAGTCCTTCGGTGAGAACGCTTTCAGGACAGGAACTGGGATCTGCCTCGCATATTCCAGGGGTTCTGAGCCATGAAGCTGTACCGCATCCAATCCAAACTTCCGGACTTGCTGGATAATGTGGTGAAGGGGCGCATCAACGAATACACCGACGAGAAGGGCACGGTCGGGCTGGAGGAGGAGCTGGGACGAGGTGTAGCTGAAGAAATCCGCGCTGCCAACTCCTTCAACCCCACTGACGGGTTTCGAAGACGCCGCGCGAGGCGTTCCTTTCACAACCTTCGCTATTTGTAGCGCCACATCGTCCGAAACGTAGCGCGTTCTGCCAGGCACGAGAATAATGCCGATTTGATCTGCACCAGCCTCAATCGCTGCTTTGGCGTCTTCGGGTGTGCGCGTGCCGCAAATTTTAACCGTAAGTTGCCTGTTTCGTGCTGCCTTTTGTGCAGGGACATCGGGATCTCCTACTAGCGAGGCAATAAAGTCCACGGGATTCGATGCCCTCATCAAGGCCTCGCCAACCAGAATTGCTTTGACACCATCCTTTTTGTAGGCTTGCACATCTTGAGGACCAAAGATTCCACTTAATGCGCACACAATTGTGGACTTGGGGACTTGATCCATCAGTCGACTTGTCGTTCCCAGATCAACCTCGAAATTTGTGAGATTGCGATTGTTCACGCCAATGACTTCGGCGCCCAACTCAACCGCAATTTTCATCTCCTCTGCCGTATTGACTTCGACAAGAGGCTCCATTCCCAGCGATCTCGAGTAGTTGTACAACCTCGTCAATGTCTCCACGTCAAGCATCTTCACAATCAGTAAGACTGTGTCTGCGCCGGCAAGCCGTGCCTCCAGAATCTGGTACTCGTCAAAGATGAACTCCTTACGCAGCACCGCGGGTCTATTGGGCATGCTATCGAGAGCCTGGCGGACGAGTCTCATGTCTTCGAGGCTTCCTTTGAACCACTCCGGTTCTGTCAAGACGGAAATGACGCTGGCACCGGCGGTTGCATATTTTCGTGCCTGCGCTGGAGCACACGTCCCGAGGGATATGATGCCTTTTGAAGGGGAGGCTCGTTTGACCTCAGCCAGGAGGGCAATTGGGTAAGGAGACTGTCGGAGCCTTTTTGGGAACGAAATTTGAGGGGGAGCAAGACCGAGGTCATAGGCATCTTGGAGATCTTCCAGTCGCTGGGATGGGATGAGCCTCTGAGCGGCGACGGCTTGTCGTCGGTGAGCGTAGATTTTGTCCAGGATGGATTCTTTCTTCGCAGGTGCTGCCCCATTCAAGGTGGCTTTGGCATCTGCCTTGGGAGCCGCATACTGAGGATTGTCCGACCACTTTCCGCCAGACATTTGCAGGAAGTTCTTGAACATGACTCTACCATTCTCTGTCAGGATACTTTCGGGGTGGAATTGGACGCCTTCAATGACATATTCTTTGTGGCGGACACCCATAATCACGCCCTTGCCTCCATCCGGTCCTTTGGCTATCCAAGAGGAGACCTCCAGCGACTGCGGAAGGGTCGGATGTGTCCCCGCGAGCGAGTGGTATCTTGTGACAGGTAGGTCTTGTGCCAATGTAGTATAACATCCTTTGCCATCATGCCTCAAGGGAGAGGTCTTCCCATGGAGGATCTCTCCAGTAACATCGACTTGACCACCAAAGGCCGAGATTATGCATTGTTGTCCCATACACACGCCTAGGATCGGAATCTTGCCCGCAAAGTATTTGATTGCGTCTTGACTTATGCCCGCGTCCGTGTCAGGGTGGCCTGGGCCAGGGCTGATGACCAATTGCGTTGGCTTTTTGGCAATAAGCTCTTCAAGAGCCACTTTGTCGTTTCGGTACACTGTAACGGAGGCACCTTCAAGGACGAGGTACTGGTAGACGTTCCAGGTGAACGAGTCATAATTGTCGATGAGGACGAGATTGTTTGCCGACGGCAGCTTCTGGGCAGGAATGGGTTGATAGGGAGAGTGATCGATCAGAGCAGCGGGCGCCATGGCTGGTTTCGAGTCTTGGTGGTAAGTTGGAAGTGAAAACCTCCTCTGCTGACGGGGAGAAGAGAAGTTCAACTCTGGTGGAGGAGCCACTTGCTTGTCGTTCGTACCTCGCCATTTATTTCGATCGTGACCGCAGTTTTGCCGGGTGACTTTAGCGCACGTCCTGCAAGGTTAATCGGACCTCTACCCGCACTTCTGTGAAAGAATGTCTGGTCAATCAGGCGTACAGCTCAGTATCACTCTGTGACGATGGAAAGTATGTCTATTCCTGGCGCTACGTCTTTGTACTGGTATTCTTCAATGCTCTACGTGGATTCTCTACTCCCAATGCCTAAGCTACCTCCAACTGGCCTTACTGGTGGGTCTTTTTTTGCTTGGGCATTTCAGCGTCAGGTCGAGCCACTGATCCACCATCGAGGCATCAGTATTGAACAAAGACACAACAAGAAGGATGGAAAGGTCGCCTAAAGGCGAAAATGCGGAAATGCCAATCGGGAAATTTGGTACAAGACCTCGATCATGCTAGAAAACCGCAAATCATATTGAGGTAGGCTGGAGGCATCGACCTTTGTCAGAGTCTTGTAGAGCTGGTATGACTCCTGTGGCAGCCGATTGTCAAGCTTGTGTGCATTCCCCGTGGTGGAATTCACTTATGGTCTTCTCCCTGCAGCTCTTTTCCTTCGACAATCGACTCAATAAAAGGCTGCACCAACTGCTGAAATTCATTAGGCTTCGAGGAGAAGACTACGTGTCCAGCATCGATAAAGACTAGCCTTGCCTGGGGCATGTACATCTTGGTCGCTTCCGCAGATGCCTTCGAAAAGAGCGGATCTCGCGACCCCCAAACGAGCAAGACTGGGGCTTTGATGCTCTCTGCTCGAGAACGAAGATCATGGCCGGGATCCAAGAAGCTGCGCCACAAAGCGGCAGCAGTTGACGCACCCTCGCCGCTGCTTGCCCTGGCCTTCACTCTGCGGGTGATGTCCTCGTCATGACTCGTTTGAGGACTCATATACTTCCCCACAAGATGCGGCGTCACCAAGCGTGACACAGTTGCAAACCCCAGCAGTCGAGCAAACAACCGGGAGATGAGAGTCCATTCAACAAATCCGCCGGCATTAACAAGGATCATTCCTCGAACTTTGTCCGGATGGGTGACGGCCAGCCTCGCCGCGGCAAATCCTCCCACTGAGTTACCAATGAAGATGGCCGGTTCCAGCTTCAAGCCCTCGACAATGTCTTCTAGTATATCTGCGAATCCAACGGCACTGAGATATTCCTTACTTGATCCCCCCTGGGAGTTCCCGTGCCATGGCCAGTCCACGCTAATCGTTTGGTATCTCTCAGCCAGACGTTCGGCAATGACCTCGTAATCTCGGCTGTCGTGGAGCGTTGCATGTAACAGGACGATTGGCTGGCCTTTGCCTTGAATAGAGTACGAAATGTCTCCCGCTCTGGTGGGAACCGAGTGCATGGTTGGAGTCATGATGTGCTGCGGTTGACGACCGACGTGACAGACTCCAGGAAAAGAAACAATGAACATGAGAGTGGTGTCTCTTAATGTACACTCTGTCGAACCATGGGGCCAATCTGTGGTGCTATGGATGCGAAGCACAGACACTGCGCAGTCTTGTACTTTCGTACGAACGAGCCAATCACAAAGCATCAGAGGGCTGGGCTAACTTCTGTCCGACGGGCAGACTTGAAATTAGCATGCTGTTGGAGAGACGCTTGTGTCAACAGGCGTGTCTATTGCAGGGACCAGGTTCTCTCTTCGAGATGCTGCCGTCGACCGTTCCGCCGTATACGTATCGAGACGACCTCTGCTTGCGGGATCCGTTGAATCTGCCACTTTGGCTTCTCTATGCTGCATCCTCACCGGTCCGGTGCCTTTACGCCCGCCTCAAGCCTTGTATTAGTGCCAGTAGTCTCACCGTCTCGTGTAGCCCGACTTCGTATCTTGATTCTGGTGGCTTTCCTTTTGCCGAATACGTCGGAGGAGCAGTAACATGGTCGAGATCGTTGTTGGTTGGGACAGAGGATGCGCAGGTTGCTACAGTGTCGGCACCTTCGCGTTCGGACTGGCCTGTTTCTTCTCTCCAGGCACGGGATAGAAGGATCAAATAGATGGCTCAAAGACGACTTTTCTGGTCGTTTGGGCGGTTTGTGCAAAACATGCCGTCTCGTGGAATCCTGTGCGTTTTCTTTAGCGAGAATCATCAAGGATTGTCATCGCTATTTTGCAGGACACGAGAGGGGGAATGCTGCACTAGCCTAGCCATGATCAGAGACGACCTCGAGGGTTGCCAGTTGACGACTTTGTGTGCGTTTTTGTCGTCGTCCCAAGGTCCATGATTCGTGAAATCAGTCTCATTGATTTTGGTATGAGTTCGCAGGGAGAAGGCAACAAGACCAAAGTGGATCAGTTGTTACAACCCCAGACTCTGATTCCTCCATATTATCAAGAGGTTGAGCAGGTGGAAGATTGTTGATTGATAATGGGGTCCTTTGTCCGTTGACCTCAATGGTCAACCGAGGTCAGCAAATGGATTTCGGACTTCGGGATTGATTCCTAATACGGACGTATCCCAAGAGTCCAAGACAATCATCCCGACTCCAATGAGATATAAGACAGCGCGACGAGGGGGAACTCCCTCCTAGAAAGGATTCCGAAGTGGCACCTCATTTCCTCTCTTGATTTCTGGACGAACATCCTAGACTCATAGATCTGCCCAACCTCTCCGATCTCGCTCTTGATGGCTCCAAAACTCTACGCCTCCAAGGTGTCTGGGAACTGCTACAAGGTCCGCCTCCTGGCCAGCTTACTCGATATTCCCCTTGAACAAGTTGAAATAGACTTCTTCAACCTACAGCACCGTTCACCGGAGTTCTTGGCCTTGAACCCTCGCGGCGAGCTGCCAACGCTGGTCGACCAGGGGAAAATCTTCAACGACTCCAGCGCGATCCTGATCTATCTCGCCGGCACGAACCCCGATAGAGGCTCCAGCGCGGGCCCCTCGAGCTACTGGTCCGCCGACGTTGTGGACCAGGCCTCTATCGTGGACTGGCTCGCCTTCGCGGGCAGCTGGATCCATGCCGGACTCTCCAAGGCCAGGGCGATCGTGGCGTTCCATTGGCCGCCCAACGCCAGCGAGGTGGACCTTACAGAGGCAAAGAACAAAGGAGTGAAATCGCTAGAGATTCTGGAGGAGAGGCTGGCGAAGGAGCAATGGTTGGCCTTGTCAAGGCCGACAATCGCGGATGTGGCCGTGTTTGTCTATGTTGCCTTGGCTGAGATGGGCAATGTCCCGTTGGCACCATACCCTGCTGTTAGGGCGTGGATCGACAGGATCAAAGGGCTACCTGGATTTGTTCCACTGGATGGCTTGGATAAGGCGATGGGCTAGAGCTGAGGTACAGGACAAGTTGGATGTTAGAAGGTATTGCGGCTGGTTTGCAGCAACGCAAAAAATCAAATGCGGATGTAACTCGACACATTTATCAGGGTACCAAAGAGTCCGGTCTAGTCAACACCTCTACATTCCTCAAATCGCGGTACCATAAGTATTGGATAGTGGGGATAGAGGATGTTAGGGTGTGAGGGAGACATGTCAAGCTACAGCAACCTCGGGTGTGTATTGACCGAATCAAATCTCACGTTTAGCCATAGTCTAGCAAAGAGAGCTGAGCTCCCTAGAACATAAAAGCCGTTGCACCAAGGCGCTATTTGTACACCATGAATACTTTTAGTTGGATATGGCTCAGTGATGGAGCTAGACCGAAACAGGAAATTGGAACACCGCATCAGCCAAACCCACCTAATTGTTTTCTTGGCGTGTGCAAAACACCCAAAATTTCAATTTCGCTGTGCCTGGATGGATGTGGCAGCCTCGTCACAGGCAGTGAGCTTGCAACACTCACCAGCCCACGTGCTCTTTCGGGGACGGTTTCACTACCGGAGGAAATCTCTCGTGTCACAAAGCTCTGATTGGAAACCTAAGACATTTTCTCAATACAGATATGGAGGACACATCGTCACCGCCACCTCGGAAGGAGCAGAATTGGCGCTCCACGGCCTCGACCAACTGGCGCGTCAAAGACGATACACCGCGCTTGGAGCAGCAACAACCTCGAGCGCGGACTAACCGTAACCAAAACGGGCAATCCACATCATACACAAACAACAATGGCAACAGCAATTCAGCCCAACCAGCTGATGAAGCGGCGGGGACGAGGCTTTACATCGGCAATCTCCTCTATACCGCTCAGGCCTCCGACATCAAGGAAATGTTCGTTGAGAACGGTTTCAACGTCGTCGGTATCAGCATGTCTACGGATCCCTTTACAGGACGAAACCCGAGTTACTGCTTTGTAGACGTGGAAAGCCCGGAAGAGGCCCAGAGGGCGATGAGTCAGTTGAATGGCGTGGACGTCCTCGGAAGACCAATCAGAGTCAGCCTCGGTGTGGCCAGAAGGCAGGGTCAGGGCCAAAGCAACGCAAGTGGCACCACGGGTGGGAGGGAGGCCAGAGTTAAGGACTTTGAGCGAGGTTGGGGAAGGGTTCGCGAGTCGAGGGAGCAGAAAGGTGAGCACCCCCAACAACATCATAGCGCGAGCGCACAATCTCCTGGCTTGTGTCCTAACGAAGCCCTTCCATGAACTTGACGGTGCATGATCTGACGAACCGCGTCATTTTCAGACACTGAATACAACCCAACATTCGACCGTTGGAGTCGCAATGATGCCACTTCTCACTGGACAGCGCCCCAGTCGGAAGGACGACGGCTCTATATCGGCAACATGCCTCGAATCGAGCCGCAATCAGCGCATGACGAGGAAGTGCGGGCTCTCTTTAGCCAGTACGTCCCAGACATTACGCCAACGGCGGTGTCGAAACAGATTTCACCGCGTGTCCCCAAGCCCGACCAGCCAGGGAATCAGTACTACTGTTTTGTTGACCTAGAGAGATCAGAGGACATCGACATTGTGATTGGGGCATTGGACGGCAAGGAGGGCAGCTGGGGTGGCGCTGTCAGAGTCAATCGGGCCAAGGGCTCGGACAGGAAGGTCATCAAGGAGCAGGGCTTGGGCAGCGGCGAGCGACGGACCTTTGGCGAAGGCAATTGGAGGAAGGATTAGTTGCACGCCTAGGCTCAAACATGAGGTTTCATCCGCAGCTTCGAGGAAACGAGGACGTCTTGGAAAAGAGCATGGTAAAGAGGGAGGGCAGCCGTGGAAGTGAAAATCAGCAACATGCGTGACCTTGGACAGACGCTTTCTGGGTGATCATTCTCGTTTGGAAGTCTCCAAAATCGATCACGTTGGTTGAGACTACGACACAATACGAATATCGCGGCGCAAGGGTAGCTGATGGTTCCCTCGCTGGTGAGCGACTTTGAACAAAGAGAGTGGCACATCTGACCAAACGGAGGGGCTTTTTGATGGCAAAGTTACATTGAGTCATTCTGGAATCGAATTCGCTTTTCTTTCTTAGACTCGTAAATCGAGCCATGTTCTCTATCCTTCCGCTGTCTTTACCGGCTGTTTTTTATATAGTGGCTCGTGCCTCGTTATTGAGCATCCTTGAGCTCTTTTGGATGTAACGTGTATTCTTGTCGAGAAACTGTCCCCCTACTTACTCTTCCTATTTGTTTTGCTAGGGAGATCCTGTAGATATCTGTGGGGTATATCGCCATGAGGATAGCAGAGCGGGCCAGTATCGACGTGATGGGGCCGGCGACCTACCTTGCCTCATCTGCGTCTCCTTCTACGCCTTGGATGTCAACTTCAAGGGGTAGTCCGTACTCTCGATCGCATCTGGGTAGACCAAGCCGCACTGCTTCCTCGCTTCATCCATAACCTCCATGATCAGCGTCGATTCCGCCCAAGATATGGTTTCGGATTCTAGTTTCCCAGCAAGCAGACAGCGTGCCGCAGCGTCGGCTTCGTACTGATGTGCGCGGTGAAGACGTCAGTTGGACTGTTCTCGCTCGCCACCAAGGCGAGATCATGAAGGGAATATCTGATTAGAGACTTGGGTTACATACCATCATGCCGTGACACCCACCCTCGAACTCGAATTTTCGGTCGAGAATCTCCGCTGCTGGGTCCTTCGGTATCAATCGATATCGTGTCGGCCGGTATATCGGGCCATATACTTGGATCTCGCCCGTTTCGCCTTCAATGCGTACTGCGGGGGTTTCCACATCTCCTTTCCCGGCGTGTCGTCGCCCTGGGTCGTCGCTGACACGCATCGCTGTGGTAGCCACCGCGTGAGATCTCGTCTTTCCCGTAGGAGTCGATTTGGGAAATTCGAGGAGTATCAGAGTCGATTCATCGGCGCCGGTCCGTGGTTCTGGGGTCATTGCCGCCCCAACCACTTTGGGACGAGATTGTTCCCGAAGGTGCGAAGGTAATGTGTGGTACATTGATTGGAAGACCCATGTAAGAGAATAAATACCCAAGTCGAGCAGAGCCCCGCCGGCCAGGTCAAGATTCACCATGCGATGGCCCGGATCAAACTCTTTCTCGGGTGACACCCCAATACTCAGATCTGACAGCACTCGTATCACCTCGCCAATGTCATTATCTGTGATGTGTTTTCGAATGGTCTGACTGAGTGGGAAATACCGCGTCCAAACAGCCTCCATGAAAAAGAGGTTCTTCTCTTTCGCAGTCTTGTATAGAATCTTAGCTTGTGCGGCGTTGACTGTGAGGGATTTCTCGCAGAGCACAGATTTATTGTGGGAGAGACAGAGCATGGCGTTTTGGTAGTGGTGCGAGTGTGGCGAGCCAATGTAGATAATATCCACCGCCGGGTCTTTTACGAGTTCCTCGTAGGAGCCGTAGGGGGTGCACTTTGCGGACTGAGACGCGGAGACGATATTGGAAATGAACTTTTCTGCGGAGGATAGAGACGAGGAGGATGCGACCGCGGTAACGATGTGACGAAAGTCCGTGACATTACGAGTCGAAGGGTCGACAAGAAGATCTTTGGTAAAGGTCTGTGCGATTCCACCAGTGGCTACAGCATATTGTCAGTCGAAGGGAAGCGCGGAATTGGCTGTTTTGTAACATACCCATAATGCCCCAACGGACTTCTTTGGGCGAAGACATGGTTGCAAGGACCTGCACGGTGAGCAACTGGGTAAATAAAGTAAAGGATACGAAAGAAATGTCAAAATGCTGCAAAATATCGTGGCAATGTACAGCATTGAAAGAAATCTCGTGGGGAAGAGTTATTTGTATCAGACGCGCGCGGGGTATGCAACCAGCAAGCGGATCGACAGACGTGGTAAGCCGCCCGAGGACGGTTATTCAGCCTGATATTAAAGATTGGCGGCCATTGATCACAACCGGCCGTACGTCGTCGGTTGCCTCCCCGGAAATGGTCAAAAATGCTCGGTCTCTTGGGTAGGTACTCGGTTTGGTCGGATCTGACTCCGAGATGTTCATTGCTGTCTTCATATGTTTGCTGAATAATTTTGGGCGTCCTCTGCAGTCAGTTGGTGCATGGGGAAGCGGGTAAGATTCCGGATATTGCATTCTGGGACGAGAGGGATAAACAAGGGACGCGTGGCTTGCTTGTGCCAATTAAGTCTTGTATTCGTCTCGCGAAAGGCGCAAGATATGTACTCAAAGTCAGAACCCTTTTCCGCATGAGACTCACCAATTTCCTGGGGATGTTGGACACCCAGTTCCCGTAACTTGTACACATTTGCAAACCTGGCATGAATTCTTTTTCAAAGTCTCTTGGATAGTGTCATTCCAGCCGCCAATTCGGTGCTTGCTCCGGAGCTTGATGCAAGGAGGTCCTTCTTCATTGTCCTGCACGCACGTCTACCGCAGTCCGATCTTGGTCAGGATGCTGCCGGTGGCTGGGGTCTTGGAGTCACCGAAAACAGAGAGAATGCTCTTCCAAACATGTTCCGGGTCCTGGCTGGCGTCGATCCCGGACCAGATACCTTTGTTCTTGTAGTAGGTCACCACAGGGGTTGTTTGTGCGTGATATGTTCCCAATCTCTTCTTAAGAGTCTCGGCATTGTCATCGGTTCTTTGGATCAGTGGCTCTCCAGTGACATCGTCCTTCATGAACTCCTTTGGTGGATTGAAGACCTTGTGATATGACCGACCCGAGGCTGGGTGGATTAGCCGGCCTGTGATGCGGGAGACGAGTAGTCCGTCGTCGATCTGGAGTTCGATCGCGTGCTTCAGAGGTTTGTTCTCTGCTTCAAGCATAGAGTCGAGGCCTTCAGCTTGGGCGACCGTCCGGGGGAAGCCATCGAGGATAAAGCTGGCAGTGTCAGTAACGAAGGACATGATACCTGTAGCACAGAATCTTACCCATTGGCGCATTCGCGGTTGGTGTCCAACTCGTTCTTGATCATGTTGATCATAATGTCGTCGCTAACCAGGCCACCTTGGTCCATGATCTTCTTAGCTTCTTTTCCCAAGGGAGTCTTTTTTGCAACTTGTGCTCGAAGCATGTCACCAGTGGCCTAGGAGAACTGTCAATGTCTGGTCTGGGGCTGTTGGAGGCATATGGGCATACCAGATGACACACGCAGTATTTTTCTTTGATTCGGGGAGCTTGAGTTCCCTTGCCTATGGAGAGCGTGTCAGTTAACGCGTATGGTGATGGGGAATGCCACACCCACCTGCGCCTGGGGGACCGATGAGAATCATGCGCATTGCGTCCGTGACCGAGGGCTTCTTTTCGCCTTCTAGCCTTCGCTCGAGAGACCAGACTCGAGCTTCGAGCTTGTGAACAAGGTCTTTCAGGTCCTCGACATGTTGATCGGTGATTGGAGCCATGCTGGCTACGTAGCTAAGCGAAGGGGACCTGACCAAGGTCGAAGGTTGGGCAGATAGCTAGAGTGCTTGCTGTGGCTCCTTGCTAGGTGAACTGCAAGTGAGCAGGAAAATGAACGAGAGGAAGGGATACGGGATGAGAAGAAAGCTGCCACAGAAATGCAGAGGTGTTACGAAAGCAATTGCTTTGTGAGCTTTCAAAAGTTCAGCGAGGACGAGAATCCTCCGGTTTACCGGGCCACGGGCGTTGCACCAGCCTCCCGAGGTGTCGACCTGACCTCCGGCTTGCCAAGAGGTCACGTTTTTTGTTTGTCGGCGAGCCGGTGTCAAAAATAAGTGGCACAGTCTGACAAGAAATAGCAATGAGGAGCGATTCGCTATTGACTCAATTGCACCCCTATCCTCATTAATCATTATAGCGATATTTGATCTGGCGCCCGCCGCAATCGCAATTAAGAGGGCGTCTACTTTTTGTCAGACTGTGCCATTTTTTTCTTCCAAAAGCTTGTCGGATGGATGAGCGCACAGCGCAGACAGCTGAGAGCCACACAAGCCACAACTGCGCACAGATTCCTTTCCCTTGTCCCGAAAGTATTCCGATCGTCTCTTCGCCTTGACCTCATCCTCGCCTCCCGAACTATGGAGCACATCCTATGGTTGAGCTCAACATCCACAACAATGTCCGTCCCAACGGCTTTGTGGCAACCCAGCCAGAACTAGGTGAAACAAGCAGACATCTGCGCCCGCAATTGTTTCCAGAAAACACCAGCATGCACCCGGGTTGTCTAACCATGGGCATATTTTACATCATTTTCCGCCGTGTGACCGCGAAGTTCGAGTTTTGTCTGCCCATCGCTCCAGAGTTTCAAGGAGAATGCACGCTGTACTATCGAATCAGAGTTTCCAACGCCCAAAGGCGACCCTAGAGACCATCTGCGCCAATGAGCACCGGATTAGAACTCTCTAGCAAAACACTGTCCTGACTTTCACTTCTTTCGGAACAGAGGCTGCTAATACCGTGGGTGACTATCCCTATCAAAAGCAAAGAGATTTGGAGTCAAAAAAGGCTTGATGTCCTGTCTTGTGCGGCCAAGAAGATTGCCCCCAGATATCTAACGCTTGTTGAGTCGTGAGAGTCGCCGGAAGTCTACGGGACTACAGGATTTTGGGAGCAACTGCTGTCCATGCGCGACATGTCAAGCGATGCTTGTATAGCTGACAGTGCCGGTCAAGGTAACGAGCTGTATGTTTGATCCTGTGAAAGTCGCTACAACTTCTTGATCTTGGTGAATGTGAGGCTCATACCAGCTGGCTTACTTATGAAGACAGCGGTCGATTTTAAGCTCAGCTCCGGAATCTGACTGACTAGGTTCCTTGACGCAATTCAGTCTACGATATTCCGCCGTAAGACAATGCTTATAGCCACAGCTTCGCTATTTACAGCTTCGCTATTTCTACCCTATCAATGCTCAGTTGAGGCGCTGAGACCTTGCAGACAAGGATAAAGACGGGATATACGGAACTCTGAAAGCTTGCCTCGAAACCCTATTCGCTTGGATGCGATTTTGGCCCTGACATCGACTGGGTATGACCAGAGACAATCTGGAAGTCGCCAGGGGAGTCAAAACTGGCCTACTGCATCAAGCACGTCGACACTCCCTTGTATCTCAAGAGGTCTGATACGTCTATTTTGAGCTTCATTGACCCAAATTCAAGTCCTTTTTCTTCAATATCTTCACAAGAACTGCGCCGGGCGAGTATTCTGACCCTTTCAGACAGTTTTTATCGGCATTTATCATGCGGTTTGACTTTCCAAGAAGTGTTGGATGGATTTCACTACAAACCAGGGTCACCTCTGAACCATTTTTACACAGACAGCTCCAAAGGCTACCTCGCTACGTCCACGACGTCGGATTGGCTCTGACCAAGACGCAGAGAAAATACCTACGACATGGACGGGTCTTCGGGTCTTTGTACACTTTGTCCAGGACGAGTCCGCGAATCATCAGGGCTCTGTCAGCTGATACTGACACCACCTCACAACGTTTCATCTCGCCGAAACATGCTACAGAGTACTACGGTGGGGGAGGACCCTTTCCCGGAACAGTGCAGTGTGACAGCACAGACTGCGCTGGGTACCGACAGGTTCTTATACCACATGATTGGCAATCTTCGCCAATAAAGAGACTCGCTAGTCTGCTTGTTGCGGTGAAGGGAACATCTATGCATGCGAGAGAGCCCCCAAGTGCTGAAAAAGGTAAAGCAAAGCAAAGAGCGGTCTCAACACCGCTTTCTGCCGAAGCAGACGGCGATCTCGGGACGATTTCTCCTCATTTCGTTACCTAGTCCTTTCTCAATGGCTGGGAGTTGAGAAGCGCAATTGAATATATCTTGTTGAAAAGCAGGTTTTTCAATTTCCCCGCATTTTCTTCTATCTGGTTTACAAGCCGTTTCCGGATCGACGGCACTTAGAACGCCACAACGTCTAAGGCTGTGAGGAGTCGAGTCTCGTGAATTGCCAGCAAACCAAAACGGTCTACATGCGAACCAAGCATTTTCAAGCATATATAAGAATTGTCAAGCTCGTGTCTAGGGAAGTGTAACTAATTTTCGACCCCCGACGTAACAGAATGTTTTGTCCCTGGATCATTTTTGGTGCCATCCCCTGGGTGAATGCTCTTCCCAGTGCGGCTCCTTGCGCCAACTCACTTCCCAAACCAAATGTCCCAGGAGCTATCGTTACCTCTCTCACTGCATCGGTAGTCGATAATTATGCCATCAATATCACCGGCGAATCAAACAATTGGCCTGGTCAGAACATTACGGGACTCAGCTTCTGTCAGGTCAATGTTAGTCTGACTCATCCGGGGACCGGGGATCATGTCAACAACCAGGTATGGCTTCCTCTGACCGGATGGAATGGTATCTTTCTCGGCGTGGGAGGCGGTGGATATGTTGCTGGATCCTGGTCGTCGTTGGCACCGGCTGTTGAGCGTGGGTATGCCGCCGTATCTACCGACGCAGGACACGCTCAGAACAACTCTGGAGACGCCACATCCTGGGCACTGATCAGTCAAGGTGATGTTAACCAGAATCTCCTCCTTGACTTTGCGTCCAGGTCAGTCCATGATATGACGGTGCTGGGAAAGGCAGTCACCGCCAGTTTCTATGGATCTGCGCCCAAGTATGCGTACTGGCAAGGCTGTTCCACCGGCGGCCGCCAAGGTCTTATGGAAGCACAGATGTACCCAGATGATTATGATGGCATCGTCGCGTCCGCTCCTGCAATCAACTGGAATGACTTCACACCAGCTCAGCAATGGCCCTACACCGTGATGAACAATGAGCACTATTCTCCTCCTCAATGTGAGTTTGACGCTGTTAACGCTGCTGCAGTGGCAGCGTGTGACCATCTGGACGGTCTACAAGATGGTATTATTGGTGCGCCTGGACTTTGCAAATTTGATCCTTCCGAGCTTGTGGGTAAGAACTATACCTGCCATACGGATGGTTCAACTCGACGCTTTTCGAGCCAGACTGCGACTGTTGTGAAGAAGATTTGGCAAGGGCCCACCGCTGCCAATGGCACGGCCTTCTGGTATGGAATTCTTCCTGGCACCAATTTCAGCTCGTTAGCGCCGACCGAGACGTTCACGAATGGAAGCACGGTCGCCGAACCATTTGGTATTTCTGACAGTTGGTTCCGCGATTTCTTGTTCAAAGACGCCAACTACAACACCTCCAACATTACTTACGCCGAGTTTCCAAGCTTGATCCATCAATCTCATGTGGAATATGATGCCGTCATGGGGACCATGGATGCAAACTTGTCCGCCTTCAAAGCTTCCGGGGCAAAGATGATCACCTGGCAAGGTCTGGCTGACAACCTGATTATGCCGAATGGGACGATAGAATATTTTGAAAGAGTCAAAGCCTTGGATTCTAATGTCACAGATTTCTATCGTGTATTCTTTGCTCCCGGCGTGGGACATTGTGGCGGCGGAGGAACTGGCCCGATTCCAGACGACACTCTCATGGCTTTGAGGAAATGGGTGGAGAATGGAACGGCTCCGCAAGTGCTGCCTGGATCGAGCGGGTTCAGGGTCAATGGCACCGTTCGACATCAGGACTTGTGTCTCTATCCCCTCGTATCAAAGTACAATGGAAAGGGGGATCCAGCGAATGCTTCCAGTTTTACGTGCACGAAGAATTTCTGAGCCATTGGAAGAGTCATAGCTCAACGGGGTTCCTTGCGAGATGAAACCAAGTCTATTCCCCATGTGAGAAAATGCCACTGTCACTGTGCAAGAGATAACGTAGAGATTCGACTTGACTGCATAACATAACGTACGGACATTTGTTCGTTGGATGATTTGTATGGAGCCTGATGCACCTCAGCCTTGTGAATCCCTGGCTTCTGATTGGTCAACATCCCATGCCTGGAAAACTCCTGGAGGATTCAGCCTGTCGATCCTCCATCATTCAACAATCATATCAGATTCTGATGATCCCTCTCTAATGTTATTAAATAGAGTTTCTTATTATCCTACTCTAGACTCTGATTCTGGCCATATCTTGACGAAGACTTCCTTCAGCGCCTTGGATCGACTTCGCGGCGTTGACATCTCATATGCAATCTTCAACAACTGTCAATCGTCGTCAGCCGTAATCACCACTTTTGATTGAATATACTGCAACATCCCATCGGAATAAAAGCCGCTTGTGACGCCTACAAATGCAGCGTCTGTCCTCCTTAGTGAGGACGATAAGTGGCGGTGGAAGCATCACCGGATTAGAAGGTAAGACAACACAGAGATGAGCCCGATCTGGTCTACGGGCGCTTCATCGGGGTTTTCACTACACAGTAATCTTGTCTGGTGGCACTAGCTTACAGCCCAAAGATCCAAAACCGGAAGACAACAGGACATTGTTCCAAGCGTTTGAGTGGTATCTCCCGCCGTCTTCAAGCGACAGTGCCCTCCCGAATGCGAGCCACTACGACACCCTGACAGCTCTGCTTCCACATCTCTCTGCCTTGGGCATCTCGCACATCTGGATTCCTCCGGGCTGCAAAGCCACATCGGTGCATGACAATGGGTACGGGATATACGACCTTTGGGATCTTGGTGAGTTTGACGCGAAGAAAAACGGTAAACCGTCAAGAACGAAATGGGGTCATAAGGAAGAGCTAGAAGCCTTCTGTGCAAAGGCAAAAGATATGGGGATAGACGTCCTCTGGGATGCTGTCCTCAATCACAAAGCCTCTCCAGACGGAAAAGAAGTGAGCTGGGGCGTCAAGGTCGACTCTCATGGTAAGTGGCAGCCATAACAATGAATCAACTGGGGCTAAGTACGCAACAGACCGGACAAAGGCCCTCACCAAGCCCTATGAGCTGGAAACATGGACCAAGTTCACCTTTCCTGGGCGCGGCACGAAGTACTCGGACATGAAATACAATTGGAAGCATTTTTCTGGGGTCGACTACGATTCCCGCACGAAAGACCACGGCATCTTCAAACTCGTTGGCGAAGGGAAGCGAAGTGACTGGGCACACGATGTCAGTAAGGAGCTGGGGAATTATGACTATTTGTAGGTTGCTCTGCCCGGATATCTCGCACTACTTTGGAGTTGGAGAACCCACGAAACTCACACATTGTCCCACAGGATGTTCGCAGACCTTGATCACTCGCATGCTGCTGTGCAGGAGGATATCTTCAACTGGGGAACTTGGATAACCTCGCTGCTGAACCTTGGCGGCTTCCGGTTGGACGCCATCAAGCACTATTCTCTGTCCTTTCTGGCAGACTTTCTTGCACATCTCGACACGAAATCATTGCGAGGGAAAAAGTTATTTTTCGTTGGAGAATATTGGGATTCTGATGTGGACACATTGTCTTCAGTCATCCGGAGATGTCATGGGCGGTTGAATTTGTTTGATGTTCAGCTGGTATACACGTTTAGCGACTTTTCAAAGGGCAGGAAGCATGATTTGAGAACGATCTTGGACGGGACCCTGGTACAGAAGGATCATACCCATGCAGTGGTAAGACCCTTTCAACACGATGTTCCCGAACGTGCCGAAATTTTGCAAAAATTCTGACGAGCCCCGTGCTCCTAGACGTTCGTTGCGAACCACGACACACAAGAAACGCAGTCTCTGGCTGCGCCCGTCGAAGAGTGGTTCGTGCCGCTGGCTTACGCACTGATTCTGCTTCGCCACAACGGCGGAACCCCCTGCGTCTTCTGGGGGGACGTCTTTGGCAACCATGGACCGCGGCCTCGACTCCCGTCGTGCGGTGGCAAGCTTGCGCGCCTCGTCGCCGCGAGGAAGCTCTACGCCCATGGCCCGCAGAGGGACTATCTCGATTTGGAGGACTGCATTGGCTGGACGCGACTGGGCCACAAATCCAGAGCGAACGGGGCCGGCCTCGCGGTCGTCATGACCAATAGCTGGGACCGGCGGTCGAAGCGAATGTTTGTGGGTCACAGGCACATTGGGGAGAGGTGGAGGGACATTCTCGGCTGGGAGGACAGAGAGGTCGTGATCGACTCGAAAGGATTCGGGACATTCCCTGTTGGCCACCGGTCCGTTGGGGTCTGGACACACGACAAGGCCCCCGATTTCGACAGGATCACCAGGTTCACGTTTCCCAGGTTGGGGCACAGTGCCGCCGCACCGGATCCGAGGGTGCTTCCTGCGTGAGCAAGGCAGAGGGCAGGGCAGGGCAGAGCAGAGCAGGGATCCGACTATTGTACGGCCCTCCCTCCAACCTCCCCTCCCCCTTTTTTTGGAGGAGAAGAAGCGCCAGGACAAATCGTCCGTCCAGCCTTCTCTTCCTCCCAGCTCACTCAGCAACCGCTTCCAGGCTTTGCTTCCAGACACCAGGCCATGTGCGGTGGGTATGTAGGTAGGCAGGAAGGCCCATCGTGTTTCGAGTGGACTGACCGGGTCGAGAAGCCCTACAACCTATGGTCACCGGGCACATGTTCTCCAATATGCCGTTGCCACTGCCACTGCCACGAGGCTTTTTCCATCCCCATGCCACGGGCTATTGACCCTGAGATGCTATGAATCACATTGCCTGGCTTCCCTGGCAGCCTCCTTGGGGAGGTGGCTTCTGGAGAGCCGCGAAACACAGACCACCAAAAAGATGCTATGTACGTGGTCATGGGACTGTCAAAAGTTCCAGCCTCGAATTGTTGTGATATATTCACGGATACTCCGGAGCTGGTCACATAACACACATACAGAGACGCGGGGCGCTGGACGTTTGCGGGACCAGATATTCGCCTCTTAACAGGAACGTGGTCTGACCATGATTATGATGAAGATGCGGTTTTTGTAGAAGGATTTTGTGACTACATTCATTCTGCTATTTGGAAGAGTCCAGGCCCACAACAACACAGTGCAGGATTTGCCTCGTGACAACCAGCCGAGGATCCTCAATATCGCCTCCGACCTTCATCCCAGTACCATTCGGGTTTAGAGCTGGTATTTGAATTCGGGCGATTTGTCGGTGAACTCCTGGGGCGGCGTAACCACACCTTGAGAGCGGAGCTCCTCCTTGCGGGCCTCGCGCTTCTTGTAGAGCACGTACAGAATGTTGAAGACAATGAAGGCGAAAGCCAGACTGCCCAGGGACCAGGCGTGGCCGAGAACAAATTTAGGCGCGTCCGTGGACGCGTAGATCTGGCCGGAAATGATACCGCCAAGGTTGGTGAGGGTGAGCTGGGTACCTACGGACGGGTCATCAGCAAAAAGAAAACATCGTGATCAGCCAGCGGAGACGACTTACCCAAACTTGCAGCTCTCTTCCCGTCAGGTGCCACGTTGCCAGACAGCCAGGCAATATTACCGCCGGTACAGAGGAAGCATGCGGTGGCGATGAGATAAGTTGCGAAATATTGGACTCCCACCGAGACGTCGTCCATTCTCAGAAGGATGGCGTATCCTGCAATGCCGACAGGAGCACAAATCACCATGATCAAGAACCTCTTGTGGTATCTGTCGGAGATGACTGCACCGACGGCGTAGACGATTGCTCCCCAGAGATTGACGGGAATCACGAGATATTGAGCTTGTTTGGTGGAGTAATGCAGTCCGTTCTTGATGATAATGGGCAAGAAAGTGCCAAAACCATAGAGAATGGTGACCACGGCAATCTGACTGACACCGTGCAACCAAGTCTTCGTGTCTTTCCAGGCCAGCTTGAGATCGCTGAGTTTGTAGTGGCCGTCGCCTCCCGAGTAGGATTCTGATAGCTCGGCACGGACAGCCATGATTTTCTTGTCTTCGTCATTGAGGAAGTAGGCGGTCTGGTAGTTCTTTGGGACCAGATAAATGCACATGGCAGCGAAGACGAGCGTGATAAGACCCTCCAGGATATAGAGCCACCGCCAACCAGGGTAATCGGCGACGCCATCCATGTACAGGATGCCAAAGGCGATGAGACCACCGAAAGCGCCGGAGAGCGCAGAGGCAACTATGTCGCGTTAGTCTTAGCCGATGTCGCAGGGGTTATAGTACTCACTGAAGAGATAGGATATCCTTTGAGCCAATTCTTCTCGTCTGTACCAGTTGGCCAAGAACAAGGTCATGGAAGGAAACAAACAGCTAAATGCACGACATCAGTCCCGTCTTTCGTCGATTGCTTCAATAGGTGGGAATAACGTACCCTTCAAACCAGCCCAACAGGATTCTGCAGACACAGAGACCCGCGAAGTTCTGGATGAATCCCATGCACATACACACAAGTCCCCAGCAAAAGGTGATGATAGGGATGACTCGGTGGAATTGAAGTCGTTTGACGTATAACGAGGTGGGTAGCTCTGCCAGGACATATGTGCAATAAAAGATAGAGACGGCAGTCTGTCACCCAGTTAGTGGATTTGTCAAAATTGCGTGGTTTGAGGCAGCATACGTTGAGCTGATTGCCATGTAGACCGATATCATCAGCCATGCCTTGGGTGGCCGCGAACCCAATATTCCCACGGTCAAGGTAACTGATGAGCATGAGAAGCATCATGACGGGGGCTATGTAGAGATCGAGCTTGCGCCGCAACTTGGCTTCTTTCTTCTCGAACTCGATAGCCTCTCTAGAGCGGTCATCTGTGATGTACTCCTCGATCTCAGCCTTTTGCTTGAGTTCATCGGCCGGGTTCTCCATGGCCATGTTTGTTATCCTTTTTCCACGGTATGGAAGGTGACTATAGGGAAATTTGGGCTTCGTGGATATGAGAGCCGGTTGGTGTGTTTATCGAGAGACGAGAATCTTTGTCCTGGAGTCCAGCTTATCATTCTCAAGCCAGTTGGGGTACCGAAGTCCAGAAGCAAGCCACGTGGGGAAAGCCCTCTGTAGAAATTCCCAGCAGGTGGATATCTCTCCTGATCAAGCGGGTAGAAGGGAACAAGGACTTGTGCACTGAGCAGACGAGGCAGGGACACTGACATCTAGGAGAAATTCCGGGGAGGAACCCTGATGGCCTGAGTGTTCTGTGGTGCTCTCGCGAAGGGCCATAGCCATTTCTGTCTCGGTGGCCAAGGCGGGCCCATGTTCATGTCAGAACGCCGTCCGGTGTCATTCTAAGTCCCATTGGTGGCACCGGTTGATTCAAACCGGATTAGTGATGTAGCAGATCCTAGGCTGGGCCCAGTACAGAGACGGCATAGATCGCTGATCGGCAATGCTTCGAGGTAGTCAGGAAACGCGCTAGCTGTCAACGGTCGATGTAACTACAGCGTCCTGCTTACGGACGCTGCGGAGATTGGGGGTTTCTCCAATCGGCACTTATCCTGAAGGCATATTGTTGGAGAAGTGGACGTCGTGAGAGAGAGAGAGCGTGGCGGTGGATGCTCGGATCTGTCCTCCCAGTTCGAGACAGGTGATGGACACAGTTTTAGAGGCTGGTGGGAACGGTCATTGCCAACATTAGATTTTTTGGATGCATGACTCTGCGTGTGGATGCTTTTTGGAGGCTGACTCGGTACAAAACTGGGCCTCGTCGGTGTCAACACCCACAGCCTTGTGATGATTTGCTCAGTCGCTCTGCCAGAATAGGGAAATACCGGTGGCGATATCCCATACAGTTGAAGGTAGATTGCGTCGAGTGGCAACTTTCAACACTTCCATGATTCCCCCAATATCCCGCCATACTTCCAGACATTCTCATGCGCAACTTCAACGCTGAACCTAGAGGTGGGTGGGTAGCAGTATCGGGTGCCCAGGATAATAACTCTTACCTCCTGGTACCTCTGTCAGTGTGATCTCATGGCCTGCTTCCTCCGAAGATAAGGCACGGCTCACCTCGGGCTCCAACATACTTCCACCATTGTCTGCGTGGGTTAAGGTTGAGATGGGTCCATAAGACTCTCGTTCCAGGGTTACGGTACTCGAGATGGTAGGCCAATACCCCCTAGTCTTCCGAAAGCTCCCTCCTCGTCGAGATGTTAATCTGCAGAAGCATTGTTTTGATGTATGGCCACCTCTTTCATGATTTCGACTAGTAAGGGGAGCCCCTTGTCGCAGGCATGGAAGACCCGCGATGTTGTTACTTAGATCCCGTCAATTATCTCGCTTGCTTTGGTCCCCTCTTTCAATGCGGCATCGTCATGTCTTCACACATGTCCGGAATGTAGAGATCCGTTGGAGCAGCACCAACAGTTGCGGACAACATCAGTTGTTGGATATCGGGAGATGACCAGCTCTTCTCTGACGTCGCAATGAGATCAACACTGGCTTCGGAGAGCTGATGGCTGAGCCTCGCCATACTTTTCCAATATTCGTCCGTCTCAGTGCTCCAACCTAGTAGGTACCCCCGTGAGAGTTGCAGGTCGTCAATTTCGAGGGTGGTTCTGGCGAGGTCATGCCTTCGTATTCGTAGTGGCTATGCACTCAAGGAAGATGAGAACACGATATCATCGCAACCCTCACAGTCGTTGCATTTATGCCACACGGCTATGCAACCACTGTAAAGGCAGGAATCTGCAAGTAACCGGTGCTCGAACTGGATTGGAGAAAAGTGGTTGCTCAGAAAAGTGGTGGTGAGTGGGGAAACAATGTATTTCCATTTTCAACTACTCGTCCACGGCGACCAGCAATTTGGCTGTGTGGCCGTCCCACGTCCGCATTTATGTACCGAGACATACGATCTGTTATTCCAACCTACCCCACTCCCAATACCCTCGGGATACCATATTGAGTCCCGACATAGACCCTGGGCACACCAGGACGATGGGTGAGAGAAACAAAGAGCATGATTGGCAATTTCGTGGGGTTGTCTGCACCCAGTGATATGTTTGCTAACGATAGATATCAACGGACTAGAAAGGCCTCGCTTCTAGTGTGACCACGCTCAGGCATGGTATCCAAATTCATGAGCTCCCAAAGAACCTTGATCGGTTGGCTGGATCCTCTTCCCACTCAAAATCATGCGCAAAAATCACCTCGACTCCCGTCGACTCCAGATGTTGGATTCTTTCAATGGTTTGCTCGGCCAGTTTCTTATCCGCGTGGATACAACAAATGTGTCCATGCTCGTCGAGCCACTCTCCGATTTTTCTCTCCTTCCTCATGATACGTCTATCGTGACACGCATCTCCGGCCAAATAGACACTGCTCGTAGGACTTGTCCGTGCCAACAGGTTGATGTGGCCGGGAAGATGACCAGGAGCGTCAACAATAAGGAGGCTGCCATCATGGAATATGTCGAGGACCCGAGGTAGATTTCCGTGGGCTTTCCATTCTTGAACAAAATCGGGACCGTGAGAATCTAAGGATGGTTTCTTGGCTTCTTCCTCTATGTCTTCGTAAGGGTTGGAAAGCTCGATTGTCCTTTCAGCTGGTATTAAGTCGGATTCGAAGAACGAATGACTCCCTCGTAATGAGCCATGGCCCTGTAGCAACGCATTGGCACCGCTCCCTATCACAAAGGTACTTTTAGGGAAGTCTCGAGGTTCTCCCACATGATCCCAATGGACCTGTTTGACCTCTTCATTAGCCTGGGAGTGGGATGTAATTAGGGAAGACTTACATGCGAGTAGATGACATAATGAATGTCGTCGGGTGTGAGTCCACCAGCGGCGAGACTGGCAGTCACATCAGGGAGGGTTGTCATGGGTTGTCTGGTCTCGACATGTTTCTGGATCGGTGGCGCGTATCTGTTCAGGTCTCGCCGGAGACCTAGGTCGAATACTATCCGTGTTGTTTGACCAGTCTCTTGATCTTGGTGGACTATCAGGAAAGACAGAGAGGGCACAGTTCTCCGGGCGGTCTGCGAGGCTGGATGAACAAAGAAACGTTCCGGAAGCGAGAAATGGCCGGCAGAAAGAGCGTACACTTCGACCGTCGCTTCGGAGGGGCTTTCTGGCGGTGATGGCGGTGCCTGGCTCACATACGGGGAAGACATGCCGCCGGTGCAGCCTCTGAGTCTTGTATCGGACGAGCAATCAACGTCGTGTTGATTAATATGACCTGAAGGAGTCCTTTGGCTTTTAGCAAGATCGATATGAACCAAGATCGGATGCCAACCACGGTCCCACTTGCTGGAGGATGGCCGTTGGGGTAAGGAGAATGGCCAAAAGCAGCTTCGGCATGTTTTCAAACTTCTCCAATAAAATGAGCATCCGGGCCGGGATGACCTCGAGTGTTCCACATGGCTACTTGTTGAACCGGCAGGTGAAGTTGAAGATCCTTGGATATAGACGTAGAATTGATGAGGTCTTCGAGGTGCTGCATTCGCTGGGTGGTTCTGTATCGGGAGACAGAAGGTGTAGTCTAGCGAGAAACCCCCGCAGATGAAATCTGTTCTCGTTTCATCCGACTGCCTGCAAGTTGGTCCTGATTCAGCGAACCGTCTGTTCCACGACAAAAGGCAAATATGTAAAGAGACCGCTAGGCACAGTAGTAGGCAGCATACTGATTCCTGTGTTGCGGAGGTGTGTACAAGTGAGTGAGGGATAGGGTGATCTCGCCCAACTGCGGATAGAATGCAGCGACCTTCCGCCAATCGCTTACCTCCTGCACTCCTCGAGTACTCCAGGTCTTCAGCTGACTCTGGCAGTGCGGCCTCTCGGTTTTGGTACTCGGGAATGTCACTTATAGGTGGTGGCGCTTAGAAGTCTGGGCATGTCCACCGCCTCCCCCCCTTCGGTGCATCTTAGGCCTTCTAGTGGCTTCTTCTACCATCCTAGGTAAACGCACATCCCTTGTCAATAGGTAAGGTGCCCCGCAACATGTAGCCCCCGGCGCTGTTCGCCCCATGTTTTTCACCTGCGAAGGCTCGGCGAACCGCGAATCCTGCTCGCCTGCACATGCGGCGTCCACCGCCCTGCTGCCACCACCAATCCCTCCACTGCCACCCCAGAAAACTTCCCCCAGAGCTTCATTTCCATCACACAAGCAATTCGAGCTTTTTGCCTAGATAGCTCTTTGGGCAACCCCCCCAAGTTCCCCCCTTCCTCCTCATAGCGACTGGCAGAAATGCTTTTGAGCCCATGACTGAAGACATTATCAATGCGGAGATTGACGGCTCAGTGTTGGAGGAAGAGCGGAAACAGGAGCCACCCCCAAAGAAGCCGAAAAGATTCGAGTGTAAACACTGCCAACGGCTGTTTGCGCGCCTAGAGCATCTTCAACGGCATGAACGGACGCGTATGGCTCTCTGGCACCTTTTAGCTTCATATGCGCATTTGTCCTGACTTCTCCTCAGATACTCGAGAGAAACCTTTCGCCTGTAATCAATGCGACAGCAAGTTCACACGAAGGTACCTTACTTCGCTGGCCCTTAGGTGTTACAAGCATTGGCGGCTGACTTTATTGGAGCGACCTTCTGGTTCGACACGAGAGACTCAGTCACGATGCTGAGCGCTGGGGCAGAAACGGTAGAAACGGCCAGAGCGCTGGATCCGCGGGTTCGACGACAGCAACCACAGGTCGAAAACGGCGAAACACCGACGAGCACCACACTTTGGATCTCACCGATGCTCCCAGCTTGACCTCCAACGATTTCAACGCCTCCCAAAACATAGTGTCCAGCTACCTCCCTGCAAACTCGACTCAGAATACGGGCACTACGCCCAATGGTCATGACCTCTCCTTCGCAACATTGCTGATGGCTGCCGAGCATGCTCGACCTCAGGACACACAAGCCCACGCTTCCCTGCGACAGCCCAACCATATGGCGACACCGATATTCCCTGTCCAGGACCAGTTCCTACCCGAGCCGACTTCGCAAGCCCCCATTACAGCTCCGGCGGATCAGCTTAATGGCCTTGTGGGATTTGATTTCGAGGACTCTCTGCAAGATCTGGCAAATTTCATGGACAACGGTGCTCTATCGTCTTACCATTTTTCGTCTATGATCAGCGCCGAACAGCCCATACCGTTCTTCTCACCCGAGTCCTTCACGCACCCGACGGACGTGCTCCCGACCACCGAACCTCGTCAAATCTCACGACCTGCATCTCGCGCACTCCCTAATCCTGATCACCCTGAAGATTCGGGCTCATTCTCGCGCTTCGGGTCACGCCTACCGTCGCTGCAACCGGAAGAAAGTCCGTCAGCGCCGCAGAGCGAGCAGGACAGCATCCACCGTCCGCTATCCGACATCAATATTGAAGACCGGCAAAACGTCTCCTTGAAGTTGGCGGAGTTTGCTCACGTCGTGCCAAGTACCTTTCAGCTCCCATCTAGACTGGCATTGTCAAGATATCTGGCCGGTTATGTCAACGGCTTTCACGAACACCTGCCTTTCCTTCATATTCCCACTTTGTCTGTGAATAACAGTTGCATCGAGCTGATTTTGGCAATGGCAGCTGTCGGTGCGCAGTATTGCTTTGAGGGACAAAAAGGGGTTGAACTGTTTTCGGTCAGTCAATCAATAGCCATGCAACGCATCCGCCAGAGAGACGCCAGGTTGGCCGCTTTCCATCGGTCGTCAGAAGTGTCGCCACAATATTCCGGACACGGGAAATCTAGCGACTTGGCGACGGGAGAGACACCGCGTAGCAACTCCATGTCAGGCTGCTTGGGTCTCCCGTCTCAGCCAGATTTCGACTCTGGCATGCAGAAAGAAGATCTGATGCAAACAGCACAGGCGCTGTTGTTGCTTATGGCCATGGCAACTTGGGCCAAGCACCGGGAAATCCTTCGCGAGGCGCTTGCAATACAGAGCGTTTTGGCAACGCTGGTGAGAGACGACGGATTCAAGAGTCAGCCAATGCCCGATGACATTAGCTGGACAGACTGGATTCGACGTGAGACAACTAAACGTACCAAGTTCATCGTCTTCTGCTTCTTCAACCTGCAAACCATCGTTTACAACGTCCCTTCCCTTATCCTAGCTTCCGAAGTTGATCTCACGCTACCTTCTAACGCCGCGGAATTCAAGGCGCCAACTGCAAGCAAATGGAAGGAATTGCGGGCCCGTTCAATACCTGAGACCGAATTTCAGACAGCCTTACATCGCCTGTTCTCCCGCAACGGCAACGATGTCACTACGTACAACTCTTCGTTGGGGAATTACGTCCTCGTCCACGCACTGCTACAACATATTTTCTTCGTCCGCCAAATCTCTCGCTATCGTCTTGACCACGACGGTGACCTGCGGTCCGACGATGTCGCTGCCATAGAACAGGCTCTAAGGAATTGGCAGTTGGCATGGAAACGCAACCCTGAATCATCCCTTGATCCGATGAACCCGAATGGGCCAGTGACTTTCAACTCCACCGCGCTCCTGCGACTTGCATATATTCGACTCAATGTTGACTTGGGACCGGGACGGGCACTGGATACTCGCGACCCGGTTCAGATCGCCAACGCCTTTCGAGACAGTCCTTCTGTCAAGCGGACACCGAAGCTCGTCCGCGCCGTCCTACATTCTGCCCATGCCCTAAGCATCCCAGTCAAGATCGGCATCCATCTTGTTGCACAAACGCAGACCTTCATGTGGTCCATCCAGCATTCTTTGTGCACATTGGAGTGCGCTTTCCTGCTCAGTAAATGGCTGGAGGCATTGAGCCTGCCTAACTCGGGTCCTGCGATAACAAATGACGAGCGGAAAATAGCGACCTTGGTTAAGACCATGCTGGACGAGACAGAGTTTGCCATGCCTGTAGATGTGCCTATCGACTCACCCGCTGCAATGAAATACCTCAGCGCGGGCGTGCTAAGGGTATGGGCGCAGGTGTTTCGCGGGGCTCAGACATGGGCAATCGTCGATGTCATTGGAACCAGCCTGAACATTTATGCCGATATGCTCGAAGCAGGATGAAGTGAATATGCTGAGATTGTGCGCTGTGATTTCACTCTCGAAATTTCCAGCTTGTTGCAATTCCACAAAGGCCCTTTCACGGCAACAGCGTTCGCCATGGTGTATTGTCACCAAATGCGTGTTGAATACAGAAGGGTCATGCTCCGGCTGGATATGCTACTCCTCGCCGATTTCGCCTCGAGTCCTTCTCTAGATACGCAAAATTTGGGGCATATCTAAGCTTACTTGGCTGCAGAGACTGGCAGATTGCACCGAATGCTTGCTGGCTCACTGATACAGCTGTCTAGCGATTGACCATTGCCCTTGGGCACAGGGGCCAACATCACACGCTGCCCGGAGGCATAATGAGGACGCAAATTGGCCAGCGGCTCTGCAAGAGCCTGATATATCATCCTTGCGCAAGCAGAATGTTGCGGCTGGCGACTGAAACTGCGAGTGGCGACCGATGACGATAATGAAGACCAGGAGACGTCGTTCAACATGCCCAAGGATCGAAGTCTGCCACAGCAGTCTCATATCTTAGATCACCTTTCGACATGATGGTGCTATCAGCGGGACTACTCGCGTGTCAACAATGTCCGATGGTGTCGTTGACGGTATCATCTTTGAGAGTCGACCTTTGGAAGGGCTGGCATACCACGCCACGCCAAAGAACCGAGTCTTCGAACTACTTGTAGAACTAAATGAATTCACCAAGAGTAGGAAAATTGAAGCCATATGGCGTAAAAACATTGTGTGGTTTTTGAAGCCGGACGAGTCCTGGTTTGTTCTTTGTCTTCTTTTGGGTATCTCGCCTCATTTTATTTCTGTCTCTGCTATATCTCCTTCTCGCTACCGTCCCTGGTCGTTCAACCACTTATAAACAACACGGGCATCCTTGCCCTTGTACCTCTGATCCGCCATGGCTTCGTCAAAGGCGGCCAAGGTGGGCTTGTCGAGGATGGTCCTCGCGCCCACCATGTCGGCCAGTGACGAACCCATCTCGAGCACGTGCTTGCACAGCTCGATGCGGAAGCCGCCCTCGTAGCCCCGGCTGGCGGGGGCGTTGGCGTGGATGCCCGGGACGGGGTTGGACTGCGACGTGACCCAGCACTGGCCACCGCTGACGTTGATGACGTCGGTGAGCAGTTTCAGGTCCAGGCCCATCTTGGCGCCGATGTTGAGCGCTTCGCTCGCCGCGAGACTGGTGATGGCCGACAGGTAGTTGTTGATGACCTTGAAGGCGGTCCCCGCGCCGACGTCGCCGCAGTGGAATATGCTGTCCTTCTTACCCATGTGTTGGAGGTACTCCTTGGCGTGCTCGAAGGCTTCCTTAGTCGACGCCCCGACCATGAATGTCAACGTGCCCGCCTCGGCGCCCATGGGTCCGCCGCTCACGGGGGCGTCGACAAAGTCTAGGGTCGCTCCCGAGGCGAGTTTCGGTGCGGCCTCCTTGGTAGCGGCCGCGACTTTCAGGATGGTGGCCGTCTCGATCGTGCCGCACTCCATTATCAGCTTCTTCTGGGGGTTCCCCTCCTTGGAGGCCTCGATCGCGCCCTGGATGACGCCCGTGGTCGGGTCCAGGTACACTTTCTCTACGGCCGCCGCGGTGGGGAGCATGGTTATCAGGGTATTTGCCCGCTTGATCGCGTCGTAACCACTTGCCACGACCTCGACGGGGCCTTTGGAGGAGTTTTCGGCTTGGAACTTCTTCAGCGCGGCTTCTGAGACGTCGCAAATCAGGAGGGTGGACGTGGAGGGGAGTTTGGCGCGCAGGTTGACGGCCATGGAGTAGCCCATAACGCCGATGCCTAGAGGAAACTTGTTAGAAAGACTGCTTCAGACCATCGTTGGATTTGCTGGCCGCCCTTACCGATGAAGGCGACGGTATCTTGAGGAGAAGGCATGCTGTCGACAAATCTAGTCCTCGTGGTTCAGGTAGTCTGGTCTTTATCTGCCTCACTGAGTTTCGTGTAGTAAGTAAGTACAGACAAGCCGAGAATGCACACGACTTGTTTTTCTGTTTGTTTTCCTAGTATTGTTTTGTTGTTGTTTTTTTCAACTAGGTATGTCAGCCTCGCGGTTTCTCCCTACGTATGTATGTATTATGCGAGATGATGTTCAAAGACAACCAACACAGGACGTGTCGTCGACGTGGTTTTTGGGCCCTTTCTGGGCACCGCCGAACCGGCCACTCCACCCTTTCGGAGTTGATGCCGGGAAGACTCCAATGGGATGGGCTCCTCATTCTTGTGCGGCACTTGAGATGCGGGAAAACGGTTTGAAATGTAACAAAGTACGAGGTTTCTCGGGAACGTTTCTCGTGAGGTGGTGGGGTGGTGGGCGGGTGGGTGACTTTGTCCCTCACGCAGAGTTGTGCCTCTCCAGCTTCAGAACGAGGTTTGGAGAAAGGGAACAGTCGTGTCCCCCTACCGAGGATGAGGTACTGTGGGCAGAGTCAGAGGATGAATGTTGGAGTTTGGGGGAACGAAGGCAAAGGTGGCGAAAGGGCGAGGGATGGAGAGGGGAAGATCAGTCAGTTGAGAGAGTGCTTTGAAAGGCTTGAATTTTGCAGCCTCGGTCTGAAGGTGGGGAGGCACTTGGGGCAATCATTCTCCAACATGGTATCAATCAGGCCCTCAGGGTAAATAACGGGTCACACAAACACAAGACTCTGTGGTGGAGAGTAATTCCTGATATCGACCATAAGTCCGAGAATAGACAATTCAAGCGGCAGGGAAAATATGTCAAATTCCCCCAAAACTCGCTCCTAGATGGAGCTTTAGAGGTGGATAACCTGGCTCACAAGGCTTGAATTTCAGGGGGAGTAGTAGACCAGACAGAGCACAGCTGTCGTCTTAAGTCTCTCGTCTGACCGCCCATATCAACAGTAGACCAAAGGAGCCTTAGATGACTGAAACTTATACAGAGACTCGTTTAGGAAGTGGGCTGTCAGGTATGGATGGGCCTCAGACATTAGAGACTATTGCAAAAGGCCAGTAGCACTAGAGGGTGAATCACATCTCCTGTCCGAGAGACCACCTCCCAAGACAGACCTTTTTACAGCGTCCCCGGGAAGAACCTGCTCTTATTCGACTCCCTCCATCCCTTGTCGTGGGCAACAATCACTTCCACTTCCACTTGCTCCCCGCCCTCTCCCGCAGCAAATACAGGACAAGGCTTCTTCAGCAACGGTCCAATCTTTGCCAGAGTGTCTTTCGCCTGCTCCGTGTCCACATGCACAGACCTCAACCCGCCATGTCCGTCATCGTATAACGCAATATCCCTTTCGCCCGTAAGGATTCTCGGGTCATGGCAACAGTCCCCGCCCAAGTACACCCACTTGGTCTGACTGAGACGTGCGAGGACGTTGACGTGGCCGAACAAGTGTCCCGGGGAATCGACAATGTACAAGCTGCCGTCGCCAAAGAAATCAACCGTATTGGGGAATCCCGCAAAGGGTTTCCACGTATGTGTGGTCTGCGACTTGGCAGCTGTGGTGCTTTCCTTCGTTGTCGGTGGCAGTTCGGCCGTGCGATCTTTGGGTAGGAGATCTGGATTGAAGATGTCTTTGGGGTAGTGAGGCGGCGCTCCGTTCTGCAGCAGGTGAAGTGTCCCGGACCCGACAACGAACTGAGAGTTGGGGAAATCATCCGGAGTGCCTTCATGGTCCCAGTGTACGTGAGACAACATGACTATGTCAATATCTCTTGCGGGATCAAGTCCCCCAGCTCGTAGACTATCCGCGCAATCTGGATGGAGGATGGTTGGTTGACGGTTGGAAATATGAGCTTGTTGCGCAGGCGGATATTTTGTCAGATCACGCTTGAGACCCAGATCGAAGACGAACTTGGTGACTTTCCCATCAGGCGAGGGATGCTGGATCAAAAACGACAGAGAAGGAACTGTGGCTTTCTTTTCTGGGTCCGCATCGGTAACGAACAGACGTTCTGGTAGAGTGAGCTGTCCGCCCTCGAGGGCGGATACTGTCACGTACACCTCTTGATCGGAAGAGCCCATGGTCGAGTATGTCTTTTGTCTCACAGATTGTTTGTGCGTAGGGTTACTGAGACTCTAATCGACGGCAAGGTTCCTGGCCGGTGGTTTTTGTCCATGAGGTTTGTTGCTTCCCCGCAAGATGGAGCCGACAACTGCGCAGGTTGGTGAAGGTGTTTGGAGAAACAAGCCGATGAACGGAGCAGCTCCAAGCACAGCAGTCAGACAGGTATCAGCTTCGAATTAGACAACTACATATCGGCGCAGAGAGTATAATTCCTACACCATACCAGAACGAGTGTCCCAGTGAGTCGACCAGTTGTCACCAAGTAGTGCAATCATCGCCTCCGCGGCTCAGCTCTCTCAACCAAAGTAACCGTACAGCCTCTCAAGATTGCATTCGGCCACAGGTAACCGTGCCCGTCAATGCTCCAATCTTCCATATTGTCCGGGTTGAGACATTGGCGGGGACAAATACGGGAGTCGTCCTCGTCGGCAGACACACCTTCTCCATAGGCGGTGCATCTGCTTACCACGGTATCACTGCTGAATACCGACAGCAAGTCGCCTGAAGAACTCGAGGTCAGGCTGCGCGGACTAAATAGTGGCGTCTCTGAATCATAGCCGTCTACTTGTATCGCTTGAGAATCAAGTAAAGACGGGACCCTCCGTCCATCTGGACTGGCCCAGTCACGAGAGTCCGCATCGCAGTCGTCTGATGTCTCTTCATCAATGGGGTTGCAGGACGAGCCAGTGCTGGCATACATGGACGAGAATTCATCCTCAGCGACTCCCACTTCGACCTCCTCAGGGTTGTCTGAGTCAACGCCAGCGCCTTCTTCAACAGGGCGAATGCAGCCACTCCTTGCACAGTGTCGCGGACACTGGTAGCTTTCTCCAACGAAACCAATCTCGTAGACATAAACATCGTCCAAGTCTAGATTGTACTTGTGTTTGGCTGACTTGTGGACATTGCACTTGCGCCAGGGGATGTTGAGACGAAGGGAATCTCGAGCCATCTTTATTTCTTTCTTCAAGTGGCTACCACAGTGGCGACACAGCCGTTCAAATCTTCGTAGTGATGTCCCGGGCATATAGAGAGATTTAGCCGCCTTGTCTCGCATATACCTCATGACGGGCAACCGGACGTGCGCAGCTCGATGAATTCTGTACAATTGTGGGTTTGATGTTAAGGCTCGTCGACAATGAGGCAATATTGTAAAGACACCTCTAGTATGTAGCGAGCGTGAATGAAGATATGCTGTAAGTATGGTAAAGTCTTATAGATGATACAACAAATTCGACGTAAAGGATGCGGGAGATAGAAAGCATGTCAAGTTAGAACGACGCAGAAGAGATTGAGGACAAGTGGAATCGAACATTGTAGTTTCCCTTCTCGTCAGAAATTGCTGGCTGGTACATATCCTGGTGAAAGAGCAGGCACCACCTGTAGACAGCGGCTGATAGACTGATCCGCTTCTCAATGATTCCTTCCTCGGCCACGCCATTGTTGACGCAGCATACCATGCAACTCAGATGTCAAGTGGCAGCCGCAGCATTTCTTGCCACTAGTCAAGGTTCGTGGTTGATCGGAGAATTGTGATCACAATATTTGCATCAAGTCTCATATCGCTTCTGAAAGCCGCTCTTGCTGCAGCGGACATCGGGAAGAAAGCAAAATCCCCAGACAGCAGCCCAAAGCACGACCTTTCCACGTGGAATTGGTATGTTCCTCTTGTCGCGGTACCGAGGGCGTTAACAGTCAGCCAAGTCCTCAAAGGTGAGTCCTGATTGAAGTCACTGCTTTGTAGCATGGGCGCAGAACAACCAGCTTCCACGGATATAACATTGGTGATATGTGAAAACTGTGCCAACATCCAATCCCATCGCACAGCCCTTGGTCTGGACGCAAAGCTCTTCAGGGAAGGCCGGACATTCCCATGCTTCAGCCCAAATATCTCTTTCTTTAGATTCGCCCAAAGGCGACGGCGTCAACTTTGCGCCTTTGCCGGCCCAGAAATCCTCGGGGCTCACCAGCATTACCGGTTCTTCGATTCCGCCCTGACGCAGCCGAGCTCGCGCTCGCAAGCCGCAAATTTTGATCATACCAGGCCGACGCCATAAGTTTGAGTTCGCGCTGGAGGATGATATTTTGATTTGTGAGTCGTTCAATCTCGGATTCCTCATCAAGCAGGTGGGAAGAGCTAGCCGCCACATCTTTCATGCTGGGAGGTATGGCATCTTGTTTAACTTCCTGGGACTCTTTCTCAACCTCGATCTTCTGCATGTCCTTGATCGTCTGGTCCTGCTTCTGCACATGGTCGAGTAGGAGCTTGTTCTTGGTCCTTTGTTGCTCGATCGCTAAAATCAATTTCTTTTGTGCGCGTAGAGATGATTCTCTTTCCGTGGCCGTTCCAGCTTGTGCCTGCGCGCGCATAGCAGACATAATCGCTTTCAGTTCATCCTCCGAGATGCTCTCCTTGTCTTCGAGGCCAGGAATGCTCGCCTCTGTTTCTTTTGAGAGACCAAGATCTGTATCCTTTGCCGTTGGAGAGGTCGTACCTCCATTTAGTAATGCAGCGGCAAGTCGGGCTTCTGACTCGGCCAATTCTGCTTCTTCTCGCTCAAAGTCTCTATTGACCGGGTCCGGAGGTCGTTCTTCTCTTGGTGCAGGGGCGATACCTTCTTCGTAGTCACGCAATCTGCTTTGCAAGTCTTCCAAGGCATGATTTTGGCGAGACACCTGTTCGACAGCATCGTGATAACGTGCTTCGAGAGCGTGGTAATCAAATTCAAGCCTCTTCTTCATCTCATTCAACTCGTATCGTTCCTGCTCAATGCTGGGCAAGAGACGACGATATTCATCAATCTCTCGATGTAAGTCACTCGAGTTTGCTTGAGCAAAGTCAGACTGCTTGAGTTGGTTCTGCAACTCTGTCACTTTAGCCCTGAGGTTCGTGTTGTCTTTCTCCAGATCCTGGCTAGCTTCCAGTTTTTGTCGATATTTCTCTGCTGTGTTTGCCTTTCGGGCGAGACGATCTCGGTCAATCTTCATCTCGTCGTAGTCATCCTGCAGCTTTTGAGCCTTCTCGGCCTTAATTTTGAGGACTTCGTTGTTCTTCCGCAACTCCTCTACCTCGGATTCAGCCTCGAGGACACGGTTCTCTAATGTTGCAATCAGGGTGTCGTGTTTGGAGTCCAGTGGCCGGGTTGAAATGTCGGACTTCCCTGCAAGAATGGCAGCCAAGCGGTCGTTCGTCTCTTTCAGATCATCCTGAGCTTGGTCGAAACGCTCTTGTAGTTTCTCATACCGGGAATACGACTCATCAAGCTGTTTCTGTAGTTCTCGCTTCTCGTAGGCTATTCGCTGGTTATCGGCAATGACTTTGCCCAGCCTCTCTTCCGATTCAAGGACAGTTTCCATCTCTGTAGACCGACGAGGAGAGCTGAGCGGTTCTTCGGGTGCTTGATCATTCAGGTCTTCTGCATCTGGGTCGTCATCTTCCCCTCCATCTTCTCCTGCCTCTTGTACCGTTTGCATCAAAACCTCCTGGGTTGACTCTGCCAGCTCTTGCATCTGCTTCAAGTAATCGATACGGTCGGCGCAATTGATGGCTGCCACCACGAGGAGCTTCAGGAGGGCGATGGTGTCGGTGAGCGAGGAGGATTGGGCAATAGCCTTCAGGTCAGGCCGACCACCAGGCAAAGGCAGTCGTTGCCCACATTCTTCCACGAGGAAGATGGAGAGTGCATCGTAAATGTGTTTAAGGTTGGTCCACTTGTTGATCCATTGATCGGTCTCAGGGTCTTCTGGTAGTTTACCAGGAAAGCTGAAGCGGTCGATTTGCTCTGAAAAAGATTAGAAAACTTACGCGACCGTCGCAATAACTTGGACATACGAAGAGCCTTCCATATGATGTCGCCATTGGTGAAGTCGTCTACCGTGTAGACAGGGTCCGCAACAGCGAAACTGTTGATCCAGTCGATGAGCCCGGCGGCAATGGCTTCTTCGGTCGCCATGGCAGAGGAATATGTTTACGTCGATAGCATTTCATTATTGCTCTGCTATCGAGCTGCGACAAGCCAGGAAACAGTGAATGGCCCCATGGTTTCAGGTTGAGGGATAGTGAGGACGCGAAAAGCCTTTGGGGGCGCGTGCTTCCGCCGAAGGCTGTGGAGGCACCAAAGGCACGAGGAAATCAACAATATGACGTCGACCATTGAAGTGTCCATCCCAACATGTTCACTCTATGGGTGTCAAACATTCTTCAGTGGTTACAGGTCCGGCAAGACCGACATAAGAAGCATTTAAGAAGAGACGGCAGGTCAATCCTGTTCAATTATGTATCGATAACATCTCTAAATGAGTGAGGGATGCCATGTTCCATCCCGTGCGCCGATGCAGTGTCACCCAAGCAAGAAACCTGTGCCTGCGGTAGTCGTGCCCATGATATTCACAATTTCGTTTCCTCCATTTCATAATACTATATCCATTCGTGATTGAAGACACTGTCGTATGCACGTCAATCCCTGGAAATTCCTCCTTCCTATTGAGCGGCATTTGTCGAGCCGTCAATGCTGACCACATAGTCGTCCTCAATATATGGCGAATATGCTTGGGCCATTTCGCTGATTTTGTTGAGAGTGACTTCTGAAACTTTGGCAGCGAATCCTTTGATCAAGGCTATCACAGAGTTAGCGTTGATCCCAGCGTAGATATGAGCGGTATAATGGAGGAGGGCTCACAATATTCATGAGTTATGATACCACCATCTTTTTCGATCTCAGCGATTGCCTTGTCTATGACTGAAGACGGAGTGTCGTCTGGGAATGATACCACAACGGGTTTCTGTGGAGGAGGCAGGGCAAAGACCGCAACGAAGAAGGCAAACAGGAAGATGAGCGGTAGGCGCATTTTGATGCTTCGAGAGTGTGTTCAGAAGAGTCGAAAGTCGGGGAAGCCGGAGCAGGTCTCTTTCACAATTGGATCAGAGAGTTGATGAGACACAGCAATAAGTAGATGGAATCTTTGCAAGTGGGAGATTCGAATGGCAGGGAGACTGTGTTAGACGACTGCGGATTTGACGCAATTGTTCTCTTGTGACTGCGCTCGGATGGTCCCTTTCCCTGCCAGATCCGGAGCCAGCCCGCCACACCCGCCAGTTTTGACGCAGGCGGCAATTCGGCTTCCACTTCCCATTTGCTGGTGTCTGCTCCCTTCCAAACTTCTTCCTCTTGGTTCCCTCTTCTTGCTCGTCTCACCACTTCATCCCTTTGGTTCCATCATCGTTGCGCCTGTCCTGTAACTCGTCCTCTCCACCTTGATAATGTGGTCCATCCGGTATTGAGACAGTGCATCTGCAGATTCGGAGTGTCCGGTCGATGGTCAACGAGCGACTCCCACCAGTCCACCTTTTCACTGCGACAACTTCACCTTCTCCTCCGCGGCTCATTCATCTCTCAACTCGAGTCTCGATTGCCTAACCATACTGGTCTTGTGCCTATACTTGATCTGCTTTGTCACAGCAAATTATGAGTGGAAGACCCTGAAGAGTTATCTGGAGTGAATCGCCGTCGAATCTGGGTGCTGGAGAATTGGACTGAAGCCGCAAGGAGGGATCAAAATAAACATACCGGGTGTCACTTTGAATGGTTGTAGATAGCCAAAAGATACCACGACACATTTTCCTTTTGTTGTCTACCTTGCTCAGGCGCGCCCGTGTCTGACGACTCCAGTCGCTGCTTGACATCAAAGAGTCATTGCTTGCCTCGCCGCATGCCCATTTGACTCCTCCAAAGCTCGAGTCCGTCCTGGGTCCCGATTTGGACTTCGTCTACCTTTCAATCTTTCTTACTCTCCATTTGCGATTCCCATCTCCTTCTATCGTCATGTCCGGACTACCGTCAGATGAGGTCGCAGAAGACTATAAGAACTCTTTGGAGGATCTTGTGTCCAACGACAGATATCAGATCTCAAACTTGACACTGATTGCAAAAGAAAATACCGAACACGCCGAAGCCATCTCAAGGGTGCTGCAAAACCATATCAACAGAGTACGTCAGATGCATCTTCAGACACTTCTTGCATTCTGCCCCTGCGCAAACCGCTCTCTATAGCCCGTTCCCAATGCAGTGACTAATGCTCTCATAGGCACCTCCAGCCCGCAAATTACCAGCTCTGTATGTCTTGGACTCTATCGCCAAAAATGTCGGGTCTCCTTACACGGTCTATTTCGGCCGGAACCTTCACCAAATCTTCATGCTTGCATATTCCCAAGTCGATGCTGCAGTCCGACGGAAGCTGGAAGAAATGTTAAAGACGTGGCGAGAACCCGTTCCGGGCGCCCTGTCCACTACTCCCGTATTCCCCATCGCGAGCACCCAGACCATCGTCGACAGTTTGAACAAGTTTCGGGCCCAGTTGCCTCCTACTCATCGCCAGCAGGCCACTCCACTCCAAGGCCAGCCTGCCAGAGTGCCGTCTGCTCAGCCATACCGTCACACACCAACTCCTCCACAAACCTTGTCTCAATTTGCTCAAAACATCCCTTCACACATTCGAAGTCCGCAACCACAACCTGCTCTACCCCAGCAACCATATTCCCAGGGGCCATCAGTGACGTATGGCCAGCAATACCCACCTCAGCCGACTCCGACCCCCTACTATCAGCCTCCTCCGCCCTCCCATACGCCCCAGTACCTACCTCCGACTCCTCAGCCGGCTCCCGTCACTGCAAGCGCAGTTGATTTGCAGAAACTGCATGCTGACATCGACGACCTGACTACCGACGCTAAGATCGAGTGTGCCACCCATCCTATGGATGCCGGGGCCCAACGGAAACTAGCCAGTCTGCAAACGTTGAAAGAGATCCTCGACAGTGGCAATGCTTCTGAAAGTGATTTGGTTGACATTCAAAACACGATCCTGCAAAAGATGACGGAGAAAATGACGACGAGTCGCCAAACCCCGACGCAGGCGCCGCTATCCAACAACCCCCTGCATACACCTTATGCCCCTCCACAACCACTGATTCAACCAATGCAAATCACTGCTCCAGGCCCAAGCCCTGTCCCACCGCCTACGGCGTTGTTCAATAGCACGAATCTTGCAGAGCTTCTTCGAACCACTCTAAATCAACAGCAAGCGACACAGCCCACCAGCTATTATGCCCCACCTCAAACGGGCATGAGTACTCCTCAGTATACCGCGACAGCCGCTCCTGCACCGACGGAAAACCCACTCATAGCTCAGCTCCGGGCGTCCGGGCTCCTATCTGCAGCCCCTACGCCTCCTCCAGGGGTCACACCACCCCTGGCATCTTTCTCTACATTCGCACCAGACACAGCTACGGAAGTCAAATTCACGTCAGCTTCAATCAGAATACCAAGACCCCAAATGATAACCATCTTTCTCACGGCGCGGCCCAATCAGTGCAGTACTTGTGGGAGGAGATTTACATCAGATGACGCTGGCAAAGAGAAGAAGGCCAGACATCTCGACTGGCACTTTAAGACCAAAGCCAGAATGCTGGAGGCAGAAAAGCGGGGTCAGAACCGCAGTTGGTATGTGGATGAGCGAGAATGGATCGCGAGCAAAGAGTATGAGGACGATGCTGGACCGGTGGATTCCAACGGCCATCCAATAAATGGAGCCGGGGTTTCTGATAAGAAGAAGCCGCAAGACTTTGTGCGCGTGCCAGCGGATCCGGTGATGCGGTCCCTGCCTTGCCCGATAGATCAGGAGCCATTCAAAAGTGAATGGAGCGAGGAAGTACAGGATTTTATTTGGAAAGACACAGTACAAGTCGGAGGGCGATATTACCATTCATCTTGCCTAGGGGACTATTCTAACTCAATACTTGGTAAACGAAAAGCAGAGGAAGATAATATGCCAGTGGCCGCGGAGAAGAAACTGCTTATCACTTAGGTGTGATTGTATTCGTCCACAGGAGGCAAACCTGATGGGCAACGCATGCATCCACGAGTTGGAGGAAATGTTGGGTGGTTATTTCCAGATAAACACATTTGCATAGCGCAAGAGCATGTAGTAGACTATGGCTATATGAATGAAAGATGGCAAAGTATGGTAGGTATTCCCTTGGCGCTAGCCTCGTTGGTTTGCTCACGTGGTGCGTATACCCCATAATGGGCAAGGCTGTCGGAGATAAGGACGACCTAGCCCCTCATATCCGACTGGTGTGACCGAATCAGGGTCTTTTCTCTTCTCCACTCCCCAAAGGAGACGGTGACCCACTCATCTTTCCCGACGCAGTCTTATCGAGCCTCGAACTTTTTTTCCCAAAGCACATGTTTTCTTCTGCCGCGCCCAAAAATTTTAGACCTCACTGCTCTCCGTTTCATTCATTCACACGGGAGTTGATATAGACGAGCCCCCTCTCACGACATTTCCTGGTCTTTGGAACGCTTCCTTTCGCCCACGCCCGTCCGCGATCCTCGTGCGCCGCGACTCCTCTGAATACTCTCCCCCCAACCATGTCACCTCCAGCTATGGCGCCAGCTCTGGGCGCAGGTGGTAAAAGCTACAAGACAGAATCAGGGACTGCTCGGTTACTGGGATCAGGTGAAAACATACATCGTCGGCTGGTGGGGGCTGGAGCTGATGCATTGGCGATACAGGCTCTGCTGGAGTTGCCGAGCTCTTGGTCTTTCATCCCGTTGATACCGTTGCGAAAAGATTGATGAATAACCCAACACGAGTGCGTACTGATGCATATTTGAACCTCGATCGAAGTGCGCCGGCTGACATAAGCGCAGGTTGCTTCGCTGTCCGCGCTCAACTCGGTCGTCTTCAGACAAGCCGCCACAGCCCCCGTCCTCACCAAGTTTACTTCTCTTTTCCCTGGTCTGGGTTATGCAGCAGGTTATAAAATCTCGCAGAGAATATATAAATACGGTGGACAACCCTTTGTACGCGACTACCTGACCCAACATCACGGTCAAGATTTCGACAAGGCCTTTGGCAAAGGGACCGGCAAGGCAATGCTCAACGCGACAGCAGGCTCTCTCATCGGCATATTCGAAGCTGTACTTTTATTACCTCTTGACCTGCTCAAGCTAAAAATGCAACTCAGACAGCCAGGCAGCCCTTCTCAAGGGTTTTTCAGCATCGTCAAAGAGGAGGGTTTTTTTGGGTTGTATAGGGGAATAGGTTGGACAATGTAAGAGCAGACCCAAATTGACTGTCCAGACTTGAGAACTAACATGTCCAAGCGCACGAAATGCCCCAGGCTCATTTGCACTGTTCGGAGGATCATCGTTTACCAAAGAATACCTCTTCAAGCTCGAAGACTACAATGCGGCCACATGGGGTCAGAACTTCGTTGCCTCCGTGGCCGGAGCAGCAGCCAGCCTCACCGTCAGTGCTCCTCTGGACGTAGTGAAGACCAGGATCCAGGGTGCTGCGTTCGGGAATTCCGGTTTTCAAATCGTGGCGAACATGGTCAAGAATGAGGGTATTACGAGCTTCTTCAAGGGTATTGTTCCCAAGATGTTGATGACCGGTCCCAAGCTTGTGTTCTCCTTCTGGCTGTAAGTACGAACATTCCTTGTCTTTAATCGAATACTAACACTTTTCCAGAGCCCAGACGCTCATCCCAGCCTTTGGCAAAATTGTCTGAAGCTTTCGGCTCTCCCACTCCCATAGGGTCTAAATCCTCTGTACCTTAACAAGCACGACACCCACAGTCGAATCTCAGCAGGATTGGACCGAGTCGCCATCCACGCTGTCGGACGTCGAGCCGAATCAATTTACTTGTTTTTTTTTTTTTTTTTGCGAAGTATTATCAACTCAACTCACTTTCATGGTGCCTGAATTCCCTACACCAACGACAACCACGACACCACTAGTCGGATCTCAGCAGGATTGGACTGAGTCGCCATCCACGCTGCCGGACGTCGAGCCGAATCAATTTTACTTTTTTTTAGTCAACTTCCTACATAATTCAAGCATCCTATACGAAAAGCAAGGTCACGCAGTCGCAACGTTACCGCCCGGGCTATGGTACGCGTTGTCCCAGATTTCACAATTTTTCCGAAATCTCACAATTTTTCCGGGACGCACCTGCCTTCAGCACTGGACTGCACAGCAACTCCTGCCAAAGGTGCTACTTGCCTGCGGCCTGTGAAGATTTTTCTCTTTTTTTTCCCCCTCTCTCAACTCACCTCACTCTTTTCTTCCACTTCTCATTCTCCCAGCTCTGTCTTCATCTGCAGGCCCCTCGGCGGCTTGGTGTGTCTGTTCAATTGTTCGAGTCTTGTCTTCTCAGCTGCTGTCCAACTTCTGATTTTCTGTCGGTTCCTCTGTCATTCCATCAGGTATGTTGTTTCCTCGTCCCTTTACCTGTGTGGCTCACTCATTCTCTGCAGTTCTTACGCTCTCTTCAACCTCTACCCACAGACTGCACCTCTGACCACACCATGGAGAAACTTGACCCTTCGACATTCAAGGACTCTGACGCCTTTCCCAATGAGCAGCTCGACCCCAATACCATCAATTTGCTCAATGAGCTTGACCAGAAGGAGCCCGACATTGCCACAGTCGAAGAAATCAACTCATACATCCAATCAGACGACCTGTTTGTTGTTAGAAACAATATCCCAGGGTTCTGTAACAAGTTCATTGAATCCCACAGCATCCTCACCAAAATCGAAAGAAAGATCAATAGCTCTACGTCGGGAATCCTATCACGCCGAGGTCCGCAGGAATTCCTCTCCAAGGTTCCCGTCCTTGTCCATCCTTCTCTACCTGGTGTCCTGGAAGCCAAGCATCCGCCAGCCTGGGAATGGTTCCAGCAACTTCCAAACGCTCTACACTTGCCAATTGATATGCTCAAAAGTCATGGTCTCGTCTACGGGGTGGTCGGAAGGATCATGCACCGCTACTTCCTATACGTCGGGTCTACATGCTCTCCGGTTCATGGTTCTTTCCTGCGTATGGGCTGCTACGACAGGTTCATTGAGGCCATTAAAGAATTCCGCGACGGCGACATAACAAAGGAAGAGCTTATTGAGATTGTACGCAGCATTTCACTTGGCACAAACATCAGAAAAACCGTAGCAGAAGGTGGCATATTCGACCGAGTTGTTGTCCTCGCCATGATTCCGATGAAACACACCAGTGATTTCACCATGGGACAAATCAGCGCCTATATCAAGTTTCTGGAAACCAAATTCCATACACGCCTCTGGTCTTTCTACCAAGCCTCCGATGCCAATGAAAACCATTACTTGAAGCCGGCTTGTCCATGGAAACTCAGCGAATTCAATTACCGTGGTCTCAACACTCACTCTCCTTTGATGGAGCAAACCAAGGGAATTGAGACTGAGCTTCCTGCCTCCGATTTTGAGAAATTCTGTGCCATGCGCATGGAAGCCATTCATCAGAGGTCATTGGCAAAAGCTAAGCAGATCTCGCAAGCTCGCATCGCAATGAGGGAAGCCAAATCCATGTCATCCGACGCTCCATTCGAAGCTCTCGCCAAGTCTCTTGGAGTGTCGTATGCTCATGGCCAGAAGCTGGTTTCTCGGATCCAGGCGAATGATGCAAAGATGAAGCAAAAAGAACGCCGAGTTTCGGTTCTTCGTCGTGGTCTTGAAACTGGTGACCTCACTCGAGAGAGCCTGAAGGCTTCCGACCGTATATTAGTCGATAACCGCGAAGCAAAACTAACCCACGAGCGCAAGTCAAGATCCATGCTGGAGGCTGTGAAGAAAGGCGAAATTGAACGGGACAGCATAGATGCATCCGCTCTCAGCCATGTCAAAAAGTATGAAAAACAACTTGAGTCGTCCAAAATCGCAACACAAGTATTGCGTGGTGAAATCGAGCTTGCCGATGTCGATCCAATATTGCGGGGACGCGTCGAAGATCACATGACGAAACGCGTTAGCGATGCTCAGGCAGGCAAGAACAAAAGAAAGCTGAACCGGGATGCCAAACAAGAAGCCGCGGTCAAAGAGTTCCTGTCCTTCACCACATATTCAAACCAAAATTCTTACAACGAAAAATGGGGAAGAGTTATCAACATCGAGATTGAAGAGGGACGTTGGACCGAAGCTGACCTGAAGGCCGAGGTCCGCAAGATCTATCGCTTCTACAAAGATCGCGAAGCCAATAAAAAAGCAAGAACTCTCAAAAGAAGCAGGAGAATATCAGCAGGGACCAAGTTGATTAAGGCAGTCGAGTCGGGACAGCGAGACAAGGATGACTTTACGGCCGAAGAACAGGACCAGTACGAATGTGCAGTCAAGGCTAAAGCGTCCCTAAACAAATGGGAAGCTAGGAGGAAGGCTGCCAGAAAGGATAAGATGAATGCAAAAGAGGAGACAAAAGAGGAGACATCCGACACAGAATGAAGTTCACCTGGGGTTTTGTTTTGATACTGCAAGGATGTTACCAAATTCGAAAATGAGGCAGGAAGTCAAAAGTGTTTTTTGACGTCGTGGATGTGTTGTTTCAGGTATGATATTAGAGGCGGAGAGATTCAACGTGGCTAGTCATAGAAACATGTACATCAAATCTTATTGTGCTTCAGAATTCCTCCCCGTTCCAGACTGGACTTATCTCATGGCGCAAACGTCGATGGCTGCTACTGCTCATGGATGATAACTAAGGCCGGTTCGCTACGAGGTATAGGCAGCGGCCCTCTGAACCCAGCTCCCCTTGCGACCTTCCTTTTCCTTGATAGTGGCATTGCCCATCCCGACACAAGTGGGTAACCTGCAGTTTGCCAATAATGGCTGGCGGATAGTGCCCCCCACCCGCAGACGGCTTGAAGAGGAAGGTGAGTAACAGATGCTGGCGGATGTTTGCCCAACCCTCACCTGAACTTCCGCCTGACAGTTGCCGGGAGTCATTGGATGTGTGATGGCATTCATTGATAATATCTGGACAGCTTGTCAAGTTATCAGGTTGTCTTCTTTTCCTCGCTGCCACCCGGTCTACGTGCTTAGCATACTAGCCCCAGCTTCTTCACTGCTGGAATACTCCCATTCTTTACCAGGAACTCAAGATGAGTGCCTCTTATGCGGAGGGCACAGCACCCTTTTCGCACCCAAGCCTGCCAAAAGTCTGCGAGACATGGTACAAGGTATTCGGGGACCTCAAATCCTCCTCAACCGGACGGCCTCTCGTCATCCTTCATGGAGGCCCCGGTATGGGCCACAATTATTTGTCGAACCTCCAACGCCTTTCGCAAGAATATGGCATCCCCGTGGTATTCGTAAGTTTGCGTAGCAGGCCTGGGGGTTCCATCACGATTTGCAGTTTGTCGCTAACAACACGCTAGTATGACCAGTTAGGCTGCGGCCGCTCAACACATCTCCGGGAAAAGAGACTTGACACAGACTTCTGGGTGCCTGGACTATTCATGGCAGAATTAGACAATCTGTTGAAGCATCTCGACATCTCAGAGTTTGACTTGCTGGGGCAAAGCTGGGTGCGTTGCTCATCCACTCGCAGAATATCATTACCGTCAATGACTCATCGAATCCCGGAAGCTAACACGTGTCTCAAGGGGGGCATGTTGTAAGTACTGTTACTATTGTGGTTCCCAAGGTCCCACCTAGCCGTTTTATGCAGCTGACGACACCAGAGGTTCTATGTTTGCGATCCGGGGGCACACAGGCCTCAAAAGACTTATTATCTCAAACTCCCCAGCATCCATGAAACTGTGGGTGGAGTCATGCAACCAGTGGCGGAGAGAACTTCCTGAAAACGTCGACAATGCCTTGACCAAACATGAGGAGAGTGAAACATACGACGATCCAGAGTACAAATGGGCAGTGGAAGAATTCTATAAACGACACGTTTGCATGATCTTCCCTTTTCCCGAGGACCTCTTGGACACATTTGCAAATGTGGAGGAAGATGTAAGTCTGCCGGTTATGTGGAGCCGGAGAAGCCCTTTGGCTGTGCCTAATCTAGCGGAGCTGACAGACACCCATAGGATACAGTATACATGACCATGAACGGACCCAGCGAGTACGTTGCCTGGACCCTTACACAAGTTTCCGGTACTGGAAGAATGCATTGTCGTCAGAGTTCCTCCCTATCTGCAATCCACTAAAGCATGAATCCAGGTTTACCGTGATCGGCAGTTTAAAAGACTGTGCGTCTTCTTGTCCCCTTTTCGTTCGAGGATAACTCTCTTGTTCTTTGGATGCATTCCCTAACGAGAGTTTCCAATGAAATGAGAAGACCACTAATAGATATCACCAGGGTCCGTGGTGGATGAGGTGAAGAAGATAACTTGTCCTACGCTCATCGTAAGTTGACCCCGGTAGTCTATCTTCAAGATCGATATGAGAATTGTGTTTGCACAAAGCCTTTCCAATCAGCGGATTATCTAGTGTTTTCGACGACCACTGACAATGTATGTGCCTAGATGAACGCCGAATACGATGAAGGACGGGACAGCTGTGTATACCCCTATTTCTCGGGAATCCAGAAGGTCAAATGGTACCATTTCTCCTCCGCAAGTCATTGCACGAACCTTGAAATTCCAGATCAATACATGAGTGTCGTTGCAGAGTTTCTCAAGAATTCATCGGAATGACAGGGGTGGGACAGCTGGTTGCTCTCTCTTTCAGGATCACAATCTCGTGTGTGGAAATAGTTGAGCCATGGGACAGACAGATTGGAAGTATTCCCGTTGCGCAGATTTCGAGGTCTGACGGTTGTAGTGTAGGTTCGAACCAATCTAGCAACAATGTATTGCCGAAACATAGGCTTCCTATCGTATTGATTATATTCCCTTCACAGAGTGAATCACTCCCCAAACACAGTAGGAATGCAGTCACTTTGATCTTTCGCTGCTGCAAACCTGCGTTGTACTAGCCAAATCTAACGGGCGAGTCAATCGATGAACAGGTTGAGATGCTGGCCAGATTGTTGAAATGGCATCTTATTTCCTAGCTGCGTTTTGCGAACTGGCCACTTTCCCATAGAATGTGCAGGATGTACATTCCCTCCTCTCTTTGCTGGCCTCCGAGATACAGCCCAGCAAACTCGGTGTCAAATCGTCTATTTTTGTACACCGCCCATGAAACCCTCTCGAAATGTCCCCAAACGCTCCGCGAATTTTCGCAACAACAATGCAGTCACAAGATGAACTGATCCTCTCGGCCCCCCAGCATCATTCCTGAATGGCAGATACTCAATTTCTTGCGTGTTACGACATCACCGACTCACGCATCTGTACCTCACATCTCGCGGCATCGCAATATGTCTATGGTGCATTCTTCAGAACAGGCTCAGTTGGCGCAAGAAGAGTGGGACTATAAGAGGTGGCAAAGCCGACACAGAAAGTAACATTCGGTAGCAAGAGCTTCAGCCTGGAGACTGATGGGACAGTTAAGACAGCAGGATATTGGCGAAGCCAAAGAAAGAGGGAGGCAAATTGAACTGATAACGGAAGGGACACGCAGTTGAAGATTTGGTTTCAACAAGGGGTGCCTGGTCCAGCTTCGGCTCCGGACCGCGTGACAGATGTTACTGTAGATTGTCCTGAAAGGGTACTTCCTGGTCTGAAGTTGTCGGAGTAGATTGATTCGAGGTACCGCTTGGTCGAGCAACGCCTTTCTCAGTTGGTGCCAGGTCGCCATTGCCCTAAAGAGCGCCTACGAGCCCATCATCTCGACTGGAGCAAAACGATATACGGGAACCGTGCAGACGTCATTTTAACCACTGGTATCATCAAATCCAAGACTCTGGACCCCAACGCCACCTCAACACAGACGGTGACTGGTATTGACCCTACCAGCAAGGCAAATGCGGTCTTCACAATTCTCTATCGAGACCGCCGAAATGAACGAAGGTCATTCTTCCTGTTCCTGAACCCAAACCAGATGGGACAGTAGCCAACGCGAAGAGACGAAGCATAGCGGCAGAGCTGTTAGCTTCTATAAGGCCAGACCTTCACAGTAGAAGGTACTGCATATTTTCCGAACTTGAGGCACTCAGCGGCACTTGGGGTTCCATTGGTACAAGCTCAGCCTTGGCATATTCTGCTCTCTGATATCTTGAGGAGTTTCCTGGATCCTATTCACGACGTCGAGACAGCGATGGAGCACCCTCGCCGGAACTCTGGGAATCGATGTGAAGAACGATGTCCGTAATGTTCGACAGCCTCTTCCTGCAGAATGTGAAGAACAGTTGAGGAACCCAGCGGTAGTGGCGGGCTACGGAGTGAACCTATGTAGCTGCGTGCGGCACAACGCTCAACCGAAGGCGCCGGACATAAGAAGAAGCGGCGGAAGGAGCAGACAAAAGAGAAGGAGAGTAAGAAACAAAGCCGATTTGCGAACGTAGAGACAGGGGTTCACTCAAGAAGCGAATCAAGAGCAAGGTGAACTTATTCGAGAACCGACAGGCGTCATCCGACCATCAGAAGAAGAATTACCGAAAAGGCAACGCTGAGGGCGATGAGCCATGCGAACTGTTCCTCAAGATGACGAGAACTATGAACAGATCCGACGGCTCCTTGCTGACGCGAAAGAGAAGCCCAGCAATAGGCGAGTGTCTTCTGCTAGTAAGCACAAGGACATTGCTCGAGACGGAAATTTATCAAGAGCGGCACTCACGTTTCGGTGCCCTTGATAGGTGTTGGAAAGCCGCCGCCTACCGACAGGAGGTGAGGAACCAGATATAGCGAGTTGACTCGAGACGACCTCCTCTTCTGGGGTGCACCAAGCACCTGGCTGGGTACCTGAAGACAATGAAAACGGGGCAACTGTGCAATAAACAAGAGTGAATTAGGATGAGCATCTTTCTGATTCTTGCCCTATTGGAACTGCGGAGACAGGTGGCAATAACATCCATTGTTGCAATTCATCCTCAGTTTTGCGCCCAATGCAGAATCATTGGCCTCCACGCTCCACGCCGTAGAGTTACGGACAGCTATCAGGAAGGCTTTGCCCCATCCCAGCCAAGCACCTTTGTCGAAGGTTGAAAGTTTCCAGCCGGGTGGCGAGTGATGGCTCGCTGCACAACCTCGACTTCGGTCTCTGGGTTCAGAGTAGTCTTCAGCTCACAGACGTGAATCACCTCCGCCGTAATGGGCTTCCGCGGAGGCGGCGGTTGGTCAACAGGATGCGATAGGAATGATTTGTTCAAGCGCTCAAAGTAGTCTCTGAAGCCTTTGACTCTTATCTCGTCAGGATTCTTATAGCTGAAGACTAGCTCTTTGAGGAACTCCTGCTTGAACCCCATCGTGGACTCGAATTGCTGGCCTGATGGGCCTACCTCCACACCACTGGCACCATTTCTTCGACGGTATCATGAAATGGGCAAAATACTGGAAGCGGTCTATCGTGGGCCTGGCCCTCGACGCATACGAGAAGGAGGTCGCCGCCGGTGCGAAAGGAGGTGGCAGGGGCCGCGCTTGAACATGTTGTTGGCGGATGTTCGGGCTCTATCCAGCTTCTTCATTGTTCGCAACCAGTTTCGGGCACAGAACATTCAGACCATGCTGATAGCATGGTTCCCGGACTTACTATCGTAAGAGTAAGGAATTTTAGGATGGTTTAATGAGACTCCTGTCCGCCGGAGCTCCTCGGCCGCCGCCTCTGGCGTTAAGACCGCAGTTTCTGCCTCTGTTTTAACCTCCTCCACGTTGACGACGAGCGATTATATCGAAGCGGTATTTGCATCTTTGTCGGTTCCCCGGTTCCCAGACAAGTTTGGATTGTTACGGTTGTTGGGGTTGGCCTTTATCAGTTGCGCTACCGATAGGACGTCATTTTTTGCCTGTCTGCCTGTCCTGGCCTCCCTCCCTCGCTTTGGCCACCCCCTTGTCGTTTGGAAGCAGTATTTGCGCCTGGATTATTCCCCGAACAAAGTTTGGATCATGCGCTTGTTGAAATTGGTTGGTTGCATTGTGCAAAACGCCCTCCCCTTGGCAAGATACCGGTATCTGCGTTGTGCGGCACCAACTTTCGTTTCCGTCTCTGTTCTGCCTCGTGGTTATTGTCAAATTGTCCTCTCCGATTGCTGCCTGCTGGTTTTAGAAGTGATCGTCTTCGATTTTCAATACGACTTCGTCGACCGCCGTGGTTTCGAACATGAAGGCTTTGTCTGGAGGGATAGTCTACCGGCGTGCCAGGTGTGTATTCTGGCTACGTCGATCTGCCGACTTCCAATAATGAATGTGTATCCATCTTTTTTAGCTCGTAGCCTCCTTGATGTAGTTTTCCGCCGCTGTTACTTGCACACAGATCAAAAGGTAACGTCGCTTCAGAGGCTCGCAAAGCGACTTCAGGGCGCACGAACGAGGCGAGGTCGAGATGTGTTCTTGTTCAATAACCTAAAGATCCTCCATTATATGCGCTGAGCCGTCATCGTCAGCGATAAGGCCATGATTTGAGCTGTTGTTGGCGTCGACATCAAATAATGTCCTACCTGCTCTGAGGTCGAGGGAAGGTACGCGTCGCGTCACTCATGGTTTCCTCTCGTTGTCTACTCGGTCCCGCTCTCCTTTCCAGGGAGGAGCAGGCCTGTCGAGTTCCAGATTGGCGGGTTCAGCTCTTCCTGTCCGTACACTTCAGAAGGGCGCAATTGAGGCTCGCTGAGTTGGCTCTGGGAGCAGTTTCTTGTGTTTCCAAACATCTCGATTCCTGATCGCGGCATTATTAGGACTGACCTCATGATAAACTGCGGTAGTTTACCATTGTGGCACTTATCACCTCAGTGTGAAGGTCGGAAATTTCCTGTTCAGGGTTAACAACTTTTGAATAACCAAACAGTTTGAAGACTAAGTTGAATACACACCTACTATGGCGTCTTCACGAGGTGCCTCTACAGGAAGAAATCAGCACTATCCCATATTCCCTCGATCTTCGTGCACACTCAATCACTTCGCGACGTCTTGCACAGTGTCAGATGTGTAATAGGACGCATCTTGATGAATTTATAAGTCAGGTTGCTCCTTTTTATAATACCGACTCTCTTGTATAGCTGGGGAAGGTTTTGGGGCTGTGCGCAGTTTCGACAAGCAGGAGTAGCTGAACTACATCGTGGTCTATATCACTTACATCATCCGGAAGAACAGAGCTGGCCAATTCATTCCAATTCCTTAGGCCATCAAGAGGCTTACCACGACATCGGACATAAAACCACTTCCTCATCAACCGCATGTCCCCGCCTCGCGCCGGAGTAAAGCGAGTGAAGATCGGCTTTGAGAATGGATACAGTCACTATGTGCAACTACTCTCTGACCTGTAACATGCGAGTCACCAATGTCAGCAACGAACGGAATCTGGCGCGACTTGTAAAAGAATGTCAGCCTCGTCACAGGAAAGAGTAACGCTTGGACAAGTCATATGGACCGTCTTGTCATTGGTTCTAGTAGCTATGCGGCTCTGGTCTTCTCAAGAATCGGCCTGCGTTACATACACGGTTTTTTCTTTCTCAAGTGGTTGTGTGTGTGCCCTGCCTTTCATCACCCCAAGCTCATGGTGGTATTTTTCCTTTGCATTTTTGACTGGATGTGTGTCTGCGCCTCTTCTCCTTCCAAGCTCAAGATGGTGTTTTCTTCCCACGCTACCAGGCCCATTTTGGGTTCTCAACGGGTGCATTCATCCAGGAATTGAGGTCGTTGCCCATTGCTTCAGGGCGACCCTGCTCTTCTCCAGTATGACCCTGCTCTTCTCCAGTATGACCCTGCTCTTCTCCAGTATGACCCTGCTCTTCTCCAGTATGACCCTGCTCTTCTCCAGTATGACCCTGCTCTTCTCCAGTATGACCCTGCTCTTCTTCAGTATGACCCTGCTCTTCTTCAGTATGACCCTGCTCTTCTTCAGCTTTGATGTGTTCATTTGTCTCTTTCTCAATCGCAGCTGCTTCCTCTTGCTCTTGGGCAGTAGGGGGTCGGGAGTCACGTGGTTGTTCGTCCCAACCATCGCCTCCAGGGAGGTTAGCCTGTCCTGAGCTGAAGTCGACCATATTTTCTTCGAAGTATGGGGATACAATGGGTTTGATCAATTGCTCTGCCATGGTGATTGAATGTCGAATGCCGGATTTAATGTATGATTTGACAACTCTCATGATAGGGGGGGAACGGGTCTTGAAGACTGCGGACCTGTCAATGATGTAATAGAAGCCATATCTGGCACGAGTATGAGCAACGTTGAGGCGATTGAGTTCTTTCAAGAAGCCTCCATTTCCACGAACTGGCATATCAGTGATGACAAAGTCGCATTCGTACCCTTGGATTCTATCGACCTTGTCAACGTAGATCTTGCTGTATTTATCGTCGACAAGCCTCAATCGATCCAGAGCAGCGAGGTAGAGGAGGTATTGTGCACCATAATAAACGAAGATGCTGACCGACTTAGTTGGAAATTTGTCGACAAGATCTTTTGCAAGGTTGATGCCGTATTTGACAAATGTCTTGTTGTATCGGGACTTTGTTGGGGATTCTTCTGTCATAGTTTCATGGATATCGATGAGGACCGCGGTCGTTCCACGGCCGAATCTCTCCTTATTCCAGTTGCGAACTTGTTGGGTGAATGGACGACTCTGCTGGCTGACAGATTGATGGTCTATGAGCTTGCCTTCGTATGAGAGCTCGTTCGGACAACGAGAGATGTCACGGTCCATTCGATGCTGAACAGTGAGCATGGCAGAAGGGGCGCCACTTGCAACTGAGCGATACATGAGAGATCGAGTAAGTTGAGAAACGAAATTTCCAGCCTCTGCTGGAGCTGCCACAAAGGTCCGCAATTGCTGAATGTCACCAATCTGAACGAAGCCGACGGCATGCGGGTAATTCGCACGAAGGGAAAGAGCCTCAGATTGTTCAATGCGAGCAGCTTCCTCGAGGACGACCAGTTTGATAACCTCTTTACAAGCGCTGGCGTACTTGTTCTGTATGGCAAGAGAAGAAGTCGTGCAGATGATGGTTGCGTTGGAGATGACGTGGTTCATGAGTTTCTTGAGTTGAGCTCTGAATACCGCTTTCGTATCTTTCTGCAATTCGGTCCCATTGCATAGCTGTTGGTAGAGGGAAGAGAACTCATGAAATTCTTGCGGTTGTGGGGCGGGATCACCTTTGCCGGCTGGAATCTTTCCGATGACTTGCAGCATGCGAGTGCCGGTAGCAAGTTGAAGACATCGTTCCGAGACGCGTTCATCTGGGACGAGCTCGACTTCGTAGGTATGCTCACGCTGGTAATTTTCATAAGCAGCCATGGAGAATTGAAGACACTCAAAAGCCTCTCTCTCTTCCGGCTGAAGCTCTTCGACAAGTGTAGGACGATGGTTTCGTGCCTTACCAGCCTTCCTCGCTTCCAACTTCGAGATTCGTGTAGCGATGTCCTTTTCGGTTGAGAAAGAGAAGATGCGAATGAGATATGCATGGGGATTGTTTTCACTCATGATCATTTGATGCAGACGGAGAGCGAAGGTATCGATAGGTTTATTAGCATTGGAAGCCACAAGAACGTGAACCTCGTCGAGGCCAGCTCTGACGAAAGGGCGCGAAATTTCGGTGCCGACATATGTCTTTCCGGTGCCTGGAGGACCTTTGATGATCGGAGCGCCGGCAGGAGCGTTCATGCAGAAATCGATAGCTTGAGATTGACCTTCGTTGAGTGCGTGCATAATCTCCTTGGGATTGGGGATGACTGAAAGAATAGGTTCAAAGATGTTGAAGGAAGGAATATTTTCATAGTCGTTTCCGAGAATGAATTGCTGAAAGGCAATGGCAAGCTCGCTGTGTTGGGAGAACCATTCGTGTAGCAAATTCATACCGACGACTTTGTCCTTGTAAACCTGTTCGTCCTTGTCGAAGACGATTTTGACTTTCATACTGGGGGCGGCTCGAAGCGCTTTGAGATTCTTAGCCAGGGAGTCTTGTGCTGAGAGCGGGATGGGCGTGATTTTGAGTGATGGATGTCCGAAAGTATTGTTCTCCCTATCGTAATAGTTTGTGACATGAAGAGGGACCAGAGTAGAAGGAAGACCAGGAATGGCTTCAGCAACAGTCGCATGGAGGCAACAATCTTCGTCTTCGATTGCAGGATCGGAGATGTACAAAGAATCACCGCCTTGAAGACGGATTTGATCTTCGACGGGGACATCCAGAAGGCCAAGAAAAGCACGATTAGCACCCTTGACCAGCTCGAAGACATAGAGGTTGTGCAATTTTGCTTCATATGTAGTCAGTTGGTCAAGAACATACTCTCGCTCTTGAAGATCCCCAATGCATTGCGACACGAGGAGTTCATCGTAGCTGAAGTATGAATTTTTGGCCGCCACGATGCAATTCTCTGGGCGTTTCGCTTTTGGGATGAACTCCTCCTTCTGCATCACGAACTTAGATTTGCCGGGGCAGATCCACTTGGTCAGAGGATGGATGGCTTGATCAACAGCGAGTTGTTGGTGTAGCGCGGCATAATTCTCGAGGGTATGTACCGAACCGCAGATGTGGAATATCAAAGGCTGCTTTGCTCTCATATGATCTTTGAGACGTTGAATTTGCGGAGGAGCATTGGGAATGAGAAAAGACTCAGAGTTGACTTCGCCGAGTTCATAGTTGATAATGAGCGCGAAGCAGCGATTGGCTGGACTATGTTGCTGGAACTCTTCATGCTGGATCTCGACGATGTTCAGCTGGGTGACGGCGTCAGCACTGAACCGGAGGACAGCGCGGTAGTCAGCGACTTCAGGGAAATTTATGGACGGCCGAGCGACAACAACTTGGATGTGTGAGATGTGCTTGTCGCATATGAAGGCGATTCTCACGTCCGCGTCGGCTCCATGAAGCTGTTCTCCCGTCTGAATGTCGATGATCGTGCATGGCCATGGAGTACCGGCTGCGTAGGCTTCGATGCCAAAGACTGTCTCAACTGCAAGCCCACTGGATTCATCGAACAGTGCAGCAATTTCATCCTCTTTGATATCTTGTCCCTTTTGTTCCCAGACCTTTGCTGGCTTTCCAGGTTTCTCTGCTCGAGGTGGCTTGGCTTTGAAACCCTTTTGAGTAATTCTGGAGCTCATTTGCTGGGGCTTTTCACCCGATTGCATCTCAGCACTGCTGATTTCGAAAGGTTTGGGTGTTGCTTTCTTGGTGAAAGATGCGCTCTGTGCATCTTTCACCATGGCAAAGCGAGATTTGAATAAAGTTGGAAGGGTTTTGAGATCAATCGATGGAAGAGAACTGACATCGACATGAGCGGTGTCATCTTGGTCAGAAGGCTTGCCCCAGGCGTCATTAGCAGATGATGGCCCGTTTGCCCAGGTGTTGTTGTTGCTGACTTGTCCGCCGAGAAGGTTGTTGTTCGAGTTCTCCTCCCAGCTTGTTCCAGAGGGGTCAGCGGGAAGGTTGTTGTTCGAGTTCTCCTCCCAGCTCATTCCAGAGGTTGGATCAGCCATGATGGAGATGATGGTATTGGTACAAGTGATGGGAAAGGCGGAAGATGAAGCCAAGGGAGGATGAGTGATGAGAGAAAGAGACAGTTCACCTCTGAGAAAGGTGGTGGAAGTGATGAGTTGAGAAAATTTTCAAACTGGTGAGAGTGAAAGATAAATGAAGTTGTGGACAGGAATTCCTCTCAGCTTGGCGAGAAGGTGAAATCTGCCGGACCTGTGTGATTTTCGTAAAACCACTGGTGTTATTGTTGCCTGAGTGAAGCGAAATCCGAAGAGGCTGATTTTCAAGAGTTGTTTGATTGGGAGTGAATTGAAGTTGAACGCAAGACTCGAAGGCCTGCCTCACGGATCGTCTTACAGAGACAAGACCAAGCGTCCGTGAGAGTTGTTTGATTGGGAGTGAATTGAAGTTGAACGCAAGACTCGAAGGCCTGCCTCACGGGTCGTCTTACAGAGACAAGACCATGCGTCCGTGAGAGTTGTTTGAATAATGAAAATATCTTCCTGGCTCATGAGATTGTTTAAATAGGGGCGGCAACGCATCGACTCGCCAAGAACAACAGCAGTTCGGTTCTTACTGTCCTGTTGTTTTCTCGATGCATAGTGAGAGATGTTTGAGAGCGCTGGAGACTGTTTGCTGATTTCCTTCGTGTAGGTCTGTCGGAAGAAGTCGAAGACGGTAATGTATTTTCCCTCCCTATCGAGCCAGAATTGTATCTGCTGCGCTCCAGCGCCAAATTCGAGGACACGAGGTGGATGGGGAAGCGATTTGCCGTCCTTCTTGGTAGCAAGACCACAAATGACTCGTGGAAGCGGGATGGGTTGACCGTCCTTCCTTGGAGAGGTATGAGTAGTGTGCACGGTGAGTCTTTTAAGAAACCTATGAAGTTCCTGCTTCTTGGGGTCGCGTGAAGCTCGGAAATCTTGGATGAGATTGACAAGCGGGCCGTGATTGTAGAACGGAGAGCATTTGACTTGAACATTGACTAGAATGCGTCCTGTCGCAGGTCTGACGCTCACGAAGAAACCACGGATCACCGTGAGTCCAGCACCAAGGGAGGCTCTGTCGGCTTCCAGAGGCCATTTAGGATAGTGTTTGTTGCTTCCGATAGATGCGACGCGTGAAGAGCTCCTCGGATTGTGCCCCATGACAATGTTCAGCGCTTGAATAGTGCGGTCTTTGGAAGGACAGACTTCATTGGGGTTGGTCGAGGTGAGATATGTCAACAGCTCTGACGCAGTATTGGCGCCATCAGGAACCAGACGAATGCGATATCGTCTGGCCGTAGCAACAGGAGTGTCTTCGCCCTCCCTCCTGTAGACGACATCGTACGATTGCTGATTGAGCTGCGTGTTGCTGATGATCAGAGAGGTGAAATCCGTCACGATGCCAGATCGGTTTTGGGCGAAATTTTCTTCAATGAGCAGGGTGACCAAGCGCTGCTTGTCTTTCTTTTTGATCTGTCTGCCAGGAGTCCCCTGTACTGCGAAATCGAGAGCATAGCGATAGAACGTGACATTGCCCCAATCGAGATGCATGTAGTTCGCGTAGAGCAGGATTCTGTATCCTTGCGTTCCAAAGCCAGGGCGGACAGGGAGCCGGGGATCAGAAGCGGATGGCTTGAGGACGGTTTTCTCGATCTCGTTCTCAAGATCTCTATTCTTGACATCGAGTATGGCGACATCACCCGGGCCGTGACTGTAGAGTGATGAGAAGGTCAGCTCCAAACATCTGGAAGAGGCTCCACGTTCTGGAAGGAAGTCCATACGAGAAGATAGCTGGGGGACCGGCGACGCTTCTTTGAGAGCCACCACCGTGAGATCTGCCACCACGACCATCGCCCTGTCCTCCACGTCTGGGGTGAGAGGGAAGAGTGATCTGACCACCACGGCCACTCGTCGACATGTTGTGAAATCCGCTGAGACTGAGAGGAAAGGGAAGCACCGCAGACGCTTGAGACGGTATCGACCAGCTGCCAGCCACTGATAGTTTCGATATCCTGAGTGAGAAATGGAAAAGAAGCGAGGGTAGCGGGTAGGGAAGAAGAGGTATGGAAGAGGGATGGAAGATAGGAAAAGATGGGAAAGATGAAAGATGAGGGACAGGAGGGATACTTATAGGCGTAGAGAGGAGTCTCGCAGCCTTGTTGCCTGGAGATATTCACTGTTTGACCACATGCTAGCAAACACGTGCTATTGTGCTCCTATTGTCAACTGAAGTTGATTGAAGGCAGCTTGAACAGACATCTCTGGTCATGGCGATACAAGGTACGGTGTATGAGAGCATGTAATTGGGTGTTGGGTGAATCATTATTCTCTCATGAAAGGCTCAGTACGCAGTTAAAGAGCTTTTGATGATACCTACAGGTGAAGGGGAGAGAATGACAAGCAAGAAACAGAATAGATGTTGTGAGAAGGCGATATTGAGGATTGCAAACTACAATAGAATGAGTGGAGTTGAGAGACGATTATTGGGCGATGGGGGGCGCTATGCCTGTAGCGCCTAAGGAGCCGTTCCGGGCATCTCTAGAGTTTGGGCTCTGGCGTGCATCGGGGATGGGGGCGCGGGGCAAAGGGGACTCCACGTAGGCAGTGCTAGGGTATGGATCCCCACTCGATACTGGTATAGGTACCTATATATGTACATAGATACCCCTTTGAAATACCTACAGTAAACACCTACTCGTACATGTACCTGATAGTTCCCTCCATGTTCCCCTCTCCATCAATGACGTCCTTGTCCAGTTCTCAGCCTCGTCCCAGACATGCTTTGGATTGGACTTGCATGCGCCGATACAACCCCTCCTTGTGTAACACGAACATGCAGGGTCGCGAAAGGACATTGGCTGCGCTGTTGTTCCCTAGAGCATGAGTGAATTTGATTCCCCCTCTCACCTCTTCCAGTTCCCTTGCTGCTCATGGTTTCTTCTCTTTCTACAATAGACCCCGCGCAGCCTCTATCCAGAAAATTACCTTGAAGAAGCGCATCTACGCCCACGTCGCCCATCTCCCGTCATGGATCCTCTGGCCAAATACCTCAGCCTCATCTCAGTAGTGGTGAGTGGAGGCCCATCCAACTCTGTTTTCTCCAAGGCTGCCCTAACATATCACATGTGAAAGCTATGCATTGCCGCCATCATTCTCTCTGCGTAAGTAGAGACCCAGTACCGCCTGGCTTCGACAGACGTTGGATTCAATGTTCTAATATCGATCTCTACAGCATTTCCTGGGCCAGAATCGTCCACCTCAGCCTTCCGTGCCCTCTGACACTCCCTGTGCTAAGTACACTCACGACTCTTGCCGGACCCGTCGTCATGGTCTTCGCTGCGAGGGCGAGGAAGAGAACACTGACGCTCGTGGCGCCCTATCTTCGCTACTTCCTCCCCTTTCTCCCCTTTGCTCTCTTCATCCTCTCCCTCATCTACGCAGTCCCCTCCGATCTCCTGTCCTGCAGCATCGAAAGCCAATGGGTCAGCCTGTTTCGGGCCAAGAATGAGGATGCCGTGCGTGGAATAGAGAACGCCCTCCGGTGTTGCGGGTTCAACTCGCTGCATGATCGGGCGTGGCCGTTCCCCAGTCACGACGTCGACGTGACCGCCTGTGAGAGGACTCTGGGATATACGCGTCGATGTGTGGACCCATGGCGGAATCGAGAGCAGGTTGCTGCGGGATTGCTCGCCCTGGCCAGTCTATTCAACTGGATCCTTCTGGTAACGTGTGAAGTCCCGCCGTATGATATATGGCTACTAACCCCTTCGAACGCACCAGCATCTCGTGGATACGGCAGCGCAGCCGAGTCCATCCAGGCGATTTCCTGCCGCTTCTGATGTCCGCTCTGAGCAGACCAGACTGCTCCGTGAAGCTGAAGAGGACCAAGAACAGAGTGGAACAGGGAACAACCATGCTTCTTACTCCGACCATAGCCGCACAAATTGAAGGGGGAAAGCACAACGAGTAACTTGTACTGTACTTGCAGGTAACGCAGGTAACACAGGTGGCCAGAACATGAGTGAAACGAGCTCGCAAGTCTACCAATAGGAGACCAAAATGCGACTCAGTTCGATGATCCATGTTTGTCGACTGGGGCTGACATGCCATGCACCTTCGAAACACCAATATCTGAATCAGGAAGTAATCTACGAACTCAGGCCCCGATCGATGTGGTGTTGTAATATAATTATCTCGCATCATCCATCTCTCTTGGGCTCACCGCTCTCTTTGATCATCAGTGCCCCCTCGCTCCTCGCGCATTACTTCCCGTCTTTCGTTTAGAGTGGCGCAATACGGGCTTGTTGGAACACTCGACTACTCGTACTCGTACTCATACCTGTTCCTTCATGCTCTGTGGAAACAATGTTACGAGGATTGACTTTCATGCGCTAGTTCAGGGAAGAGAGAGAGAGAGTCGGGCTTTTGTGCCTGCTCTACGAGTACCTCGTAGAGCCGACCATCAAAAGATCCGTGCATACGAGTAGTTGGACATTGGATCACAGACGTGGCCCCCAACAGACCTGTGCCTCGTCATAGATATCAGGGGCGTTCGCTTGGTCTTAGGTTGATTTCCAAGGTATATGAGGCCAAGTAGATGCTCCGTTCATAACTGATAGGCTGACTGTCTGCTGTTTTGCTTCCTCCTTGTCCATCGCATTGCTTTCTATTCCCCTCACCTGCTCTTGTGCCCTGCGAAGTCCTCGCACAACCCGCCATAATCAACATGTCTGCAACCACCGGCGCTTGCCTCTGCGGCCAAATCAAGTATGAGTTCACAGGCGACATTGCTCTGAAAGCATTCTGCAACTGCAAAGACTGTCAGCGCTGGGGAGGCGCGACTGGTCTTCCCAACGTTGTCATTGACCGGAAAAGCTTCAAGGTCACCGCCGGTAAGGAACTGGCGTCGGTGCCGTTGAGCGCATCTTCTCTTCCCTCCGAACCCTCCTACCAACTTCAGACCTGCTAACGTGTGCGAAACAGGAACTCCCAAAGCCTTTGATGTTGTCGGTGACAGCGGCAAGATAAATCGGCACTATTTCTGTGGGACGTGCGGGTCGAGTCTGTATTGCGAGCTGGAAGCCATGCCTGAGAACACGGTTATTAAGGTAAGTGCTGACTTTCTCGGTGCATGGCGAGAGACGTTTGAAAGTGCTGGAGACGATTTGCTGATCGCCCTCATTCAGGCCGGAAGCCTAGATCAACCAGATATCAAAGAGATGCAGGCCGAGCTCTATGTCAAAGATCGTGTGAGCTACATCAAGCCAATTGAAGGCGCTCAGCAGGTTCCTGCATTCCTTTGAGCGAAGAACCGGCGAGAGTTGGATCGATCAGGAGTGGTGGGTGTTGATAAGGCCCGAAGGAACCATCATATCCCATATGACGAGGCAATACATCCCAAATCCCACATGTTGACTCGTCCGCATCGCCTAGCCACAGAGAACAGGGGTTTCCGGACGTGACATAGGTGTGATACTTGTGGAGGCCACTCTTTGAGCTAGAACAAAGCTTCCCGAAGGAACGAGTCGCTATTCCATCGTCCTGTCTGCCTGTGCGCTCGTGATCTCTGTCGTTTCAACCGACCGTAATGAATGCGCATAAGTAAGCCCCGTGTGAAGGTCGGGCTTAGGGATTCACCGGCTCGATTCGCAGCAATCCAGCAATTAATCTCTGCAAATGACCATCGCCATCCACTTTCATCCCTCTCTTGCCGTGTGACTGTTTTCGACTTGCTGGAAATATGCAGATTGTGTCCACCACTCAGGCCGCAGAATCACTTCCCCAGTAAACTTTGTTCATCTTGACGCCCTTCTGCCACAGAGCCGGGAAACTCGAGTCCTGTTCGGGGTACTTCTCGCGCTGCTCGCGCTGGATGCGAAGAGCAGCTGCCGAAAGGCCGACACAAAGCGCGAAGATGGGATCGACGAATCTGGAGTAGAGTGAGAAATCAGCGTCCGTGTCGCGTCTCTGTGTGTGTGAAGCAGTCAGGAGAGACGAGAGTGGATGGGCACATACTTTGAGAATAGCCACGGTTGAGCGACCGATGCCATGGTTTACGAGACGAAGGCGTCAAAGATCCTAAGTTCAAAAAGAAAGCAACCCGTACAAGATCCTGAGGAACGGAGAGGTTGAGTATTTCGCAGATGCTCAAAGTAGGACCTGGCTCGCTGGCTAGGCAGTGCTAGGGAAGCTAAGCTGTGAATCCTCCGATTGGCCAGCCTCGTAGCCTCGTCACTCCTGTTCCTGGCCGACTCTGCCAACTGCCGAGTACAACTAGAGACGTCCGAGAATTGTTATCTCTCTATCCAAGTGTAACCCAGTAAATCCGGAGTCTACAACAAAAGTAGGAGAGTGATAGATACCAACACAACAAACCCTGTCGACACACATCTAGATGCCATCCTCTCAACACACTGGAGTCTCGACACTCGCACTACCGAGTTGCCCTTGCCAGGTATTTCTCGAACCACTCATACCGCCTCCGCTCGATATCACTTAATGTGCTTCCCTTGATGAATATATGCCCTTCGCCGTCATAGACCTTGATGTCTACCGCTGTGCCTGCCTCCTTGATGATCTTTGCCAGGTTGTATGCTTGATTTGGCGGCACAATGGCATCGTCCGCTCCACTGATTATCAGCAGCGGGCTTTTAATATCTGACGCATGAGTCAGAGGGCTCCTGTCTTTCAGAATGGCTTCTTGCTCTGCTGGTGTAGCATCAGAAGGATAGCATAACGGCGAGAGATATTGAGATTCGAATTTATGAGTCTCCTCGACAAGGAGCCTCATATCCGATATGCCGCTCTCAGCGACACCGCAAGCCCACACCGAGGGGTATTTAGCCAGAGCTTGCATCGTTGCATAGCCACCTGCAGAGTGGCCGGTGATACCCACTCGTGATTTGTCGATAAGCCCTTGTTGAGCCAGATAGTCAACTGCCGAAACAGCATCGGCGATGTCGCTGACTCCCCATAGTGCAGCAAGTAGGCGGCGGTACGGCCGGCCATAGCCAGTGCTTCCTACACTGTGAGTATAGAATTAGTGCACACGAAGACAACATCGGGGTGATCAGAATTCCAACTCCCAATTCATCTGACAAAAGTAGCCTAACTTACTAGTTAAGCTGTACGAGAGCGTAACCCCTAGTCGTGAGTGCTTGGTCGCGAAGGGAGAAACCTGGGCCTGCTTGGTATGTTGGCCCCCCTAATGAACACCCATTAGCTCAGCGTTATTGTGACACAGCGACGAAATAATAACTCTAGAGCGGAGAATCCACTCGAGTTAGATACAAACGTACCGTGAAGAGCGACAATAAGGGGCGGAAGTGTGCCAGCCGGCGCCTCGAATTGTGGATTTTTGGGCGGATAAAATAACCCATAAGCGTCACCACCACCAGGACCGTGGACTCGCGGAAATGTAATAGGCTGCGGAGAGGAGACATACTCTTCCGGAAGAGGCGTCTGGGTGGACTGTTTCAAGATTGTCCCAAGCCCTTGTTCATTGATATCAATCACCGTAGCCAGCATGGGGAGGGAGGCAGTGGCGCCGATGATGGCGAACGATGTGTCAGATACTGGCTTGACGGCGTCATTCGGTATCTCGACAATAGGACAGCTGAGATCACGCCATTCGAGTGTTCGAGTGTCTACGAGAATGGTTGTGCAGCGGCCTTGATAATTGAAAACGGCCACCATATTGGACGGATCTAGGAGACAGTAGGAAGCTATAAATTTCTGTTAGTCCATAGCCCAGTATGTGGATACAGCGATGAATCTGCTATGAGATACTAAACCCAGAAAAACAAAGGGAAGGACACTCACAGCCTCCCAAAAACCAATCTGGAAATCCAAATTCGGCATCCTCCAGCCCTGACAGTACGAGTTGTTGTATATCACCATTGGCAAAAGAATATATTTGCCAGAAATCAGTCTGGTCCGAGACAAAGTAAAGAACTCCATCATCACTCCATCGTGGTTGGGTAATGCTGGCCTTGGTCTGCTGGCCAGCAATGCATCTGGGGTTCTTTGCCGTGCCGTGGTCCCAGTCAGCAAGCCATAGCTCTGTATTATCCCATGGCATATTAGGATGATTCCACTGTATCCAACAAATCTTTGTTCCATCAGGACTGAAGCTTGGAAAGGTGTAGAAGTCGGAACCAGTAGCTAGAGGCCGGACTTGATTTGTGGACGAGTCGATCACCACAAGAGAGGTTTGGATGTCTGAAATCTTGGACGTATTGTGGTCCTCTTTGATCGCCACGGTATATTGAGAATGGTGAGGATGGATAGCGAAGTCGGCGTAGTATACTTTGGGATCCGCCGTCACGATTGGGATTGTTTCGCCTGCTTCAGGGTCAAGGCCAAAAACACCCTTGGTCTCCCAATCCGTGAAGATAATGTGTCCCGTAGACTCATTGAAGGCAAAGGAGGCCCCACCGTACTCATGGACCTGGGACAGGCAGTTGTACTGTTTGGGAAGAACATCTCTGCTCTGTCCATTGTAGTGCTCGACGATGACGCCTCTTCCTCCCTCATCTGGACGTATCTCAAGCAGGTATATTTTGCCATTGTCGCGCTGTAGATAACTTAGTATCATCCCTACGGCGACGATCCTTGGACCTACGTTGACGCATAGCCGATTCAATACCACCGAACCTGGGGCCGCAAAGCTCTCAGGCTCGATGGGACTCTTAAATGTCCCATACTGTGCAACTTGGCCAGAAGTCATGGTTGTTTGTGACAGGAGAGAAAACTCATTACGGCCGCTGTCGAAAGAAATAGCCCCGTCACTTTATCAGCTCATTAAAGCTGCACGGATCATTTTGTTACAAGCATGCGTGGCATCTTGTCAATGTCACCTCCCGGAAAACAGCCTGACAGCCTGCGCTGCAAAATCGTGACCTTCCCGAAAGGGGAACGGAATAGCGCCCATTCGCGGAATTATTTTTTGGCTGTGACGCGCAGTTTGGCAGTCAAGTTCTCCAGCACCAGCCAGTGTTTGACAGTATCTGCAAGGTGATGATATCCATGCTCAACGCAGGATGTGAGGCAACAGATCACCAGTTCGTCTCCATTCCTGCCTGCACCTCGTCGGTACACATCGTCCCTGCTCAGGCTCTATGCACACAACACCATATTTGCCTACGCGATTCGACTCAAGACCATGGCAGCCATCCCGGGTGCTGCACGCTTCTATGAACCTACGTAGACTGCAATGTCCGATCTCCTCGAAGTCCTCCCTGATTTTGACCTCAAACCGTACTCACACCTTCTACATTCCCTCGAGAAAAACGACATTACTGTCGCCGACTTGATCACCCTCGATCCCAAAGAGATTGCTAGAAAATGCCCTCTTCCTGCAGCCGATGTCCAGAGGTTGGTGCACGATGTAATAGAGGCTCTGCAACGCGACACGCTGCAAGGATTAAGAAAGAAGCACAAGAATAAAGCTGCGTATGCCGAGGACAGAGCAGACGATGGACCACAGTTCAAAGAGACAAAAGACGACACACCATTCAAAGTAAGGACCTTGGATCCGATTATAGATCAGGCATTGAATGGAGGCTTGTACCCCGGCTATATTGTAGAGGTGGTTGGAGAGAGTGCTGTCGGAAAGACTCAGTTCGTCCTGGGCCTTTTGCTCTCTGTTCAACTACCTCCGCCAAAGGGTATTGGGAAAGGGTCAATCTACATTTCGACCGAAGGGCCTCTCCATACCAAGCGGCTCAGTCAAATACTTCTTAATCATCCTGAGTACAACAGCTTAGACCCTGACCAAGGGCCTTCACTTGATCGTGTGCATACCATTGCAACGAACGATCTCGAAGCGCAGGAGCATATCATCCGGTATCAACTCCCCATCGCAGTCCAGCGATTTAACATTGGACTGATCGTCCTAGATTCAGTGGCGGCAAACTTCCGAGCCGAGCACGATACTCGGACGGCGGCGCAACTCGCCAATCGAGCCTTTGAGCTGGCCAAACTGGGAAACCTCCTGAGGAAGATCGCTATCGAGAATAACATAGCGGTCGTGGTCACAAATCAAGTCTCGGATCGCTTTGAAGATTCCAAAAATCTCCTTCAGCCATCATCTCCGCTTACCACGTCTTCTCCTACCGTTCCATCATCACATACACAAGCGGTGGTGGAGTGGCAGAGAGAGATACAGAGCCTTGATCATCAACAGCGCTTCTTCACTGGATGGGGAGACGAGACAGGGAAGACCAAACATGAACAATTGAAAACTCCGGCGCTCGGTCTGGCGTGGGCCAATCAAATATCTGCTCGCATTGTCCTTAAGATGGAGAGTGAACGGCAGGAATACGCAGGAGGCAATATCTGGAAAGACAAGAAGAAAACCAGGAACTTCTCAGTGGTCTTCGCTCCATGGGCGGGCCCAACCCGTTCTCCGATTCGATATGAAATTACAACCCAGGGTATTGTTTCGATCCCAGACACCGAAAGGCCCGAAAAGGCACTTGCAACCGTAGATGAGGAACACCAGGACTTGCTGGACGAGGCGTTCTGGGCCACAGAAGACGACGAAGAGTTTCCTTGATGGTCTGGAGTAGGCTGCGCAGCGGTATTTGACCTGGTTGGATAGATATCTGGTCCGCAAATATGCACTTGGGTTGAAAGAACATTGTCTAGAGCCCCGCACATCAGAGATTAAGCACTGCCTATGTTTCGTCTGGCTAGGGAATGGGGCGAGGCACATCAGTAGTCTGATGAGATGGCGGAGAGGCCACTCCAAAGGCGAAAGATACAGAGGCGATGGCGTCAAGATCGGGGTCGTTCGATACTCGGTGTCTGTAGAAGCAGGAAAAGGCAAATGTCAATGAATCCACTAATTACTCCTAATCCGGTATGTACAGCCGACGCGCGTTTTGATTGGCTCCGGCCTTTCTTCAAGTTTGAGCTTGAACTCATCCCGCTTTTGTTGCTTCCAACAGCACGACAATTGCACAACAAGTAGGCTTCATCTGCGACTTTCGTATCGTACAAACCTTCGCTCTTGGCTTACTTCGTGGGCATCCTTATCGTCCCGGATACATGGCCACCCGCCCACCTGTGGCGGAGAAAATGATGAATGGCAAGTAATTCAGACGATCCTAAGATCGACCCGGTTGTTCCTTGAAGGACAAGTCCGAATATCAGCATCATCCTGCTTGCTTTTATTGATGCCCTTCCCCACCCCCTCTAATTGTCGAGGGATGTTCTTAAAGTCCTTCTTGTCTTTTCCCAGTTTCCTGTCTTGTCTTCTTAATCATTGGAGTCAGCTCAGGTCTTGACAGTAGAAGGTGCCCGCCACAAACGGCCATACGGTCCCCAAAATGACCTTCAAGCATCCCTTGGACCAGTTGAGCGCCGATGAAGTCAATGTTGCTCGACAGGCCGTCCTCGACGCCCGCAAAGCTGCCATTCTCTTCCGCAACATCTTCACTGTTGAGCCCGCCAAGGCCGAGCTGGTCAAGTTCCTCGCCGCCGAGCATGCAGGAACTCTTACCTCCGAGACCCCCCGACCTCCTCGCCAGGCTCGTGTTCAGTACGACGTGGTCTTCGAGGACCGGAGCCATGAGTACATGGAATCAGTGATCGATGTCGCCTCGGGCAAGGAAGTCGAGCACAGACGGGTGCCTCCAACTTCGCAACAATCCCTGACAGTGGATGAGTTTAGGGAGTTCAACGAGGTGTGCGTGGAATCAGAGATGTTTAAAAGGGCTATCAAAGAGCTCAACCTCGACGAGAAGTTCGAGGTCGCTATCGATCCATGGCCTTATGGCGGCCCAGACGTCGGCGAGGTCGCCCCAAGGCAAGTGTCTATCCTCTACTCACTGTCCAGTCTCTGACCTATGGCCCAGGTATACTCAAGGTCTATGCTTCGCCAAACTACGAAATGGCAACCCCGATAGCAATCATTATGGGTTCCCTCTGCCCATCATTCCAGTGATGGATACCTACAAGAAGGAAATTGTTCGGATTGAACGTCTTGCCACCGGCGGTACCGAGGATGGCCTCAACTATGGCACAACCGGCCAAAATGTCCTGGAACATTGTAAACCGGCTGAATACGTTCCCGAACTGCTGGATACCCCGCTTCGCAAAGACGTGAAACCCTTGAACGTGGTCCAGCCCGATGGGCCATCATTCACTGTGAGCGATGACTCTTTGATCGAGTGGCAAAAATGGAGGTTTCGAGTTGGGTAGGCAGTTCCCTGCGTTCACCTCGAAGTTCAGCACTGATTGAATTAATGCAGATTCACTCCTCGTGAGTGTGCCGTCCTTCATGACATCCACTACGACGGTCGAAGCGTGCTCTATCGCTTGAGCTTGTCCGAGATGACTGTTCCCTACGGTGATCCTCGACCGCCGTTTCAGCGGAAGCAGGCTTTCGATTTTGGAGACGCTGGCGCAGGTAGAGCTGCAAACAATCTTGCGCTTGGCTGTGACTGTCTGGGTGCCATCAAGTATATTGACGCAATGCTCGTGGACTCGGAAGGCAAGCCCTCGGTGTCGAAAAACGTCGTGTGTATCCACGAGCAAGATAATGGAATTGGTTGGAAACACACCAACTTCAGAACCAATCGAGCAGTGGTGACGAGACTGCGAGAACTGGTCGTTCAGTTCATCATTACACTGGCAAACTACGAATACATCTTTGCCTACAAGTTTGATCAGGCCGGAGGGTAAGTGGACATCAGCCATGGATGTGATTGAATGCTTATATTCGGTTGCAGCATCACGATAGAGACCCGAGCCACCGGAATTGTCTCGGTGGTCAACATTGACCCTGACAAGGTGAGCCCTTATGGCAACGTCGTATCACCTGGCGCCCTCGCCCAAAATCACCAGCATATTTTTGCCGTCCGGATCGATCCGGCCATCGATGGCCATTCCAACACCATTCTCACCGAAGAATCCCTACCGATTCCCATGAACCCGAAGACGAATCCGCACGGCAATGGCTACGAAATCGTCCGTAAGCCTGTCACCAAGTCGACATCGATTCACGCCTCTCCTTTCACAAACCTGACCATCAAAATGACCAATCCTAACAAGGTCAATCCTGTCTCGAAACGACCTGTCTCATACAAGTTTATTCCCACGCCGTCCCAATTGATCCTCGCAGACCCCGAGTCGGTTGTCGCCAAGCGAGCAGCGTACGCCCACCACCACGTATGGGTCACCAAATACCGGGACAATGAACTTTTCGCAGCAGGAGAATTCACGAATCAATCACAGCTCGAGGTAGGTGGAGTGGCGGACATGGCTGCGCGCAACGACGACGTGGAAAACGACGACGTTGTCGTCTGGAACGTGTTTGGTCTTACCCACAACCCGCGCGTAGAAGATTGGCCTGTCATGCCTGTGGAGATTCACCAGGTCCATTTGCGTCCGGCGGACTTTTTCGAGAGGAACCCTGCCCTCGACGTGCCTGGCAACAAGAACATCGCCAGCGTCGAGGTTGGAAGAGAGACAAACGGAGAATGCTGTCACGCGAATGGGAATGGAGCCGTACAGGCCGATCCGACCTCGCATCTGCAAGGTACAGGAAGCACGCCTGTTGCGGCAGTCAACGGACACTAGATCATGATAGCATATAGACAATTGCACGAAACTAATTACGAATGAAAGCAACAAGGTCTCGTAGGAAAATGCACAGAATATTCAGAAACACAATAGATGCAAACATAGCGCAAGATGAATACGTCTGGCAAGAATTATTCTACCTGTAAGGATCGGAAGGTTGAGGTTTCTGAGTGGGATCCAAATTGACAGTGACTGAGGCTTTCTCGATGCTCGAAATTCAGCCGTTGGCAGATCATTACCAAGTAGAGTCCCACATGCACCGAGCACCTTGGTACAAGTGGCATCCAGACCACTCGCTTCTCAACAACGGTGCAGCTTGCAACCTGGATGATCTCCAGGCCGCAACTCAGAGAGTCATTTAACGAGACCCCACGAACACCGGCTCGGTCCGAGTCAGCATGGATGGCCATGGTTCCCAAGGGCACCTTGTGGCACGGTGGCGTCATTCAGTGAGTCGCCTGCGCTGCCTGGTTTCCCCGCTGATTAATTATCGAGGTATCAGTTCGAGAAGCATCTTCAGCGAATGAACTACCTAAATATTCTGCTGGAGGAAGCTGGCTTCCTCCTTATTCCTCATCTATTCGTTATCGTCATTAAATCACCCTCGATTGGCTTATCGATCATACCCATCAACGAGACAAGATGAAGGTCCAATATCGAGACGAGACCCTCGAGCTGGAGGATATTCCAGATGAAACCATTCGTGATCTGGCAACAAGATGCGCCCAAAAAATTGGCGCAGATGTCGAGCGAGTGTCTCTCTTTTTCCTTCCCAAACCAGGTTTTGTCAAGCATCCGTTCTCCGATCGCAAATTGGACGAGTTCCTCACGCCGGCGACACGAATAAAGCTAGTTGGCACGCCCAATTCTGAGGTTAAAAAGATGGAGGACATGGGCGCGGCTACCCGAAGGGTGTCACGCCCAAGCGGATTCAAACCGGTCAAGGCAAACAAGGTCCGAGATTGGAAAAAGATCCAGGAAGAGACAACCTACACCTTCCACGCCATCGAGCCTCTACCATACCTACCAAACCCAGAAAAGAGCAGACGTTTTCTAGAGCGGCTGGCAAACGACCCGGGGATCAAAGCATCCATGCGGAAGCACAAGTTCACGGTCGGGCTCCTCACAGAAATGAATCCCGCAGAGCACACGACCCACGAGTCAAAGACACTGGGCTTGAATCGCAATCGGGGTGAGGTGATTGAGCTGAGGCTGCGGACAGACGCATATGATGGATACAGAGATTACAAAGTGATTCGCAAAACCCTCTGCCACGAACTGTCGCACAACGTCTGGGGCGAGCACGACCGGAACTTCTGGGACCTCACGAAAGAGATCGAGCGCGAGGTAGAGCGCAACGACACATTGCACGGCGGGCATCGCCTCTCGAATGAGGAGTTCTACGATCCCAATGACACGTACGAGGACGCCGAGCATGCAGACCATGGGGGCTGGACAGGCGGGAGCTATGTCCTGGGAGGCTCGAAGGAAGGTGATGTTGAGAGCGCGAGTGGCCTGAGTCGACGGGACATTGTGCTACGAGCCACCCTGGGTCGCCTACAGAAAGAAAAGGAGGCGAGAGAGCAACGGGATTCCTCTCCACCAGCATCTTAGTTAGTGTTGACCTTTGTCCTCCTTTTGCGATAGCATGGTGTTGGTGGTCGGTCGTCTCTTGATGCCTGGGTATTACGATAATATTATACGTCTTCCTGAAAGTCAGTCCCTGGAGTTCCTGCTGCCACTATTATTATTATTATTATTATATTCTCCATCTACTTGTCGTCTTCAGCCTCCGTTTTTCGGGCCCCGAACTGCAACTCGCCGGGTACGGATCGGGGTTGCAGGGCTACTCCAACTTTTCGTACAGGTCCTCCGTATTTCAGGAGTGGTTCTAGGCGCTTGACCTCAGCGGACTCGGCCCTGTGGTCGCCCTGAATGCTTAGATTGGGGCTAGCTAGCGAACCAAAGTCAGCTAAGTCTTTTGGCGAGGAGCAAGGCTCACCTGTCTGATTCAACCATTCTTCGGGGCTATCATCGATGGAGCGATGGAGGAGCTAGCCGGCCCCAGAATCCGAAATCAAGGCGCAGGAACTGGTTCATTTAGGGCTGGGGGAGGAGTACCAAGTAATCGTACCCGTCCAGACCGTCGTAGTGGTGGTCCGTAGCAAGGATTGGCAGGGTTGGCAGCTGATGGTAGAAGAAGCCTCTAGGACCTTGACACGATCCGTCATACATATTATTGGCATTCCATGTTCGACGAGTACAAGTACAGGTTGCAGGTCCTCCTGGGAAATGTATGTATATTCCTGCGCGTCTCAGCCTCTGGAAATTTGTGCTGATTTCGAAATTATCTGTCTCAGTCACTACCGTCGCTGCCTCCGTCTTGGTTATCGCCGCCTACGGACTTGTCCCGTCGGAAGACGCCCTTGTAACTTTGACTGCTGCAACGTTATCTCTCCCCTCACTCAAATCTTCCAGGGACGAAGACGTCACTTTCCGCTGGCTGTTACACCCAGACAGGTGAATCAATCAGAGGCTCCGTGAAGAATACGGAGTCCCTTGTCATAATAATAAAGAGGAGCTCCTTCTGCTCCTCCAACCAGAGAAAGGTATGGTTGCACCCAGCATGCAGGTCCGCTTCCCGCTCCCGTGTACGTCTGCGTCTGCCTTTGCCTTTGCGTGTTGAGTCAAAAAACTGTCCAGTTCGAGGACCTGTCACAACATGTCAGATTCTTCATCACTTCCTGCTTGATACTTCCTTTCGTTACCTCTTCCTACTGTCCTGTACCTCTTTCATCCTACAGCATTCTAGTTTTGTCACTTGCAGGCATCGATACTGAATGCCTCTGTTAGAAGGGTCGAGGCAGGCCTCGCCTACCCCGAATCCCAATTCCCCCGACCCTGTCCCAGCGGCCATCTTCAACCGTCGCCCCAGCGAACAGTTTTCCGATTTGGCTCGAGTCGCAATCATGACGAATGCATCTGCCTCTTCTCATGAGGGCGAATCCTTAAATCATGTCGCATACCACTCCAGTCTGATGCCTCCTCCAAAAACCGCCTTTGGCCGGTCTGCATCCAATTTGTCCACGCATAAACCATCGACAAGTACCTGGGGCAGAGCCTTGACGGACACTCCTGCTCCCAGTGCGCCCACAAGTCCGCAGATGTAAGCGCACCGAGAATTCTTAAGCAAAATGCGACAGCCAGAGGCGCTGACTTGACCAGACATGCTCGAACCAGTTCAAACGTGTCAGGGTCCGCGACTCCTAAAATCCGTGCCACCACCCTCGATATCCCTGGGTTGACTAGATCCAAAGTCTCTCCGAATGGTCAAATATCAGAAAGAGATGTTGCAGCCAAGCTCATTATCATCATGGTCGGTCTACCCGCCCGGGGAAAGAGCTACATCGTCAAGAAGATTGCTCGATACTTGAACTGGCTACAGCACCCAACCAGGATATTCAATGTTGGAGATCGTCGAAGAGTGGCAGCTGGTGTTGGTCAACCCATCCCCGATCGAACGACTGCCGCGCTGAGGGAATCAGTACGTCGAATGAGCTCTACAACTAAGGGACCTCAGTCTATCGTTGATCATGGTGAACTACTCCCACCGCCTGCCGTTGAGACTAAGATTCTCATTAATGGCGAAGTAACCTCGTCTCCCATAAGTCCGTTACAAATGAACGGGTCGACCAAGTTTGAGGATGATAAGAAAGACCCTATTCAGCTGTCTGGGCCCGAACCTATGGATCAATCTGCACAATTTTTTGACCCAAACAATACCAGAGCCAAGCAGTTACGAGAACAGGTGGCACACGCAGCCTTGGACGAGCTCTTGAAGTACGTTCTTGAAGACGGCGGATCGGTCGGAATCCTGGACGCCACGAATCATACCCGGGAGCGACGTCTGTCTTTGGTCAGACACATCCGGGAGCGCGACGAGAACATCAACATCCTCTTTGTCGAATCGCGATGTCAAGATCAGAACTTGCTGGAAGCAAACATGAGACTGAAATTGTCAGGTCCAGATTACAAAGGCAAGGATCCAGTCACAGCGTTCCTGGATTTCCAACAACGCGTCCAACAGTATGAAAAGTCATACCAGAAGCTAGATGAGTTCGAGGAAGAACACAACATGGCGTATTGCTCCATGATTGACGTGGGGCGGAAAATGGTGACGCATCAAGTCAAGGGTTTTCTCTCCATACAAACCGTCACGTACCTGATGAACTTCAATTTGGCACCGCGACAAATTTGGATCACCCGACATGGAGAGTCCATGGACAACGTCAATGGCAAAATCGGCGGCGACAGCTCGTTGAGTCCTAATGGTGTGAGATATGCTCAGGCCCTTGCGAAATTTGTTGGGGTAGAATGGAAGGCGTGGGAAGAGTATCAGGCCGAAAAACAAGCAAATACCCATTTCCCACCGCTTCCAGGCGACACGACACCGCCAAATCCGGAATATACGGCGCAAACACTGCAGCAGCGGAATTTCTGCGTGTGGACGAGCATGCTGAAACGCAGTATCGAGACGAGCCAGTATTTCAACGATGAGGAGTTCGATATCAAGCAGATGCGAATGCTAGACGAACTCAACGCCGGATCAATGGAGGGCATGACCTACAGCGAAATTCGAGACAAGTTTGCGCACGAGTATGAGCTCCGAAAACGAGACAAGCTCCATTACCGGTACCCTGGTCCCGGCGGTGAGGGATATCTGGACATCATCAACCGGCTGGGAAAGGTCATCCTCGAAATAGAAAGAATGACGGACCACGTCCTGATCATCGGCCATCGAAGTATCTGTCGAGTCCTCCTAGCCTATTTCATGGGGCTCAAGCAAGAGGACATTAGCGACCTCGATGTTCCGTTGGGTGTGGCATATATGCTCGAACCGGTAAGACCCAGAGGTTTTCTACAAGTATTTGCTTTACTGACGCGAGACCTGCAGCGACCGTACGGCGTGGAGTTCAAAGCATATCGATGGGATCCTGCCACGGATCAATTTCTCTATGAGCCAGACTATCGGATGAGGCGAGCTATTGACCCACAAGCCTGATGTTTTGTCGTTCCCTCTGCGTGCCCAACTATGATACCCCTACCCGCATTGACCATGGCATATATCTATATAGATCATACAACCCTTGGTGGGATACCGGTGGACTCGCACGGGCTTCTCCTGCCTTTCTGGACCATCGCACACTCAGACGATTGCTACGACTGGACTAATACTTTTTTCTTTTGATATTTGGCAGGCAAGATTGTTATTGGCACCACCGTCCAGATATGAGTCGCTTCAATTCCTGGGTGGACTGGTGATCAAGTTATTGGGGGAAAGGAAAGTGGTTAGCGTACGGCGGATCTACTGCGTCTTAGCACAGGTGTTGGGGGAGTGCTTTCAAGGCCACTGGCCTCAATTGGGAGTCTTGTTCTTCTTCTTTCGTGTACAGCATGTCATCATATCTACATTGGGCAAGTCTGGTAGAATCAGTGTGGTTCGGGAGAAAGAACCAGGTGTATCTGTGGCAGGCAAGATAGACAGTGGATCAGACTAGCGAGAGCAAGGAGTTGCAGAGAGGGAGAAGGTTCTTTGATGGAGTTAGCCGAACAAGGCATACTAGTCTGGTTGTGGACGATGCTCGCTCTGTTTTCTCGCTCGTCTGTCCCCGGAAAGACGGGACCAGAGGTGCTTCTGGGACAATCCTGCAGGGCCAGGGCCTTCACCAATGGGAATGAAACCGGAGAGGGGCGCCTGTCATCTGTGCCACGAGTCTACAACCCGTTTGGTGCCCCTTAGTGAGCTAGCGTTACAACCAATGTTTGCCTAGACGAATATCTGGCCAGCTGTGGATGGAGTATTGCTGATTGTGTGTGACTCTCACTCACCAATGCAGTCGGTCTTGCAAGGCTTCGGAGTTAGTTAAACTTGGATGCTGATAAGAGGGGTTGAGAGGTAATACTTACATATCCAGTATGTGCATGTGTGTGTTATGTGTATGGTGCCGTTGATCCGATCCACCATTCGGTTTTTTTTTTTTTTTTTTGACTTCCGGAGAAAGGATGCGACATGCAGTCAGTCCCTCATACACATGTATGTACCAAGTACTTATATTAAGACCCGCGCAGCGAAAGCTTGTCTCTCTTGTTTCCCTTGTCTCGGAACCTCACATCGCTCACCTGGCTCACTTTGCGCCTCACTCTCTCATCTCGGCCGCTGCCCTCAGTCATTGCCAGGCAACTGGTTCACATGGTGACTGTCGTCGCCCGTATGGGACGCCGCTCACTCTACACCACGTGTATCCTTCATCGCACCATGAGCATGATGGTCCAATAACACTGGGAGACGAGGTGTTTGTCTGTCAATCAAGCGTCCAGTAAAACATCACTACGAATTCCACGACAGCTGTCCAAGGCAAAGAAGCCCCAGGCACCACTAATATCAGACGCCCAAACGTGCCGGGAGACATAATATTGTTTGAGCGCGACCGCTGGCTTCGGGTGTGGGGGCTCGCTTCATTAATACTGCAATATCGCCAACGAGGCCAATACGGTACTGCTGAACCCCTTTGCGGAAAGGGACAGGCCATTTTGAGAGGAGCTGGATTGAGAAACACAAAGAAAAAACCACACTTGTGAGTCGATCGTCGTTTCCAGGAAGGCCATCCTTCGTCTAGCCATGCCGACCTTGTCCCTCACCAACTTCAACATTGTCTGTGCGGTCCTCGGAGGGTTCATTACTGTCTTTGGCCTTGTTAGTTACTTGTTCAAGGAGCGGTTCTATCTTTCTGAAGCACGTATGTCGCGGTTCCTTACTCAACCCGGTCACACGGAAAGCTGATGTGAATGGCAGTGATTTCTCTTGTGGCTGGGGTCATCTTCTCTCCCAATGCCACCGACCTGATTAAGCCCCTCGAGTACGCCGCCGGCTCCGAAGACAGCCTTGACTATATTACCCTCTATTTCACCCGCCTCGTGTTGGGCGTTCAGCTTGTGCTTGCTGGCGTCCAGCTGCCCAGCCGGTACCTCTACACAGAATGGAAACCTCTGGCCTTGCTCCTCGGCCCCGGCATGTGTGGAATGTGGGTGTGTGCAAGCCTGCTTGTATGGGCCATGGTGCCGCATCTGAGCTTCCTGCATGCTCTTGCCATCGGAGCATGTGTCACGCCGACTGACCCTGTGCTGTCCAACTCAATCGTCAAGGGCAAGTTTGCGGACAAGAACATTCCCAAGCCATTGCAGAAGATCATCATTGCAGAGTCGGGCGCCAACGATGGGCTCGGATACCCCTTCCTATTCCTGGCGCTGTATCTGATCAAGTACACCCAACAGGGAGGCGCAGGCCAGCCCGGAGGGGCATCGAAAGCCATGGGATACTGGTTTGGGGAAACGTGGGGTTACACGATTCTGTTGAGCGTCGTTTATGGCGCAGTGGTGGGCTGGCTTGCAAAGGAACTCTTGCACTTTGCCGAGGAGAGGAAGTTTATAGACCGTGAGAGTTTTCTCGTGTTTGCCATCACGCTTGCTCTCTTCATCACAGGCACCTGTGGCATGGTTGGCTCGGATGACGTCCTGGCTTGCTTTATTGCCGGGAATGTGTTTACTTGGGACGACTGGTGGGTTTCTTACGAAGTCCTACAGTTGTGCTTTTGTTAATTCGCTTACCAGGTTCCGGCTCGAAACTCAGGACGATTCCCTCCAACCCACCATCGACATGTTACTCAACATTTCGGTCTTCCTCTGGTTTGGCGCCATCTGCCCCTGGGCGTCCTTTCGAGCGAACCATGTCATTCCAATATATCGACTGATCCCATTGGGAATTCTCATCTTGCTCTTCCGCCGCGTCCCCGTGGTGTTTGCCATGCACAAAAAGATCCACCAGATTGAGGAATTCCAACAGGCTGCATTCGTGGGCTTCTTTGGCCCCATTGGGGTGTCGGCCATATTCTATCTCTATGTCAGCATTGATTTTCTACGGCAGATCACGGTTGATGGGAGGGTACGCGAAGATGCGGTCCGCCTCGAAGAAGTCATGAGAGTGGTGATTTGGTTTCTGGCGATTTGCAGTATCGTCGTTCATGGCCTGTCCATCCCACTGGGCAAGTTAGGCTATCATCTTCCACGGACCATGTCTCAAGCTCTCAGCAGTGAGCGGGAAGATGATGAACCAGACATCAACATGGGTCCCTCGCCTCATCGCAGATCAACAAGTCAACTGCGACACAGGAAAGGACATGGTCATAGGGACAGGTCTCGTCGCCCAAGTCCCGTATCGTTTATGATCGGGCAGGGAGGCACAACGAGATCAACCACCATGGATCTGGAGAGTGCTCAGGAACCTGCGCGACCCGTCCGCATTATTGAAGATACGCCTAGAGCAGGGTCCCCGGTCGTGGCTGTGACGGGGTTGAGGCAGGGAATAGATGCCGGTGAACAGCTTGGTAACCTGGAGATAGAGCCAGAGGAACCGAGGCTTTCTCAAGAAAGGAAACCTGCGGGTGAGGTGAAGACGGATTGATAGGCGAGTTGCGGCTCACCGGGCCTCATGATTCTCGCGTGGCGCTCTGGAAGAGCGCGTTGTTAGTGTTTGTTATTTCTAGAGAACCACCGCACCAGATGCAGCAAATAGAACTGTGGAAATAGTAATAATCAGATTTGGTTTTCAGTTACTCTTTGCTTCGCTTTGCTCTGTGAAATGAGAGCAAGACACTAAGCAGGTGAATGAGAGGCACATCTCCCCAACTGCGCACCCCCCCCCCTCTCTCTCCCCTTTTGGCCCCTCCCGCAACCACCGCACCACCACCTCAAACTTCATCTCCACCTCTTCCCCTTGCTTGTCACTCAAACCAAACCTCTCTCAACAAGTCGAACCATACGTTACCTTACCACCTACTCCTAGTCGATCAAAGAAACCAGGTGTGTACATCTGTCATATCCAACACTCTCTTTCCCTTCTCTGCAAGGAGCAAGACCACACAAGGACCATAAGTCCCTTGCCGCCGCAGTCCCCCTTCCCCCGTCCTGGACCAATGCTGCCTGGCTAACTTCATGCAAGGACTGTCTTTCACGGTATCATCGTCTCTCATTTCTCGCCTCTGCACTCTCAGTCGCCAGGTCTCTCATCAATCCGTCTCATTCCACACTGTTTAAAAGACAGGGACTGGGTTGGACTAGTCTGTACTGCCAGAATTCATTACTAGTCGAGCACGCCTTGCAAACCGATGCAGATGCAGAGTGTTCGTCCTTGACCATCGCCGTCCCTCCTTCCTACCATCTTCACCCGAAAAGTCCCATAGGTCACGCTGCCTCGGTTTCGGCTGAGCCATCGTGTCCTGCACCATCTTCGCCGCCGAGTTCCCATGGCGCAACCTCCGCAAGCCACTGATGCTTCACGCGCGAGTCCAAGTTTGACCAGCCAAAATGCCGCCGCTGGAGTTAAGAGGAAGAGAACAGCGGAGCGCAAGTTCTACGCCGTGAGGCAAGGGAAGACACCTGGAATCTATGACACATGGACGGAGTGTTTGGGACAAGTGAAGGGACACAAGGGGGCTGTGTGTATGTGGAATCGACTGCAGTCCAAAGCCTTTCCATTCCGTATTGACGTGTCCTGCAGTCAAGGCCTTTCAATCTCTCCATGAGGCCCAAGCTTTCATGGACGGCAAAATGCTCTCAACCGCCAAAGACTCGGGAGAGCAAAAGTTCTACGCCGTCCAGAGTGGAAGAGTCCCAGGGGTCTACACCGACTGGATACAAGCCCAGGCTCAGATCCGGGGGATCAAAAAACCCAAGCACAAGAAGTTCAATACCCGAGCAGAGGCAGAAGCGTTTGTGGCAGCTGGTGCCAAAGCTAACGGTGCCGAACCTGGGCACAGCGTTACCTCAGAGGAGGAGATCCGCCGCTTGATAATCCGCAATTCGGCGCCAGGGTTGCAGGTTAACGGAACATATTCTCCGAAAGACAAGGAAGGGAACCCTTACCCGGTCGGTCGGGGGCCTCTGCCACCGGGCGCTGAGGATGGATATGATCCAAATGTCAAGCTGGCCCAGGACGGCACCATTGTCAATCGAACTGAAGAAGAGAAGAACAAGACCAAAATGATGACCAGGCAGAAAGACTCCCCAGGAATGCTTCGCATCTACACGGACGGCTCGAGTCTGAAAAATGGTCAAGCAGGTGCACGGGCAGGCGTAGGAGTATTTTTTGGACCCCAGGACCCAAAGTATGCCAACTCCTCATGCTCCAAATCCCAAGCCAAGCCAAAGTCCAAGTCCAAGTCCAAACCCAAACCCGTGCGTTACACCGCGTCCAAAAAGCCACAGCTTGTTTATACCATGGACTGGGCAGCCCGCGAGCGCGGCTCGGGCGATGGACCAGCCCAGAAACGGCAGCAGGCAGGCGAAGAGGACGACGATGAAGCCGAACAAGAAAAAGAAAGGCTAACGAATTGGCGTTATAGAAATGTTTCCGAGGCACTGAAAGGCAGCAAACAGACCAATCAACGGGCCGAGCTGACTGCCATCTTACGAGCATTGGACATTGCGCCCCGGCACCGAGAAGTCACCATCTACACAGACAGCAAGTATTCCATTGAATGTGTGACGAACTGGTACCGCAATTGGAAGAAGAACGGCTGGGTCAATGCCAAGGGGAAGCCTGTAGAGAACAAGGACCTAGTGATGGATATCCGAGAGAAAATCGAAGAGCGAGAGCAACTTGGCAAGGTCACGTACTTTGTATGGGTCAAGGGCCACATGGACAACCCGGGTAATATTGCTGCCGACCGTCTAGCTGTGCAGGGGGCGATGGCCGCGAAAGGGCTTCCTGATGGAAGAGATGAGGAAGAAATGAGAGGAAGCGCTGCGGTGGGCAAGGATGAGCAGGAAGAGGAGGAAGAGGCCGCGATATTCCAAATGATGGAGTCTGCTATGGAGGACGAGCTCGATGCCCGGTTCGAGTGACCAAAGGTTCAGTCTGAGAAGAGACCGAGAGCTGGCCACGAGGGTGTCTATCGACGTTCGCAGCCTCGCCGGGGAGATCATCGACGAGACTTTGGTTACCTGCCTATCCAGCGATGCCGATGGGTTTCTACGAAGACGGGCATCCTTGACTGCTTGACGCCTGTACTTGTATCACCGTGAATGTACTCTTTACAATACCCACACCATCAATGAGATCTGATCTTTTCGAGGCTTCGATTGTGTGTGGTTGCTGTGCTGCTAGAAAAAGCGAGGCTCCCGTTGCCCAGACTGCGTCCTTGGCTCTCCTCCTTTGATCGTTGTACAACATCCATGATGAAACCACAGTGCAACGACCTGCTTCTTTCCAGCAAACACCGTGTCTCCCACGGCACGATACCGTATCCAGCCTCGTTGGAAAAAAGGGGCATCGACTCACTATTGTAGCCGATATCGCTGACGACATCGGCGAATCTCCGTTGTGATGGATTCGTCCTTTTGCCCTCCACAATCGGCACACGGCACGCAAACTATTGCGCGCGCACAGTCATGTCGTGCTATTTTTCCGTCGTCTTCTCTCCTGCCTTCAACATGTCCTTCTACCCTCCACTCTGCGACACTATACGCCTTGGCTCTGACCCTACTTTCCTCCGAACATGCCCTCGACTGCGGCTGTCCGCCAACGTGCCGCAGAATCTGCCCTCCACGACCAGACCAATCTCCTGGGGACGAGACAACTCTTTATCGTCTTCTCTTCCCTAGCTTCGGCCCTGTTCATTTGTTATGCTGACCAGAATGGCATCGGGACCATCCTCCCGACGGTCGGGCGCGACTTCAAGGCCACGGAAACCATCTCCTGGGCAGGTACATCGTCGCTCATCTCCAACACCTCCAGCCAGATCATATACGCCCGCTTCTCTGACATCTATGGCAGAAAGCCCGTGTTTCTTTTCTCGGTAGGCATGCTTGTGTTGGCAGACATCCTGTGCGGCGTTGCCCCGGACGCATCGAGTTTCTACTTTTTCCGAGCCCTCGGGGGCATTGCAGGGGCGGGCATCAATTCCTTGACCATGATGATCATCTCTGACATTGTCACGCTGGAGCAGCGAGGGCGATGGCAGGGGTTTCTGGGTGCTGGGATCGGTGGTGGCAATGCTGTAGGTCCGCTGATTTCGGCTGCATTTGCGCTGCACCAGACATGGCGAGCATTCTTCTGGTTTCTTGCTCCTTGCGGTGCCATTGCCGGGGTTATTGGATGGTTCTACCTTCCCTCCACCATGCCCAAGGGGAACGCGAGACAGCAATTCAAGCTCATTGACTGGGGAGGAATCATCACTGCTACCATTGCTATCGTGCTGATCTTGATCCCGCTTTCCGGGGGTGGTTCATACTTTGAGTGGTCCTCGCCAATGGTCATTTCCATGCTTGTCATCGGCGGTCTGTCCCTGGTGGCCTTTCTTATCGTCGAGTGGAAGGTGGCCAGCCTGCCCATGATGCCCCTGAGCATGTATACCAGTGCACCAGTGGCGGCCATCCTGGTCCAGAACTTCTTTTTCGGCATGGTCTACTATTCCAACCTTTACTACCTGCCGTTGTATATCCAAAATGTGCGAGGGTGGGATACGACGATTTCGGCGGGATTTCTGGTCGCCATCAACGTCCCGCAATCGCTCGTCAGTACGGTGTCTGGCATCTTCATCTCTCGGTACAAGCGCTACGGCGTCGTGATCTGGACGGGATTCATCATTTGGACTCTGGGGGCTGGACTGATCTGCAGCTTCTCGCGAACAACGCACCCCGCGGTCATTGCAGTCATACTCTCCATCTCCGGGATTGGCGCCGGCTGCATCTTCCAGCCTGTCCTGATCGCCTTGCAGGCACACTGCTCCAAAGCGCAGCGAGCGGCAGTCGTCTCGAACCGAAACTTCCTGCGCAGTTCCGGGGGCGCTGTAGGACTCTCAATCTCAGCACAAGTCTTGCAGAGCTCTCTTCGGAGGAAACTCCCACCTCGACTGGCGAGCTATTCGCACAACACGTTTGCGCTCCCTCCCCTGAGCGGTGCCGATGAGGACGCAGTGAGAGACGCGTACATGGGCGCGATTCGAACCGTCTTCATCGTGTCGGCGCCCATGGTCGGCCTCTGTCTGGGGCTGTGTCTCTTCATCAAAGACCGCGGCCTCCAGCGACCGGAAGAGAGGGAGCAGGCGATGATCGCGAAAGCAGCACCAGCGGCAGTGGCTGATGGCACTCAGGAGGAGATGCGAGAGAAGCAAGACCCACAGCAGAAACAGATGTCGACTACGGAAGAGGACGCTGAGCACTCTCTTACAGTTCACAGGGAGGATCACCCGGAAGAAACTAGGATAGACGTGTCACCAACTCCTGCTCCAGTAGTATCACCCTCATCAGCGCCGTCAGCACTGGTTGATCATGATAGACAGGAAAGAGGAGATCCCAGTAAGCAGTCATGACATAGTGTATGTACCGTGCGATAGAGACCAGAGAACATAGATCTATTTTATTTGTGAGGGCGGTGATTCTCGGAATGTGTCGTCCAGTTCCGAGTGCCCCATGAGGCCTGATGCTTGATGCCCGATGCCTGAGGCCTACCAGCCTAGCCTTGAGGTCTACGTCCATAATCCTAACCGTTAGTAGAAATCTCTCCGGTCGCGCCAACCATTACCACCCGCTACTCGTACAGTATACAGAAATTCATTGCGCATTCTTGTCCCAAGGAGTGTCTTCGGGGGGTTACATCTATCGAGAACGCCCTTGCACGTGTGACTTGTACTTGTACTTGTACCAAGTTTCCTGGGAAAAGTGGGAAGACATTGATCCATGCGTGAGTTCACCCCAATGTAGTTAGCCTCGCGAGTATAAATTACCTAGTGCCTATACACCGAGGATGGAGAAGGTACTTTTGGTTTTAGGGTCGTGTTTCTTTTTTCAGGGACAAAGATACCCTCGTACATACTTGGGGTGCCTATGTATCTACAGTATGCAGTAGGTATTTCTGACCTATGTATGTATGTATGTATGTATATACCGATGGCTCCTTTTTGGGTCCTTGCTACGAAGGGACATGAACGGAGAGGATGAGGGAGAGATCCCCGACCACTGCGCGCTGACTCTCCTGTACTACTACGTCTTCTTCTTCTTGTTCTCCCTCACTCTCACTCTCATTCTCACTCTCACCCTCTCTCTATCCCCTTCTCTTCCCCCCTGCCTATCACTCCGACTCCGGCATGAATAACTAATCAACAATCGTACAGAGTAGTCAGGGAGGTAGGTAGTGTAGCCGCAAATATCACCCAGCACAACGCACAACGCATGGCGCACGGCGCACCATGTACGATGTACGGTGTGGGCGGCGGCCCACGGCGCAAGGCACGACACGACGCTCAGCACGCCTGACGAGACTCAGCATCCAGGCCTGCTGCTGGCTCTAGGGAAACTCGTCGTGCTGGTGGCTGGCCGACTGTCCCGATGCGGGTTTCCTGGTTTCGTGGGTCGGTGGTTTCCCTTTTGCGTCTAGTTCAGTCTACTTCCGTCTAGGTTTCCTTTGTACAAATACCTACCTACCTACCATACAGGGGCCTACAATACCACAAGTACCTACCGTACATACGGTACATACCTTGTACAGGGGTATATTTCACGTAGTAGAGTAGGTAGGTAGGTACAGATGGGTGTATGAATGTATCATACGTACTGTAAGTAACTATGTAAGTAAGTAGATATCTATATACTTGGTACACATGACCTGACCTAACCTGACCGGACCATCGTCCCGACTCCCGCCCCCTTCCTCCTCACGATCGACTGAGAGGCCTCGTTCCAACTTCTGGCCATTGGCCCCGTTGGAGGTCGTCCGTCTATCAATGTCCTGTAGGATGTGCAATGTGGAAGGTGGGTTTGATTGTGTTACGCGCGCAAGCTGAATGTCATGCATGCGCTTCCTGATGGTCGCTTGTTATCAGACGGACAATTTCCATATAAAGCCCGGAACCCTTCTGTTTCTTTGGCTACACTTGTCTGGCAGTTTCAGGCTCACAGCGCATTTTGTCTTGTGTCTGTCTTGTGTGTGGCTTGCACCGAGTGTCACAACACCACGCGATGGCGGTAGTTCCCGTGTACCTTGTCTGGGCCGTGGCCTTGGTGATTTCATTCGTTGTTGTCCGCGCCGTCCATCGCATCACATTGCATCCGCTGGCAAAGTTCCCTGGCCCGAAGCTCGCTGGCATGACGTCGCTGTATCAAGCGTGGTATGACTTGAGACCTTCAACGTCGTACATCAAGCACTTTCCTGCCTTGCATGAGCGATACGGTCCCATTGTCCGCATCACCCCGAATCAGCTGCATATCTTCGATATGGCTGCGTACAATGAGTCAGGGCTTCAACCGACAGTCCCTGTTTGTCTGGTAGACTGATGGTGCCTCAGGATCTTCAAGCCCGGAACCCGCTATGCTCGCCAGAGAGACAATTACAACCAACCAGCCGCTGACGGGTTCTTCAACGTTCTCGACCCCAGAGTCGCCAAGCCATGGCGAGACGCGTATCAACCGTATTTCGCCAAAGGTGCCATCGTCCGCCTGGAGCCCTTGATTCATGACCGAGTCAAGAAATTCCTCTCGGTGCTCGACACGGCATCCTCGACGGGGAGTCCCGTTGACCTGAGTATGGGCTACCGCAGCTTGACCAGTGACGTGGTGACCAGCTATATGTTCGCGGACAAAGGATTCGACCTGCTGGACGCCCAAAACTTTCGATCCCCGATCCTGGTGGCCCTGGAGGAGTTCTTTGAAATTGCGCCATGGACCACATACTTTCCCAACCTGACGGCATGGTTAGCAAGACAGCTGCAGAGTCTTCCCGATGAACGAATCGCGAAATTGATGCCTGCTTTGGCGGCGACGAACTGGATCACCGAGGTAAAATCCCGCTGGTCGTCCTAGGTCATGTACGGAAATGCTGACGTTTGGCATCTCAGCAATGCGGCATCAAAGTCAAGAGAATCCTGCAAGAAGGAGGATCTGGAAGTTCGTTCCCGACCGTATTTGATGCATGGGCCAAGCCGAGCGAGAAACGCAGGTTCATGCCGTCGCTTAGGCAGCTCACAGCCGATGCCTTTACGTTTCACGGTGCTGGGACCGACACGACCGCGCATGCTCTCACAACAGCTACCTGGGGTCTAATCAACAACAAGACATGCATTCAAAAGTTGCACGCCGAGTTGAAGGGAGCGATCCCGGTGGCAGACAGTGAGCAGCTAGTGGGCTCTAGTGTCCTTGAGAATCTGCCTTACCTTGTGAGTTCGGTGGAGGAGCAACTTGGGAAAGAGAGCACTCGCACTGATCATCTGGTGTAGCGCGCGGTAGTCAAAGAGAGCCTGAGGATGAGCATGGGAGTTCCGGGGAGGTAAGGCAGCAAAGGATTCCGCGAGCGAGAAACCCTCTTTGATTGACATATTAAATCTGATGGACAGGATGGGACGAGTCGTGCCCGATGGAGGCGCAGTGCTTTGCGACCAACGAATTCCTGCAGGAGTAAGCAGCCACCTCCGCGTGCACACAATCCCACGTCTAGACCATCATTCTTCGATGCTCACCCTGGCGTTTGCTTGATGCGGAATATGCTAATGATATCCTCAATCCGCCCTGATGCAGGTTGGAGTCACCAGTGTCTCTTACTGCTACCATTACGACCCAGTGTATTTCCCGGCGCCGAACGAATTTCGCCCCGAACGCTGGCTAAGCCCGGATGGCCAGCAACTCGAAACGCGACTCATCGCCTTCTCGCGTGGGCCAAGATCGTGCATCGGCATCAACCTCGCTTATGCCGAGTTGTATCTGGTCCTGGGGTACGTGTTTCGCAAGTTCGACTTGGAGGCTTTTGAGACCACCCAGCAGGACATGGAGTGGAAGGATACCTTTGTGGTAATGACCAAGGGCCACTTGAGGGTCAAATTGAGGAGGGTAGTTGATGCTGGTGACGATGACAATAAAGAGGTGGTCTAGACCTGTTAATGGAGGTTTCAAGCTGTCAAAAGCGGCGGAAGGGGTGATTCAATCTTGGGAGATAGTATTGTTTGTCGTCTGGTGGGTTCACCACAGGTGGAGACATGTGCCGGGTAGAGCAGCAGCATTCTGAGTGAGTGGTGACAATCCAATGGTTGATAGTAGAAAGGGAGTAGGATACTTTGGATAATAGAAGGGGACTGGGGACTTGCAAGCAGAGGGACTTGGGAGGGGGACTTGATGACTGTTGCCCCAGCCTGCGCCCACCACCGCCCACTGCACCACAGTCACCGCATTTCTATCCGATTCAGCCGCATTACACAAGTGGCTCCAGCGCCCTTGACAAGCCTTTATTTCTCCATCTCCAATCATCAAATGCCGATTTCTACTCGGGACATCAGACGCCGACAATCGCTGTTGGGGAACCACGGAACCCATCATTGAGCTGGCTGGTCTGGCACAGCTACACAGAATGCAGCTCGCACTCGCCAGGGAGATGTCCGTCACCCATTATTATTGTCGGCTTCTGATGATCGCTTCCTCTTCTTCTGTTCGAAGCCCAAAAACATTATCGCTGTTCGTCTAGTCAATGAGCTATACCTGCTTTCCTTTTCTCCTGCGTCGTGTGGTTATGGCCATGTATTTAGATTTGTGAAAGACTTACCGCTAGCAATCTGCATTGGTGCTCTGCTCTCTGAAGCTCGTGTTTACGATCAGTGTGGTTCCGAGAACGCAGATAGGTCGCGAGTTCAAATTTCGTGAGATCACTTGACTGCGACAAGTCTGGTCGGAAAGATGTCGAAGCTCATTAACTATGCTGAGGGTGAGTGGTCACCCAGTCTTTGTATACACCATACCAGCTCCGACATCCATCGCATCTCCTGTTGTCCTCTTCACAAGACTAACACTCTCATTCTACATGATACAGTGCAAAAGCACACCTCCAAAGACTCGTGCTGGGTTATCCTCTACGGCAACGTCTGGGACGTCACAGACTTCCTTCCTTCACACCCTGGCGGAGCCCAGATCATCCTGAAACTCGCTGGCAAGGACGCCACTGAAGAGTACGATCCCATCCACCCCCCAGGCACTCTGGAGGAGAACCTCCCCAAATCCGCCCGCCTGGGCCCCATTGATCCCAAGAGTTTGCCAGAGCCGGTCAAGTCGGCGAAAGATGTCGGTCCACCACCCAATACACAGGCTGAGGTCGAGGTGCCGCTGCAAGCAATGTTGAACATCGACGAGATAGAGGCAGCTGCCACGAAGAAGCTGTCTAAAAAGGGCTGGGCTTATTACTACTCCGCAGCGGACGACCTGGTGAGCAAGGAACTGAACAACACTGTCTATCGCCAAATCCTACTTCGGCCGCGCGTTTTTATAGATTGTCAGGACTGCGACCTCCGCACCAGCTTCCTTGGGTACAAGCTCGACCTGCCCGTCTTCGTTTCCCCAGCCGCCATGGCTCGCCTGGCTCACCCTGACGGCGAATGGGGCATTGCACAGGCGTGCAAGAAGTTTGGCACGATACAGATGATCTCCAACAACGCCAGTATGACCCCCGAACAGATCGTGAAGGATGCAGGCCCCGATCAAGTGTTCGGGTGGCAGTTGTATGTGCAGACCGAGCGGAAAAAGAGTGAAGATATGTTGGCCAGGATCAACAAATTGGATGCCATCAAGTTTATATGTCTGACCCTCGATGCACCAGTCCCTGGTAAACGAGAGCATGATGAACGTGGAAAGTTTATTGTCGAGGACACGAGTCAGGCCGTCAAGGATGCCGGTGGTGCCGAGTTGAAGGGCGGCGGTGGTATCGGTCAAAGTCTTTTCTTTGGCACGGATCCGACTTTGACCTGGACAGAAACGCTGCCTTGGTTGAAGAAGCACACCAATAAGCCGATTATCCTCAAGGGTTTGCAGTGCCATGAAGACGCATATATTGCCGCACAACATTCGCCACAGGTCAGGGGTATCATTTTGTCGAACCATGGTGGGAGAGCAGCGGATACGGCGCCGCCGGCTGTGCACACTTTATTAGAGATCAGAAAATACTGCCCGGAAGTATTCAACAAGATTGACGTCGTCGTGGATGGTGGTATCAAGAGAGGAACGGATGTGGTCAAGGCGCTGGCACTGGGTGCAAAAGCTGTTGGCATTGGCCGTGCCGCGCTCTTTGGTCTGGGTGCCGGCGGCATTGAGGGAGTCGAGAGAGTGTTGGAAATACTCAGGGATGAGACCGCCACCGCGACGCGATTATTGGGTGCTGCAAAGGTGACCGATCTGGGTCCGCTGCATATCAACACCAGAGCTGTAGAGAGGGATATTTATGATGGACCCGCTAATCTCCCTGGGCTCGAAGGCGCGATGAAGGGGCTTTGGACCAGGGCGAAGCTGTGATGCGGACCCTGAAGTTGAAGCATTCTGGCATTTCCCATGGCGTTCGTCGTTGAAAATTCGGGAGATTCTTGGTTGGAATAGCGAAGCACAGAGATCTGGGAATAGATGCAAGCGAAGAGCCGTGCCTTTGTGGTTCACATCCAAGAGATGCCGATTTGTTTCAAAATGCTTCCTGACCAACGCCGGTTCCGAACCACGTCCTCAATTCATCCCTCTCAGTCCTTGGCCCTGACGGTCCATTGGCACTGAAATACTGCGAGAGCCTCATGTTCTCGTCTTCGCCTTGGTCTGGCCACTCGGTCTTCGTTGCTGGGCCGCCCTTTTGTTCGAGCATGTCCTTGATCGTGCCCCAGCTGAAGCGGCATTCGTTCCCAAACCCCCAGACAGGGTCAATGGCAGACTTGAGCCACCCAACACATCTTGCGTCAGATGGGTATCCGGAACCCCACGATTCTGATGAGTCGTCGCCTGTCATCGACTGCTGTTGGTTGTATGCCTCTAGAAGAGCTTCGCAGCTGACGTCTCGGGTGACTTTGGCGACAACACTTGCCGCACTCACGCACGGGAATAAGCTGTCCGCCTTCTTTTCGACCGTGATCTTGATGGTGGGGAAGATCAGCTCGAGTTTCTTCTGGTAGACGGCAGGCTTGCCGATGGTGTCGACGTAGATCTCTGTCACGTTGACACCCTGGTCTAAAACGCCGCGGATCAACTCGACCGTGGCATCCATGGCCTGGGCGTTAAGATTATACGAGCCGCCGTTTTTCATCATCCCGGCGCCGATGTCGCGGGCACTGAGGGATTTGATGGCCCAGCCGGACGACTGGAAGAGATCCGTCCCGGCAGTACAAACCGCCTTCATGAGGTTTGCTCGCACCGCGGGCGTGAGGACCTTGGAGTCGTCGAAATGATACGATTCCGTAAGGAGGGACTGTTGGATCTCGACAGGGAGGTAGTAGACGCCATACACCATGGGGCCAATGACAGGGCCACGTCCAGCCTCGTCTACACCCAGAACACACTGCGTCCCTGGTGCCGATGAGGAGGCTGTCCTGACGGTGATGGCTTCGGGCACGCAGCTATAATGCGCGTAGGATCTCCCACAAAGGAGTGATTCATGGTTGTCCTGTACCGACGGCGGTATGAAGACCGCAGAGGCGGCGATATCGTCTTCCGCCATGACCGTTTTATTCTTTTATCAGTGGCTGAATCGTGAGAAATATCAGTCCATAGACCTCGTAAAGAGCACGCGAATAGCAAGGGGTTGGAGCCGAGACGCGTCGCTGAATGGCGCCCCTCAATCGTGCCGCCTTGTCGCGTCGCCTGATCTTGCTAGTCAGGCACCGGCCAATCATGCCGAACTCCCGAGTCATACCGCGCTAGTCTTAATTAGTGATTTCGACAACATTGGATGCGCGGGTGCATCTCACACAATACTGTGCCGATTGATCCTCTGCCTCGTTCTTCCAGCAGCTGCTGGCTCTGATATCTAGTGCCCATATTGCGACTCCGTGTGAAGACACGCGATACTCGGCGCTTCAACTCTGTCCACCATGGCTGCTCGACCTGCGGTCCGCCGCGAGCGCGGCAATGTTGATTATTCCGCCATCGGCAAAATGGGCAGGTGAGAAGTGTTTGCGCACCCGGTCGAAAGGCCAATGTTAACAAGCAGACAGACGTACCGGAATCACGCTCGATCACCGACCACTTGACGCAAACGGCATGGAAGAAATCTCGGGCATATTCTCGTCCCCACGCAAGCCCTCGCCGTTGAAGAATATGATGATCATGGAGAGTTTGGAGGGACACAGTACCTTGGCCGAGTCGCCGCAGAGATCGAGCCCCAGAAGTACGTGCATTCGCCATGGAGAAGCCGACCATCAGACCGGGATAAACTCGTGTCTTTGTCAAGTGCGACTTATGCGCCCAGGTTGAACTAACACCAACATAGGCCCTGGTCCTACTCCTAGTCAGGTGCTGTCGTCTCGTAGGAAGAGTCGCGCAACACCTGTCCCCCTTCCCAGATCGTCGTCGCCGAGGAAAAGCGGTATTAGTGGTACCGCAAGAAAGAGTAATGGCGTCGATATATTCTCCACTCGGAAGAGCCTGCAACCTGAGGACGCAGAGGATCACGAAAATGTAGCAGAGCCCACGCCGACTCGGAGCCAGCCACATCTGCCACTCAGGAAATTCGACCCAAGTCCGCAGAGACCACCACTAAGAGACATTACCACTCCCCGTTCACAGAAAACCCCCAAACCGAGACCAAGTACTGAAATGCAGCGCATCGAAAACGAAGTCTACACGCCTATCGATGAGATAGACTTTGATTCATACATACAACCAATCGAAGAAACGGAGGTGCCAACGAGCGATGCTGTCGATCTTGTTCCGTCAATTGAGCAAGTAGAAAGCCCTTCCGCCCACCGGAACAGACAACTTTCAGCGGAGCCCAGTGATCTTTATGGCGGGTCTGATGACGAAGTAGCGGAACAAGACAAGGAGCCTCAACTGCCCTTATCTGAATCAACGCCGAACAAAGCAAATTCGAGAAAGAAGCGGAAATCGGATGTACTTGAAGAGGCCGACAAGGCACCATCGCCCATGCCCAAAAAGGTGCGCAAAAAGCAAGGACGGATTCCCACCCGCAAGGATACTGCACAACCTACTTCGGCCTCAAACTGGATGTCACCAGAGCCAGACGTTAGGGTAGAAACAAAACAGGCCCTGGCAAACAAGGATACAAATCTTCAATTGACCTCACGACAGCAAAAAGAACTGGATGAGATTGTTGAAAGGGTAAAGGCAAGACCTGGCCCACCGAGGTCACTTTACATTCTACGCAGGGAAACCCCCGCAGACGACAGTGTCCGGCATACCAGGAGCGGCCGTGCCAGTGTCAAGCCCCTGGCGTATTGGCGGAACGAGCGGTGTGTCTATGGCGCCAGTCCAGGTGGTGGTAGCCTAGCAGACGGCGCCAGGTTCCCATTGAACAGCATCAAGGAGATTGTGCGGATCGAAGAAGTCGAGCCGAACATTGGAAAGAAGAAATCGAAGGGCAAAAAGAACGCAAAGGGTAAGGGCAAGGCACGGCAAAGATCAGTGGAAGCATCCGACTCCTCTGATTCAGAGTTGGACGTAGACGAGATTCCCGAAGATCCAAACGCCGAGCCATGGGAGACTGGAACCGGCACATTTCGAGGCATTGTCTCTGTTTGGGACAACGAAGGACAAACACCAACAGAAGAGGAAGAGGAAGTTGAAATAGCCCATGCTCCCGCGGCGATCAAGACATGCGAAGTTAAGGGCTCGAGCACGCATGATGGTCCCACGTTCCGCTATGCCAAACTGCTGTCCACGAAATTCTTCGGCACTGGACTGGTGGACCTACCGCCTGGAGGAATAAAACGACCCAAGAACAGTCGGAAAATGCACATGAGTTTCTTCGTCGTCAAAGGAAGGGTCACAGTGACTGTCGGTCCGGCGGGTGGTGAGGAAACGGGGGGCATGAGTCGTTTCAGCATAGGGAAAGGAGGCTTTTGGCAGGTTCCCAGAGGTGAGTTGATGCCCATGACAGACTTCTAAATGATAAGATTGACCCAGCTGACTTTTGTGGCACCAACCCTAGGCAATCAATATTCTATCGAGAACGAGATGGAGAAGCCGGCCAGGATATTCTTTAGCCAGGGCTGCGAGCCTGCGCCGGCTGGGGAACATGCTCGACCTTGACTGCCTGAAGCTTTGTATTTGGAACGATCCCGACGTCTTCCTTTGGGCCTTTGGGACGAATGATAGCACACTTCAACAGGTCAGATCTAGCGACTTGAATATACTTTTTTGGGTATGGCCTTGGTGCCAAACACGTGGTTCTGGAGATACAGTAGACTTGGAAGGTCTCCAGCCACCCACCAGCTGTCCGATAGTAACGTGTTGAGTCAGCGAGTACGATGCATTGCCAGACATGTTGACTTGCAAGCTGGCAACGAGGCTGCGCTCACAAAATCATACCAGCAAGGGTGGCCGGGAAATCCTGTTTTCTTCTCCCTTGTTTACAATCACGCAGCGCCGGCCTTGTCATTTCTTGATCGCTATACCCGTAAATGGTCCGTCCAACGACTGCTCCTCTCCCTTCGAGCTTGTTGTGCTTGGTGGTGGCTCCATCATCGATCCCCACGGAGATATTCATGGATGACCAGCGCAGCCCCTCGATGCGATGTTGGGGATGTTCCCTCCCTCCCTCTGGAGTGATTGCGATCCCTGTGCCTTCCTTATCTCTTTGTTGTCCATCTCGAGGCCACGGTATTCCTGTCGCGTGATCTCGTGCTGGCATCTTTCATGATGAGCGTTCGGAGCGGCTTGGTCGACAGATCACCCGGGAAGGCCGTTTTCTCTGCCACCAGTCCTGGCCGGCGCTCTTCGTCGTTAACAAACCAACGCTCAACTAGCCTCCATCATGCGTATTCAGATTTCTTCCATGTCCTCGTCTAGCAGATCGTTCAGCGGTGGGAAGTCGCCCACTTCGACCTTCTCCGGCCTGACAAAGACACCGTACTTGTCCGCACACTCAAACACCCTTTTGGTTTCTTGTGCACGCTTGCCACCTTCTTCCTCCTCGAGCTCGACTTGCACGCTGCCGTCGTTCTTCCCCACTGGCTCATCCAGCTCCACACCGACCCAGAGACACCCTTCCTCTCTCTGCCCGCCCAACCCAGGAATCTCCCCCGCGTACCTCACGGTGCCCCTTCTACCATCGTCGCGCCCCACCCGACACCTCAAACCCAATGTGATGCCGCGCGCCTTCATCTCCCTCTCGTCCTTCTCCCTCCTCTCCTCCACCAGCTGCGCCTGGGATTTGGCGTGGGGATCGAAGCGGCCCAGTTTTTGACGGCGCTTCCATGCGAGCACCGAATCCTCCAATTGCTCGTACTGGGTCTCGGGCATTTGGTATTTCTCCACGGAGCTGAGGTCCGCGGCCAGGAAGTTGAGGTTCTGCCGCAGCTGCGGGGGCCGCGTGTCCTGGACTTGGATCTCGGAGCCCTTCCTGAGCCCAAACCGGGGCTCCGATAGAAGCGAGGAATCACCGGTTAAGGCGATCCAGGTCCCATCTAAAGCATTCGTGCGGAGCGTCTGTGACGACGCTGGAATCCCCGTGATGGGCTCCAGTTTCGACTTCAACTGCGAGACCGTCCATGTCGGGGTGATCCGGCGCTCTGCAGAGAGGAGCGGTGGGCCAGTGGGATTGCTATCGTTTGGAACGACTATTTGCATCGCGATGTCGGTTGGGGCCTGGGTTGAGAGTGACATCTTGGGAAAGGTTTGGCCTATCAGCGTGGTGGATCAACGCTCTTCCCGGGTCACAAGTTTTGTTGTCACGAATATTTTGTATCTGTGCGGATCTCTGTGTGTTTGAGGGAATGGCACAATTTGTAATAGGAAAAAGGACGATGCGCGGAGGAACTCAGGACATCACAATTCCAGGTTTCAAATGACTGTATTTCTTAAATGACAGGGAATATTTCCCTGTTCGCGCCAAGCCTGGGCTGCCCAGAGCATGCGTACTAAACGGCAATGCTGCATTCATTCTCTGAGGATGTCTATGCTGAACGATAGAGTACCTGGTAGATATGAATCATGGGATGTATCCACTTCAGTTATTCAGAGGTATTAGGTTTCCACGTATCTAAGGGCCCCTTTGTCAGTATGGTACATACCTCGTCCACAGACTTGGTCCGTTTGGCAACGATTCGCCTTGGCACGCCAAACAGGCGTGTTCCCTCAATCTCAATGTTTGGCATTGTTTGCTACCTTGTTTTTCTCTTTATCCTTTGTATTCTCTGTTGACCAGGTGCTCTGTTTGCTTGTCCCGGCTTTGGAGCATCGTGTTTTAAGCGCCGAGCCTTGAGGGCAGCATAAAGACCTTTCCTCAACCGCGGGTCGTTCCAAGAATCCTTGTGAAATGTCTAAATAGCTGTGTTGTTCATCAACTTTATCCAGGCTCCAGTCCAGTTTCTGCGTACTCCCTTTTTCTTATTCAACTCATTCACCCAACATGGTGTTGGTGATGCTGGTGAAGGTGCCAGTTCCGGTGTTTGACTGCATCCAAAAACTATTCATTTCATTGATACAGCCCATCCATTCAAAGTGACTTGCGACACCCCATCGAGCTGCACACCGTTTTCGGGCTTCTTGTGGACAGTCTCAAGCTGCCTATCCACGTCTTCCCCAGAGAAAAAATCCTGTCTCAATCAGTGGCGGTCGACTTCAACCACCACCACCACCACCTCCTCCTCCTCCTCCTCCTGTGCTACTGGCGCCACATCTTCGTTCAACAGCTCGCGCTCTGCCTGCGGTAGATTTCGACGGAGGATCTTTCCCGAGGGAGATCGAGGGATTTGCTTGACGAATATGACATCTCCCGTGATGTGCTTGTACGAGATGAGCCTGGAAGCGACGAAATCTTTGACATCCTGCTCCGTCAATGATGGTCTGGAATCCCCGCTCGACCGAACCACATAGGCCATGGGAAAAGTATCCCACAGTCCTAAGTCATTCGTCCGAATATCGCCAGCAATAGCGACATCTGCAATCTGCGGATGCTGAACGAGGACACTTTCGATCTCGCTTGGCGAGACTTGCCACCCTTTGACCTTCAACGTCTCTTTGATCCTGTCAGAATAGTGCAGGAGGCCTCCCTCAACGGATAAGAGATCGCCAGTGCGGTAAAATCCTTCCGGGTCGAAGGAGTCACGATCGGCTTCTGGATTTCCCAGATAGCCAGAAAACAACGTCGGGGCTTTGATAAACGCTTCTCCAGCCTCGCCTTCTCGGAAAATCAAGTTGCCCTCCGCACCCACCAACTTCATTTGAGCATTTGGCAGCAATCGTCCCACGCTCCCCGAAAAGTCCCTCTGCTTCGAACTGCCCAGAGAATGCCAGCCTGCCTCGGTCGTCCCCCAGCATTGGGCAATCACTGCCTCGGGATCCAGAACATCGTACAACTTGTTCTGCACGCTTGCAGGAAGAGCGGCACCGGCGCAGATGACATAACGGAGGCTTTGGAGAAGGGGCACATCTGAAGCAGGGAGTCTGGTTAGGGCGCCAATGATCGGAGGCGAGACTGGCGTATCGGTGATGGTGAATCTCTGCAGGGCTTGCAAATATTCCGAAAGCGACCACTTTGGCAGGAAGAAGGTGGGCAGACCCAATCGGAGCGGCAAAACCAGAGCCAGGGGTGATGCAAATGCGTGAAAGACAGGTAGACAGATGAGCTGTGATGGCTATGAAGCATGTCAGTGTTATCTCTGCAACCTCTGGAATCTGCATGGTACAGTACTCGATACGGTCTATGACGGAAGGTAGCTTCCAAGGTTGCAGTCAAGGCCACGATATACCGATGCGAGATCATGGCGGCCTTGGGAAGACCCGTTGTTCCACTCGTCATGGCATACACAGCAATGTCTTCTTGATCAGGCTTACCATCTGCCGCGCGAACGTACCAATCAGCCGCAGGCTCACGCAATAGTGTACGCCAGCTGGCGTAATCTCGACGTCGGACTTGGTATGAGGTGTCATGGGATTCGATGACGAAAATTTGGGAATTGGTTTCGCAGTGAGTGACTGCTTCAACCATTGGCTCGATGCAGTCCACCTGAGCAAAGATGACCTTGGGCTTTGTGAGGCCGAGCAAATGAATCAATTCATCTTTGGTGTATTTGGGATTGGACCCAACAACACGAGCCCCGGATCCGATTGTCGCCAACCAGATCAGGGGATACCAGATCTATCCTCGACCCCAAGCCGAACCCCTGGTCAGCCCAGTCACACAGCAGCAAGGTGAAGCAGTGGGCATGGCGGCAATAGCCGGTTTGAGCAACGGGACAAAGACTCACGTTGTTAAAGGCATGCAGGCACACGCATTCTCCCTCCTTTAGCCCCAGCGCCCGAAGGCTGTGGATCAGTTGAAGAACGGTCCGAAGAGCTTGCTGGGCCGAAATCCTATTGGATGGATCATTGGCATCGATGAAGATCTGCGAACACAGGTGACAAGGGTCAGCATCAAACCCAGAAGACTGCCACAGTTCAAGCAGCTTACCGGGCAACTATTGTCATATTGGCTGAGATTGGCAAAAACAAAGGTCAAGATGTCAGTGGGTGGAATCTGAATGGATTTTGGACCAGTCCAGACAGGATCGACAGCTTCTGTGGGGTGCTGTTGGGACAGAGACATGGTGTAACGAGGGGCTTGCAGACAGTGAAGACAGGTGTCACAGCTCTATGGACGGTCAGGTAGGACAAGAGATGACAGAAGCACACCTCTGGTGAGCACGAGTGAGAAGCAAAGACGGATAAACTGTAGGAAGCTGTGAGATGAGACCGATCCCGCGGTCAGCGAAGCACGAGGCCAGAAGATAGGGAATTGAGGCTACACCTACAACCTGGAGTGAAAAGGCCTTCTAGGAATACGTGACTAGGTGGAGGTGAGTGAAGAGGGTGAAAATTTAGGAAATGTCACTAATTACCATCGGGCTGACTGGGTAGACGAGCTGCCCGCAGGGAAGAAGGCCAGGTCGACGCCGGGTTCATTATTGTCTATCGTCATCATCGTCTCATTGGGGCTGGTCCACCGCAGCAATGCATCTATGGTGGGCAGGAGCATCTGAAATATGAGATGTGGGTGAGAGAAACAACCAGAGTCGCCGCCATGAGCCATACGCCATACGCCGTCCACCTCCATACCAGGGTTGCTACATGGGTGGCTCGATATGCAGAGAGATTTTCTGACAGCGGCTCCATTAGTCACCTCCAGCCAGCGGACAGAAGCTACTCGTCTCTCGTTGTTCCCTGCTCCTTGTTCACCTTGTGGTCTTCCATCTCTTGCTTGGCCTTGACTTCCCACCTGGCTCTTTTAGCACGAGAATGGTGGAGATACAGAGGCTGCGGGAGGAGCAGGAGGACGAAAAGGATGCTGGTAGTGGCGGGAACAGTGGCAGTGGCGGTGGCAGTTGGCAAAGAGACATGAGAAGTGAGAAGGACAAAGGAAGAATACAGAATACGACTGCAGACTGCACCAGGACTACCAGATGCATCAGGACGCAACTCACTCGCTCGGCTCTTGCCATTCATTCTCTTACTGTCCCAATGCGAATCGATATATTGGCGGCAAGTCTATCAATTGGCTACCGACAAGACAGAACTGCAGTAGCTGGGTCATTCCACATCCCTGATTAATCGATCCAAACCCGTGGGTCAAATGCTCCTTTGGGATCCTCGATGTATCAGCATGCCTTATCCTTATCCTCTATCCTCGTCCTCGTTTACGTCCTCGTCGCCCCCATTCAAATCCAGTCCTGTGGCAAGCAACAGACGCACGCACACGACGAACACACAAACACGAGTTCCCCACGTCTTTGTATTCCTACTGGCATATTCACGTCCTCATCCGGCATACCACAGCCAAAACAGCACTTCCCACCAAGCATCTCGCCATCTGCCGTCTCTCGCCTCTCGCCTCTCCCTCCTCGTGTACCTCACAGACCTTCAATCGGGTCCCTTCTGAGCTCGCCTCGAGTTTCTGTCATCCTTCGGCTTCGGCTGCGTGATTTCTCATTGTCCACGTTTTCGAGTCACCATCTGCTCCCCGGTTTTTCATCAACTTCCTTGGCTTCTCAGCTGCTCAGCTGCCTTCACTCCTCGCCGAGTCACTTGCCACTTGATCCTACCGTGGCCTGCTCGCCGGATCATCTTCAGAGCCGTATATTCTACCTACCGTGATCCGATCTCGATTCACTTGTTGGGGACTGAAGAAACAAGAACGCACTTCGGCTTGCCATTGATCGCTTCCGCTCGAACCTCCCGCATTGCTATAAGGCTTCCGAATACCTCCCGTCAGATGAGATTACCCAAAGCTATCCCATTGCACACCAGTCACGTACTTTCGGTAACTTGGAAAAACAAACCTGGTGAGTACTCGTCTGTCCCATCCAGTTCACATGGTCCAGACTGCCTCACTCTTCACTCGCAATCTTATCACTGGTCAAAACACACAACAATTCCATACTTCACCTACTGCTTTTTCCCTCAGAGTCGTGTTCCTTACTCTGACGCGGTCCACGGGCCTGATGTCCTGGCAAGATCGCGTATCACTTATGATCACTTTCTTCCTCATTGTGACCTGTTTGTCTGCCCCCAGCACTCCCTCGCAAACGCAGTTGCTTAGGTCGCCCCAACAGTTTACTAAGATACCGCATCCAGGCCTTGCACAATGGAAACATCAGCTTCAGCATCCTTTCACACCCTCGAATCTCAAGAGCACAATCGAGAACGCTTCCATGTCAACGGAAGAGGGTCCTTAGAAAGCCATATTGTCACTCGGAACCTCTTTGGCAGTTCCAACAAGCTTAACTATCCAACAACACAAGTCGATGGCGCAAATCCCATGGGATTGTCTCGAGGACCTTCGGTGTTGGCGGCGGCTGGTGCTAAGGTCACACAAGATCACACATCCTCCAGATCAGGTTCAGTCATCCTCGAGAAGCAGCCCGTACCCGAGATAAAGATGCCTGACAAAAAATACACCCGCTTCCTGCGTAACCTACGGTGGACCATTTTCTCCGTATATCGCCGCCTCAACACGCTTGCCGTAACTGCCAATATCATAGTCATCATTGTTCTCGCTACACAGCATAAACTCCTCTCCATGTCACCGGAATGGGCTGCGACTGCTGTGTCCATCAATCTGACTGTGGGGGTTCTGGTTCGACAAGAATTGGTCATCAATGCGCTCTTCTGGACCTTTGGCCAATGTCCCCAATGGTTCCCACTGCGTTTGCGTCGATTAGCAGCAAAGATATATCACCTGGGCGGTCTACATAGCGGTGCAGGAATCTCAGCAGCTGTGTGGTTTGCCTTTTTCAACGTGTCGACCGTCAGAGCACTGCAATCTGGATCATTGCGTCGACACCAGAACAGCATTCCGATCATCACCGTCATCCTTGATGTGCTCTTGATCTCCATAATCACTATGGCCCATCCCGGCATACGCGCGAGAATGCATAACCAGTTTGAGCTAGTTCATCGCTTTGCCGGCTGGACGGCTGTGGGATTGTTTTGGGCCGAATTCGGTCTCTTGACAGACGCAAGAGTCCACGATAGCTCTTACAACGTCCCTGCGCAACAACTTGTCTTCGAAAGCCCCGTCTTTTGGACACTTGTGATTGCCACCATTTCGATTGCATTGCCGTGGGTATGGCTACGAAAAGTCTCGGTGAATGCAGAGCCATTGTCAGATCATGCTATACGTCTCCACTTTACATATACAAACTTGCCCCTCTGTGCTGCTCCACGACTATCAGACAGTCCACTTCTCGAATGGCATGCGTTTGCTGGTATTCCAGGAGAAGACGGACGCGGCTTCTCGGTCCTTGTATCCAAGGCTGGCGACTGGACTTCTCGGTTGATCAGATCACCGCCGACGAAACTGTGGGTGCGTGGCATCCCGACGATGGGCGTGCTTCACGTGGCTCCAATCTTCAAGAAGATGGTTCTGGTCGCCACCGGCTCTGGAATTGGTCCCATCATGTCGCTGCTACATAAGAGGGATATCTCATGTCGGATACTTTGGTCTACCCCTGATCCCGAGGTCACATACTCGAAGCGCGTCATCGACGTTGTTCGTCGTGCTGATCCAGAAGCCATCATTATCAACACCACCCTCTCTGGAAGGCCCAACCTCGTCAAACAGACTTACGAGCTGTTTGTTATGTCCGGTGCGGAAGCGGTCTTCGTCATATCCAATCCAAAAGTAACTAGGAGGGTGGTTTATGACCTGGAGAGTCGGGGAGTTCCTATTTTCGCTCCCATATTCGACTCATAAGAACCCACAACGACCACAACCGGTCCTGGTTTCTGACAAAACCACCAGAGCTGGGAGTCTTGCATATATGGGAGACGTTGTGTTTCGGGATCATGTCGAATTCTTGTCTGGCGTCTCAGAGGATAGCGGTGTCTTTTTACGGGAGTGGTCCACTTGTTGCGGATAACCGCTGTCCGATCATTTGCAACGGTCGTCAAACGAGCGTGTCGCAGCCTAGGAGCTTCCGGACTTATTTCTTTTCGTCTTTTTGTCATCATGAAAACTCTCGGGTCTGGACTTTTCGGAAACATTCAACTCTATGCCATGGGTATACATAGCCTAGGCGAGGCTGGCACAAAGCATTTTATGGCCACATCGACCAGAGGTCTCATGGGCATCGATAGAAGCTAACTGGCGAGCATGACATGCTGCAAATGATAGAGTATGTATCAAAGATGCAAGTCTCTTTTCGGAAGTTTCAAATGATGAATTATTATGCCATTATTCTCCATGATCTGCTGTCACTGGAGTCATGACTTTTGCTTGTTATCAATTCTCGAAAAGTGTAAATCACGACATCGAAGTCCAGGGGACTGACTCTTCACGAGCCTCGAATCTGAGACAACACGCTGCGACATTGAGGTTGACACGCTTAACCATTTGGGAAGATCTGATCAGCCAACACAATCATGTTGGCCGGCAACGAGGAAGAAAGGGTCTCTCGGTCGAGTTTTCTTACAGATAGATAGATATCCCTCCTCTGCGATCGCATCCTTTGAGACCGTGAGCAGCCCAGTCAGTACATGGACCTACTACCTACAACAGCAGGAAATACCAGGCAGACAGGCAGTTGGCAGGACAGGTCTGTCTACCGACTCGCAGCCCCATCTTCTATTGCGGTGGTCGCGGCTCACACGCCTCAAGACTTTGCCAAAAAACAAAGAAGGATCGCTTTCCAGTTTTTGTCTTCTTCTTCTTCTTCTTCTTCTTCTTCTTCTTCTTCTTCTTCTTCTTCTTCTTCTTCTTCTTCTTCTTCTTCTTCTCCTCCTCTGACTCCAATTGCAGCGCGACCATTTTTGTATTTTTCCCGATCTTGTACTGACTGACCAGAGTGTATTTGACCCTCCTCCGCCATCTTTTGGATGCTACAGAGGCAAAAGACTAGGTGGTGGTGTCGAGGTTTTTGTCTCCTCGCAAGCCCACTCTGAATGTTGCGTCAAAACCTCATCAGAAAACCCCCAAGTGAGATTCTAGATCGTGCTGAATTCCGCGGCTGAATCATCAAAACGACTCGCACGTAATGTTTCCCGACCATATGACAATCCTCTGAATAGCATTGACTGAGCAGCAAGAGACCGACCTCTTCCTCGATGCATCTGGCACGGCATTGTATTTCGTGACCCATCAGTGTTTGCGTATGCGATGCGTGCAGCTCACGCGCAGCACAGCTGTGGCCAGGTTACATCTTGCCGGGATGGCCTACCCTCATTGCTGCCCGGGCTGCCTAGGACGGCTCTCCAATTTCTTTCCCGGAGGCTTGTGGACCTGATTGAATGCCTGTTTGTGCGTCTGTCCCGTGGCTACACGAGTCTTGCTCGCATTGATATCGGTCTTGGAGATGCCCGCGCCGTGCCAAAGAAATCTCTCGAAGAACCGAATATCCTCTTGAGCTTTGTGGTACATGCTCTCGTATACGTTGAGGCGCTTCTTGCGCGGACGAGGCGCAGTTTCGGGTCCTTCGTCGGACGAGTCCTCCAGCTTGATTATCACGCGAGGGCCGCGCAACGGTAGTGCGGCATCTGGCGACGACGGAGATGGTTCGATGGCTCTTCTGTCAACCTTGTTCTTTTTCTTCTTCTTCGATGGTGTAGGGTCCTCTGTGCTCGCTGTTTCTTCCTTGTAAACCCCAATCGGCGTTTCGCCATCCAAGCTCTTTCGCTTTCTTGACGCCTGAACAACATTCTCCGATGATATTTCTGCCCTTCTCTCTCTTTTGTTCATCGAGGGTGTCCGAGGATTATGTTCGGTGGTGGTGGCTTCTCGCTTGAAAACATCGGAGAAAGATGGTATGGACGTGTTGGGCGAGATTTTGGGCCCTAAACGAGGCTTTCTTCGCCTGGATTGAGAGTTAGATTCATGGGTTCTCGTCCATCCTCGAGCTGCATTGCTTGTCGGAGTAGAAATGGTAGCAAAGGACTCTTGTTGCGGGCCTATGTCTACTGCATGCTGACCCGTGAACCGATATTCCCTCCCTAAGAAGCTGATCAGACCAGCGAAAAACCGATCCACAACGGTCCCCGACTCTGGAAAGTATCGAGCAGGTATGAGGGAGGCTAACAAGTGGCACTTTGCCGCAACACCCCGGGATCTCCTCAGAGCACTTCGCCGAAGATCAGTTGGACATGTCGCATTGACAACTTTCAAGGCTTCGTGTAAGACAAACTTGTCCCAAACTGGAACTCCTGCATGTTCGCTTTTAACCTGTGGCAGAAGTCTACCGACTTGTCGAAGATGGTCTGCAATTAGAGCATGAGGATTCTCGGGAAACGACATGAAATCGAGAACATCGGTGCCAACTTGAATGCGAGGTATTGCGGGTACCCTCATTGCGCGAGGTGCTGTGGGGAGAGGTCTTTCTGGCAACTGCTGCTTGATGCGATCGATCATGACTGTTGAGGTATTTCGCGGAGTGACATTTGAGAGGACGAGGTTTTCTGCGGGTGTGGCAGACGCGGGCGCCGCTGGTCTGCTGGCTTTGGGCCTGGAGGGTTCCTCCATAATTGGGACACAGATGAGGCACCGTTGAGGAACTGGACGTGTTGGATGAGCTCTCGTTCGGGATCGACCGAGGTAAAGACGAGAAGCGCAAATTGATACAGAACAAGATGAAGGGGGGGCTGGAAATCAATAAGGCAGCAGGTGTTGTAGTTGAACGCGATCTGACTGCTCAGGAGGATTGTACTCATATGACAGGCCAGTGCCATTTGCCAAGTGACGTGCAGCAGGGTGCAGTTAAAAGTGAGGAGGTCGTTAGTCTGCCACCATCGTGAAGTACTGCATAGTGATCACTTGGATGGCCTGCGGTCATTGATTGACATGTCGGTTTGGGTCGTCCGCCCTTGTCATAGAGGCCATAGAGGTGCCGTTCCGTAACCTGGAGGTCAAATTGTGTCCATGTTCAACAGGCCTTCGATACAAGTGTCTTCCAATACTAGCAGTTCAATCATTCATCTGCGAAGACCCAACGTCCGCCCTTGAGCGCCTCTTGATACCGCTTCTCGACCTCGTCCCTCTGTCTCTGCCGTGCCTGTTCCTGATTCTCTTGTTGCTCCTGTGTGGAAGGAATATCGACATCCCAAAATCCTGGAGGCGTAGACGGTGGCGCAAAGTTTGCTCGGTGCATCCTTCCATACTCTTTCGCAAGTAGATTTGCTCGAGCCTCATGCACTAGATTCGCTCTCGCCAAGGGCGTCAGTGAACGAATCTTGTCCCCTGACCCAGAGCCGAGAAAATCACGCAACAGGTCGTCTTCTGAGACATTAGGATCAGGGGGTAGTGTCTCCGCCAAAACCCTGAAGTTTGCACCACAGCATTCTGGTCGCGTACAATTTGGTAGGCACTTCCTCGCTTCCTTGTTGCGGACAACCTCTTGGAATGCGTAATCAAGGCCTCCTGTGTATTTAGGATTGACCTTGAAATCAGAGAGATCAAGCCGAACGGCTGGCCGTGAACGGAGTGGCTCTTTCTTCTCTGATACTCTGCTTGTAGCAGGAGGCTTCCTGGCTGAATGGGAATGAGGTGGAACAGGAGTAGGAGGGGTCGGTGCTGTTAGCAATGCCTGCAGCCGTTGACGGGGCGAAGTCTTTGGATGAGCCTTCTTCTCCGATGGATTTCCCGTATCTTCTCGGTTGTGATCAATGCCATCCTCTGCGAGAGACGAGATTGCCTCCGCGCCTCGCTCACTCAATCCCGTGGGATTTTGTCCTTGGACAGAACGGCCGCCTAAAGGTACGTTGAGTTCAATTTCTTGCAGTGGTTCTATCTTCTCTACACTGTGGACTCTTTGACGTTTTCGACCGGAGCTCTTTGGAGTTTGCTCTTCGCCCGACACAATGGGAGATGAGAGATGTCGATTCTGTGAGCGTCTTTTCTCCTTACGGAGCTGATTCTTCAGACTGTCAATCTCTGCTTGCTTCTCTGCATCTTTCCGGAATAGTTGGTCCAGCTGGGCCACAATCTCTGGCCCTGCATTTTGTTTACCTGCCTGTGCCTGTCGTAATTCCTGAATCTCGCGCTTGAGTCTTTCGTTTTCGTCTTTCAGACGCTCGATGGTCCTATTACTGCTATCAAGCTGCCGTTGAAGAGCTTCGCTCTGTGTAAGAGCGAGGACGAGGGTCGAAGTAAGTGACAGCGTAGCAGTGGACATGTCTGAGGTTGTGTGTCAACCACCTCTATAGGTAGAAGCTGTCTAAAGTTGAGGCGCGGTTGGGTTGGACGCGTCGAGGACTGTTGTACGAGTACCTCGTACTCCGTACAAGTACTCGGCTGGTTGGTCCATGCACGCCTTAGTCAGCCTGCGGAGACTCAGTGCGGCTTGGGTGGCTCCGTGATCGGTGGGGCAGACGGCGACCAGATCTCCAGGCTCTTTGACGGTGAAACTCTATCGAACAATCCTGCTTCCAACCCACGTAGAGGCTGCGCCCTTGAGATGCCGAAACGAAGACGGAGCAATGATGATACTGGCAAGCAGCCAGCGCCAGCGAAACGAAGTCGCACCGGGTCCAAGCGTCATCTGCTGGACATCAGCGACGAGATTCTCCTGCGCATCTTATCATTTCTCCCTATCAAAGACTTGCTGAAGACCGAGTGGTGAGTACCTCGTACCTGAAGCAATACCCGTGTGCTCCCTTTTCGCTAATCCGTCCACAGTGTCTCACGCCGACTTTATTCCCTCGCTACCGATCGCGGAATCTGGAAGGTGAAATATATGCAAACATGGGTGCGGCCGCGCTTGCGACGGCTTCCACCTGCAGGCACAGGGCACCACGATCACTCGGTCGATTGGAAAAGCCGGTTCAGGATTAAATCAAATTGGTCAAAAGGCCAGGCCAGATTAAAGGAGGTTGAGGTCGCTCAGCCGCCTGCACCACCCGTGATTGCGAAAGTCCATCGGGGCATGATATTCACGGTCGATCCAACCAATGGCTTGCGAATTTGGTCTCAGCGGGATGTGACCAAGACACCAAAGGCGCAGGCTCAACTTCATGGACCGTCGACCGCCACCTGCATGGCTGTAGAATCCATCGACGACACAACCTATATCTTGCTTGGGTTCGACGATGGATCTCTCTCGATTTACATCTACGATCATGAGGGCCAGATCGAGCGCCGGTCAAGCCTCCAGTCCGCGGACGGATCCCTAATGGCTATTTCTCTAGCTTTTCCCTACGTGATGACGGTCTCCAGAACAAAGTACCTGAGCCTGTATCAGTGCGACTCGAAGGGGATTCGAGACGGAAACGCGATCGATATATCGACAATTGCTCGACTGCAGTCCGATGCCTCCTTTGCGCCCATTTCGGTAGCCTTAAGACGCGCCCCAGACCAGGTCATTGCGACTATCGCGTATGCGTTTAGCAGATTCCAGTCCGGATGGTGTGTTGGGTTACAGGAAATTCGTCTGTCCACCGCCGGCAGAGTCCTGGACAGCAGATTGGCGTCAACCTTGGGCCGTCCCTACACAGGCTGGAGCAAAGGGGATATGACCACCCGATCGACAAGTTCTCTGCCGTTGCCTCTGCACCCTCAACTGATGAATCCGCCTACCTCTCTTTCTTACCAACATCCGTTTCTGATCGGGACCTTGGCAGACAACACAATCATATCGTTCCTCGTGACTTCAAATGATGAAAAGCTAGAGATTAGCGCCGGACGACGTCTTTGGGGTCACACGTCGGCAGTATCAGGCGCAGAAGTCAACAACCGGGGCAAAGCCGTGTCGATCAGCTCTCGCGGAGATGAAATGCGAGTTTGGGAACTGGAACCTGTGATGGCCACTGAAAACCAACCTCGGGCCAGCACTCAGATCATAGCGGTCGATGCACTGTGTGGTGGCGCTGAACTATTGCGGGGGCGAAGTCCCACGCTGGGATTCGCCTTGGGCGAGCTAAGACGCGAGATGGAGCTCACGCGACGATGGGTTGGCTTCGACGATGAACAGGTGGTGGTGCTGGGCGAACGAGGTCAACGACAGATTATGGCATTGTACGATTTTACGTAGCATGGAACGAGAGTTTTTCTTCGTTTTTCGATTTGAACAAGCACATATACACAAGATCTCAGTCTCGAGATCAGGCTCAAGATGCGTTTCGACTTGTCGAAATGTATCAACGTCTGGTGACAACGGCCCTTATCTGCAACGACGACGAATAGGATGCAAGGAAGCCTTCCGCGTGGCTACAGGAATGCCAGGAGAGGAGCCTGAAAAGATCCAGACCAACGGCACAACAAGGCAGTGCATTTTTGCAGCTGGTAACCCAACCCGAGTCGTCAGGTCTGTGCCTCTCTCGTACAAGTACGCAGACAGTGAATGGGCATGATTGGAGCCATGGACAGAGTTTTTTTTTTCGTTCGATTCCCCTATTAGTATGACGTTGTGACAACCCCGGTGTCTAAGTTAATTCTGCCAATCCACGCCGCCGGCCACTTTTTCTCCATCGCATTTTCTCCTCAGCTTTAGTTGACCTAGCATTCACTTCTGCACACACAACAAACTCGACGCTGAGGCTCTTCTTTCATCTTGTTCCTACTGTGCTTGATCCCTGGTACGCTGCTACACATTCTCGTCATCTTTGCATTCATTGCGTCTTCTGGAGACTGAGAATTGACTGAATCTTCAGATCTCACTGAAACGAACCACCCGTCCAAACAACACATCATGGACAGAGGCTGCTACAATTGCGGCGATTCATCGCATCAGGTACTGGCGACCGATATCATTGTCCCTACATCCCCTTACTTTACTTCAGGCACGCGACTGCCCCAAAAAAGGCACACCAACCTGGTGAGTAAATCTGATCCGTTTGCCACCATCTGGCCTCTCACTGAAGATTGACTGACATGCCAAACAGTTACAACTGCGGAGGTACGTCGCACACAAGTCACTTCTAGTCCCTTGCCTCTACTTACCTCGTCCACAGCCGAAGGCCACGTCAGCCGAGAATGCACTGCTGCGCCCAAGCCAAAGTCTTGCTACAAATGTCAGTCCAACCAACGAAATGATGAAAGTCGAAAACACATATATTGATTCACTTGCAGGTGGGAATGAAGGACACTTTGCGCGCGACTGCCCTCAAGCTGGTCCTCCTGGAGGTGCAGGAGGTGGCTGGGGTAGCACTGGCGGCAACACCTACGGTGGCGGCTCGTCTCGAGAATGTTACCGCTGCGGAGGGCAGGGCCACATAGCGCGGTAAGATATGATTACCACGATCCGAATCGACATTTGCTAATCCCCTCAGTGACTGCACTTCCAGCGGCGGCGGCGGCGGCGGCGGCGGGTTTGGCGGCGGGTTCAATCGCGGTGGTGGAGGTCAGACCTGCTACGTGAGATCCCTTCTTTCTCCAATCATGAGATCTGTACTGACAGAAAGGACACAGTCTTGCGGTGGCATCGGCCATATGTCTCGGTATAGCACAGTTGGAACTTACTTGCATCATCCGCCTGGCTAACCATTTTCAGTGACTGCACCCAGGGTCGAACTCAGAAATGCTACGTATGTTCCCCTCACCTGCGTCGGCAATTAGTACACTGACTGACACACACGCAGAACTGTGGCGAACAGGGTCACCTCTCTCGCGATTGCCCATCTGAACCATCCTCTGAGCGCATCTGCTACAAATGTGAGACCACCTTCTTACCATTGCGGTATCCTTCTGACCTTGCATTCCAGGCAAGCAACCAGGACACTTGCAGTCCGCTTGCCCCAACTAGTGACTTGCATGAGCATCTTGACGAACCGACCACTACTTTTCCTTTCTTATCCAACTCACGCATAAAGATGGTCCCTGGGATGGGTTGGTGATGTAACATCCCATCTTGAGCATCACGATGACATGATGAACACGCATTCGAGCAAATGACAAAAAAGCTTACGACAGAATTTCCAATTTTCGGATTCGGCGATGGCTCAACATCCTAGGCGAACCATCTGTGGTTGGTGGAAGGGCCTTTCTGAAACCGGGTGATGACGGGAAGAGATTTCGAAAAGGTCTTTGCAATGCAGGAGCAAGCGGACGATGGAGAAAGGAGAATTTTGAATGGGGTTCGTCGAGATCAATCAGATTGCACGAGAACCAAGGACATTGAACAGACGAATTAGGCTGGGACAAACTGGGGTGTTGCTGGAAGGGGGCAGAGTTTCATTCGTTCAACGAGTCAGCATGCAGCTCGGAGCACTGACATCAAGAATTAAAGGACGCTGTGCGATGAAATGCCAGCAATATGCGAAGAATTCCTGGCAGGTAGAGATGAGGTCGAGAGGAGCTCGGGCTTTCTCGTATGTCGAGATGATCCATCCCGACAAGGTTGATAACAAAATGAGAGAGCTCGCCGACCACTTCCCGTTGTTTGTGCTCTGGAATCTCTTGTCATGCTGCTGTAGCATTGCAGAAGCTTCCACCAGCTATTCGTCTGTATAGCGAACGCGCGTTCCTGAGAGAGGTAGATCAGTGGTGATCGAATTGTTGCATCGAGTACAAGACCATCCCGGCCAATCTTCTGACAGGAGAGACGACATGTACCCCGTGTTTCTCCGAGTGCGTACGAGTAGAAGCTACCAGCTTCCAAAGATGGGATGCATTTTATAAGTATCATGGTCCCTGTCATAGAGGTCATTACTGATAAAGGTAGCTGACGGATTGGGATCGGCGAGTCGGATGGGTGAAGTCCGGCCCCCGATGCCCCGCCTCGATGCCTCGTCAGGTTTCAGGTTGCGGTCATCAACGGGCATCACAGGCACTGCCACTGGCACCTACGGGCAGCCTCTCCAATCATGTGTAGCCTATTCCAAGATCCCTGGAGCCCTTGTCCGACACCTTACGCGTCCTCCGCAGCAGCCAAGCGCAACCAAGCCTTCCTCGCCCGTTGTTTGCTTGACCGTGATTCGCAGCCTTGTGCTGCCCGCTGCTATTTCAAGTTCCAGGAACACCATGCGCCCCATTTTTTTTGTCCCGCTCGCCAACGCCCGCATACCCAAGACCACGTACGAGTACACTGACCTCCCTGTCACCCTGTCTATCCAGCCCCCCTCCCCGGCCGACACTAGATACTGGGTATTATTATGAATGGCGTCTCAGTTCCTCGTCCACGAAGAGGTCTTCGGCCGCTCTTCCTCCCTCCTTGTTTCTCCCACCAGATATTCACCACACCTCGACGACATTTCGATTCGATAACACACCACTCGCTATGGCCAGAAGTCTAATCATCACTCTAGCTACTGCAGCTCTATTGGCAACGACTGCCAATGCTCAGTTCGGGTACGGATGGGGAGGAGGATGGGGCAATGGGAACGGAAATGGCTGTCCTCCTTGGGCCAGCGATTGTGACAGCTCCGACGATAGCGGCGATGGTAGTGACTCTTCGTCTTCGAACGGCGTCTCCCAAAGCTCGCTTTTCTCCTCACCAGCAGCGTTCGACCACGCAACTCGCATCTTGATCGCTCACGCTGTGCTGGCCTCTGCAGTCTGGGTTCTCTTTGTCCCGTCACTCGCTATCCTACTACGCCTAAACATCAAGAATCCTATTGTGCTCAAGATGCACGCCGTGGGCCAAATCCTCAGCTACATTATATTCATCGTCGCTGCGGGCATGGGCATATGGCTTGCACAGCAGTCTGCCGCCTTCGGTGTTTGGAACGACCCTCACCCGAAGCTTGGTCTTGCGATCCTGGCATTGGCTTTCTTTCAGCCAATTGTAAGTTCTCCATCCTCGGGATCCATCATGCTTGTATGCAATTTTGTCCATGCTAACGGTGAGACCAGTTCGGATCTCTCCACCATTCAATCTACAAGAGACGTGCTCAGAACGTCCAAGCCGGCAAGCCAACAAAACCCCCTGGTCGGACGACCCCTGGACGTGTCCACCTCTGGCTCGGTAGGCTTCTGATTGTGCTCGGGATGATCAATGGCGGCTTGGGCATCAGATTAGCATCCTTCAGCCCATTTCAAACCGATGCTACCTCCAAGGCAAAGATTGCCTATGGTGTCATTGCAGCAACCATGTTCTTACTCTACCTCGTGTTTGTGGTCACCTTTGAGATCAGGAAGTCGAGGGCGAGCACGGAGGAGGTGCGAAGCAGTCAGCAGGTGGTCACCAACAAGGATGGGTTGCCCTCGTATGACGAGAGTGAGGAATCTGTGGGCAGACCCAGCAGATACAGCTAGATCCATGATGACATGGGTGATACATGAATGTTTGATGATATTGCTTGGGAGGACAAGAGAGACAAATGTGGTTTACGAAAAGTTACTCCCTCTTGTTCCACACATTTAATGGTGAGATGACACGATATGATAATGGTACATATAAGATTTTACATACAAGAATTCGTTTTTTTTTCCTCAACAGATCATTACAACTCACCAAACCCCTGGGATTAGAGCGTAGGGTACCTCCCTCTTGACCTTGGCCCATTGCTCGCCGTACTTGTTTGCCATGTACTCGTCCAGAATGGGGATTGCTCGAGCACCAAAGTCCCAGAGAAACCAGCCGCCGACGACGACACCCCACACAGGACCGCCAGACGCCAGGGCGTACCCGGCACGCCACATCGAGTAGCCCAGGTACGAGACGTGACGGACGACGGAGAACAAGCCGGCGGTATAGACTTTGCCTTTGTTCGCGGGGTCCCTTTTGAAATTGTGACGCTGGACCTCGGAGACGGTCTCGCTCAGCAACCCGCCGGCGAACAGCGCCGTGCCGACGTAGACGCTCCAGGGGGCGAAATAGACGGGGTTCTCGGCCGAGGCGTCGTACAAGAGCGTGTTGAGGCTGTTGAAAACCGTGTTGAAGACGCTGATGGCCACCGCCGCACCCGGGTACACGGGCTCCTGGGCCGTCGCGACCTTCCAGAAGATGTGCTTCGCCGCCGCCCCGATCGACATGGCCCAGATCACCGTCTGGTACGGCGTCAGGCCCGTCGCTGCCAGCACGGGCCCGCCCGCGACGGGTGCATGAAGCGCCGCCGCCGCCGCCGCCGCAGAAGAAGAGAGTCCCAGCCTCGACGCCAGCAGCGGCAGCGGCGAGTGTAGCAGGAGATGTCGTTGCAGCAAGGGGTCCAGCGCCCGGAGACCAATCAAGAGCGTGTTTCCGACCAGATCGCTCCCGTACGCCCCCCGGGGCACCAGGTCGAACTTTTTCTTGTCCTCTGCCATTGCCCTGTGCGTGTAACACTCGCAGCGACGAGGACAGAATGTAGTCAGATTCGTGGGTGACTTTGAGACCCACACAAGATGTTTTCGTGGGTTAAGGGAGGATTGAGGAGGAGGCGGTTATGGTGAGCGGCAGGTCCCTGACCAAGAACCACCAAACGGGTGCGGAGGGACGGAGCCCATTATTGCTATGGCGAGAGAAAAGCTGTCGCTGAGCACGCCGAATCGGGTTTTTCTCGGCTCCAGCCACGACGATACACAACCATAGCGACGATGAGCCCTCTCGCCCTTGCATGCGGCGATGCCTGCAAAGTCTGGGGAGGGAATGGAGGTGTCTGGCCAGTTGGACAATTCTCTCACGATTATCAGCCTGTAGCTATTACTAAAGCGCTTTATTCACGCCTTGCAAACACACAAGGATTTGTTACTACACAGGTATGCGGATGGCGGACTACTCCGTCTATATCAATTTCCTACTCGTATTACTCCTGATATCCATTTTCCCCTTCACTCAAACCTTCCTACCACTTCCTTGCGCTTGGACATGGCAGAGTCTGGGTTTGACATAGGGTTCGGCCTCGAAGGTTCGCACGTACTGGTAACCGGATCTTCGGGGGCTATTGGATCAGTGGTGGTCAAAGCATTCCTTGCCGCAGGCGCATATGTGTCGGCATTTGATCTTGTCGAGCCTCGGCAACCCAACCAAAACGAGCGGCTCAACTTCTACCAGGTCGACATCACAGATGAGTCCAGGGTAGAGCAGGCTATGGAGTCAGCCAGGACTGTGTTCGGGGTAATAACAACATGCGTTTTAGCCGCAGGTCTGGACTTGTCCTACTGCCCTCAACAGTCCCTCGTCGACATGCCACTTAAAGCGTGGCAGAAAGTGCTGAATGTCAATGTCGACGGCACATTCCTGACCTGTCGAGCGTGGCTTCGAGGCATCAGAAGACACGGAACACCCGAGGCCAAAAATATCTCTGCTATTCTTTTCGGTAGCGAGGCCGGAACCTTTGGAGTTCCATTGTGCGCGCCGTACGCCGCTTCGAAGTCGGCGATTCAATACGGCCTTGTCAAATCGCTCGCTCGCGACGCCGTCAACATCAACCCACGTTGTCGTATCAATGCCGTCGCGCCAGGTCCTGTAGCCACAGCGCAATTTCAAAAGGAATGTGACGATGATCCAAAGGCTTTGTGGCGTGAAGCCCAAGCAACCGTTGCATTACATCAGCCGGTCCCAATTGAGGCGGTCGCAAGAGCCTGTCTATTCCTCGCAAGCGACAAGTTTTCTGGTAACATAACTGGACAAGTGTTGCCGGTTGACTCTGGGAAGAGTGGCGCTCTGCTGTGGCCAGAAGCACCATAGAGTTGGCCCGACTTACCTCTAGAGCCACGCATCTGGAGTATAGGCTGGGAGAGGAGAGCTTTTTTGGTCGGCACCCAGTCCATCCAAGTGGTCGGATTGAAGTGAACAACTCCTCAACTCTTCTGGGGCCTCATTTCAGTAATTCATCCATTTAGCCTAGAAAGAACATTTTATGGAGCCAGCATGCCGGTTCAGAAAGGGAATGTTGTCTAGTCTGACGGAAAGGACTGAAGGCTGGCTTTGCGACTCTAGACAGACTGAAGCCAGCTGTCGCTCTCATTGGGCAATTTGACTTTTCTTCCAAGACTGAGCCATGCCTATCAAAAGTGGCGGCAAATTTTCATCTGTGTAGCGGAGTCTTGGCCGGCCCCTATAATGTCTCGATGGCTGCTGGCGAGGGCGTCCATTTTGAGTCAGACCGTTATTTATATCTGCCTGATGGCCTGACAGGCAGCATGAATTGCATGTGTCCGGCATCTTCTTCGGTGATTGGTAGGAAGCTAGGGCGAGACTTACCCGAGAGTTGTGCCACTGGGTAGGAGAAGGGAAAACAGGGTGTGATTGCGCAACCAAGCGGAATAGAGCCACAGGGCTCAACCTCTGACAGGACGGCTTGTTGATAAGAAAACACTCAAAGGGACATCGGGAAGGTCAGGGATCGGAGGCCTGGTAACTCGGACAAGAGGTATCTTGAGAATGGAAAAATATACCATATACCCGCTGAGTGAGGTCGACGGTGACGAAAGAAGCTCGAACCTATCGGGCCGTTTCACCTCTTTTACAGCGACTAAAACCATTTCGAATGTAGGGTCGATTGACAGAAGAGCGGGCGATCTCAGTGCGGAGAGTGACCATTTCTTCCTGTACTCTTAAGATGCTGGGATTCCCACCTACAACAGTGTGCAAACCATGCAGACGGCAGGGGTCTTCTGCGTGAATTTTTCGCCATTCCATCGTCCAACGAACACTCCCGAGAGTGGCGGAAACAGAGTAGTTGGATGCAAGGTGACGGCGTCTGAGACCGAACATCGTGGGAATCGGAGCGAACTAGCGAAGCACATCGATACTGGAAGCAGAATCTTGACCCGCGACCACTCGAATAACGCAAAAAATATGCAGCACCAATGCAGGTGTTGAAGAGAGTTCACGCGGTGACAATCGACAACCAGTGGGAGGCTCGGAGGGTTGGTGGGATGATGGCAAAACATGGAGAATGATGGAGGGGAGGAAAATGCAGCGAGGCGGCTGCCCACCCAACAGCCAAGCCTTGACTAACAGAAACAAACTAGGCTCGTCGTAGATTGCCCCTATGAGCATCCCCTAGGGACCTTTTAGGGGGTCTCCAGGTGCCATCCAGGCTGCCCGTTAACTGAGCCCTGGGAAGCTCGGCGCAAAGCAGGCTGCTGGCAAGCCCTGGAAGAACTCCTAGGAAGGGGACCTGGAAGGGCCGCTTTTCCACTTGCCAGGGCTCCGCCTCCACAATTCGAGTTCCATTTTGGTTAACTAATCTACAACTCTGTTCACTCATCACCAGCAGCGCCTGACGTCCTTCCTTGCTCACCGTGTTGTCATTTTCCACGCCTTTGTCCTCGAGTCACCCAAGGTGTGAATCCCACCACCTTGTCTCACACATCTGTCGCATTTGCAGTTTGTCCTCGGTTGCACCTTAATCCTTGAGCGACCATCCACCAGCCACAGTGCTCGCCTCGCACAAAACACCCGCCACAGGCAACACAGCGCAGTCGGACACCGTGGAAGCTCCTCCTGCTCCAGCTCGAGCCAAAATAAAGTGAAGGGCAATTTTATGCTCTCGTTTCCTTCTTTATACGCTTCATCCTATACCCCACACGGCTCCTTCAGCGGTTACGTTTGAGGAAGAGATGGCTTAGCGGTGTTGCGGTGACGGGTACAATTTCAGGTCTTCGAGAGCCCAAAAAATCCGACAGCATGGCATCGGCCCAAGATGATGATATGTATCTCTTCCAGAATGCCCTCGGCCAAACCCCAGCATTTGCTGGTCAAGACTTCGACGCATTTCTGGAAACTCCACTCCCAGACCTCGACCAGACAACCTCGCCTCCGGGCTTCCTCAACCCGAATGACTTAACGATAAAGCGGGAAGTGGACTCTTTCAGTCCGCTTCCTCACAATGATGCGTTTGCGCGCACATCTAGAGGATCTGCCTCAGGATCCAGCAGCTCCTCTTCCGAAGACCCTGCGGACCGTACACGCCACATGTCCGCGGCTTCAACAGCCTCCCCTCCAGCGCAAGAAGTGGTACAGAACAACTGGGGAAGTGGGATAAATGGGTTTTCAATATCTTCAGATGACAATCTATTTGAGGACACCGCTATGGCCGGTCTGGATCAAGATTTCGAGGCAAGTAACCAGCAGATGGCTTCCGATTTCGACTTTGATACGGCTGCTAGCACACCTAGCGGATTTGACCCGGCGGACAAGCGCAATAATATCAAACGTACGATAATGAATCAGCCCTTCAACCGACAAGTCGACTTTTCCAAGTTTGGAAAGCAGGCTTCGACCGCACAACTACCGAATGGGCAACCTCAGTTCTTCTTTGCCGGATCCAGGGAGGCATCACCTTTGAATGCAATGCTGCCCTCTGCGCAGGGACAGTCCCCATGGAGCAAGCACTCTCCATCTTCTGGTTTGGAGGAAACCTTCAACCACATCACCATGAATGGTGATTCACCTGGTAACGCGACATTCTCACCTAGTCTCCAGTTTTCGTCTACCGGATTCAGTTTTGATGCGGACTCAAGTACAACCCCTTCTACTTTCACCAAAGATATCTCTTCTCCACCATCCACGGTCAATTCTACCGAAGGATCACCAACCCTGATAGTACATCCAACCTCGCTCAAATCCCGTGTTGAAACTCAGATACCGATTAAGATGACACTCTCGTCACTTCCACCCGGCGTCAAAAAACTAAGGCTCCCAAGACACACAGTATCCAAGCCCAAGTTCCTCGCCAAACCAGAGGTCCCGCGGTCGCCAGAGATTTTGGAGCTTCATACATCGTTGGTTTGCACAAGCGCTATGCAAGACAGGGTGAAGTTGCAACGGGCATTAGCACGCGCGAGGGGCGAAGACCCAGGTCCTCATGCTCGATCGAGTCCTGCCTCCGTCGAATCAAGCACCTCAAAAGATGATGAGGACAAGCCTTTGAATGGCGGTGAGGTTCGCATTTGTGCGGGATGCATACAGCGGGAGAGGAAAAGGGCCTCGAGGAAGAAGCAGAAGAAGCCTGAGGAAGAAGAGCTGTTTCAGAGAGATGAGGAAAGGAGAGTGGTCGTTTTTAACACCAATGAAATAAAAGAATGGGCTGAAGCTCCTCGTGAGGCCAGCGGCAGCGAAGGCCAAAATGCGTCTTCTTCAGCAGCGGTGCAAGTGGAGCTACCGATGCGGATTGCCTGCTATTGTCGGCACCAAAACGAGAAAATGGGCTTCCAAGTGATATTCACAATCAAGGACTGTCGAGATAAAGTCATCGCTCAGGCCATGACCAACGCTATCATGATCACAGATGACCACAAAACTCACAATCCACCAGCGGTCATCTCGAATCAACAGGCACCCTTGCCAACTCCGGGACCACAATTACCAGGAGCAGGCGTCTTCTCCAGTACTGATCACGAGATGCAGCCTCAGACACAGGTCATCAATGCGAAAATGTCTAGGCAGGCGTATTCCATGACTGATCTGCATGCGTTACAGCAGACTTTCACCCCCAGTTTCCCCCAAGCTCCAGCGAACACCCCATATGCCATTCCGGCGACTGCCTCAAACCAGGCACTGGCCAATTTCGCACCACGAAATCTTTCCCGACCTGCCTCCCCGAGTGGTCCGTCAGGTCCGACTTCAAAGAGAAGGAAACAAAGTGGTTCCGGAAAGTTGCCATCTGGCTTGACAATGACTCGCCTCGACACATCGCAGGTACTCCCCGGGGCTTCCACCATGCCCAATACTGCCGCGTCGTCTCCCTACGCTCCAAATATGGCATCGTACATTGGACCGAACGATCGCGCATTTGCGATGCCACCTGCTACCCGGCCTGCACCTTACGGCAATAGTCCTCCAACACCCAATGGAGTTGAACCTTCATTTGCTGCCAATATCAACCGCTCTGTGAGTCACGAAAATCTCCCGCGGCAAGTAATGATATCAGCGCCACCCTCCCGTCAGCCAAGCAGGCCTGGTAGTCCCGGCTCAGCTAGGAACAGCTTTGGAGCTGCCGATGCCGCCTTTGGTCAAGCGGTTAGCAATCAATTGATGGCACAACCTGCTCGACGGCCACCGCCGCTGATCCACAAATTGGTACCCGCCGAAGGATCTGTGACGGGAGGCACAGAAGTCACCTTGCTAGGCAATGGCTTCTACCAAGGCCTCGAGGTCATGTTCGGTGATACTGAGGCCACGACCACGACATTTTGGGGAGAGAAATGTCTGAACTGCATTGCACCTCCAGCTCTTCAGCCAGGCGTTGTCCCCGTCGTATTTAAGCACGATCACCCACAATACTCACCAGTGCCACAACAATCCCAGACCAGGCCCTCCCTCTTTACTTATGTGGATGATAGGGAATTGGAGATGTTCCGCCTAGCACTGCGTACCCTTGGTAAGCAGCTACAACATCCAACGGATGATCCATACTCGGCCGCCCAGCAGCTTCTGCAAGGACAGCCTCATTCTATGTGGCTCGCACACGGGAGCTATGGACTAGGTGGAGGACATCAGCGCATGCACGGGCACATGACTGGAGCTCCGATGGATACGCTCGAGTTAGAAGCTATGATGTTACAGGTACTGGAGCAAATGGACTCCCAAAGGCTATTTAGAGCCCCCAAGTTTGATTTGTGTCGTCCATCTGGTCTCACCTTGCTGCATTTGGCAGCTTCGTTGGGCCTTACGCGATTCGTTGCGGGACTGCTCTCGAGGGGAGCAGATCCCAACATGGTCGACAATAACGGCCACACACCGATGCATCATGCTGCCATGAACGGCCATACGCATGTGATACATCGACTGCGCTTGACGGGGGCTAACCACAAAGCCCGCAGTATCCGCCATTTTACGCCTGCTGACCTGGCGACATCATTGCTTGCATACCAGGCCACAATATCGCCCATGGAACACTATCGGTCACGGAGTGCTGGAGGGACACCGATGCGACTGCATAGTCGTAGCTCCTCCTCTCTTCGCTCATTCTGGGAGAATGCCTCGAACCATTATGCCACCTCTGATACGGATGGCTCAGACGTTTCGGACGATTTTGACGACGAGACGCCGACCAGAGTCACTTCCGAGGAACCGGATCTTTCGCAGGTGCTCGGGCAGAGAAATCGCATGCAAGCCGTTAGTGTGCCTCCATCCCGAAGAGGTAGCATGCCACCGACGACGTCTCAAGCATCAAGTTTCCCCCCGGAGAATGTCCCGAATGCAACACCGGCAATGGCTCCATCAGCGTTCATGCTAGCGTGGCGAGATCATCTGGTAGCTCAACTACAACAATTCAATGAGAACGCCCAATCAGTTATGCCTAGTCTCGCCAACCTCAATGGCCCTCTCGCAGCTATCCAGGAGTATCAGGCATATCCTATGATGCGCCGTGTAAGCGCTCTTTTCCCTCAACGTTCAGGTTCTAGACAGCTACAACCGGGCCAGCGTGAGGGCTGGTGGGAGACTTTGACGGGCAGATCATCCCCTCCTGCTCCATCTTCGCCTCCGGCCTATAGCGATCTATATCCAGAAGAAAAAGAAGGGACGGACCAGGACTGGAGTATTAAAAAGGCTTCCACTCTGCAAGCCGTAACCGATGCTGCAGCAGACCTCCAGTTTGAGCAGCAAACCGCCAGTGAGAACGCCGAAGGGAGTACCACTGGGAATGCTACTGGCTTGATAAGGAAGCCGATCGAAAAAGTCGAGCTGAGCCGCGATCGGAAATTGTTCTTCTTCTGGGTAAGTTGGAAACGGGCCAATTCTTCGTTTCGGACGCTGACATGCCACAGATCCCATTACTTGCAATCGTTCTAGCATTGATGATTCGCAACTCTGGCATTACCGATATTTTTGCCTTTTCCAGTAGCCGGACACAGCCTCTTGCCAATCAAGAGGCGGTTGGTGTTTTCTAAGATGTTTTTGGTCATGGAGACGCCTTGTACGAGTCAATGGGTGTTTAGCAGCGAATCACGGGTTTTTTTCTTTTTTTTCTCGAAAGGAAGCGCGAGCTCTCAGATGGTGGCTACGTAGTATCTATATATGAATGAGCGCAGTGATATACATGGACTTTGTTTCGAGAATAATGCAAATGAGCCTCGACCTAAGCGGAGACATCTTTGCACCACTCGATCGCCAGTATGTGACGGACAGACAGACAGACACCAAGCAAAGGTGTCGTCGCTGTTCCTGGGTCGCCAATCGGATACCAAGATCCGAGCCGCTCTTCGGCTACTGAATCAAAGATCGAAAAGTGCGCAATTTGGAGCTTGTACCTTTTCGACCATTCAAGCTTTTCTCCCACGTGGACGTCCTGATTCGACGACTGCAGTTCACGATCCATGGGACCGGCACACGACTTCGACGAGTGAATCTCATCGCTCCGACTACTCAGGCAATGTCTGTTGCTCGAGATACACCTCGTCCACCGCCCTACCCGTACACGTTGGCTGGTTAAAGTCTCCGACACGGCAGCCTCGAACCCCTCCCCCGACACCCGAGTGCGTGCCGAGGATTGTGTCGCCATGGACAGTGCATTGGAATACGAGAAGAAGCATGTGCACGAAGTGTACGAGGATATAGCGAGTCATTTCTCGTCCACACGATACAAGGTTCGCACATCGTCCGGCAGCTCAGCGGCGCATTCAAGTTGATCAACGTGGCAGCCGTGGCCTGTAGTCGACCAGTTCCTCCGACGTCTGCCCCCTGGGTCTGTCGGTCTTGACGTGGGCTGTGGGAATGGGAAGAACTTAACTGTAAACAAGGATGTCTTCATTATTGCTTCGGATCGGTAAAGTCGACAAAAACTAAAGAACGACATAAGCCAGCTAACGATGCTTGAAGGTCAAACGCCCTGGTAGAGATCGCCCACCGCCATCCACCGCATAGTGCCATCGTCGCAGACACCCTTAGCCTTCCGCATCCAAGTGATTTGTTCGATTTCGCAATCTCCATCGCGGTTATACACCACCTATCTTCCAACGCACGACGGGTTCAGGCTATCAGAGAAATCTTGCAGACCTTAAGACCACCTTGCAAATCTCGTCGAAGGGGCGGAGAAAAAGAAGGGGGAGGCCAGGCATTGATATTCGTTTGGGCATTGGAGCAGAAAGGCAGCCGACGGGGTTGGGACCGTGGCCACGAGCAGGATGTGCTCGTACCCTGGGTTCTCAAGCCGGATGTCGCTTCCAAATCCAAACCGGAGGTTCAAATGCCCGATCCACCCATCTCAACAACATACCATCGATACTATCATCTGTATCGGGATGGCGAGCTGCAAGAGGACGCCATTGCTGCCGGCGCGAGGATAGTTGAGTCTGGTTATGATCGAGATAACTGGTGGGTCATCCTCTCCCGACAAGACTGAGATATCAGTAATTATCTCCTTGCGCTTGTTGGAGCAACCCAGAGATACCGCCCATACATACGATCAGACTCCGAAAGACGCATCTTGTTGTTGGCGCCCGGAGTCTCAAATCCGATTCCAGTCTCAAGTGTTTGCAGTGTCATCCCAATTCGACTTGGAATGACGCGTTCACAGATCACATTATCCCTCGTTCGCAGCCGGCCGTCTGCGCGATTCGGAGGTGTTGGGGTATCAAATCACTATATTACAGCTTTCTTGCTGCCCGTCACAGCAGGGGTAATCAAAGCAAATGCAAACAACCCATCATCAAAACCCGGAATCATGGTGCCTCTCTGTTCATACCGATTTTATTCAAACATGCTTCGCTCAAACACAAGACAACATCAAGCCAATTCTTTCATTTTCATCTTTCAGCGAAAAGGAGCATGGCGGCCTCTTGGGTGGTTGTACAGATGAGGATGGTAAGGGTCTGGGTTGTGGTAAGGTGGTGCTGAAAACGCAGGCAGTCCCGCCGTGAGTTCTGCCAGGGAAGGGAGTTGCTGAGGGCCCTGTAAACCCGTCTCTGACGGCATCGAGTCTCGTCGTAAGGGGCGCGCTGGAGGTCCGCCATGTCTGAGTGGTGGTCTTGGAGGTAGAGATGAAGGCTCGATCCCGCTATTGGCGTTGGTCAAGGAAAATGGAACCACACCGGCCCGCTTCGCCATCTCATGTTCACCCATCTGCCAGTGCATTGCTTCGACGGCTCTCCATGGCATCGCCATCTCCTCTGCAACTCTCGCCCACATGTCGGCTCGAAACCTTTGATTCAAAGAAGATTAGTCGACGGGGATTTCCCAAAGGAGACAAGATGACAGGGCAGCAAAAACAGTTGTACAAGATCTTGACGGCGACATTTGGGACAAACTGCGGTCGGGTGCGACGTTTCTCAACATACCTCTCGTACAACCTTGCGAGCTTATTTTTGCGGTCCTCATCCCACTCACTTCTCCGCTCGAGATAATTCTGATAATGGAGTCTACAACTGATGGCACTGCGTCCGGGCAGGTGCTTGCTGATATCCTCCCACTTCATGCCATCCTGGCGAAGCTGGATGATTTTGGCGTCCTCCTCCGGGGACCACTTGGACTGTTTCTTCGCCGGAGATTGGATTGGATGGTCCTGGCTGGAGGAGAGTCTCTTCGCAGGCACCGCCGGCCGCGGCTGGGGCGGTGGCAGAGGAGCCACGCTGGTGGCAACACTGGACGGCACCGACTCTGATCGCGATACTGAGGCGGGAGAGCTGGTTGACTGGCCGTCGTCCTCTTCAGTCGGTTTGAGCAGCGACGAGATATCCACGATGGGTGATGAGATGAGGTTTTGGTTCGTGAAGGATGGAGGGAGGGTTGTTGCCGGAGATCAGTGGGTGCTGCCATACACGAAGAAGACGGGAATGGACAGAAAAACAAGTCGAGGAGGGATTCTTGGAGATCAGGCTGAGAAAGCGAGCACAGGCGGAATACCACAGAGGACTACTAATGCCAGGAGAAAAGCTCGCTTCCGATGAGAGGGTGGGTTGGGTCTTTGGCGAGTCCGAGCGATGGCGCCGGCGTTTCTAGGTTGTAGACTTCTGGCAGACAGGGTCGGGAAACAAGACCCGGGAGAGGCTATGTAGGACAATGGCTTCATTCGAAGATTCCAGGGAACAACCCACACTACAAGGCGGGATTAGAGTGAACGTTTGGGGGGGGGAACATACAAAGGACATTGTCCACAGGATGGAGATATATATCAAGGAGGAAGACGAGGAGGGGACAGCAAGGGTGGATTTGTTTTTCGGCAAAAGATGCGGTCAAGGAGAGCGAGCGGGTCGGTGCGGCGGCAGCCTTCCATCGATCGCTGTTCCTTTTCGCACACACGCATTCGTGGCAGACTGGGCGGAGTGGAAGAAAGTCCCTGGGGCTCGACCGAGTCGTAAGTAGGCCAGATCCATCTCCACGCTCTCTAGCTTTTTTCTTTCGCCCAGGCCGTGGATGGTGGGCTGCGCAAACTATACTTGTACACAGGATATGAAATGCAGCTCGCCTCGATCATTCTATCTCCATAGCTTTGCAGCTTGCAGCGGCTACTGGCGTTTCTGCACGATTCGCTTCCGGTGGTCGCGAGGACTTCTGGTGCAGCTGATATCATTGTCCGTACCTGTTTCTCCCTGCTCTGGTTTTCCTTGTTTGCTTTCCGGCCTGGCCTGGAGAGGGGAGGGGGGGGGAAAAAGAGATGCAGTAAGGGCGGAAAAGGATCCAGTTTCCCTAGGGGTCCCATTTCGGCTTCTGGCACTAAAAACGCCATGGATAGCTGCATGAGATCGAGAAGGGCGACGGTCGAGGGTCAAAAAAAGTTGTGAGCGTGACTGTGACTGTGACCATGACCATGACCTTGTCCAGCATCCCAGTTCTAGACAGGTATCGTGGTGTGCCCGGGCCCCGCCGCTCAAGCTTGATGGATCATGGGAGAGGCTTGCATCACGATGGAGCAAGAAAGACCGGCTACACTACCGCTAGTCGGGCGGAGCAATCCATCACGGCGTCAAACTTGGACGGACCCAGGAGGTGGGTTCAGGACTTCTACGAAGGCGAACTAAAGAGCCTGACGGCTTCGAAAGTGGGATGGTGGCATACAAGTTCGTCAGTTGTCCTGGGAGGGTTCGTCTGCGCTCGCCGTTGGTGGCAGAAGACTAAGACCAGGCGTGGGTAAATGGGACAAGATGACAAGCATACAAGACATGCTCCTCCCGCTGTCGACTGCTGTCGAGGGATATAGAGAGATGCGAGATAGTCACCAACAGGACTCACTGACGAGCATTTCCGAGGTCGCCGCAGGTCCAGTCTCGAAATGGGCAACTGGGTGTGGCGGTCGCTCTGGGGTATATTTGGCTCAAAAGGTCAAGAATCTCACTCCATGTCGCGAGCCTCCTTGTTTCATCTCCATTCTTTCCGAGGATCGTCCAACCTGGTCGTTCCAATGCAGACCGACAGTTACACTTTTTAGTCAGAAAAGGGAAACGCCGTGATCTGGAGGGGGTGGAAACGAGGTGGATTGTTTGGAACTGGCTGGATGACTGGCTGGCTGGCTGTAACAGCAGATGGTTGAGAGCCGAGCGACGGATCAAGGGTGGAAGTGGTGGTTGTTGGGAAGCAGTTGGGAGGTAAGACTGCGAAAGGGCAGAGACAAGAAATTCGCCTTTCTCCTTCTTTCTCCCTCTCTCACTTCACCGCATTGTCACTCGTCTTGTTTTCCCTCCCAGCAAACTCCGAAACGTCTCCAACCCCGTCTCTCAAATGCAGGCCAGGGCAAGCAAACACCCCGTCCAAGCCCATCCCAAGCCATCCCGCCGCCCACGCAGCTCTTAGGCCGTCCGGGGAAGGCGGGAGAGAGTGCGCTCGGGATCCCACTAGGACAGAGAGGAGTATAGCGGAGCTCCAACAACGCGGAAAAAGCTCTGCGCGGGCTGGAGAAGATATAGGATGCTGGAACACCCGTGTCTCCCAAGTCCGTGTCCGCGGGCGCATGGCTCATGGCCCCTTCCATTCGCCCATTTGCACTGGTGCTGTCGTGGCATGTTGCGAGACATTTTTTTCCCTTCTCTCTTACCAGATTTGCAGAGTGAAGCGGACAGAAGCCTCTCTTCTCCCACTCAGCCCCCTTGCTCCCCCACTGGGAAAACGCTAGCTAACTAGTTGGTAGTGCTGTAAGCAGCGACAAGGACCATGGCTGGACCAACGGTCCATGGTTGCTCGATCAGTACCGAGTACATCCATTCTTCCACCCAGCCAGTCAGCCAGTCAGCAAGACGGCCCATCCTATCCCATCCCACCGCGCCCATCCTCCACCCGGACAACACCAAGTGCTTCTGTGCGTCACTTTTCTTCTGGTGTCATACATAGGAGGGATCAACATGTAAATCACCCGCACGAACGAAGGGGTAAAAAAGATACCGTACTGGCACGCTACAGCCGGCCCCATTCCTCCTTCTCACGCCAGCCAGGGGGCAGAAAAGAGTGGGGACGTGCTACGGTGTTACGAACCGAGTCAGTGTGCCCCGGAACGATCTGGACTGGATAGGTCACACAAACACGCGCACGGTGTGGGATCTGCATGACTTGTAACATGACGATGCCGACGACAATGCGTCATTATGGTATGCTTTGTATAGCTTCGACATGAGGAAATAGGGCCATCATCGCCCTCATTCTGCCAACAATTTATCAGGCGGTGAAAAGCGGTGAGTTCACCGACTATTCCTGCTTTGATGTTGGCCAGGTACCTACACGCACAATTAACATTCGGGTATCCAGGGGGTAAAGATCCTGCCCGCTGCATGGCATGAATCATAGAGGCAAAACGTGTTCGATTGTTGGCTGCCTTGCATCACAACCTTTCGCTGCAGGGTCGCCGGGCCCAAACCTTACAAGCCTGGAGATGACAGCGCACAAGCGGAGAGGAACCCATCTGCAAATGCAAGGCCGTACGCAAAGCCGAAGACTGGAAGCAAACCTGCTGAGGGCAAACACGTATTTCATACTGCTCTGGCGAGCCCGCCTTTTTTCTTTTGCATGGGCAAGTCAGCAGATTAGGAGGTCATGTGCCAAATCGCCCAGGCATGCAAAGCGGTTGGCCGTTGAGACCGAAGCCAGGTCTTCCTTGTCAGAAAGTCGGCGCCTGGAAACGCCGAAGACATGACAATGACAATGCCCTTTGTTTCATCACTGGGCGGAGAACAGGTGTTGCAACTCTTGCAGGTCGCCAATGCACCCGACACGAACCTGGTTCAGGTCCTGGCGAACTCAAAAAAAGGGTGCGAGGCACTGCTCGGGGCGTCCCTCTGTGGCGACGGATATCTGAGCCGGGAAACAGAGCAAACAAGGACTGCCTCAGAGCATGAATTGAGGCTTTGTTTGCAACCCAAAAGCTTCAGCCCTTGGCAATGATCAACCCATCCAAATGGCGAATAGCAAGTGGCACAAACTGGCAGTTGGGTTGGTTGTCGAAGTTTCTACCGAGTACCTCGTACAGACATACGAATACCCACCCAACCCACCAACCAACCCCCTTGTCCTCCACTACTGGTACAAGCTACTATGAAGGGAGCTTTCGGGAAGATGTTTCGATCAGCTACATGCCCCTGCCTTTTCCAGCTGGGTCACTTGCAGGCCCCATGTTCATCAAGCGCCCCCTCAATGTCCATCGTTCGTCCATTTTAACTTTGGATCCTGGACCCGTCACTCTCTTGCTGAATCGGTTGAGGGGGTTGGTGTGTTTGTCAGTCGTGTCTGCCCAACCCGCGACCAAACGCCCCGTTACATTCTCGATTGGACCGTCCTGTCGGGAATTCTAGAAACGCACCACTCGGCGCCACGCCGCCCAGCGTCCCACCGCCTCCTAGCCTGGATTGGGATCCATACTGCCAGTATTAGGTGCTCCCAGTAATGACCAAGAACGAGTCGAGTGCATCCCGAAACGAGACGACATGCCAGAGAGATAGGACTTCCACGGTGGACAGAGGGTTGTAACCCTCATCTTTGCTAGTGCCACCTTCTTTCCACTTGGCTGTTCTCGCTTCTTTCTTTAGTTCCTTCGCCAGGAGAGCCCGAAGTTCGAGAGTGGAACAGGGCACCAAGGGCAACAGCCTTGTTGTCTCCATCATCATTTCATCACCACTATTACTGCCGATGCACGCCCGCCGTGTCCAAGGCTGGCCAAGTGCCAATCTGGCCCCTACCCGAGCCACGCAGTCACCCTGGAACTTCGTCTTGGACACTATCACCGCCCATGATAGACGGGGCCGGGATCCAAAGTCCTTGCAAGTCTGAACCCAGTTTCTCCGTGCCTCGCACGAGGACTTGTTTGTCCTCAGCCTAGCTTCTCCTGGCAGGGCATTGCCCTTTTCGTGAGCAATTGCGCCTTGAGCCCAACGGATGGATTCCGATTTGACGCCAATGTCGAATTGTCTTCTCCAAAACGGGCCCACGGAGTCATTGGCTTGCTGTATCTTCCTTTTGGTCGCGTTGCGCATCCGCAATAGCCTCGCCTCCTAACAGACAGACTAGGTACTTGTAACAATGTTGCAAGAAGCGGCCCAATCTCCTTCGCATCCCCCGGTTTGTCATCGCGCTCCACAGAATCTTGGTGGACTTTCTTGACTACTTGCACGCTGCGGGACTCCCATCCTCAACTCGGCCAGCCACGTCAAGAGGGGTACTGGTTTGTGATCATCTGAGATTACGAGAGGTCTCGGGATGGATGGGATGCAAATGTATCCGAGAGGAGACGCAGGAACATGTCATCTGTTCTCTTTCTTGCTGGTGCTTGTGCGTATGCTGCTGGCGTCATTGCCTGGCCGTTCACATCTCGTGTTACCATCTGCCGACCCGATGCAAATATATGGTACAGAGTGGCTAAACAGCGGCTTCAGGCGTTGTAAGTACAAGGCCCTTCCTTTCCAGAAATTGGATCCAAGAACACCCAACCCCTAGCCACCCCCGGTCAACCCCGTTGTGAGAAGCACTGGTTGTCCATTTCTGCATTGACCAATGGTCTATGTCCACAACAACAGACACTTCATCACTGTCACGCATCTGTCTACTTGCATCAATCTACAGCGTCGTCTGAACGTCTGACTACCTTGGTTTTTCCCTTGGGCAGGTAGACACGCCCCCAAACTTGAGGAGGTGCACGACGCACACTGCAACTGCAACTGGGGGCGACAATGTTACGCAAAATCCATGCGGTTAGCTGCTGACGGCGGAGAGCCGCAGGTAATTGACAGCTCCAATTGACATATGCACTTGTACCTTATCATACGCTGCTTTTCTTTCACGGAGGCGGGCAGAGGAAGTGTGGCCGGATGTTCTCGTTCCGTCTAACCTGGCCAACACAACAGCCTCTGTCCGAATCCCCACTCGACAAGGAGGTTATGGATTATTTACTACTTTTCGCTCCAGTCGTCGTGGACTGAGACAAGCCCAGGCCTTGTCATGTGGCGCTGGCCTTCTCCGTGCTGGCTTGTGGTCTTGGAATGACTGGCTCATTGCTAGATCTACCGACAAGCGTGCCTGGTGGTGAGTTGAACTCCATTGTTGTTTGCTGTTGTTGGGGGGCATCGCAAATTCCCACGATGAGAAAGAAGGGCATTCAGGAGGCAGCAAGGGATTGAATACGATCTCTTCCTTCGGTGGCAAAACAAGATAAAAGAAACAAGCTTGGGTTGAATCCCCATGACTTTTGCAGAAATCCATCGACAGAGATCCAACCTCCGAGAAGGAAACTCTTTGGAGCTACCTAATATGTTTTTGTTCCTTTCCTTTTTGCGAGGACCTATTTCACGCACACGTCCGCAAGGAAAAAACACACGGTGCGCCAGAAGATTTTCGTCAGGGTCCAGGTTTCCATGGTGTGGTGGCCTTCATTGCGTGCCATTGCTCCCTGAGACAAGCCATTGATCACTAGCAGAGACCCATCTCCGATGAGTCAAGACGAGCATTTTATCTTTTCTCTGCATCTGGCAGAGGGCAGACACGGCTTACCAGCAACCATGTCCCCTGTACGAGAGAGGCACACCAAGGAACGATGCACAACGGGAAATCCCCTTGTCACTGGACACACTTTTGCACGTGAGAGCCAAATCAGAGCTTTTAGGCTGGTCTTGTTTCCCTGACACCCGGCATCTCGGTCTCCCTCTGCCAGAGTCAATACAACGCTCCTTGTGCTTTGTGGCATGGGACTTGTCGAATGGCTGTAGGATGTAAGTGCTTGCTACGCTTCTTCCAAATCTCAACCTAGAGACCTCTCTGATGTGCCAGCACGCATGTAGAAAGGAATAACTTCGCCGAGGAGAAAACACTGTAGTAGGGAATGTGCCTCTTTCCACCGTGACCACAGTTGAGTATTTCTGGTCTGTAAAGTGCATTCCGAGTCAATGTCCGCATGGTGTATTTGATTGATTTGGAGACCGGCTGTATCTCAGGATTTCGTCGACGCCTCAACTCGCCACGCCTCCAGCCGGGACTTTTTGTCTTTGTTGTAGCGGTCGAGGCTGTGGTGAATTCCTGCCTTTCTTAGAGCCTCTTCCACGTCCACTTGGCCCATCTGGCCCACCCACCCAGTCCCCATCGCTCGAGTCCGCTGCGGCTTCGACATGGTCGTCAGCGGTTTCATCTTGGCTATTCAACCCCGAGTCTCCAAACGTCTCCTCCGTGTGCTGCTGCAAATACGAGTCAAATTTGCCATCTCGTCTCTCCTGCATGGCTTTCCTGGCTTGGCTCTGCCAGCTCTTTTCGTAGTATCCCTCACTCACGTCCCGCTTGAATTTGTTCACGGCGGCCTTGACGTAAGGGTCGTCGAGCACAAATTCCACCGAGAGCGGGCATTTCAAGCGACCCTCGGCGTCGAGTTCGTACTTCCGATATCGGGGCGGGAGCGTGTCGATGATGGAGCGCTTTTCCACCTCAGTGTAACTGTCGGGTTCGGCTGTCCAGTTCGAAATAGCCGCCACGAGGAATCCGTGAATGTCTGTGGTGGTGATTGGTGATGAAGAGTTCAAGATGCGCTGCGAGGACCAGGGACCCGTGTTGCGCTTTGGTCTCTTTGCGCGACGCATCTCGTAGTGGGCTTCTTTGACGGGGTTCTTCCTGAAGCTGATGGTGATGGGTTTCCCGACAGCTCACCACACCGCAGCGCAGCAGCGCAACGAGGAGACTGCTGGTGAGAGACGAGAAAATACCCTAGTGCGAGGAAGAAGGACAGGCACCGGGCCAAGACAAGTCGACTTGTTTCATCAGTCAGTGACGATCTGATCTTTCGGAATCGACTTTCACAGTTGTTGTAATGTTGGTCTTTTACATTCGGTCGGCTTCTGTCACATACAACTGGAGGACACAACAGGCACGAGATGGGCAAGCATGGCGGGACAATCCCCAATTTGGTAGTGGGAAACAACTCAGGTTCACCAGGAAGCTGGCGAGGTTGGCATGGTGAGCCAGCCTCATCAGCATTTATGTGACGAAGGAAGCCTTTGTCTCACACTACTATTAATTCCGCATGGGGGCCATTTCGTGTTGGGAAATTGTCAAAAGGCCATATTATTATCCCCGTCTATCCATACCCGATAATGGATGGGCATATTGATCAGCTCCAGCCTCAGTCACAGCCACACCCTCTGCCAGCGATCTATCAGTACTGAGACTTCTTCCTATGTATCCCAGTATATGCATTTGCAAGACATGATAGGTGAGTTCAACCATGGTGCCATGGTACGTCTTTATCTTGGTTGCACGGAAAGTGACGAACGAGAATCGTGATGCCGAGGCTAATTCCCCCATCCAATCAGCGTTGGGATTCCCTTGGCGCGCCTGCGCTGGTCCCTTCACCCATGTGTCCATCTTGACATTCCACCAGCCATCATTCCATCATCCATACCCCCTCCGATAACGTCGTGCTTCACTTCCTTTTTGTCTTCTCCGCCCTGAAGGCGCCTGCTGCTGGATGTAGGCCCCGGCTATCTCTTCTCTACCGTCTACGATCGCCTGTGCGATCGCGCATCATGGCCTCCTCTGCGACGTCAGCAGTGCGCCGGACCGTCCACGCGACCATCCACTCCCTTTCCAGCGCATCCGTCGATTTGACCAAAGCAGCCATAAACCTTCCCTCCACCTATTCCAACTATGTCACTACAAATTCCTCCTCAGTCTCCACCATTGAGAGCAGCCTGCGGTCATTGACGTATCTCCTACCCGGAGCCCGGTTCCATGACACCGAACTCGCCTCCGAATCAGTTCATACTTTCGTTCAACTCTTATCTATTTACCATGACCATCTCCTGAAGAATCGCTCGACATCGCTGGCGCTTACTCCTTCTGTTCTCAAAGTTAAAAACCTCAAACTGCAGAGGCCGAAGCCATCTCTCCATGCTCGTTACACGACATTCTGGACTTCGTCCTCGTCCCTGTATAATAAGATCGCAACGGTCTTGAAGATTGCGCAATACACCGAGCTGCTATGGGAAATGATTGCCAGGCGCCGAGGGGGTGAGAAAGCCAAGTGGCGTGTGGTGGTGTTACTGGAATCTTTCAAGGCCATTTGTCGTTTGTTGTTAATGCGCATCACCAATCTGCGTCCCACCGTCACCCCATCCTTGCCATTGAGAGAAGACTTTGCGCCGGTCGAAGCGGAAGAACAAGACGAAGAGTTTTCCCTGGACGAGTTGAACGACAATTTCGATGTCAAAGATGCTTTGGGAGATGCTGGAGTCCCTACGCCGCCGCTCTCTGATTCCGGGAAACACGGCCCATCGTCCTTGTCTACCACGGAGCCATATAGCATGCCTCGTACAGGATTTACTCTGCCTACTCTACCATCCCCGGACACGGTCTCGTCTTACCTCCTCAATCACGTCCTCACTGCCGACGACGTCAAACCCGCCAAGCAACTCCTCCACCAATTGACCACTCTCCGTGGCCAGGCTGCCGAGGTTATGTATATATTGCGGCCTCTGATCTACGCGCTGCTTATGCAACGCGTTGCACGCACCTACGGCTATGAAGGGAGCAAATGGAAGCGCAACTGGACCCCATGGCTGGTGGGGATCTCAATTGAATACCTTTCCCGCCAACTCGCGAAGAGGGACCTGGCTGCAAGAGTTCCAGGGGGTGCGCGATCTGGTCTCTCGGCATTGGAGCGTGAAGAGTTGAAGAAGCGTGGGTGGCAGCTCGCGTGGTGGGGCATGCGAGGCGCATTTTACGAGAACATCACCAAAGTCTGGGTGCATGGTGCCGCAGCGTCTTTGAAGGGCAAACCCATCCTGGATCTGCTTGGGGGGATAATCGAGGAATACGAGTATCTATGGAGTAACTACTATTTCAGCACGTCGACAATGTGAGATGGGTATTTGACTATCGCACACGAACGTGGATATTCTATGGGATCTGAGGAGCATCGGAACCACTATACAGCAGCACGGGACGGATGAACTTTTGTTGTGTCGCAAAAAGACTGTATTTTCCTGGTCTCGACGTCTGATGACAGCCTGCCAAACCACGGGTTTCTCACTGCAAGGTTCAAATCTGGTTTGTCTCCAACGAGCGGATTCTTGAAAACTGAGTAAACCACAGTACAGCGGGTTCCCATCTGACTTGCAACCATTGCATATTTGGGCACAAGAAGGACCCTTTATATAGCGGGATATGAAAGTAACATCTTTTATCTTTTCTGTTACTGATACTGGCGACACTTTTGATGTATAATGGAGCCGTGTTGACGAATAAAACAAACTCGGATCGATTTCAATTGAATAACATTCCTTCTTTGAGCCACGAGTCCGTCAATATACCACACCATCTCATCTCTAGGGAGCGAGCGACCAGAACGGGGGAATCGATCTCTGATCCATCTACCTCTGCCGCACCTTGTCTTCACTGTCTGCGACCTGACTAACTCCGCAGGTTCGAGAAAAGACACCAGGGTGAACTTACCCCTTCTGAACTGCTCTCTCCACCACCATCCACCTCGATAGGTCGGGCGCCCTGACAACAACCACGATTTGAGATTCAACAAGACCACTTCCATCAAAATTCTTCAGGCTCTCTCTCTCTCTCTCTCTCTCTCTCTCTCTCTCCTTCTCTGTGTCTTCGTAACCCTCTCCACATAGCAGTCCGAAGATGGCATCTGTTCAATCCTCGAAGCGTCCAAAGCTTCACCACCAAGGTTCGAGTTCAAACCCAGTCACCCTCCCCAACGATGACAGCAGTGGTTCGGTAGCCGCCAACTTCAACAATACCGCGCGCTCTGAGTCGGACTCTCTTCAGCAGCTTCTAGCCACCCTCGATAACCTTAACCGCACTGAACACCTGGCCAAGGTACTGGTAAAGGTGCGAATCGCCGAGACCCAGTACGCGACCATCAGAGCCGAGGTGGAAAAGCAAAGCCAAGGCTCCACGGTCATTCAGCAGGAGATAGACCGCTGGCAGGTGTTGTCCGACATGGTCAGAAATGGTGCAGGAGAACCCGATACACGCTTGCAAATGAATGCTGCTTCCCATGGACGAAAAGTGAACTCCAATTCCGAGAACGACCGTCGTCACCAAAACCCTCCAATCGGCCTCGCAAGCCCCTCTCCGGGCCAGATTGCAAGCTTGTCACCTGTTGCCGGCCGCATCTGCATACGAGCCCGCCGGCTGTGCGAAGCACTCGATCGATTGTCCAAAGTCCTGAGGGCTCGCTTTAACATGTGGGAGGCGTTGTGGGATGTCTACGACGCAATGACAAAGCCTGGCCCAAGTTCAAGACCGACTCTGGCAAGACAGCAGTGGGAGGGCGGAGACCAACCGTCAATGTGGCAGAACTTGATGAGAAACGAGGTTGATGTGCAGGCTGCAGGGAGACAAGTGGACGAGCTTGCAGGGGCGATACTTATGGAAGGCCGTGCATATCCAAGACATATCTGACACACTGAAAGACCCCAGACTGAAGCGCAGATAGGTGCTCGTTGTGACACTTGCGACGACATTACCTCGATTCCGCTAGGGACATGATGTCAAGAAAGATAATGTTTGGAATGGGGCGGTGAATGCGCAGACAAGCATGCAAGCCACATTCTGGAGAGTCACTTTTGTCGCTGGAAGCTGAAGGGAACAAAGATGGAGACAAGGGTTTAGCTGGTGTGTCAATGAAACAGCCATCTCAAGTGTACATCCGAGATGGTTTGGTGGGTTTGGTGGGTTTGGTGGGCTGAAGATAGGTCTTTGCTCGAGCTGCTTTTGACCAACATTCCGGTAGATGATGAGACTGTGACGAGAACATGGTGGTGATTGTGATGGTGAGGTTGGTTTGTTGAAACTCAGGATCGAGAACCAAATGATATCACAGTGTGCACGCTAACCATAACTACTTCAAAGAAGAGACGCCGCTTTACTTAGCAAGTCGTGCTGAGTTGCGAATACCGCGGTTATATAGCCGCCGCTTTAGAATATGTCGCCTCACCTTCCCACTACGAGATGCTCCTTGTCTTGGATGAAGTAGTTGACATTCACAAATCCACCAGTCACTCAATTGTGCGAGCAAGCTACCACTAAGCCTCTGGTTCCAAAAGTACCCAGAAGGGCCAGGGAGAAAGACTGTCGGTGTTGTCCCCGTGAAGCTACGGCAACCCCAACGGCTTGACTTGTCTAGCGCAAATGAAACGCCACCCAACTAATACCTCAAGAACGCACCGTCCCAGCAGCCTGATGTCAGTGAACGCCGACTCGTTGGGTAGTTTGCGGAGTCATTGGCGAAATTATGCGCTGGAGTTATGCGGCTGTCCCACAAGATTCAGCTAACTTCGCCTCTTACCCACCCACGGTAAAATGCCAGAGCCTCGTCGCTCCGGTCGTCAACGCAAGGTCAACCCGCGATATGCCAACGGCGGCTGGGACAAGGACACTTTACGTCGTCTGCGGGCCGACTCCGAGTCATCTGGTTCGTCCCCTGCTGAGGAGTCGATATCGTCGGACTCGGACGAGGGTGACGCGGCGAAGCATGTATCCGCCCAGGAAGAAGACGACGTATCTCTTGCCTCTGTTGCCTCGATACAATCGTCAGATGTTGAGACACCAGATCAGGGGAATGATGAAGATGGGAATGTAAATTCGACGTCCGACGAGAATATACCAAGCCGTAAACGACGAGGTCAGCCGTCACGCCCGCGCTCTGCACCTGCGGCTGAACTGACCCGCTCGCGCGGCTTACAACCTCCCTCTCAACTTGGAAAGAGAGCAGCATATGCTAACATTTTTGGTCCCGAGATTGACGACCTGTTTGAGGTTCTGATCGCCAGGGATACTTGGCTCAAGGGACAGGACATCACGGTCCCTAGCCGCCAAACGCTGTTCACTGCCATTCAACAGATAGACGATTTCGAGCAAAGCAACAATGCGAGCAGTGAGGAATCACCCCCAAAAAAAGAGGATGCCTTCGCGGTGGAATCCTTGTTTGAGACGGTCCATACCCGTCAAGTTCTGAAGGTAATTGACCTGGAGGCTATTTACGAGAAGTACCTGCTCCATCGAGTTCCAGAGCATTCGGTTGTTCTTGGGCCATGGGGGAAGCAAACTAAGTTTGGTATTGATTATCTGTCCTCGTTGGACACAAGAAAAGCGTGGCTGGATGACGGTACGACCGAGGGCGTTGTGACCTCGCACACCGGAGAACAGCCCGCCCAAGCGAGTTATCATCAAGCCTGGCTCATAAATGTCGGAGAGAAAGTACAGTGTCTCGCGTGGGCTGTGGGAACCCATTCCGTACAGTATCTTGCTGTAGCTGTCAAATGCACCTCGTCCCAGAGGCGAATGGTCCCCTCCGAGAAGGAACGTGAACGTCCGGCATTTCATCCCTCACCAGCTTATCCAACCAGCATACAAATCTGGGCCTTTCATACCAGACCGACCGATATTGAAAAAATCCGAAAACTGGCGATAGACGAGGAGCCGAGCTTGGTGATGGTGATTGGTACCGAATGGGGCAATGTTCGCCAGCTCAAGTGGTGTCAACTTGAACCAGCTGACGACACCAACCAGAGGGACTCCGTCAATCCAACTATCGGTCTTCTTGCGGCTGTCTCAAGCGACGGTCATGCTCGCATTATTGCCGTGCCGCGTCCCAAAGATCGCAAAAAGGGGATCCCAGTCACTCTCCGAGTCGAAAGGGCTGGCTTCGATATCCCCCCTCTTGCAGACACTATCTTCACTACGCTGGAATTCGCCGACCCTACGAATCTCCTACTTGGTACCGCCGACGGGTTTCTCTATTGCTTCGATTTGACCGAACTGGAGAGTCAAGAGGGTCTCCCGAAGTGCTACATGAAACGACAGCTCCACCACACGTACGTTCTTTCGGTCTGTGCGGGAGCGCCTGGTGCGCAATCCACGTTCCTGGCCAGCACTTCGGCTTCAGGTGACCTTGCTCTGACAGACCTGCGAAGCCCAGAACATGACCAAGTGCACGTCCCTCGTCCTAGCTTCCCAACGCGAGATCTGATATACGCTCCCTTCACACGCTCCTTCATTGCAGTTCTCGACCGGAGCGGAAACACCCAGGTAGAGAGGAACGCCGCGACGTTCCTGGTCTGCCACCACATCCGGCAGTTCCCGAATCTGTCCAAGATTGCGAAACTGCCACACGACACGGGAGCTACGACGGCCCTGGCTGGTTCCCAATGGCACCCGTGCATTCTCGTCGGTAACGCCAAGGGTCAAGTCCTGGCGACGAACTATCTCCGAAAGGTGCTCCCTTACCGCAAAACGGACCCCAAAAAGGCCGTGGGGGCATACCTGCAAAAGATCTGCGAGTATGATTGGCGACCGCTCACGGCACAGGAGCAACACAGAGAGACAAACCCGTCATCACCATCAGTTGCCAACTCAAGCGAAGCAGGGAAAGAGGAAGAAGCAACAACCGACATCTACCACGGGCACGACACCCGTCCAGGCGTGTCCCGCTTCCACGAGGGCTTCAAGCCGGAAAAAATTGAAGTCGCCTATTCGCTGCCCACTGTGAAGAAGTCGTCGAGGCCTCGAAAGACCCCCGTCGGAGGCACAGGGGCCGGTGAGGCCGTCTTTGAAGAAGAGCAGGCCGTTACTGCACTCGCATGGAGCCCCAATGCAGCTTGTGCCGGCGTCGCGGCCATGGGATGGGGCAGCGGCATCGTGCGCGTGCAGGATCTGGCATACGATATGCCTCCGTCGTGAGAAAGAAAACAAAAGGCCTCGACATCAGCCTATGTGTCGATCCGTTATTTTGATTCCCCGGACCCGAGCTGGACCTCTTGAGAATGCCCTTTTGAGAGGACTTCGGTTGGGTATCCCGACACGAATGGAGAAGACGGACTTTAACAGGGTCTCACTCTTCTTGTATGGTCTGAACGAAGCCCCTTGTGGATGAATTGTATATCCACGAATCGAGGCGGAGCGACAATCTTCTGCAGGAAATGCGTGTGTTAAGAGAGTTTCCAGCTTCCAAGGGCGACACCATCACTCAGCCATGATCACTGAGCCTTGTTCTACCAACTGGGATGGAATCCGACTAGAGGGGATTGTCAACTGACATTACTGAGCGCAGATAGCCATCTACCGACATAGCTACTGGAGCCCAATGTTCCCTCTCATCTCGGTCCACCATTTTCTGCTCCTTGTTCCTGGTGATTTTCTTCCTCTCCTTCTTTCATTTCCAAGCTCCTTTCTCTCACTCTCTGAAGTTTGCAACAGCAAACACACGCACACACACATCCTCCCCTCCCTGATTGATAGCTCCCATCACCTGTTTCAACATACTGTGAAGGACGGGCTTTTCGTCAACAAGAAAAAAAGCGCTCATCAGACCCTAGGTAGTGTACATGACAAACACAGGGGAAGTCGAAGTCCAGTCCATGCTTCCTCAAGATTTCCCCACCCTTTTTGGTTCCATTACTCTCACATATTCCACATTTTTTCTGCTGTTGTTTCATACCCTCTGGGACATCTTCCTTTTTTCCATGTTTCAAACGCTTCATGCAATGCTGGAATCGATATCGCTAGATGGAGAAAAGACGTTGCATGTCAACTTCACCCGTGCCCATTCCCACCCCCTGAGGCGAGACGGAAAACAATCCTGGCCGTGAGATTCAAGAAACGAAAAGGTCGCGTAATCCCGCATGGGACTTGTCGCCCCGAGCCTGCATGTCTCTCACAGGATGAAGCAAGCAAGAAGGAGAATCGACGAGACATTTAGCTCTTGCTTTCGCCCCGAGGAGCACCTCCACCACGGCCGCCTCGTGGTCCTCCCCGACCACCTCCGCCACGATGGCCATCTCCTCGCCCTCCGCGGCCGCGTCCTCTAAACTCGCCGCGTCCACCACGTCCACCACGTCCACGACCCCGCTCACGGCGTACCTGCTCGAACCCATCGTTCTCCTGTGCGGGCTTCTCCTCAGGGGTGGCAACAGCAGCGCCTACCTCTTCGGCCCAGCTGTTGGATTGGATTGCGGCAGGAGTTGCTGCAAGTCCTGTCTCAGTCTCTGCAGGAACACGAGGCACCTGGACCCATTCTTCGTTAGTCGCACTGGTATCGGTCACTATGGATGCCTGCGGGTCCCATGCCTCGCCAACTGCGTTAGCGGCTTCTTCACCAGTCGTGGACTGTTCTGGAATAGAGGGAGTAATCTCAGGCTCTGCAATGTCGTTGATGATGTTCTGGGTCTGGATAGCAGCAGCGTCGTCGAGTTCAGTCAGACCAGCATTTGCTATCGTGTTGTCGATCCCCGATTCGGCTGTGGCAGTTACATCTTCTTTTGCTTCAGCCTCTCCGATTTCCGGCTCTGTACTTTGGACCGCATCTGGTGCACTCTGCAAGGAAGACTCTTTGATCTGAGCGTAAGTGAACTCGAGAAGCTCACCATGAACATCAGTGACTTTATCTTCTGTGCCATAGACCAGCTTCTGCAGCGTTGAGAGTGAAGACTCGTTCCCTTGATAGACCAATAGTAAGGCGCCCTCAAAGGCACGACCCTCATCAGTATCGGCTTCCTCGGACTGACGTTTTGACGCGGCGGAGTGTAGAAAGTGGGTAATGACTCGTAGCCCATCCTCGACGGCCTTTGTTTTGATATCCTCAATCTCTTGTAGAGCATTCTCCTTGACTCTCGCAATCTCAGCCTCGTGTGCTTCGATCAACTTCGACTTCTCTTTGAGGGCCTTGTCTTCAAGTTCTTGAGCGAAAGCGCGGAAGTGGGAGAGCTGTTCTTCAAGCTGGGTGACCTGGTTTTGCAGGGCTGGCTTCTTCAGGATCTGAGCTTTCTGATCGGCGTTGAGCTTCTTTTGTGCAACAAGGTCATCGAGGGAGACGTTTGGGTTTTCACTGATGACAGCATCAGCCTTTGCAGAGGCAGCAATCTTCTTGTTCAAGTTGCGGATATTCCTAATTGAGCATGGTCAGCATGCCTTCATCTCGTAGAATGTTAGGGCAACTACTTTAATAGGTCTTTGATGAAGGGGCTGTCGGCGTGGGAATCCACACCGTTCGTAGTAGGATTCATTTCGCTGGCGGAGACCGCAGTTTCGACAGTTGGTGTCACGGTGCCACCGTTCGTGGTCGTGGCTTCGCCTTTGGCTTTGCGCTTCTTTGCAGTCTTGGACTCAACGGGAACAGTGCCAGCAGTCGACATATTGGTTAGGCAGTCTTGGATTGGAAATCGAGATGCGGGACTGGAGAGAGGAATGCCTGGAGTGTGACAGGTGGTTGTTCAAGCGAGATGGACTAAGCGCAGGAGTTAGATGATGTGTTGAGGGGACGTGATGTCAGGGGTACGAGCTTGGATAGAGTAATGAAGCTGTAGTCAAAGAGGTAACGAGAATTTGGACGGTTTACAACGTGCTCGCGTGAGGCTCTTGACAAAAACGAAATCAAATCAAATAGTCCGAGATCCGCCAAGCAACAGTCTCCGAACTATTTGATCAGGCTGCGCTTTCACGAGGCTCCAGAGTCGTTTCCCATGAGATGAGGCTGTACCTCGTAGTTTACAAGTGGTCTGTACATGGCTTCCAGGTGTTCCATGTCTTTCAATTATGACTTTTCAATGGTATGGAGTGACTCATACGTCTCTACGAGGTATACTCACACCAACTGGGGTGGGCATAGTACGGTAAATGCGTGTGTAACCTCGCCGCTATCCTGCGTGCCTGCTTAGCTCACAGAGCGTCCGACAGCAGCGTTGTGACTCATTCTTCTCAGAGGAGCCGCGGAGCTGGTTCATCGGTCTTGCTCTGGGCTGACCCAATTTGAGCAGTCGGTACCAGTAGGACAGGCGCCTAGGACAGTATACATCTTCAATGGCTTAGCCGCTGAGGAGAATCGTAACCCGAGCCAATCTTTCCGTCGCACGCCCGGGGATATCTACGTGTAGGTAGGATCAGGGTTAGGTTCGCAGACAGAGCCTTCCTTGAGCGTGGCCTGTTTTCTTTCGGCGGACCATTATGTTCAAGAGCTTCGTGATCACTGCACTGTGTCTGTGTCCTCCACAAACTCCCCCGCATATGCCTGACTGGGCTTGTCTTCCATTTTGCTTCTTGACCCTCGGGGTCTCTGTTCACCTTCTTCATATCGTCTTGCGCGGCAGGTCTTGAAAGGGTTCTCGTCCCAGTGGGCTAGAAGATGACGGGAGCGCAGGATGTAACCACGGTGTGGTATCTCGCGAGTGTTGTGCTGTCGTTCTAACTCTTGGTGGTTCAACCTTTGAATCGTCGTAAAGTTGTCTACCATAACAATCAGCACTCTGTCTCGCACTTTCCCAGCTTCTACAAGTATCGTAGCGTACCATGGTGGCTTTCCTGATGTCTTTCGCGGTGACATTTTTATTGTTGTCCGAGAGTGCTTTGCGAGTCGCAGTCTGCATAAGCCTGCGCCAAATTCCAGTGTCAGCTGTTAGATGTTCGCAGAGGTACCAGTTGGACGAACTCCTCTATGAACAGAATGTAGTTGAGGTAGACCAATGGATCGACTTCTGTGGCCACCCTCTTCCTGGAGTGGGCTTTGAGGATCTTTCGCAGCGTAGGCCGAGAATAGCCTCTGTCGGACGAAGTCATGATAGACGTGATTGTTGTGCACTGTTGTACTCGTCCTCGGTACTCAGTTGTTTACAAGGTTGCGAGGACGACTTGAAAGGGACCGACTTGTCAACAAGATGCCGCCTCGGGCGTTTGGCAGAAACGCGCCGAGCCTGCAAACAAAGTGATGTCGATAGTGGCGCTTGGATTGGTTGAGTATTCCACGAGTTACTACTCGTTCTGTCCAATGATCTCTTCCATTTCAACTTTATCATGGAAGACTGTGAGACTGCACCTATACCCACCTCCCTCTCTCAGGTATCGGAAAATGAGCCTTTTGATTCCATAATCCCCCAGCTATGCTTCCGCACTATGCAAATTCCACGCAGCGCAGACGGCCCGGATGCATGTATGCCCATGCCCGCACTACGAATCACGAATCCTACCAGTCGATGGATCTCCAACACCATCACAATTACTCACGACGACCCGCGTCCGCCGCCAATTGCCACAGCCAAAAAGCAAATAGGCTCTGATCCGGCAACAATAGGGCAACTCCTCGCCGGAGTCTCGCCCTTGCGCAACCGGCGCTCCTGAGTCTGCACATTCTTCTTTTAACCTGGGAACATCGGGTGCTTCATCCCCCCGGTTGGGACCCCTCTCCTACAGCACATATATGCTTCCTACCTCACTGAGACGCTTGTGGGCCTTGCAGACCTGTGCAGCAGCCAACAACCCTGATACGACATTATCCATGACTTGGGAGGACAGTGACCTGCCCTTCAACAAATTCCAGCGTCTGCCATGGCCGAGGATGACCTCAAGTTCGTCTTCCACGCGGGCACAGACGAGATCGGGGAGGGTGTTGGCATAAGTGCCAAAGAACGTCGCTCACATGCTGCGCGCATTGGTCGCCGTAACGCTGTACAGGCAGCGAGCAAGACCGCGAAGACGAACCATTCTTCAAATCGTCCCGTTCCACATCCCGTTCCTCGAAAACAAGCTCTTTACAGGCTAGACTTACGACAGCAGACTAACCGTCCAAATGACCCCGAGTCTTCATCCGATGAAGAAAGACAGCTTTCGCCTCCTCCACCGCTGGTGCTCAATGGCAACTCCGACCCATTTGCCATGCTACCCATCGTCATCACACCACTTGTGAACCAGTGCTTGACATTCATGCGGGAGGCGCTGTACCCAAGTATATACTACAACACCTTCTTCCGTCGCCTCTACGGTACCTCCCACGGGCCGATCAACGTCCTCCAAGATAGCACTTGGCTACCCGCGCAGACGGCTCGACAAGATTGGGGTACGGCAGCGAGCAGCTTGACTTCCGAAGGGCAGGCCATGGCCTGCATTGCTAGTTTCCTAAGCAATATGGGCCCCCTAATGCCCGAGGGAAACCGACTCAAAATCAGCCGTGAGGCTCTCATCTATACCACCAAGAGCTCGCAGTTGTTACGAAAGTCCCTCGATGAGTTGCCCAGCATTGACGGCCAAAGTGTCCTGCTTCGAGAACCAAGCCTCATTAGCCACGTCTTCTGGTTGTTCCGCGCGGCTGTCTTCTCGGAGAATAAAACCTCAGTATCAGTTCACGGCAAGGTCTTAGCTCGAAGCATCATGCAAGGCTTCAATGACGGGGTTGTCGACCACTTGATGATTATACAAGCTATCAATGCCGATTGTGATGACGCCACCAAGTTTATGCGGCCAACCTACTTCGATCCAGACTGGTACAAAACGATTGTCCAGCCAATATGGGCCACGGCCGAATATGTCCTACCTCCTATACCCGAAGCCGCCTACGTGAACATCAATGCTACAATTGAATTGCCTGAATTGCGGGAGATATTTATCAATTCGCTCCACCAGGCAGCATACTGCGAAGACGGAATGCAAGTGCCTGACGCAGCATGGGGTCCGCTGGAGCACAGACAGCTTGCGTTCGCTTGGTTTGCCACGCAGAGTGAGTACACCATGTCCAAACTTCTCCAGATCTACTTCGATCTCCGAGGTGGTAATCGTTCGTCTTTGCATCCAAAGAGGACGCAGCCAGCTCTCAAACCTGCCCAGAGACTGACGCAGATTGCGCTGGCGCTGGGACTACTGTACTACGTCCGCGTCTTGGGCCACGAGACGAAAATCAACGGCAAAGACATTCGAGACTCCTCGCCTGAGATCCTGAGACATTTGAGAGCTGTCATGAACCAGATCTTGATTGTTGCCAGCGACGATGAAAAACGGCAGTACCACGAGGCGCACGCGTGGCTCTACTTCCTGGGGGCTTTTGAAGAAGAACGGAAGGACGTTTCGCCCAAATCGATTTGGTATCAGCACCGCCTTGCTGACCATGTCAATATCTCAAGGGACAAGGGCTGGACCACTTCAATCAGCTGGAAAGACTACCGTCGCATTTTCCGCACATTCCTCTATAGCAATTGGGCATACCCCAGCGGATCCACGTGGTTCGATCGAGTCGTTGCCACGTACGAAAGGCCCATAGAATGAGACACTTACCACGGTGGACAACAACAGCGCTTATGCACAGTCTCAGCTATAGAACAAGACACATTGTTGTCACACAAACCGCCCTTCACTGCGACCACTCCAGCCACGACCGATACGAAGCTGACGTAGGATCATGTCGGATCGAGGACACAACAACCATCCCAGCTACACTGAATGACTGCGGCTATGTCTCTACAAACACGAAGCCCGTTCTGTGCGTTCAAATGCGCATTAAGTTGTTTCTGCTGTGACGGACGTCTATCGCAAGGGGCCCAGCCATGCTGTGGCTCCACTGAAACCAGCATCGACTGCCTGGATCAGGTACTGTCCGACTGTGGGTGGGTATCTTGCGCACTCACTGGTCAAACTTTGCACTGGGTGGGAGATCTGCGAGCACTGGTTGTGCCACGACCCCTGGCTTTGAACACAGACAGTCTTGATCAGCTTCTATATGTCCAAGACCGGGCCAGAATATAGACGCAGATTTGTCATGCACTTCCTGTACAGAATCAAAAGAGCTATATATAGGTACAATGCCCGAACAATCGTCCTGTGCGCCCCTTCGGCTGACTCATCGCCCATCTCTTTGCTCTCCCCTTAATCACCCATTTAGCCCACTCGCTCGCCCGTCTGCTCATTTCTGCCCCTTTCTGGTCCCTTCTTCTCTCTCACGGCTCCGGTACTCATCTTATCGCGCTACTATTACGATTCGACCAGAGTCGGACAGGATTGACTAGAACTGGACAGATAGAAACATAGCTGGATCCATCCGGTTCCCGCCACGCCCAGCCAGATCTAGTCAACCTAGCCGATTAAGGTGGGTAATATGCCGGGGTTATTGTTTATATACCGAGTAGATAAGGCGGAGAGCCGCGACTCCTAACTTGTTGCTCCCAGAGCTCCAATTTTAGTCTACACACTACCTGTCTGCTATAGCTGCGCCTGTATAAGCAGTAGAGAATAGAAATGTCACCGACCTACCACCTGCCCTCGGGACAAGAACTAGCTTACTGTCAGAGCTGCTTCCTCAGTCACAGATCCTTTACTGCATGAGCTGTGTAAGAAGACCCAACGTATGAGTAGTTCGTAACTGAAGAACAGTATAGTGAAGTAGATGTCATGAGTTAGCTACGAGAGAGTGTAACGATGAAAGGATAAATAAGCGTAGCTATACTTGTGAGGTCCGTCCCGAGCAGGTAACTAAGCATAGTATGTCGGTATGTTGATATGACCCATACCAATAATTATATCAAGATATCGTCTATTTCCCTTCTCGGTAGCCACGTGCCGCACGTGACTCTAGCCTTGCCTTGTCAGGCTGCCGCAGCCGGTTAACCTCCCCTTGTGCACCCAGGGTCTCATGAAAGGCCGTTGCTGACAACCTGGTGCGTAGAACCACCGTCTAGTACACGTTCTAGATCTCAGACTCCGTATTCTTATAGGCACCCATGCCTCTGGGGCTCTGGCAATCGGGATACTTAACTGGGTCTTTGGCGGTAACGCTTTTATTATTGATATAGTTGGGTAACATAGTGCGTCCAAGATGGTAGTGTAGTCACAGAGGGAGATCACTGTTCTTACCACATAAAACTTGCCAAGATAAGGCATGGATAAGTGTATATTAAGCATGAAATTTTATCAATGATGAAAAGCATGTTTAAACTAGCCTAGGCGGATTGCAGTCAGTCTCACTTCTACGGCGACTGTACACCGCTATTTCCCGTAGGCTATTCTACTTTTCACCGAGTCATTGTCAAGGCCCAAACTAGCTACTGAGAACGGGCATTACTCGTCGACCAGGTCCCTACCGCTCGTCCAGTTACTCGGGCGCGCTCCCCTGTACTGGTATCGTCGCTCCCACCAACGCTCTCCCGTGCTCGGCCGGACTTCCGTCACGAGTCGGAGTAAAGCGGCCACGCTCCCTTTCCTGAACGAAAACGGTAAGGGATAAAGCACAGTTCGGGGTATATAATAAGGTATATATATAGTGTTGAGGATTTGACGCGGATCGCCCAAACAAAACGTCTTCTTCATATTGCTACAAAGTGCTCTTTTGATCTCTAACCGTCAAACACGACGCCTGTTCTATGCTAACAACTTCAGGTTCCTCATCAGATGCAGCGCCGTCTTTGCACGCTCTCGCACGTCCAAGTCAAGGTCCGTCTCCATCTTTCTCAGGTGCGAGACGAAGCCGACCTTTTGCAACTCGATAGCTCGGTGCCTGCACCCCGCTCGATCGTTGGCGTCGTCCTCGTACGTCAAGTTGATGGCGATCCAACAGCAAGTCGACCGGATCTCTCGGTCTGCGTGGTTGCAGAAGGTCAGGATCTGCTTGAGCAGCGCGTGTTGTGAGGCTATCACATTCCGCCACTTTGGGTCACAGGCAGCGATGTGCACCAAGACAAATAAAACCTTGACGACAATCGTGTTGGGTGGTGGTGTCGTGTAATTCTCCTTCCGTGTAGGTCCAGCGAGTGTCCGTGGCCGTAATCGATCGAGCATTATCCGGAAAAAGTCGTCCTGTCCCATTTCATCTATGACATATCTAACCAGGTCAGAAGCATTCTCGCCACAGAAAAGGTTTCGAAGGAGATCTAGTAGTTGTGCTTGAATCTGAATGTCATCGTCCACGCTGTGCTTGGTGTCAAATCCACCCGTATGCTCGGCTGTCGTCTCGGGGACTCCGCTTGTGTCTTCCTCGTTGTCGCCACCCTGCGCTGGATCCTCGCCCATGACAACGTCTGGGGGATTGTCTGCTGAGGCAGCAGAACGTCTGTATGTGGTGATTTGAGGGTAGTCTCTCTCCACAAGTCCAATCACCTCGCCCTCCGGTATATCGATGGGGTCCGTCTTGATTAGAAGCTTGATCCAGCTACATCCCAACTCGTCCACGACTTCCTGCTTGAGCTTCTTGCTGGCGTTGAGCACAAGCTGTTTGAGTGCCCATAGTGATTCATGCCGAAGCCGAACACTGGCCGAATGGGCCTGCTCGCACAATTTCTTCACCACTGTTGATTCCCCAACGCTCTCTTTGACCGCACTGAAGTCCATAGCTAAGTTGGTCAGAACCTTGGTGGCCGCAATCCTCAGCTCCGGATTCGTCGAATTCATCAGCTTCAGGATCGGTTTGGCGACCTCTGCCTCGATGAGCTTCGTGCGTAGTGCCCGAACCGATCTTCCCAAAGCTCTTACAGCTGCGCACGCCGCCAATATCACGGACGCGGAATTTCCTGTCATCTCGATCTCCTGGTTTGCCCCAACTTGAGCCTCATAAGGTTCCAAGGCCTGAATGATATATGGCAAAACACCCTCGTTGCAGATTCGTTCGCGGTAGTCCTCCTCGAATGGTGCCAGAGCTGCCAGCGCTTTCAGACATCCTTCTCGATATTGCATCTCCTTTCTGGCTGCCCATGTTGGCCCACCAGGACCAATGCTTCTACCAAGCGTTGCTGTTTCAGTCTCCACCTTGTCCGGTTTGTGTGGACGCCAGGGCGATAATTTGCGACTCGCCGGCCCTTCAAAGCTCGATTTCAGACCAATGGACAGATTAACAATGGCTTTGCCTTCGACAGCCACTTTCTGCATCTCGGGATCGTCCATGATAAGCGCAGCTAGTACTGCAGGGACGGCTTGTGTGCAATGCATGCCAGAACATAGGTGCATTCTGCTGGGTTGATACGATGCGTCAAATTGCGCCAGATCTGGGTCCAGCATCCGCGTTATGAGCGGAACCAACAAGGACGCAAAAGATGAACCACGGTCCTTCTTAACGAAGTGTAGGCTGTGAAGATTGACGAGTAATCTCGCGGCTAGAAGACGGCGTCTTCCACGCGACTCTCGTACGACATATAACAGCCACGAGACGATCGCGCTCTCATCAACATCCTCGACAGTGTCTTGATTCAGATTCAGGTTTGGCACCCCCGTCGTCGTTGGGAGAAAGGATGGTCGGCGTTTGGGCATAGCCGTGACCGAGCTTAGTGGAGGGAAGCCGGGCTGAGCAGCGTTGGTCTTTTCAGATATTGGTGCAACAGGGAGAAGGGAATCGAAAGGCCCATGTAAGCGTGAGCGTGGGACTGCAGCGCCAGAAAAATAGCTGGCTCCCCATGGCGCGCGTCGAATATCCGAGGGTGAGAAGTCGTCCCTAAGGTCGGGGAGCACAGTCCTCATAGTAGGATCAGTCAAAAAAGCCTTCGTTCGTGCTTTGGAGCCCTCTATCAACACACATAGCGCCTCCAAAACCGGAGAAAGGTGTGCAGTCGGTGGCGCTGGCTCGGGGAGACCAGTCGGAATACTGCCATCGCCATCCAAAAGCTCTAAGCGAGGGGGAACGAGCCCTTCTGCGACCACAAATGATGCCAACCGGGACGAAAGCAAGGTCAAGACGCCAGTTTCGCTCAACGCCCGTTTCTGCGCCTCCAGCGTCAAGGTCTTGCACAGAAGAGCCAGAACAGCATCACAGGCCTGTTGGGACGTCAGGGTGAGATTGGCACCTCCAATTATGTTTCCAAAGCATTGTATATATCTCTTTGAATACAGCAGATCGGCAAGTTTCGAACTTTGCGGCCAATTACCCAGGGACGCGGGAGGCAGGTTATCAGCGACGGCATTGAGACACTTGAGGATCGCAAGAAGGGTTCTTGGGGCGAGTCGTCGAGGAAGGAATGACACCAGTCTTTGCAAGGCATCGGTTTCAAGTAATGGTTGTACAAAAGAGGGTCCCTCTGTTGTTCAGCAGGATTAGTATTGCATGAGGCAGGCGAAAGATAGGGCGCTCTGACCGTGGGCAATGACACAAAGGATCTGGGCAGCCTGGGTAGTCACCAACTCCACCTCTTCGGAATGTGCGTCGCCTGCATTCAGAGTGGCCGGCTGAGCAGCTGCATCGGCCAAAATCGTCGCGAGCTGGGGAATGAGGCCATTCTGGATGTATTCGACCTTGCGCGAGACGTGCCCCGTCAGGTCATATTTGATTCTTTTCAAGGCTTGCAACTGGGCTGAAGACTGGTCTGCAGCAGCGAGATCCTGCAACGCAGATCTTGCAAGCCCGAGCGATGCCATGCGATAGAGAAGAAGGACATGAACAACAGGGCCGTCAGCTGCTGAGGACTCGGTATACTTGCAAACAGCCACGCGAGCAACAACTTTTGACGGGACAGGTGTTGTCGTAAGGTTGGGGGCGAATGTGTGGGGGACGGTGTGGCAGAAATCGTTTGGATCGGATGAGGTTTCCTGGAAGCGGAGAAAGGCTGAGGAAGTGATTGGCGACCAGGACCGAACTATACTCTGGCCAGTCCGAGGATGCGAGAAGGGGAAGTGATTCCCTGGCACCCACTGACACAATAGAATCTCAACGGTTTAATATTCCGGATCGGATGTGTTGGTGCACATCCTTCCATGTACAGCTACTTTTACGAGGAGGAAGGAGGGAAAAAAACCTCAGTCTGACGGGGTGGCCGCGCTGCAGACGCTTCAAGGGCTATAGCGGCACGAAAGGCGAGCCTCGGTCAGACGGGCCCAATTTTACGCAGATGAACTGCACCCATCATTGGTGCAGGCCACTAGCCCTCCGAGCAGGCCCTGGTGCCCTAGCACCCTAGTCAGTGCCTAGCGAAGTGCCCCGAAAGGTTTGTCGGGCTGGGAAAATCTGGACAAATGCGCTTCTTTGGCGTCGCCTCGTGCCAACGCCGATCTCTTGCTGGGTTCCCATCATTCCATGAGCTGATCCCCCCATTTGCCCATAGTCTCAGATACAGTTTTGTTATATTAATTCCCACACATGCACTTCGCCTGCATCATTCTTCGTCCTCTTCCACCCCGAAATAGACGTATTCTCAAGCTATATGATTATTTAAAAGTTTTCTACTTTGGCCTCATGCGCTCCCAGACTCTCGATTCCGACGCCCATTGTTTCTCGCAGCCTCCTCTGCTCTCGGCACCCTCGCCGCCACCGCCGCACTCTTGACTGACTTCTGGTGGCCAACCCCATGCGATACATCATACGCACATGAACAACAGCTCGCAGCGACGGGCTCCCCTTCCGATGTTGAGCTTCTTTGAATATGCTAGCAACATCCCCATCCCCTAATCTCCCACCGACGACCGCCCGCGACTCGGGTGTTAGTGTCTACTCCTCCTCGAGTCGATCACAGCATGATCACTCGATGATCAAGCCTGCCCACCCTCGAACTGCCACCGTCGAACAGGCCAATACCACCCGAAAACGCCCTCCCTCCTACGATCTGGACTTTCCCAAGCCCCGCAGGATACCCAGCACGCGGTCTCTCGATCGCTACAAATACTCTCCTCGGCCTCAGCCCCGCGTGAAGATGGTCGATGCCGCTACACAATACTCACCTCCAAACGAACAGAAAGCTGAAAAGACCCCAACCAGTACCATTGCAGGCCTGCAACTATCCGAAGGCGAGGACCAACCACCCAAGACAGCTCCCCTCCCCTCGGCCGCGAAGAGACGTGATGGCACTGCTGTGAATCTCCCCAAGTCGGAGAGCGGGACAAATTCAGGCCAGACCAAGAGGGTGGCCGCTGAACCCCCTCCTGAACCTGAAATCCACGCAAACGGACCCGAGTCAGAAGAGACGCAGAGCGCACAACAATCTCCAGTGAAAAAGGCACGTCCGGATGCCCCACCTGTGCGAATCATGCCACTGCGATATGAGACTTGTAACACGCGGGATTTGGTGGTGTTGATATCTTCAATGCTCATGGAGCTCATTCGCTACAACGACGCAATTCCGCTACGAGAAGGCCAGCTCACCCGGTTTCATTCACGAGCCCCTCCGGGCATCTCGGTTCTGGACTATCTCCAACGATTGACCACTCACGCTACTTTATCTCCTCCTATATTGCTGAGCGTCGTCTACTATATCGACCGCCTATGTGCGCTTTATCCGGCTTTCACCATCAGTTCCCTCACCGTACATCGATTCCTCATCACAAGCGCCACAGTCGCGAGCAAAGGCCTGAGCGACTCTTTCTGGACCAACAAGACTTATGCCCGGGTGGGAGGTGTGAGTATGAAGGAACTTGCGCTGCTCGAACTCGAGTTTCTCACCAGAATGGAGTGGCGCATCGTACCGAAACCAGAGGTCTTGGTGGATTACTATAAGTCGCTGATTGCGAGAAATTCTCAGTATCAGCTCGAAGATACATAGCATCAACGTGTTTGATGTTGAAAACATTTTACCATCCTCATGACTTCTCCTTTCTCTTGTGTAGCTGGCTAACAGACAGCTGGGAATGGGTATCTCTAAGCCGGAGGACCACTATATACAAAAAGGGGAGAGGATGTCAGTCACACAGGAAATCTACGATAATTGGAAGTGGCATGCATCCGAAAAACGAACAGAAAGCCCAGATTTTGGACGGCCGTTAATGTCATTGAATTAGAAAAAAAAAAGTCGTAACTTCATAATCCCCATTCCAGAATCCAACGCTTTTTGGGTCTTTTCCCCGCTGGGTGCGCCATAAAAGTACATGGCATCCCAAAAGTCGTGCGGCTGCTTGCTCCCAAATCACCTAGACTGATCGCATACACGATCGACCATGCGAGACAATAGATATGACGGACAACCCAGGACGCCTTTTCTGACCGATGTCTTCCTTACCTTGCTCTCAACCCGAGTCCCGCGATGGCACAGCTCTCTGGCTAGCAAGGATGCGGCATAGGATGCAAGGACGCATTCATGGCAAATACTTGTTGGAGCAAGGGATGATAGGCCCGGCTCCTCCCACGAAAACCTTGGGATTCAGAAGGAAACTGAAGCCTGTCTCTTCTCGCTCTCTCGCAACCTCTCGTCTTCTCGCTTCTTCTGCTCTGCTCGCTTCTTCTCTTCCTGCAAGCGCGCATCTTCTTCCGTGACAAACGATTTGATGTCTCGGAAGTCAATGTGCCACGAACGATTTTCTGTTTTGTTGTTGTGACGCGTCGAATCCAGAAATATGAAGTGACGAAGATTATGGGAATTCCCTGCTGCCCACGCGACAAACCATTCTAGTAGCAGCTTGTCCCGCGCCTTCAAGGACTCTCTATCGAACTCAGCGTCGTTCCACGTCCCAGAGGCGGGTAATGCCGACGGTGACTGGATGAGTTCGGAACTCCGGTCCCAGGGTTGAGAATGAGTAAATTCATCAGGGTTGGGAATGTGGCTGTTCCATGATGCGTGCAAGGATCGCAAGTTTAGTCGATTCACGGATCCAATGATGCCAGCATAACTAGAGAAGGTCAGCACCGCGAATGGTTAGCAAGAGGGGAATCAACTACTTCGATTTAGGCCCAGGGTTTTCGTTTGCCTTCCGCAAGAGCCAGCCAGAAATGTCTGGGGGTAAGCCGAGCTTCCAACTTGACCGTCTGTTCCCTGATTGCACTTCGAACCAGCGCATTACCCACGACACCTCTTTCGGATGGCAAATCAAGGCGTCTTCGGTGATACACAAAGCTGTTCCTCGTGGGAAGAGCCTCCTCAGAGGACTTCGCTGGTCGGCTTCGGGGTTTTCCAGTTGGAGGCCTGGCAATGGGAACGAGAACGAGAGCTCATGACAGAAAAAATATGGATGTCGGAGAACTTTGAAGAACTCGAAAAGATCGCAATATACTCTGTGCCGCTCGTGGAATAGTATAGCGGCAATCTCGTCGGAAAGGCCAACCCGAAACTCCTCCCAGTCGTCCTTCGCTGTGTCAATAAAAATCCGACGCGGATTCAAATGTAGCTGTAGCCATTGCTTGACAGCTTCGGCTTCGACCGGGTTCGATTCCCCAAAGCAGATCATTACCCGTGCTTTGCTCCCAAATCTCTTCAAGTCAACGTCGCCAAACAACTTTGCTAAATCCGCCTGAAACGACAGTCGCCCTGGTGCGGGTTTGATGAGAGCGTTTCCTTCCAGATGTACAGATGTGTCTTGCGCGGGACTTTCACCTTCCCTTCGCGTTGGTGTTGCTGAATTCGGTGCCGGCATTGGAGCCTTGACTGGGCTCTGTACATAAGAATCCACCAAACCTGTATGCTCCTTTGCCGGCGTTGTCGTCGGCGTTGTTGTTGTTGACACGACCTGTTCCGCTGGCGTCTGTGTGTCCACTCCTGCATTCTCTCTTGTGGAGAGTCGAAGTGCAGGCTGTGAGGATTTGGGCCTGTCTATTGGCAAATTTGTATCTCGTTCGGCATTCAAGCGTGGGACATACTCGGTTCTTGCTGAACCGGTCTCCATAAAGAATCCAGCTTGCTTATTTCGCACAACCACTTTCAGAGGGGATGCAGACTCGCCGACGGGCCCTTCGCTAATACCTGCCCATATAGGAGGTGGATTCGAGTACAGAATCAGGATAAGGGTATCCTGAGGTGTAGGATATTCCCAGACGGCGACCAAGTCGTTGTCCTTCAAATGCTTGCCTAGCTGTTCTATGTCTCGTTGTTTCGCACCATCACCCCGGATCGAGAATGTCCCATGTTGTTTCCGGTGCAGCTTCGAGTGTTAGTATGGGGAACAGTTCAATGACAGAGTAACTTACGTACATTTCTAGAAAAGTCAGAAAAACCTTGTGCCTTCATAACGAACTTGTTCTTGAACTCCATGGTCAAGTGTTCCTGCCAGTGTCTTGAGCCATCCCGAAGTTTGCGAAGTTTGTTAATCAACCACCCCGGCATCCCAACCAAACTCACAACACCCACAACATGTTTTCCAAAACGAAGGGATATCTCAAATTCGGACATCGTTCCGTGATCGGTGCCTCTTGAGGGTGTTCGGCGAAGGCTGGAAGTCATGGGCTTTTTGGGAGGACCATAGTTGTAAGAAACATCCTGGGATTGTTGCTGAACCGTTGACATGCTGATGGACGTTGGGGCCTTAACCGGGACATCAGACCTAACCGCCTGAGAAGAGTTTGCACAATTTGTGCGAAGTCGTGACGGTGACGGCCGTCTCTCTGCAAATGCGTTCGTTGACGGCCCAGGCGGTGTCAAACCGCGTGACTTGGTCCTGACACTGGAAGCTTGCGTCTCAGTCAAGATGTCTTCTCGAGACTGCCTGGACGAACCCTGATTCACATCAGGATTCTCCGGTCTCGAGGGTGCCGTTGGACTGCTAGGTGACGCTGCCATGGCCTGTAGTGGTTGACCGCTGGGCAGGTATTGATTGGGGCTCGTAGGATTCCCTTTCCTCGTCTGCTGATCTTCGGCCTGAGGCAGCTCAGCGTTATTGTCCTCTGGAAGAAAAAGAGGTGAATCATCCCGTTTATATCTTGGAGCATCATCTTGAATTTTCAATGAGAGTTCAGTTCGTCCGGGTAGGGGCCATGCATCAGCTTCTCTGAGATCGAGCTTAGAGATGTCTGGTGCACGTTCTCGGCGTGCCACTTTGGTATAATTATTCTGGTGTCTCAGACTTTTGAACCTCTGCCCTGCCTTGCCGTGTTCCGCATTTGCCGCTAATGGTGTTGCATGGGTATCGCCTAGCTTCTTCCTAACATTCATTGTATTTGATCCTCCTTGCTTATTGTGTTTGGGTCTGAGGGTTGGGTTGACAATTGTATTTATCTTATTAGGTGCTGCTTGACTAGTCTGAACATGTGCTTCGGTCCAGTATACCTCGGAATTTCGGTGTGGTACAGTGTCGCCATGCGCCAGCGCCAGGGGAGAAGAAGGCGTATTGGTACTTCTTAAGTCGCCCGGTGTTGCTAGAGGTATGGCTGCTTCTTCTTGGCTTGATGTTGGCTGGGCGGAGGCTGCGTTGTTCTCTGTAGAATTTTGTGGATGTGGCCGCTGCGCAGTAGTCGCATGTACCACTTCGGAGCCCTGTGGAGCTTCCTCCTTGATAGTTGGCGAACGAGATGTTCGTGGTCGCTTGCGTCCCGGTTGGTCTGCGGGGTTCGGATGAGACGGCCGTGATCTTTTCGCTGAAGATGGAGACTCTGGCGACTCAGATTTTGGCGGCCGACTGGGTGATCGTCTGGATAAAGTCCGCTTGGACAAACGCCTCAGTGCCTCCTGTCGCTTCTTTCGCGCTGTTGCTTCTTGAAAAGCCTTCATTCGCGCTTGAACCATTGCAAGCTCTTCATCGTCCAGGAAATCTTGAGCCGCGCGCTGGCGCTCCCATTCGTCCAAGGTTCTCCGGTCCGAAAAATGTTCGGCGGGTTCCCAAGTGCATTCCTCGTCACCATACCCTTCCCATTTGACGAGATATAGAGGTTTGCCTTTTCGGTCGTCCTGGCAGAGAATCCTCTCGACTATGTACTCTGGCTCCTCAACCGTTGTGGTTACACCATCGCTGGCAGCGAACATCTTGACCTACCGTCCGCGGCGCTGAAATGCGACAGTATGTCAATCTATATGAATTTTGGACTATAAGTCAGTCATGCAATTCTGAGCAGAGACCTGTGCAAAACACGATGATGGGTTTTCCTAGCCAGCGAAAATTAGCAGATACTTTCATGACCATTTCAGCGTCAGTCTAGAGTGTCGAGCGGAGATGGAGCCAGGAACGATCGGGACCACAGTGAAGTAGCGTTATTAGTAGCGTTGATGGTGTGTGCGGATGGCGAGGTGGACAGACTGACAGATTACATGCCTGATCACGTGCTTGCCAAGATAAGTTCCAGGCTGCGCCCTGTTGATTGTCCTCCCAACCCATCATTCAACTTCCGTGTGGGCCTCAATAACACCACTTTCAGTCGGATTCAAGGCCGATAACAAGAGTCTCAATCGCCTGTCAGTGCGTCAATCTCGTACTGAACACGACTGAGTCTTCCATTACAGCCCTTGATCTTTTAGTGTCTGATCGCGGGTCGCCCCAAACACCGCTGATCATGGCCAACGACGAGTACGACTTTCTCTTCAAGGTCGTTCTGATCGGAGACTCAGGCGTCGGTAAATCGAACTTGCTGAGTCGTTTCACTCGCAACGAATTCAACCTTGACTCGAAATCCACCATCGGTGTCGAGTTTGCAACCAGATCCATCCAAGTTGATACAAAGACCATCAAGGCACAAATTTGGGATACCGCAGGACAGGAGAGATATCGTGCCATCACGTCTGCCTACTACCGAGGAGCAGTCGGCGCCCTCCTCGTCTACGATATCAGCAAGCATCAAACCTATGACAATGTTACGAGATGGTTGAAAGAGCTGCGGGATCATGCGGATGCCAACATTGTCATAATGCTGGTCGGGAATAAGAGTGATCTACGGCACCTACGGGCTGTCCCTACAGAAGAAGCCAAACAATTTGCCAGTGGGTGTCCTTTCGGTTCCGTGGCTGAGTCCATCCCACTGATCTGGTCGCAGGTGAAAACAATCTCTCCTTCATTGAGACCTCTGCGCTGGATGCCAGCAACGTTGAACTGGCGTTCCAGAATATCCTGACAGGTAAGGTCCGGTAGCAAGGCTCTGACGGCAGGTGCTGACTGTTAGGAAGAAATCTACCGCATCGTTTCGAGTAAAGCCCTCGACAGTGGCGATGCAGCGCAGGCACCAACTGGCGGTGTGAAGATCGACATGACCCCTTCGGGTGCTCCAGATGCCAAAGGCAACAAGTGCTGTTAAATATATCAGTACAAACATCAGTGATTATCAGGAGCTCGGCGTTTTCATACTTGCGCATGACCTGGGTGACGATGGATTGAATGTGATCATGATTCATACGGTTCGTCGGTGGGCTACAGTGGTTTGGGTCACACGGGACAGTTGCATTTTTTTGCTCTGTTCTGTAATCTGAAGACTACCTCTCAAGGTTTCCATTCGTACTCTTCGCGTTTCACGGGGAGTGACATGTCGCAAGATGATACAAAGATACTGAAGCGGCAGAATTGGTCTGCTCGAAGTGTACTCGGTAGAGATGAATGGTTGTTTAACGTTAGCACAACATCCCCGTAGCCGCAAAGGAACCGAAATGCCGAGCTGTGATCCAACGAACTTTCAATGTTGCCAGCGTCGGCCGTGGTCAACGATATTCCTGGGAGGAGTGCAAGCCATCTCAGGCACATTTCTTCCGTTGCAACCGCGCTCCGAATTTTGATGTTGCACAACAGCGACTCCTGGTTTACCCCATGCCCGGTGGATGTGGGCTTGGTCCACTGTTGGTGAGCTTGGTCCTTCAGACGTTCGCCACGCTCACGACTGAAGGTTGGAATGGATTCCTCCGATCTCTGGGCTACGTGAGGCCATGGACGATCTGTAAGGAATGCGTGCCCTCCGACTCAGCCTGCTTTTCGAGGTGGCAGTGCCATGGAAACGGTCGATCTCGACAAGTCAGGCCAGGTACGTAAGAAGAAGGGTTGCGTCAGCTTCTCAGCTCAGCACACTCTAGCGACGTCGTCTTCTGCCTATGCAACCCGCCAGATATGGATGTCAGGCTTTCCGCCGCTGTGACCTTTTCCGTACATACCACCTGCGAGTGGTGTGGCCGATGACTCAGCTCTGTTCACAGTGAGACTGACCATCCGATTATTGCTGTCGGGCACACGTCCTGTAACATGATTGCTGACTGCTTTCTTCCGCTGACCTCCTAGCGAGAGGAGGAGCGGAAACGCGCATGCCTGTGCCAAGAGGAATGAGAGGCTGATCTACGCCAAGCTCGGAGCGGACATACCGGACATATCTCTATCAAGTTCACCAATGACCCAGACTTGTCAGCCGTCAGGATACGCCATGCCACCAGATGCTTTCCCCCTCGAAAGCTTCTCTATCTGGCCCCCTCCCCGAGACAGATGGAGACCGAGACACCCGTTGTTGCGGGGTTGGACCACCCGGCCACCATTCTCTTTACCGAGTTCTTTGGAACATGCGCCCTTGTCCTCCCTCAGGCTTCCCTCCTCCTGCAAGGGGATGCCCTATCCCGCCAAGTCATTCCGGCGAGCCTTCTTCTTGCCTCGCCTGAGTCATGTTTTGTCATGTAACCTGGCGTGTCTGGCCCCTGTTCTGAGCGGAATGTTTGTCAGCACGGTCCTTTCACACCAACTAGTCTTGATGGAGTCGGCGAGAGAAGTGCGGGGAAGTGGAGCAACATGAGTATCCCCCCCCCGGATGGAGGCAAGGCTATACCACTGAGCAATAGGACACCCCCTGCCCCGGGTGATGGGATTTACTCCGCAATGGCTGTATTTATCCTCGGCTGTGACCGCTGTTGGGACGATTCAGTTAAATTCGGTGCTCCCAGGCGAGTCAGGTATCTGAAATCCACACATTTCTGCCATTATACGCAGGAGACTGACCCTGACTTTTGACGCTTCTGTCCAGGCATCTTTTTGCTACTGTAGAACAAGAATCATGGCAGCAGCCGATACGATCTCCACTGAGACGGCAGGTGACGCGGGTGTCGACTACGATGTGCTGGTGATCGGCGCAGGGTTTGGTGGCATCCGCATGCTGCACGAACTGGGCAAACGTGGCCTGTCCGCCAAAGCATTCGAAGCAGGATCCGGGGTCGGTGGCACGTGGTACTGGAACAGGTACCCTGGGGCCAGGACAGACAGCGAAAGCTGGGTGTATATCATCACCTTCTTGGAAGAGTTGGGCCTGGACTGGGACTGGAAGGAGCGCTTTCCCACCCAGCCCGAGGTGGAGGTTTATCTCAACCGAGTCACCGACCATCTCGGTCTCCGCAAGCAGATCGAATTCAACACAAAGGTCACGGCAGCTCATTGGGATGAGGCCAAGAACGTGTGGAGGGTCACAACATCAAAGGGCGACACATACACTTCCACCTACTTGGTGACCGCGACGGGGCCCCTCGCCACTCCACTGAAGCCTCCTTTCCCCGGGCTCGAATCGTTCAAGGGCGAATGGTACCAGACGGGGCTCTGGCCGAAACACAAAGTCGACTTCACGGGCAAACGTGTGGCTGTCGTGGGCACCGGCGCCACCGCGGTCCAGGTCATTCCCATTGTCGCGCACAACGCCAAATCTCTGACGGTCTTCCAACGCACGCCCAATTATGTGCTCCCATCGCGCAATTATCCACTTACCCAGGATCAGCAGGTCGCTCTGAGACGTGAATATGAAACGGTGGTGAACCGGGCCAGAAAGCAAAGTTTCGGGATGGACTTTGTCGACGCCACGCTCAAGTCCACCGATCTGGCGACCGAGGCCGAGATGCAGAGGGTGCTGGATTACGGCTGGGAAATTGGTGGATTTCGATTCATCTTCGAGACGTTTGCCGACATGCTGACCGATGCCAAATGTAACGAAATGGCAGCCGAGTTTGTCCGCAACAAGATTCGATCGATTGTCAAGGACAAAGAAACCGCGGAGCTGCTGTGTCCGCATTACACGATTCTGTCGAAGCGGCCTCCCCTTGGCCATTTCTACTACGAGACCTTCAACCGCGACAACGTGCACCTGGTTGATGTCAAGAACGACCCGATCCAGGAGATCACTCCAACTGGCCTGCGCACCGGCACAAAGGAGTTTGAATTCGACATGATCATCTTCGCCGTGGGCTTCGACGCCATCACCGGGACGCTGGCGCAGATCGACCTGCGCGGCAACCAGCACCAGCAGCTCGCGGAGCAGTTGAACAAGGACATGGCGACCGCCTACGGTATCACCACGCCGGGCTTCCCTAACCTGTTCATGGTGTCCGGGCCCCAGGCACCGTTTGCGAACATCCCAATCATCATCGACAACACCGTCGACTGGATCGGCAAGACGCTCTCCTTTATGCGGTCGCATGGCTACGAGCGGATCGAAACAAAGGAGGACTCGGCGAGGCACTGGACCGAGCAGGTGGAAGCCGTCTTCAACGCCACGGTCCTACCCGAGGGCGCAAAGGAAACCCGCTCGTGGTACGTCGGCGCGAATCTCGAGGGCAAGACGGTGCGGCCGTTGTTCTGGTTCGGTGGCGTTGCGCCCTATTTCGCCATCTGCGACAAGGAAATCAGCGACGGATATCCTGGGTTTGAGTTTTCGACCCCGGAGCAAACGGGTCGAGCCAGGCTTTAGATGGCAGGCGGTAACAATTGCCATCACTGGCAACGTGCAAAGAACGACGCTGTACCCGTGACAAAGTGTTCACTGGGAAATTTCACGATCCGAGGGACGATTGATGTCAGAAAGTTGGTCATGTATTACGCCAGAGCTAGTCATTATACGGAGAGGCGGGTTGGAAAGATCTCTGTCAATCTCGTATACCAGCTTTATATGAACTTTGTAGCATTGAAGACTTGTTGTCTGATTGAACAAATTGATTCTTCTCGTAATATTGGAGATATATGGCATTCTTTTCCCTGTTCTTTCAGAGGTCGCTTGCAGTGACTACGACCCCCGCCTTCTCCTGCCAGATGGCTTCGCGTGCTTGTTGCACATCGACGCCTCGTGTATGCAATACTGTGACCCAGTCTTGGAAAAACATGGATCCACTGTCAAAGAAGCACGGATCGTGGGTCTGTTGCTCGATGAACCGTTCCACGTCCGCGCGACACACTGCATTGTCGAACAGCCACAAAATCTGCGCCGGTGTGAATTTCAAGAACGACTGGATCAGATAGAAATTCTGCAGGTCACTACCCCATCCTTGCATATGCCTGATCCGAAGTTCCTGGACAGTCGGCTTGTGCAAATCACAATCCGAGTTACGGGAACTGTGGAAAAGATCGTCGTATGCTTGTGGAATGGATGAGACGGGACGAAGGAAAGGGTACTGTAGCGACAGATGGAACTTTTGTGCATCTTCGGGAATCCGCGAATACACCTCTCCGTCGGTAGGGCAGATTTCAGTGGCAAGCAATTGTTCGAGAAAACCGCGGAAATCCTCCAGCTCAAAGAGTTCGTCGTTCGACCAGGTCCGCAGAAGCTGCAGTCGCTCGGCGGTGGCTGTTGCGTCGGTGCGTGTGGTGCGATAAGGAAATTGGTGAAAGGCTTTGGCATAGCTCCACAGCCGATAGACCGCTCGACGTAGTCGACGAGCTTCGCGGCGGTCTAAGACTCGGCGGTTGACGCTGTCAGCTTCCAGCCACTTGAAGCCGGGGAACAGATCGAGGTAGCGCTGTGCCACGCGAGCAACAGCCGTGACTTGCGAGAGCAAGGCAAAAGATAGAGGCGGGGATCGCCGAGTATGCAGCATTTGATTGTTGTTCTGGGTCAAGAGTTGTATGATATCTTCGACTGGTCCGTCTGTTTCATCTATTGTGGTGAAGAAGAGTGCCAGCTTTTGCGATTTGGGGAGGACGTCGTAGAAATAGTGACAGGTCAGCGACAGGCTGATAATATCGGACACGGAGGAGAGGGATTCGAAAATGCGGACGAGAAGTTCTGGGGCGAGGTGATGTAGTGCCATGATTCTATGATTCTATGTCCAGATTGTCAGCACAAGCCCTGTGGACGACCGCAGGGTGGGAGTCACACACAGTGTCTGGTGGAAATCGAACTGTATATATGCGGACTGGGGCATACAAGGAGCAGCAGTGGTGCTGCTGCTGCTATCACTCTGATGGTCTCAACAAATTGAGACCCCAGCATTGGGGTTATCCAAGACAAGTCTCAACTGCGAGTACACATGCGAAGGAGAGGTGTCAAAGCGCCCAAACCCGCTCTGTCGTGGAGCGCGGCGAGCCTGCGTCGCTTCCATCATGGCGAAGACAGATGGAAGTACAACGCTTTCTCATTCCGTGCTCGATGGGTGAGGAGAGGAAAAAAGAAGAATCAAGGAACAGAGCGTTGCAAGGGAGGATGTTTATACGCAGGTTGGAGTCGACAACAAGAAAGCGGTCTGGGGCTTGGCGGTCACGATCTAGGATGAGCCCGATGAGTCAAGACAAGGCTGGACCTTAGAAACAACATCTTTCCTTCTCCCCCTCACTTGTGGGCACACAGTACTTTTATTCTACAGTACAAGATGCTATGATGCTTGGATGTCCCAACATGTCTTTCTGGCCAGTATAGCTAGCTAGCCAATACTTTGACTTCCCAGGCTCTACAAATGGTAGGGGAACTCTGTTCCCTCAACCTCCTTATACAGGGTCTCCATGGCATCGACAACCTCACCTGGCAGGGGCCCTTGCTCAATCATGTCAATGTTGGAATTCAGCTGAGCGACGCTGGAGGCAGCAATAATCACCGCGTCCCCAAACTCTTGTTTGAGCGTGCTGTGGTACACGGTCCACCTCAATGCTGCAGCGTGGCCGTTGATGCCGTGTTTGGTCACAAGGTTGATGGCACGGTCTGTGGCGGCTTCGATGTTGGGTTTCAGATACACAGATGCGTAGACTTTACCAGCCCAAGTCTATAATACCCGGTCAGTCGGAACAAATCCATCCGACAATCCATTCACGGTGATAGCCATGAAACAGAGAAAAACTTACCGACGAGTCATATCGGGCGCCAGGTTGCACATGCTTGTGATTTCCTGCGAAAAATCCACCGGCTGCCGGACTGGGCTGAATATTAGTTCTGAACATCTCGGCGCTGTAGGCCATTAGGGAGAAGCGCACCTCCAAGCATAGAAGGCGATACCGTGCTTTCGCAAGACCGGGAAGAGTTCCTTCTCCCCGCTTCTGATGATCGGATTGTACTGTCCCTGGTACACGCTCGGCTTGACGAAACCCTTTTCTTCACAAATATGGACGACCTTGTCCACCTCCTCCGCTGTGTAATTAGACAAACCGAAGCGTTCGAATTTCCCTTGTGTATATGCTTCGTTGACAGCCGCGAGCGCCTCCTCGAAAGGTGTGGTCCTGTCCGGCATGTGCAGGTACTCGATATCAATCTTAGGTATCTTCAGCAATGACAACGACGCGGCGATGTTTTCCTTGATGTTTTCCTTCGAGTGGCTGCCCGGTGTCAGGGACAAAACCTTGGTGGCGATTGAGAATCGCGTCCCCGCCTCGACAGCGCCCAGTCTCTCCTCGGACGAGCCATGGGCCTCTGGCGAGTAGGAACGGGCAGTATCAATTTGACGTCCGCCACGCTCGTAGAATGCATCGAGGTAAGCGTTCACCTCATTCGGTGCATCGTAACGGACAGTTTTGTCCCGGGAGCTATCTCCAACCTAGTCATATTCAATGAGCATATGATCCAAACCTTCCCTTGGTGTTCTTACATTGGCTGTTCCTAGGACGATCGTCAACGGTGACTTGATTGGCATTCTGTTAGCCGCTTTCACTCTAGCTTGCTCAGGGGGAAAAGGGAAAGGCGATAGCGCAAAGATGCTTGTTTTGGGGAAGTTGTATAATCTATGCTTGAGCTCAAAAGACCACTCTTCAGATTATCAAGAAGATTGCACGTGTGTTACTCCCGGATGCTGTACCGCCATGGTTATATACATGGAGGCTGTCGCTGCCCCTCCTTCACCTATTCTTGAGCCGTCGGGGGAAACCTGCTTAACAATCACTCGTCAATGATGGCGTACGTACGGTAGCGATCTGAACCATCAGAAACACGCCGTCAAATTAGTCAAACTTACTGAACAATAGGCATATGTAGGTATCCCAGGTTTGCCTGCGTGGCCCCCACTCGAGATCATGGCCGAATCGGGCTAGCCGCTTTCCTGATTCGATTACTATCCTCGAGTCTAGCCCTCCACCCCCCTCCGTTTGTGGAATCGCTTACCTCAGTATTCCCAATTTCCGTGATTTGGTCCGCTGACGTCCGGTCGCCAGCAGCCATAACTCTTGACCCGAGCCCGACCTCACCAACGTCATGGTAATAAAGCCATTTCCGAACCTCTTTGCACCATTTTAAAAAAATTCCGGCCAAAAAGGGCGGATTTAACCGGCACCGAAGTTACTGTAGAGTTCAAACACAGAGACTAAAGGATACTTCATTCACCGGTTGACATGGTTGTACTTTATCTAAAGAGGTCTCGAATACATTTACTTGTCGGTATCAATCAAGAGACAATGACAGTCTTCGATAGAGAAACTGCCAAGGAATATAAACTGACATTTCTCAAATAGTGAGTCGGTACAACTCAAATTGACCACTACATCAAGATGATCCATGGACAGTCGACACCTTGACTCGGTCAAACGAGATGTCAGAATACACCTCGACCTCTGCCCGCAAATGGTGCTTCCGACAGAAAATCTCCTCGGAAGTGCACTCAATGATGAAGTCGCTTGGCAGAATCCAATCGTGGGAGAACTGGTCTGCTCAGGCTGGGTAGGCGTAACTAGGTATCACTCGGTCTGTTGAGGCTGCTGGCTCGATCCGTGCTCTTGGGGATCGTCTGCATTTGGAAACCATCGCATTTGGCTTGATGGAGAAATTCATGTCTTACAATAATCTTGTGGGCGGCTCTCACGCTCCCTGAACCCAAAATGAATGGCTTCCAAAAGGCATCACCAGCGCCAATTTTTGCCTGGGCTGGTAGCCCTTGTGAGATCGTACATCAACTCCCGAGTCGCCTTCTTCCGTTTAGTCGTGTAGTAGTGAGGGAGTTCTCTTGTAGGAGGGACATACATAGTCTCGACGCCCCTAGCGCCCGACAATACTGTGGCCAAGGACGACAAGGAGTGCATGTTTGTGATTGCACACTTCTGACAGAAGTTTGACTCGCCAAACGAAGAGCAATTTTGAATTTTTGTGGTAGTTTGTGGCGACCGGAAGAGTGCTTTTGGCGCATCGTGAGATTTCAAAAATGGCCGGGAATACTCATGGTAGTCGAGAGAGCTCTGAGCCCGGATACATGGGGACTGTACTGTGATATGTTCGCTGAGTCCGTCCATATTATCCACATCCTGTCGATCTGGTCCTTCTGCAAGGGTGCCAGTGATGATGCCAGAGAAGGTACTGTGGGAGGTCTGAGGCGAGCTTATCTTGTCGCCGGTATGTTGTCAAAGTCGCAAACTCTCTCACTCAGCCAAACAGCTTCGCGTTGTCGAGTGCAGATCTCTTTCTCTTCGCTCCTGTATTCAGACTTAGGGTTTTCTTCTTGACAGCCAGCTCTTCCGCACCACCTCTTCGACTCGCGTATCTGTTGGCCCTGCGCATCCTCGTCTCGGCCCGCAGAGCATTAGGGCTCACGAACTGTTTATTTTCGAATATTACCGGACCACCAAAGCTGCCTTCCTGGATGACGACCGGTGTGAGGACAAAACGAGGTCCGATCTCAACCAGAGAGACGTCATCTCCTTGGACACGCTCCTTGTCGACCTTGTCTGGTGCGGACTCACGGATCTCGTACACACGAATCCAAATCTTTCCGTCGAGCCCGTAAATACCAATGACACGGTCAACGAATGGTTTCATGCCGCGGATACCCTTTGGGGGAACACAGAAGACACCACGAAACATCTCCCGTAACAGCGAGCGATACTCCTGGCCCGGGATCTCTTCATCGAAACTCTTGTCAAAGACAACGATGCCTCGCCCACCTTTTAAGCAATTTCCTCCAAAGCCGAGCTCAGCCATTGTGTGTAAATTGGTAACGCTGAATTTGACAGTGGGTCCGTTGGGCGCACGCGCGAGCCACAGATACAAGTCTTGACCATGTTTCCGTGCTTCCAAGAAGAAGACGTAATTGCAGGAATGGAGATCTGCCAGGCCGTTGAGGGCGGAGTTGTAGTTGTTGGACGATTTAGTATCGAGTTTTGTATCTTTGTACGTGTGAGGAAGCAAGGAATGTAGATCATTGAGAAGATGTCGGTGTCTACGCACGTTAGCGACAAGCCATAGAAAGAACGTGAGCTGCCGGAACATACCTGTATGAGACGCCACGAGAAGTGAGCATCAGGACCCGATTCCGGATCTCGCGAGGCAGTTGAGAGAGTTCGTTGACATTTTTCTTGCCTGGGACACTTTCTTCTCCGCTCGAGGATTCAGCGCGCAGGGTTGCGCTACTTCCTGCGGATGAGACTGAGCCACTTTCATCGGAGTCAGAGGCGTCGCCTGACCGCAGTGCTGATTTGTATGCAGACGCCATGACAAAAGAGCGAAGCGTTAGAGGGAGTAGGAAACCGCCCAGGACTGTGGACGTGGAAATCTTTTGGTGAGAAATAAATATTTGCGGGGGAAAAAATGTTCGCCAGACAAGTTGGAGACTGCGACCAGTGGATGCGGTCAGCCTGCGGACCCGTCGAGCCGTCACCTCTCTCACAATCATGGTAATTTCACAGCAACCAAGAAATCATCTATGACGAGAGTCGTCGAATGTGTTCTGTTGTAATTGTATGGTATTTATTGCTTGGTCGCCTCCAATCTCAGCTGGAAATCTTGGGGACAGGCCATGCTACATGCCAGCGATCGCGATCACCGACTGGCGGAATTTCCACCTTCAGACTCGAGATGCCGCCGCCTGTGGTACTTTTGCCCGTGGCTTGTAGAGCTTTGCTCAGTGAAGCTATCGCAATCGCCGTGCCTATACATGACTTCATAGAGTTTCGCACGTCTTGTGTCCATTCACCATCTACTATCGGCGCGACTGCTTTGACTCTCCCTGCTGCCCCAGTTCCAGATTTGGGATCCGCGACTCGGGGAGGCGTGGACTCCCAGCCGTTCCTCAAAACTTCTTCCCATGCTTTTCTTGCGGTCTGTACCAAATTGGTTGCCTGATCGAGGACAGACGCATCAGGTAGATCCTGTAACGAGCAGGACTGCTGAGCCACATCAAAGTCGACGGGTTCGGGGATGGAGAGGTTGAGAAACGGTCGCATCCTCAGCTCGTACCGTAAGCGGTCTGATGCGTACGCGGGTGAAGGCTTGTGAAGGTGACCATGGCGTTGGATAATGACGAAGACGCGGTGCAGAGCTTTTGCGAGAGCCTCTGTGGCCTTGAGCCAAGTGAAATGGTGGTACAATCGCTTCAGAGTAACCTGTACCTCATCTCGCCGGCGTGCATCCAGCTGTCGACTCGAGGACACAAAGAAGCTGATTCTTTCGAGGTGAGAGAGGTGCGATTTGGATAGAAAGGAGAGATACCAGTACATCTCGGTAAATTCGTGCGGAGCATACACGGAAAGTTCAAATCCCATCTGAAGGATGGTGCGAAGTTGTATCAGCTTGTAGTGATATACCCAACTGCTGAAGGAGTATGAAAAGGTGGGTTGCTCGCCATTGGGGTAAGGAACGGGCTGCTCACCCAGGACCGATTGTATAAACGCGTCCAGGTCCTCGGCCTCCGCTTGAATCTGATCCCACTCCAGGGCTGCGTGGCACATTGAGCGCCTTACCCGACAGCGGTTCAGACAATATGTCCTAAAAAAATTCAGGAATGACTGTCCGCAGCGATTCAGGAAAAGATCCACTTTAGCGAGGAGATCAATCTGCTGGTCCTCTGGAATGTCTTCAATTTCGCTGTTGCTGCTCCCAAAAGACAGAGCGGTAGGAAGTGCAAGGGAGTGAATGTCCTCACTGACGAAGTCGTTGATGGCATATCGCCCCAGCACCGCGTTGTCAATGTTCAAGAAGGACTGTAGGAGGGCTCGAGCATACACCGCAGGTTGCGACGTCTGCGCCATGAACATCTGATAAGCAACGAGGAGGTCACTGCTGGACGTTATGTCAAGCAACTGAAATGCCGTGATAATGTCCGTAAGGAGCTGACGGAAGAAAGAAAAGGCTCTCTCCTTCTCAATAACTATCATCGGTCTTGGAGGCACACTGCTTGCCAGACCCCGTTGCAATTTCAAAGTGAAAGAAACAGTTGGCGTTGGGCGCCCGAGAATGGATGTCTCTTCAATTGCCTTGATCAGAGCCAGAGTTTTTTCCAGAGTTGAGTTGGTAGGTCGTTCGAGGAGCTCGCAACTGTGCAGTAGCCGCAGGAAAGCAGATCGTCCATCCACCCTGTCTGTCAATGCTCCTTTCAAGGGCTGCGGGAGGTTGCTATTTTGTATAAAGGCACGTGCATCCTGCAACGAGTCCATTACCTCTCCAACGGAGAAGTCATGTAGAAGAGGCCGGTTGTATATCTGTGGTGCAAAGTCCTCCTCCTACACATTGTCAGCTGTGGAACAAGATCGGCTATTCCTGCGGACCCTACCTCGTAAAAATGCTGGCTCGCCACCATTGAGAGAACTAGGTCACAAGATTTGATCAAGCCAACACAATAGGCCTGAAACACGGCATGTAGCAGTGAAGGCACATCTTTGGTACTGGGACGATCTCTCCAAAAGCAAACGTCAGAGAATTGTTTTGGTTGGGGCCAGAGGAGTCGTTCAATGTGTATGGATGTAAAGAGAGTCTGGGACAGAGGGTATCCCATATGCCATGCCACCTGTCGGAAGTCACACCATCGTTCCATACCTCAAGACAGAATTGCTTACCTCGCGATACATCAACTGATCCATCAACCATATTATCTCCTCCGCGGATACGCTCCTGGCAGGGTCGAACTCCTCATCGCTTTCCGCGTCGAAGGCGGTACACCCACTGTCCATCTTCGGATCACCGATCTGGGCGCCTGATCAGAGTCATGCCTACTTCGGACCTTAGAGAAGGGAAGACAAACCTCCAAGGCGCTGACGGCCTCATATAGTGTGAAGTGCTCATCTTTGACTAGCTTGCCCGCGGCTAGTTCTATGTACCGATCAGTCCACGTTGGAGACAAAGAGAAGCTCAAGACTGACTCGATGCAGCACGGCAGAACTCTCTCGTTATTTCAGTTATCTGGACATTGGGGTGAACAAGTTGGGATTGAACCATGACAGCCGCTCCCTTCTAGTGGAATGGGAGAAGAGTAACAACGATGTGCCCACTGCCCATCAGTCGACAGACCTTCCTGTAGCAGCGCCAGTTGACTGCGAAAATTTACGCGATACTGCGCGGAATGAGGCCGGGCAAGATCGAAGTAATGGCGAGACAATCAACGTGTAGTCATCAGTTGTGCAGAGGGGCATTTAGAGTGCGAAGGTCAAGGTCGTGTGGATGCGAAGTTGAAAAGATTATGACACGGGGATTTTTTTTACAGGCTTTGGGAAATGTCATGTGCACATCTGCGGGCACGCTTCCAGCTTCACCGTGAAGTCTTTGGTGTAATATGTACAAGTCTGATTTTTTTGGCTCCTCTCAGAAAGTTTCCTTTTCCCATTGATGCGTGCTGGACGCTGATTTCTCCTTCTATTTTGCCTCCCCAGTAGCATGTTCGGCCATAGCACCCGCATTCGCAGCACTCAGACTCTGATTTTCGCCTTGTTTGCCGTTCTTCTCGGTGTCAGTCGGAAACGGGTTTGGTCGAGTTCAGGGCGTGAGCTCACCTGCCACTTTGCGAATCTCAAGTCCATCTCTCCTCTTTTCTCAGCTTGAAGTCTAGGTCCTTCTTTCAACGATCTGCGGACGACTCGGGCGGCAACGGCGAGATATCGGTTGTAACTGGTAACGTTAGTCGGACCCAGGCAGAAAAGGGATGAGAAACTCGGCATACGTGAGACCGGCAGCCTTCCATTCGAAAGCCATGGTGATGATTGACTGGGGGGCGAGTGTTTGAGAAGAACTGAAGCTCTGTGTTGGTATCAATGGGGGAGAGGAAACTGCGCAGCGAGGGCAAAGGGAAGCTCCGAGCTCTTGCCAAGGATTCCTCCCGGAACAACGTTGATGCGACGATCAGCCTCGTGCCCTATCAGCCTTGTCCTCCCGTTTTCTTTTTTTGGTGACCTGCCACCCTGCATTCGGCGTGGCTATTGATTACTACCTAAGTGGATGGACTTGACTTGGTTTCCAACGATGGCTCTCCTTTAGTAGTATTGGCTAGACTAAAAGCTAGTACGGTTTCTGTAAGCGGTGGACCGAGAATCTCAGGGTAGAGCACAAATACAACGAGAAGACCATCGGTAAACCTCAGAGCTTGTTTGGGGTCCCTGGTCATTCTGCCAACATGATGATTTTTCATCAGTGAGAAGTCATATGTCTCGAAGCATGGCGACGGAGGCATCTATCCGGTGGATCTCCGTCATGAACCAACACTCCTTCTGTCGCCATCGCAGCAACAATTGCAATTCCCCCGGCGACAGAATTTCCTCTTCGCTTCCTTGGACGTCACTCCGTTCAACCTTGCTCAGAGTCGACGCGAGCTTCTCTCGTTCCAGCCGCAGGCGCTCGTACAATCTTGACATGGCTTTGTACAACTTGTCTAAGAAGAGCTTCTGCACTCTTTCAGGGTCGTAGAAGTAGAGGAATGTTGTGCTTTTGGGTTGTCTTTGAGGGTCTCGAGGTACTTCTTGGAGCTCGAGGAGACCTTTCATCTGCAGTTGTGCCAGCGATTTCCGAAGCTCTTTCGCATTCAGAAGACCAATGTCCTGCATTGTTCGCTCATCAAGCTTACCCTTATCAGCCAGCATGCGGACAATCCGGAGCGCTGGTTCGCTCACGCTCTCGTTGATAAGCCGTAGCATCTCCTTATCCCACAGAAAACTGGTGAGTTTGCTCTTGTCCACTATCCAAGATTTGGCGGCAGAATCTCTCAAGATAAATTCAAAAGGTCCTTCTGCCAACACACCTAGCTGGTATTCAATGAATTGATGATCGGTACTCGTCCCGTTGACTCTGTTCTCATGATGGCCATTCTGAAGTTTTTCCCCAGCGTGCCAACCATTTTCATTGCTGTCCCCATTGCTCATTGCTGGTCGACCTTCGGAAGAGATAGAGATTGAGCGGCTTATCTGGGGGATGTCCAGTCTCTGCAACGATTCTCCAGGAATGTCCGACAGTCGTAGTTTCAAGGGTCGTGTGTCGAGGTCTTCTAGCTGTAAACATGCTGCTCGAGCAACTTCTGCCGTGCGTCGGCCGAAAATCTTTTCTGCATTTTCTGCTACCCTTTCATTGCGAATGTGAAGAACCAAATTCGAATAATCGATCGAGAGTAAGATACCGGCCTGCCCTCAATTAGTGGTGAACGTAGCAGAAAGCGCTAATAAGTCAATACCCGGCTAGAGCTCGCCTCAAGCTCGTGCAGAACCTGTGGCCAAGAAACTTTTCCATCGAGACGCTGCCCGAGCTCGGCGTCGACCCTTGCATCGCCCTCAGCCTTGATTTTCTTCGCAGTTCCTTGCTGGAGCATGCCATGACCACGTAAGTAGCGTTCCGCATCCAGACGAGAATCAAAAGGTGCGTGGAAATGTGCCTCGCGGGGCGTAAGAATAAAGTTTGAAGTGATCAGCTGCTTTAGTAGAGCTCGAAAACGACCCTTATCCATCAACTTTGACGAGTCCGCATCTCCCAAGACGTGTGCTTCTAGCTCACAGGCGGTAGCAAACCCCAGTGCAGCCAGATGTTCCATGATATCAGCACTTGCAGATCCGAACCTCCACTCAACAAGTTCAATGAGTCTACCAGTACGCATGATGTTGTATGCGTTGTTAGTGTTCGCCTGATAGGTCGACAACCCCTCTGGAGAGGTGTGGTGATAGATGAGTCGTAACTGTACTAAGCTTGCTATGCCGGCTTTGACGTGGCGAAGGGGAAGACGACATTTTTGAGCGATCTGGTTGACAGAAAGACGACCTACTTGAGCCACTTGTCGAAAGATTTGCTGACATTGACATCAGTATCTTCACTCGACAGACTAGACAAGGGAGTAAATTCCTCACAGCAAGAAATGTGCCATAGGCATCTTCAACGATGCTGCAGCAGAGCTGCGAGAAATCCTACCACAACTCAGCTCATCAAATTCCATCGCCTGTCCAAGATATTTGCAATACCTCCATCTCCAACGCCGATCGACTCCTGACAGAAGGATCGGAGGATTTGATTATGGTTTTCGCTTGGCGGCAGCGATGTTGTTCGCTACCTCATCCTTGATTGAAATGGCAACAAATGTCGATGAAGAAAGAACTGCATGTCGCTCACTCTGCGCAGAGAGATCGGGGGAAGAAACTTTGCTAGAGACAAGGCTCGCAGCGAGTCTTGAAGAAATTCCAAGTGATGGAGCGCATCCAATGCGGGGCGTTGGACAGAGGCTTGGCATAATAGTGCAATATGAGTGGCTGTCTCGCTCTGACCAATAATAGCGAATGTGAATTCTGTAGAATCAATTGAAGCTTGACTGGATCCGAAGCTCTTGTTCGACTGCATCTGTCACATTACCACCTCTCTCCATTCACTACGTGACATTTTATATAATGGCTTCTCCAGCCTCGCTTGGCTCTCGAGCCCTGCGAGCTAGCAGTCGTCATATTCCCGTCACCTCTCTGCAGCGGAGAGGTCTCGCCGCAGCTGCGTCTGGCAGCTTTCAATATGAGACGGGGGAAGCGTCGGGTGTCAAATTCGCCAGCAGAGACCTGCCAGGTGCAACGACTACTCTGACTGTCGTCGCCAAAGCCGGTACCCGATATCAACCCCTTCCTGGCTATTCCGACGCCCTCGAAAAGTTTGCTTTCAAGGTCCATTCTGATCCTTGTCACGTCGATGGATCTCCCAGCTGACTTGAAAAATTAGTCTACCACGAAACGATCAACTCTGCGCATTACCCGAGAGGCTGAGCTTCTGGGTGGTGAGCTGTCGGCGTACCACTCCCGAGAGAATCTTGTCCTTCGAGCCAAATTCCTGCGTGAAGACCTGCCTTATTTCACCGAATTGCTGGGAGAAGTCATATCAAAAACCCGATACACGAGTTGGTCCCCCTGCGGATTATGATTGGAACCTGATGGCTGACGATTTACAGCGCATGAACTCAATGAAGAGGTGATCCACGTTATGAAACTCGCACAAAAAGGTCTCCTCGGAAGCCCTCTGTCCCTCGCCCTGAATTCCGTTCATGGTGTTGCCTTCCACCGCGGGTTGGGCGAGCCATTATATGCCACCTCATCGGTTCCGATCATTCAGTATCTTGATGCTGAGGACGTCGCGAAATTCAGTGACAGTGCCTACGTCAAGGGAAACATTGCCGTTGTTGCCAACGGTGCAAGCCACGCTGAATTCTCCAAATGGGTGGGAGAGTTCTTCCAAGACACTCCGGCTGGTTCCAAACTGAACAGTCCTGCTTCGAAATACTACGGCGGTGAAGAGAGAATCGCTCACGGCTCGGGTAATGTGTTGATTATCGGGTTCCAAGGATCCAGCTCGTTCACAGCTGGGTCCTCGTACAAACCAGAAATTGCAGTCCTGGCTTCCTTACTAGGAGGGGAAAGCAGCATCAAATGGTCTCCAGGCTTCTCCTTACTGTCTAAAGCCGCACACGACTTCCCACAAGTCCAAGTCTCGACTCAACATGCCGCTTATTCTGACGCTGGTCTGCTCTACATTACCTTCACCGGGAATGCGGCTCAGATTGCCAAAGCAAGCGAGAATGCAGTCAACACGCTCAAAAAGATCGCAGCAGGCGAAGTGGCAGAAGAAGACATCAAGAAGGCCACTGCATTGGCGAAATTCAGGGCTCTCGAGGCTGGACAGCAGACCCAGGCTGGTCTGGAAGCAACCGGAAATGGACTCATCGAGGGTGGGAAACCATTCCAGATCGATGAGATTGGCTCTTCCATCGACAAAGTTTCTTCAGACAAGGTCAAGGCGGTAAGTTTCCCAGCTCAGCCATTTATGAATTACAATTAGCTGACTTGTGTATAGGCGGCGAAGAGCTTGCTGGAGTCGAAAGCATCGGTGTCAGCAGTGGGAGACCTGTTCAGACTTCCTTTTGCGTCCGAGATAGGCCTGACAGTTTGAAAAGGGAGTGGCGCATCCGATTTCCATCGTGCCTTCTGGTGTGTAAAATTTGTAAATAAGAGAAGAACGCCTACCAAAGAAACTCTTTTTAAAGCTGGTCACGTTACCATTTGTCCAAACTGTAATCATGTCTGCCAGTTGTAGGTATATTTTGTATCTACTCCGCTGCTCCCTTCCTCCACAAAGAGACAGGGCATGTGTGTAACGGAAGAAAGCCGCATGCATTGACCTGTCAAGGCGAATCACGCATTGTGTGTGGCATTCTACTAAAGCCTTGAGCCCCGGCAGTCGTCAACCACGGAACCAATTTCCCTCGCAAAAGTCCTTCAACTCCACCATCCGCCACGATTCCCATACCCTTGCTAATTCTTCGGCATTAGTACTGATGACTACTTGGTGATGATGAGGCTAGGAATAAGCTTACTCCAGCAAGATGGCAAAGCATGGGAGGATTCGAGACTTCACAGAAGTGTGGATGACCATGAAGAGGGGAAATACCCCGGGATACTCGAATGAAGTCACATCAGATGATAATATCAACGAGACCCGAGATGAAACCTCAGTCCAGATACCATGGACATTCTGATTTGTGCCTCTGTTCAATATCGAATGTGGTGTGGTCCTGCGAGACTCCATCCATCTTGCGGCCGGTTCCACGGTTTTCGTTTTCCGTGGCGGATCCGGGGCGCAGATAGGAGGAGCGCGTCCTACAGATTCGCCACAGTAGGGACATACATAAACGGACTGCCATTGCGCTGCTTCTGCCAGCCTTGCAAGGCACACGGCTGTGGTTCAGTACTGAAAATCGAAGCGATAATACCGTGAACAAGATGACCCAACACACCTTTGACGCCCTGATCGTCGGTGCCGGGTTTGGAGGCATCTACCAACTCCACAAACTACTTTCTCTCGGCCTATCGGTGAAGGTTATCGACTTCGCTGGAGATGTTGGCGGCACCTGGTACTGGAACCGCTACCCAGGGGCTATGAGTGATACAGAGAGTTATGTCTACCGATATTCATGGGACAAAGACGACCTTCAGACCTATCCATGGAGTCACCACTACGTGAAGCAGCCAGAGGTGCTTGCTTACTTGGAACACGTCGTGGACAAGTACGATCTAAGGAAGTATATGCAATTCAACACGGAGATGGTAGCCGCGGATTGGGATGACGAGGCCGGTGTGTGGCGGGTCGAGGTCAGTACGGGCGAGGTCTTCCTCGTGAGATACCTTGTCACTGCGTTGGGCTTGCTATCAAAGGCAAACTATCCCGATATTCCTGGCCTCCAGGACTTTCGAGGTGAGATGTGCCACACTGCAAAATGGAGGCCGGAGCTGGACCTCACGAACAAGCGGGTAGCCGTCATTGGATGCGGGTCGACGGGTGTGCAAGTCATCACGGATGTTGCAAAGAAGGTCAAGAAACTCACATGTTTCCAACGACATCCCCAATACTCGGTGCCTAGTGGCGATGCCCCTGTGAGCGAAGAGTACCGAGCACAGATCAATGCTCGTTACCCCGAGATTATGAAGCAGGTCCGCAACTCAATCTGTGGGTTTGGCTTTGTCGAGTCAACCACCCCCTTCCACGCCGTCCCCGCAGACCAGCGTGAAGAGATCTTCGAGGCACTATGGCAAAAGGGTAACGGCTTCCGCTTCATGTTCGGCGGATTCAGCGACATCGCCACCAATCGCGAGGCCAACGAGGCAGCCTGTGCTTTCATTCGCAAGAAGATCGGCCAGATTGTTCGAGATCCCAAGAAGGCAGAGAAGTTGATGCCGCATGACTACTACGCCAGGAGGCCCCTGTGTGATGGTGGCTACTACGAGCAGTTTAACCGGGAGAATGTTGAGATCGTCGACGTCAACGAGACACCGATCACAAAGATCACGGAGAAAGGAATCCAGGTCAGCGATGGCACGGTCCACGAACTAGACGTCATCATTTTCGCAACGGGCTTTGATGCCATCGATGGGAACTACAACCGGGTACGGATACGAGGACGAGGTGGCGAGTCCTTGAAGGATCATTGGGAGCCTCGCGGCCCAACCAGCTATCTGGGTGCCTTTGTACCGGGCTTCCCTAACTTTTGCATGATCACCGGACCCCAGGGTCCTTTCAGCAATATCCCCCCGGCCATTGAGATTCACGTCGAGCTCATCTCGGACATGATTGCGCGCGCCGAAGAGAATCGACGGCGACAAAGCAATGGTCAGCCAGAGAGCAAGAATCTCATCGAAGCGCTGCCCGAGGCCGAAGAAGACTGGCTCCAGGAATGCGAGAAGTCAGCAGAAGGAAGTCTGTTCAAGGAAACCGCCTCGTGGATCTTTGGCAACGTAAGTCTTCTCTGTATTTGTTTTTCCCCCAACATCCTCTTTCTATTATCTGTGTCGTTTGCAGTTGGAATGAAATGAATCTTCCGCTAACAAACCCCCGACTTTCCAGAACGTCAAAGGTAAGAAGATCGCGCTGCGGTTCTTCTTCGGAGGACTGGCCAAGTACAACGAGGCGGTCCGCGCCATCATCGACGACAACTACCGCGGGTTCCGACCTCTTGGGGAGAAGACGAGCCAGGTCGCCGGCGCGCGCCCGGCCGACCAAAAGTCCCTTCCTGTCGACACTGTCACGAGCGTCCCGGCGGAGACGGTCGAGGCTCTCAACTAAGGGCAAAGCATGGCGATGGCGATGGCGATGGCGATATAGCGATGTCATATTTCTCATAACATTCCCCTCTCCCGGTCTTTTGTCTCTGGACGACAACTCGCATCGTTAGATACCTAAGATGGAAGATGGAAGATGGTCGATGAGATGGGGTCTCTTCGACTTACCGGGCCTGGTTTTATGGCCCGACTAGCACGACTGGATCTCGGGATATTATTTGTACAGCGGATACTGGCAAAGATCGTAAAGGGATTGCGAGGATAATCTCCTGTCGAATGAACATCCGATTTGACAGTGACACGGAAAGAGAAATGAAACCAGAATTCAGGAAAAGAATCAAAACATAAAAACATAGTCGACCCTTCGAGTCACAAGGTCTTTCTGTTCATGCTTTTCACCTACCCACCCAAGGAGTTAAAATCATATCCCTGGTAATCGTTCTCATGTCTATCAAATGCGATGCCCTTCCAAGTACGATACAATTATTCCGAGTGCCGTCGTCCAATGCTCATTACTAAACATAATTCTAGCCGCCCATGGGTGCCCATCAAGTTCTTCTGAGATGCACTCAGACAACCTGTCCATCTACCAAGCATAATCGGTCGCAAGCTGCTGGCTATTGCCTTGCCGCCATTCTCCGTCATCACTTGGCTCGCTGTCGAGAAAGTCATTTTCGTGATACTGTGTTTCGGCAGGCCGTTGGTCCGAGATCACAAGATTTACCACGTCACATCTACCTTGAATAGTAGCTGGAGTTGAGGCATCACTCTCATCGGTACTGTCGCCGAGACTAATCTTCTTGAGGTGACCGTTAGCTATCCGAGAGCTCTGTCGCTGTGATGTAGTGGGTGCCTTGATCAAGAATTTGCTCGCGACATTGGAGGGCTCTTCGGTGTTGAGAAAGACATTCTCCAACTTCGGCAGCCACCTCTGTCTGAACTTGGCACGGTCGCGCCAGCTGGCGTTTTTCAGAATCGCCTTGATGTTGAGTCTCCTCAGCTGCGGAAGATGCGCAGCAGAATCAACAAGCGATGTAAGGAACTCTTCTGCATCCTCTTGTGGCAGTTGACGCATGTTTTCGATCGAGATGCTGACAAGGTCCGTGGGCCAAGTCGGAGGTCCATTTGGTAGTAGCTCGTCGTAGAGGGGTTCGCGGTCGCGGAAGGAAGTCGGATCGATGTACAGCATATCAACCTCGAGGTGTTGCAAGCGAGGACACAATGCTTGGAGGTTGGCTATGAAACCTAAATCCATGGACTGATTACCATCGAGACTGAGGACTCGCAGGCTGGAACCGCCGCGGCTCAAATAGGCTTCGAGAGCGTCGGATGTCAAATTGGGACAATTCCACAATTCCAGGTGTAGGAGTCCAGGCGGAAGAAGAGGCATGGTCATCTCGTCAACGATGCCGCAGTTTCGAAAAGATAATGACTGCAGCTCTGGCACGCTGGCCAATACTCCAGCAAGTGAAGTGCCGACAGTAGTAATGTTTTCTTCCCTGGCCTTTTCCGGTAGACTTAGGTTGAGGAAGGTGAGCTCGCGCAGGCGCCGGAAAGAAGGTCTGGAGTGAGCCTCCACAGCCATGTTGAGGACATCGAGGGTTGTGGGAAACCTTCCATTCCACTCAAAGCTCCTCATGAATAGATGATCCGTCTCCAAACGTTCCAAGAGCTCTGTGGGATAACTCCACTTGAATTTCTTCGCTGCTGGCTGTGCCCATATCACAGTCGTGAGGTCATCGTAGTTGGAATAGAGTCTCAACCCTTGCAGCAGAGGGGTCATAGAGATCAACCTGTCCAAGGAAATACCACTCTTCTTGACGAGAAGTTGTTTGACTTCAATGTCAAGGAAACGGATCTTTTTTCGGTAATCAGTGGTAAGGGACTCGTGGGCTTGTTCGAGCAGCCCAATGAGACGGTGAGCTCGCCATGATGGATACAGGGGAGGGCTATAGAGAAGAGCTGCTGTGCAAGCTTCGTGGAAAGAGCGACATAAGAGTCCTGTTTCACACAACCAGTTAATCGAGGGTTGTGCTCGCGACGTCGGGCCATACAGAGGGTACGCTGCATATTGCATGATGCTCACGAGAACGTGGTACGGGAGTTGTGGCCACGGAGGGATCCTCGTGTTGTCGGAGGCCGACGACATGTTAACACATTTTACATTCGTCCGGCCCTTGTTGTCAGGTAGAGGCTTTTGTCGTTTGTATGTTTGAAATAAGCCGCCAGCATCCATCTGGCTCCCATTTCTCTTGGAGGGCAAATTCGTTCGACGTCTGTTTGCTTTGAGCGAGTGCTGGCGCTTCGCTGATGGTGTTGGCGCTGGTCTTCGCTTTGGTGGCCGTGACTGCTTCTGTACCTGTACATATGATCTCGTGCTTCTCCGAGGCCCAACGTCAGCGTGGGCGGAGGTGGAATGAGAGTCCGTTTCATCTGATGAGGAATCTGAGATGTCATCGTTGTCATCATCACTAGATTCTCTGTAGGTCTGGACACGACGAGCAGCCCGGCTAGGACGAGGGTTGAGAGTGAAGTCCTGTAGGTCATCGGTGTCGGTGTCGCTGTCGTCATTTGGGTATCGGACTCGAGGACCACGACGAGGCTGAGAGCGGCTTAAAGGATTGGCCATGGTGGGGAAGGGCAATCTTGACTGTGGCGGCGGAAATGGACGAACGAGGAAGAAAGAGCAGAACTCGAGTCGCGCAAAATGACTAGACTAGTTCGCGGGTGGCCAGCCTGAGCGTGAGTGTCCCGAGGGACCGCTGTTGCGACGAGGACCTGTTGGCGCAAGATGCCGTGGGTATCGGTCACTCACAGGATGCACGAACTGCAAAGGGCGCATGCAAAGTACTGAGATCTTGCAGGAATTCGAATCACCTAACCTGCGGATCTTTCTGCACGCAATATGCGCGGCACTAGTTGTGCTAGGGCGTGCCTACCCGGCTTGGCGGGAAACAGCGGAAACTCAGCCGAGGCACAATGGGTATCTTTTGCAGTCCACGACACTTACCTATATGGTCCTACCTATGGAATAGTAATTACTCTTATGTAGATACGAGTACTTAGATACCTAAGATTCCAGTAACACTGCAATGTTCTCCTGAGTGTCTCTTGGTATGGCGGCCAGCATTTCATCGGTCTCTGGCCAAGATCTAAATTCCACGGTGAATTACTTTGCACCTGTAAGGGGTGTGGTCCAAAGTAGTGTCCGATTGGTAGCAGCGAGAATAAGTCCAAGTACTCCCTCTTCAGGGCATCACCACTATTCCTGTTCCTGGCGGACGGTGCCTGAAAACCTTAGGAGCAGTAAGCAAATCAATGTTCCACATCCGAGTATGCCAACTAGCCCGCAAGTTTGCTTGGATTAGCAACACCCGAAAGCCGCTACGTAGTCCCTGCCTTGGGATTTCTGAATGAGCGCAAGGGTGGCCAATTCTGGATCTTCCCATCTTTCAATATCAATGATGTGGCTGTATGTATAGAAACAAGCCACAGACTGAGAAAGTCTCGCGGGGGTTTTCATCATGCTAGCGGTTCACAGCGGGGGTGACAGTGGAGGGCTCGGCTACCCACTCGAGCCTAGAGCCGGCCTAGCACGAGCATTCGTGTGCTGTCCAGGCCACTCTGGGTGCTAGGGGAGCCACTGGGACGCTGGAGGAGCGGGGAGAAGGCGCGTCGGAGAAGAAAAGCCTACGTTGCGTGCTTCCTGCTCGTAAAGTATACCTACCTTGGCATTGTACGACCTGAGTTGAAGCGGTGCACCGACCTGCAGGACTTCGCATGCAACCTGCACTGCCACTGAAAATCATGCACGTTTATCTTTGGTTCATGGGCAGCGACGGGCGCTGATCATTCTGCTAGCAACGAGGTATCTTCGAAGTACGAGGTACTTTTCATGTACATGTTGGAGTTGGTATCAACCACTCGGCAATCTCTCATTCAGGCTGTTATCGATAAATAAGTCCTACCTCGTACTCGTACCTGGATGCCTGGGAAGGCCTGCGTTGTTTCATGTTACAATAGGTACTCAAATCTCCCGGGCATAAACGGCTGGGGGGTTCGGGGCTTCCATGGCTGGGCTGGGCAGCGGGCAATCATGGGCGACTGGCACTGGCACTGGCCCTTGCCCTGGCACGCCTGGCTACGTAGTTTCCGCAGCTCCACCACCTCGCCCTTTCCCAGCTTGTCAGCCAATCTCACTACTCGGCACCCAAGTAGCTCTTTACTGTTGGCGTTGCTTGGGGCTGCAACCTGTTTGCTACCTTCATTGAGAGTCTCAGACAAGCTTCGCAACCCAAATCATCTCCTGTTCTCCTTCTCGTAGAACTCCATCCCTTTCCTTCTTGCTGCGTACTTGGTACAGAGAGCAAGATAAAGTGCCTCATAGTCGTCGACGCTGTCGCTGCCTCACTGCCTCATTGCATCATTTCAACCTTCTCTTATTGCCAAGTCGTAGATCTGCAAGGAACTACTAACTGTATACTCTACCTCATCTGAGTGCCTCTTCCTGCCCCCCCGGTCCCATCCTCCCCTTCCAGCCCCAAAAGAGGAGTCAATCCCCCGTCATCATTTGCCGACTCCGATCAAAGCAAGTCACCCTGCCAACTTTCCTGATTTCCTGCACTACGCCTGCACACCTCGGACGCACCCTGCAGCAAAAACCCAGCCAATCCTGCACCTGGCGAACCAACGGCCCTTCCTTCCACTCTTTTTCCGTCTCTCAAAGACATCCTTCTCCAAAAATAATACCATTGACTCTGCTCGTTAAGTCGTCCAACTACGAGTACCGAGAACTGATCGACGAAACACCTCCCACCCTTCGATTACCCTGCCAGCGCAACCTTCTCGAATCGTCCGAAACAGGCACATCTCGTCGTCTGTGATCTCCTGACTCTACAGCGCATGGTGTTTCAAGTCACTGTCTCGCACTTTCCTCTCGCCTCCTCCTCCGCCGTCTTCGTTCCCACGGTTTCTTGACCTCGTTGCGGAAATGGGTGGAACACAGTATGGAAAGTTCCAAGTAGGTTGCTCTCAGAAGCTCGAGTTCATTGCTTTTCCAGTCGCTAACCTATGGCTGCAGGACTTCTGTCGTGATGCGACACTACCTATATGCAATGTTAGACCTCCCCTGTCCGACGATAAGCTCCCCGTGGTCTTCTAACTGCCTCTCCAGATCCTCGTCACGAACAATCAACCACCTGGCCTCGCATATGGAGGCTGTGTCCTGCGTGGAATTACGTTAAATAACAACCGCAATCTCGCCAACTTGGGCTCAATACTGCTCTGTGGCATTGCCATCGTTGTTGCCCTGTTTCTGCTATGGCGCGCAGAGAGGAAAGCTGCCGCCGTTGGTCGTCGGGAAATGCAGATGTTTCTGGTCGGTTATATCATCATCGAAATCTGCGAAATATTCACAGTCGGCGGTTTTCCATTGAACAACGATGTGCGGAAAGGTTTCACAGCCGTCCATCTGGCTGCTATCGTGGCGACCATGTGGATCTTGCTCATGAACGCAGTAGTGGGCTACCAGTTAGTGGATGACGGCACGCCATTGTCAATGGGGTTGATCGGCCTCAGCTCCCTGGCATTGTTCGTCGGCACTGGCTATATTGCACTGGACACGGCATTCTCTTGGACAGGGTTTTGGGACAGTTCGTTACAGCCACCGCACCAGAACTACGCCCTCTACACGCTATATCAACTGGCACCGCTGGTATTCATGTTCTTGTTCTTCGTCCTCGAGTCGATATTGGTCCTCAAGATCCTCGGCGAAACGAAACCAATGATCTACCTGCTTGCCGCAGCCCTCCTCTTTGCGATTGGCCAAATCTTCATGTATGTGATATCGACACACATTTGCAAAGGTACCGATGGCGACATCAATGGTACCCTTTTCGCGACCCTCTTCACGCTCCTCAGTGTCGTGGCAGTGTTCGTCTTCTGGTCATCAATCACTGAAGACGACTGGCCGATCCAATAATCATGGCAAAGCCATTGCCAGGGGGTTTTAAAATGCCGTCACCAGAAAAAATCCCGGGTCTGGGCAGAGCTTGCCAACCGATATTTCTCTTGTTGGCCTGGGACAATTGCAGGCGGAGAAATGGTTTTTAATATCTTGAGACGGCAAACCTGGTGCGACGCCCCCGCTTCCTAACCGGAACAAGGGGCGTCCTTGTCGTTTGTCGCAATATCCTAATGTTCCCCAATTGGAAGGCTTGGGCATGATAGCTTGACGAGTTACGCAGCGTTTGGCATCTGTGAAATGTGTATTGATCACAATTTCCGGGAGGTTTCAGGTTTCAGTCGATTTCAACGCGATTCATGGGCCGAAACAAATCTTCCGTTCAACTTGAGGGCTGTGAGCTGGCATCATACAGCAACCATTTGACCTAGACTAGAATATAGTAGTAGTCCTGCAAGGATATATCTTTGTGCTGGACGGTACAATACATGAGATATCTCTCAAATTTTGTAATCGAGTCGTTCTCGATACGTAACCAAAAAGCTTCACGCCGTAGTCACAGCCAATGCCCTCGCGGTATGGAGCGAGCAGAGAGCCGTCAGACCAACCGCAACTGTACAAAACATCAGAGAACTAGCTTTACTCCAACGCAGGGTAACGTCCACTCTGAGCGCCCTAGCAAATTCCTCAGCCAGTGAGTTCCAATGCCTGTGTCCAGTAGAGACGGCAAAGATGTCGCCGAAGCTGCTGTTTCGGCTCCGGTGCTGGTTGCGGATGCGATCAATTTCTGCCGAGCGTCATCAAACAATTCCTCCGCCGAGGTTTTGACCGCAGTTGCAAGACCGGCGACTGTCGTGCGTGCGATATCTGTGAGGAAGCCTCCCATCTCTGACGGCCCTGTACCATTGTTCGCCTGTCCCGGAATGCTCCCTATGCTGCCCGAGAAGTTCGCGGTATATAGCCTGGGAGTGAACCAAGCGGCGAGCGTCTCATGTGAGGATAACTCTCCTCCTCCAGAATGTTGAGATGGGAGGGTAGGTAGGTCGATGAAACATCGATTTGACCAGTGGCAGGACGATGCGAAGAGGATGATGAGAAGAAAGGAGCAATATATGCACGGGCGGTTGAGGAGGTATGTGAGCACGAGCAGGAGGATGAGATGTATGGGCGAGAGGCTGAGGGGGAGTGGGAGTAGGAGGAGTGGAAGATATCTGGTGGCACGACTGCAGTTAGAGCGTTTCCAGAACCATCGTAATGACAGATGCAATACTTACGAGCGAAGACAATACATTGGCATTGATATGATGTGTTCTTGGGAGTGTAAACTCGAAGCAGAAAAGTAAAGGATGTTTTTAGAGATGATGTGGAACTTGGGCGAGGTTGGCTCAGCCAAGCAGAACGAATGAGCGTGGCTGTATTATGAGAATGGCACTGATGGATACATGGCTCGAGGGGTACCTGTGTCACAGATGCTATACCAGGGATTCAAGGGGGTTGAACAAACCCATCTTCTTATAGTCTGCAGAAGCGGTGACACCCTGCGTGAAGATGCAGGAGGCTACAGTCAATTATTGACACTGAAATCTGCATGTCAGAACTGGTGCGCTGGTACACACAAACAGCTAATATAGGCACCTGGTGGTGGGCTCGCCGGGGTGACGAGGGATGCAGTTCGCAGCAGGATCCCTCCCCCGGCGGCTGAATTGGCGCTTGAGTGGCAGCGGGCACGTGTTGCTGGCAGCAGTCATAGATCGAATTGGAGCTGCAAGACTGCGGAGAAATTTTGACGAGAATGAGCCAGTCGTCGCTGAATCGCGCCTCTGATTCACTGCAACTCATCTTTCACCTTCCTTTAGATTGCTCAGGCTTTGTGTTTTCATCAGCAAACACTTCCTACCCACCCTTCAGGTTATTCGTGTGTTAAAATATTGCTTCCGGTTCCCTGCACGTTTCGGTGCTGCCATTCATTCTCGCTTCTTCTCTGGTTCCCGGTGTAGCATCCGGGTGACAAGAGAACAATTGCCTTTTGCTCTACTACACTCGATCGTGGGCCCTTCGGACTGGACGTCCTTGGTCTGACTGGAATAATGTCATCCAACGACCTGCAAGCTCTGTTTGCCAACTTGATGTTGAAGCCTCGCGACTCTCCTACCCCGTCCCATACGCCACACCAATCCAACTCTGCAGACCAACCCTCTCCTTTCCCAGGCGCCTCTCCGTTGCCTTCGAGCCCTCCTCCTGCTGCTCCTGTCGCGAACCACAACTCCTACAACCAGATGGCTCAGCCAGTCGCGTCTGCGCCTTCTGCCACGGCGCAGTCGTTGCTGAACCTGCTTAATTTTGGCCCTTCAGCCTCTACACCTCCCAAGGCAAACTCACGACCCCTCTCTTCCACTAGCAATGCTGCGGCAGTCGTCGAGGAGAAGAATGACAAGTCAGCAGTTACTGCTGCCGGGCAAGGTTCGTCGACTTCAGCTTCGGATCTCCTCGCAAAGTTGATGTCACCTTCGCCTGCCCAAGGCGGCTCAAAAGCCCAATCTCCGCTGAACCTGGAGGATCAAGGCGGTGGCGGCGGTAGAGGCGACCAAGAAAATTCTACACCTGGCCGTGATGCCTCGCAGGATGCGCTGCTCAAGCTCGTCAGCAAAACCCATCTTGGCAATTCCATCAGCACGCGCCAGAATCTCGTTGAAAAACCGCGGACTCCGTCAACAGATGCAAAGTCAGATGCGAAGTCTATAGAAGCCAAGCCTACGAGTACAGAATCACCAGCTCCTTTATTCGGATCCAGTTCCGCGGCTGAGGGCGCCTTGTTTGGAGCTCTTGGTAATGACACTAAGCCACCAACTCAGAGTCAACCCCTCTTCACCTATACAAACCCATTTGAAGCGCTACAGGCATCTTTGAGTGCCTCTCGAACACAGACTCCCAAAGAGGACACCACTGCTCCCAAGCCTGCCAATGTCAATGTCCCTCACTCAAATGTCGAGTCTGGCAATGATCTGTCAGATTCGCGTGTAGGCACAGGTGACCAAGTGGCCAAGCGGAAAATACTCACTCCTCGACTACCGCTGGCATCAAAGAACGCCACTGTATCACGCGATGGCTCAATTACCGGAGCAACTCAAGAGACTGAAACAGAAGATGCAGTTCCAACGGAAGAGGTTGTCGCTCCTGTCTCAGTGGAGACCAAGTTGAAAGACGATGGCAAGGAGATACATCTGAACGCCAGCAACGGCGTCAAACAGGAACTAGGCTCCGGCGCGGACAAGAGTGTCGAGCAGCCAGCTGACGGTGGGGATGAATGGGAAGACACGGAAGAGTCACCAAACAAGGAGTCCTCCAGAATCGTCCCAGTCTACAATTTCCCCATCAAACCCTTTGTCTCGATCACTTTGCAGTTGTCAAAACCTTCGAGCGTTGGCATTAGAGATGATGGCGTGATGGAGATATCAAGACTCAAGAAAGATTTCGACCAGTTGGACCGTTCTTTGGCAGCTGCAACATCAAAGTACATTGCCTATGCCTTAGTGAAGAACGGCGGCATGCGCATCATCAGACAAGACGACGGCAGTGACCGACAAGTGTTCAAGAATTCTCATGATCGAATATTCAATGTTGCTCTTTGCACAACCTCTGCTGCTGGGGAATCATCGGATGACCAGGCGCTCCTAGGAACTGGGGTCAGTGGCACTGTGTATTATGCCACCATCAACAAGGATGGAAATGATCTATTCGAGAAAAACGCACTTGATACTGAAAGCCTCATTTTTCCGCCTTATCCTCCGGCTGACGAGAACGCATCTGGGGGTGTACTCAAGACCCGCGCAAAGAGAAGCTCTCGCCACCCAGAGTTCTTCGCCATTGGACGCGGTAAGGCAATCCATCTCGTCTGGCCAGCAACGGCGCTCTCTCCACGGTACGGTATCAGTGAGCACAATCGGCGCGTCGATGTCGATAAATTCTTCCAGGAACGGTCCCTGCAGATCTCTACTGGGAAGGCTGGGAAAGACTTCATCTTCAGCGAAGATGACACTCTAATCGTTTCTTTGGACAAGACCGGACGATTACGATTCTGGGATATTCGCAAGCTGATTGACGAGTCAAATGCCACCTCAACTCGGCTAGCTAGCATGACTATCGACCTCCCAATCTTGTCCCTTTCCACCGCATCCCCAGCGGAGAAGTCGTGGCCAACGTCGGTTCTATTCGTAGACAAAGCTCGTCCATATGTCAAAGGAGGCGCGCTCCGCTACGTTCTTGTCGGCCTGAGGCAGAATCACACGCTTCAACTCTGGGATATCGCTCTCGGCAAAGCTGTTCAGGAGATCAATTTCCCTCACGAGAATGAGACTGACGCGATCTGCAGCGTGTGTTATCACGCAAATAGCGGGTTTATTGTTGTCGGGCACCCGACCAGAAACTCACTCTTCTTCATTCACCTCTCCGCGCCCCGTTATACGATCAGCACTTCTCTGACACAGGCTGAATACGTGCAGCGCATTGCTGAAAAGGACCCGGAACTACCAAAGCCTGATTCCACGGCCTGCATGAGTGGCATCCGTGAAATGTCTTTTGCAGACAAAGGACAGCTCAGAAGCGTTGAGCTTCTTCCAATCTATCGAACTGCAGAGGAGCAGAGGGCTATCGACGAAAAGACACCGCTATTCGAACTCTACGTCGTGCATTCAAAAGGTGTTACGTGCCTCAACATTACCAAGGAAGACCTAGGCTGGAATGCGAACTACAAGGTGGTTCACGGGATCGATGCTGCGAAGGAAGGCCTCGTCACGTTGAAAGAGCTGCGCCTCGGGACAGTGATCGAGGAGGGCCCCCGAGAAAAGAGTCCAGTTGAAGAAGCTCCAACAAGTAAGAGTTCGAAGAAGAAGCAAGCAAAGAAGTCCTCGTCCTCTGCGGAACGTGTGGAGACCGTTCAGGCCGAAGACTTGGAACTTGGCAAACCAGGGGTTACGCAGCCTCCCAGCAAAGCGGCTGAACCACTCACAGAGGTGACTAATATCGAAACTCCTGTCGCAAAGGAAACAAAGAAGAGCAAGAAGAAGTCTGCCCCATCCACCGAACCACGGCTCCCTGATAAAGTCGCGCTCGCCGATTCAAGTGCCAAACCAGTCTCAACGGCTATATCCACCCCAGCACCTGCTGATGTAGCGCCCTTTGATGAGCAGACTTCTGCTCCAGCGGCTGGAGTTGTCCCGCTTCCTTCAACCGCCGAGACATCCGTGAAACCTGAAGCCGTTACTGTTGGAATTTCAGGTGGTTGGCTTGACAAGGAACTAAAGAAGGTCGAGAAAGCCGTATCAACGGAGTTTCGTAAAGAGTTGGAGTCTCTCTATCATAACCTCCAAAATGATCGGAATGTCCAAGACTCTGCTGCCATAGCCCGTCAGGAAGCTCTCCTTCGGTTGGTGTCGACAACTTTGAGCACCAACGTTGAAAAATCACTTTCCCGCATTCTTTCGGCTCAAATGCAACAATCAATGGTTCCAGCACTTACAGCGGCTACAGTCCAAGCCGTGGGAAGTCAAGTGGGAGAAGCTGTGGCGAAATCCCTCCATTCTCTCGTCCCCCATGAACTGGGCGTGCAACTGCCTATTGTGCTCAATGGAGTTCTGCAGAGTCCGCAGATGACTCGGACGATAGCAGATACAGTCTCGCAGAAGATTTCAAAGGAGATTGAGACTCAGCTCAACGATCTTATGCAGAAACATGTTGTGCCGACGTTTAAGACGCTAGCCGCTTCAGCAGCTGAAAAGGCCGCATCTGAAGTTGAAGTCCGCCTGCGAAGTGAAATCCGTCAACTAGAGAGTGACCGACGAAATGACCTGACGAGGCTCGAAAAGTTGGGCCAAGTCATTCAGGCCACTGCTGAGGCATTGCAGCAAATGTCCGACACCCAAGTGGCCTTCCAAGGCCAAATTCTTAGGGATCGTCGACAGCTTGCACTTCTCGGCGAAACCAGCTCATCTCCGGTGTCTCGCCAGGTATCGACGGCCCGTATGACTCCATCGCCACGAGCCGTTCCCCGGCCTATGGTTCCGCGACAGAAAACCAAGGAAGAGCTGGAGTTGGAGGAGATCAGCCAATTGATGAATGAGGGTCGGTACGAGGAGGCCTCAATCAAATGGCTCCAGTCATCCCAACCGGCAGAGCTGTTTGACAAGCTGTTCATCCACTTCACTCCGGAGTATTTATCGACTGATGTCTCCCCACTGATCGCCTTTTCCATCGCTGTCACCATCGGAAATAGTCTGACGACCAATACGGCGCAAAGACTGGAGTGGATATCTGCCGCATTCAATGCGGTCGACCTTGCTGTAAGTGCTCATCAAGCAACTTTTTCTTCGTGTCCTAACATCTTGCTTCAGGATCCTGAAATTTCTGACCTGGCCCAACATGCGCCGGCATTGTTGAGCTCCTTAATCCAGAAACTGGAGCGGCTCTACTTGACGATCGCGGAGCGTGATCCGACCGATCCAGCGCTACAAATCATGCCAACTGTTTCACGGAGGGCGAAGGAGATGAGGGCCTCTTTGGAGGGACCAGCTCGTCATGGCGTTGAATTCTAGCTTTACGGTGAGGTTTAGACGGTATGGCAAAGCTTCAAACACACTTAGCAGCAGAGGGTTGATGCACAACAATCGGAGTAGAGGAAAAGTCAACCATGAAGGATTGATTCATATGCGATTACTGGATACGTCGAAAGAGCCTCATTAGGCGATTTCGAGATGGGAAAAGTTGGAGCATTGAAGTATGTGGTGTGAAGTCTTTCTTGTCCTCTGTGCTTCTAGCTTGATTTTTTCCACGGGACTTTTATTCATGTGAAGTAGACTCGAGGTCGTCGTGCTGGAATCCGGAAAACCTGTGCTTTGATTATTGCTTCAGCCACAAGAAGCGTCTCCCGCAGTCACTCCATGACAGACTGCCAACATCTCCCTCTTCTATCAGAACGATAGACCACTCGCCATTCATTGCACAGTCTTTTACCTCTTCATTCTATCTTCCTACTTTTGGTGGCTCAAGACTTCTCGCCCATCCCGGTCTGCCTTACCAGCACAGACTTACTCCCCATGGCCTCCATCTGTCTCTATTCAGTGACAGCTCCCCTTTGTGGCGAGCTCGCAGGAACTTCAGCCAGTTTTGGGACTCGCTGGTGGTAACATTACAGACTGCACACAATTAGACCGCCTATATGGTTTGACACAGGGGTCAGAAGTCTGGGTCTGGCAGAGGTGACTGAAACCTGTGTTCGCTGTACAAAACTTTCCCTTTGCTTTCGTCTTTTAACCTAGACCTGCAGTTTTTGTCCTCTTTCCTTCAAGCCTCACGCCTCTCTAAACACACCGTCTCCATCGTCTCCGATCCCGGCCCTATTCTACTTCGCTTATCACCATACCTTTCTTCAGCAAGAGAAGTTACGATGCGCGTGAACATGGATGAAGATATTCTCCAAAGTCTAGCATCCCAGAGGTCGCAACAGTGCCAATTGATCGATCTCACCTTGGGTAAGATGGGGAAACTGGATGAATCTGAGTCGGCCATCTTGCGTGACCTCTACCAGGAAGATCGATGGCGCTGGTCCTCAGAATATGGCCTCCAAGTCGGACTCCCTCAAGACCTGCAAGTTCGATGGTTTTCACGCGAATCAACTCGTGATTTGCAGAATCGGGTTCGCCCCTTGACTCTTGCTGACGGTGATCCGGACCCGAACGCGGATCGACGGTTGGATCGTCAAGACTATTTGTGGCTTCTGTCACAGTTGTTACACTACGAGTTGGGCTTTGCGCTGACTCCTGTAAGTGCCTTTTCTGTGGTTCATTGATCGATGACTCTCTTTACGGCCAACTTATTGATGCAGTCCTGACAGTGACGTTCAGATCGACGCGGCGGCCAGGATCGCAGTCGCCCTCCGCACCGGTAATATACGCCAACCAACGAAGCTCCAGCGTCGCGCGCTGAACCTGAGACGGCAGTACCGAGTTCCACATAGTCTTCAGGACGAAGAACTAGAATCAAGCTCAGGGGTCGATGGACAAATGAGCGGCTACGATAGTGAATCAGAAGGAGAACAAGAGCTCGAAGACGACATCACTGAGGGCGGACTGGCTCCTTCACAGTCCTCGCTTGGATCTAGTCCACAGAGATCGTTGGAATTGGAGCATATCATCACAAACAGAAAGGCGGTTGCCCTCGACCCTATTCGAAGCAAAGTCCATTCCTACACAAGTGGAGAATACCTGGTCAAGAGAAACGGAGCTGGAAATGCCTCCACCACCGAACCCAGACAGACTCTGGTACCCACGACTTCAACCATTGCTAAACCAGCAAAGAAGCCCTGGTCCTTCCACCCACAGCATCTTCTGAAAACTCATGAATGTCCCCCCTCAGAATCGCGACCGACCCCATTCAATGGACAGATCGATACAGACAAGCACGCGGACAGAGGACAGACTCTCCCTGCTTCAGGAGATGCCACCCCAGCTCCGTCTATAACCAATCATGATTTAAATTTGGGCAAGGGATGCGAGAGGGTGATTGCATGCGATACCAGACTTTTTGCGGCTTCTCGAGCTTACTCGTCTGAGACTACCTTTGATACGTTGACCGCCCCGAACGATGACACTACACAACAAGATCGAAGCGCCATACCCACTGTAGAGCCAATCACTCGATGTCCTATCAATGGTTCAAGGGTGGCGAACTTTCAGTCTGATGCCCTACAAAAGCTTCCCAAGACCCGGACACCGCTCTCTCAGAGTGGGGTGATATATCTAACAATTGAGGACACAGATCCAGGAATCTACAAGCCTGACAGTACTGCGTTGATTCAACCACATAACACTGTCCCAACTACAAAGAATTTGGAAACAGGAAATCGACCGAGCAAAGGCATGCCAGTTTGTATTGTCATTGAAGACTCGGACTGCGAGCACCGTGCAGAGCACCGTCATGGGAATAAAGTGCCTTCGATAAGGAAATTAAAAAGGAGAAAGGTCTCTGTCAAACCCCTTATTGCCTCGGGGTCGTTTTTTACCGGAAGGTCGATCTTTTCACTCCCGCCCAGTGACATTGACGGGGATGATGGAACCCGATTGCCCGGTTGTCAGAGAAGCCTCTCAAGTGCGGCGCATAGGTTGAACGCCAGATTCCCTTCAGTAAAACGCACCGCTGTCAACACCCAAGGCAGAGTTCGTACCGAAATACGAGAAGGCACAATAGATGTGTTGTCAAATGGTGGGACTAGCCATGGGAAATGTACACCAGGTGCTTGCATGCCCGATGCACAATGCAAACCACACCCTCCCTGGCAGTTCAGAGACCCTTCTGATGCATCAGAAGGCGATATGAACAGCACAGCCATGAAGTACTCTGCCCGACATATGTCTTCATCAGCATCTCCCGCTGCGACCAACGTCATTTCTGGTACGGTCAGAAGAGTTCCATCACCATGGAGACGGAATTTATCTTATGGATCCTTGTCCATTCACCCAGAAAACACTGAATGCTTCAAAGATGCATCTTCGAATCTCCGAATCGCGCATTCAAACAAGAAAACAAGGTCGAAGAAGTCGAAGCCGCAGAAGAAGGCACAGAGACAAAGACCACAGCAGCAAACTACCGAAACAAGATTCACTGGTTGCGACATTTCTGCCCTACACGCGAAAGTCGAAGCGGGCCGGAAGAATATTGATATGGTCGTCGAAGAGCTGCGTAATAGCTCTCAGGGATCTGTCGGAAGGTGCAGAAGTTCGCGCGGAGACAAACGATCTCATACTGCAGCGTTCAACGACCATGGGAGCTCTAGTACACGGGATCAAAAGAAAAAAAGCAGAAATCAAACGTCTTGTGAACTGGTGACAAGAGCTATCTCAAGTGCTCCGAAGAGCATCCTGCCACGTGAGTGCGGGCTACCTATATTCCCTAAATTGGAATATATCATGGGATGCGATGAGAATGGTGTTCCTGCAGTACGCCTACCATTCCGTCGACCGACGCCTCTTACCCACACTCTCCGGGACCAGGTGGGCAACCCATTGCCTCGCGAGGAGACGCCTCTTCGGTATATTCTGAAATATGACCAAGAGCAGCGACGTAGGGATCCAAAGACGAGAGCGAATTGCTGGAGCCGATTTCCCAAGCCATCGCCCCAGAGGACCGGGAAAGGAATCTGGCACAGGCAGGTGAAGTCTGCAAAGATGCCCCTCAGAGGTTGCTGGCCCAGGGGACCACAGGCGGGGTGAAGGACCCTATTGTAAGGAAGTCAGATTTGGTCCTTTTCCAAGTATGTGAGGGACGTTTCGATAGGGTAGTTCTGATGTTGTAGGATGTGAAGGAGGGATGTTGAGACGAAAAAGACGAGGCATTTTACCAAAGTGGTCTCAGGGAGTATCCAATGTCCATCTATAATGAACCGCTATTTTTGAGATTCACGACTTGTCATACTGATCACAGGCCATTTGAACACCTAGACAGACTACCAAACGTGGTCTCGCTCCATCTTGTCTCTTTCCCTTACCCTTGAAGGACGAGGCTGCTTGTACATCCTGGTTTATCCGCAAGTTTGTCTTATCCACCAAGCCTCTCTCCCCCTCTGTCTCTCCTTCATCCCTCCCTCGCGGGGTCCTGGCTCTCGGGTGTCTCCTCACAACACGACCGTCTCGGCATCCACGACGCCAAACAACTCCTGCATGGGGTCCTTGTAATCCGTGGCGAAGCCGCAGAACGGCGGACTCACCCCGTACCCGAGCAGGCGCTGCGCCTTTGTGGGGAGCGACGACGCCACCGACGGCGGAACGGTCAGGTATTGGTTCTCGACTTGGCGGTACATTCCTGGATTGGATTTGTGGTGAGATCGCCAGATGCCAGATCGAGAGAAGGGGGGAGGGAGGTGACAAGAAAAGTGGAGGGGGAGGGAGTAGAGTGAAGTAAAGCTGTTAGGGGCCAACCAAACCTTTTGTGAGAAAGATGCCGACTGTCTCCCGGACTTGGTCTCTGTTTTCAAGAGACGCGGGTTAGTTCTCGTTCACCATGTTGGATGCTCTACCGTGAAACAATGACGCAGGCCAGCCAGCCTCGTTGGAGCAGTATGATCTCGAGCACAAGTGGAAAAACTCACGTCGTCTGATTAGCGCCGCCCGCGTGCTAGACCGCAAAAGAGGTACATATGTCAGTGCCGCCGCAGCAAGAGGGACAAGAGACACGTCTGCCCAGGGACTCACGTATGTACTCCCGAGAAAGATGGTGGCATCGCCCGGCTCCAGCTCAGCGGGCACAGCCTCGTGGTCATACGGGCAGCGATCGTCCTTCCAGCGGTGGGAGCCCGGGATGAGGACGGTGGCGCCGTTCTCTCGCGTCGTCTTGACCGTCGCGACCACGCAGCCAATCAGGACGGAGTCATGGCCCGAGCGGACGTGGTAGTCGATGTCGTCCCGATGCAGGCCCTGCTGCCTGCTGCGCGGGTTCACCTGGAACCCGACGGTGCTGGAGATCTGCGGCTTGGATACGGCCACCTGCCTCTCCTGGCCGATCCAGTACTCGAACTTGGACGTCAGGAGTCGGGACGCCACCTCGTTGAAGAGGGGGTTGAGGGCCAGGTCGACGCACGTGGCCGATTTGCCCAAGAGCCCAATGGCCCGCCGCGTCGTGTTGGGGAAGAAGCCGCTTTTGTCGCCCCCGTCGGCGTCGAAATGCGGTTTGAGATCGCGGCGGATCTGCGCCGCCTGTTCGGCGGTGATCAGGTTCGTCACAATGACGGCACCGTCCCGTTCGAGAAACTCCTGGACCACGTCCGCTGTGGTCTCGGGGTCCCGGGCGTCAACTCGGGCCAGGGACGGTGTTGTGGACGGGCCACTCGAGGACACAGGGGCAGCCATATCTGGTGCCAGTAGAAATAGAACGCTCGAGCTGTTCCAACCAGGCGTAGTCGATAGGTTCGCAGGGAAAAGAGCTTCGACGTACAGCAGCCGAAGTCAAGGACGCTGAGTCGTAAGTCTAGAGCCTCAGGCACGCCAAACACCATTCAGCAGGACCTTTTCATATGATGACAACCTCGACGTGGATAAGTAGATCTCTCGCACTGTGGCATGGATGGCACGCAACACTAGTATGAGTTCGAGCACGACAAGCACCGAGCGGGGGGGACATGGCGTAATGGTCTGATAGGTCAAGGAAAAGTACTCCTCTTTGGGAAACCAGTCCAAAGGCCGTCAAGAGCGAGGAGGCGCTAGGTGATCGCTCTAGAGAGCTAATCTAGATGTCACATTTGAGAAATGGGTTGACCGGGGCCTCCGAAGGCGAGCGATCACAAGTCGCCGATATGCATCAAAGGTGGATCAAGCACCACTCGAGAGAGATGGTCCTTCTGGCCCACGAATCCATGGATTGATTCGACAGAGTACTCCTCCATGATAGCAAAAGATGACTAAAAGCCCTAATGGTTCGACCGTGTAAATCCGATGATTTCCGGCCTGTCGGAGCCGAGGAGCCCTTGAGGTGGGATTGAACATTGATACAAGTAGTGGTCGGTGACGTTCCGACCCATCACCCGTTTTTATTCCGTTTCGTCCTCATCAATCCAAAATTGGAGGGGGACCCGACCATTCTATTCTGACAGGGTGGATGTCATGGTTCTTTCGGTCAACTGAACATGGCCTCACAAAGCGGGACGGGCGGGACAGGGAACGGCGGGCGCTCAGCGCAATGGATAGATGCGCCAAGACTCTAATGGCGGAACTCATGCAAAGATCTGAGCTAAGATGTTCTAGGCATTAACAAGGCTGAGGCACTAGTATTACAACCAATCACTGCTGATCACCCACGTACCTGGACCGCAGTTTACTCGCCTTTCCAAACTTGAGTGCTGTCAGAGCTTCTCCTCTCATGCCCTCTCCAGGTTGTCCAACTGATGTTTTCATCAAACATCAATCATGAGAGTCATCGCCTACTGCATTGGGGAGATAAAATGATATCCATCTTCTCATGAATTATTAAACCCTGTTATTTTCGGGGTTTCTCCTCATTGTATTCATCAATCATCATTATCAAGCGTGCATCTCCCACAACTTTTCAAACTCGACGGTCATGGCACTAGGGCAATCTTTAACAACCCGTGGCGACATGGGGTGACCCCGTATCACGCCTGGAGATTTTCTGCTCCGCGAAGAGGTCCTTCAAAGGTGATTCGTGGTCTCTGCTAAAAATGAAACAAAAGAACGGCGTGTCCAAAACCAAGTCTCCGAGCCACCTAACGTCGAGATTTTCGCCTGCGGGGTTCAAGAGGCTCGTCATCGGTATCACCCTCGGGGTTGGTAAACGAGTCTTTTCTCTGTGCGCGCTTGCGTTTTAAGCTCCTTGTAGGCGGACGAGTTTCACCACCAGGCGATTGCTTCTTCAACGTAGAGCTGGGTGGCTCCCCGTCGTCATCGTCAGCCCCTGAGATTTGGAGCGCCGCAGGGGTGGTCTCATCCTCAACCCGCTGCGAAGCACCAACATTCCTGTTGACCAAGTCTTGGCAGGTCGCCAGGTCTGTTTCGACTCGACCAATCGAGGTGGCCACATTTTGAACTTTTTTCGCCAGATTCTCACACATAGAATATAAATTCTCAACGTCTTGTTTGACAGGAATTTTCATCGCTTGCTCAATCAAGGCATCGAGCTGCTTCTTGTTGTATTCAAGAACAGGTTTGCCGGCAGGGCCCACCCCAATAAATGTTAAATGTTGCGAGAGACTTTCATGGCGTTTTTTCAGGAGGCCATGTAAATACGCGAGCTTGTCCTGGGATATCTGTAACCGATTAATCCGCTCGTCGAGCTTGGCAGATTGATCGGCACCATCTCGATTCCTCGACTCACACCCTGCACGTAGACCTGCCACTTCTGCTTTAAGTTCTGCTTTAAGGGTTTTAAGCTCAACCCGTCCCCATCCCGCCATGTTAGCTGGGTCATGGTCACCCATGTCGGCCTTGGGCAACCGATCGTTCAGTGATTGTATCTCTTGACCGAGGGAATCTGCCAGGTCTTGTTGCTTGTTCGCCTGTTCGGCCAGTTGCCTCCGCAGGTTTTTCACGTCATCGGCCATTCCTGTGGTATCCAGTCCAGCTGTGGTTGCTTTAAGCGCTGATAGTTCTCCAAATCGCGCGTCCAACGACTTCAATTTTTCACTGGACCCTGTAGGATCAAACTCGGCCAGGATTGCTGTCAAATCGTCCAGCCTTGTCTTCGTCGATGTCAACTCCTTGGACAGACCCTCGACCGACTGTGTCATTTGATTGGAACTTTTATTGACTTCTTTCGCCAAAGAAGTGATCTCCTTTTGAACGGTCTCGATTCGTTCGTGGTCGGCGGCGGTGGCAGCATCAGATGTTTTGACAGCTCCCTCGAGCGTTGAAATCCGACGAGAGAGCGACTCCAGGTCTGACCCTAGACCATCACATTTCGTTACGAGAACTTGCTCGATCGTAGAAGAGAGCGACTCGGGCTGTGGATGGAACTTCCCATATTTCGTTTTCCACTCTTCTCGCATGGCCTCGAGTTTGACATGGAGACTCTGACGAGTTCGTTCAGTCTGGTCTAAGACCTGCTTCTGTATTACCTTCAACTGTGTTTGGACCTCCGGGATCTCTTCTTCGTTCACCCTTGCTAACGCTGCCGGTATAGTTGCCAGTTCTTCGATGCGCCCACCCATGGATGTTGAACTCTGTTGTAGACTATTCATTGAGTCCTGCAGGGTGTTCTGGTTGGTCCTCAGTGTCTCAGAGGATGCTTTGATACCATCAAGGTCGGCACGGTGTTGAGACTGCGTGTTTTCGAGGTCTCGGATGCTTCGATCTGCTTCCGTGTGTTTCTTATCATGCGTTTGCAGTTTGGAGTCCATATCGTTCAGTTTATCGTCGAATATCTTGAGACGCTGGTCTACCGACAATTGCTGGCTTTGGAATTCCTCTGGCCCTTGCATACAGGGTGTCGACCGCTCGTCCTGCTCCATTTGTTGCGAGCGGAAACCTTCCAGTTCTTTTTGAATAGCCCCAACTTGATCAGTTAAAGTCTTGATTTGGTCATCCTTAGCATTGACGATCTCTAACAAGAGTCGTATGAAGCTGCCTCCGGATGCCTGTGTCTTCGCCTGGCAAATGGTTTCCTGCTTTCTGGCCATGCTATGTTCATGCTGAAACCGACGCGTCTTCTGTTCAGCCTCTTTAACAAGGTCGGGGAACGGATCCTCCATCCCTTGTTCCCTTTCGAGCTCTCGTTGAGCAACCTTGCCTTGAAAGCAAAGGTGCTCGCTTCTGCGCCTCCAGAAATCGGTTTCAATGGCGGCTGTGACATGGGAGAAGAAGGTACTTTCGAGTTCAGATGGTTCGGACGGCATGGTAAGAGGATTGCCCAGCATACTGACCGGGCTCGACCGAGTACTTGTCGAGGCTGTGTGTCTCGTGTTGCTGGCCGAAGCCCGGTCCCTGACAGCGCCAACATCCTCAGCTGCATGCACCGGCTTGCTTTTCCTTCTGAGTCGCGGGTCTCGCAGCGGTGAAGAAGAACTAATTGCTGAAGACGAGCCCGGGGGTTTGGAAGGTGAGTTTTGCATAGTGCTGGTGTATGGACTCCCAAGCCACTCGGTAGCATATATGATTCTCACTGAGTGGCCGACGTGCCAGATGCCTAGAAATGCAGCCGCGGTGGCTCAGGAAAGCGCAATATGTTTCATGTATTGAAGGGAGGGATAAAGGCGAGGCGAATGTACTGGACAGCGAGCGCAGGCAGCTTCAGGATGCACTGGAAGTCGAATATACGGGAACTTGGGATATGGCATCTATGGCAATTAACAAAGATAATGTGTCTTCCCGTCCAAGTTGTTTCCTCTGGGTTCGCCCAATGTAAAGCACCGGGTATGTCGGTACCCTTGCAGTATCAACGTACATACAAAGGCACATGTACCTCGTACATATATAGATTGTCGTTGGGTCGCAGTCCAGGATTCCTGTGCAACGCGGGTTCCGCAGAAAACGGAAGGTCATCCGACTGCGCCAACTTTCCTCAGAGAAAGTCGGTTCTCGTGAATTTGTTCACTTACCGCAGGAAAGCTTTGGACTGGACTGGAAATATCGATGCTTGGTTCCTATTCATCTACCTCTCCTCAAAGTGATCCCTTCGTCTTCGCCTCAGATTCTACCATTGTTGGAAAATGGCGGCAGTGAGTTCATGTGTGTCTCTTTGGTTGTTGCTCCACTGACTCGCGCCAGCCCATAACAACCGTGTCCGAGAGCCGTGAGGTTCGCGGCCTCAATCTCATCGCTGCCCATTCCCATATCCGAGGCCTTGGTGTGGATCTTGCAACCTTGGAGCCCAGAGCCTCTTCCCAAGGGTTAATCGGGCAAGAAAAAGCACGGAAAGCGGCAGCCGTTATTCTCCAAATGGTGAAAGAGGGCAAGATTGCTGGAAGAGCAGTGTTGGTCGCTGGTCCTCCTAGCACAGGAAAAACTGCCATCGCGATGGCCATGGCACAATCCTTAGGACCCGATGTCCCCTTCACAATGCTCGCATCTACCGAAATCTTCTCCCTCGAAATGTCCAAAACAGAGGCTTTGACCCAAGCATTCCGCAAGTCCATTGGTGTGAGGATCAAGGAGGAAAGTGAGATCATCGAAGGCGAGGTGGTCGAAATCCAAATAGATAGGAGCGTCTCGGGGGTAAGCCATGGTTCTCCGATGTGTTTGGACCTCAATTGACAAGATCCGGTTAGGGCAACAAACAAGGCAAACTCACGATCAAAACGACTGATATGGAAACAGTCTATGACATGGGCACCAAAATGATAGATTCAATGACCAAGGAGAGAGTCATGGCTGGTGATGTCATCTCAATTGATAAATCCTCGGGGAAGATCACGAAACTAGGGAGATCATACACGCGCTCACGCGACTACGACGCAATGGGCGCAGACACCAAGTTCGTGCAATGTCCAGAGGGCGAACTCCAAGTACGGAAGGAGGTTGTTCACACCGTCAGCTTGCATGAGATCGATGTCATCAACTCAAGAACGCAGGGTTTCCTGGCCCTCTTTTCTGGCGACACGGGTGAGATACGGAGTGAGGTACGTGATCAGATCAACACCAAGGTTGGAGAATGGAAGGAAGAAGGGAAAGCCGAGATCATTCCCGGTGTGTTGTTCATTGACGAAGTGCACATGCTTGACATCGAGTGTTATTCATACATCAATCGTGCCCTGGAAGCAGATCTGGCTCCAATCGTCATCATGGCAAGCAACCGAGGGAACACTCGAATTCGAGGGACGACCTACAGCTCGCCGCATGGCCTCCCGTTGGATTTCCTGGACCGCCTCGTCATAATTAGCACCCAGCCATACGCGGCCGACGAAATCTCGCAGATCCTCGCGATTCGCGCTCAGGAAGAGGAAGTTGACCTCTCGGCAGATGCGCTTGCTCTGCTCACCAAGATTGGCCAGGAATCTGGGTTGCGATATGCGAGTAATATCATCACTACGTCCACATTGCTGAGTCAGAAGCGAAAGGCGAAGGAAGTCGGCATCGAAGATGTTCAAAGAAGTTACAAATTGTTCTACGACCCGGCGAGATCAATCAAACTTGTCAATGATTTCGAGAAACATTTCATCAGCGACGCAGGCCATGTTACATTTGCCGTCAACGGCAGCAACGGTAGCAACGGGACAATTGGTGATGCAATGGACACAGCTTGAAACTTTTGGCGGCACCTACCAACAACCGGTCCAACTCGAAAATCGCTCTTCGAGCCACAGAGTTTTGAGTCCTGTCTTTGCTCTTTGTCGTCGGAGCGATCTCGGTTACAGAGACCACTGCAACCAACCACCAACAGGCGGTGCAGAATCGGGAAAAGGAATTTTGAGCCTTAAAATCTCTCCCAGAAGATGCTGGAAAGTGTTCGAGAATCTTGTTGCAGGATGACGAGCGAGGTCTTGATGCCGCGATTGAGTAAGTGTGCAGCAGCGGGGGATGACCCCAGGTTCTCTGCCTATGTGGTATCTGGACTAATTGACAGTCCCAGAAGCTCCTTGAGAGGTATGCCTGACAGCAAATCGATCCGGCACTTTTCCATCATCATCATCATCATCATCATCATATTCCAAAGCCAAGCAGATACAATAAGTGATTGCCGTCTTCTCAAAGCATCGACATGACGTTGCTGGAAGACATCGAAATGCGAACCGTCCATGGATTACATGCGCATTTGTCATTCCCCTTCCCCTTCCAAGCCATCGCTAACCCCAGGTGTTTTCTACTACGATGTGGGGTACCCCGGACAAAGCTGTTGTTCATAGACAGCCTTGTGGTATCGCGCCCACCTCATGTGGGGCTTGTTCATAGTTTCCCCCTGGGCTCAGGTTGATCTGTTGTATTTTATGTTCCGGCACTATTCGGGGTAAAGACCTCGGCTGCGGCTATTCCTACGGCCATACATCTATCTCCCTTGCGGCAGTTGATGTGTGAGGACTCGAAATGACTGATGGGCCTGAGGTGGTGGGGCTTGTTGAAGCACATGGGGTTTTCCTTCATCGACAACTGTCTCGAACGCGACAAGCAGGCTGGTCGAACCCGAGCATTCTCTCGATCCACGCGATATTCGAGCACCTGGATTTACTGTCACTCCCTGAAAGCATTCCATGACCCGGTCCACCTGGCATTAGTCCCGCTACGCTAACGGGCGAAGAGGGAGTTGTCATTTGTGCGGCAAAGCAGTGCCGGGTCCTATGATCGGGTGGAGAACCCTTCTCGCGTGGGACAGGGTATAGTTTTACAGACCATTGCTGAATTATCAACATTTCGATTCATCCTATACCTCCAGACTTCCTGCAGCTCATCCTTTCTTCTTCTAATTCTCTCCTGGTGACCCTCCCCAAAAGGACTTACTCTGAAACATCTGTTCAAAATGTCTGCCTCGATTGAAGAAAAAACCTCAGGCGCCGAAGTTGAGACTGTTGAACAAGCCAGATCAGAGGCTCGTCATGTCCCCATCCACGAAATTCCGCTCGACCTGGACAATCCACACCAAGCCGCTTTGGAGGACAATCCAGAAAAGGCAGAGACCTTGACATGGCCGACTCTGCTGGCAATCCTGGTAGCTGTGCCACCATGATCAACCTGTGGCTGGATGTACTGACGTTTGCTACAAGTCCCTGTCATTCTCGTACGTCTGCCCGATATCATGTGGCTTCATTCTGGTCACAGGGATTTTGGTGCCCATCGGCACCGACCTCGGCGACACTGAACATATTTCCTGGATTGTGGGTGGCTGGAGCATCGCGTCCTCTGTGAGCTTCTCCCTCGCAGGCTCATTGTCGGACGTCTTCGGCCGACGATGGACCGTCGTGGCTGGCGAGGTTATTGCTATTGTTGGCTCGGTAAGACCCGACCACGTTATATTGTGGAATCGAAAGCTGATGACCCTTGCAGATTATAGCATGTACCGCAAAGTCGACGCTCATGCTTGCCGCTGCATCAACCGTCATTGGCTTTGGGTGTGGTATCATTTTTGTCAGCTACGCCGGCATCCAGGAACTTGTCCCCAACAAATGGAGGGGCCTCCTGGGTAAGGAGAAGCTTTCATCCTCTTGATCCCCAGGCCTGACAATCAGTCCAGGTCTCACCGAATGTGCTATGATTCTACCCTGGGCATTCGCGGGGACGCTAATAGCGACAACTTTGAACGCCAACACGGCTGCGAAATGGCGATGGTGCTACTACATTGGCATTATTTATGGCGTCTTGAGTCTCGCTGGGACATTGGTCTTCTACTGGCCACCCCCACGTCCACAGTATGACTTCTCCAACTCACGTTGGCAGCAAGTGAAGGACGTCGACTATGTCGGCTTCCTCTTGTATACGGGAGGACTGACGATTTTCCTGATTGGACTGACCTGGGCTGGGACCGATGGACATGCCTGGGATTCGGCCTCGGTGATTGCACCGATCATTGTGGGTTTCTTGACTCTGACTGCGTGTTTCGTCTACGACTTTACACTGGCGAAGCAACCCTTCTTCCCCTATTCTCTGTTTCGCCAAGTGCGCGAGTTTACCGTTCTTCTGGTTGTGGTCTTCGTGGCAGGTGAGTGTGCTTCCGCTTGGGGTTTTCGCGGTCGATCGACGATTGCTGATATTATACCACCAGGCGTCGTTTTCTATTCTTTTGCAGGCCTGCTCCCTCAGGGTTCGCTCTATATGTTCACGAGCGACCCCATTCAGATCGGCATCATCGCTCTTCCCAACGGTGCCGCACAACTCCTCTTTGGCGGCATCTTGACACTTTTCATGGGCAAGTTTGGCCATTTGAAGCTGCAGGTGATTGTGTTGCTGGTCTTTCAGACCGTCTTCACGGCCGCCTATGCTGGTGTCGTACCGTCCAATCGGGCAGGATGGATGGCGTTCCAGTTCTTTGGGGTGGGACCCTTTGCCATGATCACCCTAATCTGCTATGTGATTGCCGGACTAAATGTCCCCCTGCGTCACTTGGGAATCGCATCCGGATTGATTGGCACCTTTCGCAGCGGTGGCGGGAGTGTGGGCAATGCAGGTACGTGCATCTGGGACAGGAACCTGAGTTCTCTCACGCTGATCAAAACGCCAAACAGTCTTCAACACCATCCTCAACGGTGTGGTTAAGAACGAGATTCCAAAGAAGATTGCAGAGGTTGCGACTGCTCACAATCTCTCCCCACAGCAACTTGCGGCTCTGATTCCTGCCACGGCGCAGAACGCTGTCGGTATTCCAGGCGCTTTCGCCTCGGTTCCAGGCATCACTCCAGCCATTGAGCAGGCCGCGGCAATGGCATACAGAGAGGCGTATGCGTTCGCCTTCCGGAGAGTGTTCTACTCGTCTATTCCCTTTGGGGTTATTGCCATTATCTGCGCACTCTTCATCAAGGACCCATCTCAATACCTCACCAACCACACGGCTGTCCACATGGTGAGAGAGGGAGCACTCGGAAAGACTCATCGTCCACACAATGCGCCAGGCGAAGACAGTCAGGAGAAGTCAGGCTCCAACACAGACCAATCATTGGAGGGGCGCTAAAGGGAGCGACATTGGAAGTAGGGGCACGTGGAAGAGCTGTCAGAGGATAATCCCCCATCTCCAGAAGCATTTGGCAAGTTGAGATGCGGAAAAGGCTGTGCACTAAATAGTCATGATGGCAATGACGATGCATTATGGTGGTTCACCACTCCCGATATTAGGTAGAAATGTGTTTTTGGTGTGGCAGTAGAGAGGCATAAGTGTCCAGACTTCAAGACTCCCAAGACTCCACGCGCGGAATGGGGTTATGCATGTATGTCTATGTATAGAGCACCACCATTGGGGAAATCCTCGTTCGTACTGGGATTCATTCCCCGAAGCGATGACTACCTGGGGATGTGGAGGAGCCTCCGCAATTTTGTCCCACGACGAACATTTTCTTGCATCTTTTTGCCTTCATCCTGGTTGGACATTCATCCGGAACTTGGTCTCTTCATCTAATAGTTGCCACATTCATATTCGTCATGGGGCCATGGCTTGCTTCGCTGTTGCGGCCCACCGAAATACCGGACCTCAGTGCCTCAGATCTCGATTGATTGATTGATTGATATAGCCATTCGTCCTCAGCGCTGGACCTGATCGACTCTCTTCCTATTTTCCCCCGCCTCAATGGCCACCAAAGCTCAGCGCAATAAGAAATGCCTCTATTGTGACAGGAAATTTGGCAAGGCCGAACATCTCAAGCGTCACCAGAGAGCTCATACGGGAGAGAAGCCGTTCAAGTGCTCACACTGCGGCCGTGAATATGCACGAAGCGATGTGCTCATGCGGCATGTCAGGAACCACCATTCGACTTCTGACAGAGAGATTGTTGCCTCTCCGCCGCTCACCGATTCGCACACGAATGGAGACAAGCTAGCTGGGAGTTGCGCCAGTTCATCTTCGCAATCGCGTCGGGATGGTCGCCCGGTCCATTCGATGCAGGTGCAGTGTTCTGACGACGACAACATGGTGGCCGGCATGGATAGCCAAAGGCAGGGCACGGGAGACCCTCAAGATCCAGCGAATCTCCATGCCTCACAACGAGTCAAACCCTTGGTCGACTTCGATAATCCTGTGGAGCGCAGGGCTGCCCCTCCGCTCGCAGGCTTTGAAGACTGGCTGGGACTTCAAGACATGCCCCTGGCGGCCAATATTTGGGATGACGTCTCACATTTCGATTTCACGAGTTTTACAAATGATGCACGGCTCAGTCTGTCCCCGTACTGGCCTCGTCAGCTACCGCTCCACTCGCCCCCCAAGGACAATATCTCCGATGAGAGATACGCAAAGATCGCAAGCCTCTGGCCAACCAAGAAACAGACGGCCCGGCGACTGATCCAGACTCTCTGGCGGGATGTGGCGTCTTTCCCGGAGGAGAACATCTACTCGCAGCAAAGCCCGACCGGGCATGAAGGGATTCAACCATCGCAGGCTGCTCCGGGGGAGTTCGCGGAATCGAGATGGGGCTTGGACGAAGAACGGAGGGCGAGGTTGATCGAAGACTGCGCCCTTGTCAACACGCCGTTCTCACCAGTAGCCGACAGAGGCGTTGCAACGAGCATCAGAAGCGGCGCGAGTGACTCGTGCAGTCAAGACAGTGGCACGCCCGCAAAATTTCCCTCCACGGCGATCCTGGACGTCAGCCTCGATGTCTACTTTCGACGTTTCCACCACCTGATGCCATTTATCCACGAACCGACATTCTCAGCGAAGAAGACCTCCAGCACCCTCTTGTTTCCCATGTGCCTGATGGGGCTGACCATGTTGGATTCGGTCCGTGCGAAGAGATTCGTGCGATCCCACCTGGGCAACGCGATCGAGAGATGCCGCCGCGACTTGGTCGTGAGTTCACAAGGAGACGTTCAACTGGGCGAGTTCTTGAGCACCCTGGCGGCCGCACTCCTCCTGTTGTCGTTGGCTGCCATCAACCCGAAGCAGCCCCTGCCCGAACATTCTCGCCTGCTGTACAACGAGACAATCAATGCCGCGCAGCGCCACGGGCTATTCCACCCCCAAGAAGGCGAGCAGCTCTCGGCGGCCATGTTCCAATCCCTGGACAATGTCGCCACGTGGAGGGCTTGGACACGCATAGAATCGATCAAGAGACTGATTCTGTGTCTGATCATGACAGACTCGTTCTTCTCCCACCTCGACGATCACAATCCCGTCATACGAACCGAGCAGCTGCATTTCTATTTCCCCTGCAAAACCGAGTTATTTCAGGCCGCCACCGAAAGGCGATGGTCGCAGATGGTCGACGCTGGTTCACTGACCATCATGCCTCTGATGATTCCGCAGCTTGACGCAGCCATTCTCCCGCCAGCCTCGGATGCCAGTGAAATAGGGTTCTTCGGTCTTTGCTCCACGGCCTGGGTTCGAATGTAAGTTTCTTTAGCTTGCGGGGGTGCTCTCGAGAACAGATTCATTACACGCGCGCGCGCGCTTTAATATGCCACTGCTAACGCGAATGCTTCTTGTAGTGCGGAAGCCAGACACCGGTACAGCCCTCTCACTGCCGGGCATTCGAATCTACCGATCCCAGCAGAGATGTTTGCCCACGACGAGCACGCCGCCGTGATCGCCCCGTTCCTCATCAAGATGTGGAGGTCGTACGGCGAAACCATGCGCATCATCAACCCCAACTGCGAGGCTTTCTGGCACCACTTGAACCTGTCGATGACGGCCGACCTTGGGGTGTTCGAGGTCGCATCCGGCAGGGACGGGGCCGAGAGGGCGAAGGATGCACTCGACGACATTGCGACCTGGTCACAAACGGCTGCGGCCCGGCGGGCGTGTGTGCACGCGGCGCACACCTTCTCGTGCATGTCGAAACGCCGGCTCATTGACGGGACGTCCTACGAAGCGGAGGTCGCTCTGGTGCACGCCGCGCTCGTGCTTGGGCTATATGTCTTCGTGATGCCCCAGCCGGACGAGACCGACGACCACCACCATGAGCAGCCAGCACACAGGGAGCGCGAGGCATTTGAACTTCTCGACCCCGTCGACTGGAACCTCGTCGGCGAAGTCGGCTTCACCAGCTATCCCGCCACCACCACTGACACCGATCTCGACATGGGTATGGGCATGGGTATGGACCCGACAACCACAACCACAACCACAACCACAACGACGTGCCCCGCCAAAACGTTCATCCAGCACGGCGGACCGATCTCCTTCTCCGGCGTGGCCCAAAACGGCGGCTACGCCTCGGCGAGGAGGGTCCTCCTCGACTACGTCTACCTCCTGGAAGAAGTCGGGACGCGCTACAACGTCATGGAGTTCTGCCACATCTTGCGCATCCTGAGCGACGCGCTGATCGATTTCGACGCCGGCGGCGCCGACCAGGTGGAGTGAGTGAGTGCATGTAATTAGCAAGCAAGCACACGAGTGGAAATTCGTCCTGTGCGCGATTACATAGGTACTCGAAATACAGTACAGCATACGTGGGGACCTGGGTGGTTGGTAGTTGGTAGTCAGTCAGGCGAAAGGACCCTGATTCGCTCCCTGCCAGAGACTCGGGGAGATCTATCGTACTGTACCTAAGTCTCTGGCTCGCCGGGTCTATTATTTTAAGCACATAGTACTAGCTGGCACTTCCCGACACATCAAGTCACTGTGAACCAGCTGTCTGACATACTTACACACTTTAATCTACAGAAGATGGTATGTTGAAGCTGCCCAACGTAACTCCCTGTCTTCGTCAGGTCGACATCGAGCAATCCTGTACAGAGATCCTTGACAAGAGGCGAGGTCTGTTGTTTGCGTTGCACTCCGGCCCTGGAACCGTCCGTCGAGACTGACGATGCAAACTTGACAGAGGCTGTGGCAGTAGTTCGAACTTGTCTCATATTGCCGCCAGAAACAAGTGGAATTCTGATATCCTCAGGATGACGCTCCGATGTGCTCTGAGATGGTAATAGACCGAAGACTCTCAGGCGCATCCATGCCCTCCGACAGTACTTCGACGACTCGAACACCAGAATCGAGAAAGTGAACTCGACACCACTGTCGCACCAGCGCTTCATCCAGCTCCAAGCAAGCAACCTTGACCCCGTTTATTGACACAATTCGACTTGGTGTCGATGGAAGCATGGACCTGGCAGTTGGAACTTCCAGTCATTGCCCTGCGCTTCCAAGATTTTGCTATGTGCGCCTTGAAATTGACCAGCGATTTCGATGCCTATTCTGCCAAGAAGACTGCTGCCTGTGGACAGGCCTCATTAGCGCCCACCATACCCAATTCAGGGCGCGTGTCGGCCTCGAGTGGCCGGCCGCCTCACAACGAACTTCCTGATTCCACCAGAGGAAATGATCTTTGACTTCGCACCATTATTCAACAGTTAGCCTGGACGAAAACATGGATGTTTTCACTTCCGCAGCAGGAAAAGCTTATGAATACACCAGCCTTAAGCCCAACGAGGTTCGGCTCATGGTTCTACATCCAGGAAGACCAGGCCACAATTCCCACCGCGATCAACCCCTTCGATGCTCTCTCCTCACATTAACCTTCGATGATGCTCAAAGAAGGGGGTATGAAGCTCTCTCCTACGTCTGGTCAGGCAGCAATCTTTATGGATATTCAGCTCAGTACTACCCCGAAGAAGTGGGAAAACCCGATCCGCAGGCACCGCTGCCAATTGAATGCCGGATCTGGTGCCAACATGAAGTCGCCGAGAAGTCTGGCTTCCGTAACGTGACCAAAAATCTCATCGAGGCACTCTCACGACTCCGGTGTACGTCTGAAGACCGTGTCCTGTGGGTGGACGCCATGTGCATAAATCAAGACGATAATGATGCCGAAAAGTCCACTCAAGTGCCCTTGATGGCCAGGATATATTCATGTGCTTCACAGGTAATTATTTGGCTGGGAGAGACTCTGTCACGGCCATTTATGGATGTTGTGTTAAATAGACGCGATATCACTGAGTCGGCATTTGACTATGTTACCTGGGTAAACAAGCTACAGCCCACAATGAGGGATCTCGACTTTTATCTTTCCACCAGACCCGGGGACATACTTGGTACAGTCAGCATCATGTTAGGTATGTTTCAAGAGTTTTTATGGCGTTGTGTGTGGTTCCAGCGGACGTGGACGTTCCAGGAAGCCGTGATGGCGAAGCAAGCAACAGTGATATGCGGTGGCCATCAAGCCAGCTGGGACGCGTTACATGAGGCATGTCTTTTCAACAGCCGAGGCATGCAGCTACCGAGTAACATACTTCATCACGAGAGAATCGTGGATGCTATTGCGCTAGTACTTGAAGTACAACGGCTCCGCAAGCTGCGGTGTCTACCCGAAAATACGAACAGAGAATGTCTCACCGATGCCGATCCTTGGAGGTTCGATCAGCTATTACACGCTATCCGATCCAAAAACGCCGCTTGTTTACACGATAAGGTCTATGCCGTTTTAAGCATGGCAAGCGGCCAAACCCTACCACGCCCAGACTACAGTGCTTCCCTTAGCAAGGTTTATTGTGACGTTGCCCAATGTCTTTCCCGGAACCTGGAAAGAGGCTGGATTTCTGTCCTCAGCTACGCTGAGTTACCTAACCGAAATATCGCGGATGAACTAAAAGAGTTGCCCAGCTGGGCCCCGAATTGGAGTATGCCGACCGATGCTGCTCCAATATCTCGGTACGCAGATTTTCGAGCTGCCGGTATCACAGTGGACAATTGCTTCGTTCTGGAAAACAAAGAAGGAAACCAGAACCCCCCACTATTATCAATCCGTGGTGCTCGCCTATTCACTGTCCATACCGTGGCAAAAGCCTCCCATGAGGATGAGGATGAACCTATCAACATGCCATGGGAAGCAACCGAGAGCTATCCGCTGACCAGTGAAGAGTATCTAGTGGCGTACAGTAAAGTAGCAAGACCGGACAGCATGGAGTTGAGGAACCCACGGGAGGACCCCTTTCGTCCGTGCCGATCACCATTCTGGGAAGGTTTAGAAAATTTCTCGGCTCGCCAATTAGCGAAGGCTGGACTCGAATATCATTATGATCGGGCGATTTCTGGCCACCGACATTACAGTCACTTACGGCGAAGCAGGCCGATCTCCAGTCGTCGTGTTGGTTTCGCTCCTATCCATAAGGACCGCCGGCTGTTTCTGGGATCTAGTGGATGTCTCGGTTTAGCGCCACTAGCCACGAGGAAAGGAGATCATGTTTGTCTGTTTTTAGGCGGCGAAGTGTTGTACGTAATCCGACCTGTCCTGAATGGACGGTTTACGTTCGTGGGTGAGTGTTTCGTGTATGGGCTGATGCATGGGGAGGCAATGGAAGGTCTGTCTGAAGCGAGAGTTGAGGATTTCATCCTCCAGTGACCTTGGAACAGCTCAGCTGCCGCATCTTCGTCCTGTCCATTCGCCTGATATGCCCAGGCAAGAGCATGGTGCCATGCTAGACGAGGTAACATCATTCAACTGTTTGGATTGATAGAGGAGTAAGCTCTCACAACAGCATTACGCCACCCGCCATAATACTCTGAACGAAGCATTCCGCGACCAAGCATCATTTTCCACACACCCAACGCCCTGCTAAACATCTGACTCGACGTAAATACAGGAGGGGGGGACATCCAATGGTGGAATAGCGACGACAACGGCAAGAGATACGATTACCCGGCTTTAATTAGCCTTATTTCTTGAAAATTGGAAATACTCTTTTATAAATATAATGTCAGAGCTCCTTCGTATATAGCCTACAGAGGGAAGGCTTCCGTAGTTACAGATCCTTTATCAGTTAGAAGTTCCGTACTAATAGTTAGCACCACGAACCCGGCACTCCTGATGGCTACCTACGATACACTCTTGTTCGTCGCATTATTGAACACATTTGATCGTCGTTGGTCGCGCCTGGCAAAAAGTGCCTCTTTTGCCCGTGCCAGGCTAGGTTGCTTAGAAGCTGCTTGAAGCTGCTTAGAGTACACCAGATGCTCCCGAAACCAGCAGCAGAGGCAGGGCAAGAAGTGAGTTTAGCGGACAGTAATGCACGCCAGTATCAATTCCCCAGCGTAGTAAATCTGATAGTGGAGAGCCAACACTTCCATAACCTTTTGCGCTACGAAACCGCCTCCTGGAGTGTTTGCCTGTTTTTCGTGTATATCCGATTCTGTGGTGACATGTGCAGCCAGCCTACTACTGAAGTTCTTGCCTTCGCCGAGCGATCGAGGCACACGGCGTAGAAATGACAATGCTTGAAAACGACCAGTGCTGGCAGAATGTCGCTCCACATTCCTCTGAGCCTCTTTTTAAATGTCCATCAAGAATTTCTCCCTACGATGCACTTTTACGAAGACTTCGTGGTGCCTCGCTTCTCCGACCAGCTCGAACTGCAAAAAGCACGGTAAGCGCGGGTTGGGTTGAGGAGGCACAGCCTGACTTGCCTTGAACTGACCCACCAAGGTGGCCACGACTTTGAATATTTCGAGCGAGGCGACGCTCTTGCCGATACACGATCGCGAACCTTGGCCAAATGAGAGCTCGGTCTTATCCATGAGCTTTCGCCTGGACTCCCACGACTCGGTCGTCTCCATTTTCCCCTGCATCCACCTTTCAGGATTGTAGACATGAGCATCGGCTCCAAAAGCGCGCATGTCCTGGTTGATGGCGCCGGCAGGACAGCCGACGCAAGTACCGGCTGGCAAGTGGCAGCCATTGGGAAGCGTGAGACCGGACGGGCCAGCCACTCTCTGCAAGTTGGTTGACGTAGATTGGTGCATGCGATAGGCTTCTCGAACCACGCCCTCCAGATAAGGCAGATTCTTGACCTCGTCAAATTTCGCAGGCATGGCGCACTGGGCTTCTCGTAGTTCATTGAATAGTCTCTCCTGTGAATTGGGGTGGTTGACGAGATAGCGACAAAGCTCGTCCAGAGTATTAGCGGGACTCAGCCCACCAGCGACCATATTACCGGCCGTGGAGAGAGCCACATGCGCTTTGGTCATGCGTTCAGGATATGTCGCATGAGTTGCGACAAAGTGCGAAAGAAGATCCGGTCTTTGCCCTTCAGGATCGGGAGTTGCAAGGCGGTCTTCCACCAGCTTCGAGACAAGGCGGATAAAGGGGGTTGGCTTGCCCCTGGGTCGTAGAGGATTCCCGCGCAACAGCTGGTGTAGCCAGGGCATCTGAGACACCACCCCAGCGTACGCACGAAAGTCTTTGACCATGTCGATGAGACCAAGGGTGTCTTGTCCAGAGAGACACCCAATAGCTTCACCCATGGTTATTTTGGAAACCACATCGAAGCAGTCTGAGAATTGTTCATCGTCAGTGGATATTCTAGTCGTAGGGCCGGCTTGACCTACAGTAGTGGCACCAGAGACTGATGTTCAGTGGCGTATGGTCCGCAGCATGTCCATCGAAGACCTCGACAAGGCGATTCACCATTTCATCGACGTATGGTTCGTAACCCTTGAGAGAGGACAAAGAGTAGGCATTCGATACGAGTCGGCGATATTGGGAGTGCGTCTTCTCGTCAAGAATGGACAGCAGGCTTGTTTTCTCATTTGAGCGGCGGAATGGGAGGTAAGCAAGGCCCTGCTCAGGTTCAGCTGTGAAGGGGAACTGGCTCCAGGGCTGTCGAACTCACCTTGTCCAGTTTTGAACGAACTCCATATATTTGTGTCACGGCGGCTGGATCGAAAACAGTGACAGAGTTAGGTCCGGTGCGTACCACGTCTCCATATTGTGACCGCAGCTTGTTGTGAAAGGATACGCGATTGTAGTTCTGACTCGTGAGCCAAGTCGTGTACAAGCTCCATATGTTGGTGTACCTGGCTAAGAATGGGCCTGGAATGTGTGACAGTCCTGCTCGTCGGCTGCTGATAAACAAATATGCAACCAGAACCATCAAGGAGAGCCCAACCAAGGAGAGAATTGATTCCAGATAGGACGTGCCGAATGCGTTGAGCGCCATGTTCGATCGAAGGCTGGCTTCTGATGAGATGAGTGTTATGCTCTTTCCTATGGGCACTGCTACCTGTGAAAGGCGGATGGTAGTGAGGTTTGGTCTAGGGTCAAATACCATTCGTAGCGCCTCGGTTCTTTGGCACTGGTGGTCGGTCTTCGGTTCAGGAGAGGATGTGGTGGGTCGCCCGAGAGCGATAGTCATGTTACAGTAGAGTATACCATCTTCCAATCATCGGCTCACGCCATCGCCCACGGGAAATGCAAATGCTCTCGGCAGTTCTCGCGGTTTATAGATATGACTGATGCTCAGGTCGGGATCTTGAAATCATCTCGGAGTCGAGGGCATTACGCCATCAACCACTTTTCGAGGTGGATCTCCACCCCCAGTCACACTCGGGCACAGGTACGCAGTGGTCGGACCGTGACTAGGTACAAACATGTGCCGCTTCCACAAGCCGACCGTCGCCAAGGACATCAGAGATATCTCGAGAATCCTTGTCTGAGTCAACTCCTCACTCACCGAGGTCCAGAAGCGGAATGAATGCTCTCGAAACACGAAGTTGGCAGCCGGTCAAGTATATCAGACCCAATGGAGTGCTTCCTCGGGGTGGAGAAATTCTGGGGATTCTGGGGTCACGAGAGATTTGCTGGCGTTGTTCAAGAGAGATGACACGGATTCGGGGTGCCCGTCAACTCGAAGGCTCAGCTGCGTTTGAAGGTGGAGAAGACTGCTCTCCTGTGAACGTAGGCATAAAAGGGTCGAGCGCACTTTGCTCACAGACTTGGAAGAACCTGTTTCAACCGTTGTGCTTTCTCTTACGACGAAACTTTGAACACCCTTTGTCAATCCACACGAATCCACATACCTCCCGCAGCTGCCATGTCTCTCGTGTCAACCAAGTCCCGGTCTGTCGAACATCTCGAAAAGGAGCCGATGGCAGAATCTACCATACCAGATGAGGAGAGTGCTTTGCCTCCCTCTACTCCAGACTGGACTCCGGAAGAGGAGAGGGCACTAGTGTAGGCGACAACAACACCATAGGCACGAGCTATGCTAATCGTTTACCAGTCAAAAGCTCGACTGGCGCGTCTTCCCTATGTTGTGCGTCGTGTTTGGCCTGTCTTTACTCGACAGAACGAACATCTCGAATGCATACATTGCCGGCATGGCCCATGATCTTGAACTCACGGTCGGCACAAGATATTCAATTTCATTACTGGTGTTTTTCATTGGTGGTGCCCCTTCTCAAGGGATCTGGTGAATAGAGTTGCTAACGGTATCAGGTTATGCCGTCTTCGAACTCCCCAGTAATCTTATCATTCGAAAGCTCGGAGCCCAGGTTTGGATGAGTTTTCTCATCCTGTCGTGGGGGGCGTGCGTGTTCGGTATGGGTTTTGTTCACCGGTGGGAAACGCTTACATTATGTCGGACTTTGCTTGGGGTTTTTGAGTCTGGGTGTATGTCTCTCCTCCTCACAACTTGAATACGGCTAATAAATCCTCTGATTTACTATAGTACTCCCTGGAGCAATCTTCATTATTGGCTCCTGGTATTGCCAGTTCGAAACCGCTGGCCGTACCTCGATGTTCTACATGGCATCTCTGATAGCCAGCGCCTTCGGCCCTGTCCTTGCCTATGCCCTCTCCTTGGTTCGGGTAGGAGACGGGGATTACGCCCGCGGGTGGAGGTGGATATTTATTGTCGAGGGTATCATCACAATTGTCTGCGGCGTGGCTGCTCCTTGGCTCCTTATTGACTGTAAGGATTAGTCTCTCCAAAGGCGAGCAGAATGCTAACCACAATCCATCTGAAAAGTCCCTGAGAGAGCTACTTGGCTCACACCACGTCAGAAATATATTGCTCAGGCTCGACTACAACAGGATAGGGCCTCGACAGAATTCATCCACCCTAGCTTTATCGAGGCATTGAGGATAGCTCGGGACTGGAAACTACTTGTCTAGTACGTGTTTGGCAGCTCCCTCTTCGCTTGGAACTCTAGTTTGATAACTGACGTCTTTCCAGTTCCTTTCAATATTTCGTTGCAGCAAGCTGCGTCTACTCTCTTGCCTACTTCAAACCCATTATTCTGAACGAGGGTATGGGCTTCAGTTACGTCCTAGCTCAAGTACTCGGAGCTCCCCCTTATGTCTTTACGATCATAGCTAGCATCATGCTAGCCCGACTCAGCGACAAGTGGCGCATTCGGTGGCCCTTCTTGTGTTCGCAAGCTCTTACAGCCGTGGTGGGCATGGTGCTTGTCCTTTACACCCACATCGTTGGCGTACAATATTTCGGAATGAGTCTTGCTATCTTCGGCGTCCAGTGTATTGTCCCGGGGACTTTAGCTTACAGCTCCAGCAATACAGCCGAAGTCAGAAAGAAGGGTGTGGTCTCTGCGATTATTGTTACCGCAGGAGCCGCTGGCGGTGTTTGTGGGAGTACGGTCTTCAGAAGTCAGGATAAGCCGGTATGTTGATGCCCTAACCCTCTGGCTTTCCTCCGAAGTCTTCCCCGAACCTGATATTTCTGACATTGTGAAACATTTTGGTTGCAGCGGTATCTTCCAGGAATGTGGACTACCATTGCCCTTCTCCTCAGCTATGCTTGCGTGACATTTGCCCTCAGCATGCATCTCAAACGAGAAAACCGCCTAGCCGATGAAGGCAAGAGGCCTTGCTTGGAGAATGTGGAAGGGTTCAGATACGCTCCGTAGGAAACTGCCCGAGAGCCAGCTTCTGCAAGCTTGACGTGTCCATGGCTGACACTACTGTGGTGCGTCACTCTGAATATGGGACGTTATCTCTCCTGGTGTGCAGGTCTGTGGCTGCAAAAAATATAACGACCCTTAGTCTGACGAGGCACATCTCGTTCACCTTGGTGCAAAACCTGCAGCCATTCGTAAATTCCGCGCAGGATCATAGAGAGGCACTTCGCAAACTAGGAAAACTTCCAAGTCCGGATGAGATGTTGAGTCATTGGGTTTCAAAAGATGCGCGAAGGTCTATGGCGCGAATGCTGGTAGTTGAGCGGGGCTCGATTAGATCGCCTAATCGCTTGTGTCCATTACTCGGGTGTCAGAGAAACCGGCCCTTTGGGTCTGTCTCTACCAACTACCATCACGACCGGAAAGGAAAGCTCCGCCATTTGTTGAGGTCAGGGTTTAAGATCATTGGACGCGTACTGCAGGTGGAGCCAGGGGGGTAGCGGCATGACCGATCAGAGAGGCAGTGTGGGGAATATCCTTAACACGAAAAGGGTAAGCTTGGGAGATTTTCGGCAAGTCGGTCGCCATCTTGTTGGACCAACCAGGTTGTGTATGAATGAGCCTTATCAGAGCCACGCTGCTACAAGTGCCACAAGAAAGGCATCCATTGTTCCGGCCCAGGATTCCGGATTCAAGTATATTGTGGCCCAAATTTGACCCGGCCGGGTGTTATCATCCCATCTTCTTCCGAAGAAGGAGAAGAAGAGCCGCTGTTGCCTTCGTCTTCGTGTCCGGATACTTGTATCAGGTTGCGACTCAGATTTGAGTCTTGGTCATTATCGTCGTCGTCGTCGTCTTCTTCTTCTTCTTCTTCTTCTTCTTCTTCTTCTTCTTCTTCTTCTTCTTCTTCTTCTTCTTCTTCTTCTTCTTCTTCTTCTTCTTCTTCTTCTTCTTCTTCTCCTCCTCCTCCTGAGTCGTCCCATCCTCATGGTACTCCTTACGCTCGTTCAAGTCGTGTTCATTCTCTTTATTCTTCCTTTTGCCCACGGTGATGTGATCCACGATGGTGCCACACACAATACCTTTTCAGGACTTCTAGAACATAACCTCGAACCTCAGCGGGGCTAATGCTGTCTGCAGGAAAAGTATCAGTGACTTTGGTATGCTAACTCTGGGAATTGTTCAAGACGGCTTCAAGTTCCGCGTTCTGTTATCTAGTGTTCTACCACCATACGGAGTACAGTGTAATTTTTTCCAAATTTTTTTTTTTTGCCCAGAAGAGGATTTTGATGTCAAGTCCTGCTTCATCGAATGCGGTGCACCTGCCTGCCTTCCGAGATTCTTGATCATAGCTAATAATACGTGATCATTTCGTATGCCGCTAGAATTTTTGACAGTATGCGGCCCAAAACGCGAACACGGCGTGCTTCTTGGGTGGATGGCATTGGATGTCGGTGTTATCGTTGGTGTCGTTGGATGGTGGCCGACGTTGAAAACCGGCTGCCATCACCCACTGCCCGAGGAATGATGGGATGAGTGTTGAGCACTCGGGCCAGAGCACAACCGGCCTGCCGTAACACCGTCATCCAGATGATGATGGGAAAAGATCCGAAATATGTGAATCCTCTCCGCGAGCCGACATAGCTCAAAAGGGCAATAAAGTGAGAACGATGAGGGAATAAAGGGGTGACACCTTTCGACGTGCTGTGGTCTATGTTATTTAGGACCCATGCTCTGTTTTGGACTCCCTCGTCTTTCTCCCTCTTCCCCGTTCCAGTTCAGGCTTTCCAGACTGGGCTGTCGGTTGGTGGAGCTTCATTGATGGGGCGATTGAGGAACGCACTCGGGCGGCTGTTGATGTTAGGGTGGACCTAACAGAACAAGGAAAAGGGACAACAACCTGGTGATCGTGCATGGAAGCTCTGAAAAATCGGCAATCTCAAGAGTGAGATCGCCTGCTGAAGTAAAAGACGTTGTGTAGTCCTCTCTCTTTTTGCAACGAAGTAACATGGATTATCAGCATAGACAGGGAATGTCATATAAATTACTGCAGTATTTCCTAGGAAGATCAATGACCTGCGGTGAACATTTAGATGTTCATGCGCCCTCTTGGAAGTGAATACACGATCTCTGGGTGCCAGGACTTCTTTATAAAGAGCACTGATCGGTGCACGCTGCTGGCATGTCCGGAGCACGTGCCCTCAAGCCTGGAGGGTTGCCATCTACATAACCAATACGGGGCAGAGTGTCGGAATCAGCTCTGTCTACCGCTGGATCCGTGCGGCCGGCCAGATTCTCTCGAGCTGGGCAACCGCAGTTGGGACGCTTCGGAACTTGGTCCGCGTGTACAGTGTGCGCAGGCAGTCTGCGAAGAAATCTCGGTCTTCACGTAGAGTGCTCTCGGCAGCGACGACGAAGTATGTCCAGACCAGCGCCTGGGCTCCGTCTGCATCGTGCCTGATGTCCACCACCTTCGCTCGAAGGTCGGATAGCAGGGCTGCTGACCGCTGCTGTGACAGGTGGGACTCTGTGCGCTGTTTGTAAATCTCACAGGCGAGCTTGATCGCCTCGGTCATGGCGCTGATCCTCGTTCTCCTCTTGGAATTCTGTGGCGATAAGTGCGGCATAAAGTCCAGGTACTTGTCGGGTGACTCGCCCAAGGCTCGCAGACCCTGGAGCTCGCCCAAAAGTGGGTGCCCAAAGAATTGAAACCTGAGGCTCGTTAAGAGGATGATACTGAACCATTGTTCTCACTTACATGTATGATCAAATACATTCGCGTCTGCTCTTTGACGAAGCGCCGGGCTTCCTCAGATGTCTCTCGCTAGTCCGCAAGGCCATCTACCAAAAAAGCAAGCATGCCAAGGAGATAGATAAAATCGCTACCACCAGTGATCGTATCTCCAACCAAGAGCAGAAGCACAGTGGCCCAGTTGGTGATATCAAACAGCTCGGAAGACTCAAGACTGAACGAATCACTGCGTAGCTTCGAGATGATCGCAGTCTGGCCAGACAGAGCTGCTGTCCCCAGCTCTGGCACTGCGGCGGTTAGATGATCAGCGGCCATGACGGCGACGGCGCGATGGAGGGCTTTGTCGGGCCAAGCAAGGGGCATGATGATATCTCGATAGCCGTTACACGGTCCGTCCAGGACAACCATGACGGGCGCAACAAATCGAGAGACTTTAGAACTGGTCAGCAACCATCCAACGTTCACACGACGGAGAAGTTCTGCGCTTGCAGTGAGTGAAAAGTCGGTGCACTGGGCTAGCCGCAGTACTAATGCCCTGGCTCAATGGCATGGTTTGTGACATGGACTCGGCGACATCATCTTCTCCTGTGGGAGATTCGAGGACGCTTTGGACGCTTTGACATTCAATATCCCTCGTGCACGAGTGTACCGACAGTCGACGGATCCTTTTCGTCTGTACGCGCCGACGATTCTTGGTTGCGGAGGACTTCGAGGTAGACGCCGGTGGTGACGATGGCGACAAGGACCTCAGGCACTTGAAATTTCCGCGAGAGTCGAAGTCGGGTCCATTGATCGGAGAAATCGGGAGCCATGTTGACAATATGAGCCGACCCGAAGTCTTCATGGAGGATGGTGGAATTGGCGACGATAGTGAGAGTGAGAGGCAGAAAAGGAAGGTCGAGGAAGAGGAGATTGAACGCAAAGTTAGGGAGAGATTCACGAAGGCTGGTAAGTCCAGAAGTAAATGTGTCGCCCATCGACCCTGGAGTCGACGTCTGGCTGGGATTGTACCTTCCATGACATGTTGCCTCATGCTACACGGTGTTTCGAGTCCCCTAATGCCCGGGTCCTCTCTGATAGGATCTGAAGGTGCTAACAAGTTCTTTTTACCTTGGGCGAAACTAGGCTATCGTCCCGAGAACATCGAGTAAGAACTACACGAGAGGTGCACCGGATCGCGCCCCGAAAACATCTAAGAGAACATCTAGGAAGAGAACATATAAGAAGAATTATACGAGAGGTGTCCTGGATCGAGTCCCAAGAACATACTAATCGAATGGTGTGGTGAGAGAACGGCGCCCGGGATCGACCTGCAACGTCCGAAGTACCGAGTATAGACTCAGTAAATATTATTATGTCACACCCGTGTGCTTTCCGATTCTGGTTTGGACCAAACGCATTTGCTAATCTTCCCACTGAGAGGAACGGGGATGTCATCATTATTAAGAAGTATATCGACCAAGATTACAAGATGAACTGTTCGAACAAACACTCAGATTAAAAATGCGAAAACTCAGTTCTTTGCCCCTAAATTCACAGCGGCTCGAAAAGAAAACAGGCAAGACGGGTCAGTTTTAATGCATGTAATATGTAGTTAGTAGGAAAGATTTTGGGGAATCTCCCGAAGCAATGACGTGATACATGTACACATATTATCACAACGAAGCTACCACGCTACGACCAAGTTTGCGTCTCACAAAAAAGGTCCCTTCAAGGGCCCGTCTCTCTGCTATGCTGTCGGTAACGTAGTGTACCGAGTACAGACAGACACATTCCTCCCTCCCGCCTTTTGGGCCCCCTTGCCCTCCCGGCATGTTCTCCTCGCGTCACCCCGAAGACCGGTTCCGGCTGCGCATGCACCGCGCTCGCTCCGTCGACCTCACTAACGACGAGCTCGTCGAGATCCGTGCGGCCCAGCGCACCTTTGAGGGCGCGTACATCCGCACGTCCCTCTCGCAGTTTTCCTTCGCCCTCGTGGTCCTCAAGATCTTCACCTCGGAGTTCTACTCGATTGGCGCGCTCTTCGCCGCCTACGCCGTCGGTTTGCTCTTGGTTAGTGCCTATCGCAGACAGCAAGGGAATCGACAGTTCTTCAACGAGGTCGGAGACGACGGCCTGGGCAGGAAGAGGTTCCGGACGAGTGGGAATGTCGTCATTGCCCTGACCGCCCTGAGCGTGGCGGCCTACGTGAGTCTACTTGTTTTGACGCTGAAGCTGGAGACTTGATCAAGAATACTACACATCGGGGTCACGCTATGATGCAGAAGATGGTGATGATGACCATATCTGGGAAATGACGAAAAGAGGCGGCTTATGCAGCCAGACCTAGCCACACGGCTGCCCGAGCCAGACTCAATCTAAAGGACGAGATGGAAAATTGGAGGCCCGCTGTGTCTGGGGCTCTGGATACGCTGTCGTCTGATCGCCTGCCTCATCGGCTCAAATCAGATGGACGATTCCCTGGGAACCACGCTTCTAACGAGCTTTGGTAAAGCTGTTCTTCTGAACACATTGTCGACGTCTACAGCGTGGATTCACGAGACAACGTGGATGCGAATCTCAACGCTTCGGATTCCTCGTTGGAATACCCACGCAGGAGAAGCCATACAGAGACGGGCACACTGCTATGCAGTGCGAACGATGTGTGTTGTGCGGTCGACGCCATGTTGGCTCGAGTTCTCAGTCTCGACTAAGCAGACACGGATCCGGCCCCTCGTGACATACCATGGATGCTAGAGCAGGACCGGTCCCGAAGTCTTATTACTCTATGGGGAAAGGTGGAGATCAGGTCTCTCACTAGAGGTTGAGAGACCGTCACAAACAACGAGGGTATCGTGAACAGTGACGACCCCTGGACACATGAGATTTTGCGATGGTGGAATCGCACAGCCTTCTCTTCTATGTACCTATGTTACCCGTGATCATGACAGGGAATTGCCAGTGATTATGGGACCGAGGCGGAGTTATATCGGGACATGTACGAGGTACAGAATGTTGAATGGATGATTATCTTGTCTGCCATACGAAGAAGAGTTTCAAGACTCTCTGCGGAACAACATTTATCCGCCAAGCCTCGAAATTCACTTTCCTTTCACTTGCATCAAAATAATTGAATGACTCGAAGGAGGGGAAAAAAGGACAATCAAACCATGGCTTTGGACAAGCAGCAGTAGTTACATCTGATTCACTTACCTTTGTCCTTTCCTTCTCCTGTATATAGATTTCTTCTCTTCTTCCCCCCACACGGGTGATAGTGGTGAGCGTTTGCCACTCGATTGCCTTGATCGCCTCTACAAGTGGAGCGTTTGACTCTTCTTCGTCTGCACCTGAACAACGCCTTGTCGTTGCTTCCATTCAACTCTCTCTCTCACACTCTTCTGAGTGCGATCACCTTGGTTCTATTGCAGGTGCGACAGAGCGACTGCGCAACTGCCTGGCATAAAAATTATCCACTGCAAAGAGGCAGCTGCCTCCCACCAACCCTCTTCAAAATCTCTTCTCCGTCACCACCTTTTGTAGTCCTTCTTCTCTACTCTACGATGCATCCAAACCTCGGCAACCTCCAGACATGGTGGAAAAAATCTCATTCCTCGAGCCGTTGAAGACGGTTCACGAAAACCGCTCTGAAGAAGTGTTCGGTATGGCACAGCACCCTTTTCTACTCTTCTCCGCCAGATCTCTCTGAACTAACTGTGGCATTCCAGTCCAAGCCTTTGTCATCGAGATCCCGGCCAAGTTGACGAGCAAAGCACTAAGGTAGCTGACTCAAGAGACTCTCATGAGTAACCCTGGAGCTGACCACAGTGACCAGCATCGTCAAGCCCGTCATCCCCAACGGTGGCAAACACCCTTCATTCAGTCACTTCCGCCGTGTATGCTCTCTCACTCACCTACCTTTGGACTTGACGTGGCGGCGTGATTATGACGCACGAGGTCTTCAAACCGTCTTCTTGTTGGTGCCAAATACGGTCGTGTCATGGGAGGATATCAAGGCCACGCTAGTGCCGCATATCGACGTTGAAGGTCTCCCTCGTTGTTTTGATGCCGTTGTCCCACGACACGCACCTCTCAGTTCAGAGCAGGCTGCGCTCTGGACAGAACGGTACTGGCCATCGATCTACAACCCGGCTGCACAGGTCCTTCAAGATGCTCCGCCTCTCCACCAACTTCGACGGATGCGGACTCTCCTAGAAGTCCCGGCCACAGATACATACATGGAGCTCGCAAGACAGGCTGCCCGTGCATCCAGGGAACATGGTCACGGAAGAGGAGTCGGTGCTGTTGTGGTAGAACCAGAAACTTCAACAGTCGTCGCGGTGGCTGGCGATGCTCGTTGGTGGTCTGACGATCCAGGAACCCATCAGTCGCTGATGGCAAACAACGGAGAAGGGAGACCCGAATATCACGCCGTCATGCGAGCTGTCGCCATGGTTGCCAACAAGGAACTTCGTCGACGCATCAGAGCGGGAGGACACCTAAAGTTCAAGGACACATGCTCGGAAACCCCATCCGGCCAAGCTCTCACACCGGTCGAGAGTCAGTATGGAGAAGATCAAGAAATACTTCGTGACATTACCTCTGGGCTCGGCAATGTTGTCCTCGAAACCAACGTGAATGATGCCGTGCCAGAGAAACGACCGAATCCCCGGTCTGAAGGATATCTCTGCAGTGGACTCGACATTTATCTGACACATGAACCGTGCGTGTGCTGCGCGATGGCTATGATCCATTCCAGATTCAGAGTCTGTGTTTTCGCTCGCAAGATGCCGGGCAGTGGTGGCCTCTGCTCTGAGCCTGGTGGCAATCGACTCGCATACGGGTTGTTCTGGCGTCGAGAGCTCAACTGGCGAGTCATGACATTCCAACACACGCAAGCGGCTGCTGTCGAAGGCGAAGAAGGCCCAACGGACAAGGGAATATTCCATGCTTAGGAAGTCAATTATTGGGAATATCGCACAACATCAACATCATCCTCATCATGCAAAGTCGGCCACTCTGGTCCAGTCGCCATCACCGTCTTGCCTACGGAATTCGACTCCTTCGCCGAAGTAGCCAGCATCACTCCATTGTTTCATGGTATGGCCATCGAAGGGCCCATTTATTGCCCCACCATCCCTGGCATCGGTCCACCTATACTCCCACAGGTGCGGCGTGGAGTCTTCAGCATCAGCTTGAGTATCTGTATCGTTGGGCTGCGGGGGATCGCTCCACTCATTACCAGTTTCTCGTCGATATTGTCGAACGAGCAATTCTCTTTCTGTGTCGTAAACTTCTGCTTGGCCCCTGCCTAATAAGATGGCCGCTGCACCACTGATCTTTTCGACCTTTGCCTTTCGAGCCTGCTCTGCAGCCTGGTCCTCTGCAGGATGCCCGTCTGACTCGCTATTCTGTTTCTTGTGCTTGTTCTTTGGTTGCCATTTTGGTTTCTTGTCTTTGCCCTTTCCGAGGCGAGCGAGGGCTTCGAGGACCGTTTCGCCACGTTCCAGCAGCGGAATGAGCTCGGCCAAAACGTCGCCTGTTGACTTCGCATCCTCCTCCAAGTCACGTTTTCTCCGCTCTTCTTCTCGTTTGTCGGCAGCCTCCCTTGCTCGCTTCATCTCCTTCTTCGACATGCCTTCGAGCCAAATATCGTGAATGGCATCGGGATCAGCAGCTTTGCGAACATAGTTTCCCTGATCGTCGAAGCGGCCCTCCTCCTGCTCTGCACGCATATTGAAAGCATCCAACTTGGGCGCATGTGACTTCTTGCTCCCAGCTCCAAGTTCGGGATCGAGCTCGCCGGTGCTTGCTCGAGTTTTATCGTCCACTTCGCTCTCACTGCTGCTCTCAACTTCATCGTCCTCGTCTTTGGCTTTGCCCTTGCCCCGCCCATTGAGTGAGAAATCAGCAGAGACGTGACCACCACTTTTTGAACTTTGAATTTGGCCTTCTATCTCGTCCTCGTCAATGAACCGAACCGCTTTTTTCTTGCCGCCTCTTCGCCCGATGTCGCCTTCTGAATCGTCCCCATCTTTGAAGTCCTCCTCCAAATCGGCAAACATATCATTTTCATCTTCCTCCTTGGACTTGTCCTTCTCCGCCTTTGCGTTCGCTTTAGCTTTTCTATCGGCGCGAGCATCAAAATTGTCATTGTCTGAGTCCGAGTCGTAGCCGTCGATGTTTACTGCGCCGCGCTTCACCTGCTGACCACGTGCGCCGATGACATCTGCTTCCAAAATCGCATCGTCCTCTAGTGCATCGGGGGCGAGGGCCGAGGGGTTGCGCACGTCGAAGCGCGGCTTTTTGGTAGGCTGGCCGTAGAAACCGTCGTTGGAGTGCGAGGTGGTGCGGACATAGTCTTCGGCTGCCCGTTTGGAGCCAGGCGTGTTATAGGCCATTGCTGCACGTAGCTACCTGGGTGATAGAGGATTAATTACAGCCATTGACTCGATCTGAGGTACCAGGTACTAAGATGGATGTCTGGTGTGCGGCGGAATTAAGCTGGTGGAATGATGTCCGCTCCGCCAACCGCGGCACCAGAGAAGCGCAGCTGCGTCACCACCTCAACTCGCCGCAGATGGTGCCTGGACTGCATTTCACCAAAGGGAAAGGCACTTCTCCTTCTTCCACAAAGTCACTTTCACTAGACATCCTTGTAGTAGATTCAGCGATTGCTGAGCTTTTGAACCCCTTCTCTTTCTATCGGACGTCGATCCTAAGACTACAATCCACGCATCCTCACCCCGCTTCGCGACAACATCCTTGGTCGCCTTGTTCATTTCCTGAGTTCAGAACCAGCCTGTGTCTTTCGGTGCTTCTTCTCACATTTGGCAAAAGCCACTGCGGTCCAAATGGTAAGCCATTCACTGTGGACCGTCAATCTGCACTCACCGACATGCTCAGTCTTTCTACCACGATCCGATGGATTACCCAGCCTTCCTACGCGGACCGCCCCCATTTGGCCGCTCGATGGGTCGGTTCGACGAATACTACCGCTGCTACCCCGTGGTCATGATGAGCGGACCTGATCGAAAGAATGTCAACTATGGTGGAAAGGTGTTCATGCCACCATCGGCGCTGGACAAACTGACAAGACTGCACATTACATATCCCATGGTGTTCGAGTTGATAAACGGGAATGCTGGCAAGAGTACGCATGCTGGCGTGCTTGAATTCATTGCAGAGGAAGGGAGGATATATCTACCACAATGGGTATCCGCGCTGTCCCACCAAGCTGTAAGGGTGTGTGCTGATATTGTGGAATAGCTGATGAAAACCCTCGAGTTGGACCCTGGCGACCTTCTTCAGATCAAGTCGACAGATCTCCCTCCCGGCAAATTCATCAAGCTCCAACCTCAGTCACCCGCTTTCCTTGACATCTCCGACCCACGGGCCGTGCTCGAAAACGCATTCCGAAACTTCTCGTGTCTGACAAAGGGCGATATATTCACATTTGAATACAACGACCAGACATACGATATTGCCGTGCTGGAGATTAAGCCAGACACAGACTCGCACGCTATCGTGACCATGGAGACCGACCTGGAAGTCGATTTCGCCACGCCTGTTGGATATGTGCCTCCTGAGCGAACGAGTGGAACAAGCACACCTAGGAGCGGCGTGGGAAGGCCACATGGCGGACCGGTGCATTTTCAGGGTACCATGGCACAGTCGATCAACTACGGAAGCATAGCCCCGTCTTCAAACACAGCTGCCGCTGGAGCCCGCGCAGTGTCCTCGCATTTCCTTTCCGAGGGCCACAAGCTCAGTTCGAAGAGAGGATCGAAAGCTCCGACACCCAGCTCATCTACACCTGTAGGGGGTGTATCCACCAATGCCGCGAAATCTCCACCACCGAGAAGAACAAATGGACCCCAACCCCTGCGTCTGGCACCTGGAAAGCTGTTCTTCGGGTATGAAGTCAAGCCACTACGCAAGCGGGATAACAATGGCGAGCCTGTGGGAAGCGATGAAGTGAAGCCTCACTTTAAGGGACAGGGACAGACACTACGCCAGAAGAAACGTGCAGGCGGCGGAGGGCTGGATAGTGGAACGGCGAGTGGCGTGAATAGTGATGCGGAGGGCAAAGCCAAACCCAAGGGCACTGGACGAAGGTAGCAGCTTTTACGTCGAGCAGCTTTAACGTCGAGAGGAGAGGATTGTTGACTTGCTTGACTGAATGACTTATTGAGGCATAGCGAAGGCGCTCCTGAGCTCGAGGCACATAGACGGAATTGGGTTATTAGGACCTAAGGGAAGCAAATAGATAATTTGCAGGCACAAGGCTGGTTGATGCAGCTATTCATGGATCCATGTGTAAATTCGGAGGGTCAATGACTGTGCCATGATCACCCAAGTATCTACGGATGGAGCGTTGTATGACTCTGCAAAGAAATTTCCCTCTCAGCTATCCAGATACATATTCCACCTGTCATGCTCCCACAAAGATCAGACCGCAGCCTCGTCCGGCGGTGAACGATGACCCGAAGATGGTGCCAACTGCGCCGGGGACACGCGATTACATCATAGCACACCACTCCATTCGCCCTACATTTACTTAACGCATGATTGAAGAGACGAGATGAACATGCTGCAATGAGAAAGGCAGAATCCCCAACCAGAGGGATCGCTCTTTTTGGCCAGTCACTGTGATCAAGATGCCCACCATAGACCCAGCAATTATCCGCGCCCTCCACCTCGATGCAAGCACCGCCCATATTTCCGCCCATGGCGGCTCTGGCTTTGCATCAACATTCCGCATCACCACGTCCACCACGTCCATTTTCGTGAAACAGTCACGTTCGCCTGGCGCAGAGGTCATGTTTCGGGGGGAACATGCCTCGCTGAACGCCATTCATGACGCCGTGCCCAGCCTCTGCCCGCAATCTTTCGCCTGGGGACAACTCGAGAAAGGTGGGGGGTATTTCCTTGCTACAGAATTCTTGGACCTCGACGGACGGTTATCGTCGCGAGCCAGACATGGAGGTGGAGGCGGCGGTGGCAGAGGCAGCGGGATGTCTCTGGCAGAAAAACTCGCAAAGCTGCACACGACTCCTGCCCCGGTTCCGGAGGGATACGATTCACCTCAGTTTGGGTTTCCGGTCACGACGTGCTGCGGAGACACGCCCCAAGACAATACGTTCGCCTCGTCGTGGGCCGAGTTTTTCGGGAGGCGACGGCTCCTCGCGATCCTCGAGAAGGCAGAAGAGAATAATGGGCGAGACCCGGAGTTGCGCGAGGTTGTGGAAAGGACGGTCCGCGAGGTGGTGCCGAAACTGCTTGGCAGCAACCATCTGGGTGGCAGCGACGGGATCAAGCCAGTCGTGGTCCACGGCGATCTCTGGTCAGGCAACAAGTCCAAAGGCAGCTTCGTCGGCCGTGACAATACGACCCCGGATACACCTGGACCCAGGGAGGATGTGGTCTTTGACCCCTCCTCATGCTACGCGCACAACGAGTATGATTTTGGCATCATGCACATGTTCGGCGGGTTTCCGTCATCATTCTGGGACGAATACCACAAGCTGGTCCCCAAGACGGAGCCGGTGAGTGAATACGAGGATAGGGTGTCGTTGTATGAAAGTGTAAGCATCCCTCAACCCTCGTCAAATCACCTTGATGGGCTGATCTGTTTTTCCTGCAGTATCATCACTTGAACCACTACGCAATCTTCGGGGGCAGCTATAAATCTGGCGCCATGGGGATTTTGAAGAAACTGGTCAGAAAGCACGGCGAGCACTGACATGCAGTCAAATGTAGATACAAGGCGTGTTACATGATCTCTTTACCGAGGGATATGTCAAGTAAACTGTCTGACTGTCGAGGTGGACGAGGTATATGCTCTGGAATAGGAGTATGGCGCAAGTGGATCTCGGCTCCACTCAATAACTCGGCGAGGCACATTTATATCCAATAAGTCGACAGCCACTTATCTCGCGCCCTTTGTACTTGGTGACTTGTTAAAAAACATATTCGGCCCCATCTACTACTACTTGGTGGCATGTCTTTTTCATTCTGAGGCCTGTCTTGTTCCTCCTTCTGTGTGGAAGTGACTCTTGTGACAGCATCGTCAAGTGTCATTCGCACAGAGCTGATTCTAACAGCCACGCGGTTATGGTGCGAGTTAAAGACGGCCAAAAGGCCAAGGCTCAATTGAGCGCGGATGACAGCTATGACCGGTACCGGGGATTTCAATGGCGGCCGTTGTTGCTGCTGGTTGCGGCCGTTGGTCTCGGAATGGCACTGAAAGACGACTTTTCCAGACCAGACCGATACCTGTTCTCTCTGGTTCCCTCGTCTTTTCTCTCATTGGATCAGCGTGTCGCAAGGATCATGGCCGGGACCCCTCTAATAGGTGAGTATCAAAACCCCATCCTACCCACCCTTTTGTGGCCTGGGCTGGGTCCATGCCTCCATAAGTTCATGGGGACGTTTGCCAGAGTCGTTCCAGCTAACTGAGCGACCACCACCCACCAACTAGACGGACATGATGATTTGGCATGGAGTATACGCTCGCACTTCCAGAACCACATCTACGACCAGGACTTCCGCTCGCGGTTCGAAGGCGGTGGGATGCCGGACCATAACGACTTGGCCCGGCTGAAGGAGGGCGGGCAGGGCGGGTTCTTCTGGAGCTGCTGGGTCGAATGTCCGGCCGACGGATTCGACTTTTCTAATGAAAATTACGCTTCCAGTAAGTGTATTTGAATGCTTTAAAATGGGATGAGCAATTTTCCCCCCTCTAATATTTGCATGGCAGCCGTCGTCCTCGCACTTTCACAAATCGACCTCATCCATCGCTTGCAGGCCGCCCATCCAGACGTCTTTTCTCCCGCCACGCTCGACAGCACCGCAGCCCTGAAGGCTTTCAGGCGTCACGGCAAGCTGCTCTCCCCAATCGGGCTCGAGGGACTGCACATGATCGGCAGGAATGCCTCCATGCTGCGTCTCTACCACAGCCTCGGAGCCAGATATGTCACCTTGACGCACAATTGCCACAACGCCTTTGCAGACGCTGCGCAGCTGGCGGTCCACGAGGAACCACTCGATCTGGGAGCCGCCATACCTGCAGCGCCGCACTGGGGCGGATTGAGTCCGCTGGGCACCAAGCTCATACGCGAGATGAACCGTCTGGGCATGATCGTAAGTGGGAGGACTCCTCCACTCCATATGAATGAACCCCGGGTCTCGAGACTGATCAGTGTCGTCTCTGTAGATCGACCTGGCCCACGTCCATCCCGCGACAATGCACGACGTGCTTGCGGGCAACCAAACCAAGGGGTTTCCCGGGAGCCAGGCGCCGGTCATCTTCTCGCACTCGTCGGCGCACGCGCTGTGTCCTCACCCGCGCAACGTCCCGGACCACATTCTCCCGCTGGTCAAGCAGACCGACTCGGTAGTCATGGTGACGTTTGTGCCCGAGTTCATCTCGTGCGTCAACGCCACCGTCCCGGACACCCTGCCGGCCTTCTACCCGGCCAACTCGACCCTCGCCTGGGTCGCCGACCACATCATGTACATTGGCGGCAAGATCGGGTTCGAGCACGTCGGCATCGGCAGCGACTTTGACGGCACCCCGACCACGCCCAGCGGACTGCAGGACGTGACCAAGTTTCCCGACCTGTTGAAGGAGCTGTTGAGGCGCGGCCTGAGCGACGCCCAAGTCGAGGGCATCACGGGTGGCAATCTCCTTCGTGTGTGGAAGAGGGTCGAGGAGGTGGGAGTCGAGATGCAGCGCGAGGGTGTCTTGCCGATGGAAGACGACATCTAGGTGCCGAGACAAAAAGTTATTCATCTTCTACTTAGATGAAACTTCCTCAGGGCAAGTTTACCAAAGCCATGTCAGGAATGAATTGGGAGGAAAATGCACCACCTCTCCGGACCCGATTTCGGTGTTTTTTCCGGTGGCAGGTTGTTCCACATATGGATTTGGTTTTGTCCTTTCGCACGGTATGTATCGCGCGACAAGACGCAGCCAGCAGCGAGACGAATGATGAGGGAAGCGGAAAATGGGTTTGTTAGGAATGTTTGGAATAGGTTCAGCTGGGATACCACACCAATTCGACATGCCTCAGATCTCGATGGAACAAACCGAGTGTTATCATCATTAACCACGAGAAATGTTATTTTGTTCTAGAACTATCGAACTGTCGAACTGACAAGACTGGTATTCGAGACGGGCTCGAACTGTTCTGTAGCAGGACTGTCACCCAGCGAGCCCATGCAGTGACCTGATGGTATGGTTTGATCGAAGCTTTGAGAGACCTGGGGTAACACAACGCTTGATACATACTTGCCTTGTCCACCAAAAACAATGGAGAGCATTGATTATTGTACCTTCCTCAGAATATTCCCCATCCCTCCAACGCCTTTAGCGTCATTGCCCTGACCATACGAGTTCCGAGTAATACTGTAAGGCTGTCGTGGCCTCGTAGACTCCGTGGCCGTGGCCGTGGTCGCGGTGCCCTAAAATAGGCACTACCTAGTATTAATGCCGTCAGGCCGTTTACGAGGCATTGCCGATCACCACCTACTCGTACACGCTACTTGTGCAGGGGTTCGTTCAACACGCGAGGAGGACCTAAAACGTGCTCAGAGGTCGTCACACACATGCACGGGGGGGCCGAAATGCTCCGTTTTGCGGAATGGTGTGGGAATGTCTTTTGCCCGTTTTTGTGGCACGCCGCGCGATGCTCAATGGAGGCGCATTTCTCGAGCCAGCCAGCCAGCTGCCACCCAACGAACGTCACGGCAGCGCAGCGCAACGCAGCCGAGCCGCGCAAACTTTCGTTTCACCCACCACCTCCACCACCAAAAAAAACCACCGAAAGGATGACATGACATGAGCTGATGATCTTCTTCGCGCGCTTTGTTTCCTTCAATGATTGAATTGACGGCCCTTTTTTTTTTTTTTTTTTGGATTTGTACATACATACATAACATACACAGACACACAGACATACACATACATACATAATTGCCCTCGAGCGCTGGTAGCATCCATATCTTTTGGAAACAGCTTTGTCCTGTCCCCTCCATCCCTTCACTCCAACTCAGAAATAGAGCGTCTCTCTTTTCTTTCACCATAATATCACCCTCTGCTGCAGCATTGAGCTTTTGCTTGGTGGTGACTGACTACCTGCGTCAAAACGTCAATATCTTGGAATTTTGGCCCGACGTTAAATTTCTGGGAAGGGAGAGCAATATGGACATCATCACACCTCAACAGCGGAAGAAGATCCTGCGTGTGCTCTTCATCTCATTACTTCTGGACCTGGTGAGTGCGGACTTAGCTAGTAACACATGGTGAATGTCATATGCTTACATGGTCCTCTAATTGGCAGATCTCATTCACATTCATCCTCCCTCTCTTCCCCTCGCTGCTCGCCTTCTATCGCGGCCTCGAGACACATCCAGACTCGGCACTGAATCGCATCCTCCACTACCTGAACGCGTACAAGTCGTCCTTTGCCGTGCCCATCAATGAGAAATACGATATAATCCTGCTCGGAGGCGCCCTGGGCTCTCTGTTTTCGTTTTTGCAAGCCCTCGCATCGCCCATCATTGGACGTGCGTCGGACAAATATGGTCGAAGAACGGCGCTGCTGTGGAGCATGTGTGGCAACATTGCGAGCGTGGCGCTCTGGTGCTTCGCCGTGGATTTCCGCACCTTTCTACTGAGCCGAATCGTGGGCGGGCTGAGCGAGGGCAATGTTCAGCTGGCGACGGCCATTGCTACGGATATCAGCACCGAGGAGCAAAGGGGGTCGACCATGGCCCTTGTGGGCGCATGCTTCAGTATCGCCTTCACCTTTGGTCCCGCCATGGGCGCTGCCCTGGCCAGTGTCACCACTGTAATCGCCAACCCGTTTGCCACGGCCGCCGGCTTCTCGCTGCTGCTGATCGTCGTCGAGACGCTATACCTCTATTTCCATCTTCCAGAGACAAGGCCCGTGAAAAGGGCGACTTCCGACTCAAAGACCACCAAGTCCGGCTCATCGAAATTCAGTCATACAAACAATCCGGTCGTTTTGAATGCGATCCACCTCCTGTTTCTCCTACCATTTTCGGGGATGGAATTCTCCTTGCCATTCTTGATCACGTCTGTTCTCTTTCCAGACCACCAGTCACCGTCGAAAGTCAATGGGCGATTGCTGGGGTTTGTTGGATTGATTGCCTCGTTGCTTCAGGGGTCCATCGTCCGTCGCCTCCCGCCACTGACGGTAGTAAAAACAGGTGTTGTCTCCAGCACTTTGGCCTTTTTCCTGCTGTCTCGCATAGAAAACACCACTGGCTTGTACTGCGCAGGCGCACTACTTGCGGTGACCTCGGCTACGGTTGTCACCGGGCTGAACAGTTTGGGGAGTTTTGAAGCGCGAGAAAGTAATCGAGGAGAAGTTCTGGGAGCGCTGCGGAGCTGGGGACAGTTTGGGAGAGCACTGGGTCCTATTGTGTTCTGCAGTCTGTTTTGGTGGGCTGGTCGTGAGACGGCCTATGTGATCGGAGGCAGTGCCATGTTGGGCGTGACTATCCTGGTGTTCACCATGTTGAAGGCTCCAAAAGTTGAAAAGAAACGAGCATGATGTGGTAACGAGAATGAAATGGTCAGATGAGACATAAAAAATGATACAAAAGATCAAAAGTGAAGGACGAAAGTGACGGTTCTGTTCTGTGACAGGAAACATGGCCGACTTCCCGCCGAGATCGACTTCTGTGCGCAGCTGCGCCAGTGCACATTTTCTCTTTTCTCCTCGCGCACTTTCTACCGCCCGACCTCGAAGTCTTCCGTTCTCTCTCGACTGCATCGATCCCAGGCTTTCGGTCAATTCTGGCCAACGTCTGATTGCTATCCATCTTCGACGCATTTACTGGCCCTCCTCACTCTTTCGAAATTACAACGTTAGTCGCTATTTGCTCCAGCCGACCTTTGTCTGCTGCTCACGCATTCTTAGGGCACAACGCGTCTATTTATCTTGTTACCAGATATTTCCGATCTGAGTGTCGCCTGCTCATCACGACACTTGTTTCCCACAGCTATTACTCGCGTAAGACTCTGAGCAAAGGTGGGTGCTGCGCTCGCTTGTCTCCTGAGATCCAGACAAGGCTGACGCGTGCTGTAGTACACAAACTTACTTCCACTACCGGCCTGATGTCGCGTTCCGACCACGAAAGGAGCATTGAACAACAGCAGAACCATTTTGTGCTTCTGGTAGAGCGACTGCGCTGCTACGGGCGTCGTTGCTCCTTTCCCGCATGTTGTGAATCAGCTCACACGCGTCAGAATGGATCTCCCCAGCCAAATGACCTCCTCGCACAAACCAAGGCAAACGACGAGGCTATTGCTCGTCTGCATCAAGCATGTACGACACTGGGAGTCTCTGACCACGTCGAGGAATTTGCGCAACATCTCTTTCGGGATTTCTTCATGCCTGTCACCCCCGAGGTCGTCGGCGTGATGGAGAGGGCAGGTATCGCAGCTTGTATCTGGACCTCTTGTTCCGAACACAATCCCGACATCAGTAAAGACCAGGTTTGCCTCGCCGTCAACATCGGGATGGAGGGGATGGAGCCTCTGCAGTATTCTCTCGAGAAGGTGCAGGCGTCCTATGCCAAATCCAGAAATCGGTATTTCAAGCGCAAACTTCGTGCCAGGTCAGTAGCAAGAGGTGCCGTCTATGACCACGCCACCAGACGAAGGAGGAGGTTGTGTGGCAGAGATGTGACTGGGGAGCTGAGAGCGCAGATCTTCATTCTGGCTAGTCGGTTGTGATGGTGCACAGAGCTCCAAGACTTTGTTGCCAACACGAACGCCGCTCTTCTGGGGATGAACCGTCTCACGCATATGCTGGTGAGTGGATAGGTTTCTATTTGTGCAGATGGCTGGCGAGGTGTCGCACTTGAAGTTGTGCAAAATCGTTTAGAAGGAAAAGAGGTACGGAGGTACAGCACAAATGTCGGTGGGTGTGTTGTCCTTTGATGATTGTTCCTGGAGGAGGGGGATTTGATATGCGACAGTCAGTGGTGAACAAGCAAGAGGCTGTGCTGCTGAGGTAGGGCATCAGTGGCCCGTGATTGTGGCTCGTGCACGAAAGCAAGGCAATGTCTTTATGATGCTGTTGATGCTGCATTGCTGTCCTGGTCTTTCTTTGTGAGAAGCCACCGCTTCGGATTGTCCCCGTCTTTGTTCTATTGCCGTGAGGCAGTCGTCGCAACTGACTATCATCCCAGCATGGACGCAATAGACATGACCGACATATGTCGCTCTGTCTCTATACCGTCCCCTTACTGACTGGGTGTGTGAGCCCTTCTCTGACACCCCTGGTATTGTCCTCCTACTGCTCTGTTCATGATCTATCTACTTGCCTCATACAGGGCCATGCGTTTCCACGTCCAGGAAGGGTGAGTGAGTGTCTCAGTTCTCGTCCCTGGTTACCCTCCTTGTATACGCTTGCCACGCGCCTCCTCTGTCTGCTACCGACAACAATCGTGACCCCCGACCTTCTTGTCGGGACATGTAAAGGCGTCGCGTGGCTAGCCTACGCCGAGACCTCAATTTTCTCAATATATTCATTCACACACTCTCTCTATATCTCACACTGTCGCTCTGTCACTCACTCCGTCACACGATTCATTTTCCTTTTCTTTCTTCTTTTCCTTTCTTCACCAAACTCCAAAGAATCCCGAAGCGAACCGTTCTCCCCTCAACCAACCGACTCTACCCATCCCGCTTGTTTCCAGCAACCCCGTCTGAGGATTTAAGCCGCCCAGTCCTTTCTCAAACCATGCCTTCTTTCTACATGTCGGCGGCCCGTCGGAGGGCGGAGAGGCGGAGGAACGCTCTCCCCACCGACGACTTCCTCTGGGACATGGCCAACCACTTGAAACGATCGAGAGAGCTGGCGCCAGCCAGCTCGCCAGGACGGTCGCCAGCACAGTCACGAGGAGGGTCGTCAGCTGGGTCGCCAGGACGGACGCCACAACGGTCGGAGCGACCGTCGCCGCCGGCTCAGTCTTCTGGGCGTTTGTCAGGACGTTCACCTATCCGGTCTCAAGGACGTTCGCCAGCACGCCAATCAGTAGGGTCGCCTAGACGCTCGCCACGACGTTCGCCAGAACGGTTGCAGTCACGGTCACGATCGCCAGAACGGTCGCCTGCACAATCACAATCACCACCACCACCACAAGCGCACTCACAAGAGCGGGCGAGCGAGCGCAAAGAGCGCAAAGCCCTGATGGACAGACTGTGGGACCGGGCCGACGCGCTGCGCGAGATCGACGAGGAGCGGGAAGAGCGCAAGACCGAAGCCCACGCCGCCATCGAGCGGTCGAGACGGAGGATCGTCGACGGCCCCACGGACGAGGAGCGGCGGGCCGCCACGGAGGCACATCTGGCCAGGTACACCGAGGAGGAGAGGACCGGACACAAGTGCGGTCCGTCCTGCGAGGAACACCCCTTTGGGGGCTGGGACTTTGGGATTCCCGGCTCGGATGGCGAGAGGGAAGTCAATCCTTTGGATTTGTTGGATTGATCCAATCGGCATGGGGGCAGAGAGGAGAAAGATAGAATGACGAGGGGAGAAGAAAAAGAGGGTTTGGGAATATCGAATCACAACTGACCCCACCGCCTGGCAGGAGATGTCATCAGCAATGGACCTCCTCGACGCTCACGTCGAGGGGCGTCAGCTTTCAAGAGACATCTTTCTACGTACGTCCTGAGTGGTTGGGCTTCATGGGCGGATCATGATATGAATGATCTGGAAAAGAGGAAGAGAAAAAGGGAACGAGAGAGAGACTGGTCTTCGACTGGAATTTACAGTCAAATACACACAAAACTGTAAATGGGTGCTTCGTGTGTAATTCAGCATCTATCGCTCCAACTTCACGTTCGTATCCTTCTTCCTGCGCCTCTCCTAGGTCGGGTTTTCATCAGGTAGTGGGGCGAGGCATAGATTGAAAACGTCGCTCTGGCCAAACAGAAAAGAGGACGTGCGACAAGGGGAGCTCGGTCATTGCCTATATGGCCGCCTTTGCGTAATCATCAGACATTGACCCCGACCTGGGGCATTATGGATATCTAGGATTTGCTCGTCGAGGGACGGAGATTCCTGCTCAACTTGTCGTGTGTGAGTATATTCGTCGCTGTATACCCGCAGAGATTATAGTGGTTTGGTGTCTGCTCTCGTGAAATAGGGACCATGGTAGAGGATAAAGGCCGTGGCCGACGGGGATGTAATGAGAGGATTTGAGTGGCGGTGGATAGATTTGTCAGTAAGGCTTGAAAGAAAAGTCGCCAAAATCGAGGTTGGACACTAGAAGGAACGCATTGGCCATCAGTCATGTTCTTCGATCTCCTTCAAAACAAGGGGCTGCCATGAGCGGGAACGCGAGAGGGAAAAGGGGGTCTCGCTTGAACCGGGGTGTACTTACTCTGTTCGAAAGCACCATAGGCTTCGTCGATGTGTTCGTTAATATAAGAGCTCATCTGGTTGTTGTGGTATAGCGATTCGAACTGTAGGTATGAGACGACGGGCTGCTGGTCCGGCACTTCATCGGCGATACGGTCCTGGTAGTCCAAAGCCGACAGCGTGCCTACGCGTCCAGAGCCCGAGCTCGCAGTCGCCATACCCGCTTGGAAAGGAGTCGATTTGGACAGCACACTGGACTCTCGCTGTGGCCGAGCGTAGTCACCACTATCCTGTGAGTGCCTCGGGGTGAGCGCAGGAGCCAGCAGTCGGTCCTTTGGTACGGCCGTGTCTGGCGGCCGCAGAGCATTGTCCATCTCCCGTTGCATCGTCTTCTTATACAGCCTCGTCAGCATCTGATCGGTGTGTTTGGCGATCTTGCTCTCGTCCTTGATGGCCCTGCACGCGGCAATGATCCGGAGCACCCCTGCCTTGGCCTCGCCTGCCACCTGACTGTACGGCTGACAAGTCGGCGCGATGCAGAGGATCACGCCGGCCGTGAAGAGGTGCATGAGCACAAAGGACTGCGCGAGGTGACCCTCGAACTCGTGCACGGGCACCCGCGACATCCGCAACGCGGCCCGCACCGAAGTACCTAGAGAGTCGGGAACATCGTCAAGGCCGATCTTGTCATTGCCTTCCTTTGGCGATATGGAGATTCGGAGTTTGAGCAGGGGTCGATGGGCCCAAACGCGGGCCGCGTCGTACAACAGTTGGAGGAGGAAGCCTTGCAACCCGATCTTCCTCCTCAAACTGAGCTCCTCCGGACTGCACTGGTCGAGTTCGAGGACGTTCCAGGGATCATCGGCCGGCCACTGCGAGGATTTGAACACTACGGGTAGATTGTCATGCCACTGCTGCAGCATGACTTCCGTGGAGTTGACGACTTGAATCAAGGCCTTGAGATCCTGGACAGATACTGGGCTCTGAAGTTGCAGGACCTTGAAGCTCTGTAATGTCTGGCGAATGATGTCGTAAAGCTCAAACTTTAGAGTATGATAGGTCAGGAATGACACAGGTCGACCGGGCACTTGAAAGACGGGGAGGGCTGCCGTGCCTTCGGGGAGGTCGGTATCGTCCAAGTCTGCGAGCTTTTTAAATTGAGCAAAGGCCGGGTCGAGCGATGCGGGACGGCCGAATATCATTGAGGAGAATTGATCGGACACGACCAAGTGGTTCCAACACCGATTACTCACTTCCCGAGCCACCTCATCCATTTTCCGAGCTTTGTCGCAGTGGAGCGCCAGCGCATACGCCGTTCTGGTGGACACACCCGACACGTTCCAGGCATAGGTGGATGAGCCATAGTATACGTGGTAAATAGTCAGCAGCATGCAGATCTGAAATACCTCGATGCGCGACTCCAGCATCAGTTCGTAGAAGCGTGACGAGATCTGCGACATGAGGTCCGAAACGAGTGACTCGGCCGTGACCGCGTAGGCCTCGAGTAAATGATGGCCTTTCCACGTCTTGTCGTGTTCAACACAGCGCAAGCCCACCGCCGCCACGACCGCCACGAGAAGCACATCGCACAGCTCGTCGCGTCTCCAAGCAGTTTGTCGGAGGATGTTTTGAGTCCGAATCGCGAACGACGGCCGGTGGAAGAGCATGATGTACCAGTTCACCCTGTCGAAATAGGCATCCACGGCGATCTGGAGGATGGTCTGCGAAGGCAACGGCGTCAAAATAGAGCCCAAAGACTGGGGGTCGGCGGCTGAGCGTCCTGCATCGCCTGGAATGGCTCCACTGGCTGGCGAGTCGCTATCGTCGTCTTCCCCGAGCAAGATCTTCGCGAACCCCATCGACGAGTCATTGGCGCCATACTGCTGGCTTTCCTCAGGACTGGTCCTCGTGATCTCGGCCGCATCGAGCCTGGCACTGTCAAAGCGCGAGGAGCCTGCGGTGTGCGTAGTATCGTTCAAGGGGCTACAAGTGGTACTCATCGGAACCTGCGGGGCGCCATGTTGAGCATAACTTGAAGCAGCCAGTGATGCCGTCACTTTGGTCCGACGGCTGACATCTGAATGGTCTGATCTCTTGCGCTTCAATGAAGCATCCTGTGTCGACAATTGCGGCTCACATGCGACGCCGGCCCTGACACAGAGTATGCATGGCTTCTCCACATCACACTAAAATTGTGTATACTCGTGTGTCAGCATTCGCCGGGAAGTTGCGGAAACGCGAGGCGCAGAGGTGGGTAGAAAGATACCTTGAGCTTCTGACGGCGACAACGGTCGCACGCCCATGCAAGCCGGGAAGAACGTTGGGTGGGATCCATAGCACCAGGCAAGCAACTTGGTTTGTGGTCACGCAGTCAACTATCTCACCGACCGGTTGCCGTGTAAATGAGGACGTCAAACATGGGGTATGAAGGATTGCTGCCGCTTGCCAATTTTGGTCATGAAGCGATTCGTCTGCGTAGGTCGGCAACGTTGCTTGTTAGGTGAGGGGATGCTCGAGACGCGAGGCTCACACGGAGAATAATGAGTCTCCGAACTTGAGGTCTGAACTGAGGTTGGGGATCCCCCGTCTCGGCGGGTACCGGGCCAGAAAGTATGCCAAGACGAAGCGCGTTAGTGCCCACACTAGCGGGGTTGTCAAAAAAAAAATTTGAAGACTACATATCATTCACTACCCAAATACCATGCAACAGTCACAACAGGAGACATTCCTCTGTGGCGCAATTGGCTAGTCGGCAGTTGATGCTTCACGATCTAGATGTCTGATGAGACGCGGCTGGTATAGTTAGCCCTTGGAGCTAGCCCAAGGATCGACGCCAACCCCGGAAATATTGCGCTCCGGGCACGATGAAGCCCTTGTCCGGTGGACGTGTGTAGCTGGTCCAGCAGCCTTTCCCCGCATGAAACTTGATTCCTACTGCCCATGTAGGAACCACGTAGATATGCTCGTGTATGCTGCTCGGCAATATCGGGACCTATCGGCATATTCTCTTTCAACATAGTTAGGCGAGAGTGAAAAACCGAGGTCAACAACTCGTGATAGTACCCGTAAGGTTTTGGATGATGATCACCATTGCCGCCGAACAATTGGGACCATCATGAAGCTAGTGCGTGATACAATAAATAGCAGAGGAGAGCGTTGAGACAGGTAGTCCGGCCTGTTGATACATGACCTACTCTGTTGCATGCCGTTTCTTCAGGGGAACTGCAGAGATATGTCGCTCTTCCTATTGGATCTATTTCGGTAGAAAATGGATGGGCGTATCAGCCTCGTCGATAGCACCATATATTCTTTGTGCGCGGGTATGAAGTAGGTGTGTCCCTCGAATGCAATCACAGCCTTCAGCAAATGAAGCTTAGGGGAGAAGCTTCTTTTAGAGTACGAGTAGCTCATGAGCTAGTCCCTATCGGGACAATTAGCACCATCACATCATTGCTAATGTTGCTTTCCTCATCCCCTTCCTCACTTCTACTCGGTACCTGCTATATCTTCGACGCAGTCCTCGATTCGGACGTCTTATGCAAACTGAATCAATTATCTTCCTTTCTCCATCTTGTCGGCAAACGAACCTCCGCGACTTTTGGAGAACTTCTATTTCCACCGGACGACATCTCCGCCGGAGAGAGTCTAGCCCTGATGAGGAAGCTCGCCTGCTACATGCCGCCCAGTGATTGCTCCCAATCTCTCCTCCTTGTGTTCTCTGGGAAGCTACAAGTAGGCGACAGAAAAATGGGGGAAGAAATCAATGACTTGCCCCTGCTTCGCTCTCTCACCCCGCGTTGCATTTTACGCCGAGTGACCGCAAAGCCGGGGTAAGCACACAGCGAAGGTCCGTATAAAACCCCCCTCGGTTCAGGGCTGTTGTCCCATTACAGAGGGAGGAAGCCGTTGTATCTTCTCTGTGTGTTGCCAGTAGTCTTCGGCTCTCGACAGTGGCTAACATGTTGCGTGTGACAGGCTTGCTTCTTGCAGGAGCCATCTGTTGTCTGACAGCTCCCGCGCCCACGTTGCCAACGGTGGACCTGGGCTATGAATTGCACCAGGCGACATACAATGTGAGAAATAGATACATCCTGTCGAGAACCTGACGTGCCCTAGATGTTGAAGTTTATACAGGAGTCCGGCCAATACTACAACTTCTCTAATGTGCGTTACGGCGCCCCTCCACTCGGGAATTTGCGCTTTTCTGCTCCAGTCGCCCCAAGCACAAATGGTACCAAGGTGTTCAACAATGGCTCCAGAGCTGTGACTTGCTTCCAGGTACTGCCGGCCTGGGGCATTTACTCCGCAGATTGGATTGCCAATGGGACAGCCGCTTTCAATATCTCCGCAGGATACCAGGTTCCGCCACTTGCTGCAACACCACCGCCCGACCCAACAGCCACCGAGGACTGTTTGTTCCTTGATGTCATGGTGCCGCAAGATGTATTTGAATCTGCTGGTCAAGGAGCCGGGGCACCAGTGTAAGCGCATCCGGCCGCAGAATGGATAAATTGCCCTACTAACAGACAATCCAGGATGGTGTGGATCCATGGAGGAGGATATACTCTGGGATCAAAGACTCTGTACAGCCCTTCAGCGGCGGGCCTTATCAAGGCAAGCCAGAGTCAAGGAGGGAAGGGTATAATTTGGGTTGCGATGAACTATCGCCTCGGAGCTTTCGTATGCCTCGACACACTGTTTCTTAGAATTGATCTTGTCCTAACACTCTTGGTCAGGGATTCCTCTCTGGTCCAACATTTCAGGCCTCTGGAACAGCAAACGCGGGCCTCTATGACCAGCGCCTGGCCCTTGAATGGGTACAACAACATATTGCCAAGTTTGGTGGAGACCCGAACCAGGTTACCGTGATTGGAGAGTCAGCCGGAGGAGGCAGCACCATGCACCAGATCACGGCATTTGGAGGCCTGAAAGGAAAGGTACCATTTCAGCAGGCTATCGTTCAGAGCCCTGGATTTCAAATGTCGCCGAGCGTGACCCTGCAAGAGGCCGTTTACTCCCGTTTTCTGGGAATAGCCGGGATCAACACCCTTGACGAAGCTCGAAACTTGTCGACCGAGGCACTTTCACTCGCCAATTATAAGCTTGTCGGCGGATCGAGCCCATATGGCTCATTTACTTTCAACCCGGTCGTGGACGGTGCTTTTGCCCCCGATCTCCCGGGACAGCTGCTTCTTCACGGAGGGTTCGACAAATCACTCAAGATCATGGCCGGTCACAACATCAATGAAGGCATTGGATTCATGGATCCCTTTGCTCAAAATGAAACCGTATTTGAAGCTGATCTTCGCGTCTACTTCCCCACCATCACAGACGCCATCATCCAATACATCTCCCAGACACTATATCCGCCCAAGTTTGACGGTTCAGTCGGTTACATCAACCCCACAGGACGAGCGGCATTGATGATAACAGAGGCGTTCTTCACATGCAATACCAACTTCCTGGCTCGCGCTTACAATAACAGTGTGCACAACTATATATTCAGTGTTCCGCCCAGCCTCCACGGAGACGATGTGGCCTATACATACTATGACGGTCCAAATCCCTTGGTCAAGAATGATACATTGGCGGTCATTATGCAGAGATATTTTACGAACTTTGTCATGATGGGCGATCCGAATGGAGCAGGGCTACCGCCATTCCCGACATATGGTGCAAATACCATGGTGCTGAATCTGAACCTGACGACGATTGGCCCAATCAAGGACAATGCTGCAAATGAGAGATGTTTGTGGTGGCAGAAGGGTTTGTATGCTTGATACTGTGGTTCAGCTAGTTATCCCAACAGCATACAGACAGTACGCATAATATCTACAACAGAGCTTGTTGACCACAATGTTAGCTTCACAGCCTCGTACTGCCCCTGGGAGTCGTGCAAGGCTGACAAGGGGGAGGAGCCTCGGGGAAAATCATTGATGCGGACTTCTTGACCGAAGGCTCGGAAAAACTAGGGCGGAGGCCGGATAAACGTTTCGATGTCAAAGTCTCCCTCTTCCGTTAAATCTCTCACATATCCAGACATGAGCTCGAAAATATCATCACGCGTTTCTTTTGTTTGCCCCTGATTCTTTTCGCCTGAGCCTAAGACCGAGGCAAAAGAAAGGTGATAAAGAACCTGCTGGTAGAAAGAAGCCCGAGTCACGGCATGATTTGCGAAAATGACACAAACTCCTGCAAAGCAATGGTTCAAGTACAAAAGTAACTCCACACACCCATCATCTCGATGCTTCCAAGGTGAGGAACTTTCCGCGTAACTTTCTCTTATCTACATTCACAAGTACAAATACCTGCACACAACTATAACGTCACATTGCCATTGTCGTCATTGCTGTACAAGTACACACACACACACACACACACACACACACAACTATCACTGCCAGAATTCTCGAACATTTAGCGGCATGGAGACTCCTCTGTCAACAGACAAAGAGCACCACGCCATGGACCTCGAAAAGGGCTTCCCGTCTTCAAGCCTACCCCTGCCGACTCGACTCCGGCTCTGGTTGACATCCGACATCGATACGCGGTGGGCGGACACGATCCTTCTGGCATGTTTCTTCGTGACGGGAATGGTGGACTCTGTGGCGTTTAATACTTGGAGCTGTTTTGTGGGCATGCAAACTGGTAAGAGAGGCTCGATCTAGGAAAGGGACCAAAGTTGGGAGGACCTAAAAATATTAACGACGATAATCATTGCAGGAAATACCATCTTCGCCGGCCTCGGCGTAAGTGATCTCCCAGGCAACGTGCCCAGGCACACTTGGACAAAGTCATTGGTCGCCATCCTCTCCTTCTGCCTGGGCGCGCTCTGCTTCTCGCGGTGGCATCGATACCTCAGCCCCCTGAAGCGATGGGTCATTGCGTCTTCCTTCTTCGTCCAGACCGCCTTGATGATCTTGACCGCGGCCCTGATTTCCGGAGGCGTGGTGTCCAAGAACCAGGAGACGACGGAGAGTGGTGGTGGCGGCCGGGGCACTTTCCCCTGGCGCGAGCTGTGCCCCATCGCCCTGCTGGCCTTTCAGAGCGCGGGTCAAATCGTGGCGAGCAGGGTGCTCAAGTACAACGCCCTGCCGACCGTGGTGTTGACGAGCCTGTTTTGCGACTTGATGGGGGACCCGGGCCTGTTCACCGCGGGATTACTGGAGGATCCGGACCGGAACAGACGGGCACTGGGGGCGGTGTTGTTGTTCGCAGGCGCCGCCGTCTCTGGTGCCCTGATCAAGACTTCGGTCGGATACGATGGGGCATTGTGGGTCGCGACGGGCGTAAAGTGCGCCATGGTGTTGGCTTGGCTGGTTTGGCGTCCTAAAAGGCAGCAGGAGCAGAAATGAGCGATGAGACTCAGACCACACATCACTCGCACTCCCTGTGATGGAGCCTGGCTCCTCGAAACTGTGGACTCCTACTCGCGGGGTCGAGACAAGGGGTCTCAAACCTATCACGGGCTGTGTTTACGCCTCCGCTAGAGCCATGTGCTCCAGCCCCAGTGTCAGGTCCAGCGCCAGTCCCAGTCCCAGGTACGGCTCTCGCTCGCCCAGACTATACGCATCGCGGCACAAGCATGGCGAGACGAAGCTTCGGTCGAAAGTGCTACCCGGCAAATTCCTACTCCGATTCGTCAACCGATTCGAGCACAACATGTGCCTGCAATGTGCGGAGAATACAAACTTCGACAAGGCTAGCTGGCAGGCTCCTCATGAAGAGGGTACAGCACAGCATATCTCTGGTACTCCCCAGGAAAGCCAGCACTCCAGTGCAAAGACGCTCAAAATGTGTCGTCACGTCAGATAACAAGCCTCCAGGTGGCCACGTCCATTTGCAAGGCCGGATACACAAGCTTGTCATGATGCATCTACAGTATCTTGTATCTCGTATCTTGTATCTTGCTTGCAGAGACAGAGACAGAGACAGAGACAGAGACACACATCTCACATCTTCACTCTCTTTCACTACAATGTTCGTATATTCGTATGTTCCGTCGCATCAAGCACCAAACAAGCTCGCGCAACACTCTGAGGACTACCTCGGTCGCAGCAGATCGTGCTGGACCAACATGTTGGTGAAATATCAAGGGTGGCTGGCTCCTTTGGGCTGGAGAAGTAGCCCCCTTTCGGCTCAGCCTTGTGTCAGTCAGTATCAACCCAACGGCAACCCAATAGTTGTATTGTCGAGGAACCATGTATCTATATTATCATCATTGTCGTCATCATTTGATTTGAGTCGAATTGAATCGATAGACACGCTCACAAGAGTCCGCAAAGCTAATCTTCCTCGATCCCCATCAACCTTCGCTCCGCCACCTCCCTGATCTTCTCTTCCAGTACCGTCCGCCCCCATCGTCCGGCAACCTTCGCTGCAGCCTCGAGCATCTTGCCGCTGCGGTCCTTGAACAGCCCGACAATCTCGAGTGCCTTCATGCCCCTCTCCTCGCCCTCGCGACACTCCACCGCCAAAAGCTGCAGTAAGATCTTGTCCACTTCGACCTCTCGCCTCATAACCTCCGTCTTCTGCGAGTGGCTGGCTTTCTGTTCCAGACTCTGAACATGATCATCAAGTAACCCCAATATCACAGAGCTGCGCACAAATGCTTCTTCCAACCTCGCAGCCGCTGCGGCATTGGATTCTTCCCTTTCTTCTCCCTCGACATCCTTGCTGTTCTCCACTGCCCGACAGACCGGCAAGTTAAAGTCGAACTCTGTGAGTAGAGGCCGAGGAAAGTATGGAGTCTTGTCTCCGCCTTTGAGGATGATGCAGTGGAATCTTTGGTCGGCCACGGCAACGGGCCAGTACGTCTCTTCTTTCTTCCCATCTTTTAACCGGTCAAGCGACCTCGTGTCAAGCAGTGGCACCCATTTGGCCTGCCCCAGACTACGCCAGTGCATAAGTGTCAAGAGCACACCATTGCTGTCGTAGATACACGGGTCTCCTGAATCGCTCCAGAAGAGGTTCTTTAAGCTCACATCCTCGTCGTCAGAGTCCGATGGGACGGTGCCCAACGCGAGGACATCTTCGTTTTGACAACTCTCGTCTCGGCGCACGTTGTCAATGCTGTAGTTAAGCTGGGTGCACCCATCGGCACCGACAGGGCCATTCCCAACTGTCATAACATAATCACCCCATGCGGCACATGTGACAGCAGGAGTACTCTTCATACGCCAAATCCGAACGGGTGTCCCAAACAAAGTCCATACCCGTACGTAGTTCTTGTTGGTGACAGCCACGATGTATCTGCTGCTGAGAGCGATGCAGATTGCTTCCTCGCCATCAGGCAAGTTGATGCGCATCTCGGACCGCGTGGTCCAGGTTTCGTGGGGTCGGTAGAAGATTACTGCGGGTTGGCCGTCCCGCGGAGGACTGGAGAACAGTGTCCCATTTTCGTTCAAGCATGCTTTGTCGTAGAGGAAGGCGTCAGTAAAATGGAAATCTCGGTACATCTCGCGGTCATAGAATTCCACCGTCACCGTATGATGAGTGTCCTGGTCCACGGTCCAGACAAACCCAATCAAATTGAGACACAGGTATTTGCGGTTGCCTTTCCAAGGGGTTGCTCCTGGTTGAAATGGCTCATGGACCTGCGGTTGCCAGGAGTCCTGCTTGTTGCGCTTTGGCAAAGGGTGTGTTATGTCTCCAAGATGTCCATTGGTCCTCTTGCCGTTTTCATTGATATACCCTGCACCATCGTCATCTTCTATCCAATCGTATTCTTCTTCCGGTCCAAGAAGCTCGTCGAGACTGTCAGGAGTAGTTGCCCGCTTTGCGTGACCATTGACGAGTGGTTTCCGGCCATTCACGACTGCAGCTCTTTCAAGCAGCGGATCGTGGAAAAAGGGAGCGCCGACTTTGGGTCCTTTGAGCAACTTGACGTGGGCTTCGTCTTTGAGAAACTCCGGAATGATGAAGACTTCACCGTTCGAAGTCGTCCAATTGAAGATGTTCTCGCTGTGATTCTGCCACGCTACATTGAGGATGTTTGTGTAATTGAACCGCTTCAAGGGCTTCTGTGTTTTAGCGTCCCAGATGATGAGATACTCTGCGTCTGCCGAGGCTAACAAGGCACCATTCGGTGACCATGCCAGTGCTGTTATCTCCGCATTGTGCTCTCCCGAGAACGTCCGTTGGTGTGCGCCGTCCTCGACTGAGACGACCTGAATATCTCTTGTTGCTGTTGCACAAGCAAAAGCCCTTCCGTCAGGGTGCCACACGCAGCGGGAAGTGGCTGTTTCAGCCGTTTCAAGTCGAGGGATAACGCCGTCGAACGTACGGGATAGCTTTGGTTCGGCGGAACTCATGTCGTAGACGTAGATGACGCCATCAGTGCAGGATGCGGTTAGATATTTGCCAGAGTGGTCGTATGTTACATGTTTTATTGGTTTTGGGTGATCGCGTAGGACGAACATTCGCTCAATGTCATTCCGATTGACGACCTTGATTTCAAGCTCGCTAGAGAAGTCAGTGATGTCTGCCAGGTATGAGTGAGAATTGACCTACTCGCTGGACACTGCTACCCATTCTTCGTCCGGGGAGAGTGCAACATCTCTGATAGGAAGTGTGGTCCTGACAAGCATCTGTTTGAAATCTCCAGACGGGACTGCATATTCGCACACTGTTCCATCTTCGCAGCCAAAGATGGCGTATTTATTCTGTTCCCAGTCAGCCGACTTCACCCCGTCAATGTTCTTTTCGCTGGCGGCACCGTACTCCTGAAGCAATAGCAAATGTCTCTGCATGAGTCGAGGGTAACAAGTCGGGTTCGCCGTTGTCGTTAGTCCTGAAGGAACGAGCAAAGTCTCCAATGCCAGCTACGGTCAACCTCTGACCATCGGGCGAATAGTGAAGGTAGGTAGGGCCGGGGGGCTGCGCGGGGCGGCCAGGAAATGGAGGTCTCTCTGGCATCGTGACTATGTGTATCAAAGCAATGCTCACTTGTTCAGACTTGTTCGCTGAGACTGCTATCAATGACAAAAGAGCAATCAATTATCTGTGCTGGTCGCGTGGCCCCATGCACCGACGCGTCGACGCGTCCTGGATCTTCCGAAGTTGAACCGCGTCTCCACTCAGCCACTATAAACCCCGCATCTCACTGAGAGCGTGGAGGCCTTGAGATACAGATATCTGCGTACAGCTACCATGCATGGGATATACATATCGAGCAGGACATTGTTTGCATCAGAGTCAAATTCTCTGAAGATTGTTACTAATACATTACGTTGAAGCAAAAGGTCTATCATCATGTTCAAACATAAGACCCGATTGTCTGAACAGATCCACCCCATATGTAGCCCTCATATGAAACCGAATCTATCTCATCATATTGCTTGTCGAGTAGTCTTTGGTTTTCGTTATTAGATAAATAGCGCGCTGCGATTTGCTGACGCCTGTCGTTCATGGGGGATGCTCAGCGGATGTTCGCTAGGGGGAAGTATATGTGGCTATTGCTGCTTGTCGATGTCCTCAGAAAGGGATGGAAATGAGACCTGCGTTGGCGGCCAGGGTGAGAGCGCAGACATTGTGATATCGTCTTACTCGAGCAAAGGCTCTATAAAGCGACGGGAGCACCGACCGCAGACAAGAGCCTTGTCGAGGATGAGCGCAGTCAGCTGTACTTATAATTTCGAGCTGCCGGATTGGCCACGCCCCAATCCGCGGCTGTTGAAGAAAGATCACTGGCCGCGAGTCCGCCAATATGCAAGTGGGAGCTGTGGCATGGGTTAGATAGGATGAGCAGCCATAATTGGCTCTCCCTCAATACATGGTAGTCGTTAACAATATCCATCCTTGAGGCGGCGTCTGCCATCAGGAGTGGGAAATGGTGAGATAGGTGCCACGGCACGATCTGGTAACACTTCGGCATACTGCTGGGGATGATCGGCTGGTTCATGACACTAGATTTGAGATGAAGAAATGACAGTTGGCGCACAGATTTTCGTATCCAGTGAGTGACCACGGAGACCTCTCAGGTTTCCGGCGGCGTTTTCATCGCGGGTGGATCAGGAGGATAGAGACACTGGCGGATATGCGATATGACATCCTGGACATAGTCTCGAGCTTGGGGAAGCGCCCTATCCAGGTGCATGAAGTGGTGTGGCATGCCATTGAACCTTCGTAGGACAATCTTATTGCCAGCTTCCTCAACTTTCTTAGCATATGCTTCTGCCTCATCCCTCAAAGGGTCAATCTCTGCCGTAGCCACATACGTGATGGGAGCCAAGTTCTTGAAATCTGGAGCATTCATGGCATCGGCAAACCACGATATATCTCGCTTCTGTTCCTTGGGTTTTGTTCCCAGGTGTTGACTCGACAAAGACATCCACTTGAAAGTATCGAACCATTTCAATTTCTCCCAGTTGAGGAGGGGAGCGAACTCGGCTTCCCTCATACTCGGCCAAGGGCTCATGTCTGGTGTTGCGTACTTCCTTACGTCACTGATAGTAGGTGTAGCAACAACCACGCCCTTCAATTTGTCTCCAAACCCACCGTCACGGAACAGATGGTTCAGGATCAGAGCGATAGTCGCCCCAGAGGATTCGCCGCCAAAGGTCATGTTTGTAGAATCGATGGAGAATGTCTTGTGGTTGGCTAGGATGTGTCCGACAGCTGTGAGACTGTCCATGATGCCGATGGGAAAGGGATACTCGGGGATCAGCCGGTATTCAATGTCGATAACGCAACAGGGAACGGCAGCGCAGATGTGATGGCAGATGTGTGCGTCGGTCTCCAGGTCACCGACTGCCCAGCCTGACCAGAGTGTCAACAAAGATAATGGTCAATACGGTTGTAGATGGACTGAGTTACCTCCGCCATGGAAATTGAAATGGACGGGCCACACTTTGCGCTGCCCTGGCTCTTCACCCGGTGGGACGTAAACCCGTACATTGATATCCCCAGGATATTTATTCCAGCCTGGTACTTGGGTTTCCCCAATTCCTCCTACACCAGATGGCGGTGCTGCAGCATATGAATATAAGGCTGAATAGTTCTGGCGCACCACCGTCAGGTCGGTGGATGAGGGGGGTCCGTTCGCGATGTAATCATTGTATAGTTTCACAAAAGCGGGATCGAGCTTGTCAATCACCGACGGATGAATGGGATTGCGCAGAGGAATGCCGGGCGATTTGCCGTCCTCGTGTGGCAGTGTGCGGGCGTCGTGCATACGGACATCGTGGGTGGTGTTCATCTTGACGATCGTTGGCGCATGATCCAGTTGCGCACGCTTCGACCTGTTGCGCCTTACTGGGTAATATGTAACAAGAGCGAGGATGGCAAGGCAAGGCGAAGCGAAGCGGGATTTGTACCTTCCCCTCTCGCTTCTTCAGATCTCCATGATCTGAACGACCGAAAGAAAGGGAACAAGGTCACAAGGTAGAGACCAGACACTGTAGGCGCATGACCGAGTGCTGCCGGAAAAAGGGACGACTTGTCTCGCTCGCGTGTGTTGCCAGAAAGATGAGAAGAGCTGATATTTTCTGGCAACTGTGGTGGGTGTGATTGGCGGCGATGAAGGATGTCGGCTGGAGGAAGCAAGGATATGATTGGGCTTGAAGTCCGTAGGCACAAGAAGCGAGAGAATCAAGAGGAACGGGCGAAAATGGAGGGATGGAGGGATGGCGGGATGAATGGTGGGTGGGTGGATGCGTCATGGAAAGTCTGCGCAGGAAGCGGCATGCAAGTTGCAGCCCGCCCGCGCCTGTTTCTCTCTGCCGACTCGGTATCTACCAACTGCATCTTGTTCCCTTGAACGCTCCATGCATCTGCCCATGTCTCCCATCGCCTTGTCCGCATTGTTCCTGCGGATTTCCAACAGTCCCCCAACTCACCGTTTGTGTAAAGAGTCCGGAAAGGATGCAGGAGACCCTCGCTTCTCCCCTTTTTCTCCCGACAGAATGTGAGACATGACCTCCAAACACCATCCAAAAGCGCAGTCAGACATGTCACAGTCGTTTCCTCTGTTAAGGGATTTTCGTTTACAAAAGATCCACTCAGCATTCATCACCCTCTTCTTTGTCCAATGGGCAGCTTCGCGAAGCTAGACCACATAAGAAATCCAGTCTTTTTGATAGCGAACGACCATCCCGGCTCCTTTGGGCTCACCCTCCTCGATTCAATTCTATTCGCTCTCGAATAGTTCTGTCGTTTATCGCGCAGGGCGTCCTGGGTTCAGGCCCTCCAGTCTATGCCATGGGCCCACCTCCACCTCCGCCTCCATCGAAAACACCTCTCTCCCGGGCAGAGCGTGGTGTTGATTGTCGTCTGGAGATACGTCAGTGATTAGGACTAAAGAACATGGTAGTGGTTAGTAGTTTCTTTGGTGGGTGTCAGCAACAGCGCCATAAGCACTTCAGCTCAGCTCGACAACAAATCAAGGCTGGCATGCCGTGGACTCTTGCTAAAACCCTTTGACCAGAGGGTTTCTTGGACTTGCTGGAAGATGTTGAGAACGAAGGATTTTGAGTTATGATGCTGCTGACAATCATACCCTTCCCCAGCACAACAGACGCATGCTTGTGGCTCAGGCCAACAAGCAACAAGATTGAGAAGAGAATGCCACCTGTGATTTCTTTCTTGATAAAGCCTCGGCACACCTCGTATGAGTCCAGGAGGAAACTGACGACCAATCCCTAGGTCTGAGTTGTTCCTCGTTATGTTTGCTGGATCTCGGATTTTGCGGTCCGCTTATTCTCCTGTTTGTTCGCTTCAGCCATGTATGTCGCCCGCCCGACATTCTCGAAGATCCTATAAGCGACACTGATCAAGTCTCCATTCTTCCACGCCAGTTTCTGTCCAACCTACATCCAATAGTCTGAGGTTTGTTGCCGATTGCCAAAATTGTTTTCAACCCGACATACCTTGATGTAGGTTGGTGGGAATCCATTCTCACATATCATCAGCACTTGGCTGGTATCCCCTTTGCTGTCTTCTGGTCTCCCACCCGGCGGGCATTTTCTACAATGCTCAATTCTCGAAGGAACCTCCCGCCTGTCTTACCAATAGCGACTGACCAGCTATCCACTTGGGATCGTTGTGGGACATGCAACAGTCTGTCACGATTCGAGATGGGAGCTTCACTCGCCAGCATTACTAGCACGACCGGGCGAACACCGATCAGACATATATGCGAGAAGGTGTGGACGTCCTCAACTCACACCTTTTTTAGAATCACAGATGGGGATGGAAGCAGAGATTGCCTGGCGAAGCGTGACTGGTGTTCTGGTCAATGGCCGAAGGAGAACTCGACTGTTCATGCACGCGTTGATTGAACTGTGAAGAGGGTCGAAGAGATGGAGTGTTTGTCCTGGTGAACCAGGGTGCGCAGCAGATTCACTTATCCAGGCCTACCTACCCTTTTGCGATTCCAGTGCATCTTCACGTCCATCCGCCAAGTCTGATGAAGAGTGACTGTCCCTTCAGGAAACGGAAAAGGCCAGAATAAAGATTACACTCGCACAATCCTGGTCAGCATTCCAGAGGATGTTACCTGCCGACGCGGGCAAACAGATGAACCTGGAATTGCTAATGACTGACAGACCTTCTCACTACGTATACCCTGCGGATGTCCTGGCGCTGGGACTTGCAGTGGAATACAGAGAAACCCCGAACTTTAGACAAGGCCTTGAGTTCGAAACCGACGGGCTTCGCTCTTGCGCTGGGTTAAGACATGTTTCCTCGCCTTGGGAGGTTTTGGGTCACCTGGCCAGTGCCCACCACCCATATGGGGTTTTATACCTTGGCGAGGATCCTACCGAATTAAAAAACGGCCTCTTCTACTATCATGGCGGGTGTGGGCACAGGGTGGGTGATGAGCAAGTAGAAGAGGATCAGTTTCTTAGCGACCGCACCTGACTTCGGTTGGGCCAATGTCTAAGGTTTTGCTGACTTATATATTTTTGAGTGTATATTCTAAATCAAGAAACAACGATACTATGGGGGTAATGTATGGTGTCAGGTAGAGCGCTATACAAAGTATCAAGTATCGTTGCTATGAGTTCTACTCATATATAAAAGTGCTGGGGTCGGTAATGAGCGAGGAGACAGCTTGTACAAGGGACTCCCCTGTAGACTGTTCCCCGTAGCCTGTAGCCCAGAGCCGCCAATGCACGATGACCGTTGTGGCCCGTTAACTACACGTGTACCGAGTACCTCTGCGCCTTATACTCCGTACTTGTACATATGTGGAGTGGGGGTCAAGACGCCCACGGAGTATATATTTTATACGTTATACATTATACATGATACATTATACATTATACAGACCTACCTAGGTACTTGGCTAGGAATCGGGTGCTCTGTACTCCCTTGGTTTATGCCTATGTGCTTACACAGATGTACATACTCAAGTTGACTACTTGGGTGGGTAATGTTCAGACAGTCCCACCAATATCACCGAGAGACAGTCAGACAACGTCCTCACTATTAGATTGACTGTACCTCGTTACCGAGTACGGTCCTTCAGTTGAAAAATATAGACGCTCCAAAGACCACTGATATCTATGTAACAATAATACCTCGTACAGTATGTCTGTCCGCGACATGTGGATTTCGACTCCAAGAAAACCCCAATCAAACAATCCCTTGTTCTTTCGCCGTTGCCCGTGCACCAGATCCAAACCCAGAAGATGGCCACGGAGATATTATTGTACCCGGTTTCCCTTTGACGCCCTTCCCGAAACATCACAATAGCTGGAAGTGGGATTATCGTCCATTCGCCATTGTCCACAGGCACAGAAGTCGTCAGCGATAACCCGCTTTGCTGAAATGACCCCACGTCGCCTGACTTCAAGTTCAACCTTTTCCTTGCGGACCACTCTGCCCTTGAAGCGGTTGACTCCCGATACTCCTGAATACCGTCCCTGTGCTCAAGTGGAGCAACGCTGCATTTCTGTCGCATCGAGTGCTGCGGTTCATCTGTACCGGTCCATTCAATAGTAGGCGTTCATCTGTATGTGGCTCGCTTCAGAGGGGGGGCTGAGATCTTGATCCACTAGTGCCCCTGGCTGCCATGTCCAAATTTCCATACACATATACAATCCACGCGCCAGACTTTGACGTGCGCAACCCGCTCGAAATATATCTCACAGCAAAGTCCTGCTCTGCAGGATGTCGCAACCCCGTTTCTTTTACGCCTTCTTCTTTCTCATCTTTGTGATGCCTGCCTTTCTCCTCGCTGCCACGTCTCCTTCGCCCAACCACTTGCAGGCCTTGACCAGCTGAATGACGTTGATGATCTGCTTCCCAAGCATAATGGGGGCGCTGATCCCTGCCAGAATCCAGGGAATAGTGCTATCCATCTTGTTCGCGCGAGCCATTTCCATCGCCCCCGCACTCCAGGGATTGACAAAGATGGCGCTGGGTTTGGGGTGTGCGGGTGACCCGGGTTGGGTGGATGATAGGCCGCTCTCACTGGTGACCAGAAGTGAGGGGGATAGGAGAGGCGAGGAAAAGGAGAGGAGGTAAAGGGCAATGAAAAAGAGTTCGTTCAGAGCGCAGAACATGAAAAGCACGACCTATAGCAATTTCCAATCCAGGTCAGCCGCCTCCGCTAGCCAATTCGACAATCAGTTGGCCAGAGGGATGTAACACACCTTATTCGTGTAATACAGATGTAGAATCCAGCTCCGGCTCGAGTCCACTTTCTTATGACTTTGTCCGCCCATGGTCAGGGTCGCATACATGTGAACGTAGTGACTCGCCAAATCCAAGCTGATCAGTCCCTGGAAGATGATCGACCACCTCGGGAACGCCGAGGCCAGGAAAACAAGCAAGCAAGAGGTTGTACAGCGGTCGGTCACCATGTCCAGCACTGCGCCGAAAGTGGTGGACTGGTTGTATCGGCGCGCAGCAAGGCCGTCTGCGGCATCGAGAATGCAGGAGAAACTGTACAAGCCGGAGCACGTGCGAGGGTGCAGGGGCATATAGTATAAAGAGGCGAGGGCGAGGATGATTCGAGCATATCCTATAGTTGTAGCAAAGGGTACAGTCAGATCGCAATTCTTGGTGCATGCACGGGCGACAGGGACACTGTCCGTCCACATGCGAACTTGTATGTGATTCCATACCGATGATGTTGGGGATGAAGAGGAAGATGTTTTCCTCCTCGTAAATGTCCTCCTCCATTTTTGTACTCATTGGCACGGTGCCGTTTGCTTTTGCGTGTCCATTGACACCACTGATGTAGCCGTTTGCTCCCACGGCTCGATCCTTTTGTCCCATGATAAGTCCGCTCTGTAGCAGGCGTCGATGGCTGTGCGTTCCAAGAATTGGACAAGGCTTAAGAAGAAGATAGGTCACGAAGCTCAAGGACGTCGAGTCTCGTGAACAACTGCTCGATCAGGGTAGGGAGAGAGAGGCGTCGCGAAGGGGGGACGCCAGTCTGATAAGGAGGCTCGTATCGACTGGAGACTCGGGGAATCTGGTGCTTTTGGCTTGCGGACTGGCGCGGGATGGACGAGCAAAGTCGCGCGTATCTTTTCGGGCAACTTCAAAGGCTAGCACAACTTGGCTGATTCAGCGCACAGATGGACAAGAAACAGACATTGATAGAACTAGAGGAGCGATTACAAAGTCACAATTTTGAGGGGAAGCCTGGCCGTGGTTAAGGACTGCGTGAATATTTATTTCCTCTTCTTGGACATGCGTTCTGGATCAGGGTCTCTTCCCGGAACCGCGGATGGAGCGATATCCATTCGGACGAATCAATTCCCTGGTCCGACTCGCCCTCGTCTGCGCTTCTAACGGCGCTGAATGGACAATCGAGACGGGGGATAGCCACATGGTTACATTTCCAACTTGGGAGACCAGATGCTGAGGCAGCACGGTAGGTAGGTATAACCCAGAGGTATATAGTACTATAGCAGCAGCAGCACCACCACCACCACCACCTGATGTAGGTACCCATTATATATTTACAGTAGATAATATAGTCTGCCTATAGAATGCCTTCAGGCCACCCCTTCTATTGCTGCCGACTTCTGGGATCAGATGCCTGTTGTCTCTTAAAATCTCGCATCTCCTTGGTCCCCAGGCTTCCATTGCCGCCCTCTTGTCGTCGCTCCCATCCGCCCATCCTCACCACCAAGCATGTAGCATTGTCGCCTTCGGTAGAGACCTCTGTGGCGAAATTGACCACATCCCGCGCAGCCTGCTCGGGCGTTTTAGCTTCTTTGACAATGTCCACGACTTCCTGGTCATCTAGAGTGCCTGAAACGCCGTCCGACATCAAAACCGCGAATGAATATTCAGCCGGCCCCAGTTCCACCCTCTTGATCTCAGGTTCTGCGCTGACACCCATTCTCTTCGAGGCGATATCACCAAATGCTCGGGTGTTGGCCAGACCCAAGATCCGCTCTTCGCCAAACGAGTCAGTCACAAATGATGCCGCATACCTTCTAAGTCTGTTGCTCTCCACTGGTGACGAGGGGTGATGATTCGTGGTCAAAGGTATTGCTTGCCCTGTGACCGTAGAGCAGAGTATGATTCTTGTGTCCCCGACATGGGCCACCAGCAATGTAGATGTGGTCGCAGGGTTCCAGAAGGGCGTTGGCGATGGCGTCGATACCATTGCCACACTGCAAGTACTCCCACCTCTGAACCTCTGAGGTCCACCAAGATGTGTCGCAAACCTATGAGGTTCACCCAGGATGTCTCCTTCGTTCAGAGGTCTTTCAGCCCTCGTGTTGTCCACGCTCTCTGAGTTCTTGGCTGCTTGAGCGGCCACAAAATCGTAGTCCGCTTTTAGGAAAGCATAAGTCATGACCTCCTCGATGGCCACCCCGCAGTCGATATCTTCGCCCGATTGCCTCAGAGCATCCGACTCCTCGCCCAACCTCTGATACCCGTTGTAGATAGAAAAGTAGGCGGGCTTGAAGCGACGAAAGTACCCGCCGACAAGCTCTTTCCAATTCCTTGTCAGCTCCTTCTCCAACTGTCGAATGTTCCTCTTGTTAGCGCACTGGATCAGCGGAGGATCACTTGGGTGTGGCTTGTTGTCTTTACGCGTCGAGTCCTCTTCGTCTACCTTCGGACCGTCCTTGTTGACTTCTAGCTTGTCGAGCACCTTCCTGCCCTCTCTTTGCTGATTCTCGTCCCCGTCAAGTCCCCCAAGTATCGGCGCTTCCCCGGTGTCCTTTTTATCACTCTTCTTCAAGCTCGACTTCAGCTCAAACGACTTGGCCGATTTCTCGATGTAATCGTGCAGCGACTCGCGGAGAAAATCGCTGCACTCTGCTCCCCCATGCCCATCAAAGACGGCAAAATAGAAGACCTGAGGATCGCCGGACGCCCCTTCTGCAGAAGTGCCCTCTCCAGGAGTTTTGCTCAAGGTGAGAGACAGCGGGGCCTTTTTGGCAAATGCAGGGAGCTCGATGACGCCTGCTTGATGGGAGTCTTCGTTGTAGGGTCTGCTGCCTCTGGACACAAATGCACCATAGTGGTGTTTGGCGCTCTTGAGCGGAATGCGGACTACGGTGGTGTCTCGAGAAACCGACGGATGGGTGGCGGGGGCAGATGTCCCATCAGGAGTATGCGGCATGGACGCCTGGCGCGGAAACTTGTGGGCAAGGCCGGTCAGAGAGCGGGAGTCGGGATGAAGAGAGGAGGATGGGAGATGGGTGACAAAGTAGTCGTGGAATGTTCGACGCTGTTGCTCAACATCTCGAAGTCTCGTTCGTGTTTGGGGACGAGTCTGTCGGATGAAGGTCGCCAGCAGGTCTGCCCGCAGTCAGAACACAAGCTATGCGAGAAGGGAAGAGTGTATACCATAATAGCAATCGGTAGAACAGCGCAACGTTCTGGCACCGGGAGAGGACATGGCTGAGGACAAGGCCCTTCACAGCCGCCATCATCCTATCGAAGAGCAACACCCATTATCGAACAAAAGTGACAGGCGGAATCGCAAAATCGTCAGGGCCGAGCCAACAGCTGGATGGCGGGGAGAAGAGAACGAACCAGAAAATCTTCTTGGAACAAGAAAGGCGATGATGAAATCGCAATTGTGAGGGTCGCAGAACCGAGTATGAATTAGTGGAGCGAAGGTCCCAAGGAGATTTTCTTGTTGGGTTTTGGCGGAGTCGAAGTGGCTCCCCCACGCCCCTTTTGTCCGCCAAACCGAGACATTCACCTATTCAGCAAATTGAGCCGTCGGATACTCGTATATACGAGCACAACACTTGCTTGACTCGACGCTCAAGCTCTTGTCACCCATCAGATAGGCTGTCTAATGTTCTATCTTCTGCCATCCATGTCTATGCGGAGACAAGTCTCTCATGTTTCTCATCCATGTGCAAAATCTTCAGACAGAGCACGCCAAAGTGAGACCAGACCACATCGAGACATTCAACCTGTCGTCCAGTGTGTCTATAACTTGGACTGATGGATACCACCGTCCAGCACTCTGATGCCTCTTCCCTCTAGCTCCTCGTAAGAATCAAAACTCTCGTCGCCGTGGAAATGCCAGCCCCTCTCCTCGCCCTGACTCAAGTGGCGGCAATCGCTGTTCCAGATGCAATCCCATCCCCCAGCCACGCCGGTACCGGTAGTCCTCCAGTCTTCATCGTGGTAGCTGTAGTCAGCGTCGATCTCTTGCTGGGCCCCAGATGAACGGGCAGCCAGAGGAGGCAGTTTCCGCCGCACAAACTTGCTGAGTCCGCACGTAAAACACCGAAAGTCCTCCTCGTCCCAGTCCTCGGGGACCTCCCCAGTCAAGGCCCTCCCACTGGCGATGATCTGGGCGGCGTGTCCGCATATCAAGACCGTGACTTCTTCGTCCCCTCGCCCAGCTTGCGCATACTCCTCGTCCACATCCTGCACGACGCGAGCCAGCGCGCGCGCCACGCGGTCGTGCAGCTCGTGGATGCGCTCGCCGTTTTCCGAAGGCACGACACGCGAGGCGTACGACTCGTCCAGCCAGGGGAAGAAGTCGTTCTTGAGCCTCTCCGGGTCCGCAGGTCGCGGCTGTCTGAACCAGGCCCGGCCGAACCATTCGCCCAACCCCCTCTCGCCGCGGACTTGTAGGTGTCTCCTCCTTTTGACGTCGCTCTCCGGCACCTGCGCGAGGAGGGCCTCCACGGCCGGACGCAGGGTTTCGAGACACCGGTAAAACAGGCTGGAGTACACCCTCAACCGGTCTTGCTTGACCACTTCGGCGAACGCTTCGCTGAGGTATGCGGCCGTCTCTTGCGCCTGACGCACGCCGTGCGATGCCAGGGGCGGATCTGCTGGGAGATGCGTGGGGAATGGGTGGTTGGAAGAATACTCTCCCGTCCTTGGGTTCAGGGACCAGGCCAGCCGGTGGCCGTGTCGGAGGATGTAAATCTCGGTCACGGGCATGGTTTTTTTATTTTTTCACTCTTTGCACAAAGGGTTGCCGCTACCGTGACATGTCGGACGATCTGTTACTTAGATGGCGACAGATGACCGAGAGTCCAACGAGGAAAAAAGATATTCTAGACACTAGAAACTGGTCCACGATGATAGACCAAAATGCTTCGGCAGTCGATGATTAGATGGGACTAGTGAAGAGAACAATTGGTGACTGAATAATACTGATACCGAGGCATATGCCACTAAAGGCCATTTCCAAGCCAAGCCTTATTCTGTACTACCGAGTACGAGAGATCTCGTAACCCTCGAGCCCTGATGTTGGGGATCTCGACCATCTCCGCACTTGCGATCTGGTAGGCCGTTTTCGGCTTATTGTTACCCCAGACAACTTGGTTACTCTATCTAATAATATCAGCTGCGATGGTCTGTTTTCGGACTAAGCAGCAACAACAACATCATAGACATTCACATACACATACTCTGTCCAAGTATGTCTGCATCAACATGTAAATACTTGCCGAAGATCCGTCGTATCAGGCCATGTGAAAAAGCGAGGTATTGGCGAGGCTTGGTAGCCTTTTCGGACACGACTCAGGAGAGTCTTTCGAGGATTGGGCAGCGACAGGACTGCGTTTGAGAATGTCGAGCGCTTGAGAGTCATTCTAGCTTGCATAGGAGCCCACATTCCCAACTCGAAGTTCATCCCTAGTAGATTCGTTGAGAAGCCACCTCTTGTCTTCAACCCACTTTGAAACGGGTTGTTGGGGCAATATTTGAAAATACTTGGGAGAGGACCAGAAAACGTCGTTTTGCGGTTATGTCCTCATCAAATTGTGATCACGTGTGATCGTTGCTGTCGTCCAGTCTTTTTTGTGATAGGACCCTAGACTGGTCATTCACCCTACACTGTCCTGCAGGGACAACCAATGCCGGCGAGGACAATCCAGGGGTGCGAATGCCGGATATGGCGAGTAATGTGTTCTCTGAGTCCAGCAAAGGAGCTGATGGACCATATCAGGAGACGTGTCTCCGGCTTTTGTGTTCACCATCGAAGATGCGCAGCGTATCCAACACGTTTGTTACATCATGAGGCACAATGGTGGTGATAATATGTCGTGTCGAGAAATTTCATCTATGCCTTTCCCTCCTGAAGCCCCATTTCTGCCGGCGGAGCTCAAACATGAAACCGCCTGCGATCAGGAAGACCAAGCCAGTATAGATCTGAGGCCATAAATAAGGCCGGGACGAATGAGGTCGGCGAATCTCCAATGCTATTGCTTCCGAGACTGCACAGGGAATGAGCTTCGGTTTCATCAGTCGGCGGCCGTTACAAGGACTCACATAAAGCAGGCATAGAGACAGTCACCCACATCAGACTGAGGGCTGATGGAAGTTCTTTCAGTTCAACGACCTCGGCACAAAGAGGAGCAATTGTCTAAGAACAAGTTAGCATGACTCGTATCATTGAAGTGGTTCATTCGTACACCCCAGTAGACACCACTCGTCGCGCCCACAGTAAGAGCAAAGAATATAAGTACGCCATAAGAATTGGCAGGAATCCAGATCGCATATGATAGCAAGGTGTTTGACGCGGTCAGGATGCATGCTATTGTCATGCGGCCGAATCGATCGCTTAGCACCCCGACGAAAGGTCGACCGAAAGCGGTTCCGACGTTCATGATGGTGATCACAGTGCCGCCTTGATCTTGAGTCAATCCGAGAGATGTCGCAAACGCGCCTAAGAAATAGATCAGCTTCATGTTGGGGTGGTATGGGACTGCTAATTTACCTAGAGAATAGATCGCGACGATGTAGCCAAGGATGGAAAAGAACGTGTAGAAGATAAGCAGCCAGACCTGATACCTTTTCAGGAGCTCCGTGTCTATAGGCTTGTAGCTGGGACGGATTGTCTTGTTTCTGTCGCGGATCAACGAACAGGCCGTAAACAGGACCACAAATGCGAGGATGCCAGTGATCCGTAGTGACCAAGCAAGCGAAAGATTCTCGATCATGGGGGTTGTTGCGGCCGAGAATATCACGCCGCCAATGCCGCTCCCTGCGGCTGCGATGCCTTGAGCTAAACTCCTATTTCTGTTGAACCACTGGGGAAGTATGGGTGTAGCTGGTAGCCATGAAAAGCCTGTTCCCAACCTGCCAAATATTAGTCTGACGCACGTTCAGGACAAGACCGCAGCCACATACCCAACCAGGATGCCCTGCGTCAGAATAAGATGCCAGTACTCTGTGGCAAATGAGGCTGCGACAAAGCCGCCCGCGAACATGACACAGCCGCAGTACATAGGGATATGTGTCCCGAGTCTTCGGACAAACAAGTTGACAATAGGTCCGCAGAGCATGGCACAGGCGAAGTTGACGCCACCAATAAACGTATAGTCCAAATCCGAGGCACCGGGGAATATAGAATTATCAATGTAGTACGATAGGTAAACACCATAAGACTAGGCTTAACGTCAGTACTCACTATACGACATGCTAGGACCAAGTGACCATACCGCAATGATGCCCCATGTGAATCCATTGATCAAATGCATGGCGATACAGACAACCCATCCGTATGGTGGTTCAATAGATGCATCCACAGCTGCAACAGGCTCCCCCGGCTGCATGGGAACTTCAATGGCGACCTCTTCGCCATCTCCTTCTGGCTTGTCCTCGCCCATAACGGGTTGCTTGCGTCGCAAGTCGTGTCCTGTCTTGCCTCAGGTCAAAGGTCTTTGACAACATGCGCAAGCTACGCAGGACAAGCCGCACAAATGCCCAGACAGGTTTGAAAACAAGAGGTTTCCTGGAGCGGGACGAAGAGAGTGATTCACTTGGGATTGCTGGGTCTATGGAGTACTGGGACTGCGGAGGCAACTCATCGCGCCGAAAACCGCACGGCACGCATTTGCCGGAGTAACATGCCGTTTCATAATGGAATTGTACTTGTATGCATTCTAAAAGAGGTGTGAGATCAGCAGGTACGATATCGGACACACAGCCTGCTCTTACATTCGACACTCTGTGCGATTGGGACCCAGTCCGGCCATGTCATGAATTGCATGCCCTTTCGATCATTGACTCATCTGGTACACAAGGTCAAAAAAACTTAACGTGAAGTGCGTTCTTCTCCGCCGCCAGGTCACATTCGAGGAAACATACCGAGAATGTGGAGTAGGCAAGGCTTGAAAATTGGAGAAGACTTTTCTAATTCTGGCATGGTGAGCCTCCAAGGGCGGAATTAACCAAGAGGGTAGAGGGTGGGTGGATGGTAACAGTGCCATGTTTGGTGATCTCCCACCAGTATTAATATGTGGTGTCAACGGCCAATGCATTCCACGCCAGGTTGAGTATCCACAAGCCGATGAGAGTGAACAGTATCCTACCTCCGAGACCAACAAGACTCTTGGTGATGGTAGAGAGAGCATTTGTCGTAGCAGTGCTAATGCAAAGAAACCCCGCTACCACCATTGCTGTCTCCAAAGCATCGAACATGCCTCGACAAGCCTGCCGACCGAGGAATTTGCAGGCGAGTCTTGGATGGAGCACGCCCCGGGAGTCGGCAGCAAGTAAGGTGTGGTATTGAAAGACAAAAGTCTCCAGAGAACATCGACCAAACCATGCAAAGAGTCGACTGTGGCAGGCTGACAATTTTCGAGTCGAATTCCTAAGGACAACGAAAGCTAGCACAGGAAACGGCGAGAGAAATGGGTGCCACTCATTGTAGCGGAACTTGTCTGGGAAAAAGCCGCACAATATCGAGTATGCCAAAATGACAAACGCAGCACCCCATGTCGTCAGTCGTGAAGCGAGTTGCGACCAAGGGACGGTCTCCATTGCAGTTTTATGACACTGGAGGCCATGGGAAGTGTCATACTGTACATACAGCACAGCGGTGATCATGCCAATGAATGCAATGTAGGCGTCAAGGCTGAATCTGAAAATGAACTCCTGTCCGTCGATTTCGGGAAGGCCCCAGCCTGGAGGACAGATCATAGCGAGGACTGCCGCAATGTTATTGCTAGCTCCTAGAGTGACCCTGACTAACGTTACAGATATGGCTGTTCGACGGACGAAACGACGTATATCCACACCAGGTGTTGCAGTCTTGGGGACCGTTGCCCAGACAATGAGAAACCACAAGCTGGTCAGCATCGGGAAATAGTACAGGTCGTATCGAGTTCCCATGACGAAAGCGAGAATGACGTTAAGGAGATTCGTCCTCAGCAAGACACTAGCCACCCTGTGAAACGAGAAGTCGTTCGTGGTGATGAAATAATAGGTGTGACCAAACCCAGTCATGAAGAGGTAAGATGAGACCAATAGCCGGACAAACTGATAGACCCAGAGGACTTTCGACAAGCCACAGTAGTGGTACAACAGGATGATGATTTGCATCCAGCCTTTCCACTCCTCTGTTTGCTGCCTGGAAAGTACCTGTCGGTGTTCTGGAAATGCTATCTCACCGGTTGTCGCATGCTGAGGCCGACTTTGTTTGAAGGTTGCCAGGCCTGCGAGCAGCGCGAGGATGGCCCCGCCTATAAATTTGCCCAACTCTACCGTTTTCGAAGCTTTATCGAACAAGACGGTACGATCGGCCATGAAGCAGTACAGTATGGCAACAGAGATTGTAGTCATTGCACCCATGGTTCTGGGGGCTTCGTGGAAGAAGAACCAGTCTCTCTCATGGCTATTGGTATGTTTTCTGACGCCAAAGAACGAAAAGAGGTAATAGACGATCGCACATGAGCTCATGAACAGCAGTAGCTTCTGTGCCACGTTTGGGCCGACATAAGAGGCACAACAGTATGCTTGAGAGCCTTTCGATGGTGTACCGATGAGCTTATTGCAGAAGTAATTCAATACAATGTCGGCATGAAGGGGTGCAGCCTCATCGGTGAGATGAATGCCATCCTCTTGGAAAAAGAAGTGAATGTCGTCATGCATCCATGGGTAGTCTGCAGGAGCGTAGTCCTTTTCTGTTGGCCTGCGGCCCACGAGGGCATGGCGGGTCGAGTTGAATGTTGGGTCCCAGACATGAATGATTTCCGTCCCAGCTGAGTCATATCTTGTTGTGGCTTCGATTTTGGCCTCAAAGCTCTTGCTAGGAATCTGAGAATCACTGGGGTCCAGCTTTCCTGCCACGGTCCAGAATATCTGGCGAGCTTTCGAACCACCAAAGAAAATGAGGCGTTGGTCGGAGAGGCAAGACTGAATCTTGGTCGAGCTGTAGGGCTGCAGCATGCAGCTTGAAGGGGCTGACACTTGACTTGTCGTCGATGACGCTCGAGCTTGGGAAGGGAGATTGTCACAGCGATTCTTGACCCAGGTATCTGGGATAAGCTCATTAGCATCGTCCCACAGCGAACCTGATCCGAGTTATGCTGACCTTGGGGGATCTTATCTACAAGGAACCACAATGGCGAGCAGATGGCGAAACAGAGGAGAAGCAGGATTGATACACGTAGGCTGACCATTTTTTGCATGCTATTTAGGTGACTGTTTAGACCGAGGATGGGGATTGTAGTCTGAACAGTGGCGGAGAAAGATGAAATCGCAGGAGAATGTGGTTCGGCGGTTGTGTGTGAAAGGTAAAGAGCGAAGAGTGAAGAATGAAGAGTGAAGGTGGCAGGTCTGCAGCCTGAAGTGTGCAAAGTGCAGTGTGCAATGTGCGCTGTGTGCTTCGTATGAATTGTGCTCATCAATGGCAGCCCCAGTACCAGTCAGTCCGCAGATCGTCATTCGAAACAGTTTTGTGAGGATTATAGTGGTGATCCAGCAGCTCGTCCCAGTTTGCCCATTAATGCTTTCAATCGGTAACGGCCGTGTCGTGGCAAAAGTCATCAAAGTCATGCAGCATCTATCGTATCTCTGGATCACCCATCCAGTCTGCCATAGACAGCCCAGCAACTCGTTCGCCACCGTCATCGCCTCCTAGCGTCTGCTTCTCTTTGCTGCCTTTGATCCTTCTCGCATGGCTCTTCGTCTCTGCGTGATGGCTGTAGTCTCGTCCAAACACCTGGAATCCCCGAACATGAGTATCTTTGCCATTCTGGTGGTTTTCACAAATACGAATCTGTACCACCATCGCCTTTAGCACATCCCCCCCTGGATTCTCCTGACGGTCTGCTCTGAGGGGATAAAGTGTGGGCTCCCCCTGACTAGCAATCATGTCCGAGTTTCCATAGTAGCGTGGTTCCCTTCCACCAACTCCATTCAGTGGCACATCAATCCAGCCCCGTAGACCTTCGATGCTACTGTGTGCCTCCCCCGTCTCCGGATCAACAGTGTCGGTGACTTCCCATGAACCAAACTCAACCAAACTGCCTTCTGACATGCCCGCGTAAAACTTCATCTTCGTAGGTGTGTACGACTCGTCAAGCTCAAAGTCCAAATAGATTCTCATTTTGACAATAGCAACAAGTTTGAAAAAGTGTAAGGTCAATGTATGAGGTTGAGGCCCGTCACTCTGCCAGAATAAGTTTGGACTCGGGTTCCGCAGTTGAGGCAGTCCGCAACCGGGCTTTGTGGAGGACAACGTCCACGTTGCTAAGGATGATATGTCTCGCAAACCGTGGAGTTGTCTGGCATCTTCAATATCATGGTGAACAAATTCAAGTAATGACTGCTCATCTGCATGACCCCCTTCCGAAGCCGTTGAGCCGAGGGCATTCTGTGCGGCCTGTGCCTCTTCAGTGGCATCGTTCTGAATATGACCAACTCCATGGGCGGTCGGTGTTGGTTCATTCCGACCGTGTTGATGGCGGGCGGGATTGGTCTCTGGAACAATTGAATTGCCTGGATTGTTCGACGGAGGCAATGGGGTCGTGATGAAAGGAGCATGCGGAGGGGTTTCGAGCATGAAGGGTGGGATTTCCGCCGTCAAGGCATTGCGAGTCGGTGTCGTCGTGACTTCATTGTTGCGAGCCTGATGCGCTGCTCTTCGAGGGGCGCGTGGCATGTTGGTTCCGCGATCGCACATGAACAGCCCCTACATCAACCGGTATCGATGAATACTAGCCCCTGTGCCATACCTCAATGGGCCTTGCCGTCAGACGTAGGTGAGGACAGCTGGTGCGAGGCTGTGGGAGCAGAAATACATGATATGGGACTGATCTTGAGCATGTGCAGTCGCTGCCGTTGAAACGCGAAACGCGCCAAGGAAAATTCCACTCATCGATTTGTGCATGGGGAGTTGCACCTCCACCCCAACTACACATGACTACGAGGTACTCACAACGTACTCGGTACCAGTGTATCTACAGGAGTTGTGACATTTCGTGCATTCGGAGCACCTATTGAGTCTGACGGCCATCGACGACTCAGTGTTTGTACTTCTACCCCTGGCGCTCCTTGTAAGAAATCATGTTCAGGTGGTGCAGACAAGTATTATGGTCTCAACGATATGCATCCTCTACTCAATCACTTCATGGCACCCCTCTTCCTTCTCTAATCGCTTTGGCCATTTCACTCATCGCCCGGTCTTCGGCATAACGCTGATATATAGGCAGGTAGTGCTCCTTGTCACTCATGGTCTCAGTCACTGATTTCCTCGACGATACGACATCAAACCATTTCCGCCATCGATTCCACAGTTGCTCGTCCTCGCCGCCCTGACCTGGAGGGGGGATGCCCAAGCCACCCTTGAAGTGATCGAGCACCCACATCCTGACGGCCCAGGGTGCGAGTGCTACGTCGCCGAAAGTGAAGTCTTTGCCCATAAAATATGGACCTTCAGGATCAGCGTTGGAAATCCATGTCTTCAGGGCGTTCAGAAGCTCGGTGCGTGCTTTCTCCAAGGGATACGGGCTTTTATCTGTGTGTTGCAGGACCCTATACCGCTGTGAGATCTCGAGTTCAGACTGGGGTGCATCAATAACTACCTGTGGTATGCCGGCAGGATCCTGGTCGTGATGTGATCGACCCAGACTTTCATGACAGCTTTTTTGTAGGGGTCGCGGGGCCACAAAGGTGTCTGGTTAGGATACATGTCTTCCAGATATCTGATAGTGTCAGCTGAGAGCAGCCTGTTCAGCCAGGTGGCTATCATGACTTACTCGCAGATGATATTGGACTCGATCAATGGCTTGGTTGACCCATCCTCTTGAGGGCATCCCAATGTAGGGACTAAACCTCGCGGGTTGAGCTTCAGAAAACTGTCTTCAGTCGGCACAAAGTGTTCCAGCGACATGCAGTGATGTGACACGCACCTTGGTTCCTTCCGATATGGATTGATCTCGACGTACTTGTACGGAATCTGCTTCTCCTCAAGAGTGATCCATGCTCTTTGCACAAAGGGACAAAACCATCCCGAGTACAAAGTGATGGGCTCGTCCTTTTGATGCGCCGCGACAATCTTGGCTGCAGGGCCTGTTGCCTCTGGGTAGATATCTGCGTCGGGATGTGAGACTGAACCCATGATTCCGATGTGCTTTCTGAGCCAAAAAGGATCTTCTTCTAACAAGACGACGAGTTCGAAGGAGAAATGTCTTTACGTTTGACTTGTCTTTCCATCATTTGTAAGATTTGGAGATGGAGAATCGTGACGCAACATGAAGCTGATCCCGTGAGCGGGGAAGCAGAACATGACAGGTTGGTACACTCTCAGCCTCGTGTGGGCCATACATAATCCGGACAGCCTTGTTGACGAATGCTGCCTTTCACCAGCTGTATTAGAACCTGTTAGGAATTGACAAGGGCTTTTTGTCGAATTGGGAACAAACTGGTAGGGTGAAATTGTCTGTGATGCTTTCTCGATTACACGGGGTTTGCCTGGTTTTGACGGCTCCTTTATAGAGATGTATCTCTGGCCCAAATCCGCTGCATGTCTTCTCCTTCCAGACCGTTGTGCCCGCTCTTGACGAGGCTGTCGATTGCTTCTTCGATGGGCACGTCGCCCTCCAGCAGATCAAACCAGCCTCGTGTATCGTTCCGATCCAACAACGCCGCGGCCACCTTGGCGACATCCTCACGCGGTACATCTGAGAGTTTGGTGGAGACTCGTCAGCGAAAACAGGAGGAATGAAGAAACGGAGAAACTTGTGGTGCTTACTCCCAGATATCGACGTCTTGCCCAGCGTCACCTTGCCCGTGCCTGGCCTGTCCGTCAAAGTGCCTGGTCTCAAGTTGATGGCCTGAAACTCTTGGTCGCCGCCGTCCCGTCTCTTCTTCGCGAGGGCTTCGAGGTGCTCGTCCGCCTCCACTTTGGCCTGGAAGTAGTGCGGCAGGACGTTTTGATTGATGTTGTCCGCGGCTTTCCGGTCTTCCTCGGTCCACCACGGCGGATAACCCTTGCGAGACTGCAACGCGGGAATTGTTAGTAGAAGAGTCTGCGAGGGGTTGGTTTGCTAGGATGTGAACTGAAAAAAGCAACTTACTGCGTGGTATGACACCATCAGGAACTTCTTGACGCCCGGCATGGCCAGCGAGGCCGAGATGTAGCACTTTGCGGCGACCATGTCAACTGCCTTTGTCCTTTCCGGTCCGCCCTTGCCACCGGCGCCTAGTCAATCCACTCCATCGTCAATACACAATATACTCGCCCCCATGGAGTCCAACAGCACAGTGCGACTGCTAGCAGGGGTTTGTTTTGAAAAACAATATGAGATGAGAGATGAACTTTACCGGCACTCCACACGACGATATCCGGCTTGACCTTGTCCAACACGCGCTGCGCATCACTGACCTCCTTGACGTCGTCGAGACTGTCCACCAACACCTCGATCTTGCCGGGCTTGTCCTTGCCGAGCGCCAGGATCTCGACCTCGTGCGCCGGGTTGCGGACCACGCTGGTGACGGACCATTTCTTGGCGAGGAGGAGGGGTTGGAGGAAGAGAGAGACTTTGCCGTGCCCGCCGAGGATGAGCACGCGTGGCGTAGACATGGTTGGCGGACTTTTGGTATTCGAAAAAGGTCTTGGTTTTTTGTTTTTGGTAGTGGAATCTGGCAGAGGTTGAAGGGAGGTGAGGGAGAGGGGGGCTCGTATGTATGCAAAGATGTATAAGAGGGCACATATATATCCTTCTATACTTATGTGTTCCAGTATACAGAGAGTGGGGGCCGGAGCTTGATCTGTAATTACGCACATCACGTCACTAGCGGAACATCCGCCTTCGGCTTAGGCGGCCAGCGCGGCCCTCCCGTGTGCTTTGGTCTATACGAACCCTCGGTGCCGCAGTGTCACCCTATACAGGGCATGTTGGCGTGTTAGAAGTGGACTTTTCGAATGTTCTAAGCAAACAAGTGCCTGACGACGATAGACAGCAGATCAGAAATGGGACAAGTCGACATTGCAAGCCATGATCCCGCCCCAATAAATGCAGAGAATGTCTGTGGCGGGATCCCTGCCTCTGTCCTGCCGCGCCCGAACATGTCCACTGATTGTTGATTGTGCCACTACAATTCCTCTTCCCTCCATCGACGGCCCTATCCACGCGCGCCTCATCAATTTCGAGCAAGCATTCCTCCAGACTGACCAGCCGCCACTCGCAAAAGTCCGGACGCCCTTGGTTTTCCGAGTTCCAGAGACACTGCTCGACACGACGTGGGACCTGCGCATAGATATCGGGTCTCTGGGATGTACCATCTTCGAATTCGTCACGGGGCAGCCGTCGTTCGACAATTTCATGCCGAGAAAGGCGCCCTTGGTCTTGGAGTGGATCGCGAAGAATCCCTTGGGCGGGTAACAACGAAACATCATGTTCCGTAAAGCTGTATACCCCTTCCTCATAGCTACTATATACACACTGGACACTGGCTATGTCGGCATTTCTGTGTTATTGTGAATTCAAGACGAAAGAGATCTAGTATCAGGCTCTGACATCCTTCCCCCCAATACATCAACAAGCAGTCAAGTCAAATTCGGTAAATGCCGGACCAATGTGTATGTACATGTATTGTATGCCTTTGGTGACCTCCGTGGTGTTCGTCGACGGTCAGACGACCACACTCCAGACTATGGGCATTGGCCTGTTCTTAGTAAGTCGTATCCATGCCTTGGGTATCTCTTCAGACTAGAGACAGGAGGCTGGCTCTTTCCCGTATCCCTTTCAGCCTATCGAAGAATAGTTTCAAGGGAAGTCGTCCTCCGTTGAAAAAGGAAAGCCTTGGTTGTGAGTCTGAGCATCGTGTCTTAGGCCGACACAATGATCCAATCCTCAAAATGCTAGCTAATGTCCACTACCCCTTTCCACACAAATGACCTCGACTCCTCAAGGAAAGCTGTCCTGCTCTCAGGATACTGGCGAAAGGTATTTCTCACTGTCAAGCCAGTGCCTTGTAAAGCTAGAAAACTCCCGAATAAACCTTGTCAATTCGATTCGTTGCACCTGCTCGTGAGTCTGTCATTCCAGCGATGCGCCGTGATCTCCTTGGTCCACAGTATGACACCAGTTTCTGCCACACCTTCTGCCACACCCAACAAAGGGAACGTGATAATTGAAAACAGCCCAAAAAATCCGACCCGGGGAAAAATCTCACGTCCACAGCCAGAATTGAACCCCAGGGGAGCAAAAATTCCGTGCCTCCCTGCGGATCAGATCCCGGGAGTTAGCAGACAGCCCGCTAGGGGGTTTTCGGATTTTTACCCTATGCCTCATGGTCGTAACGCCGTCACCACATGGTCATACAACCATGCAGCCAGCAAGACTCCGCAGTCGCTGGGTGAGTCCACTTTTGTGGCTGTAATCAGCTCTTGTCCGTAGGTGGTCACGGTGTCGCACTGCCCAAAGGCGACAGAGAATTTGTGTTTATAAAATATATTCCTGTATGTTGGGTTGAAAGGACCCGCTTGGATTGAAGTCGACTCCTTGGCGACGAGGATAAGGAGGTGTGTGAAGTGTCCGGCCCAAAGGTGAGGTACAATCCTGGCTGGATGGCAAGAAGGGCAAGGCTGCCGAAGGAAGATGTCTGGCACTCAACAGGATACAACTCAGCTTCAGTCCTTTAATCCTCAGGTTCGTGGTCCAGGGAAGTCGATTTACGGGCAAATCCTGGAAATCTCAAATAAATTGGTCAATCATCGTAACTGATTCGATGCTCATCATTCGTCATCATCTCATCAAGGCTGTCAAGTTTGGCGGATCTCAGCCGCCGCTTCCAGCAGCTATTGTCGTCTTCGTTCTCCAATCCTCGAAGCTGGCGGACACAGACTCGCCTTTCCGGCCAGGGTCTTTCTTTTTCTGCTTGTCTTCCCAGTCGCCCTCCTCCTGGGCGATAAGAGCATGGAATTTGCCACCTTGACCTCTCCCAAAGTAGATGGCTCCTTCTTCCCTCTTTGCTACACGTTCAGTCACCAAAACATATTTGACGCTACTGCCGGGTGCTTCGAACATAGCATCGCCGAGGATGGTCTCCATCTCCGTTCGTAGAGCTCGAGCTCCTGTACCCATCGCCAAGGCGTTCGAAGCAACCACATGAAGAGCCGGGGTAGTAAAGCGAAGTTCGATGCCAGAGAGTGAGAACAGCGTGATATATTGTGCCACTAGCGAATTGCGGGGTTCTGTAAGGATTCGCAGCAACATAGAATGGGTGAGGGCGGATAAAGCGGTAGTAGTCGGTATACGACCGATAAGCTCGGGGATGAAGCCGTAGGACTGCAGATCGGCCGGGGTGACTAGGTCGAGCGGGTTGAAGTAGTTCGGTTCTGGAGGAGACCCATCCATGTTCGTCTGCTCTGGCGCTGGTGCCGGGGTGAAGAAGGGCAGATGTTTCTTGTAGAGAGCCTCTTCTTGAGATCCCGGTAAGATAGGGACAGGAGTAATTGTGGTAGATTTCTGATCACGGCTGTAGGAGACCAGATTCGAGCTAGATCGTACGCTGGCCCCGAATCCAATGCTTCCTTTCGTCAAGCGGTCCATGACGTGTTTTTGAAGTCCGATGAATGCACCACTGAAGATGAAGAGGATATTATCCGTTCGTACGTTATAGACCTCGCCTTTCGCTGGAGCAGCCGAAGCGCCTGATGATCCAGAGGAGAAACCGGCGCCCAACGGACTGTTAGTCGGATAGGTCTGCGACTGGCCACCAGCCCGAGGAGCATTCCTCTCAGGTTTTGCCTGTATTTGGATGGTAGTCCCCTCGATGATCTTCAGAAGTGCTTGTTGGACACCTTCGCCCGACACGTCTTTTCCATGGCTGACCTTCGCCGTTGCTATTTTGTCGACTTCATCCAGGCATATGATGCCTCGTTCAGCGCTTTCAACGTCATAGTTCGCGGCGGCTAACAACCGGTGCACGCAGACTTCGGCGTCCTCGCCAATGTATCCAGCTTGTGTGAAGGGTGTGCAATCTGACATTGAAAATGGAACAGAGAGAACTCTAGCAAGAGTCTTTGCCATCAGTGTCTTTCCCACCCCACTGGGGCCAAGAAGCAAGATGTTTGACTTCTCCAGGGTCAGAGGACTTGTGTCCACCAAGAGCGAGCCACCAGTCCGCTGGTTGAGTGAAGCAGACGGCCCGCCCATACGGACGGTGGATTGCTGGCCGGGAAACTCATTTTCGACAGGATGTCGCTCTCTCCTTTCCCTCTGTGCAAGCAGCTCTTCCTCCTCCTCTTCACGTCTCTGCAACTCTTGTATTCTCTGATAGTGGTTAAAGACGGCCACGCTCAGCACCTTCTTAGCTCGCTCTTGACCGACGACAAACTGATCAAGGTGCTGTTTCAGGGCTTTGGGAGTCAGGCGAGGAGAGCCATAAATCGAAGCTCCGCCTAATGGGCCAGACGTAGGCAACCCTGGCTCATATGATCCGGTGAAAGGTTGATTGACAAAATCGGAACGGTGAAATTGCGACGAGGACAGCCTCGGCGATCGGGTCGAAAACGACCGCTTGCTCAAGGCAATATACGATGAACGGAGCCGCCGTGGTAACGTGGTGGTTGATGCAACCCAGGTGCGATCAAGTGCAGGGCAAAGGAAGGTCGGGAGAGGTAGTATTGAACGCATTGGTGCTGTTTGAGGACGGGCTTCAAGTGCCAGCGCCCGAGAGTACAGAATATCTATCTCTCGTTTACATGCAGAAGTCTTGGTTCCGGGAAATGATGGCGAGAGGTGGTATGAGTCAACCCAACTATTCGGAGATGCGATAGCAGTTGAAGCTTTGTGATGGCGCTCCCCTCATATCGAAATCGCCACAGAAAGTTGCGAGGTGCCGAAGTTTTGCCGATATTGTTACCTCCTCGCTGCTCAACACGATGTATAATATGTCCTCGTACGAGCTACAGTATCCATGAAATGATTGGGCGGAGAGGAGCGTATGCATCAGTCAAACTGCAAAGAAGGAATACGTCAATTGTCAGCAGAAAATCCCCAGGTTGTCGGAAATGCAATTCGACGAATCTACTGGTTGGAATCTGTGTGCCACATGACGTTCCCTACTCCAAGGCACCAATATCACCAGCGAAATGTGCCGCGGTAAGGCTGTGAATCAAAGCACTTCTGTGTCTGAATGACTTCCTCTCCAGCTCAAAGGCAAAGAGCATACGCATAGGAGTCAAGCCGCCATACACCATCGTAACTCAAAATGACTTCGACAGGGACGAATCTACTCGAGCATGCAACCAAGTTCAGCAGCCTCAAACAGGTACAAAAGTCCCTCTGTATGACGCAATGTCTTTCAATATCTGTGGGAGGAAAAAGTGTGCGTGGATTTCTTCACCTTCCAGCTGGGTATACAGAGAACAAGGACAAAGTGCCGGCGGGTGCGATATTGCTTTCTGGGGCAGGCGGAGGCGTCGTTGGTCCTTCTTCAATGTATGTCTCCGTGGGAGACAAACTTGCCAGTCTTCGACAGGGTATGCCTGTACTTCGACTCGATTATCGCTATCCGGCCCATGACGCTCCGTGCGTGGAAGACGTGACTGCGGCAATGGATCATCTTGAAGAGCAGTATTCTATTCGCAGATTCGTTTTGGTTGGCTGGTCATTTGGAGGCGCTCCGGTCGTGAGTTTCCCTTACCTTGAAGGCGCTAATGTCGTAGCTGAAAAGCAGTCGGTATGAGAATACCGTCAGTCCCACAAAAGCTAATCATGCCTTGCAGTTCACCGTGGGCGGGCGAGAGCGAGGTAGGTGTCCAGCATTCTGTTGCAGACTTTATCTAATGTCAGCAGAACGTGTTATCGGATGCGCTACCGTTGCAAGCCAAACCGCAGGCACAGCTGGGATAAGGAAGCTGGCTCCAAGACCACTGCTGTTGCTCCACGGTACTGGTGATCGAACTTTGAGATGGGACTGCTCCCAGAGTCTATACGAGGCGTACGGGAAAAAGGGCGATCGACAATTGAAGCTCTTCGAGGACGATGATCATGCGTTGACAAGGAATGCGCTTGAGGTAGAAGAGCTGTTGTGCGATTTCATCGCCAAATGTGTTGGGCTGAAGATAGACAACGATGAGCAAGAGAAGGTCATCCAGAAGCCCTTGGTGGACAGAAGTGAAAGAATCGAACTGATGAAGACTGGCGGCGATCTCGAGGGCGAGAGTATCGAGTAGCGCAGTCGCTGGATGGTTACAACGAGGACTGTTCGGAACGGAAAAACTGTCGGGATGACGGCCCTTCCGTAGTGGCGGGTCAGAGAGTGATGGGCGCGATTTATAGGCTCGAGGGTGCAGGGGTATGGACCACTTGGGCCACTTTGCAGGCTGGGAGCTTCCCCACGTCAATTTAGTTGTTGAGGGTTGATGTCATTGTTGAGTTCCTCAAACCACAATTTCGCCGCAGTCCCCCAGTGGTCTCATTGCCTGCGCCAGGTAAACACCTCATCCAACATTTTTCCCTTCGAGACACAAAAGCCCCTCCAACAAGATATCGGTCGTCCAGGATAGCTCGATAAATACTTGTTGGCTTCTAGGGTTTGCCATTTCTTCAGGACTTGCTCTTGTATTTTCTTGACCCGACTTAATCGACTATTGCAACCTATCCTAGCTTCTGTTGTGTCTTCCACTGTTATTGCCCCTCATGGCATTGAATCAGGACTCTGCAAATTCCGTCATGGCTGCACCGGCCAGCGGTGAAGCTCCCCCTGATGGAACAGGTATAAAACCACCCCCGCTACCCTCGAGTTTCTCTCACATGTCACTAGGCGTTATACAACTCGACCCTTGGCTCGAGCCCTTCCGGGGAGATCTTAAGTATCGATTTGCAAAGGCCCAGGAATGGATAAAGAAGATCAATCAAACTGAAGGTGGCCTGGAGAAGTTCAGTCGTGGATATGAAAAGTTCGGCTTCACATTCGAGCCGGACGGCTCGATAATCTATCGCGAGTGGGCTCCAAATGCTGAACAAGCTTCCTTGATCGGCGAGTTCAACAACTGGAACAGAGATTCACACCCAATGAAGAAGAATGAATATGGGGTATGGGAACTGAGGATCCCGGCAAAAGATGGCGTCCCAGGAATTGCCCATAACACAAAACTGAAGATTTCCATGGTCATTCCTGGAGGAGAACGCATTGAGAGAATTCCAGCGTGGATCACCAGAGTCACCCAAGATCTCTCAGTGTCCCCAGTCTACGATGCCGTGCTATGGAATCCTCCCAAGGAGGAGCGTTATGTCTTCAAGAATCCTCGCCCTCCTTACCCCAAGAGCGTTCGCATCTACGAAGCACACGTGGGCATTTCCTCCCCGGAGCTGAAGGTTGCCACGTACAAGGAATTCACCAAGAACATGCTCCCGAGGATCAAGTATCTTGGATACAATGTTATCCAACTAATGGCAATCATGGAGCATGCTTACTACGCTTCTTTCGGATATCAAGTCAATTCCTTCTTTGCAGCAAGCTCCAGATATGGAACGCCAGAGGACCTCAAAGAACTTATCGACACTGCCCACGGCATGGGTATCACCGTGCTTTTGGATGTTGTACATTCCCATGCAAGCAAGAACGTACTGGACGGTCTCAATATGTTCGACGGCAGCGACCACCTTTACTTTCACGAAGGAGGAAAAGGCCGACACGAGCTGTGGGATTCCCGACTTTTCAACTACGGTCACCACGAAGTCATGCGATTCTTACTATCCAACCTGCGGTTTTGGATGGAGGAGTACCAATTCGACGGCTTCCGTTTTGACGGGGTTACTTCGATGCTGTACGTTCATCACGGTATTGGCACCGGCTTCTCTGGAGGCTACCACGAATACTTTGGCTCATCCGTGGACGTCGAAGCTGTGGTCTACCTCATGCTTGCCAACGAAATGCTTCATGACATATACCCGAACTGCATCACCATCGCCGAAGACGTGTCTGGAATGCCGGCTCTATGTTTGAAACTTTCGCTTGGCGGAATAGGATTCGACTACCGTCTCGCCATGGCGGTTCCTGATATGTACATCAAGCTGCTCAAAGAAAAGAAAGACGATGAGTGGGACATCGGAAACATTGCATTCACCCTGACCAACCGACGCCATGGGGAAAAGACTATCGCCTATGCTGAATCCCACGACCAAGCCCTGGTTGGCGATAAGTCTCTGATGATGTGGCTTGCCGATGCAGAGATGTACACGCACATGTCGGTCTTGACCCCTTTGACACCGACCATTGATCGTGCGCTCTCTCTGCATAAAATGATTCGCCTCGTTACCCACGGTTTGGGGGGCGAAGGGTATCTCAACTTCGAGGGTAACGAATTCGGTCACCCTGAGTGGCTCGACTTCCCTCGAGCAGGCAACGACAATTCCTTCTGGTATGCTCGCCGACAGTTGAATCTGACCGAAGATCATCTTCTTCGGTATAGATTCTTAAATGAATTCGACCGTACAATGCAGTGGACCGAAGAGAAATATGGCTGGCTCCATAGTCCCCAGGCCTACATCTCCTTGAAGAACGAAAGCGACAAAGTACTAGTCTTTGAGAGAGCAGGTCTCCTGTGGATATTCAATTTCCACCCCACAAACTCTTACACCGATTATAGAGTGGGCGTGGATGTACCGGGCGTTTATCGGATCGTCATCGATACAGATGACACCGAGTTCGGTGGACACGGGAGAAACGCAAAAGAGACGAGATTCTTCACGACCGACATGCCGTGGAATAACAGGAAGAACTTTACACAAGTTTACATTCCTACGAGGACAGCTCTGGTGAGTTCGCATCCTTGAAACCTCTGTGGCTGAAACTTTCTGTCATTGGACCAGTTTCACTGACTTGACACGTATAGGTCCTTGCTCTTGAATCGACTCTTTGAACCCAACTCGTCTACGTTGTGACTTTAGTTGTGGATGGAAGACCTCTGGGACGATTTGTTCCCCCTGACTGGACAATGAACAAGTGACAGGAGGTCTGTCCAGGAAATTCGGAAGCCAGCGCAACAGCTTTTACAGCAATATCACTCTTAATAGGTTTATAGACTCAGGATGGATCAAAGTGACCCAATGTCGATTACGAGGGCCAGCGCAATCTGCATCAGATCCTGCCAGTGCCACGTCCTCGACATGGGTAGGGCATAACGAAGTTCTTGTAATGTTTTTATTGCACAATTTATCTGTTACAACATATGGATGAGTAGAGTTGAGCGGCACTTGTTTTGTTTCAAGGCATCCGATGAGGTGCCACTCCAAACACACGTTTTGCTTCGCCGTGCATTCCTACCTAGACAGCAGTGGAGGAGGCGCTGCCTCAACAACATCGTCTTCGAAAGATTGAGGCGCTGGATTAAAAATCCGTGAGCTCGTGATGCGCGCCTATGTAGGACGGCCGACCCTTGTCGACAACCATATACAATTTCAGCCCGAGAGTGGTTGGCCCTTTCAGGAATTTGGAGGCAGTCCCCTCCGGAGATTCCATTCGTCCCGACACACCCTCATGGCCAACCCGGGAATGAGTTCGTCCTCCTTGTTTCGCCCCCATTTCGCCTTGCCCAACAACCAGTCCGTCAGGGTGACGACCTTGCTCGTCTTGTCGAAGCCGTTGCTCTGCTCGGCGTGCTCGATCGTGTGGCTCGCTATCCTGCCCTTGGAGTCGAACGTGAAGATGAAGAGACCTGTAAAGTCGTCGCCTTTGTTCAGGTTGAAGATGGGGGTGTCTCCGCCGAGCAGTTTCGACAAGCCGCGGTTGATGTTGGAATCGGTCGTGGTCGATGCGGCGGTGGCCTCATGACCGCCGTCGCCGTGGCTGTTCGTCTTGGGTTCCGTCTTCCATCTCACCACCAGTTTTTCTTCGCTGAGATCTTGCTCGTCCTCCGGCGGAGGAGTGGCGTATGAGAACCCGGTCCGCACGATCTTCTCCGAGAGGATTCTCAGCTTTACATTGCCCACGATGGGCACGCAGCCCCAGGCGACTGGGGCAGTCCAAAGAGAGGCGCGGTAAGCAACGCGCCCTTTGACGGCGGGTAGATGAGGATGGGTCGAGGGGAAGAGGTGAAGGGAGATATGGGGAGACAGGATCTCGGGCGGGAGTGGTTTGGTAAGGATGTCCGGGAGGAGAGGCGACAATATTCGCAATGCTATGACGGCCACGTTAGCACTCCATAGTGGTCTGCCAGGGTGGATGTCATGGGCAAAGACATACTTTTTCCCAACCTAATCAAGCGTTCATCCGGCGGCTTGTGGTCATTGCTGTTGCCAGGCGCAGGAGACCCAAGTAAGTCGTCGTCTGGGCCAAATCTGGGAGAAGCGGATGTGAACCAGACTTCAGATATGGGCTCAGGCCTAACCTGTGCTAGATGTCTTTTGGGGAGCACCTGGCGCAGAGACCCGCCACTAGAAGCGGTCGTCGACCTGTGCCTGCGAAGAAACTGGGCTTGGTTGGGACAAATGGAAGCCCATCTCGATGCTGCTGGAGCGGCGCACTTGGTGGTGGTGATGGTAGTGGGAAGCTTGCGCATTGGCCCGGAGGTCATCTAGGCGGAGGAAGCATGCTTATGATGTGTTTTTTTAAAGCTCTCGAAGCATTCGAGGGAGTGTTCTTTTCCGTGGATAGCAAGAATTAAATGTTAGTTAGGATGACAACTTGGAATCGCAGTCCCAGGCACCAAAAGTGCTGCTTTTGCACGTCTCACCACCACAGAAATCTCGGGGGAAAATCAACTACGTCAGCCAATGGCAGTGGCTGCACCCACCATGTCCTTTGACCGAACATTCCATCCCACCGGCTGCCATTATTTTATCTTCTCTACCACTCCTGCCACTGCGCGGTGTCAATAACCTTTTCCATTTGTCCGCAGTCATTGGAGGTATACATCTTTTGTGGGCAAGATACCTGAGACTTCCGTATGCACGAACAGTACCTCGTAAGCGGACATTTGACATTGGTTCTCCTATAAATCACTAAAGCCTTTACAAGCTTGCGCAAAAGTTCCCCAATAATTGCAACCCGTTGTAATTACAATTTTGGTGGTAGCGGAACACAGATCCACTCCATACCATTCTATCCTGGGCGTTGGAGAGACACAGGAGGCTGAAGCGGAATTCCATGCACATTCCCGATGAGGCGGAACTGAGCCTCACCAATAAAACATGGATGCACTTAGCAATCAAAGCAGCCTGAGTTCTAGACAAAAGAAATCAGTCAGGCGAGGGCGCGGCCTCCCGCCCCCTGGAAAATTCAGACGCCACTGGGGAGCAAACACCGAGGATGCGGACAACAAACAAACGAAACGCTGAGGGATGATAAAGCGTCCACGGATTCACATCACTTTCTTCGGACATGAGACAAGGAGACCGCCCTTAGTCTGCACTTGCAGCTTGATTTCCGACTGTGTCAACCAAGACACCTTCACGGGGAGGCATCCTTTAGGCATCTGTCGGAGAAATATTGTTCCTAACCGCGGCGTACCTCGGATCCCCTGAATTGCGAGCCTTATCCAAGTGTGCGGCTGCCTGTGCAATTTCCCGTGTTTTTGGAATGGCCGTGGACGGCAATCTTTTAGAACTTGATGTAAGGGCCTTGTGACTCATGTTGCTGCTTCGAAAGATCCGTGCATCAATACCTCAAAGGTAAGGGGACCTGACCTTTTGCGGCAGACGACCTATGTGGGACAAGAGAGCGAGAATGGTACGGATAGCCGTGCTTGACAGTTCCTGGCCATGTCCATTCATTGTCGACGTAAGGCGCCATATGCATTGTGCTCTGGTATGAGATGCCACATGAGTTTGCAACTACTCATAGATCAGTCCGAATATTCCAAGACCCGGAATAGTCCAGCTTAGAGTCGAGCTGGCGAGCTGGACTCATGCACAATGAAGAAGAGCTGAACCAGATTTGCGTTGCATTGTGGTTCAGAGGTACCGGCCCAGGATGCAACCTCAAGCATCGGCCGTTGTTGCGCAGTATCCATAGCATGGTGGAAGAGGACAATAAAGGAGACTGTTTAGTCCAGGCATCTTGACGTGGCAACGTAGTTGATTGGACATTCGTGATTGTCTCTTGCTGGGAGAGAAGAGGGGAGCGACAAGTAAGTGGCACAACCCATCCTTCAATTCATCGACAAGAAAGCAAGCGAGGAGGGTACTGGTACATGCCGTCAGAACACCGACGTTCCTTCGACCACGCTGATGTTCGTGGGCAATGGTTGGCGTGATAAGGACGCTGTTAGGATGTCTGTGCTGGTGCTTCAGGGCGCACTCAAGTATGGTACACACGACCATTCCATTGCCTGTTGGGAATCATATCTTCCTATGGTCGTTAGTATGGGCATATCAAGTAGTTCAAACGTGATACTTCAGTTAGAAACTCTCAAGACTGCAGGTCCATACTTCGATGATCGTGGTTGGGGCCGAAACTGATAGTGAGAGGCTGTCGAGAGTGACATGATTGACAGATTTAGATAATCTTAGGCGCGCATGCGTCTTTGCGCCTGACAGAAGTATTCAAGAAGAGTCCAGAGGAGCGCAAACATGGGAAAGGCGTTGAATCAAGGGATTTCAAACCGCGCCGAGCCCAGGACCGACCCTGACGTGGTCCGCCTATGATCGTCTCAGAGACAAAGACCTGCCTCTCCAAACACCACACTGGCCCGCAGCAAGCAACATGCCACAAGCTCTGCCATCCTCCGTCTTGTCTGGCAGCACATCCCTTCAGTCAAAACCTTTCCTTGTACTTGGTCACCTCGTCAATGCCTTTGTCATTACCAGGTCCAATTGTGGGTGCTGTTCCCTTGGCTTTGAGACAGTCGGACCAAAACCCAGCAGTTTGATCCTAGCAATTCTTCCCTGGACAATCAAAGACATCACAAGGAAAGAAAGACAACATCTGACAGAGACTCTTGCAGATGGAAGCCCGATCCATGTACTTAATTCTCACAACATCTCTCAACATCCTGAGTTTCTCCTACCGTACTCCACTGACAGCATTTCGTCAACTCACCTCCTATTTGCATCCCCGGGCACAACATTCATCAATAGATCCCTCTTTGTTGCGTCCAGACGCACACCTTTGTTGCCATGTCTCGAGCCACGCCAGACGACCAGTTGAGGTTCCTCTTGAGCTGCGTCAAACATGCCACGCACGGAAGGGTGAGTGAGGTCCTTTGCTATCGTACCAGGCTCCAGATGACTGACAGCAACAGGTCGATTTCGTGGAGGTTGCCAAAGAGTGTGGAGTGGTCAGCAAAGGAGCGGCGTGAGTGTTTCGTGCTGATGCGGCTGTACCTGACCTACTGACGGACCACAAGAGCCAAACGATACGAGAGGCTCGCGAAGGCCAATGGAGTCAGCTCTACCAGTGCTTCAGCAACCAGCCCGGTTCCGAAACCAACACAGCCAAAGCAAAAGGCGAGGCATCCGGAAGAGAAGCCTTCGGCGTCAAAGAAGCAGAAACTGGAGAGACACAGCCCTGCCCCTTCTCGGAGGTCGAAGAGAGTCGACGAGAGCTCCCGGCCGGCAACGATGACCATCACGGATCCACGAGGTGATGATTCTGAACCCACACCAGCAAAGGCAGAAGCATTCAATCGATCTCTCCGACCAAACCTTTCCGGTCCAACTGGTGTGCCACAGATGGCTCTTCCGACCTCCCTATTTGTTCCTAGCGGTCCTGTACCCCAAGGTGTTCCATATTTGGCACGGCAGCGACCTCCCTTTGCTGAATTCCCGGCGATTCCATGTGGCACTGGTCACCAGTTGGTACCGGATGTACCTGGCTATCCTCCTTTTCCGCCTGCGTTCAGGGAGGCATGGCCATTCACAAGCGAGGGAAGTGGCGGTCCCATCAATGGCTTCGAGATATACAGCAACCAAGACTATCTCAACCCACAAAGTCAGATCACTCAGCCTCCTTTTCCAGTCGAAGCAGTGCCGGTAAGACTTCCACCCCAGCCACAGGAAGTTGTGCCGGTTCCAAAGCCCGGGGAACGACACCCAGAAGAAGACGTTATGTCGAAGTCGAAAGGCAGTGTTGTCCTGGTGGACAGACCAGTTAAGAGGTATCCGGCTCCGAAGAGGCAACGAGGTGAAGCGGAGCGAAGCAGAGGCAACTGACAGTGTCAGACAGTATGAAGAGGTTAATTTCCTGTTTCTCAGTCATCAGGTGGACATGGACTGGGCGGTCGACGTCGTGCCTTTACAAACACCATCCGAACCCATGGGAGGGTGAAGCGCCTCTTTCGCGGGGAGTTCCAGCCTTGAAGAAGGCCATCAAGAGAAAGAAGGGCCAGAGGAGAACAATAGCAATTCAGTTTCCATTATCAGTGTCCTGTCGAAGAGGAGCACACGCGCACCCAACACGCAAGGGAATGGGCGTTGGCGACCTCGTTGTTGTTCTGGCGGTCTTCACTACCAACACCCCTTCAGGACAAAGACTTTCCCCCATTTTCTGCCCCCTGTATCTTTCTGCCCACGACAGAGCCCATACCTCCATATCACATCTCTCACAACCCTCTTGCCTCATCAAGATCCTTTTCATACCCTTTCTACGTCTGTCATCGTGCTCGGAACGGACGTCAGAGCTGTCAAGGCTTGGTTGGCGGCAGCTGTGTCCTGTTTGGTAAGTGCCATTGCAGAAAATAGCAGCTGTTCAACACAACGCACATTTGCCCACACAAACACCACCTTCCTCCTGCGCCGTCTTTCATACTATTGTCTGTTATTCACCGTTTCGACACTCGTCTCCGCTTCCAATTAGTGCCAGTGACGGGCATCCAGCGTTTTGATTCGTCTCAAGCCCTTACAATACTCTCTCGACCCGACGAAATTGGTATCACCAAGCCTGCAAAACTAGAGATTCACCACGGCGCTGAGACATCACATCCCTTCTTCAAAATAACACAAACATTCTCCCTCCACACTCTTTCTGTTGCTCGACTGACAACACGGAACAACAGACTAACGGCACTTGGTCCTTTGCAGGAGACAAGATGCCTGCCAAAAACCGCCCTGCAAAGCGTGTGCTCAATCGTTGGAGTGGTGAGTCGAGGTTGCCAAATGCCACCAGCATTCATCCTTGCTAACAAACATCCAGATGATCTCGACAAGGGAGTCCTGCTTTGTGTCCAGTATGCGTGTGCAGAAGCTGGCCTGAAGATTCCATGTAAGTACAGAAACCAACAGCCTCGTCTCCACTGACCAGAATCATAGGGAGTCGTGTTGCGACTCTCATGGGTCCCACCTTCACTGAAGGCTCCATCGTTCAACACCTTGCAAAGCTTCGAAACCTCATGGCCTTTCATGGTATTCCTGTACCACCAGCTGTGAAGCGTGGGATGGTCACAAAAGAACCATCAAAGATCTACACAAACGCGGGCAACAAAGTCAAGCTCGAGGCAATTCCTCCAATGTTTCCCGCGGTGGACGGGGACGACCAAGACGAAGTCGAAGAGAAGGGATCCATCTATGATAAAGCCAAGCGTGCTCGTGCTCGTAAGAAGGAGGCTCCCAAAGAGAAAGCTGTGCCGGTGAAGAAGGAACCGAAATCCAAAGGAAAGGGAAAAGCGAAAGCCAAAGGTCATCATCACCAAGCAAGTGACGAAGAAGATAATGAACCTGTTCCAGATCTTTATGATTCCGATGAGGAGTATCCTGCACCCAAGAAGCGCCGCAACAACAAGAGCAAGGCGAAGAAGGTTGCTAAAGCTTCCGCAGCTCTCGACGAAGCCGAATATTCTACTCCCTCGTCGGTCGAAGCAACAATTGTTGACAACCACGAGGCTATTAAGCAGGAGGAAGAGGAACTCGTTGGCCCTGCTCGTCGCACTCGTGGAATCAAGCGTGACTATGCTGTCATGGCTGCACCTTCCGACGATGAAGCTGATGTTGACGAGGAAGTCCCGGAATATCTGGACGAAGAGCCTGAAGGCAGCTATGGTAGTATTGACGTTGATGAAGACGATGATGGCAGTGATGACACGGATGAAGCGTCTAGCGAAGCGTCAACTATTATCCTCGGTGGTCAGCAAGCAGACTCTCACATTCTTGGTCAGCAGAATGTGGCTGATCTACCATACGGCCAGATCATCTCCGCCACTACGGTAAGTTAGCATCATAGTCTTGACAGATACCTACGCTGACTGCGAAACAGGCTCCTTTCACCCACCTCAATACCTCGAATGCCGGAACATACGGTCATCATGGTCACATTGGTGTCGGCCTCATCCATAACCCATACTCGGTTCCTGCGCTCGGATATTCTGGACCGGCGTTCTTGAACCCAGTGCCACAAGTGTATCCAGCATCGCAGTTTCAGAGCGTGAGCATGTACGGTTCGTCCACGGATTCATCCCGCAACAATTCGATTGCTGCTGGCATGATGTTCACGACTCTTCCATCGATGTCTGACAACGAGTTCTTGACCCCGCATACCGGCTTCGGACATGGTAACACCGGCGATGTGATCAACAAGGAGGACATGATGAACAGCACGGCAAACGACGATATCTTCTGGAACGCTGGTGACTATCTGGTCGATGATGCTTAGGCGTCGGTGGGTTTCACGCAAAGACGGAGATCAGGCCATCGCTGACAGGAATCAACAGTCACTCAACGATACATCACCTACAGCTGAAGATACCTGAGGACAACGAATTTGCATGACGGTGAAAAGTGAAGTGATATTCCATGGCACTGAACACTCGTGGTGTAGTCCGGGAGGAGTTTAAGACCACGATGGAATCACGCAATCGGTATTGTTTTCTCTTTCTGTTCCAGATCTTTTGCTGGCCAAAAAAGCATCAACGGAGAGAGCATGTGTTTTTGGTCGAATATCATCAAGTGATTCTAGCAAAGGGAGGTGTGAACCAACAGGGATCACACCGGAGATCACGTCGACTACCAAAATTCAGCACGGAAAAAGATGTCAAGGACTGGAACGTATGGTGGCACTCACGGACAGCTGGCTATGAACCAGTGCATTTCCATTCTCTCCATGTACTTGAAAGAAAAAAAGATAGAGGTGTGAGCTTTTCGAAATGTCAACCATGAGACATATCGGATCAAATTCCACTATTATTGCTTTTCCTTTGCCATGATATGCTTCCACGCTGGCTATTATACGAGCTCCGGCCACAGCGATAAGAGCACTACGAGGAAAATCCAGTACAAGTATATCGCAGTGGAAACGGGCAGGGAGGATTTTTATTCGGAAGAGTCGGAGGCGGCGGCGGCAAGGCTCCGATTGGTTGCCAAGCGACTATTCCCAAAGTGGAATCATGCTGCATCTTGCGATTCTGTTGATTTCGAGAATCTCCAAATTTTTTGGCATCAAAACCTCGAAACTCTCCTACCATATTACAACTCATCAGTTGTCCTATTTCCCCTTTCTTTCTCCTCATTGTCACTCGTCCACTTGATTTGCCCATCATGCAGCGCGCTCTCTCCTCCGCAGCTCGATCCTCCCTATCCTCCCCTTCTCCATACTCCAGAACAGCCGGCCGGAGTCTGCAACAACTACGCTTCGCTCACAAAGAGCTCAAGTTCGGAGTAGAAGGAAGAGCCCAGCTGCTCAAGGGTGTCGAGACTCTCTCAAAGGCTGTTGCAACAACACTTGGTCCCAAGGGCCGCAATGTCCTCATTGAGTCAAGCTACGGCTCACCCAAGATAACCAAAGGTGAGCACCCATGATTTCCGATGCCAGCAACTGCCCGAAAGCTAATAAAACAATCAGATGGTGTTACTGTCGCCAAAGCAGTCACCCTCCAAGACAAGTTCGAGAACCTCGGTGCCCGTCTCATCCAGGATGTCGCCTCGAAGACGAACGAAGTCGCAGGTGATGGTACCACGACCGCCACCGTGCTCGCAAGTGCCATCTTCTCCGAAACCGTCAAGAACGTCGCTGCTGGATGCAATCCTATGGATTTGAGAAGAGGCACCCAGGCGGCAGTTGACGCAGTCGTTGACTTCCTCCAAAAGAACAAGAAGGACATTACCACCAGTGCCGAGATTGCCCAAGTCGCTACCATTTCTGCCAACGGAGATACCCATGTTGGAAACCTCATCTCCAATGCCATGGAAAAGGTCGGCAAAGAGGGTGTGATTACGGTCAAGGAAGGAAAAACTATCGAAGACGAACTCGAGGTTACCGAGGGCATGCGCTTTGACCGCGGCTTTACATCACCGTACTTTATCACCGACACCAAGGCTCAAAAGATCGAGTTTGAGAAGCCCTTGATTCTCCTTTCCGAGAAGAAGATCTCTGCTGTGCAAGACATTATCCCCGCGCTTGAGGCGTCTACCCAAATGCGCCGACCTCTTGTCATCATTGCCGAGGACATTGATGGCGAGGCATTGGCTGTCTGCATTCTCAACAAGCTTCGAGGACAACTTCAAGTGGCCGCAGTCAAGGCTCCCGGCTTTGGAGACAACCGCAAGAGCATCCTTGGTGATATCGGCATCCTGACCAATGCTACTGTCTTCACGGATGAACTCGACATCAAGCTGGAAAAGGCCACTCCTGACATGCTGGGCTCGACCGGCAGCATCACCATTACCAAGGAAGATACCATCATCTTGAACGGGGAAGGCAGCAAAGACGCCATTGCTCAGCGCTGCGAACAGATTCGTGGTGTCATGGCTGACCCGTCGACCTCAGAATACGAGAAGGAGAAGCTTCAAGAGCGCCTTGCCAAGCTGTCTGGCGGTGTTGCCGTCATTAAGGTTGGTGGAGCTTCTGAGGTTGAGGTGGGCGAGAAGAAAGATCGTGTCGTAGACGCTCTGAACGCTACTCGTGCCGCCGTTGAAGAAGGTATCTTGCCCGGTGGTGGTACTGCTTTGATCAAGGCCGCTGCAAACGCCCTCGGTAGTGTCCAGCCTTCCAACTTCGACCAACAGCTCGGTGTCAGCATCATCAAGAACGCCATCACACGTCCCGCCCGGAGAATCGTTGAAAATGCCGGTCTGGAAGGCAGCGTTGTCGTCGGCAAGCTTATGGACGAATTCGGTTCCGACTTCAACAAGGGCTTCGATTCTGCCAGCGGACAATATGTTGATATGCTGAGCAAGGGTATCGTCGATCCCCTCAAGGTCGTCCGTACCGCACTCGTTGATGCCTCTGGCGTTGCGTCGCTACTGGGTACCACCGAAGTTGCCATCGTGGAGGCACCAGAAGAGAAGCCTGCAATGCCTATGGGCGGCGGTATGCCCGGCATGGGTGGCATGGGCGGCTTCTAAACAATCCCCAAGTCAAATGAGGAAGGCTATGCCCACCCTTTCTCACCCTTTCATACAGCCACTTGCGATTCTTCCTGCGTTCCAGCGATTACATTCGCACATTTGGTATAGCAGCAATCCGCAACACCATCTCGTCGGGTCCTCCTACCACCACCTTCTCACGATCGCTCCCCTCCTTCAACTCAACCTGGAGGAGATTTGCTCGTTCGGAGAAACAGGTTGATCTACCTCTTTTGTACATTTACGAAGCTTGTTACATTACACTCCACTCAAGTTCAAAATCTTGTCTATCTTACAAATCAGATCTTTGCTCAAGGGGCAATGGGGCTTAGAGAGAAGAAAAAAGAATGGGACAGCTACACCGCAGGGATGGTGGCAAGAGGAGTTGGTCGCGTGCCAGTGTGGGGATGGATGGCATAAGTCGTGTTGTATGGTGGTGCACCGGGTAGCGCGATCTGGCGTTGTATCATAGTTGTGGTTGTAGCTGTCCAGCTGTGCAGATACCAGTGTAATAAAACAAAAAATAATAAAACCAAAAACCATCTTGAATTATATGCCCGTTGTTGTAGCGTGGTGAGGCTGCGGGTAGAGACAGTGACAAGGCAAAGCTGCTTCAGTCCCCTCTTCCAACAACATATATACAATTCATTCTGGCAACAGAACAACAACTCCGAAATCATTACTGGCAACCGACTGAATTGGTAGAGCCAGTCAAGCAGCTCTTCTGCAGATGAACCACGTATATTTCACGGCGCGGCATGGTATTCCCCTAGATTGTTGTTGGGCTCCCAAAATTTCCAGATTCGGCCATTGGTGAGGAAAGGTGAAGCTTCCGCGACTTGTTCGCTCTGAAGCACAAGGGCTTCGCCTGAAGATGTCTGAAGCCGAGCTAGTGAAATCTCCATCCGCGAGATGAAGGTGAGTAATTGATCATGCTTACAAACATACAGATCGAAAGCTCTGGAGGGAGAGAGAGCTCGAGTGTGAGGTCCGCGACCCGACCGAACGCCTCCCTCTCAACATGGTTCAACGCAAGGCACCATGTCTACTATTAAGATGCAAGCTCTGCTCCAACCCTGCACTGCTAGATTTCTCCTCGACACTCGTCTTTGTCAATTGCCTTCACCGCACCTCACCATCCTCCATGACTTCCACAGCCGATCCAGAGGACAATAGTCTTCCTGTCCACATCACAGGATCGCTCCCCCAACACCCGCCAACGTATAGCACGATTGCAACCTTCCCGCCTGGCTCCTTTCTCGAGAACCTTGCCGTCCGTCGTGATGGCTCGATCCTCGTCTCCGACATGTTGAGTGGGAATATCTGGTACATTAACCCTCATCCAGAGGATGGGAACACCCGGGGAACTGTGGAGCTGGTTCACAATTTTGAGCTCGAAGACGCGCAGGTCGAGAAATCATTGACAATTGACGGGGCTGACGAACAAGGAGGAGGAAGCGAAGGTCACGGTTCCTATGCATCCACCCCTGCCGCAGAGGCAATCATCGAATCCCCATTCACCCCGGATTTATTCTACCTGTTCTCTGGTGTGCATGGCAAGAAGGGCACATGGTGGGTCTACGAGTTGGACGTGCGATCATTTCTGCCCTCCACGAACCCTACGAAGACTTCGATCACAGGCCAAGTGGATGGTAAAGTCAAAATCAGGCGTCTCGCCCCAGTTCCGGCCGCGACGTGGCTCAATGGAGGCACTGCTGTCCCTCACCGCTCAGAACCCTTGATCTTGATGGCCGAGTCGTATCAAGGACGTGTGTACTCGTACAATATTGTATCTGGGCGCGTGGACATCTGGCTTGAGCACGGGCTCTTGGGGAAAATTACGACACGACCACCCTGGCCTGGTGTCAACGGAGTCAAGTACCATCACGATGGGACAGATGGCTGGATTTATTTCACGAACTCGGACCGCGCGATTTTAGGACGCGTAAAGGTTGACTATCAAGGCGTAACGCCAGTCGCTGCACGCAATTCAGAGGCGCAAATCGACATCGAGATTCTTGCGAGTGGTTGTTGCGGTGACGACCTCTGCATCGACGGAGACGGAAACATCTATGTGGCGACGAACCCGATGAACACGGTGCTGAAATTTCCTCTACTTGCTGCGACTCCCAGAGCCGGTTCAGGAGGAAAGGCAGATGCGCAGACAGAGCGTCAAGTCATTCTTGGCCTGTACCGGCCTCAGTTGTCTACTGAAGAGGCATCTGCATCGCGACCGAAACCTGTCGTCAACTCCTACTCCGAGTCGGATCTCGAGCTCGAGGTCGACCGGGCCACGACGGGGCCTACTGCGGTTTCTTTTGGGACCAGAGCATCTGATGAGAAGGACCTGTACGTCGTCACGAATGGTGGGATTATCAATCCCGTCGACGGGGTCGTCAGAGAGGCGCGACTGTTAAGAATACATCTTTAGCTTTTCAATGTTGAGATTCTCGACGCTTGAGGTGACGCGCACGGCCCTTGTGTTTGTTTGGATTTCCTTTTTCTTTGTGGTCCCGATTCAACCGGTCTGTTCTCTGCGGTCTCTGCCAGGCTGGACTGTAGTGACCGTCTAGACTCCAGAGGCGCGTATATGAGTAGGCCATAGGCCGTACGCTTCAGGACATAAGCCACACCTGCACCAACACTGAGCTGAGAGCTGTGAGCTGAGAGCTTGCCGGCGCTAATTCCTGCAATCTGCAAAAAAACTGACCTCGCCATCGTCGTCACTTCTAAACTCTTTCGTCCCCTTTAACTTTTACCACTGTGTGACTGATTGTATTCATATCCTAATATCTTGACGATATACGACGCACGCCACAAAGTACCACTAAATGCCACAAAGCCCCGCCATCCCTCTCTTCCGCATCCCTCCCGTCCCCTCGTACGACCCTCCCCCTTTTTTTTTTAAGGTCGGAAGTGGCACTACTCATGCGCCTCAACCATGCCTATGGCCGCCAAATCCAGCCCGGGCCAATGCTTGTGGCCCCACAGGAACCAATACGCCAGCGAACACAGCACGACAAACACGTAGATGGGCAGGGCGTAGTTCATGTTCGTGCCCGTGACGGGCAGGGTCGTGGGGAACGGTAACCAGATGGTCAGGTAGATGGTCCAGCAGAGGGCGAAGATGTTGACGGGCGTGGCGACGCGGGGCCACATGCGCCAGGAGCCGTAGGCGACAACAGAAGATGAGCCGGATGGGGAAGGGGATTGGGGCTTGTCGGTCAGACGGCCGGTCAGGCGCGCGTGCAGGATGCACGAGATGGCGATGATGTAGGACGTGTACAGTCCCAGAGAGGAGAGGGCGGTGAAGGCGCTAAAGGCCGTGCCGGTGGTGGAGCCGATTTGGAACAGGGCCAAAAGGCACACGATGACGATGGGGAGCCACGTCGCGTTGACGGGGACGTGGCGCTTGCGGTCGATCTGTTGTAGCGAGTCTATCAGACAGAATCCAAGGTGCAGAACAAGGAACCATTCCCCAGAAAAGGTGTGATGTGATTCTTCAACAGTCCCGACGAGAGAAAAGGGGGAGAGAGAAAAGTCTCACCACCGAGAACCATCGCGGCAGAGCCCCGTCTCGCGCCCACGCCCAGGTGATCCGCGAGACGGACGCGACGCTCGCCGCGACGACAAAGTACGTGACAATGATCAAACCGGAAACCATGGCGTTGGTGGCGGCCATGGACCCCGTCGCGTTCAGACAGATGGGAATGATGGGGTAGGAGGCGTCGAGGGCGTCGTCCAGGTTGCCCAGGCAGTAGAGCAGGACGAGGATGATGCTGAAGGCCATGAGGCCGTTGATGACGATGGTCAGAACCATGGATCGCGGGACGGCGTGTTTGGCCCGGCGGACTTCCTCGGACATATGGACGACACCGTCGAATCCTTTTTTGGGGGGGCATTGTCAGAAGGAGAGTGCTCCTAAAGGGAGGAGGAAGGAAGTTCTCATCGCTACTGACCGATAAATCCCCACGCAGGCACCAGCATCCCCAGGTTGAAGGCGACGAAACTGCTCCGGTCCCAGCCGGACAGGATGGACTCGGTGAAGAAGACGAAATTCGTGTCGTGCTTGGGCGCCAGGGCGGTTAGGACCGCGACGAAGATGACGAACAAGATGACGTGCAGAATGCCCGAGGCCAGCTCGAGCCAGGGCACGAGCCAGAAGGTGAAGGTGTTGATGAGCCCGCACGAGATCAACAGCGCCCACATGATGAAGGTCAGATGCCATCGCTCGGCCGTGTATCCTGGCACGTTCTCCGCGATCAGGGCTTGAAGGAGGGCCGCTTCGCCAGAGGCACTCCCTGCGAGAGCCGAGACCCAGGCAAACCAAGTCACCCAGCCTATGTATGAGCTTCCGTGTCAATGGCGTGAAAGACTTCGTGGTAACAATAGTTGATGGATATGCAGGGGGTCGTACCTTGCATCCAAGTGATAAACTTCCTCGCGCCCTCGGGGGCCATGATATGCGTCCAGTGGTACTGCGCGCCAGCTATGGGGAGGATGGAACCCAGTTCAGCCATAGAGAATGCTTGGGCCAGAGACCCGATCACGACCGCGATGCAGCCCCAGATGAGGGACTGCGGGCCGCCGTTCCAGAAGGTGGCCGAGATGTTCCTACCATGACGAAGATTGATCAGACGGGCACTTTGGCGCGTGGTTCAGGGAACAAGACACAAGAAAAGGTGAGGGCGGACATGGCCATGACTTCCCAGGACTCCATAAAGGTCAAGGAAAAGGCGAGAAGCTGAGCGAAGCTGAAGAGTCGCTAAAGGAATCCGACGAGTCAGCGGGTTTATGTTCCATACGACACACCACTGTGAGTTTCGTTTACCCTGAGAGAGGTGCCATGGCCATCGATTGTCGCTGTTGGATACGCCTGCGCGACGTTCATCTCCAAGTATTCGGGTGTTTTGGCATCATGGCTGTGACTGATAGACTCGCCCGAGTCCGTACCAGGCTCGACCGTCTCGAGGACGTCTGTCTTGTCGACGTTCGCCATAGCGAAACGAGCCACCCCTGGTAGGTATGTGTGAGACAGCAAAGGCAGAGGTGATAAGAGAGGACGACAGGAAAGGAAGACAAAAAGAAACCGAAGCCAACTGTTCGAGAGAAGTGCCGATCGCTCACTCCTACAAGGTGCCATCACTCAAGTACCGCGCCACCGAGATACGCACGGTGGCATGGTGGCATGTTCAAGATGATTGCGTCTGACTGACCCGCCTGCCATGCGCAGTTAGACAAAGGGAGAGTCGAGAACCAAGAAGCACAAAAGATCCATGTCATGGATGGGCCTGGTTGAGCGCATGGGAAAGCGCATGGCCAAGCGAAGCGGCGTGGAAACGGGGATTGCAGCGAGGAGTGAATGAGTGAGTGGCATTGATAGAGCTTTGACATGGAGGGACTAGGGGACCAGGCGACCAGGGGATGGTGGATTGTTGCAAAGCTATCGGAGGGGATGGACATTTTGGTGTTAGAGGCGAAGATCTCGGAGAGATGGACAAATGTACCCGGGAGGTATAGGGTGGCTAGTGATGCTGGTAGTGGCCAGTCCTGCTAGACAATGTCGGGGATATGGATCTGTGGATAATGTTTACCCATCATCCTACGACGAGCTAGATCAACAATGTAGCGAGCAGAGTTGTATCCCGCATGTTCCCTAGTAAATATTTATCAAGACGAGAGAGGACGAGAACGGACGGCGCCTCGGGTCGAGAAACCAGCCCGACGGCCCCATTCATTAGTTATTTCACAGGCCTTGATCCTCTGGGATTTCTACTCCAGTCCCATTTGGGCAGCTTCATAAGATGTTGTGGAGTATCTCGTAATGGAGATGTTATCGACAGCACAGTATCATCCTCCATCCCATTTCACCATGGCCAAAGAATCCCCAATCGCTACCCAAAGCAAGTGGGAAATCCCCAAAAAGGCTCCCGTTTCATGTCCTGAATGCCCCATTCCCCTCGTGAAACCATTCCGATTGTAGGTACTTCTGCCCACGCGCTGATCGCTTGGGGATACGCCTGAGGCCTTAGCCACCAGTCACTGCCCATCGGTCAGGGAAGATTGTCCTCGTCCAACTCATAGATCAACTCGTCATCACCAGCTTCGAACGGGAGTCGTTGGTGTTGGTCAAGCAGCGAAGAACCTCCTATATATCCCAATCCGTTAGTGATCGTTGATTGACACAGCCGAGAAAATGACCGTATCAGACTCACCATAGTATTGGGCCAGGCCACTATACCCTCTTGCTTCAAGGCCTTCGTGGTCTTGTTCTTTGAGAGTCGGAATATCAATTGTCGCTGTTGCTGCTGTTGCTGTTGCTTCTTCGTCGACCCCCGTGGCGGCGTCCTTTGTGTCGATGACCTCTTGCTCCTCTTCAGACACGATTCGAGCTTCCCTCTTGATAGACCGCTGCGCCGACCTCTCTCGCTTTCTCTTCTTCTGTCCTCGCCGGAGTCGTTCTCTCTTGTCGATCGCGTCAGGACATCCAAGCCGTCGAGCCAACTTTTTGCTCGAGCAGATCTGGTCATACAGAGAGCTGGGTGAGATTGAACGTCAGATTCTCTGCCTATCTCCCTCTCTCTCACCAAGAGGGAAACTCACAACAACGACTCCACATCCGTGTCCATCTCCCGGGCAATCCCCTCAAAGACCTCACGTCTGAAATCCATCGTCATGCTGCGCAACAGCTTCATCATCAACAGGCAAGTCTTCCTCACTGGGATCGACCCCTTGCAGAAGCAGTCCTCTTCAGACCCGGCCATGGTGGTAAGCAATCGACCTGTTTTTTTTTTTTTCAGATATGTTTCAATGAGACATGAAATGGGCGGAGGGTAGCACGGGTGTATGTAGATCCAAGTTGCATGTGTTATAAATGTGTAAAGAAGAGATCTAAGGATGAAGATGAAGATGAAGATAAAATGAATTGTAAAGGCTGAGCGGAACAAGGTCAGGATGTGGACAATAGGTCTCCATGAATAGGTAGAATGAATCTCAAAGACCAGATCTGGCAACAATGGTTAGGAGTGACACTCGATTGCTCGTCCTGAGATTCACAGCGACTTCAGATCAGACATGTCATGTTGTAGTTCATCTACAATGCACCCGAGACATCACCACCACCACCACCACCACCAC